TTATGGAATAATATATTAGAGTTAACTACTATATTTCACTTACGTATATATTATGGAAATGACATACTTTATTTATCTAAACCCTCACCCACTTAAGAAGTATTCCAGCTGCAACTACTGGCAACACACTCACAAGCTCGCCAAGTCCCGCAAACTCAGGTGGAATTCTCGCACGTACGAAGGCGCCTGCGGCAAGCAGAATTGCAAATATATTGTAAACAAAGCTCCAACTGAAATTAAATGCAATGCGGTGCATTGACTTACGACTCACGGTCAAGGCAACCAGAATGCCCGCCAGGCTCTCTCTCATGAGTACAATATCCGCGGCAGATTTGGCGACGTCGGTTCCGCCGCTCATGTGCACACCGATGGAGGCTTGAGCTAGAGCGACTGCATCGTTCGTGCCGTCTCCGCAGAACATTACGATAGATTGTTTGGTATTTCGCTTAGACTTGCGAACATCCGGAGTTAAGAGGAGCTCGTTAATGTAAGCTTGTTTGTCTGCCGGTGTGCAGCGCGATTTGACATTGGCTGCTGGTATTTTGAGCTGTTCTGTGACTGCGCGAACGGCTCCATCGTCGTCGCCCGACAGGACGTGGACCGCTATTTTACGTTCTTGCAATTTGGAAATCGTATCAAGGGTGTCCTCTCGGAGAGAATCCTGAAGGCCATATACAGCTGCCAGTTCGTCGTTGAAGGTGAAGCAGAAAGCTGTGTAGCCCTGAGCAAGGATAGGCTGGACTGAAGGATGGTCTGTGAGACCCAGCCACCGCGAGTTCCCTGCACGGAGCGTGCAGCCGGCAAAAGCACCCTCAACACCCTTTCCGACGATACTCTTCGGATTCGAAACTGCTATCGGAGCCACACCCTCAGACTTGAGATATGTGGCAACTGCAATTGAAACCGGATGCTTGCTGTCACCAACGAGGCCAAGAATAAGACCTGGAGTTCCGGGGGCAGATCTCAGAATTTCCATCCGAGTCACAGAAAGCTGACCCCGGGTGAGGGTTCCTGTCTTATCGAACACTACATGTGTAGTCTTCCAGGCAATTTCGATCGCATCTGCAGACTTGAAAATGACGCCCCTCTCAGCGGCCACGCCCGTTGCGACAACAATTACCATCGGCACTGCAAGACCAATGGCGCACGGGCAAGATACAATCAATACGGTAATTGCGTATGTGATTGCTTGAATGGTAGCCTCTGGCCCAGATTTCCGCTGGACGGCGATGCCAATGGCCATCCAGATACAGAAGATCACAACGGTGATGGCTAGTATCACAGGAACGAAGTAAGTCGCAACCTGGTCCGCAATCTTCTGGATCTTGGGCTTCGTCAGCTTGGCTTCGTCAACCATGTCGGCAATTGTGTTGATCGTGTTGTCCCCAGGAACGCGAGTTAGTCTGACGGTAAGAACCCCTGATCCATTCAGTGATCCGGCAATCAGATGGGATCCTTTCGATTTCTCTACGGGCTTCGATTCTCCTGTCAGCATCGACTCGTCAACCTCAGAAGCTCCTGATATAACTGTTCCATCAGTTGGGATCCGTGATTCTGGAGGGACCTTGAAGACATCGCCATATTGAAGAAGTCTTGTATCAATTGATGACTCGGTTCCATCGGAATGAATAATTGTCGCCATAGAGGTTTGTAATGATCGGATGGATATTGACTCGACAGCTTTCTGGCGGGCTAAGGCCGCAATGAAGCGACCAATCATGATGAGCGTGACAAGCAACGTGCTCGTCTCGAAGAATTCGCCAGTTGACAGCGGCCGGTGCGCGACAAGGTAGCCAAATGCTACAACGGAGAAGATGTAGGCGGCGCTCGTGCTGAGTACAATAAGAAGATCCATTTCTATAACCTTCGAGAAGACCAGGGCCTTGAGAGCTTTCGGGTAGAACGGACCGGCAACAATAATTTGAATCAATGTTGCAAATGCGAATGAGATGGATGCAAAAGTAATCTGTTTCTGTTCCTTGTCGGGTAATGGTGCCCACGTTATGACCAGCACGGGGATTGTCAGTAGAATCGACAACTGGGTCATGTACCCCACATGGCGGACATGTCGAGCACCAGTATCCAGAGCCGGGTCCGAACTAGGGGGAGCCAATTTCAAGGGACATGGCCAAACGAGCCCCAGAAGTTCTCGCGCACCGACGACCTTCGGGTCAAAATCAATACGCACTCTCCTTTTGTCGATTGCCCGGATTTCGATGACTCCACTTGGCCAATCGCTCTTAACGATCTCGGTGGCATCTTCGTCGCAAATCATGTCCAGACTAGAACCCCGGTTTGAAATGCGCTCAAATTTGAACTCGGTTGTTCGTTCTAAGTGCTTCATGACCTCTTCGACGGTTTGAGCACCCATGTCCAAGTCGAATTCAGCCCGAGAAAGCACCAGGCTCGTCTTGAGTTTCGTGACGGAAGACATTGTCTCTAGAGTGCGCGAAAGCTTGGTTTCGCATCCAGTACAGGTCATGCCGGACACGCTGAGAACAACGTGCTCTTTGCCGGAGAGGCCTAGTTCGGGGTCAGCTGGAGGTGACCGAATCTCCTCGACCGCTTCATTCAAGTCTATTTTCTTAGGAGCGCAGCATGTATCTACACCAGCTAAAGATTTTGAACCGTCGCAGCAAGCATCAGGACATGGTGTAATAGCAATTGAATTGCAGCCTTTCGTGGGTTTAGGTGCACAGCACGAGTTTTCCGAGGCACAAGAATGGATCGAAGTGCGAGATGCGGAGCATTGTGAAGGCGCGCAGCAAGTGTCAGTTGGACCACCACAGCCGGATATGTTCTTGACTGTGAAATAAGTCAATCGAGGTTGGACCACATCTTGGACGCAACAGACGCGCAACAGACTCACCGGTGGAGCCAGGAACCTGGTCAACCCCCCTTACTGCTATGTCTCTGGCTGGTCCAGAACAAACGTCATCCTGATAGTCGTCGACAGGAGGATCCGAATTGACACCCGCAACATCCACAACACCGCAACAGCTGTCTGCATCCTTCTGGACTGGCTGAACCTTGGCCATGGGCTGAGGGTTGGAAGGGGCGCCACAGCACCCTGATCCACATGCCATGATTTAGGTATTCGGATACGCGAAAAATTTGACTTGTCGGTGATATTGAAAGCAAGGGAGACCTGCAAAGCTGCCGAAATGTGTAGGCTCAAACGGCAAGACTGTCTCCTAGAAGCTGGAGGAGGCAAATAACAATGCTGACGTGTGTATAGTGGTCGGAGGCAGTGTACGCAAGCTGAGATCTTTTGCAATAATAATGCAATGTGCAGTCGGTTCTGGTGGTCGCTCCTGGCTTGGCGATAACATATCGATTAAAAAGGCCAATCATGTTCAATGACATATCGAGTCTGCTGCCAATCATACTTCGTTAATTAACTTGTACATTAACGAACTTTGATAACATATCGATTTCACGTTGCGGTTCGCGAACATTCCATAAAATCCCTTTTATAATAACATAATAATTTGTTAACTTTGTAATCTAGCGAAAATAAAGTTTCGAGCACATCAACCAAACTAGCATGAGTGATTAGACCTCATCGCGAATGACCCGAAGCAAGTTGTTGAACGTTGCAGCATTGAGATGATCAATAGACGCCACATGCATATCACTATGCGGAGGACCTACTAAAATTGATAAATTTCGAAGGCATATTGTTGAAAAAGCTTGGCAAGTTCGTTCTAGCGCCACGTAGAGTGGAAGCCGGCTGTGGTCTCTCTCTGCCATGTAGCCTTGTCATCAGCCTTCCTTACTTTCCACTGGGCATCTTACATCGGCGCTATACCTTCCCAGAGCCGAGCTCGCATTTTCGAGATTTTCCGCGGTACATCAGCGCAAAGATGGTCTGGAGTATTGAGTAGACGTTCTTGTAAGCTAGAAGAGGTATGACTCCATAAAGCTTTTACCCACGGCAGGTAATGTGTCCTAAGACGAGGCACTTCATTTTTGGTTTTAGATTGAGTAACGTCTTGCCACCACCAGGTAACCCGCCCTTAACGCTAAAATTAAACAAGTAGACGAGCGCACCCAAAGTGATAAGGCGTTCAGCTGATCGTGTAAGATTCATTTGCCTGATAATCTGTACCTGATTTGGAAGTTGCTTACTGAATCGAATTTGGTTCACAGATCCAAGATCTAAGCTCCTAGTGCCTTGTTTTTTTAGGTGGACGAGGTGTGGATAGCGCCGCTATGCTGTTCGCAAGGCGTCTAGAGGGATCTGCGATTGCGTCCTGATTGTCTCCTGCGTGACACGCCGTTGCGAAAAGATGTGGAGTAGTGGCGAGGAGAAGTAATTGTCGACATATATATGTACTAGTTCTAAGCACCGAGGCATGTAAGCGCGTACTCAGTGCGCTGTGCTACTTTACTATAGCATCGTACGCCGCGCTAGTGACAGTAGAGTCTAATCTTGTCTCGCTGGATCCAAATCTATCTTTCCCACGATACCGTCGATCTCTGCTAATACCTCTGGTGTAAGCCTGTCCAAGACTTGCAATGCCTGGCAGTTTTCCACCACCTGCTCTGGCCTGGAGGCACCCGTAATGACAGACGAAACGTTCGGATTCTTCAGACACCACGCCAACGCGAGCTGTGACTGGGTGACGCCCACTTTATCGGCAATAGGCTTGCTATCGTCAGCTTCATGGCAGTTTGAGCTAGTGGTATGATGTACCTTGAGCCTTCTAGAGCTGTCAATCATCTCCACCCAGCTGTCGTTTCCGTATGAGTCCCTCATACTGTTCACAAATCGGTCCTGTCCTTCGGCAAACCGAGACCCAGCAGGAGGCTTCTCAGGGCTGTCATTGTATTTTCCGCTCAATACACCAAACTTGAGCGGCGAGAAGGTCGTCAATCCAATTCCGAAACGTGAATATAGCCTCTGGAATTCTCCCTCGACCTTTCTTCTAGCGAGTAGATTGTACTGCGGTTGCTCGACGACCGGTGGGATAAGGCCAAGCTGCTTCGCAATGCCGCACGCCTCAGCGATTTCGTCCGCTGACCACTCGCTCGTTCCCCAGTACAAAGCCCATCCTTTGATTTCGATCACGTGGTTGAAGGCTCGCACTGTTTCCTCCATGGGCGTTAAACGATCTGGTCTATGGGCATACACGATATCCACATATTCAAGGTCCAATCTCTTCAACGAGGCGCGCAACCCCTCGATGATGTGCTTCCTTGACAGACCGTGGTTGTTGACGAGTACTTCCCCGTTGACGGCACCCCAATTTAATTTTGTGCTGACGACTATGTCACTCCGATTCCAGCCAAATTTCTTGATTGCCTGGCCCATCACTATCTCTGACTTTCCGGCGGTGTAGTTCTCGGCTGTATCAAAGAAGGTAATCCCGCAGTCGTACGCTTGTTTCATGCAGGAAAATGTGAGTTCTTACATTAGTATTAGCACTAATCCCCGTCGTAAGTGATTGCACCTCTCACCACTATCGACGTGGCCGCCAAATCTTGGAGAAATATTAAAAGTATTCTCGGAGTCCGTTTTGGAAGTACTCACGTGAGCCAGCCACCGAGACCAAGGACAGAAACATGCAGACCTGAGTTTCCCAAACGGCGGTATTGCATGCCCGTCTTACGAGGTTCTTCCCAAGCCATGTTGTCGAAAGATGCTGTAGGAGATCTGTGGCACGTAGAAACAAGAGGAGCGTACAGATACTTGGAAGTCAACAGTAACGATCACCTACGATATATGCGACCCAAACAAATTTTCACTCAAAACGGGGATATTGCTCGAATAAGACAAGTCGAAAACGTATGCATAGGTTTAGAGTAAGGGCTGCATACACGCGAAGAGATGACATCGGCTTAACGACCTTCCTAATTTTGCCAAGCGTACCACAGAGGCAGAAACGTAGTGGGGAAAGCATGATCATCGGACCCACTGCAGCGAGATCGATTTCCCCGGCATACAACCGCGGCCTACGAGGGTTTGCCGGCCTCAACATCTCTCAGCTGCCGGTGCACTATATCGCGAACCTGAAGTCTAGTCTCTTGTTACCGTCTCTTTCTCGCGCATCGAGGTCTGATTGGTACAATGCCTTCTCTTCTGATGTCATGGCACGCCACTTCTCGTCTTTCTTCTTGTTGAGATACACCAGCACTTGCCGTTGAACCGCCATTGTGACAAGAGCTAAGGCACATATTGCGACGCATACCTTGTTACCCTGTTTGTAGTACGGTGCATCATACTTGCGATATATCTGAGAACCGATTAAAGAGCCGATCTGGACAATGACGTTGTAAGTAGCAGCTGTGATGGCCCGCTTCTTTACATCAAACGTATTCTCCGAAATCCAGGACGAAATCAGAGGATGGAAGTAGGGATATCCTGAGATGAGTGTGATCAGCGTAAAGCGAGACCATTCGCGACCGCCATCCGGAAGCGTCAGTAGAGCAACCAGCAATGGCATAATCCAGAATTCGCCAAAGATGATATGGAGGGTACGCTCGTTGAAGTAATCGCTGCTATACGCAAGAGTCAACATTGTTATGATCTGAAGTGCAGCCGATGGAATGGTAAGCATATTGGAGTTGAATGTGCTGAAGCCGAGACGTTTTAATGTCAATGATAGGTAGCCGGTAACGGGTGTAGCAGGAATATAAGCAACCAGTCCAAGGAAGTAAAGTCCCCACATAGCGGGGTCGCTCCATGCCGCCTTGATGTCCTTGAATGTAGCAGGCTCTTGAAGATCTGTAAGACCCTTTGCTGGATCATCGCGAAGAATGCGCTGCTTTCGTCAGTATTGCTCAGTCTCTCAAAATCATTTCGACTCACGTTCACCATGATCACTTCCTCGCGTTCAGTGTACCATCCTTTACGGAAAAGCACTCCCTTGGTTCCCACTGGCGAGGATGGTAGGTAGAGGAATGATACAATAGCGATGACAACCGTCAACAAACCCTCGAGCAGAAAAAGCCAAAACCAACCGGGCTTGCCGTGTACACCGCGCATTTCTAAGATACCAGCTGCCAATAACGCGGAGATGACACGCGCAACATTCAGTGTAGACCAAAAGGCTGCAAGTCGGATGGCTAGTTCCTTGGACTTGTAGAAATACGTTGCGAACAGTATGACGCCGGGGATGAAGCCACCTTCGCAGGCACCGATCAACGCGCGGGTGATATAGAAGGAAGTACGGTCGTGCATCCACGCTTGAGCCCAGGAAACCGTGCCCCAGCCGAACATCATGGTGGGCAAGATGTACTTGAAACCATAGCGCTTCGTGAGGAACTGTACAGGGAACTCTGCGGCGAGGAAGCATACGAGCTGGATAGTGGTTCCATTGTTGTAATCGTCGGTCGTGAGTTTGAGGTCGTCCAACAATTTATCGGTAAGTGCGTTGCTTAGGTTGCCTCGATCAAGCTGCAGACCGAACATCATAACACAAAGCCACGAGAGGAGGAACAGATCAGTCTTGAACACGACGCGCCTTTCTTCTGTATCTGACCATGTCGCCGTTGGGTCGTATCGATGTCGGCCTTCATACGTTTCGTGAGGCGGCGTAATATCGGCCAATTCTCCACGTCCGACCTTTGTTGGTGTCTTGAGTGAGCCAGCATCCTCGCTCACTCGTGTGGGGGCGATCTCAATGTCGTTGTTGCCCATCTTTCCAAGTCCCTGTTGCTTTTCGAGAGCTAGAACATGTGGGTGGGTCTTCGAGATGCTCCAGTCCCGGTTTTAATAAACATAAGCAGATGAATGGCGCAATTGAGTTCGTTGCATGCGTGCTCGACACTTGAACAACTGGGGAAGTGAAGCCGCGTAGTGCTGCAATAGTCGAATAGATGCTGGCCGAGGTTGTTCATCTTTTCGGTACACCTCTAAATCCTCGGACCCTCGGCCTATCCATTTCGAGTAAAATGAGCGACTGACCAGGAATGCATCCCAAAGCGGATTGACTGCCGATGACGTGCTCGAGCAGCACGTGGGCTAACATCACGCCAACTCGGGAATCTTCAAGCCATAAAGAGTGGTAGATTTCAGCATGGCCGCCAATAACATTCATTGTTCAGTCTGTAGCGTAACGTGAAGGAATTCATGCGATCCTCCAACACGATGCCTTCAGTCAAACGTGTACACCTCGATGATCAAAATGCATCCGATAGCAGCATCGTGGGCGGAAGTCCAAGTGCCCGCAGCAGGCTGCTGAAGCCTTTGTTGTACACCGGTTCGCTCGATAGCTTTAAAAACCAGGATCTTACTCCGGTGATTGGCAGAGAATATGAAGGTCTTCAGGTGACAGACCTGTTAACATGGGGAGACGACATGATCAGGGACCTCGCAGTCACAAGTTCGTCCGCAATCTTCTCCTGGCTTGGTTCCTTCCCTAAAATCCCACAGTTTCACAACGTGGAGTCGTTTTCCTTCGGGATCAACAGGTAACCCCACAACAGATGAAGGAATTGATGCTACGCATAACGGAATTGTCTGGATGCGTAAGTTCCGTATCTAAGCATGCTCTGGCATTCACTAAGTATCCTCCAGCCTGAGTCTTCGGGTCTCCATGTACATCCTCTCACTGAGGAAGGCTCTGAACTTGGAGACCAAATTTCCGTTATAAGTAGCGAGAAGCAGAAGAAAGGTGGCGGTCTGACACACCAACTGTCCGATGTAAGTCGTTTTGCATCCGCTGGATGGCATGCCGATATTACCTTTGAGCCTGTCCCGTCGGACTATGCTATGTTGAAGATTCATACTCTACCTGCAACAGGAGGCGACACTCTATGGGCCTCCGGCTACGAGATCTACGATCGTTTGTCGCCAGCCATGCAGCAGTTCCTGGAGGGATTGACAGCGACGCACGATGCCAAATTTTTCTTGAATGAGGCCGAAAGATTAGGAAATCCGATCAGAAAGGGCATCAGAGGAAATCCGCTCAATTTCGGCGAAGCCTTGACGGCTGTCCATCCAGTTGTCCGAACAAACCGTAAGCAAGATCCCGTTTTTCAACATCAATCTCTTGCTTATTCCATCCAGCTGTTACAGGGTGGAAGTCAGTGTACGTGAACAAAGGCTTCACCAAACGAATTAATGGTGTTACCAAAGACGAATCAGACTTACTCCTTGGTTATCTTTTTAACATCGTTACCCAAAATCACGATGCACAGGTGAGATTCAAGTGGCGCGCGAACGACTTGGCCATCTGGGACAACCGAAGCATGTGGCACTGCGCTACCTACGACTATCATGATCCGAGAGCAGGTGATCGTGTGTGCAGCTTGGGAGAGGCACCATACCTAGACTTGAAGAGCAAAGGTCGAAGGGAAGCCCTTGGTCTGATGTAGTCGTGACGCTGTCATCTAGATGTTCACAAGCATCCTATCATCCACCAATTTAACGACCAATTACTTCTGAACGAGAGAATGTATCTGTCTATGCTTCTGTAACAGCCCGTTCCGGATCCACACAATCACACTGACCTTCGTGGTTCGCGTTGATTATCCGGAGAGACGCTTATAGTCGAACTTCAGCGCATCCGCCTATAAGCAAACATTGAGTGCTCCGAACTGCAAGGCAATCGGTCTGAAAAAGGGATGGTTGGATGACGGAAGCGATTTCTCGCAAATATCCATCTACCCTGAGTGATCATGAAATGTCGGTGGGGCTGTTGTGTGACCGACGGCTCCGTTATACCTGTACCCACAGATGGTCTGCTGTTGATGGCGTAAGTACTTGGCTCCCCAGGTGTTTAGAGCGGGTGCATCGTGCATGCTGAAGATAGAGCTGCAACAACCGATATGAATGTGCTTTAAAAGTGGTGGCAAAGCACATGATGCGAAGCGTTTGAAAATCAAAAGACATGTGTCAAGCCACAACGTGGTTGCACAAATTGTAGTGTTCGAAGCGAGATGGTTGCACCATTACTACTTTGCTAATTGGGTATCACTTCATACCGTCGAGTTACGTTGTCTTGAGTCCCACACCCGGATACCAGACCCCTTGACCGCCTATGAGGTAAGAATCTCCTATATTCCTAGTTCAAACCAGATTTCTCGTGCTTTTCATTCTTCGCGGTGACTTCACCCCTAGCTTCATTTTCAATATCTCCGGTCTTGTTTCCAACGTAAGCAGATGTCTTCAGGGCATTCAAAGCATCCTCCTGCTTATCAGCCTTACGGAAGGTGAGATAAAAGCCAACAGCACCGAACATGGCAACGACAGCCACGGCGCCGTAGTTCCATTCAAGCAGAGGATCTTCGGAGAGGGAGACGAGCGCCTGGCCAAGCGCAGAGGATACTGCAGAGGTGAAAAGAGCAATGGCTTGAACGGTCGATTTCATGTTGGTGGGAGCTTTGGTGTATGCGTATCTAGAATGGGCATTAGTGAAAGTGCATGGGTGAACGTGAAGTAAAGCATACTCGAGCTTGGTAATGGAAGCAAGAACTTCAGACATTCCAATTAGACCGTAGGGGAAGACTTGTACCCAGACAGAAATGTCTGCGTTGCAGTCTTTGCGAGTCTTGCTTAGTGCGTTGATATGCTTTCCACATGGCGACATCTTGTAAATGTAGTACTGAATGACGCAGGCTGTGACCATGGCCAGAGAGGATAGTGCGAAACCAGCGGTGATCTTCTTGATGGGGGAGAATACAATGCCTGCCTTGCGAAGACCAGGGTAGACGATGAAGTCCATGATGGGAATAACGATGATGATGAAAATCGGGTTTAGCTTAGCAACAATGTCGTTAGGGGTGGAACCTAGGTTCATAGTGCCGGCTTGAGACACAAGGTTATTGAGCATCTGGTTATCTTTTGGAGTGTCAGTGGGGGACGAATACGTTGGTTGTGATCAGGATATGCTTACAGGCGAGGAAGTAAAGCGGGTCTAGTTGAACTGTCAGTCGGGGATGCATACGTGGGTTGTGAACGGGAGATGCTTACACCACACGAAAACTTTGCAGGCAACTACACCACGTCTAACTTCGTCGACCCACGCGTCATCGAAACTCATCCAAGAAGGGACATCTTTTCCATTAGCCTGCAACGCGCTCGGCTTGACGCGCTCCCAAAAGTGCTCGTCTTTCCAGATATTCTTCCGGGAGGAGTTTTTCACGGCCAATCGAATGAGCTTGAATGCCTTTCCAAAGACTGAACCAGTGGGCGGCGTCAACTTGTAGTGCTTCTTGAAGAAGACGAGAATGAGCGGGCACAGAAGATAACAGAATGTTGGCAGCGTGAACGATAGCCAGAAACCCACAAAATGCTCCGAGTACACCATCGCAAGGGAGCCAGTGAGCGACCCGCAGTTGATCAGGAAGTAGAAGTAAATGTAGATACGGGCAGCTGTGGTGGCTGGGTCCACGATCTCCTTGTTACCGTTCTTCTTGGTGCGAACGTACGCTTTCCGGTTTTTGTACTGCTCGGCAATCAATGGTGAAATGTTCGACTTGAAGCCACCGGTACCGATACCCATGATGACCAGTCCGACAGAGAATATGCCGATGGCAGTGTTTGGCTTCGTGATGACTTGGGGGATCGCAGAAAATATGAGCAGGATATGCCCGATGACCGCGACGAGATTAGCGTACTGAATAGTCTTGTAGCGACCCCAATACTCATCGGCGAGCCAGGCACCGAAGAGGGGCGTGAAGTAAGACCAGAACTGGTTGAACTGAGTTAAGCCAGTTGATGCACGCTGTCCCATGTCCAAGGCACCAGAACCTGGCTTCTTCAAGAAGCCAGCACCGGTTTTAGAGCCAGGAGGAAGAGGTTTTTGTATGAAGTTGACAACTGATTGCAATGTAAGTATATACCTCCGCTACCGATTTGGATAGTGACTAGCATACAAACTGCACTGGTACCGTAGTAGCTGAAGCGTTCCACAAACTCGACACAGGCTACAGTCCAAGCGGTCCAAGGAATAGAACCAGCGACACGAGGAAGAGTGGCCCACTCTTCCTCTGTGGGGAAAGGGCCCAAAAGATGCTCATCTTCCTCGATGATCGAGCTCGGAGTGCTGATGTCCAGGGCAATGGGTTCAATTGCGCTCGCGCCCTTGGTGGCCTCCAGGCTTGCGCGTGTATCGAGGGCCATCTCGAGAGGTTTGAGATTTTTCGACTTTGACTAGGAAGAGAGTCCCGTATCGCTGACAGTGACCTGTGATCGTGCAGGCGGCCAGGCGTGGGAGAAGCCGAGAAATTAAAGTAGAAAATGAACGACCGCACAACCTGCGCTGGCCATTCTGAGCGACCCCTCATATAATTCCATGAATGCGGCCGGAGCACAGCATGGGCCTGATAGACACAGGGTTGCTGTGCCCCTCTGTCAGTGCGCCCCCGCCATGCAGCTAACGAGAGTGCATGGGACTCTATCATTCGACTGTCATCGTTGGTCTATTGCCACTTACGGGTCCCAAGAGTCTGGTATCTGGCTAGACAATTCGAAGGAACAATTTCATGATTTGATAAATCCTGCAACCGCTGGTAAGCGCACCACAAGAAATATCCAAGCCTTGGACCTAGAAATCGATCCCGGAGATGGAGCTTATTAGGTAGGAGGCAAGGACACTGATGCGCCCTTCTGTGCAACCGCGCCGTTATAGCAGCTCGATGGAACGTTCGAAGCGGCAGCGCCAAGGGCGCGGCAGTCTGCGAGAGATAAGGCTAAAAGTTTGCAGTAATGTTCTTGCAGACCAGGAGCGAGATTGTGGATGACCTACACCGGCTGATACGTTCTTGTTTTCTACTGTAGGAGTTCAGTTTCTTTGCCGTACGATGATAGCTGGCTGGCATATAGATCGCAGGTTCAGACGTTCCAGTCAAAGCGCAAGAACCCTAGAGGGTGAGACCGCAGCGCGTCCTGCGTAACATACCCAAGCTGCCGGTGAGAGATGACGCCTAGATTTGCCAAGGGTTCCGCAATCGTGACCTTCCTAATCAAGCACTATAGAGTGCGGCGAAGAGAGGAGCCAAGACGCATGAAGCCAGCAACCAGTCGACGCATCGCGAAGGCACAAACATAGAGAATGTTGCAAGAGAGTCCTGGTCGAAACAGGACTGGTCCATACAAGTGGCGGTAATGGCTGTGGAGCGAGTGTGCATGGGTACGCACGATACGGCGCACAGTCGCAATTGGGAATGTGAGTGTGAGTCGTAAGGCAGGTTCCTGGTCGTATTGCTGCAACATGGAACAGGAAGGACACACAGAAGGAGCGGAAAGGAAACCGAGCGCCAAGAACACCAAGAGATCACGTGGGAAATGCTCCCTAGCCAGGGCTCGCCCACGGAACCTTAGAGTCTCGATAGAACATCCAAAACGTCGCGCATGCTTGGGACATCACCAATGCATGATTGATCGACCGTCTGTCTTAGGTTTACCAAGGCACCTATGGTACTGCATGGCACACTGACCATAATATGTAGGCTCCGCGTCTTGTATGGGGCATGGTTGACATACCCACCGCGCTTGGTGTTGCTTCGCAGGCTTACTGAACATGGCAGTCGCTTTCGTTGGTGATGCGCTTTCTCCGATTCGCGAACATAGCATGCATCGCGATTTCATGCATATCCTTCCAGGTTGTCTCTACATGTAGGCCGGATAGTGGATGTTCGTCTTGGACTGTAGCACCTAGCGTTCGGGTTCTACTTTCTTGGCTGGATCGTTATCAGCATGATTAACTCCCTATTGGGAATCACCCGCGCTTTCAAAATGATATCAAGTACCGGTCTTTGACTTAAGCTCTACGATACGTTGAGTCTGTGGACATGCCCATCGATTGTCCAGTGGGCTACAGGGGCATGCGTTAACGTATGTGACTGCTATCTGAGTACCATAGAGCGACTATATGTACCATGGGAAGCTGTAGGCCTCCAGCTACACACAAGTTCCAACCTGCTGACCCGGGTACCGGACTGGTCGCACATGCCCAAGACAATTGCCCTGAATAGTTCATGTAAGTCTTCAGCGACAAGGTCGATAAAGGCAGTAGCAAGAGTTTTGGATGATATATCAGACTGGAAAGGTCTACTATACATCTCGGGACTATTTGTGGGCACGGCATTGCAGTTCGGGCTTTTCGTACTCTAGCCGGCCATGCTATAGCGTTTATCTACAGGCGGGCACTGCTGCTTAGTAACGTTGAGCATGGCGTAACACTTCGCTTGACCGTTTACCTCCGGGCTATCAGGGCGGGTCGGGGAGGGCGGCATGCTACCATGTCCTCACTTCTTTGGCCCACATACGAATAACACGATCCCCCTTCGATGTCTGACTCTGGTGCTATGCTCAATGGGTCGATATTTTATGGCTACTGGGCGATATTGTAGTGGTGCCATCGGGCTGCCCCTTCCTACTACTACTCCGCCGCGACGACTATCGAAGAGCATGGATATGTTGGTGTTATCTACACCCACGGATATGTGGATGCAAAGCGGCCAAGGTTATTGCAGGCTCCTTCATCGGAGACTTCCACCAACCAAAGACGCCTGTATATGCGAACTTGTATAGTTACGGACAATTCATGCCGAGTTAGCGTCTCAAGAGCTCGGCTGGCTAACTCTGGGCCCGGATTCGAGAATCCAGATGTAGGCCGCGCATCGAAGTGGAGCACCAAGTGGAAGAAAATCTAAATCTGATCGAAATCCCGATCTCTGGTCAATCAGCGTCCGCGATCTCATCTTATCATGCCACAAAAATTGGAGCAAAATCTTATCTGATTGGATCACTCGTAGTATCGCCTAACACGTTCCCCTTTTCAGGCTAATACAGCAGGACAAGCTTTGTGGAAGACCCCTTGACTCGATCAAGCGTTTCTGGCGAACCTTTCAGCTGAGATTGTGGCTTCCAGCCATACTGATGGTTTTTCATGACGCCCCAAAACTCGGATCATGAAGGCTCTAGGGTGGCTAGTTTCCCTCCAGCAGGATCCCAGTACGATTCTTTGAGACATGGATACTCTAAGGGATATATAAGTAACAGAAAACGTCAGTTCAGGGGCATTGGTATGCTTCATCCGAGTCATTAGGAATTCCTAAGAATGCCTTCGCTCTCCAAACTTCGACCGATGTTCCGCCGGACAGACGCCGACGCTGCGATTGCTACCGCGGAAACCATTGAAGTGACAGAACATATCAATGCTGGCGAAGTTGAAGGCCGAAGAGATGAGATTGCCCAGTGGAAAGCACATCAGCCAAATGAAGATGCCCAGCGCGGTGTACGAATGATCTAGGGCATCACCCTAACCTGGTCGAAAGGATCGCTCATCTGGATTTTCATCAAGTAAACGCGCACGTTCTACGCATATTGGGGACTCAATTCCAACTAAGCCAACAGTATGTGGCTCGTTTACTTCGCTAATGGCTTCCAATCCTCGATCATCAGCAATCTCACGCCTTACGTCACGTGCTGCGACGTATGTACCTATGGCTAAGATCCTCGATATCTGGGGTCGTGCAGAAGGTTTTGCCTTGATGATCGCATTGGCGACACTTGGTCTCGTGTTGATGGCATGTGCCAACACCCTTGCCATCTTCTGTGCGGCACAGGTCTTCTCCTCCATTGGATTTGCCGGTGTCATCTACTCTATCGATGTCATCACTAGTGACGCGTTTCATCTGCGCAATCGAGGTTCGGCATTCGCCTCTCCGAGCAGGTAAGACCGACACAAGAGTTCTGAGTTGCGATATTATTAGCGAGATGCTAATTACGACCAGTCCCTACATCGTCATCGCCTTTGCGGGACTTAAGGCCAGCGAAGGCTTCTATGAGAATATCGGCTGTCGTTGAGGCTTCGGAGCTTTCTCTATGATCCTGCCCTGCATTGCGCTGCCCTTGTTCATCGTTCTGAAGCTGAACATGCGCAAAGCAAGGAAAGAGGGCCGTGTCATGGCGCGAGAGACACAGAGGACAACTTTACAAAGTATTTGGCACTACGATAAGGAGGTCGACGGCAAGTGCTATCTATCACGATCAACGACTTTTGATAATCCATTGAACATCCACTGAACAGCACTCGGCTGCTTCCTGTTCGTTTGTGGTCTCGTCGTCTTTCTGTTGCCATTTTCTCTTGCTGACTCGGCACCAAACGGCTGGTCTACCGGCTGCATCATCGCCATGATCGTTGTCGGATTCCTCTTTCTCGTCCTCTTCGGACCTTGGGAAGCATTACTCGCACCCCACCCGTTTCTGACCGCCAATCTCTTGTTTGACCGAACAGTCGCAGGCGCATGCCTCCTCTCTTTCAACTACCAAATTGTGTATTCCTGCTGGGCGTCGTACTTCAGCTCCTTTCTGCAGGTTGTCAACAGTCTCTCTATCAGGAAGCAGGCTACGTGGCGTCTACTTCCGACGTCATGTCCGGCGTCCTGCTGCTCGGAGTCGGCTTCCTGATCCGCAAGTTCGGCTACTTCAAATGGCTTCTCTGGGTCGGTGTCCCGCTCTACGTATTCGCGCAAGGCCTGATGATCAATTTCCGGCGCCCCGACGCACACATTGGGTATCTGGTCATGTGTTAGATCTTCATCTCCATGGGTGGCAGCGTGATGATCATCTGCCAGCAACTCGCCGTCCTCGCCCTCTTGATCGTCATCGGCACGATCGGTGGCGCGGTAGGAAACACCATCTCAGGTGCCATCTGGACCAACACTTTCAGTCAAGCTTTGACGCGCTATTTACCTGAGGATGCGCAGGCCAGTGTTGAGAATATATACGGCAGTCTCGACGTCCAGCTGAGCTACGAATGGGGCTCACCCACTAGGACCGGGATACAGCAGGCGTACGGATACTCGCAGCAAAAGATGCTGATAGCTGGTACGGCGATCATGAGTTTTTCGCTGGTATGGGTGTGCATGATTCGCAACATCAACGTGAAGAACATCGAGCAAGTCAAGGGCGTGTTGCTCTAGGTAGAACATCGGAGAATCCCGAAAAGCCATTGGGCGGAAAGGATGTACCGGGTATCGTTTGTTGCATTGACTCGGTTCCCGAGCGTGCGGGATGTGTACATAGACTTGCGACTCTGGTTCAGTGGATGCCAGGATCCGGCTTTTCATACGGCCTCGATGGCTGGTCCTACATTAAATAAGACTCCTCGCATGCTTCCACAAGCCGTAGCAAAACTTAACACCAAAAACTAGTGGGATGCTGCAAGCACGAATATTCTAAGAAGACAGAAGTGATATGTTTACTCCTGTCCAGGGGGCCATTAGCCGCGCAACGGCGCTTGCATGTGAACATCTAGCCTGATTTGATGAATTGTAGGTTGATAGATGTACTATGGGTGACTAATTTCAAGATTAGGTACAAGGCTATCGCTTTATAGAAGTATCATCGAGTGAGTTCATACAGGATAAGTCGCGCGCCATGATCTACTTGTTCGTGTCAACCATCGTGCACCATGTTGGGGTACCGAATCTCTAGAGTCTGATAGTAGAACCAGCTGACCAAGCTTATACTGATAAGTCCCTGACAAGTTTTGAAGATTTTAGATCAAAGCAGCTCATCCCCGGATATTCATTGCACACAAGCAATGGGCTTGATCCTCTACATGTATTTTCTCGGATCCAAGCTACTCAGATTCGCGCTCTTCACCTTCCCATCCCACACCAGCTCACTAAGGCACTTTGCAGTTCCAGGCGCGTTCTGGATGCCCCAACACGTATGCCCCGCGCCCATCAATAAGCCTCTCACCTTGGTCTCACCAATCATTGGACCGCCTCCTCTGCTCACATTGGGCAGGTAGCATGCCTGTTTCGCTGTGACTTCTCCATCTCTCAGCTCCTCTGATATAGAAGTGACCTCGTCGACGATATCCTGGCAGCGGGCCTCGTCGACTTCGACGAGGTCAGAGGAAGTAGGCAGGGGAATTAACGTGTCGCCTTCGCCGCAGGCGTAGACTTCGTTGTTGGGGCGGGCGTAGATCTCGGGCGTCACGGTCTTGGATCTGCGCGCGTTGCCGCGAGGGAGGTCGATGGAGGTGAAGAGGCAGTATGCGGAGACCGGGCGGCTCGGTCTGATTGTGACAGAGTGCGCGCGAAGTGCCGAGATCGGGGCAGCGGGCCAGACGGTCTTGGTCCAAGGACCAGCGGTCAGGATTATGGTGTCTGCGTCCAGGGTTTTTTCTTCGCCACCGTCCCGCGGCTTGTACGTTACTGATTTAACAGCTTCAGATTCCTGATTAATGTTCGTCGCGCTTCCATAGATGATGTTGACGCCTTGCTCTTCTGCAAGCGAGGCCATGCTGGTTGTGAACTGATACGGATGCACCTGTGCTGTTGTAGACGGCGTGCCCATCTCGTCATACGCTTTGAGGCCCTCTGCTGCCACCCAATCCAGCTCTTTCGGTACACCGGCAGCTCTTAGAAGTCCTAGGGCCTTTTTGCTCCTTTTTTCCAAGGATACCGAATCATGTTTGTCGTTATCTGTAGAAGAAGGACCCTTGCTCTTGTGTAGGATTCCGTACATGTCGATTTGGCCGCAGTGCACGGCACGATATCCCCAGCGGTCGACACCACCGTGTTTTTCTGCTAGCTCCTGGTGCAGCTTGTAGGATAGAGGCACGATGCATGATGGATATGCCCAGAGAGCGAGAAGTCCGCCTGCTTTCCCAGACGCTCCGCCCGCAATCTTGGTAGCTTCCAGTAGCGTTATGCTGTCTCTCTCTTTGTTGAAACTGGCATGGCGAGAGAGGAAATAGGCCGTTGTTGAACCTATGATTCCACCACCTGTTGTTCCGTCAGTATGCACTTGGTCGAAGTGCGTTGGCGGAGAGCGTGAACGAGGGGCAAAATACCAATAATAACAATGTTACGCTTCTGTTGCTCGGCAGCCATGATGTTAATAAGGCGCGATGAAGATTTGAGCATGAGATTGTTATGTGGCGTTTGTGAGGTGACGGGAGTTTATTGTTCAGGGTTGATGTTTGTCGCAGCATAAAAACGGATAACATACGTCATAGGATAAATTATGCAGCTTCACGACCTACGCAAGTCTCTCGTGGCTACATAAATATCACATCCTTTGCGAGCTTGAGCTAAGAACTTCGAATTGTTAATTCTGAAGTGACTTGGGTTACTATACGAGCCCATAGTCTGGACCTGATGCTGTATCGCCGGTGTTTATCTTCCCATAATGGCGAGTGTTCCTAAAAAGAAGCCGAGTGCAGTGAAGTTACATAAGGGGACCTCCAGAAAACCATTTTAAAAATGTTAGAAACGTCTCAATTGGCGAGAATACGCCTAAAAGTCACCACCGCCCATATCCCCCCCGGCCATGTCCCCGTCACCCCCGTAGTCTCCTCCTCCATCGCCGCCGCCATCACCAGCATCGCCCAGGGCCTCTCCTAGCATCATACCACCTAACAAGCCACCACCGACACCTAACGCGGCAGCACCGCCCGCTCCCATTCCTCCGGTTTTCCTTTGCGGCCTCCCGTACATTCCCCCTCCGTAACCACCCATCGGCTGCCCGTATCCACCACCCATCGGCTGTCCATATCCACCACCCATCGGCTGTCCATATCCGCCATATCCCTGCTGTGGGTATCCTTGCTGCTGAGGATATCCACCGTAGCCGCCTTGCTGTTGTTGACTGTGGCTGGACGCTCCACTCGCTTTGCCCAGCAACTTGCCCAGGAACCCTCCTTTGCTCTTTCCCCGGTCCTGGGAGCTCGTGTCGCCATAACCTGAGGTCAAACCTGCGGCCGAAGCGCCGCCTGGGTTGGGATATGCGCCGCTGGCTGGGGCGGAGTTGTAGTAACTGTTTGATGCTCCTGCGCCAGGGGGTTCGCCGTGCGCCCTCGCACGGGCCTGTTCTTCTTCTTGCAGTTGACGCGCCAGGCGCTCGTCTTCACTAATATCTTGCTGCTGACCATACGGATTGTTGCTGGGGAGACGGCTCTTCTCCGTGGACGAGTAAGGTGCACCGCCAGGTCCTCCGGCGTAGGAGGGCGGCGGGCCGTCAGGTGGCCCTTCGCCGGGTGGGTAGACGGGTTCGGTAGGCTTATCCCACTGCGATTTCTTCGTGTAGATGTTGACATAGAAGTATTCGCTGTACTGCTCATTCCAAACGGCTTTGTAGCCTGCCGGCACTTTGGGCGGAGGCGGCCCCTACTACTGTGAATAGACACTCTCTGACATTTGGGGCATTTCATACCGCAGGCGGTGCGAAATCTGCCATGATCTTTGTTGTGAAGTTGATCTGCGCTGAGTAAGTTGTCGTGCTTGGTTCCGTTGAACAAATACGAGGTGCGAAGGGCAGAGTGTAGGTATATCTGGAAGGCCAAGGCAAGATGCGTTAAGCCTCTAATAACGCGCCCACGCTGACGTACGTACACCAGCGGGGCACAGCGGGGAACTAGCGCAGGTGCAATAGCATGCTTTCCCGGTGACATGCATGCGTCATCGTGGCGACACTACTGCGCCACTCGCGGCCTCGCTAGCTGTTCGCAACCGCGGAATGGCTCTAATCCACGACAGTAGATAGATTAAATCTTGATAAGCCAGCCGTGTGCAAAGAGAAGCACTTTAGATTATTACGAAGTATGTTCAGAGCGAAAGTCGGCAGTGCCCTTTCAACCACCAATCTTGTCCCGCAACTATGTCCAAAAGAATGCCAAGCGACAAGCAAGCAAGCAACAGATGAAAAGGCGGGTAGACACCGCGGCGTGTTGGTAGTATATGCGCGTGCGCTGAGTATGCTCATTCGAGAATCCAAACCAGACGCTAAGAGCGAGTTGAGACCAACAGCTTGTGTGGCAGACGCAAGCCATGCAGTGGAGAATTATTCGTACAGCACAAATCAATCCGATGTTCCTCCTCCTGGGCCGGACACTACCCAGCTACGCATTCTGGAAACGAAGAACCGCTAATGTGATGATGCCAGATGATCAGCGGCCTACGAGCGTTAGTACGATACCGACAGTACGACTAGGAGACAACAGATTAAGCCATCGACCCTGTATCATCTATCGCGGGATGATGAGGGTCACTTGACCCTTGGGCCAATACTGTGGTCGGGTAGATTGTGACATACCTTGTTGATGTCGTAGTCATACTTCTCCAGGGCGCCCAGAGCTGCGTCCCTGGAGTATCCCATCCCAGTCAACTTCTTCAAGATGGGGTCGTCGTGTTCCGTGCCAGTGCTGATAGCGCGTCCCAGCTGAGGCATGGTAGGCGACTTCAAAGATCCAGAGCCTTCGTCTCGGTCAAGAGACTCGAACACCGACTTGCTGAAATCACTCGGCTCTTGCTGCGACCCCTTGTCCTGGGATGACTCCATGTTAGAGAAGATCGCATCCCAATCCTGAGAAGAAGCTGCCGGCTGGGGAGCCGCGGGTTGCCCGAAACTTCTGGAGATGTGCTCGAAGTCGCTGAAGCTGTCTTCGCCGCTGTGAGCTTTGCCCGTGGGTGTCTGCTGCGATTGCATAGTATTGGCCTTGGATGCCGCAGGTGAGTCGAAGACAGGGTTAAATTCATCGAACCCTTCGCGATGTTGTGACGCGAACAAGTCGTCGTCCGTCTTGTCGTCTGCCTCCTTGGCATCGGTAAGGTCATCGAACCCAGCGTCAAAGTCATCGTTGAACGCGGATTTGGGCTGAGGCTGAGCTGTGGTATCACTGGGCGGTTGGGAAACAGCTGAGTGGTAAGCATCCGAAGGTACGGTTGACGATGGAGTATCCGCAGGAGGTGGCGATGCTGTCATTGACTTTGCAGCAGAAGAGCCACCAAAGAGAGCGGCACCATGTCCCCCAGCAGGTGAAGCGAACGACCTCTCTGGAGATTGGGAGGAGGGCGGTGCGGTGGGATCAGTCCTGGAAGGAAGCAAACCTCCAAACTCCGGTGGGAACTGATTTGAGCCGCTTCGATGCGGAACGCTGGATTCATAGCTGGGCGGCGACTTCTGCGCGGTGGGTGAAGGAAGCCCGCCTACATTTGAATCAAGGCGAGTGGTTGGAGGCGGAGGCGCGTAAAGGTCGTCATGAGAAGCATCTCCGCCAGCTGAAGAGGTGTTGGGCTGCGGAGCCTGGCTTTGTCCCCGACTTGAACGATGGTGGTGAGGAGAGGCCGAGGTAAAATTGTCCGCAAAGCCTTGTTCGCTGGCACTGTCAGTGTCATCATCACGGCTCAAATCCTCAATCGGAGGAAACTCCTTGTTGAACTTGGTCGCAGCGCCGTTGGACTCCCCGTTCGTTCCACTAGGCTCGGTGTTCTGACGGCTCGAACCAAAACCAGCAAATGCAGCGTCAAAATCGACCTTCTGTCCGGGACGTGGCTGCTCGCTAGCGGCGGGTGGGAACGGGTCACCGCGGCCGTTGGCCCTGCTCTGCTCGCTGAAACTGCTACCACCAGTGGGCACTTGCTGAAGCGGAGAGGTTGTGTCCCTTGGAAAAGATCCGGGAAGATCCTTGTTGGGCAGAGGACCGCCAAACCCGGAAAAGGTATCCTTTCTCTCCTCACCCCTGGTGGTGGACTTGGTATCGCTGGTGATGCTTGCTACTGGCGAAGCTGTAGAGATACGGTCAAAGAGCGACGGGTTGAAGTTGTCGGTCTCGGTCTTCTGAGTATCGGAGGAGAGTGAGCGCTCCACCGCTGCAGGTTTCTCTTGCACTGGCGTTGCGGCAGGCGAAGCCGCTGAGATGGTGGGCGTTTCGTTGCCCGTTGCACTGGGTCCACCGTACCGACTCGCAGGGGCTGAGACCTTGACCGACGAGCTAAAAGAGTCTGAGCGGGGGAGGTCGTTTCGCAGCGGAAGAAATGCGGAACCGAACTGACGCGATTCAGGGGGTGCAGGCGGCTCTCCGGCACGAGGAGATTCTTGGTAAGACGACAACGGCGGGGAAGTGGATGGTGTTGGCACGTCTGGTCCCTCTGATGAGCGAACAGACTGACCAGAAGGCGCTGAGAACGACGGCACTTGACTTTGGCTGTCCGCTCGGAAAGATGTTGGGGGCGCCGAAGTTTGAGGTGAAGCGAACGAGCCAAAGACACTGTCAAAGTCTTTGTGGGGACCAGTCTGAGCGAAGCCAGAGGGTGACATGGTGTTTTCGGTGGGCTGAGGCGACTTGCGGAAGAACGGATTGGTGTTGTGGCTCGCAGTGGAAGTTGCAGGACTGGCTACATTGGAAGTCGGCCCTGCAGGAGGAGTACGGTACTCCTCAACGGCCTTGTTCAAATCGTTCATCTCGTTCTTGATCTTGTCTCGCTCGCCTTCGTTTGTAGCTAGCTGCTTCTTGTTGATGGCCACCATTCCCTTCTGCTGCCTAGCATCATTCCGTAACTTGTCAAGTTGAGGCCGCAGGCTGCTGACCTCAGCATTGGCTTGCCTGATACGCTCCTTGAGATTGTTGTTCTCGCGCTGGTCAGTCTCAAGAGCCGTCCTCGCCTGGTGGTGTTGGTTCTGGAGGTCTTTGAGGGTGCCTTCAAGTATGGCCAGGTCCTGCTGGAGTTTTCGTGTCTCATTCTTCGAAGATGCTAGTCGATCTTCCAATGATTTCACGTCTTTGACCTCCTTCTCATAAGCAGCTTTAAACTGTGAGAGTCTGAGCTCGAGTTCGCGCTTCTGACTGTTTACGCTATTCAACTCGCTTTCAGTTGCACCCTTCTTATTCTGAACCTCTTGCATTTGATTCCGTAGAGTGGTCATCTGGTTCGACATGTTGGCCAGCTCTGTGGAGTCCTGAGTCAGTTTCTTGTTAATCTCAGGGTCGCTCTCGCCTAGAAGATCGTCCATAGCCGAAGGTGGACCTCTTGGCGGACCGGAGCCTGCAGAAGCCCCGGTAGACTGGGTAGTAAGCGTCTGCCCAAACGAAGAGGTGGGCAGAAATGGTTTGAATGTTGAAGCAGGGTTGCGCGGTGAGGGTTGGAACGGCTGAGGCGACGTGGGCGAGGCTGTCTTGCTGGCGAACGGGTCGTTGTCAAAAGGTTTGGCGAAGGGCGCTGATCCGCCAGTTGTCTGCTGCAGCTGCAAAGGTGCAGGTGGTGCAGGGGCAGAAAAGGCATCGAGCCCAAAGAGATCATCAGCGGCAGACTTGGACAGCGGAGGTGCAGGCGGTGGTTCGGGTCCTGAGAGCGGCGCTTGTCTGACTTGATTGCGCATGCTCGGAGGAATGAGGTGCGGTGGTAGTGTGGTGGGTAGCGGAGCACGGTCCTTCATCCGCTGTTGTCTGATGAGATACATGGCAACCGCAAACTCGTCTCTCGTAAGCTGACCCTCGGAGTTTATGTCTGCGAGGTCCCAGATACCGGCCAGGACGTCTTCAGGAAGACCAGAGTCACTGAAGAAGTGCACCGCTTGCTCGCCTGTTATGAAACCGCGGCCTGTCGTGTCGACCTTGTTGAACAGATTGTCGTACGAAGTCTTCTCTTGCGCGCTGATGGCCCAGTCGCTTCCCGTTGCTTGGACGGACTGCGGCGGGGTGCTGTACTGATTGCGCAGGGGACTGTGGGTACGTTGCGGTCCCTGTCCGCTGAACTGGCGCGGGATGGGCGGGATAGGGTCCTGGCGGCCTATTGGCGGAACGGGTCCTCGTCGTGCGGCGGCTTCGTAGAGACCAGCGGGCAACGTGGTGGGCACCTGCTTCATGGCACCGGTGCGGAACGAGGCGAGGAGGTGCATCGCAATGATGAACTCGGTCACGCCCAGGGCGCCGCGCTGTTCGGTGTCGGCCAGGTTCCATATGCGGCCCAGCGTCTCGTTGGGCAGCCTGGCCTTCTCGAAGATCTGCTTTGCGTTCTCGCCTGCATTGCCTGGTCAGCTTGGGGTGGCTTGCTCTGCACACGGCACCTTACCAGACAAAAGGCCATTGGAAGCACCCGACTTGTCGAAGAGGCCGGCATACTCGGCTGCTTTGGCAGGGGACAGGGGAGGCACGCGGATGGGGCCTCCTCCGCTGACCTGGGGCGTAATGTTTGAGGCAGGAGGTTGTGCGAAGGGCCCGGGCACGGGGGCCGCGGGAGCAGGCGCGGATGGGATGGACAGGCCCTCGAACTTGGGCAGCGTCGGGGCGGCTGTGGGGGGTCGGCATGGTCAGCATGCCGTGTCGCAGGCATTGGGCGTGCGGTGCTGGCAGGGTGTCTTACGCTGGAAGGCAAGCTCTGGCGAGGGGTCACGGCCAGCCTGGTAATGGCCGATGAGGCGCAAGACCTGGCAGAAGCCCGCCGACGTCAACAAGCCGCGGTTCTCCGTGTCTGCGATCTGCCATATCTCGCCCAGCACGGCGGGCTGCAGCTTGGTGCGCTCGAAGAACTTGACGGCGACCTCGCCGGTGATGACGCCGAGCTTCTCGGAGTCGGCCTGCTGGAACAGGTACTGGAAGGCGCGCTTCTCGTCGGGGGTCAGGTTGAGAGACGTTTCTGGATGCGCCATTAGCTGGGGCGCCGCAGCGCAGCGTGCAGGCGACGTACCGAGGGCGCCGTTGGCCGCGAGGTCCGCCATGGTGACTGTGGAGCTCTGGCGATGGCGAGCATACAGCGAGGGATGAGGCTGGAGCTTTGGCGCTGCCGTGCGATGGCGCGGTGGGGAACCTGGACGTGCGCGCGGCCGGCAGCCTGCGTGAGCTGGGGGCGGCGGACGGCGGGCGGCGGGCGGCGGCTAGCTCGCGGGCGTGGGCGTGGGAGCAGCGACTGACTACGGCTGCGACGCAGGGCCTCGCACGCTCGCGGAGGCTCGTCTGGATGAGGATGCGGATGGCGTGGGGATGCACGAAGCTGCGAAGCGCAACAGTACGAGCAGGAGCTGTCCACACTGGTGCAGGTCGAGCACGAGCCATCCATCATGTCCAACCGTGCCCTGCCGTGGCCTATCATTCTCACCAGCATGTGCTGCACCACCTGTCGACGTGCCCCAGCCCTCCACGTCTGGCGCTGCCTGCGCAGTCGCCTGCGGCCTGCCTGGCGGCCACCTACACGTCGTTGCAGCATGCACACGGCCGCTTCGAGCCCCAGCGCAGTCTGGACGCAGCTGGGAAAACCGACTTTCATTGACTTGCATTGCTATTGCTATCTTACAGGGGCCCGCGCCGTGTGTTGCAGCGGCCCGATGGTTACACGTTTTGTACAACTGGCCGCGAACGAGCTCCCGCCAACGCATGCTCGGGAGCTCGACGGTAACGCCAGAAACGCAGCACTTTGCGGGGTCCATGCGCCTAGCAGAAAAGAGTCGAGAGCACATCTCCGAAGTAATAGGAAAGAGAACAGCGGCCGTTGGCAGCCGTGTCGTCAGAGGAGAAGCGATCCACGGCGGCTGACACTAAAACTCGACTCCGGGGTCACCCCTCATACTGTACGAGCTCACTGTATGATACCGTCGTAAAAGTATCATATTATGGCCATCCCGATATCTCACAGCCGCAAACAGTCCAGCCGCTGATGCATGGTGTACCGCACGGGCATGCAAGTGGGTCCACCCGTAGAGAGTGTCTGAGGGCCCGTCACCGGCAGCCATTGTGTCGGTGCGTCTGCTGTGGCTTCGTGCTCTTCACGTACGCCAGGCTTGGCACCGCTTCCTCACGTCGTCCCCACGCACGCCCGAGCAGCCAGTCGGTGACGGAAATGACCTTGGCCGTCTTGTCCCACTGGCCGTTCTCCTCCACATGCTCGATGGTGTGCTTCGCAACCCTGCCCTGCTCGTCGAATTCAAACAGGAAAAGACCAGAGAACTTGTCCTCCTCCTTGTGCGGGCGATTGATGATGCTCGTGATCTTCTCGACTGCTTCGCTGACTGGCCCATGCTCTTTCTCTGACTTGCACGTTTCCCACTTCACAATCAGCCTTTCGTTCTGTGCCGCTGTCGAAGTGGTGGTGCAGCCGCTCTTGATCATGCGCTCGGATATTATCTTGAGCTTGACGTTGCCCACTACGGGTACGCGACCCCATGCCATGGGCGCAGTCCATAACGCAGCAGTATATGCAATCTTCCCGCTCACGGTCGGAAGGTGTGGATGTGAGGACGGGAACAGGTGGAGGCTGATATTGGGCGCAAGAATATCTTGTGGAAGCGGCGAGACCAAAAGTGTAGGAAGTCGCTCGTGGAGTATGCGTATCGCTATATAAATCAGCAACTGCCCGGTTCTTTAACAACATCTGTGATGCAGGGTGCGTACTGTTTCCGAGTTTGACGTTGCGCTCGTTCGGCGGGCCGTCACCGCCGCTTTCCGCCGGATGCAGCGAGGTCGCCGACGCCGTGAACCATGTTCGTGACACCGAGGCCTGGCGGGCGCGGACGTCGGTGATGGTTCGTTGGTACTGCCTGAGGCCGAGCAGCCGCGGTGCGGTCAGCGAGGTGGATGGTCCGGCGGGGGTTTGGAGATTTGCGCGCGTAGATGAGGAGAAGAGCCGTCGCATTCGACCGGTGGTCATCGGTAGGAAAATGCGACCATAGATGAGCGATAGGATGTAGGGTGCCGAAACGCGAGAGGCCCTGGTGATGGCCGCTGGTGCTGGGTGTAATTGGTGATCGATACAAAGTAGCGCAGAGCCGACACACGGAACACCATGACGTTAGCACTCCCGGATCAGGCAAGCCTGATGCCAGCCGCGGAGTACAACGAGAACACCCCGCGTTTCAACCTGTGGTTAAAGACGGCAGTTACTGCTAGTAAGTAGTTGCTGCTAGTTGACAGATAAACAGACTCTTGGATTAGTCCAGCACACGCTATCATATGAGCAATTCGATCCTCAAGTCAACTCTGAATTCAACGTCACGATCCTAGTCCTACGAGATGGCTCCACGCGTTGTCTTCACTGGCGGCTCTGGCAAAGCTGGCCGACACGCTGTAGGTTCTGGTTCATAATAACTATAGAGCGAGGATGACCGTCCGAGTGCAAACCCTCTGTACTCAGACTTTGCGCCTGGCCTTGCAGAGCAATACGAGTGTCGATAATTAACGGCACATTACACAGATACCTGAGCTTGTGAAACGTGGCTACGAGGTGCTGAACATCGACCTCACTGACTTCCCAGACAAAGACGCCAACGTTTTCACTCTCAAGACGGATCTGACCGACAGTGAGTGACGCTGAAATACACCCGCGACGGAGAGGTCAACTAAATTTATGCCTGTGCAGGTGGACAATGTTTCAATGCATTGACAACCCATTTCAACTTCTCTGGATATGAGGGCCCGCACATTCCTGGTCCTCCTGATGCAGTCATCCACTTTGCCGCGTATGGTGAGTGCAACTCCTGAGTAGACCAATCAGTTGATATCCTCAACTAACACTATTCCCCCAGCCAGAAATATGCTTGTTCCGGACAACGAGTGCTTCAAGGGGAACGCCACATCGACATACAACGTGATCGAGGCAGCATGTAGGTGCATGATCATGGCACTGTTCGATCTTTCAACTCACCTTAGCAGGCAAGCTGGGAGTGAAAAAGATTATCATCGCTTCTAGCGAGACTACCTATGAAGTGTGCTTTGGCCAGGGCGACCTTGATTATACATCTTTTCCCCTGGACGAAGAAGCCGTAAGTGTATATAGAAACACATGGCAGGATGATTGAGAGCTTATCGTTCGAACACAGGATGTTAATCCGATGGATACGTACGCCATATCAAAGCTTGTGGGCGAGCGTGTAGCGCGAGGGTTTGCTCGCAGATTTGATGCCGATATCTACGCGCTTCGCATTGGTAACGTCGTAGAGCCACACGAGTATGCCCAGGACTTCCCAAAGTATATCAGTGACCCCAAACTACGAAAGCGGAACGCGTGGTCGTACATAGACGCTAGAGATCTAGGTCAAATATGTGACCTGTGCATCAAGAAGGACGGTCTGGGTTTCCAGATCTTCAACGCGACCAACGATACCATCACGGCTACATTCCCAACGAGACAGTTCCTGGAACAATTTGCTCCGAACACGCCCATCACACGGGAGATGGACGAATGGGAAGCGCCGTTGAGCAATCGGAAGATTCGCGAGGTGCTAGGATTCAAGGAAGAACACAACTGGAGAAGGTACTACAACCCGGAGTAGTGCCTAGCAGGAGTGAACCATAAGATGGTCATTAAGGGTGGTGTGAGGGTGTAGTTCATAAATCACACCTTACTGCTGTATCCTGGGCCAACTTAGGCTATGATGACTCCAGCTGTGCATCTTGAGCGACGGTGTAGAGATAGCGATTATCGGACGCGCTAGCGCCTTGGCCGCTATCGTCCCCTTGTCATGTCGCAACTTTTTTGTCCTCGTCGCATCGTCCAGATTCCATCTCAGTCCCCGGCGCACGATACCCATCCTCTGCTTTTGCCTGTCGCTCTTTGCAGTTTGTTCGCTCACCTAGTCCGCCCACACCAGCCCAACGGAATTATCGAGATGACTGTGCCGTCCGCATCAGAAGCCGTGGCGAAGGTCGCTAATGCCGCCGCTGGTACAAAATCATCGGCGAAGGAGTTCAAGAAGGAATCGACAGCGGCACGTTTCCTCGGTGCAGGTTTGTATAACCGCGTCCTTGCTATGCCATGTCCATGGCCCTGACGTCTGCAGGAACGGCTGGTATTGCCGAGCTGATGATTTTCCACCCCGTCGACACCACAGCAAAGCGATTGATGAGCAACCAGGGAAAGGTATGGTTCCTGGTGTACGTGCCCTCAGGATTTTACTAACCACGACCAAATCAAGATCTCATCGGCTTCTCAATTGAACCAAGTCATCTTCAGGGATAGCGCACAGGCATCGGTCTCAGGCCGCTTCTTTTCGCTGTTTCCGGGTCTAGGATACGCCGCTGCGTACAAGGTACATGAGCTCCCTCAATTGATCTGGATGTACGCCTAAACGTGCTAGATTCTCCAACGTGTCTACAAGTACGGCGGCCAGCCCTTCGCTCGGGATTACCTCGCAAAGAACCACGGTGACAGCTTCGATCGCGCATTTGGAAAGGGCAATGGCAAGGCGATAATGCATGCCACCGCAGGCAGTCTCGTGGGCATTGGTGAAATTGTCTTGCTGCCCTTGGACGTTCTCAAGATCAAGCGCCAGACAAACCCTGAAGCCTTCCGAGGACGAGGGCTGTTCAAGATTATCGCGGATGAAGGGTTTGGCCTCTATCGTGGGTGGGGCTGGACAGCAGCTCGCAACGCCCCGGGATCGTTCGCAGTATGTTAGACAGCGGATTGGCAGTGGACATGATCGCTAACCGTGGAATAGTTGTTTGGTGGCTCGGCCGCGGCCAAAGAATATTTTTACAAGCTAAGCGACTACAACGCGGCTACCTGGGGACAGAACTTTGTTGCCTCAATCGCCGGTGCCAGCGCTTCGCTCATTGTTTCGGCTCCCCTGGACGTTATCAAGACTCGGATACAAAACAAGAACTTTGAGAACCCGGAGAGCGGCTTCCGGATCATCTCCAACATGATGAAGATTGAAGGCCCTACCTCCTTCTTCAAGGGCCTGACACCGAAGCTTTTGATGACAGGCCCCAAGCTCGTCTTCTCGTTCTGGCTGGCCCAAACGCTGATACCCGCTTTCAACAAGATAATGTAAATGTAGACGCGCTACGCTTTCTCTGCTGTACAATAATAGGGCTCGGGGTTGGGTTTATGCAGAGGGATTCCGGCGCCAATGAAGCGTCCCAGGCGACATGTTTGGCTTCTGTATCAGAGCCCACATGCTAATAAACTCTTCTCCACTGTGCGCACTTGTCCACCTGCAAGAAAGCTCCGACGTGATGTGTTCAGTCACAACCCACTCGGTCCCCGTATTGACCAGCTTCACCTCTTACAGAAAGAGGTCGTCGAGACGAGATACAAGCAGGAGAGTGCAGCCTGGGCGCCGGGCGTGGGCGGTCAAAAAGTCACGTGATTGAACATGCGCCACACTGCCGCCACCTAGCGTTCCAGAGTCCCAGATGGCACGTTCGCAGCAACGCAAGACTAGGGCGGGTAGCGGTCGTCGAGCGGGCACAAGACAGGCGGCACCACGGGAACCGCACCTGCAGAGCAGGAGGCAGCCGAGCGTTGACATCGTGACGTCTCTGCGAAGAGTGACCTTGACGTGGCTTGGCGCTGATTGCGCACTGGCCGCCAGACCCAAGCCTCCTGCACCTGGGCACCTTTAAACATCACCGCCTTGCTACCTCGAGCAATCTTAACCCCGACCGTCGCCGTCTCCCACGCTTCTTCACACGCACACCCTTCCACACACACGCTCCCGTCGACACAACACCGTTTTCGCACCCTCGACACCATCATGAACCCCGAGTAGTACGTAACCCGTGCCTCGCTTCCAGCGCCGCCCACGCCCACGACCACGCCTGAGCCCGCGCGCTGGCTGCTCGCAACATGTGACTAACTGTGTTTCCCAGAGTACCCCCCCGACGGCCTCCCGACTCTGCCGTTATCCTCCTGCCTTCTCCCTCTGCAGCCGCGCTGACGCCTGCCGCCCAGATACGACTACCTTTTCAAGCTCCTCCTCATCGGTGACTCCGGTGTCGGGAAGTCTTGCCTGCTGCTCCGGTTCGCAGACGACACATACACCGAGAGCTACATCTCCACCATCGGTGTTGACTTCGTACGTGCCCGATGCGCAGCGACCCCAACATGGAGCACGGCTAACCGGCGCGCAGAAAATCCGAACCATCGAACTCGATGGCAAGACGGTGAAGCTGCAGATCGTAGGAATCCACAACTGCTGTGCTTGCGCGAGATGCTGACGATGTGTAGTGGGACACAGCCGGCCAGGAGCGCTTCCGCACAATCACTTCCTCCTACTACCGAGGTGCCCATGGGATCTGCGTCGTGTACGATGTCACCGACATGGACTCGTTCAACAACGTGAAGCAGTGGCTCCAGGAGATTGACCGATATGCCACTGAGGGCGTCAACAAGCTGCTGGTGGGCAACAAGTCCGATATGGCCGATAAGAAGGTGGTCGAGTACACCGTGGCCAAGGTACGGCGGGCACCGCACCCACGTCCACACTGCAAGCTGACCGACCCGTGTAGGAATTCGCAGACAGCCTCGGCATCCCGTTCCTCGAGACGTCGGCAAAGAGCGCAACCAACGTCGAGCAGGCCTTCTTGACCATGGCCCGCCAGATCAAGGAGCGCATGGGCACAACCACGGCCAACACCAAGCCCACAGTACCCATCGGTCAGGGCCAGGGCGTCCAGAGCGGCTCCGGCGGTGGATGCTGCTAGAGCGGCAGCGTGCGGCGATGCGTACACAGATCGGCGTGGGTGTTATATCGGCTCGGTTCTCATGCTCGTGATCACGATCTTCTTCCCCAGCAAGCTGGTGTTCATGTCCATCATCCTCGGTCTTCCTTGCATGGCATAGATGGAGTGAGTGGATAGGTCACGTTTATATCCCGTTGGTTGGAATACTCTGGATCTCGGTAGCGATTTTGCTGCATCCTAGGATCTGGTGGCCGACTTGAGTCGAGGCTGGACGGTAGAAGAGACTGCTATCATGGCCATTTTGTGTTGATCACGGGCGTCTTTCTTCTGTGTTTCTTGGGTTGTTTCTTAGGTCTGCAAATCACATATTCCCTAATCGGCCTACGCGCAGGTTGCTTTCTACATGCTTGAGATAACCACGACGTGGTTACTCACAGTGATTCAGCTGTACTGGATCTATCTAACATCATGTTGCTGCTCTCTCTTCGTTATAGAAGCCATGTGGAAGTCGTGTGCACGATGGCTGTCAGTGAAAGATGGAGTTTCGTGATTATAAAGTCTCTGGATACACGATCAAGCTATAGTTCTGTAAATCGTATCATAAAGTGAGTTCCTACAGGATGATATGAGCTCTACCTAGGCTGAACTCCATTTTTGTGTCAGCCGCTGGCGTGCGCTCTGCCTCGATGAGGTAAGCATGTTCCTGACGTAGGCCCGACTGCATCTTTTTAGGCAGCCAGCGGCCTTGATGAAGCAGCAATACGGCTGTGCACGCCCTTTCCACCCTTCAAAGATCTCCTGATTGCAGCACTCGTTACTGAACACTCATTTAACCAGATCGAGAGATACCGCCCTGGTCCTGGGACGGCGAATGGCTTGGAGCGAAAGCAGACCGAAGTACCAGATGCCGCATTAAAATTTGCAACACACGCGACCCTCCTTTGTCACGGTCTTAAACATCCCAACATAGCATTCCAATCGCTCTTACAAACTACCCCTACACCACCTGTTCTACGTCATCGTCGAGGTAGAATGTCAGTCACGAACGGCATCTCAGGCGGGCTGCGATGGCTGGCCAACGAGCTCGGCCTTCACACCATGAGCTCCGCTGGTAGGGACGTTTACATCATTATTTTGGCCCGATACCTACGTCTCATGGCCTACGGCGCTGTAGCGCTTATTCTTGCATTGTACTTTGAAGAGTTGGGTTTCTCGGACGCACAGATCGGTCTTTTCATGACACTCACTCTACTTGGAGACGTCTGCATCAGTCTGCTCCTCACGCTTGTTGCGGATGGTCTGGGACGGAGAAGGACCCTTCTACTTGGGGCGCTATCCATGGCGGTTTCAGGCGCCGTGTTCGCTCTCACCAGCAACTATGTTGCATTGCTATTTGCAGCCATCATCGGTGTCATAAGTCCCACGGGCAATGAAATCGGACCTTTCCGCGCGATTGAAGAGTCGACGCTTGCGCATCTTGTCTCTGAAGAGAAGCGAAGCGACATTTTCACATGGTACGTTGTCTTAGCCGTGCTGGGCACATCTTCTGGTTTGATTGTTGGCGGAATTTCAGTGGACTATATGCAGAACCTGGAAGGATGGACAGAGTTGGACGCATATAGGGCCATGTTCTGGATATACACAGCTCTTGGCTGCGTCAAGGCGCTTATGACGTTGGTCTTGAGCGACAAATGTGAGCATGGTGCTCATGAAGAACAGGCAGAGGGTGGCGAGAGGGAGCCACTCATGAATGGACATGGAGGGAACGACAATAGCAGCCCTCCGCCGTCTCCAGTTGCGAAGAATAAGGCAAAATGGTGGGATGTGTTCAGCCAGATATCGAAGCCTACTCGCTGGACCCTGCTCAAGCTGTGCAGCCTCTTCTTCTTGGACTCGTTAGGAAGTGGCATGGTCCCGTTCTCGCTTATCAACTTCTACATGGACCGCAAATTCAAATTGGAAAAGGGAAAACTAGGTGGCATCATGTCAGCTACATGGTACGTACTACTGCGGGTCTTAGTGTATGATTTCCTAACGACGTTTTTTGCAGGTTCATTTCAACAGTCGGCAACATTTGGTCAGCAAGCCTGGCGAAACGCCTCGGGCTGATACAAGCCATGGTGGTCACACATTTGCCCAGCTCCATCTTCCTTGCTCTGCTTCCTGCCCCGCCCCAACTATCTTTCACCATCTGTCTTCTGGTAGCACGAGCAGTCCTGAACAGCATGGATCAAGCGCCCCGATCGGCCTTTTTATCTACCGTAGTCCTTCCGCAGGAGCGCACTGCAGTCATGGGCGTGGTAAACATCTTCAAGACTCTCTCACAATCAGCCGGGCCGTCGGTCACTGGCCTGCTCGCAGGCCGCGGTCACTTCTGGGTCGCCTTCGTGGCTGCAGGGTCGCTCAAAGGCACGTACGACCTGCTGCTGCTGGCGTTCTTCGCAGGGAGAGTACATCAGCCACCCGAAACGGGTTTGGTGGGACAAATTGGCGCAAATGCCGTAGAGCCGCGGACTGGAGACAGCAATACCTTGGAAACAGGACTCAATCAAGCCCCTGAAACAAACCCAGACATTCCAGAAGACGAATCGGACGCTGGCGTCACGTCGGCAACGAGGATCACTTCTCAGGCCGAAGACGGAGCGGTGGCGAGGAGCCCCTTTGGGCCGTCAGGGTCCAACCGGCTTTGAGGGCGCAGCCCAAATTGGCAGGGCTGGCGTGACGGAGGGGATTACGGCGGGGCGCACAGGACGGGCCGTGGTGTTTGATGGTGTCTCCTTGGTGTGACTATGCCGAAATAGGTAAGACCAATTTGGACCCTGCATGACCGAGCCACGGGGCCGTCGGATCGGGACGACTGTAGTGATAAGGCTCACGTCGCCCACCGAGGAACAGTCATCTTCCATACTCTCTGCGACCTTGTTGCTGTGCATTGTTTCTGTGTTTTCTGCCTTTCACCTGGCTTCGGTATCCTCCTACTCTCCTTTGGCTGATCTGCAGCCTCACCCTCCTTCTCTCACAGCGTTCTAGAAGCCGCTGGCTGCATTTCAGGGTCTCAGCCCTACGCATAGTGCCCGACACCGCTCAAGATATCAACCAAGATCTTGTTCAGCTCAGTGCACATGCCGACGTCCTTCTAGCAGTTGGCTTCTTTCACTCTCATCGCCTCCTCTGGACACCAAACTCGCCTCCTCTGGACACCAAACTCGCCTCCTCTCACTGTCACCATCGCCGAACCTCCCCGATTGGTGCATCATCAATGGCTCGGGCCCTCCAAACGAGGCGCCACAGGATCTTGTACCTGGACGCATACGACTCATCCTCAAACAGCATCATTGCTCAAGTTGAGCAGAGCATCGATGCTGAAATCGTTAAATGCTATATCGACAGCGACCCGGATGCTTGGATCGTGCCAGAGGCAGCAAAGGCACACGCTGCTACTCCTGCAGCATTCATAGAGTATGCCAGAACCTTTGACGGGGTCATTGCGGGACCTGGGCCTGGCTCAGCAACATGTGACGAAGACGTAGGCTGGATGAGAGTGTTATGGAAACTTCAAAATGACCATATGGTACCTGTTCTCGGTATCTGCCTGGGTTTTCAGTCCATGTGCTTAGCCTTCGGAGCCAGCATCGAGAAGCTTTCAGAACCACGCCATGGACTGATTGCTAGTATTTTGAATAACGGTTCATCCATCTTCAGCGGCACCAAGCAGCTGTCCGCCACTCAGTACCATTCATTACACATCATGCTTCATCACCGAATACAGACAAAAAAATCTGTGCGTTATCCTGCAGAATTGTGGGAGCCCACCGAGGAGTGTCCGGAACTCCAGCCGCTGGCTTGGGACTTTGACAATAAGCAAAACGGGGCTATTCTGATGGCTGCGAGACACACCACCAAGCCCTTTTGGGGCGTACAGTTCCACCCTGAATCGATCTGTACGAATTCTGAGGGCGTTAGAATAATCAAGAATTGGTGGACCGAAGCTACTTCGTGGAACCGGAGGCGCGATATGACGACGCTCCCCATTAACGATTTGGCCCATCACACCGCCAGTAATGGGGCGTCCCAGCCTAAACTGTCGTCGATCGAGGCCCTCGCTATGCGTCTTGTACAGGGAAACGAAACGTCACGAGCAACAGTTCTCGATGTGCAATGTGCTACAACGGGAAGCGGACGATTGACTGTATCGGACGTTGTGGAGCTCTTCGACAGCCCTCGTGGCGAAGCGATAGTGCTCGAGTCGGGCCTGCATCGAGACCTACGTCCGATGGAAGCAGGCACCGGCCGCCATAGCATCATCGGACTGATCATCCCTGGCGAGACCATGCGTCTGCACTACTATACTCAAAATCACGTTATGGAGCTCAGGGATGGTCATGACCAAGTAGTGCAGAAATGGAATACACGAGATCCATGGCAATGGGTAAAGGGCGTTATGACACACTTGAGAAGTATGCTTGGACAGAAGCCAAAGACGACGACATGGGCACCATTCTGGGGCGGCTTCATGGGCTATGCATCATATGAAGCAGGGCTGGAGACGATCGAAGTTCACTCGACACAAGAAGCTGAATGTCCCGACATTTGCTTCGCTTATATAACGCGAAGCGTTGTGATAGACCATCAGCTGAAAAAGTTATATGTCCAGAGCATACGCAGCATAGACGACCAGCCCTGGGTCAGTGAGTCTTTAGAGAAGTTGTACGATGCTGTGGGTAGAAAGAGCTTGGAGTCAACTCCAAACCCAACACCACTGCCCAGGCCAAACCCCTTCGAGCATCAAGACACCACAATGAGTACATACATCGCTTCTTGTACCCGATCAGTCGTTCATCAGGAGGACTACTGCGCTTCTGTTGTATCATGTCAAAGGCATATCGCAGATGGTGAGTGAACCCGCTAAATACCTTAGACAAGACACATACTCAACCTGCACTTTGTACGCAGGTCAAAGCTACGAACTCTGCCTCACGAACACGAACAAGATTCTCGCACGTCGGCCCCGCATCTGCCGCCTTTCAAAATCAGAGGACAACGAACTCTCGTGGAAACTCTACAAGCGTCTTACTGCTCGCAACACCGCACCTTTTAGTGCGTACATGCGCCTTCACAATGTGCACATCTTGAGCTCATCGCCCGAACGGTGTATCAGCTGGGATCGCCAGCAGATCGCGCAGTGTCGTCCAATCAAAGGAACCGTGTCAAAAGCTCGAGGTCTTACGGCAATAGACGCACACAATATCCTCTCCACTCCCAAAGAGCGCGCCGAGAACTTGATGATTGTTGACCTTGTGCGACATCAACTCCATGGCGTGTACGGCGCAGGTAATGTGCACGTGAGTCAGCTTATGCAAGTGGAGGAGTACGAAACAGTTTGGCAACTCGTTTCGGTCGTTGAAGGTATCCCATCCTCCATCGCTAGCCGGCAACTGCAGACGCCAGACGATTCATGGTTGGACAAGACAGATTTAGCTTCCCCACCAACTTCGCATAATCAAGATGCAGAACAGATGCTTGGCTTCGACGCGTTCACTCAATCGCTACCGGCAGGCAGCATGACCGGTGCACCCAGGAAACGTTCCTGTGAACTCCTCAAAGCCCTTGAACACGGCCAGCGCCGCGGCATATACTCGGGCGTGCTAGGATATCTCGACATTGGCGGTGGAGGCGACTTCAGCGTCGTCATTCGCACCGCTGTAAAGATCGACGCGCCCAATGCAGCATCCGCTGTCGAAGACGTCTGGAGTATCGGCGCCGGTGGAGCCATTACTGCGCTCAGCCACCCGCAAAGCGAGTATGATGAGATGCTGGCCAAGTTCTCGAGTACAGCGGCGGCCTTTGAGGAAGATAACGGAATTGAAGAGGTGGAGAAAGAGACTGATTTGAGGGGCATTTGGAGTAGGCTTATGGAGGTCGAAGAGCCTGACGATGGAGAAGATCACGTCTTACCGTCAGCACCGTTGCTTCTTAGGACGTTGCAGGATTTCCAGGCGGGGCTCTTGTCCGGTGTCATGAGGACTACGGATGGGATTGTCAGAGGGAGGGACTAGAGAGGTAGGGAATGTTTCGTTTTCAGTTTTAGAAAGGATATACCACAGTGTGCACACGCACGATACCCCATATAGCGACATTATAGCAACGAATCAAGTAGATATTTCTTCTCGTCACTGACTTCGTAGCTGCACATGAGCGGCCCATACTTGAACGAGATGCCAACACATGTCAATTCCGATTGCTTACTTCAATCGAAGAGCGATTTCCTATAATCGCTCACGGGTGAAGACGAGCGGAGGTTAGAAGCAAATGAAAATCCGGAGTTTACCGTGCTTACCCGATACCTTCTCAGACTAACCACCCAATGAGTCAACGTGTATTATTGCGCTGAAATGGCAAACTCACATTATCTTCATATAACAGACCCTCATCTTGATCATTGCTTTCATTACGTTACATGTCCCGAGTACGCCACAATTCATTATCCCACCATGCTCACGCTCCACCTCCTCCCCCTCGACCTCTCAGACTTCTCCACCCTAATCTCCCACGCACTTTCCGGACCCCCAGGCTCCGACCTCGTCGGACCCCCAACCCCCCTCTGCTGCCCCGTTACCACGCAAGACAACGCCTCTGCCCGCCTTGCCTTCCACTTTGCCAAGCAGCGCGCCCGCTTCCTCGGCGACCCCACAGTGCGGTATATGAAAGTGGTCGAGCGCGATTCTACCGGAGAGAAAGACGGAGATAGTATCATCAGCATAGCGCGCTGGCACTACTACCCCACAGGGTACAACTTCGCCCGCGACATCCACTGGGAAACGCACAATGACCTCACTCCGGACATGGTTCCGACGGGGTTCAACATCGCGCTGCACAACCACATTCTTACTACACGTGATGCGGCGCGGAGCGCATGGATGGTCGCAGGTGAGCCCTGCTGGGTGCTGATGCATATGGTCACGCATCCGGCGCACCGGGGGAAGGGCGCGGCGGGGATCTTGGTTAAATGGGGTATCGAGCAGGCGGAGAGGGATGGTGTGCCCGCCTACCTTGAGGCTGGTGTTATGGGACGACCAATTTATGAACGGTACGGTTTCATTCAGGTAGGCGAACTGCTAGAGGTGGATCTGAAGGAAGGCGGAGGTGAGGGGGTTTTTGTGATGTGTAAGATGGGGTATTTTCCGCACCAAGGGGACAAGCATCTATAAAGAGTAATGAACCTATGATTTTGTATAATTCATTTTAGAACATTGAGTATTCACCACTAAATAGGCAAGACGAGACCTATTGTTACCTAAGCACTTTGACTACGCTGACCCGTCAGCGCGTTTTCAAAATCGACCGCCTGCGCTGCCGCAACTCTATAACACGCTAAAAGGATTCTTGTCGTTGAAGAATTCGACAGGGTCAAACCCGGCAACGAACAGAAGACGCGGCTTGGAGATATAGAGCCAACGAGCACACAATCTTCAAACCTGCAATGCTACATCTCGATGTCTCGAAAGATCTCTACGGCATTCTGCATGAGGATGGGCGAGAACGATATCGCCAGGTTCCTCACCTCTACCGTCTCGACAAGCTGCCAGATTGGAGCCGCTACCGCCAGGGTGCATCGGATATAGAACACGTATTTTATCGCCATACTCTTGAGGCGAATGACGATCTTGAAAGCATCATGCCTTACACCTTAAAGACAGCTTCGAAGTTACAGGGGTTGAGCCATACGGGACAAAGGATCGCGCATACCTGGTCTCGGCGGTGGCCATGCGACTCAAATGGGAAGACGAATGCAATGGGCACTTGTTGCCGATGTCAATCACACCAGAGGGTACTTTCCCGGTCATGCTCGATGGCATCATGCCGAGGGGAAACGTGACAAGAGATTCGACGCGCCACATAAGAAGCAGCTCTGCCTTGACCCGTGCAATTACTTGTCATGTCTGTGAGAAATCTCGTCTTGCTCTGGAGGTGCCAAGTACGTGCCACTACTCTTCGATGAACAAGGCCCGTACTGCTTTATGACGGAGCTTAGAGAAACCAGGCCAACATAGATCTTCTTGAGTATTTTCGGGTGCTTTGAGATACCATGCTGCGCGGGGAATCTGATATCCAAGCCGCAGTGTTGTCTCCCGAAGCATGATCTCTGCGCCGAGTTTCTTTGCGACGTAACTCTCGACCGTGCGATTCGATTCGAGGATGCAATTCCTTGGGCACGTTGGAGAAATGTGGGGGCAAGGTAGTTGTCTACACAGATAGTGAGTAGTTACCCGAAAACATTGGGGCTATGGTGATAACTCATAATTTGCTGATTGGGAGTTTCCGACGGAATAGCTCGCAGACCAGGGGATCTGACAATGATAGACTGCAGATGAACAGCACAGTATGATGGTCAACTAACGACGAGCAATTTAGCGGGCTTCCTGTGTACATTCAAGACATATTATTCGATCAAAGTTCTGCATTCGGAAAGCTTTCTGAGTCACTACAGGATCAATCAGATTGGGCTTCTACGAGTAGAATACAATGTTAGGTTACTACAGGATCGGGTGTACGCCAGAATTCCGCAAGCCCCAGTTGGCCCTGTTGCTGCATGATTGGTCATGATAGGGAATTGTTGATGGGAAGGCTGGGGAGAGCAGCAAGGTAGGAAGGGGCCACTGTCGCAGTGAGCTTCAGGTTGCCGAGATGGCAGGCATACGGACGATAGCGGCGAATATTGGGTCGTGATTAGGAGCACAGAGGCAAGGAAAAGAATCCACAGTAGGAACTAAGACGGCGGCGACGGGTGACGTACCGCGGATGAGAGGGACGGTGGGGTTAGCAGCTCAGGGAAGGAGCAACCTGACCGGCCGGCTGCTGACGTGGATCTTGCTCTTCCACATGGATAGTGCATCTGGGCATGCTTTTTGGAATGACAGACAGGCATATCGGGTTCGACGTTTGGATGAATCTTCGCATCCTCCGCCCGGGATTTCCATTCTCCCCCAATGTTCCCTGTGGACCGCCTCGGGCGCTGCTGCCAAGGACACATGTCATGAATCTCAGCCGGCTTCAAAGGCTGCCTTGCCTCTAGACTACTCTTAGCATCTCCTCGGTAGACTGCCGCTGTACGCTGCTGTTAAGTGTCTCTCTGATAGCCTCGCAACCGGCCCCCTATGTGGCCTTACCTGCAATCGCCGCAAGAATTCAAGTAACAACATAATCGATTCTTCCATCTCACCCTGGGTATCTATGCCATGCTATAATATGCTATGCCAACAGTGCAAAAAGCAAATATGTTTTCTTCGCGTAATCTGCAGCGCTCTTCCTGAGTCTCACTCTGCTGTTCTCGTCCAGAGCCGCCCTGTCAACGTCATTGACCATCTCGTCGATGGCGTCGGGGGTATGATGCGGGTTTCCAATGAAACGCTGGATGTACAACATGTCAAAGACGGCTTGTTTGAGCTTGCCATCTCGTAATTCAGCTGCGGCAGCTGTGGCGACTACTTTCTTGCCATTCACTTGTTCCTCTGCATCAGTGTCCATTTTCTGCTCACCAGCACCAGCGCTGTCTCCATTGATCTTCTCATTCTTTTGGTCCTCGGCCGGAGCTGCGGCGAGTTGCTTAATCGCGTCCAGATTGGTTTTCAGTGGTGCTAAAACAGAATGAATGGCACTGCTTTTAATCTCTTCCACAGCCAGCGGCGCCCACAAGTCGTTCCCATATGCTGCCATGGCCTTCGTCATGCTTTGCAGATACCTGACTGCGCTGGGCGAGGGTTGAGCTGGTAACGCAGGGTTACCTTCCCAGAGGATATGACTATCTGTTTTCGACTTCAGTCCAGTAGCGAGCGCCTTCGCATATGCATCCATAGACGGATGGGCCACGTGCGAAGCTAATGCCTTGTGCAAGGGCTTTAGTAGGGCAGGCGTAAACGGCGTAGCCAGCAGCGTCGCCCGATCCTGCAATTTGAGCTTGGGAATCCGCTCCCCGATTTCCCGCGTCACTCTGAGTACAAAGCAGATTTTAAGCACATCTATTCCATCATCGCATTCCGTCACCTGCGTGATGATTTGACCAAAGCTTTTGCCTAGGTTCTGCAGCGCATGGGCAAGTGCTTCTTGCGTGGCCTCTTCAAGCAGTCGCGGATCGTCATCGCTGAGCAACGTTTGTTTTGAATCGCCTAGATCGTCATCGTCCGAGTCATCGACGTCGTCCGCAAATGTGTCATCCCATCGTGCTTCTTTCATCGACTTCACGATGCTCTTTACTTCGAGGATAGAGTCTGCCCAGGCGTCGAATGCAGAGACGATGCCCACTACTGAGTTGTCGCGGCCTTGGTGAATGTTGACGAGCGTAGACTTGAATGCTTGCGCGCCGTTAGATATGTCCGCCGACTTGGGGTATGTGCCCCAGAGGGAGAGACCAGACGACTGTGTAAGCGTGGGCGAGTTAAGCACGTTGGACAACTCGACCACCACAGTCTTAAGGGTCTGCGAACGGAGCCGGACAATGTCTTCGAGGTGGTTATTCATCATGTCGCGCAGATCATCCAAGACGTTTGCAGACTTGACACCCGCCATACGGGGACCGGACATAATCCATGTTTCGATGAGATCCTGCCGTAGTGACGAAACTTCCTTCAACCGCGTCTCGTTCTCTAATGCGTCTTTGGTGCCTTTCAGGAAAGCGGATATAGCTTGCCGGGACCATTGATGGAGTATGCGCTCGGCGTCAGCTCGCTGGAGCTCGTCGTGGCGCGGCCAGGGCGTGTAGTTGCGTGCTTCCTCGCCTATCCACCGGTCATGTATGTCCAGATTTAGCTCATGGAGAGCACGAACATCGTGATCTTGAATCAAGGGATGCGCTTTGAGTTTGGCTAGCGACTCGGCTAGCCGTCGCGGGAAGATTGCCTGCGTGTCCAAACATGTCTGTATGCACAATCGCAATGCACTGGTACCATGCTTGGCAAGTTCATCGCTGCCATGCTGAAGTAGCTTGACACTGTTCTCCAATCGAATCTTGTGGAAATGATGTAAGACATCTGTAGGGGTCGAGCTCGTTATGAGGGCGTAGGCGCACATGCTCTCGACCAGATCTGCGTAGTCGCCCTCGGAAGTGCCCATGCGCTTCTCTATCCGCTTTATCAATCTGCGGCGTGCCGAGAGCAGGCGTTCCCAAAGCTGGTCCACGAGGGGAGGCTTGTCGGCGGATTGCGACAAGGCTTTGTGGAGGAGTCGCGATATGACTAGCACTTTTGCGATGGAAAGGTACGACCCTGCGCTGTGCATCAGGCGTGTCATGACAACGGGCGAGCTTCGCAGGACGGCGAGCTGCGAGGCGAAGGTGTAGCGCTCCTGGTCTGTCTCCGTCAACATGCTTGTCCCAACGTGCGATGCGGGAGGCTAACCGCGACTGCGTATGTGTGCATCCAGTCTGACCGCGCTGCTTGTAATGCGATCCAGCGTCGTCGAGTTGCAGTTGTGTCCGACGCGTGCCAGCGTGCCCTCGACGTGCTCCATGCGGACCTCCATGTCGATGATCGTTTCGGCCGTGTCGAGGAGGCTGCGATAGCTCGCACTAGATGGCTCGCATCAGCAATGGATCTTGGGCATACGGGACAACTCAGTGCATGCCTTACCCTACGAGCGACCGCAGCTTCTCGCGATTCTCATCGGCGTTGGAGCGCAGCTGCTGCTCCAGCTTGCGGACCACGGGGATGGGGTACTGGAACGCATCCTCCCAGCTCGTGAAGGTCCGTGGATCCGGCGCTTCGGCCGTCATGTCTGCGAACGCAGCCTGCCGCAATGCATGCAATGCGACTTTGGAGGGGCCATGTCAACACGCGGAGGTTCACACAGCTCGGCGGAACCACTAGCCGAGCTTAGTCACCTTTACTGTCCTGCCACCTACTATGCTCCGTCTTCAGAGCTACGTGCTTGGAAATTGTACAGTTATTTTTATTCAAATGATACGCTAATCATCTTCACTCTCCTCTTTTGCCTGCTGCTCTGCTAGTCTCTGTGCCTCCTTCCACTGATCTGCAAACTCCCGCATCATGCCCTCGCCCCCCCTGCTTGCATCCACTACATCTCTAGGCAGCTTATGTGCGCTGTACTGCGGGGTTGAGAAGCCGTATGCTTCGGGGTCGTCCCTGCGGACCAGACGGAATTCGGGCTGCCACAACTCGACCACCTTGTCATCCTCATCAACCTCGAATTCCTGCGAAGCGTCTTCGGCTTCAGGAAGCAACGGCTCTTCCAATGTCAATAGCTCCATCCAGCTGAAAAGGAGCGGATCAGTCCGCAGAGCCCATGGGTTGAAGTCCACCAACCAGACGCGATCGTGTGGCGGCGGTATATAGACATCGAACGTGAAGTTGGGATCGGGGAAAGTGTCGCGAAGTCGCACATCGAAGAACTCCTGGACTGTCTGTCTTAATTTGTCCTCCATTTTGAAGAGAAAGTCGAAGTGATTCAGGTCGCGTTGGCAGATGGCGATCAGCTTCCGGTTGCGCACGAAGCACCGGAACTCGACGGAAGGGTTGAGGACGATCCATTTCCGAAGGACTAGGTGGTATTGAATTTCCGCGTCGCCTTCTCCATCTGTGGTATCGTCGAGGGCGTGCTGGAGGTCATGTGTGATGAAGTCGCTCGACTTGAGCAGCAGGTATATGTCGTTTGGTGTCCGGCACTCCATGCTGTTGGTTGCTGCAATCCACGTCGCGTCTTTGGGTGCAGACCAATTCAGCTTCGGGGCAACCTTGCCGCCCAGCTCCTCGATGACGGCTTCTATGGCTTCGTGCGTGTCCCTCCAGTGTGTTGATGGGTCTTGGTCCGGGCCTTCGTCGTCACCCTCATTGTCGGCGCCAGAGAATATGCCGCTGTCGGCATCGGACCAGTCGGGGTTGTCGTTGTCTTCAGGTGGAAGCACGATGCCATCTGCGCGTAGGTAGTCCAAGAAGGCGCCTGGGAGAGGCACGAGGCGCGCTTTCGGTGTGATGGCTCGATATCTTTCGAAATTAGTCTCGCAAGGCGCTATCGAGGAAGCGCGCTCACTTGGGGTGCCAGCTGTGGTACGAGCAGTTCAGGATGTGCTGCTTAGTAACGGGCGGAAACGGCAGCTGCTTAGGCTGGTCGGGCGAGGCAGCCACGACCGATGCCTCTGAGTCCGCATGTTCGGTGCTCATAATGGGTGGAGTCGTGATAGTGAGGATAGATGGCAGGAGCGAGCCGCGGGAGAAAGGGTGCGTCGAGTGTGTGGCTCCATTGCGTACAGTCGCGGATGAGTCCTCGCTGGCGCGGTCCCAGAAGATTTCGCGGGGCAGCCGCCTCTGCCAAGCCGCACCTCCGAGAGCAACTCCGCACCAGAGCACTCGCGTCTTCACCTCTACCACTAGCAGTCCACCACCTCAGCTGCATCAACCAAGTCATAATGTCCTCAAACGTCGGACTGTCCACGCCCCGTGGTAGCGGTACGTCGGGATACGTCCAGAAGAACAGGTCGCTACTGAAGCCGCGTGACAAGGCGGCACCATACTCCAAGGACTGGGACTCAGCGAAGCATCGCCAACGCCAGCCAGACCCCGAGATCCTGGAGCACGACCGCAAGCGCGAGATCGAAGTGAAGGTGCTAGAGCTGCGAGACAAGCTCGAGGACGAAGGGTATGCAGGCGCAGTGATGGTCACATGTTCCTAAGCTAACCACTTTGGCAGTCTTGATGAGGATGAAATCGATGACCGCTGCGACGGACTGCGAAAGAAGCTCGAGGAAGAGCGCAAAGCAGGAAAAGGCGTAGGTCCAGATGCGCGCAGCCTGAAATCCCATCAGGTGCATGACCTGGCTCAGGTGAGTGACCCTAAGAGGCGCAGCGAGGCCGCATACTCATCTAGTCCACAGGCCAAGATCGAAGAAAGCGAGCGGCTGAGAAAAGCATTGGGCATTGCTGCAAATTACGAGGAGGGAAGTCACTGGCGAAAGCAAGAGGAGCGTCTTCGAGAGTCGCTGGTGCAACGCGAGCGCGAGGATGAGGAGCAACTGCAGAAGGCCAAGGAGGCTCGCCGCTACCGAGACGACTCGGAGTGATACAGTAAACCCCGCAGCATGGATGGCGTTGGACGGCGTCGACTGATACCCTTTGAACTTTATTGCTATCTCGATCGAATCTGAAATAAACAAAACCGATGGCCTGACTTTATGTGGGCGTCAGGGATACACATTAGTCACAACTCTCGAGACCTTTCGTAGCTCAAGCCAAGCTAGGATCTTCCATCGAGTCGCCGACTTCTAGAAGCATGCATGCATCGCCAGCTAGCGAGAGCCGACTTTTAGGATACCGGAACGCCATCCCTTTCGCTCGACCTGGGACTTTACGAGCCACGATTGCTAATGTCAATATTCCGTTGTCAGCTCGACACCCAATGCGGAAGCAGCCAAGGCTGCGTAGGACTGACAAGTTCATCGCGCAGGGCGTGCACAAGGCGAGGTTGGATCACCGAAAACATGCGGAAACGACTTCAAAATATATAACACGAGAATTCTCAGCCCTATATATACCCGATCGTTAACGTTGGGATTGCGGGGAGCGAATGTTCGACTTCAACCCAGATCTGAGGCCAAATGCACGCCGGACGGGTACGAACAGGCTGCACGAGCTTAAACCGACGACGCTGGACGCAGCCAAGTTGACAAGGCCGGTTCAGCTTCTTGTGCGTCCTTGGGACTTGGGTGGACCCCCAACTCAAGCTTCTTGTCATTCTTGTCACGAAGCGTAACCCAACCTCATGCCTTTGCACGCGCGAAATGATCTCCAATCTCCAACGCATCACCATCTTAGGGCCATTCGGACATTGCCACTCGGCTGCACGGCACCAGCGCATGTTCTTCTAGCAATGGTCCATGCACGTGGGGTGAAGGATGGTGGCTGCCTCAGGCGGATTGGACCGCGGCTGTCAGCTGCGAGACACTGCGTGCGGCGTGGAGGGCTTCACCACACTCGAAATGGCGCAGCGGCTCGCTATGCGAGCTGGTGCCTACCAATTGCCATTCTCGATGATTACGGCAGTCTCAATCTCTTCGACTCGAGTGACAAGAGAGCGATACTGGCACATGGAGATCTCCCAGCCATGTACGCATGCCCAGCGACGCATATCAAATCGCCACGCCCGTCAAGAAAGCGAAGCAGTCTTGGATGGCCTAGGCGAGGACAAGCATGCGGAAGAGTGCTTAGGTAAAGCCTAGGGGGACGATCCGGGCATCTGGGCATCGAGGCACGGCGCAGTGACTTCGCAAACGAACTGCACCGGAGGTAACCAGCGGTGCTGTGCATCATCTTCCCGGCTCGAATCTGCAAGGCTGCTCGTCGGCGGTATTGGCAGGCGTACTTTCGGGGTCCTCGAGAATCCAACTGCCCAACGGATCCAATGGAAACGGAGTGTGCATACTAGACGCTCGCGACCTCCGTGGCCTGTGTCACCTCGACGAGGCGAAGGCCGCCTGCGCTCGATGACCCTGGTGCTACATCCCATTTTGGAGGTCCACGTTGTGCAAGGAAGAAGTGCGATTGGTGAATTGAGGTCCTCCCGCGCCAAGTAGGCTAAGCAGAGTTGTCCTCGGCGGACCTCTTGGCAACCTTGGGTGGCTTGCGGAGCTTCCTCTACACTCAGCGCGGTGCCCTGTAATGGTCCCATATTATGCTTCTGGTAGGCGTGAAAAGTAATTGCCTGGTACGAGGCCTGGTCTGTCTGCATGTCGCACATGTCGCATGCTGGGTCCCTGATTGGCCGTGGGGCTCAAACGTGAATGCTGCACCACCCGAGGCGTTGACTATAAACATCTTGCTGAGCCCTGCTCGTTTTGCTCCTGCAGCCTGCGCATTCATTTAATAGCACGCCTGTGCCCTGTGGCCCCTTCTTCTCTATCGACAACTGTCGCTCGTCTCTCTCTAATCGACAAGCCCGAGAGCCCACCGTCAAGATGGCCGTCCTCAGCGAATACAACTATATCATGGCCATAGGCACTTTCTTTGCCTTGCTCGATGCCTACAATAACGGTGCCAACGATGTCGCCAACGCCTGGGCTACCAGTGTCTCCTCGCGCTCCATCTCCTACCGCCAGGCCATGGTCTTCGGCACCATCTTCGAGATGTTGGGAGCCATCACCGTCGGCGCCCGTACTGCTGAGACTATCAAGAACGGTATCATTCCTGGAACCGCCTTCAAAGGCGACGCCGCTGTCCAGATGCTTGCTTTCACCTGTGCACTCGCTGGAGCCTCAACCTGGGTCATGTGGTGCACCAGGCACTCCGCTCACGTTTCTTCAACCTACTCTCTGATCTCGTCCATTGCTGGTGTTGGTGTTGCCACAGTTGGAGCTTCCAAAGTTCAGTGGGGATGGAACAAGGGCAAGGGACTTGGTGCGATTTTCGCAGGTCTCGGAATGGCTCCCGCCATTGCTGCTGGATTTGGTGCCTCCATCTTCATGCTCATCAAGGTCGTCGTCCATATGCGTCGGGATCCAGTCAAGTGGGGTGTATACACTGCTCCCTTTTTCTTCCTGGTTGCCGGCACCATTTGCACGCTATCTGTCGTCTACAAGGGATCTCCGAAGCTGGGTCTCAATAAGAAGCCTGCTTGGTATGTCGCCTCCGTTACCATGGGTACCGGTGCAGGAGTTGCTCTGCTCGCGGCTATCTTCTTCGTTCCTTATGTCTACGTCAAGGTCATCAAGAAGGACCCCAATGTCAGGTGGTACCACGCTATCATGGGGCCTCTCCTATTCAAGCGCCCGGCCGCCCCCGAGGGTGAGCAGGCAATTGTTCCCAACTACGCTGTCGTGCAAGAGGATGACCTTCCCATGACCAGCACCCGTTCGTCTTCCCTGAGCGACGAAGACTTGAAGAAGGGTACTGCGGACGATACTATTGCACCTGTTGACTCGGAGAAGGCTGCCGCTCATGCTGAGTCTAAACAGCTCACCTACCAGGAATTAGTTGCCGAAGGCGAGGCCAGGTTCCACGCGAAGCTCAGGCAGAAGCGCGGACCGATTGGCTGGGCCATGCGACTTCTTCACGACAACCCCATGGGCGCTGGTGAAATCTATGAGCGCAAGAACATTGGGACTTTCTTCAAACGCCTTCCCGCCATGATCACCGTCGGTCTCCTTTACGGTCTCCACTACGACATCCATGCCGCTCAGTCTGGTATCCACGGTACCCCCGAAGGTGCTCGCATGGAACGTGTCTACGCCCACGCGGAGAAGTATCCTAACGAGGTCGAGCACGTCTACTCGTTCGTCCAGATTCTCACTGCCTGCACTGCATCATTTGCTCACGGTGCGAACGACATCGGTAACTCTGTCGGACCTTGGGCGGTGATTTACCACGCCTGGATGTACGGTGAGGCCTCTACTAAGAACGCCCCCGTCCCCATCTGGCAACTTGCTGTCCTCTCTGCCACCATTTCCGTTGGTCTCATCACATATGGCTACAACATCATGAAGGTCATGGGCAACAAGATTACCTACCACTCGCCATCACGAGGTAAGCTCATTTCGCTACAAATTCCGATAACTTGTGCTAATCCTATCCAGGTTCCTCCATGGAGATGGGCGCCGCTATCACTGTCCTCCTCTTTTCGCAATACTCGCTCCCAGTATCAACCTCCATGTGCATCACCGGTGCCACGGTCGGTGTCGGTCTCTGCAACGGCACTCTCAAGGCTGTCAATTTCCAGCGTGTGGGCTTGCTCGTGTTCTCATGGATCATGACGATTCCCGTTGCCGGTACTATTGGTGGCGTGCTCATGGGCATTGTGCTCAACGCTCCTCACTTCAAGTCATAGAGCAATAGTGGACCGTCATGAGCGAGAGGATGATGATGAGCGAAACGTTGAGATACCCGATGGTTTTTGGTGTTGGTCGTGGGCTTCGAACATGTTACCGTTTTCTCTTGCACTTGCAGTATAGAATTGTTTCAGTCAGATCTTCATTGTCTATCATTTTACTTGATGCATCCATGGCAAAGCATGTCCTGGCGGGCGTACCATCTTAGCATAATAAATACAATCGCTTTACACTACGATGTTTACAAATTCAATCAAGAGGGACTAAGAAATCACAAGCTCACTCGGCTCTAGGCGGCTGCTCGGCACAAAATAGCAGCGGCTACAGTGGCGAGGAGCAAGCAATATCGTATCGCTTACACGTTGCTTCGCATTGCTTCGTACGTATTGCGCGCGGGAGGCGCACGGAAGCATGTTCCCATGCAGGTGTAGCTATCGAGATCATCTCCGCGCCCGAGTTTCACCACCCTTCGGCATTGTACACTCCGGGAAGGAAGCGTTTGTCTTTGCGAAGTAGTCCCGCCGATCGGCAGAGGAGCAAGACTTGCCCTTCCTTCGGTTTTCAAGTACGCACGATGAAATCCCACCAACGCCCTCACGCGACACAGCACCACCGAGACACACCAAGGTGGATACTTACACGCAAGCTCACCATCCCATCGGCGCACCCGCCTCCACCAATACCCACCTTACAGCACCCAGAACCACGTTGCCGCGCCGCGTGCGCGCATGCACGCGCAGTCGTACTTTCCCAGGACCCCACGCGCTTCCACGCCCGTGCACCGCCAAGAAGGCTTGTTTCCGCTGCTCTTGGCGGGACTTTGACGAACAGGAGAGAGAGATGGGGGGCACGTGGGGCTTAGGAATTGGGGCTGGCCGCGGTGCCAAGATGGGCGTGCACAGCGTGTAAGGATTGTGGGCGGAGGGGTGCCGCGTATGCGGTGCGAGGACGGGCGTAAGGGATGCGTTGAGTAGGCACAGGCGAGGGGTTTTGAGCTGTAGGAGAGGCGGAGTTTGATTGAGTGCTGGTGGGTGGTGTGAAGGGAGAAGAAATACCGCAGTCAGGGACGTCGGCTGCAGAAGGGTTCTCGAAGGTCGCTGTGTTGGGCGAGGCGTCTGGTATCGCGCCGCTAGCATCTCAGCCTGCCTCATCATCCATTGTACGGTTTCTGCACACTATCGACTGGATTATTGATTTGACTCGGTTACCGCATCATGGCCGTGGTATTGCCTGCGTTGCACTGCGGCGAGGCCGCAAGCACACAGCCATAATGGAATGCGTGGAATGTCAGATCATGTGTTGCTGCCCGAGGCGACAGCGATTTGGAATGCTGTAACCCCGTATTGCGAAGGTGCCATCTATCAGGTAATATTGGTGTCTCGTGTTCTCGCCTGAGCTTGTCTTAATATATGACTTCGTCACAATGCCTCGAGCGTGTGTCACGGTGCTATGCTTAGCTCGTCCAACAGACGAACAAAGCCATGTCCGTCTCCTGCAAGGAATCCACAGCGACCAAAGACTGTCCGTCCTCTCCATCCCACTCCCACCAAAAGAGATCTCAATAACGCTATCGCCCATATCGCTCACACGCTCCGTTATGTCGACCTTGGTCTGTGATGCGCGCAGTTGCATGTTGCGGAATCTCTTGCGATATTTGTCTTCATGAGCAAGGAAGGACCGCGCGACGATATGGTCGATGTCCTCCTATTGCTCTCACTAGCGACCGTACATTGATGCAAGCTTGCAGGATAGAGTAATAGTACCGACGTAAGCGTACGGTCCAGACAAATCCTGCCTCGATTTCCTTGTATATGTGGCCCAGGGGTTCGAGCTCCTCGATCTCCACGAGGTCTTTGCTGATGATGAGAGATTCCCTTTCTGTGTCGGGCTGCGCGCGCGAGACCCGGTATGCGCCTACTTGAGGCTTATACATATCGGTAAGGAAAATGAGTGCACGAGTCGCGACAGTTCGTGGCTGCACTTACCGCTGAAAAACGAGCATGTACAGGCTGTGCGCCGAAGAACTAGGTTTGACCGGAGACTTCTGGCGTCAGGTTTATTGAGTAACATATGTAATATTGGACCTACTTGTAGCTCTTACATAGGTCGGCCTCCATCCAGAGCTACGAAGCGACTCCGTGCTGGCGTAGTTCTCCATACGTTCTCTTTCCATATCCTAGTATTTGTCGCGAGTGGTCAGTCATTGTCTCAACTCCCAGCTGACATAAGTATACAAATATGCGGCCATTTGTTCATCGCTGAAACGTCGTCCATTGTCCCAGGAATTGATCAGTCGTACTCATCTTTCGTATGTTTCCGCCAGTGGCAGGGTCGAAGTGGTGGAGATACTCCTCAAATGCGATGTAGATGTCAATGTCAAACCCGGAGCAGCCTCTTGGACCACATAGACCCCGGTCATGTCGGCAAGTGCCAATGGTCACCATGAGGTAGTCAAGAAGCTACATGATCTTATTAACAGCAGATGACATGTATAGGGAACCAGCTACCTCAGGAACCTAAACACATGGTTCTGAAGCTATCCTCCCATTTTTAAGATATTCCGGCATCCAATGAGGCCATGGATGATGGATCGTACTGACGAGCGATATCTACCGCATTACTCACTTCGATGAAGTCCTCGAGTTCTTCACTTGTCGTCTTCAGCTTCTCTTTCACAGCGGTCACTCCCTCCAAACCAACTATATGTCTCGCTGGTGGATTGTCATGACCACCGATAGCCGTCAGCGCGTGCACAGTTTCTGCTATCAAGGAAGCCTTTACAACCGGCGGCAGAGGTGCATACAACGATGTGATTGTGTCAGAGCTGAGTAAATCACCCATGGTCGGCTCATGAACCGTGGTAGCATCTGGACTTGTCGTCGAGATGCTGTCCGTGGGAGACTTTTCCTCCGGGTAGGGCAACGGATTATTAACGCGATCAAGCTTATCGAGAAGGTTGGAGAAAATGTCGCGAGCAATAGGTGCGGGGTTTTCGGCTTGGAGATACTCGCGCATCGGGGGGACGGAAGTCATCTTGTTGGTGAGGACATTGACTTCCATGTTTGCTTGAACAATAGACATTTTGATGTTGAATGGAGCAATTTCATACGCCAGACTCTGGTTCCCGGTTAGCCATGCCTGTTCGCCATAGCAGATACATACGTCGCAGTATCCTTCGATGGCCCACTGTGATGAGCAATACATGGCCAAACCTGGGGTCCCGAGATGGCCAGCTACAAACCGTCACTTCTCGGTTCATATCGGGATTTGTAGAGCAACTTACTGACACCTGTCAACATGATAATATGGCCGTTTTTCCTTTCGCGCATCGTTGGCAGGACCGCTTTGATGATGTTCACATTTGAGAAGAAATTAGTTTCGAATGTGTCCTGCACAAGAGTGATCGTCCGGCTACTTTGGGCCAGTTCCTCTACGGCGCCAATGACAGCTATGCGGACAATTCAGTCAGGTCCTTCGCATGAGATGATGTTTGAAAGAGTGTACCTTCGCTAGTGTTGCCAAGTAGCACATCGACACGTCCGAATGCTTCGACAGCTTCTGCGATCGCCGCCTGACACTGGCCAACAACCCTCCCATCTAGTCCGACAACTCTCAATCTTTCCCTCCATCGTTCAGTGTGCTTCACATCCTCGAGAAACGCTCGAAAGTCCTCACTTTGGCCCTCTCTCTTTTCGAACTCTTGAGGAACAACGCCAGCTACTACATAGTCACCGTGATCGAGGACTTGGCGCGCCAATGCGATTGCGATGGGCGACGAGCCTATTGTCAAGAACCATACGCGGGGCGCGTTATGTGGAGGGAAATGCGGGGACCGTGCCCGGGGCGCGCGCGACGACTGCGTGCTCTGCTGCGTCATGATGGTAACAAACTAAGGGAAGCGATCGAAGGCAGCATCACGCGCAACTTGAGATGGGCCTTTAGGGATTATGATGCTTCCAATTGAGGTTGCGAACGGCAGAAGCGCACTGCATGTGCCTAAGTCCGTAGTGCGCTAGTCCGTATTCTCCGCTAGTGCGCACCAAAAATGATTCGTTCCGGACGTTCACTCTCACCACAACCACCACCTGGGTGAGAAGCTTGCCAGATACTCGCCAAAGACCATTTGAGTTTGCAGAAAGAGATAGAATGCTTATGAAAAAGACAAACAACATATCGATATTGCTGTGGACGGGATAATTCCTCCCGTGAAGGGCTCCGCCACTGTCATCGCCCTTATTCACTTCGACTCCAGCAGAGGTATGCTCAACTCTCACTCATCGTCCGTCTCTCAGCCTCCCAAATGCTCCTAGCCACACTATTTGCTCCCAGCCTCCCGACATTAGCGGGGGATAAAGGTCCCAAATGCCGCACTTTCTCAGCTGTACCCTTACCCCAATTCTCTCGATCCTATTATCTCGTACAGCTTGCCATTCAGTACTCAAACTCTTTCCCCAACACCCAATTAAGTCTCACGCACAATGTCTACCGACTTCAGTGCCGGTCCCAACGACCCCTTGTACAACGACTTCGGAAGGCACCTCGCTAATATGAGCTTCTCGGCAGCGCTTGCGCATCCCACCTTCATCCAGGACTTCGAAGCTGCTACTGGAACGACCCCACTGCCCAAGTGGATCTGCGAGCTCTACACCTATCGCACCAAACCTAAGAAGCCCGAGAGCCGTCTTAGCCAGACACTCAAGCCCAAGGATCGTTCTGCGGACGCCCCGAACTGGACCAAGCGCACCAACAACTTCCAGTCCAAAGGCTGTATTCGCAAGCGCAAGATTGGGATCGCAAGCCCGCGCGAACGCAACTCCAAGTACGCCATGCCACGCCCAATCAATGCGGTGCAGTACCAGCGCCATGCCATTCAGCTTATATCCAGCGTGCTCAACACCCGCGCCAATGCTTCACCATTCACCTTGATCCTGGACGACCTCAACCAGCGCGCCATCCCATTCCTCCAGCAGCTTGTCATTCGCGCTCTCTCCCGCAATATCAACGTTGTCATCGTCTCTTTCGAGAGCACGCGCTTCCAACCTGCCGTGCGCAATGTCTCCGCCTGGGGCAACCGCACGGCCGCCACCATCCTTGCCGACATCGAGCAAGCCCTCAGCGACCGTAAAGAGAGCCTCGTCATCATCGACTCCATGTACGACGCCGTCGCCACCAAGAATATTGATACCTCCACGCTGTTCAATCTCGTCGTCATGAAGTACACCTCCAACCTCGTCGGCGTCTACCACACCGACGTGCTCCCCGAGCCTTCCGCCTCCGGCGCCGACGCCTATGCCCCGCAGCCGCTGGAGCTGCTGAAGTTCATGGCCACCTCCATCATCACTTGCCGCTCCCTGTCGCACGTGCTCGCCGCCAAAGCCGCGCGCGAGCGCTCCCTCGCCGAGCCGACATTTGGCATGCAGAGCGGCGCCGAGGGCATCGTGCAGTGCCTCCACGCCAACGACCAGCGCGGCATCGTCCTTGAAGCCGAGTTCCGCCGCAAGTCCGGCCGACCCGAGTCAGAGACGTACTTCCTCCGTCCCGGTCGTGATTCCGACTTCCACCAGCCTGTCGGTCCACAACAGCTCTACGGCACGCTGAAGCAAGAGTTCGTGATCCTGCTCGAGCAGCACCCTGCCTTTGCGAACAAAGATGCTGTCGGCATGGTGGTTGCCGCGGACGATGAGATGGAGACGTCGTTCAACTTGGGCTTGACCGACAAGCAGAAGGCAGCGCGCGAGGGTGTTGTTCTTCCTTACTTCGATGCGCAGAAGCAGGAGGGTGGTGAGGGTGGTCGCATTCTCTACGACATGGGCGAGGAGGATGACTTCGATGAGGAGGAGGACGAGATCTGAGTACCGCGACTCGACTCTTGCATGCTCGGTTGGAATGACTCGTACCCAAGTATGAAAAGCGATTGCTCTGGCGTAACGGCGTTTTGGTGGGTCACCTGGATTCCTGAGATACCCTCATGGTCAAAGGCGTTTGGTTTAATCGGTCCACAATGGCTCCTTACTAGGACTTCGAATTCTGTAGTTCTTCGACTTTGCGCAGTTACTTGTATCTGGTTCTGTAGCACGAATAGAAAAACCAACTGAATGGCATATTGCATCTCGTCCAATAATTGCAGATGTCATGAAAGTCTGAGCACATAGATATCCCTTGCAATGAACACGTCAAGCAAGGGATACTAAAAAGACACGAGCCAATCGAATCCTCCCTATACCCGGTACTTCACGCAAAGCCACAGGCAATGGCAGTCATACCAACTTCGAAAGCAAAGCAACAAACGAAACACCCTCGTCCTCTCTACTCTCTACCGAGCAAATCACTTGGTGTGAACATTCCATGAGCCTCGTAAATACACAGCCAAGACCGTCGTTGAGTGCCCATATTATGACAGACTTCTTGCTAAGTTTGAGGATTTATTTCTTTTGCCCTTCGTCCAGCTTCTTAACTGTCTCTTTCTGGCTTTGTTCGGTGACATTATTTCACGCATGCTTGCGTGTCGAGCATCCGAGGTAAAGCGGCGTGTGCGGGTTCCACCTACGCTCAGTGTGGTCTTTTCTTGGGGGACAAGTCCCTCAGCTTCTTTCCTACGCTTTCGAACCAGGATCGTTTCCTTCCTCTTATGTTTTTGTCATCTTCCAAGTGGCTCTTTATCATACTCAGACGGTCGTCATGGATCGCCTCGAGCAGTCTGACCGCTGTCTGCACCTGTTCTCGAGTGGTGTTGAAGCTTGGATTGGCGGCAATGGCGGCCAGCAATGTATCGATGCGGTTTATTCCATCGCTCACCTTGCTCGCGGGTGGCAGGGTCTGGCAGAACGTTTGAGTATATCAGATCGGCAGCTATGTCATATGCCTTCGAGATGTTGTGATCGGGTTTCTTGTTGCATAGACGCTCCCATCCACCGATACTGAATTCCGAACAGACCTTCCCACCCGGAAGACCGAGTCCGGAGACTTGGACCATCTCCGTCACGATTGCTGAAAGGCTTATTCGAAATGCGAGAACCTGTTCAACAGCACGAAGATTCGCATTGGTGCGCGGCGCCCGCCCATCCAGTAACATTCGCAGAAAGCCGTGGATCTTGTTGTTGGCTGATTCATCGCTTCCAGGGTGGCTGTCGAGGTACTGTTGAGCTTGTCGCTTTACTAACGTCCATGCTGCTGGCATACTGCCCATTCGATGGAAGAGATCACTCAGATCCCAATCACTCGACGCGCTCGACTGACTTGAACTGAATTCTGAGCTAGCGGAAGGGTCTCGGTTCAGCCAACTTGTTGGGTCGGCGGTCGGAAGGACCTCTTCGAGGCTCTCCCACCGTTGCTGGAAGCTGATCATGGGGAGCGTGCTAATATGAGACCAACTGCTTCCCAACGTATCATTTTCGACGCTGAAACGTATTTCATGCTTCTTCCACTTTCGATCGATCTCGGTGAGATTCTAAAAACCTCTGATGCAATTTCTTTTTGCGTCTTCTCTTGTTCCGGCTTTGGTGGCAAGGCGTCGCTTGTCTGCTCAGCCCTTTCGGCCTTTTTCTGCCAGGCTTTGATCAGTGCGCTGGTGTAGATGCCACCGCAATAACGACCCTCCAAGTCAGACTTTCTTTTTTCTCGCCGGCGGCCGCAAAAGTCGTCTTTTCAACATCCCTGCGCACCAACTGACCTCCGGAAGAGCACGCCGTGCTTATTATGATAGCCTCAGCCTTTTCACCGACTACGGCTTTAAAATCTTCAACCAAGAACTTCGCTTTGTACAGGTATACACTTTTGGTCTCTTCGTTCCCATGTCCGAACATCAATAACAATATTTCATGATTGTGCTTCTGCGCATGCCTGACTTCCTGCTGAAGGTGATGGATGAAACGCTGCTTTAGTTCATCTGCGTTAACGACCACGAGGGTTTGTCATGCAAATCCTTGGTTTCAGCAGACCTTGGCTAAGAACTACCTTTCGGGGGTAATATGGATTACCATGTAGGTATTGGTTGTATCTTGTCACCAGATGCTGGGGCTCTTCGGCCGTGATCCAGCACTCGGCTGCTGCACCAGAATTCTGGAGCAAGTGCTTGAAGGCGTAAACGTCGCTGATAAACCAACCATCTAAGATTGGATCAGCGTTTCCGGGAGGAGCGCATGTCCGGTGCTTCCCCCTCCACGTACGCTTCATCGAAGTCGAAGACTTCGTAGGCCGTTTCAAAATCCACACACCCACAGACTGCAATGATTCGTGTCCGCTCATCTACAGGCGGAGGAATGTGCGTGACGAATTCGGAGATGTGGTTGAGACTAATGTCGGGCCGCTTCAGAACCATTGTCTTAGGTGGTATGGCAGTTTTCGACATTTTGGTCGTGAGCTCGTCCATAGTGGCAGTCAAGGAATCGAAAAAGTGAGAACGGAGGAGAGGACAGGTGAGGACTGACATTGCTTTAATAATTAGTGAGGCCAACAACATTTTGTTGAAGTGGATGGATGTCCGTTGGAATCTTGGTTCTCCGAACCACAGTTTGCGACACTCTCAATACTTTCAAACGCTTGATCGCAGGATAGAAGACAAGCTCTGTATTATTGCGCTTGTGATTTTCTAGTTCTGAAAGGGAACGCAAGTGTTTTTCAAGTGTCAGAGCAAAAGAGTGAGCAACGATCCGCAAGTGAGAGTAAACAAGAGTGGGGAAAGTGGATCCAGGCAAACGGGGGTCTAGGCACGCATATGTCGGTCGAATTGTACGGCAATCGGCTGGCCTGTATTCTCTTCAACTATTGTGGAACAAACAGAGGAGCGGAAAAATACAGATCATAGCTCAGATACAAAGCGGGAGAAGCAGCGGCGGTGGACAAACTGTGATGTCTGTCGTAGCACTCAGAAAACCATTTCTTGTACATTGTGACTTTGTTTGCTCTTGAAATCTGCGAGTACTATCCCGACTGGGAACGCGTCCGCCTGTGTGCCGCTGGACAGCAGCTTGGGCCACACTCGTTGGAGACCTTATGCTTTGATCACGGGTGAGATGTTGACAAATAGCGACGGATAGTATCAAGCAACCGAATTGTGGAGTTGGTATACATTAATTTAAGCTGTGTCTTAGTCTGAGAAGGCTTAGCCATTTCAAAACGTTGTCGTCGTAAAGGCGGCCCCGATGTTCTTCTGAGCATTTGGCACGTGAAAGACAGCAGCGTATGGTTGATGATGTGATTTGACGAGGAGAAGTCGTTGAGGCGGAGGCGGACCCGGCCAGAATCGCATACGCTTTTGTATCATTATCGAACAATGGTCTCTTCATCTTCCTGTTGAGAGGGCTTTGGCCTGCCTTCAGCTTTCTCTGGCAATAGCATAAGCATGAAATTGAAGCCAATGGCCACCGGAACAATAACGACCCAGAAGAGCTGCCCCAGAAGAATATGGTGCTTGACTCCAATGGCGTACAGAGTCGTAGATGCGGCGGGAATGATTGCTCGGATCCCAGACTGCAGAGCCAGTACAAGTGCATTCAGCGTACCGAAACTCTCATGCGAAGGAGAGATGTCGTTGAGCGCAAGTTGTACCCCAGCTACACAAATGTTAGATGGCCTCATCAGAATTTGAGACGAAGGAGCTTACTGAAGGCCATCGCGACAGAACTACCGAAGATGTTATTGAATGGAAAAAGAACCCAGAAGGGAATCTTCAGTCCGTGACGGAGGAAGATGTTGCAGATCGGGTCCGTTGTGAAGAAGATGGGCCAGATGATGGCACTGAATCGGAGGACACCGCCAGTTCCGATGCGCTTGTGGAGTGATGGGAACAGGAGAAGTAGCCAGAACGCCTGCGATAACCCTCCCAGTGCCATAAAAATAGATTGCCACTCGGGAGACAGCTCCAGCCCGCCCAGGTGAACAGGAGTGTACATGAAGACGGGGAAAGCAGCAGTGAAAGCGAAAGCCAGAAGCATGCAGTAGTTGTAGATAAGCATGACACGAGCAACGCCAGGGTACTGGAGCAATTCCCACGTCGTCATAGCGGGCCCTGCTGATGTCTTTTTGCTTTGATGAATATGCAATGTCTGGGATCGTTGTTAATGAGGGCTTCATGATAAACCACAGAACAACACAAACCTCTTTGACATTGAACGTCACAAGCACAGCAGCGCTTAGTCCAACAAATGAGCAGACGAATCCGGGGAGCGCATATGGGTAGTCGTTAAAGAACTGCACGTGTCCAAATACCGATGGAAATTTTACAGCGGGCCGTTCCAAAGCACCACCTGCAGGGAAGTTTAGACAACGACAATCTGAGATGCTTGTATGAAGACATACCGATCAGAGGCCCCACAAAGATGCCTATGTTACCTGCAAATGCAAAGTAGCTGAAAACACGAGCTTGGGTGGCCTTGGTGCTATTCTCTGTGAGCATTGCACGGACCGTGACTACTGTGCCGGCAAACATGCCAGCCAAGCAACGGAAAAGTACCATCTGCCATAGCGACTGACTGAGACCGAAGAGTGCAGTGCAGAAAGCAACTCCATACAGAGACAGGGCAAGGACTGGTTTTCTTCCAAATCGATCGGCAGCCTGCAAACGTCAGTGGGTCTAGAACCACCGACCTCATAGCTTCACGATCACTTACGATTCCCCAAAACATCATGACGAACATCTGCGTCAAGGAAAACAAGCTCTCAATTAACCCTGAATAGAATCCAACAGAATCCTTGGGGATACCGCCCGTCTTCTCGATCATATAATTGATATATGGAAAGATCGAGAAGAATGCTATTGGTTCGACCACACGGGTGTAGCACAACAGAATAATTTGCGTCATGTCCAAGCTCTTGGCCTCATCTGACTCCGCTCCATGGTGAGCTGCATTGGCGGAGACTTCAGCCTCTCCTGCTTCAGCGAGTGGTGCAGAAGCAACGGCGGTGAGTAAAGGCGTTCGTTCATCGTTGGCTTTGATCGGTGAGTGATCGTCTTCGGATCGACTTCTTGATGTTGAGGGAGCCGTGGCTTGCAGGAGGCCGCGCAATACCTCATTGGAGGACGACATGTTTCGATAGTGGAGAAGCCTAGAGGCCTATCGAAGTCGTAGGAGGCGGTCTTACCTAAAGCGACGGCAAGACCAAGCAGACGTCAATTGCGTGACTGAAAACGGTAGCTAGCAATGGTTGAACCCGGGGACGGTGTTAGTAGTGAAAGTACGTGGAAGCGATGGAGGGTGCAGAGAGCAGACTCTTGCAAGCATCGAAGGAGTTATATGCGAGCAGAGAGCACCGATGTTTGACTCGAAGTCGTTATTCCCAGGCCGCGGCACGTCGGCGCTAATGGCCCACTACCCCAACACGGAAGGACGCTTCGACTATTATCCATTTGATGCCCTAGTTGATAAGCATCTGTGCAGTCTAGCCAACGCCGGGAATTTCTGCGCTTAGGTTTGTTGCAATGCAAGGGTGCACGAGCCGGGCGATCACCAGCTGTTGTTCCAGGCACCGAGATTATCAGGCACCAAGACTATCATCATATCGTTTGTTCCAGGCACCAAGACTATCGTCATATCGGTTGTTCCAGGCACCAAGGCTATCATCATATCGCATACCATCAGTCATCAAAGTATCGTACTTCTGGTAAGAGGACGGGAAATCAAAATGTTTGTGGACTATCTCTTGGTCTATTTGGTAGTGTGTGGGATCGCAAAGATTCAGAAATTGGAAGCAGCACAAGTTTCAGATGATGATAGTAATGCATGTATCATGGAACAAATACCACACTCAGCAGTCAGACTCTGTAAGTCCTGTGTAACAACGATTGCAAACGATTCCTATCTTCGTGCACTAGGCAGCAAGTTGAGCGAGTCCTCATGACAGAACTGCGCTGTGACTTTGCAAACGCTCTTGCGTATCGATAACACCTCTGGTCAACCAAATCTCCGGCTGCTGCCTGTTCTATGCCCAATGCATGTTTTCCTCGTGGTATCAAGATATTTTTGCAGTCCCCACCAACGCCATACAAATGCTCATGTTTTCTTGCCGGACTCCAATGCGATTTAACGAGCGCGCGTGGCATCCGTCCTCAGCTTGTCGATCAGAATGTCAACCGAATCCATATCTGTGGCATCTAATTCCTTTTCAGGCTTGAATGTAGCGGGTACGCTGTCGACTACAGCGTCTAGCGCTGGCTGGTAATTGCGAGTCGCGCACGAAAGAGCCCTGACGGCCTTCTTGCGCACGGCTTCGTTGGAGTCTTCGGTCGCGAGTTTGACGAGAGTGGGCAGGGCACCAAGCAGGAGTAACCAGGAGCTGTCAGTACACTAGGCGCGATATTTTCGCATTTGCAGTGTGCTTACCCGTTCCTGTGCCTTGACGTTGTTTTCTACCGCTGTACCGGCACACCAAGCCGCGTACTTCCTCAGGTCGGCCTCTTCATGCTCCAGTTGCTCAATGAGGGGTGTCCACAGCTTGAGGGGCTCCAAGTTGTTCGCGTTGTCAATGCCTTGGATCATCATCTCGAAATCCTCGAATGCGATGACTTTCTGCTCGAGCGTGGCCTCCGGGTGCTGGATGACCTCCATCTTGTACTTCATCATGTCGGCGTCAGACGGCCCGGACATGCCGCTTAGAATCTCCTGCAGCGTCTGGGGGTCGAGCTGCGTGTTTGGGTTCTTGGGCGCATTGGGGTCATTTCGCGACACCTCGGAGTTTTCGATGCCCCATTTGAGGAGGTCGTTGAATTTGGGGTTGTTCATTATGCGTGTAGGAGGTAGTCGAGTATGTTTGTCGAGGCAAATTAGGGTGAAGGCGAGCAGGCGACAAAGTATTCAGGCAGGGACACAAAGATTTGGCGCGAGTGGTGGATGACGCGGGTTGGCACGCGAACATTCGAGCGGCTTCGGTACCGCCTTGCCTGAATCGGCGTCGGCCTGTACCGCAGTCGAAAGCCCAGCACCCACCGCGACGGCTGCTGGGCCTGATAGTCACGATGTCGGATTGGCAGGGACTGCCACAAAATCCACCTCCATCAAGGGGGGACTGCTCGCGGCGTCTCGTTGCTTGCAATGGCGCCGCCTCGATTGGGCACCCCACGCGCTCGGTGCTTGGTGTGCCCAGCTGTGCCCCTCATTGCACGTGACCGTCGGAGCTTGTACATTTTCGCGGGGACGATGCGAGGCGAGGCGGTGAGCGTGCGTGCGGCTGGCGGCTGGCGAGAATGTCCAGGGGCGTCGCCGCTGGGCAGCCCGCTGTCACATTGAGCAGTCCCTCTGCCCACTTGCCGCCGACACGTCGCTGAGGCGGATACGTCGTGCTGGCGGAGCGGGCCTGTGTCCTGCGCTGCGAGACACGGCCAGACACCGCAGGCAGCGCCGAAAGAGCTTGGCGGCCCTCGTCTGCGGCGGAGAGCTTGCGTACACCGTGATGAGATGAGATGCAAATAGAAAAGCTGCAGCCTAGCCGCGTGTATAAGTCGCCGCGCGCTCGGCACAGAATCGAGTGCCACTGCACGCTGCAAACTAAAATCTGAGGCTGGACTCTGTCAATCCGCATCCGCGAAGCCCGTGGCAGTGCCCCTTCTTCACCAACCTCGTCGCTCCTGCCGCCCCCGCTAAGGGCAAGACCCGCTTATTTAGCACCCACCGACACTTGCCTCTCTTTGCACAGAACACACCTACCACATCACCTCTACCCGCAACCTGTACGTACATAGCCATCCTCCACACCTACGACGTTCGACTGTCGTTATTGTCGCGAGCTCACGCTGACCCTCAATCGCCGCAGCGACCTCGATCGAATCTCTCTACCTCCAAACCTTACACCCTATCTAATCCGTCAACATGGAAGAGGAAGGTAAGCAGAGGTCCAGCCAGCGCGAGCTCCTGTCGCGCGGAGCTCCAACTGTGCGCCGTCCATCTCAATGAGCCCTGCTGACATCGATTTGCTTAGTCGCGGCTCTCGTCATCGACAATGGGTGAGCTCCCCCCGAATTTGAACCATCGTCATCCCTGTTGTGGGGTTATCAGCTACGCCGGCCCCGCGCCCCAGGCCGCCGCCCACAACACCACAGCAGAGAGCGAGGGACCGACGTGATGGAATCGATCGAGCTGACCATTTCGCAGTTCGGGTATGTGCAAGGCCGGTTTCGCCGGTGACGATGCGCCCCGAGCAGTCTTCCGTAAGTCCCCTTCCCCGCGCCCTCTGCGGCAGCATCATGCCAGCAAACCTCGCGCCCACGATTCCCTGCCGCCTTTGAGCACCAGCAACTGACGCATCCGCAGCCTCCATTGTCGGCCGACCGCGCCACCATGGGTACGAGATCCACCCCTACCGCGACCATCGCCAGCTAACAAAGCGCGCAGTATCATGATTGGTATGGGCCAGAAGGACTCCTACGTCGGTGATGAGGCACAGTCGAAGCGTGGTATCCTCACGCTCCGATACCCCATCGAGCACGGTGTGGTTACCAACTGGGACGACATGGAGAAGATTTGGCACCACACCTTCTACAACGAGCTGCGTGTTGCCCCCGAGGAACACCCCGTCCTGCTCACCGAGGCTCCCATCAACCCCAAGTCCAACCGTGAGAAGATGACCCAGATCGTCTTCGAGACCTTCAACGCTCCTGCGTTCTACGTCTCCATCCAGGCCGTCCTGTCCCTGTACGCCTCCGGTCGTACCACTGGTATCGTGCTTGACTCCGGTGACGGTGTCACTCACGTTGTCCCCATCTACGAGGGTTTCGCTCTTCCCCACGCCATCTCCCGTGTCGACATGGCTGGTCGTGACTTGACCGACTACCTCATGAAGATCCTTGCCGAGCGCGGTTACACTTTCTCCACCACTGCCGAGCGCGAAATCGTCCGTGACATCAAGGAGAAGCTTTGCTACGTTGCTCTTGACTTCGAGCAGGAGATCCAGACTGCCAGCCAGTCCTCCAGCTTGGAGAAGTCGTACGAGCTTCCTGACGGTCAGGTCATCACCATTGGCAATGAGCGCTTCCGTGCTCCTGAGGCTCTCTTCCAGCCTTCTGTCCTTGGTCTTGAGAGCGGCGGTATCCACGTCACCACCTTCAACTCCATCATGAAGTGCGATGTCGACGTCAGGAAAGACCTGTACGGCAACATTGTCATGGTAAGTTATTACCCGCACACGTTTGCGGTGACACAGCGCTAACAGCACCCAGTCTGGTGGAACCACCATGTACCCCGGTATCTCCGACCGTATGCAGAAGGAAATCACCGCCCTTGCACCCTCATCCATGAAGGTCAAGATCATCGCTCCCCCGGAGCGCAAGTACTCCGTCTGGATCGGTGGTTCCATCTTGGCCTCGCTCTCCACCTTCCAGCAGATGTGGATCTCAAAGCAGGAGTACGACGAGAGCGGTCCCTCGATCGTTCACCGCAAGTGCTTCTAAGGTACGATACACTGCTTCGTCATGTCAAGGTATGGTCACTGACGGTTGTACACAGCATGCTCCTGCGTACGGTCTCAGACATTATGGCAAGCCTAGTAGCGGAGGCATCATGTTGGCGCTCTGTTATCACCAGGATTTGATCGCGACGAAGGTTCATAAAATGGCGACTCGCGCAAGGGGATGGATAATGCCGCTATGGATGAGCTTGAGCTCGTGGGTGGTATGCCCGAGGATCTTAAGATTGTAGCTTAGAAACCTGGACATTTCACATCCTCGAGAATTTGTTGATTTTCTACATTCATTGGCTGCTGGGTATCGTGAAGCGTTCAGCCATTTCCCGAGTCGATCGTAATCTTTCGGTATCAACCCCAGATGTTCAGAATCTGTATGCATCGTGACATCATGCGGCTCGCAAAGAATGGCCTAGCAAAGAAACAAGGAATGCCCATGATTCCCAATGACTGCCGGCCTCTGTCTGCCGCTGTTCTTCACAACACGTCTAGCACCAGCCCCACCAGCTCGCTGAATTCGGCCCTCCCTTTCATACTCCTGTCTAGGCCTGTGCCTAGCACGACTGTCCTTAGCTCGCGCTCGTTGCGCGTCTTGATGGCGCTCGCTATGTTTGTTGCAAGCGTCTGGGCCAGGACATCGAGCTCGGGCACGGTGCCGCCGAGGATGGTGGTCGCGGTGAGCTGGTGCATAGGCAGGAGATCGCTGGGAGGAGTGTCCGAGTCGCGGTCGTGAGAGAGAGAGGTGAGGGAGGAATCTGTGGCAGAAACGTCGAGGGGAACGTGGACCTGTGCGTGTGGTGTTAGCTCGAACGCAGAGAGTGCGGAAACGGGCGTAGGGTTGACGTGAGGAGCTGCGAGTGGTAGATGCGAGGGAGAGTGTTTACGATTGACGTACCCAATGTGCTAACCGTCCATTCTGCGTGACTGTTATGAGGATCTTGTCGGCAAAGTAGAGGGTTGTTGCTGTAGTAGGATGGCCGGCGACGGTAGTCGTGTGGGTTTTCGAGGGTGCTGGGAAGGGCGCTGAGACTACCTCATAGGTTTTATCCACTGCACGCGTCGTCGCCATTGTATAGTTTCTTCCGTTCCGCGAACGCTTTACCGCAACAGAAGCTCCAGTCGCAGCCGTGCTGCCCTCTGTGGTTCTGCCGGGCGGTGAGCTGACGGAGTTAAGCTGGCCCCACCAAAATTCTTGATCCCCAAAGTTTGCGCAACACGAGCATGCGCAGCGCAGTGCCGCGAGCTCCTACATCCACAATGCCGAAATTCACGCCCCGCCAGCGCAAGCACAAAGTCATTGCGCGGCAGAACCAAAACGCCGCCCACGATGAGTCCTCCGCCGACGCCAACGCGACCGAGATCATCCCCGAAGAGCAGCGCCTACGCGCGGAGAAGAAAGCTGCGCTGAAGAATGAGCTCGTCGCCGAGAGCAAAGGCAAAATGTCGGGCAAGAAGAAGAAGCGGCTGGACAAATACATCGACACGAAATTGAAGAAGGAGGAGAATTTGGTGCTGTTGAAGAAGTTAGCGAGCACGAAGATGGACACGAGTGGGCTGAGGAGCACGAAAAATATGGGAAAGAATGTGCAGAAGAAGAGGGAGAGGGTGGCCGAGGGGCCCGAGGAGTTCCATTCGGAGGAGGGCGAGGGGTCTGAGGATGAGGAGGTGAGGGAACGGCCGAGGGCTGGGAAGGAGAAGGCGATTGTGCCAACGAAAGCATCTTTCGAGACACAAAAAGCGCAGACTGCGCCAAGCGCTGAGGCCAAGCCTGTGGGCAGTGGTGGCCTTTTTGGAGCTGGTCTGAAGAGGCCGCTAGAAGTGGACGAGAGTGGGAAGCCGGTCATACAAGTTAGAAAGAGGAGGAAGGGAACAGCAAAGCCGGTTGTCATCGAAGAGGAGGTCCCTTGGGAGGGCTTCAATTCGGATGAAGACGAGAACGAAGACGAGTCTGACTCCGAGCCTGGATCAGCTTCCGAAGAATCGGAGGGCTCTGAGGATGGAGGGTCCGACTCAGCGAGCAACGACTCTGAGGAGGGCTCAGAAGACGAGAGCAGCAGCGACACAAGCGAAGACGAAGACGACAAGTCCGCGCGAAAAGAGCGCTCAAATGCATTCAAAGCCTGGGCGACAGCGCAACGAAACGAAGCGATTGGGTTCGTACCTACGAACAATCTCACGTACGCAGTCCCGCCGAAGCCGAAAAACTTCACTCCCCGCGCACCGGAATCAGACCCTCTGCCTCCCGAACTAGAAACGAAGACCGCGACGGACGCGACACGGAAAGCATACAGCGTCGCGGTGGAGCGAACGCCCGAGATCCAAGAGGCACGATTACAACTCCCAGTTGTAGCTGAGGAACAGAAGATTATGGAGGCGATACACAACAACGACGTGGTCGTGGTCTGGGGTGCCACAGGTAGTGGTAAGACCACGCAGGTACCGCAGTTCTTGTACGAGGCTGGTTACGGCGCGCTAGATGGGCCAACACCAGGCATGATCGGAGTCACGCAGCCGAGACGAGTCGCTGCCGTGAGCATGTCCAAACGTGTGGGTGATGAGCTCGGCAGCGAAAAGGCGAAAGTTGCGTACCAGATTCGTTTCGACACTTCAACAAACGCAAAGACGGCGGTCAAATTCATGACGGATGGTGTGCTGTTGCGTGAAATATCGCAGGACTTCATCCTGACCAAGTACTCTGCAATCGTCATCGACGAGGCGCACGAGCGTAGTGTAAACACAGACATCTTGATCGGCATGCTCAGCAGAATCGTCGATTTGCGGGCGGATCTCGCGAAGAAAGACTCCAAGAAGAACAAACCGCTTAAGCTTATCATCATGTCTGCTACGCTGAGGATATCAGACTTCACCGACAACACGCGGTTGTTCAGGCAAGGACCACCACCACTACTGAAAGCCGAAGGGCGACAGTTTGAGGTCACGAATCACTTTGCTCGAAAGACGCAGAGAGACTACGTCGAGGAAATGTTCCGAAAGGTCTGCCGCGGACATCGAAAGCTTCCACGTGGAGGCATGCTCGTGTTTTTGACTGGCCAGAATGAGATCACACATCTAGCGAAACGGTTACGACAGACTTTCACATCTACCCAGGGAAAGGAAGTCACAACCGGAAAGGTGCAGATCTCACCGGAGCAGACCTCCCTGGAAACCGAGGACATTGAGCTGGGCACCAACAAAAAAGACTACGAAGACGACGATGGGTCAGATTCCGATGACTCTATTATCACAGGTCTTGATGATGACGAAGAGAAAGACGAATTCGAAGATAAGGGTGGCTTTAACATAGAAGGCGAACCTGAACCAGAGGAGTTGAAGATCCACGTTCTGCCCCTCTATTCTCAGCTGCCTACCAATCAACAAATGCGAGTCTTTGATGAGCCTCCCGAAGGGTCTCGTCTCATCGTATTGGCAACTAATGTTGCTGAGACCAGTCTGACTATTCCTGGCATTCGTTACGTGTTTGACTGCGGAAGAGCAAAGGAGAAGAAGTACGATCTCACGACTGGCGTCCAGACCTTTGAAGTCGGTTGGATCAGTAAAGCAAGTGCGAACCAGAGAGCTGGTCGTGCCGGTCGTACTGGACCAGGCCATTGTTACCGCCTCTACTCTTCTGCTGTCTTTGAGCGCGACTTCGACGAGTACGCCGAGCCGGAAATTATGCGAACACCACTCGAAGGTGTGGTTCTCCAGCTCAAGAGCATGGGCGCTCCTGTACTGGGCTTTCCCTTCCCAACTCCACCCGATCGCATCCATTTGCAGAAAGCAGAGAACCTCCTCTTGTACCTCGGCGCTGTATCACTTGACGGCAAGGTAACGAAGCTAGGCCACGAGCTATCTTTGTACCCTCTCAACCCACGATTCGCACGGATACTGGTCATGGGTGTAGCCCAGAACCTCACTGCCCAAACGATCGCCCTCGTAGCCGCCCTTTCTGTCCCAGAACTCATCACGCCTGAAAACAAACTCGGTCTACGTGAGCCTCCTCCTGCAGATCCCTCGCACATTCGCACCGAGCAAGACAACGTAGAGGCGGAAGAACGGTCTCGGCTGAGAAAAGCGTATAACAAAGCGCTAGCGAAACTTGCGGTCAACGCTAAGTACAGCGACTGTATCAAGCTCAATAACGCCGTCTGCGCGTATGCTTATGAGTCTGACGGCGATGCGTTCTGTGAGGACATGTTTCTCAATGCTAAGGGCATGCGAGAAGCGGGCCAGTTGAGGCAGCAACTCACCTCTATAGTCCGCGCACACCGACCGACAGCACTCTCCGCATACCAAGCGAAGCTTCCCGCCCCTACCAGTTCAGAGATCAACGTCTTAGCGCAGATCTGCGCCGCCGGATTCATAGACCAAATCGCGCTCCGCGCAGACCTCGCGCCTATCCCACCCGAACTCCCCCGGAAACCCAAAACCGCCATCGACGTCCCTTATCTCACGCTCTTCTCCTCGACCTCCCAAAGAGCCAGCAAAGACGATCCCGTCCGCCAATACGTCTACATACATCCCTCCTCCCTTCTCGCGCGCACGCCGCCCGCCAAACTCCCCGCCTACATCATCTACTCGCATCTCCAGCGCGCGGCGCCGTCCACCATCGACGCTGTCGCGACGCCCAAGACGCGCATGCATCCTCTGACGCCTGTGACGCGTCCGCAGATTATCAATATCGCGCTGAACACGCCACTGCTGCAGGTGGGCAAGCCGAAGGGCAAGATTGTAGAGATGGGCAGGGAGGGCGGTGTGGAGAGGCGGGAGTGCGAGGTTGAGATGGCGTTGCAGGGGGACAAGGGGAGTCAGGGGTGGGGGTTGGGTGTCAAGAGGGTGGTGCAGAAGAGGGATGGGGTGACGAAGGTTTGGAGTGTGGAGAGGGTAATTGGATAGTTGATTGCTAAGAGCTATATACCCGAGAGGAATTCAATTGTTTGCAGAGGCATCGCCTCGCTCTGGTGTCGTGAGTATGAGCATGTTGCGTGCTGCACTCCTAGTGACCTGCGTTAGCGGGTTTAGTATAGTGCACGAGTGTTCTCCTCGACTATAGGGTGACTAAATATGGCTTGGAGCACTTTCACATGCCACAAAACCTGCATGACCTGTCGTTCCCTGTTCGGTGCGGCCTTGGCGTCGTTTACAATATTTCATTGTGGAAATCTATCTGCGTTAGGGCACTTGGGGGAATTCGTATCCTGTGTCTTGGCTTGCCACCAAATCTCTTTCTATCACCGCTTTCATGGACATGATCGATAGCGCACTGTACCGTTGAAATGATTTCGGAATCATTTTCGGCGTTGTGGCATCGCTTGCTCTCTCTACGCTGCAAGTCTTCGACAGTCTGATTACCTGGTTAGAGAATCGAGCAGGTGAAGGCAACATCAATTGGTAGTGTCCAATAGGTTTTGGCGCTGGTCAGCATGTTGGGAAGCATATGCGTATCGAATGCGATGAGCACAGAAACAATGCATGTGTATCAAATTCGCCAGTTCTGAACAGATACATAGTCCAACCCGCCAGCTCGCACTTGGAGACTTGATTTCAAACAAACGCGGATGAGGAAAACACAGGCAAACCTCTTGAATAATCGCTATGCATAGGAAATTCAGTTCCAGCAATGGTTTCCGTCGGCCTGCCTGCGAGGTTCTGGGTAGGGTGGTCCAGTGCGGGACTAGTAGCCGTCGTCGTCATCGGCCTGCTGTTGCATGGCATTATACTGGACCACTAATTCTTTTTGTTCTTCAAGAGCCGCCTGTTCCTCCGCCTAACGTACATCCTCAACCTCTTTCTACCTCCTTATAGCGTCCTGCTCCATTTTATCCTGCCACCGCCGCGCCTGCTCCTCTTCCTGCTCCCGTATCCTTGCATTTCTTTGGCAACGAGGACAGTCGTTATCATTGTCAACCACACTAGTGTGGCTGCAGGTGAGCTGGTTCCAAATCGCATGACAATGTAGCTGTGGTTGCTGATTGCAGACGCGGGCGATGAAATCAACTGGTTCACCACGACGATACGTGCACGTAACCCAATCGCACATTGTGGTGTGCCGAAAGCGTATCTGGATGGGTGATTGCGATAGTTTTAGGTGGTTAGAATTTCGTGTTTAGACCTTGAGGTGTTTGGAATAGCTAAAGCGGGCTTACGTGTATGGTACGGAGGAGCAGTACCAATGGACTGATAGTTAGTGTGGACGTTTCTGTGTACGTGTCGAGCTGGCGTGGTATCTAGAACTGTGGACAGGTTGGTGGATTTAACTGTTATTGATGCTCAATTTGGTATATATATATGTATAGTCGAATCGTACATTGAATGAGGACACGATCTTTGAAGAATAGTCTTCGACTGCTCTCTTCAAAGGAGACTTGAACATGGTTTTACGAGTACATACAAACGCGCAGGAGCGTTTGAGAACTCACTTTCAAGGTTTGAACACAGTCTGCATCCAATGCACTCGCACATGATCTAAGGCAATTGAAGAACTCTGCTGTGCTTCACAAATTCATTCAATCTTTCTGCATGGCGCGAGGTGTGTTGCCAATTTTCTTCACAATTTAGAATCATTCAAGGATAAAATTTAAAATTCTGTTTTGATCCTCCAACGAGCTCATGTACTGCATCTCACCGCGCCTTGCAAAAGCTCGCGAATAATTGATTTTAATTCGAGATTACATTCGATTTGGTGGGTTCGACTCGATAGTTTGGGCGTCTATGGTCATGGAAGGTCCTCGTTCACGACGCCCTCTTGTTCGTGGGTGGGGTTCATGGCAGGTGGTGAGGAATGATTTTAGTGGTGGGGGATATTTTTGGTAGCGGAGCTCAATGGATCCATATCACGTTGGACGTATGCATCGACTATGGTCATGCAACAGGAACAAGACGTCCATACCTTCTGACGCCGCCTGTGGCTCCATCGCATCCGCTATCAACTTCCAACTCACCCCGTAATCTTGCCATCTCCGGTTGGTCAATGGGCGCTGAATTCTGTAACGCATCTATCTCCGGCTCTTTGTCTTGTACTTCTTTGAATGTGTCTGCCAGAATGTCCTTTACTTCGCAGAATTCACACTCATCATCTTCCGCCTCAATAATGTCATCTGGCTAGTATCGGGGCAGGCCTGTCCAATAGACTCGGAATATCGGCAATTCTGGACTGTTTCACGGAGAGCATGCCCGCAAGGGTACCTCGAGTCAGCGTATTGGCACATTTTGTACGTATAGGATAGGTGTTTGATGACCTTAAAAGGAGTTAGTAGCATGCTCATACATATCCGCATCAGCTCTGTCCTCAACGTACTTTGATGTAGACTTGATCTGCAACTGGATATATCGAGTCTGATGTATCTTGAATGTCGCGACCGCGAAAATGGACGTGTATGGGTGTGTGGTAAACTGGTATCGTATCGAAAACTGTTGTTGAAACTGGTTGGTGGAAGAAGTGTCCGCAGAGTCTTCAGTGTAGATATATACTCTTTTTGTGCATTGAATTAGGACTTGTCTTCAATGGTGCCCTTGATACATGTGAAATCTGCCTAATGTACAAACCGCAATACAAGAAAAAGCGCTCAAAAGCAATTTGATGATCTATGCTAGCGCCTGCTACACATGAGAATATCAATCTATGAAGTGATTCAAGTGCTGGCCTCGTATATTGTGAATGAAATAAGATGGGAAATCTTGAGTGATATAAGGCGAGAGACTAATTCCAGTCGGAACCGGCACCTAATCTGTTCGCCTACCTGAACCTTGCTACGTTAACGCAGCACAACCAGTGTCAGGCATGACGGCCAATCCTGGAGCTCTAGCGAAAGAGGTCGCGATATACCACGATATCTGCATAAATGTTGTCGTGGTAATCAGAAGGTTTCATGGCAATCAGATCCATATAATTGCCTGGGGAGATATGTGAGGCCTGGATTAAGTGATTATAGGACCCCACTTATAGATAATGCTTCGTGATCATGGGTTTCCTCATCTTGAAGATCTCAAGTATCCAATGGTACCAATTCAATGATCCAGTCAATGAGGCAAACAACGAATACTAGACGAATGGTATTACAAATCTTTAACTCCTGATCACACAGAAGTATGTACCACCAGCAGACTGTCTACCCTCAAAACAAGGTAATTCTACCAAACACGCGGATTTGGAAACCCGGTTGCACACCCTGAGCAAATACTAGCCACAAAAAACACAGGCAGACTTCCAAAGTAGTATCCCAATTCAATGGAAGTTTCCTAGCCCCAAAGTACACTACAAGCCGCCTTACAACTTGTACTTCGTTTTGATGATTAATCCTACGCTTCCCCACGGCATTCCGGACACCTACCCTCCATGATCTCAGGTCCTCTTCGGTATACATTGTCATCCTGGCAATACGGGACATCTCGGCATGGGAAGCGCACATGTCGCCACTCATGTCCGCAGAATCTGTAAAGGTAGCTCCAGTAACTGCACATTGTCGCTGGTCTGACGTTCTCGGACGAAGAGTGGACAGCTTCTGGGGATGTTATGATAGATAGCAGGTGTGGCCGTGTGGGCGGTTGGTTGATATCGATGTAAATGTGCGTGTGTGGTGAGCTAGTTGCGGAAGAACTGAGGACTGTAGACTGATTGGTGGGTGGAGTTCTGTCTAGTTGAGGAGGCATATATACTATTAAGGCGTGTCGCGTATTGAATAGAGATTTTGCCTCGCACATTGAATGAAGTCCTCAAGTCACGTCCCGGTGCAGTCGGTGTGATCACGCAACGGCACGCTTAGTACAGTTCGGTTTGTGCACCTCACCAATAAGTAAAGCAGAGTTTAGTAACGTTCTTGGTTGGAGCATTCAATGCCGTTGCCTGGAAGATCAGCTTTTGGTGACTTCCTTCAAATGATGGATAGTTTCGGGAATGAGGGGGAATTTACACAGCATATACATCCTTCAGACAGTTTGATCCGACTGACACCGCCCGTGGACTCATTCGAAGCGAAACCACAATAAACAGCAACGACTGGCCAATCTAGAGGGTATGTTACTAGAACAAGCCAACAAGACTTACAAGCCACGGTAAGCTTCCAGGCAAACCCGGCCTGGGTATAAGCCCTATGCAGCTTAGCTACAGAAGACTTAGCCGAAGGGGGTGCGGATATTCTCAAGTCTCTTTGTGTGGCGTTTCATACGCCATGCGATGCATGGCGCCGGCTCCGTCCCCAGGCGGGGTACCTCTTGACTTTGCCTACCATGATCAGCGCATCCCTATGGGTCCGCAGCCCATGTTTTCAAGATGAATCAGCCTCCGACACTCGTGGATGTTCACACTATGAAACAGAGAAAGACTGATCAAGAGGACAAGCGCAGGTCTACCCTGAACAGGCAAGGCGTGCTCAGCGCCAGTGAATAGTGATATTAGACTTCTACATCTCTCGCCAACGGTGCGAGAAATCGCACACAATCTATTCCTTTGCTACACTTGTCTCGGTCTGTACCTTCTCGTTCATGAGCACCTCTACGGTGCGCTCTTTCTCGATGCTTTTCCTGGCGTCCGCATCAAGCGTGTTCAGCACGCCAACACACTTGTACGCCCCGAATTTCCTTGCTGGGAGACGCGCTTCGAACATCTCATCGATCTCCTCGAGTGTTCGGTTCTTCACCTCCGGCAGAAAGAAGAACACCCAGGTAGCCGCCAAGACGCAGGATGGGAACCAAATGTAACCATAGCGCGGTCCCCAATTGAGCGAAGCCGGGTTGATAAAGTATGGAGCAGTGAAGGTCGTGAGCCAAGCTCCAGCGAATCCAACAGCTGCGGCCATGCCGAATGTGTGCGAGCGAAGACGCTGTGTGGGAATCTCGCCGCCTGCCAGCCAAGCATAGGTTGCGATTAGACCATTGTAGCTGAACATGTATAGCGACGAGAGTGCGACGATGATTCTGCCTGTACTCTTCGTTCCAGGCTGCTTGTCGTATATGATCGCGATGATAATCTGGAGGATACCACAAACGAGAAGGCCGGTCATGAGGAGAACGCGACGATTGCCAAATTTGATGATGATGAGGGAGTTCGCGATGATGGCCAGGATGCCAATGCAGCTAAGCACGTTCGACATGGCGAAGGGATTTGAGACCTTGGCCATGGTCAGGAAGTAGGCTTTGTACGCTGAACAGGAATCAGTAAAGGCATTGTGTCATTCATAGAAATGAACTCCTTACCAATGATGAACATTGCGCCTGACGAAGCTTGTAGTGAGACCGCGCCGACAGCGAGGAGCGTCCGCCTGCGGTCAACAGGATTCTTCACCATGTCAACCCATCCTACGCCGGAACTCATCTCCTTTTCCCTTTCAATAGCGGCGCTGATCTCCGCCGCTTCAGAAGCTGTATCGTGCCCGTCAGGTCTTAGCCAATCCAGTGATTTCTTTCCCTCATCATATCGTCCTTGTAAAATCAGCCATCGCGGTGATTCCGGAATAAACAGCATGCCGACGGAGAGAAAGATGGGAACGATGTAGATAAGCCCGAGCGGAATGAGGTACGAGGACTTGTCTGGACGTTTTGCAGTGGCCCAGTCTACTATAGTGCCGATCAAAGTACCCTGCATAGTGTAAGCCAGTGGCGTCTGCTTGACTCAAGATACATACGAAGGAGGTGAAGAACTGGAAACCGGTCAAGAATAGTCCACGGAACTTGGCTGTACTGCTCTCTTGAATATAGAGCTGACTGAAGGTCATGAAATAACCATTGGCGAATCCAATGACGAGTCGACCAACGTAGAGCGCGCCGATGTGCGTTGTAGTCATCATGATAATATTGGCAACGCAGCAGGTTAAGCAAGCGACCCAAAGGCAAGCTCTTCGGCCAAATCTGTTCGCGACGAGACCTGCCGTACCGGAGCTGAGGAAGGCACCCAGCGTCATAAGGGACGATATCAACTGCTGTCTCTCCGTCGCGATATTCCAGCCTGTTGGAGACGAAGGCGTACGGTAACCGTAGATCTGGTTGGAGTCAGCACACGTCGCAACGTAGGCCAAAAGATACAAACCTGCAGAAAGCCCACCATGGCCTGCAGCCCACCGATCATTCCAAAATCAATCCCATACTGGAAAGGACTCAAGATCATGACCCCACAAGCGAGGAACAACCGCCAATGAGTCGTCCATGTCTCTTTTTTAACATCTGCCATTTCTACGTCAAGGAGGACGACACGCTCGGTAGTAGGTGAGGACGCACTGCTTCGCGGATGCAGCCTTTTAAAGGTGTCGATCAGCCAGGATCACTTGTGCCCAGACCAGAGATATAGAATGCATTTAGCCATCTGCCGAACGCCATGCCAAGTCGCATGTGCACTCCTAGGAAAAGCAGTTGTGGGGACCCCACAAAGGCCCAAAGGGAATGTGCTAAAGTGTTGTTAAAGCGGAGACGACTTGGCACTCTATCAAGGTACATGTGGGGAAGATGTAGTGGGTGGAAACGCAACTCAATTGAGCCTCTGAGGATGAGACAAGGAGCGCATCGCCATATGCCCGAATCGACAGGGTGGATTAGATGCAGGATCCTCCGTGCGTCTGTGGGCCGTATAAGCAAGCGCAGGGTGCTGGTCGTGACATTGTCTGCTATCATGGCCTGGTTTGCAACCCACATTCGCGCGAATTGTTGTCGCCTGGCATTCTCATGGAAGCCTTCCACGCCGGAATCGTTGTCAGCGACCAGATATTGGCGTTCCGGCAGTTCAATAACTTCCTTTGATGTCGCTGGTGCACGTGGAAGGATCATTAGGAGCTCTTGGAATTGCGCCCGTGAATCATTGGGGCGGAAGCGCGGAGCGTTTTCGGCTTAGGCTGTCCCAGTTTCCCCATCATTGGACCCCAATACCATGATGACACTTGACACATGGACATCCTGATGGAATTCCTGTTGCGTTGATCGATAGGTGATGAATTTTATGTTGCCACTATGGCCGTGAGACCGCAAACTGTCATTGTTGACAGCGTGATAAAGCCTGGCATGTGGATACGGAAGGCGCCACAAAAGAGACTAGAAGATAGAGACATAAAGGTCTATCGCTGAGGATATGAGGATATGACCACAAGAGAACGAAAGACCAGCGTGGATTGCCAGAAAAGAACGGTTTAGATGGCAAGGCGGAACCGTAAGCGTGGGTGCCAAGGCTTCATTGCGGAAGGAGCGACTTCATGCTATGGTAGAGCTGCGCGGAAAGGCATCTCGTTCGTAAAGCCGTCTGACCTTCTTTCAGAACTGGCGATATCCCGCCCACGCGGCTGCCCTCGATTGAGCCGACATCAGTCAACGTACCACACAGCCCACGCCCGCGCCCAGGTTTGCGAATAGCGCGAACTCACAACGCATCTATTCTGCACCTGTTTACCGCAGTCGCCGGATGGTTAAGAAACGTCAGTTTTTGATACGCAAGACGTCAAATTCGCAAAGCCTCTGAGATTGTCAACTTCGTTCGACGACCAAGCAGTCACACGGACTAGTGAAAGGGCCCTTCACTCCCTTCTCACACAGCAAGAGCTGGCCGGAAAGCGCCTCATCTTCGTCCATACGGCTCTCCGCGATTATATTGACGGTAAAATAGCTACATCTCGCTATTGTGCGCGACAGGCAAGCGCCGCTGCCTGCTATTGTGCTACTATAGTGGCCGCCATTCGCTCACTCGGTAACACTGCAACGGCCCACCTTTTCCCATCGCGAGTGAGGCCCTGGGCCAATCAGATTGGCCACTGGACCCCGTCGAGGAGGCTGGGGGAGCTACAGTATCGTCACAATACTAAGGCTTGAGTGAGTGCATTGGCCAGCGATGGGAAGTCGACTTTTCCTCGAGCTGTTCACTTCAGCGCCTCACTCGCAGTATAAAACGCTGCCTCCGCACTCTTGCGACCTTTCCTCAAATACCATCTTCTCAATTTGTGTTTTGACCATCGATCACTTTGACACATATCTTCGCACCAACCTTTCGTCTCTACCATTCACTCCACTCACACATTTCCATACCTCCCACACCATCTCACCCTCCATCCTTCGACATGGATTCGCCTCGATCACCCACTTTCGGCGGCTTCCACGAGCATCTTGCCGTCGTTCTCTACGAGGGTGACCGCGACGTCCAGGCTTTGGACCGCATCGCGGAGCACACTATCCACCCGCTGAACCAAGTCTTCATCGTCGTCAACCTCATGACCGCCTTCACCATCCTTGGCCGCGATTTCTTCGTATCTACCGTTGTCGCCCTCCTCACCGTTGCTGTCATCGTGGCTTTCGCTTACATCTTTTGGACCTTCATGGCCGAAGCAACGGAAGCTACGCCAATCCCCACCGAGTCGAACCCCGAGGCGCCCAACAACGACGTTCCCACCAGTGCTCTGACTTCTGTTCAGCCCACCCCTGAGGTGTCCGTCGTTGAAGCTTCCACCACCAAGGCCACCATCGGAACTGTCGCTAAGAAGACTGTACTGCTCATGGAAGCTCCGCCGACCGCCATCAAGTCCACTCTTGAGGCACCCTCCACCGACGTGGCTACCGCCGACGTCAAGGCTCCCATCGCCGACTCATCTACCACCAAAGTTCCCACTACCGACCCACCCACCACTGAGGCACCAAGAAAGGACCCGCGCCGATGCCTCGCTCCGCATCTTCGCAACAAGCAGAACGCCACCTCTACCGCTCAGCCTCGACGTGTTACCGTCCAGCCTCGTGGTACCGCTCAGTCTCGTGGTGTCGCTCAGCCTTGTACCAACGACAAGGCGCGTTCGAGCAACAAACCTAGGGCGTGGAGCAAGCCTACCCCGAGCGCTCCTCGCCGCGAGCGTCAAATTCTCAGTGGATGGGGCGATATCCAGAATGCGATTCGCGCAGACGACATTGCGATCACAGCCGCGAACGAGGCCAAGGCTGACTCTATGAAGGATGTGCCGTGGGGAGAGTGGACGACAAACTACCTGTCGCATGCGCCGCGAGTCTCCAGGACTGGCTAGATGAAAAGGAGGAGAAGAAGGGAATGACGCATCTTCACTAGGATAGGTTTCCAGAGCGTTTGGACTGGAGTTCGAGAGTCCAAGGTATACCCTGTGGACGACTTGTTATCTGTCATTGTTCCAAAGAAGAGCTGATTGAGTCTCTCTGCGATGGTCATGGATGATATTCAGGGGGTAGGATCGGACGACTCCGCGCAGCAGACGTGTCGCTTGGGTGATTGTTATTCGCCGTCCTGCAGAGTGTCTGACATGGTCAAATCGAAGTCGTCGTGATTTGTTCACTTGTACACCACTGTGAATAGATCAATGGAAATGGAAATGGAAATATCATGAACACTTTGACTCTTGTGGAACCAGTGCAACTGTGACGTTAAGGGCGAGTGCGCATGATCAACGTGGCGAATTGTATCATGTTGTCAACTGGTGCAAGCAAGGTGTACTTGGGGTTGTGTGCCGCGTGGTTGCTGGTTCATCCAAGCATCTACATAAGGTTAGCGCGAACCGAAAGAGCGACCATGTCAACGAGCGCAGCTGTCTATGCCGCGGAAACAACCCCACCCACCGCAGAAGATGGTGTGGTAACACGGTCGGTGATTCCACGTCGCAGCTGTGTGCAAGAGGCTGCTCCTAACATGCTCCAGCACGCGTCGCCGCTCCCTCTGGCGATCCATCCCGCGCTGCACGTTATGCATCTACGATTGACATGCCGCGCATCTCCACATCTGCACTGCGCAAAGCGTATGCAGTAGATGCGCTTCTGCCTCGCCTCCTGCCCCCCTGCCGCGACTTGCGCGCCGCCCAGAACGAGCTGCGCTGGCTGCGCGAGCACGCCGACCATGTGGCCGACGCGCGGCGCGCGCAGGGCGACACCGTCTCCAAAAGCGCGTTGTTGCGCGATTTGGTGAAGCAGAGGGCGTCGGGGAAGCCGCTGCAGTATCTGTTGGGCACAGAGTTCTTTGGCGACCTGGAGATACGCTGTCGGCCTGGTGTGCTCATCCCGAGGTGAGTCTCGCAGCGGCGGCGCATCCGAGACAGCGCGAGACTAAGACGCAGACAGGCAGGACACAGCGGCCTCGGTGCAGCACCTCGCACGTCTGGTCCGCAAGGCACAGAATCTCCCAAGCGAGCTGCGCGTGCTTGACCTCTGCACCGGCACGGGGTGCATCCCTCTCCTCTTCCACCACGAACTCTATGCCGCACGCGCTGATGTCGAGCTACGCGCCCTCGGCATCGACATCTCGGGAAAGGCGCTGCAGCTAGCTGGTCACAACCACAGCCGCCTCCGCGGGGACAAGACTTTGGCGGACAAGGGCTCCATCCACTACATGCAGGCAGACGTCCTGGCCAACCCTTTCGCAGATGCCACGAGAGGCCGAGGTCGCATTGCAGTATCGACCGCTCTGCGCCATGCCAGGCTCCCGCACATATGGGACATCCTCATCTCGAATCCGCCATACATCTCGCCATCAGGATACTGGAAGACCACGACCCGTTCTGTGCGAGGCTTCGAGCCAAAGCTCGCCTTGGTTCCTCCGCCGACAGCCGGCAACAGCGGTATTGCGCAAGGCGATAGATTTTACCCGCCCATCCTTGACATAGCGAGTGAGGTCGAGGCAAAGATCGTGCTGCTCGAGGTTGCAGATCTCGGCCAAGCGCTGCGCGTCGCGCGTGCTGCGCAGGCTCTACGTATGTTCGACGGCATTGAGATCTGGCGGGAGCAGCCGAACGAGCCCGATTCTCCGTCATCCGAGGTTGCGGGTTTCCGCGTACTCGGTGAAGGAAATGCGCGATCCGTCATCTGCTGGCGCGGTACAGGTGCTGCGTGGCTCGGGAAGAGCGAGCGAGCACCCGCATATGAGGATGTTGCTTTCCCCGATGTATCGCACCGAGCTCGATTTCGGACTGGACCTGTCAGCGTAGTTCACCAAGGTGAGGCGTTGCGCCCATATTGGGTCAAGCATCTGAATGAAGAGCAAAAAGCCGTCAAGCACAATGTGTGGCGAGACATGGAAACAAACGCAGCTCGCGAGCGGGGGCATTCCGGGGCACCAGAGAAGCAAGAGCTTGATACAACCGTAGCTCATGCAGAAGTCCTTCCCAAGGTCCCTAAGAAGCGAGGTCTCTAACAACCGCGACTCGCAAGGTCGAGCGCCCTGAGGCACCCGATATGACGGCCTTCCAGAAGAAGCAGCGCGAGCCCGGCGAGGATAAGCAACAAGTATCTCTGGCGAGACAGGAGCTCACGATGTTGAAGAGGCTGAGTGGCGGACTGCGGACGAGGAATACAGCGCCGGTACCAAAGACGGGGAAGTGAGAGAAAAGGCGAAACTTTAAAACAACTACAGCTCGCGAAGATGAGCGTCCCGACTTTTCCAAGGAGCGAACGTCGAAACTGATTTCCTAGGAAGAGCGAATGGGCCGCATTTCACAGGACTACTCAAACGGGTGCCTGCACAAGCAATCGCAGATGCGTTGGGAATTAGCAAATCTAGTATTTACCATTACTTGGGTCATTATCCAGTGCGAAGTCGACGCTCTGCAAGGGCGAGGTTTACACACCCTTTAACTGTAGAGTAGCAAAATTGGTTTGCTCAATACTACAATGGGCGAGGAATACTGGCAGCCGCAGATGCCTTGGGAGTCTCTCGTATCATCGTTTCCAGAACCTTGAATGGTCTCTTGATCCCTCTGGGGGGCGACGAAGGTGGGAAGAGATTCTTTGATGAAGAGCAGCACAAACGCCTCGTTCAGCTCTTCAACAATGGGTGGACTAAGCAGGCAATTGCTGATTTCTTCAAGTTCCACAGCCTTACTGTCACGGAGTAATTGAAGCGTCCCTTGGTCCCTCGAATTCACAGAAGTCAGAGGAGAACCCCTAACAAGGAGCAGCACAAACGCCTTGTACAGCTCTCTCAAGATGGTTGGACTAAGCAGGCAATTGGTGATGCTTTTGGAACATACAGGATTACAGTCCGATTTACTTGCGTACCTTGGGTCCCGGAAAGCCCGGAACTTCAAGCAAAAAGTAATTTTATCAAAAGGATTCAGCGCAAGCAGTAGGCATATAGCTGTTGGCGAGGCGTTGTGGCGAGGAGTTCCATGAAAGAATTAATTTAAGGCGCCTTTTATACACAAAAGCCAAGACTCCTCGAGACTTCCGTAATGCCTCGCACACACATCGTTGGAGTCGACACGCTAGGAACACGCTGCGCCTCGCGCGCTCGGGGCATTCTCATCTCGTTCCTCGCTGTTGAAACGAGCAAGCATCGGCAGTGTTCTCCGCTGCAATCCTCCAGCCCCCACGCATGATTGTATCGCAGAGTATGGGTGTCTGTTAGCACCACGGGCCTTTCTCCACGTACGGAGAGGCACCAGGAAACTTCCCTCAGCCTTTTCTAACGCTCTCGAAGGCTGTGCACTTACATCTTATTACTTCCCTGGACGGAAACAAGGCTGTTTAGGTACCCAGCAAATACTGCTGCGCTCGCAAGCTATTGCCATTGGCCAAGTCCGTATGCGTGCATTTTCCGCAAAAGGTAGGTGGTACTCTGGTATGGTGCTGGCCCATGTCCGAACACGAGAATAGCACCCAGCCAAGCAACCTCACTACATAACCTCAACACCTTGCCGGTGATCCGCGACTGATGCGAAAGCTTTCTAAGTTCTACACTGACAGTCGTTAGTGATTCGGCTTCAAGATGCTTCCAAATACACTCTTGAACACTCTGCTCCTCGCCGCGAGCACAGCTGCACAGTTTGCGCCTCTTCACACCTCCTCAAGATGGATTCTCGATTCCAATAACAAGCGTTTCAAACTACGCTGCCTCAATTGGGCCGGTCATATGGAAGCTCACCTCCCCGAAGGCTTGCAACATCAACCTGTCGACACGCTCGCGAAATGGGTCGCAGACCAGGGCTTCAATTGCGTGCGGCTTACCTTCAGCATCGATATGGCCTTGGACCAAGGCCTCAGAGTATCCGACTCCTTCTCCACGCTTGCAGCGCGCACAGGTGCGCCTGCCGACGCAGTGACCGATCTCTGGTCCCGCGTGAAAACCAAGAACTCCTGGATCGAAACCATCTCCGTCGGCGAAGCCTTCGGTCATGTCGTGGACGCGCTGGGCAGCGCGGGCCTGCGCGTCATACTCGACAACCACGTCAGCAAAGCGTCGTGGTGCTGCAACCTCGAAGACGGCAACGGCTGGTGGGACGAAGCGCCCGGCTACGTCGACTCCAACTCGCGCTTCTTCAACACGACAAACTGGGTGGCCGGGCTACGCGCAATGGCGCAATTCTCTGCGAACCACCCTGCCGTTGCGGGCATCGGCCTACGCAACGAGATCCGCGAGATCCCCGTCATCCAGGGCCGAGACGCGTGGTACGACTACATTGTAAAGGGTGCGCATGCCGTGCATGACACAAACCCGGACCTGCTCATTGCGATGGGTGGCACCCTGTCCAGCACTGACATCTCGTTCCTGCGCACCAGGCCGCTCGACCGGGCTCCCTTCGGCGACAAAATTGTCTACGAGTGGCACCACTACACTTTCACCCCGAACTGGATCGCGTCATTCAAATCGTGCAGCATCTGGAAGAGCGTCACGGTGGGTGGGACCTCGGGCTTTCTGCTGCAGCAAGGCAAGGACTATACCGGTCCGCTTTGGCTAAGCGAATTTGGGTTCAGCCAGGCGGGTGGGCCGCCCGAACGGCATGGCATCGAGACGCAAGAGGATTATGATTACTTGACATGTCTTGTGGACTATGTGAAGGGGAACGATGGGGATTGGGCGCTGTGGGCGATTCAGGGGAGTTATTATGTGAGGGATGGAACGGTAGATAAGGATGAGAGTTGGGGCGTGTTGAAGAGTGATTTCTCGGATTGGAGGAATCCGGGGGTAAGGGATGTTATTGCGGATTTGTTCAAAGTTACACAGGGGCCTTGAGGGTTGGAGAAAATCGAATGATCTTGCATATACATTTGGCCGGACTGGAGAACACCAATAAGGCTGAAAACATCGAGATACCGTCCTTTCACTCAGCGTCAGTCTTGTTTGCTTTGTTGACTGTTTGGCTCATCGATCTGCCGGCCAATCCAGCTTCCTCTCGAGCGAGCAGTGGTCACAAGGATATAAGTGAAAAGCACGGAGTCTCTATCGTCTGGAGCATGCTATCCACTCCCAAACATGGCTCTGTATGGAACCACACTCTCCACGCAGATTGCCCAGGTGGATATAAATCCTTCACGCGACGTGACCACGGACTCGCTCGTCACACGCAGCACCACTTGAACACTCACAGCGCACACCAACTGGCTTTCTCGGTCCCAATAAACGTGTGGTCGGTGCTTGCGGATAAGTATTCATGCTGGGGTTTTTGGTTCTTACTGAATCTAGCAGCCTCCTTCTCATTCAGATGCTTGGGTTATATGCAAAGCCCGCGAACCAAATCTCCCGTTACTGTAGCTCGCATGCCATATCAATCTCAATCCAGCATATGCAAGCACTGCTGAGCAGATCCGACCTGAGCCGAGTTCGCTTCTCCTGAGATCGGTGAGCTTTCTTCCAAAGTCGATATCGCGCAAGGATGACCTGCGAGTACCGTGCCGAACCCACCATCTCCAATCATCGACTGTTCACATTGCGTCTGGCATCTCGGCTTATGGCGCGTCGATCGCGGAGGTCAATTCGCTCTTCAAAGCCTCGAGCTCGCGCTTGGAAGCGTTAAGCCGATCACGAAGGCCTTACGTTGCCTTGATCAACTCCTCGATGATGTCGTGGCTGGTGCTGGAATCCTCTGGGCTGGTTGAATCCTGTCACTTCGCATCCGCCTCGTGTTCACGCTTACGAAGTTCGAGCTGGCGGCGAGTATCGTCACTAGTCTTCTTTGTCTTGTCGACCATCGCGTCCGACTGGGCCATCACTTCTTCCTTCACGCTCTCGAAGAGGCGCCTAGAGACCTCAAGCTGTCCAAGAGAAGCTTCCACTGCCTTGAAAAACTTATCCTCGACTAGCTGACGGGTGCTGAGGCCCTCAGTGGTTGAATCGTGTGCACGCTCGAGGAACTCGGCATCCGTCTCGAGATAATGATTATGTTGCTCTTGAAAGCGTATCTGGTCGCGAGTGCCAGGCTCGCTCTTCCATACCGCGACCAGAATCGCCTCCGATCGGGCCTTGAGCATATCCTTCACGGTCTCGAACCCCCTTCTTCCAGGACCAGTCGACATAGATTCTGAAAACGTTTCTCGCCTCCGCCAACTTCACCAGGCCCTTATGCGTGGAAGCCTCGAGCACGTGGCTAGACGGATCTATTGAAAACGACTCCAACAGGTGAGCAATACCAAGGGGTCCTTTGGCGAGAGGCTAAGCCGGGGGAAAAATCGCGATAGATCGCAAATGATCAGACTATCTTCTGGTCACTGTCCTGATGGGATAAGCCCAGCATGTAGCATGGCCAGAGTATACACCTAGCGTGGCAAAAATCATTGTCAGGCGTCGAGCAACAACTGACTGCACCAATTCCACGTTTGCATGGCAATAAATGTATCTAATAAGTCCAGCTTGTAGCATCGCTCTGAAGCAGCAATTCAGCCACAGTGATCACGAGAGTTGACCCTGTAAGGAGGTGTACCAATGCTGTTCTTTGTAGATGAAGTTGGGGGATGGCCCTGATGCAGGGATAGAAGTACACGAAACGCTTACTCAGAAGTGCTTTATGCAGGTCCATTTGTTGGCTGCACGAAGGTTAATTATCCTCGAGCTGTTTTTCTAGCGCTGGAAGCACGTGTAGAGATTCAGGCCTACACCAGGAACAAATCATTGGCAGTGATATGTATTACTAACATACCTGATCCGTCATGTTAATGATGATATATGCATCTAGCCAGCCCAGGAGCTCGTGCTTACCGATTCATCGTAAAGCTGGGAGCTCAATTTCCAGATGCCAGCTGACAACATCTACGATCAACCACCGTCTTCGCTCGCAGACACCCAGCTCCTGCTTCTGCAGCCGCAGCCTCTTCGCCTCTTCCCAACGCCGGTCCAAACCCCCCATCCAGGATGCTGGATTTCGCTTAGCTGTCTCTGTTCCCTGGTGGCTTTTGCAAGTACCCGGGTGGCTGCTCCATAGGGTCTCATTAGACCGTCGGCAAAGCCGTTGATGTGCTGACTTACCTGCTTGAACAGTTCTGTATTAGCCTCAGTATGTTTCTGCGTGAGCATGTTTCAGTGATGAGCACAAATACTACATGCTTCTCTCTTCGATATGGCTCCAACGAAGCCTCCGGCTTTCGGTTTCGAGCCTCCATGTCTCCGTTTCGGGCCTTTATCTCTTGGTTTCCGGCTTCGAGCTCTGGGTTCCGGACCTTCAACGCTGTGACAGAGAGGTTGCAAGTGAGCCTTATACATGCGACAGCAGACATATTTTTTGTGCGACTTTATCTGTGGAAATTGCAAGTTGACTACACTATACTGCGCGCCTTCACTTGACACAGAGAAGGTAGAACAGGAGGCGCAATGACCAGGGCACGAGGAATTTGTTTATTGTCGCTAGAGGTACGAGGCGAGACGCACCCAGCATACACGTTAGAGTGAGAGCACAATTACGACATGGTCTCACCACCTTTGCCATAGGTGGCTATGGGTCTCTACCAAACATAACTGTGTAGAAATGGTCTGGACTTTCGCTCAATCAAGAACTCACGATGATAATGCCAGTTGTCATCGTGTTAGACTAAGCTCTCATACTCATCGTGAACAGAACCATTTCTCAACAATTATCTGCAGAACTTAGGCAAGTCGGGATGCTCGCTGCGTCCTCGTCTTGTGCAGCACGGGTGAGACACCGAGGCAATGAAACAAATATCACAAACATGGCATTTTGGAAACAACACATGGCAGAGCAGTGTTCGATTTTGAAGAAATTATACTATCCGCCCTCACAACTGGTCTTTCAGGCTCTCCAGCGTCTGCTTGAACCCTGGCCATTCATCGTCCTTGATGCCCAGATCCTCTTTGCTAATCGAGCCAATCGAGCCCCAGCCCCCCGTGAACTGCTCGCCAAAGGTGAACTGGTCCGCAATCTCCTTTCCAGGAATACCCCACACGCCGGTGAAATCCTCGACACTGACCTGGAGGTAGCCCGTCTGGCGGCCGGTGACTTCGCCGTAGATCTTGAGCATTTCGCCAAAGCTGAGCACTTCCGGCGCGATGTCGACGAACTTGCCTTTGGTGAGTTCGGGCTTCGCGATGATTTGACGGGCCCAGAGTCCGGGTGTGACGTTGATGTCACCGGAGACAGGGATCACAGCCGAGGGCGGCGTGGGCATGACCTGGACCCATTTGCCCCAAGAGCCGGGCTGTTACAAAGCATCAGTGATGTGGACCTGCCATATACTTGGAGAACAGGGTATACTACTTACAAGCTCAAACGGTTTGAGGTTGGGGAAGTTGGCGAAGTTGTTGGGGTAGAATCCGAGGACGAGGTACGTTGTCTTTGCGTGCAGGTCTGGCAGATCGCTTTGGATCCAGTCATTCACCTCAGCCTTGTAGTCGAGATGAGGAACAGGGTATTTGCCGTTGGTCGCCCCCTTGGCACTGGGAAGTGTGGACCATATGTAGTGCTCGAGCGAGGATGTCCGGGAGGCGGCACGAGCGAGCTTTTTGGCTTGCTCGGCCTCCTTCTCACCAGACTCGTCTGGCGAGCTGCCGGTGAAGAGGTGTTCCCAGAAGTTTGTGACAGCGAAGACAGCGGTAGCGCCCTATGTTACATGAGTTTTGAGAGTAAGAATCATGGGGGAGAGGTTGTACTTCGAAAGCCTTGACGAGAGAAGCTTCGTCGTCAGTGTTGGCTGAAACTACCTCGGCACCTTCAGATGCGAGCTTCTTTGCGCTGTCACTGCTGGTGTTGCGGGTAATAGCGCGAACTTTCCAGCCATCGAGCTTGAGGAAAGCGCGGGCTACACTGCCACCCTGAGCGCCAGTAGCACCGATAACAGCAATGGTCTTGCTCATCTTGCAAATGGATCTTGTGCCACTGGGTTGATTGAGTGTGGTGTTGTCGAAAGGAGGGCGGAGAAGTGCAGGTAAGGTAATGAAGGACAAAGAAAGAACTATCGAAGCAGGGCGGCTGATATCTCTTTTAGATTCGACAGCTTACGTGCTTACATGATGTCTCCAGAGATGCAGCCGCGAAAGAGCTCGATTGCCGCTTAGCCTACCACCGGGCGTTCCTACCCATAGCACGTATGAAAGAACACTGAATCCTTCAACAAGGTGGCCAATCCAAAGACTCGATAAGCCTATCGTCTACCCAATCGTCATCATCTAGAACGATGGTGTAAAACCACACACTATTCTCTAGCCGCTTTCGGGTCGTTTGTCGTTCAGCTGGAGCACCTGGCCTGGGCGTATTGTTCCACCTCGCAGCATCCCGACCGATTTGGCCCCATTTGCACCGTCGTCTAACCAATGGCTGAAATGCCCGGCGTTTCGCAACTAAAAGAGATAGGGGTACCATACGCATTAGCGTCATCTGCAAGCCCTGACAAAGCAATTATATGTATAACGTGCCTTCGGCACGATGTTGTGCTCAGAACCGAGCATTTGTCATAGGTCCCACGGAGCCGGAAAGTATCGTTCCGGTGCTTACGCAGCGCGCGGGGCACCGCCTAGAGAACGATGTTCTTACACGAACGGGAAGATTAGGCCTATGCGAAGCCAAGGGTTTCCTCAGAGTTGGCCTTAGGTTTCAATGGTTCCGTTCACATGGACCAGACTGTGCCTAGGTACTGTTGGGTCTTGAAGAACCATTCTCGGTCTCGGCAGAAGTATGTGACGTCCCCGCGGTGGTGACTGACACCACCCCGCATTGGGTGAATGGTCACGTATGAAATACATGGTTTCCGATGCGATGTCAGGGGTTTCTGTTCGTCTGGATCAAGTTTGCGACTTGTTCAAAGGAGCCGCAATTGCTCAGGAAGAGATTGCTCAGCATTGCCAATTGACAAGGGAATCTGGAGCAAGTCGCGTTGTCCGGAGCGACGCAAGCTGTGGCCTGCATTGGTACGCTTCTCAGGTGCGCGTGCCATGCGATGACCTTCGTGAGCTGCAACAAGACAGTGCCGAAATTGTTGTTCGCGATGAACAACGTCGCAGGCAGAAGAAAGAAGGTGTCCAGGTGGTCGGAGAAGGTCGCCATCTCCGCCCGCTCCTCGATAACTCCGCGCGCGTCATGGCCGGAACCATTCCGAGCCAAACTATATCACCCACCGTCCGAACACGCGCCGCCCTCCAGCGACCACAACCATGTTGCGCAGCCGCTGCCACGGGCTCCTCCCGCGCGCCGCCCACCTACGAACCTTGTCCACAACCACACACCGCCGCCAAACCCCACCGACGACCTGCAGCCCAACATGCGCGTGCGCCGGCACGCCCCCAGACCTCGACATCGACCGCACGACGCCCCTCCTCCACACAATGGCGCCCTACACGGAGCAAGTCCTCGTCTGCACCGGGAAAGATGATTGGAAAAGCCGGATAGAAGACGAGCAGTCGGCGGCGGGCGACTTTGTGCGCGGGCTTCGAGCCGAGATCGGACGAGGAGGAAAGGGCTTCGATGTTTGTTTGTTGTCCTCTCCTTCGCCCTTGCACCTCCCCTCTCCATGCTTCGCAAGAGATCAATGGTGCTGACAAGATGGCCATCTAGCCCTTCACCAACGTCCTAACAACCCTGTCCTCCCTCCCCGCTAGCACAACTCCGGATACCACGACAGCACTGCTATTCCCGAGCTTCAAGCGCATCCCCGCGATTCCGAACACGCGCGACGCCTACGCTGCCTTTGCAACCGCCTACCTCAAAGCGCGCACCCTGCACCCCGCACACGCCGGCCTGAACCCAGACCAGCAAGCCGCGCTGACCCGCGACGAGAGCTTCGCCACACGCCTCCCACCCGCAGAGCCCATAGCCAAGCCCACGGTCCTGATCTGCGGCCACGGCGGGCGCGACAAGCGCTGCGGGGTCCTCGGGCCGCTTCTGCAGGCGCGATTCCGGCAGGCGTTCGCCGAGAGGGGGATTGATGCAGAGGTCGGGCTGATCAGCCACGTTGGCGGACACAAGTACGCGGGGAACGTGATTGTGTACTTGCCGCCTGGGCTGGAAGGGAACGCGTGGGCGGGGAGTGGGATATGGTATGGGCGCGTTGGGCCGGATAACGCAGAGGACATTGTGGCGAAGACGGTTGTGCGTGGGGAGGTTATTTTTGAGTTGCTGAGAGGGGGGATTGCACGGGATGGGAGAGACATTGCGAGGATGCTGGAGCCCGCCAAGGAACAAGAGGGGCTGAAGCTGAGGCCGAAGGCGAGGGCGAGGGGCTAGGTGCCGGTGGCGTGCGAATGTTGCGAGGACGGTGGAGCCGGTGAGGGAGAGGGGGACGGGAGAGTGAGGTGTAAGATGGGCATGTGACGGTGCCGGCGTTGTGGGGAGGCACCGCGGCGTGGAAGAGTATTGCATCACAGCGAGATACCACTCCGTCTACATTTGCGACTACATTTGCGACTAGACTAAACCGCATATTTGTACAACAGATACATATAGCTACAACATAATATACAACTCAACAACACTTGTAATCATACACGCAGCACCCTGTACATGCCCAAACCATGCCTTTCCCCATCAGCCACCCTACCTCCTTGATCTATCCTTTCTCCGCTTCTCCACAAACTGCTCACGCTCTTCCATGGCATCATCCTTCGTCAATCCCTTCCGATTCGTCCGTTGGAACTCGCCCTGCTTCCCCTCTTCATAGCTGCTCGAGTTCCCCTATAGCGTCGTGGTTTTGGCGCTCTCCCTGCGTTTCAAGCTGCTCGGGGCCATCGACACCATGGATTCAACCCAGACCCGCGTCAAGCGTGGGCTTCTGGGCGTCTTGCGCGCGTGCGTGGGGAGCTTCCTTTTCCTTCTTGGGCAGCTTCGGCGACACGAAATTGACCAGCTTGCACCGCTGCACGACAACCATGTTCATCCCCATGGGGATCTCGGGGAAGTCAGGGCCGGCTTCTTGCGTGCCGGCCTCCTTCCAAAGAGGCCCGGCCTCGCGGTCGAGAAACTTCCTGCCCTCTTCCGTCTTGAGCATCTCGTCGAGCGCGTATCGCTTGAGGCGGTCCGTGTGGTTCGAGTTTATGCTCAGCGGCACCTTCCGGATGTCGAGCTGGAACTTGCGCTTGCCATTGAACTGCACGACGCACTTGGCCATCGGGTTGAGCTTGGGTACGGCGTCGAGATCCGCCTTGGGCCAGCCGAAGGTGAAGATGGACGGGCCGGGTCGCTGGCCTTTGTGGTAGAGTCGGAGCGGGTGTTGCTGGTCGCCACGCACCTTGGGGTTGGTGATGGATATGAGGCGTTGCCAGGATTCTTCTGCGACGCCGGGGCCGATGGGGGCTAGCATGCGGAGGAGATGAATGGTGGCGTACCACTTGAACCAGGGCGTGCGGGCGGACTTGTGCGGGGTGTCCCAGATGGTGTTTGTTAGCGTCATGAGGTCGCTGATGATGGTGTTGAGGGAGTATGTCTCGGAGTAGGCTTTTGTGACGCTGGCGATGGTTGTTTGGGTGGCGGATAGCAAGGCCATTTCATCTTGGTCGAGGGTGTTGAGCAGTCTTTCTTCGTCTGTGCCGCCAGCGTTGGAGGGCTTGATGACTTCCCATTCTGCCATGTGGGCTAGGAGGTCGAAGACAGGGACGTTTAGGTCGTGGGGCGGTCGGAATCGGCCGAGCTCTTGGATGTGTGGAGGGAACCAGGAGGCCTGAGATAGCCTGAGGACCCTTGCGAGCCAACGCTGCACGCCGGTGATCTTTTTCTCATCCCACTCGAGCACGTCGCTAACGGGTGCTTGGAAGAGCATGTGCGCTCGCGTGACATCCGCACCGTACTTGGCAATGGTGGCGACTGGATCAACGCCGTTATATTTACTCTTGGACATCTTCTCGTAGCTAACTTTGGGCGCCACTTCGGTCCCCATGATGACGGGAGCGGATGGGTTGCTAAGGTCCAGTTCGTGGGGGCGCAGGAATCGCCCAGTGCTTGGGTCGGAATACGTCTTGCCATGCACCATACCCTGAGTGATGAGACGCTTGAAAGGCTCTCCCAGAACTTTGCTGCCTTCGGGCCAGACGCCTGTGGTGGCTAAGAACTTCGATATGAAGCGAGCGTACAAAAGATGCAGAATAGCATGCTCCACGCCGCCAATGTATACATCGACCGGCATACCCGCGTTTGCTTTCTCAGGAGCCACGAGTTGTGTCGCGTTTTCCGAGTCCAGGAACCTGAACATGTACCACGACGAGTCCATGAAGGTATCCATGGTATCTGTTTCACGCCGAGCAGGCTTCTTGCACCATGGACACTTGCAATCCTTGAAGCTACTGTCTTCAGCAAGTGGATTACCCTTCTGGCCCTGGAAGAAGGATGCAGGGAGATCGGGTAGCTCCACAGGCAGATCACTCCGCGGTACGGGAACCGTTCCGCAGTCGTCACAGTGAACGACAGGGATAGGACAGCCCCAGTAACGCTGGCGGCTGATCAGCCAGTCGCGCAGACGCCAGTTCTCTGTGCGTTCAGCGAGCCTACCCGCTTCTTGAAGGCGCCCTATGATCGCACCAATAGCCTGGTCGGACGAAAGGCCATTGAATTGGCCATCTTCGGAGACAAGAAAGCCTTTATTCAGTAGAGGTTGGTCCAGACGAGAGTCCGCTACAGTTTCCGACGACGTCAGGGATTGTTCTTCTGGATGGATAACGAACTTCACAGGAGAGTTGAACTCAACAGACCCAGAGATTGACTGCTTGGGCTGCCTCCAGAAGGTAAAATCTCGCGCATCGTGACCAGGGACACCCATGACAGCTCCCGAACCATAGTCATCCAGGACGTAAGGAGCCACGAACACGGGCAAAGTCTTGCTGATGTTGTGGTCATTGACTAGGTCTGCAACGGGGTTCTTAGCACGGAGACCAGGCAGCTGGAAGCCTTCTTTTGAGTCTGGGGGAAAGTCTTTGGCGAGGACCAGGAAGTCCTGCAATGCACTGTGCTCCTTGGCAAGGCTTTGTACAATGGGGTGGCTCAGTGACAGAGCGATGTATTCCGCCCCGAACAGCGTATCTGCACGCGTAGTGTAGACCTCGACGGGCCCTAGCTGGGTTGGGCTCTCGCCCTCTGTTTCGATGTCGAAGCTCAGCTTGGTGCCTTCAGACCGCCCGATCCAGTTCTTCTGCATGGCCAGCACGCGCTCCGGCCACATGCCGTCCTTGGCCAGTGCATCCAAGTCTTTCAAGAGCGGTTCCTGGAACTCCTTGATCTTGAGGAACCACTGCCTGAGCATCTTCTTCTCCACCTTGGCGCCAGACCGCCACGAATTGCCATTGGCATCCACTTGTTCGTTTGCGAGGACGGTCTCGTCGACGGGGTCCCAGTTGACGAGCGATTCGGCTTGGTAGGCGAGGCCGCGTTCGAAGAGCATGAGGAAGAGCTGCTGGGTGTGCTTGTAGAAGGCGGGGTCGCAGGTGCGCAGTTCCTAGCAAAAAGTCAATTCGAGTGCTTCCCTGGTGCGCCGTGGCAGCATACCCTATCCCAGTCCCAGTGCCCGCCCATCAGCTTCATCTGCTGTTTCATGGCGTCAATGTTCTGCAACGTCCATTTGCCAGGATGAACTCCCCGCTCGATGGCGGCATTTTCCGCAGGCAGACCAAAGGCATCCCAGCCGATGGGATGCAGCACATGGTAGCCTTGCATCTGCTTGAAGCGCGCCAGGACATCGGAGATGGTGTATACGCGCAGATGGCCCAGATGCAGCGTGCCCGAGGGGTACGGGAACATGGGCAGGATGTAGGCCTTTTCCGCGGCCTTCTCCCTCAATTGCGGGAGCCCCGACTCGTCCTTGCGCCAGTACCGCTCCCATTTCGGCGTCAGCGTGTCCAAATTCTCTTGCGCCTTGGTCGTCTGCACTTCACCACCTCGTCGGCGCAGGGAGGTGGAGAAGGACGCACATGGCGGAAGGCTCCAGGCGCGCTGGCAGCCCGATCGATGCAGGCGGAGAGTGCGCATCACCTCGAACAGCGGGCATGCTGCGCCAGAGACATGGTAGACGGGCGCACTGCTTTTTGCGAGGTCGCGTCAAGCTTCGTGAAGGCGTCGGAAGCTCTGACGGCCAGACTCGGGCGCTAGGCCCCTCGTGGCATCACCGAGCCTCCGCATGCAATTGAAACACTGGACGAGCCCTCCACACACACTGCCGCCGACCGCTCGTAGCACGGGGGCATATCCCAGCCCTGCATACTTGTCCTCTTTACTGCCCGCTGTGCCGCCCATGGCGCTGCGAAGCCCGCGCGTACGATAACCCCAGCCCAGCACCACACAACACCATAAGACGGCGACGGCTGCTCGCACCGCCCATCGCCCCGGATGCGCGACTCGCTCGAACTGGCCTCGCTGGCCTCGTCGTCGCACGCGTCGCAGCGCACCTCGATCGAGTCGTCCAGCGCCGGAGCGCGCTCCTCGCAGAGGCTGTCGTTTGACGACGAAGACCCCCTCTCCGAGCTCAATCCCGCGGGCGACAACCGTCCGCGCCACAACCGCTCCTACAGCGTCTCGTCGGCCTTCGACTTCGCACCGAACCTCTTCCCGCTCTCCAGCACAGCCCAAGGCTACACCGCGCTCGGCGCGCCCTCCAATCCAGCGCTGGACCCGTCCAACGCGCTCAACGGCGGCTCGTTGGAGAAGAACAAAACCTTGACCTACCTCAACGGTCTGTCGCTCGTCATTGGGCTGATCATAGGGAGCGGCATCTTCTCGTCGCCGTCGCAAGTGAATAGAAACGCGGGGAGCCCGGGCGCGTCACTGCTGGTGTGGGTCGTAGCGGGAGTGTTGGCCTGGACGGGCGCGGCGAGCTATGCGGAGCTGGGAGGCGCGATACCCTTGAACGGCGGCGCGCAGGTCTATCTCTCCCACATTTTTGGCGAGTGGGCAGGCTTCCTGTTTACGTGGTGCGCTGTGGTTGTGCTGAAGCCTGGTTCTGCGGCCATTATCGCCATCATCTTTGGCGAGTACGTTGTGAGCGCAGTCGCAGGAGTTGAGGCCGTCGAGAGTAGCACATGGATCAACAAGGGCATCGCTCTTGCGGGGTTGGTCTTGGTTACGCTGTTGAACTGCGTATCCACCAAGTTGGGCACGAGGAGCGCCGATGTCTTCATGTTTCTGAAGTTCTTCGCTTTGACTGGCGTCACCGTCATCGGCATCGTTGTGGCTGCGACGGGCTTCTCCTATAACGGCCCCGCCAACGACGACTGGAAGAAGCAGGGCTGGTTCGAGGGCACGAGCACCGACGTCAGCAACTGGGCAGTAGCCCTCTACGCCGGGTTGTGGGCATTCGACGGCTGGGACAATGTGCGACTCTTCCATCCCCATTTGCGAGCACAACTAACATCGACCAGGTCAACTACGTGACCGCCGAGTTTAAGAATCCCGCCCGCGACCTTCCCCGCGTAATCCACACCTCTCTCCCCCTGGTAATCCTCTGCTACGTCCTTGCCAACATTGCCTACTTCCTTGTCCTCCCCACCTCCATCATCGAATCCTCCAACACCGTCGCCGTCGCCTTCGGCCACCAAGTCTTCGGCCCCATCGGCTCGCTCATCCTCGCTCTCCTCGTCAGCGGAAGCTGTTTCGGCGCCCTCAACGCTACCACCTTCACATCCGGCCGCCTCGTCTACGCTGCTGGCAAGGAGGGCTATTTCCCCGCCATCTTCGGCACCATCGGTCTCGGCAAGTCGCACCGCGCGATACGCTTGCACAGCATCAATGCGGGGACGAGCAAGAGCCGGATACCGAGGAAGATGGTGGACTGGTTCGCGGACGCAGATGCGGGTTTCTTCTTCACGCCTATCGCGGCCATGGCGCTGAATGCGCTGCTCACCGCGGTGTACATCTTCATCGGCAGCTTCGACACGCTGGTCACGTTCTACGGCGTAGCAGGATACTCGTTCTACTTCCTGGCCGTCCTGGGCCTGATCATCCTCCGCGTCAAGGAGCCCGAGCTGGAGCGCCCGTACAAGACGTGGATCACCACGCCCATTATCTTCTGCTGCGTTAGCCTGTTTTTGTTGAGTCGGGCGGTGTTCGCGGAGCCGGTGCAGACGCTGCTTGTCGTTGCGTTCATGGTTGCGGGCCTGGTTATTTGGTTCGCGTGGGTTGGGAGGAACAGAACGAAAGAACGGTCTAGATTCAGGAAAGTCGGAGAGCAAGATGACGAGAAGGTTGGGTGGAGGTTTTGGAGGCGGTGGAGAGCGTAGATGATGAGGAAGTGTGATGTTGTATGGTGGCGCGGGGTGTTGATAGCGTACACGTTTTGAATCTAATGATACATCTGTAAAAGACACATTGCGATCTATTCCGGCTGGGTGAGGTGTGGCAGGCGCGATGGGGCTCCTGCTGACTGTGCTCAGCATTGGCTCTGGCGCCAGAGCAACGTCTCTATAAATCTCGACACACGCATGCAACGGCAGCGACGTATCCTGGATCACTTTCCCGTCTGTCAGACGTCATTCTATGAGGCTTGATGCGCTCCCAAGACACTGACTACCTGCAGCAGGGCCAATGCAGCGCTCTTTTGCGAGATTGAACCATGAACTTGAGCGAAAAGCGCGACTTACAGACAACCCTACTCTTGTTGGTGGGACAGCGATCATTTCTTCCATTCGATGTGAAGTGGTGCCTTTTCATAGTCCATCAAGCAAGCCATAGCTCTTTCCTCTCACTGTGATCGAAGCAGCGACGCTGCATGGCTAGAATCCGTTCCCTTGCCTAGCAGCTTTTGGCTCCGGGACATGGATGTTTAGATCTTTGAGGACTGCACCAGAAAATCCCCAGACGCACAAGTACGGGTGCACCATCAGAAGATTGGCGTTCACGGTGAAGGACTAACCCCTTGTGCCCAACATCAGAATGATCAAGATCCTCTGCACGGGACATACTTCGAACAGTGTGAGATCATGTCTCAAATCATCCGCTAGGACTGTTGATTAAGTATTTTGTTGCTTGGTTATCATGGTCGCCTTATAATCCCCCATGTATTCGATTTGTCCCGTGGTCGCCAGCTGTACCTTTTCTTCTATAGTCTCTACTGGCCCACGAAGGTGGTCATGTTCAAGCCCAGAACGGTTCAGAATGAACCTATCTCCAAACTTGCTATTGAGCAATGATGAACGTCGTCCATCGCCGTGCCGGATGCACAACCCTGCAGGCGACCATTCGCATTGCAATGGTCTGCCCCTCGACTTTAGATGGGCTGAAATTGAGTTTCGAAATGGATTCTCGCAGCTTTCGAGCTGGAAGTGGGCATCGAGAACTTCGGCGTGTCCTGGATCAGTGCACGTCCATGGCAATACCACAGGCCCACCGGCCGCTGTCCACGACAAGGTCGGAGCTCTTCCACTGGGACTCGAACCAGCAGTAGCTCAGTGCAGCATGCGGCGGGAACCCAACCGGCGAACGTAAGGTAACACCCACATTCTTTGTGAGCTCTAGCAAGCGTGCAGGAACAAAAAGCTCCACTTGCGCATCATTCCAGCCCGAATGGTCCGCTTCCTTCCTTATGCATATCTCAAAGAAGTTCTTCATACGTTCAGGGACTAGAGAATGATATGGTGGCCGAATCGAGACATGAGCATACGCGGGATCGCCTGGTGTAGTTAGGTGCATTTGGGGCCCCGGAAACCAACGTCATGCCAAAACCCCCACCCTCTCCAGCATAGACATTGAAACCATGATACATTGTATCCTCATGCGGGAATTGGCGCTCACCGGCTCGATCTCAATATAAAGGGACTAATCGTCGACAAGTTCAACTTGTTCACTCGAGAGACTCGTGTGGTCGCATGTACTCGGGTATCATGATTTCCATCGAGCTTCATCAATTGTGAGACGCTTCGACCAAAAGGAAGCTCCTGGGATAGCCACGGTGCCTCAAGTGAACGATGAACGCAGACGTGTCGACAAAGTTACAGCCTGCTACCCCCCTAAGCCTTTCCAGCCGCATACAAGCTACTCAGCCACGTGGGGAACCTACTCAGCCATGCAGTGGGCCCACTCATGTCATTCAACCTGGTCGGCTGCTTCCTGCTGTCTTCGTCCTTATCGCTTGAAATTGCGCAACGTTACCCCACAGCGGCGCGGCTGACACGGTTGGCATGTTGCATGGTGGTTCACTCCATCTCATGTGCAATCGGAGGCAGCTTAACGGCAAAGTAACACCATGAGTGGTAAGGAATTTTCAATGTTTTGGGTGGACGGGGTCGTATATACGGGCAAATTTGTATGGGGGCAACCTGCCAGCTGCCTGAAGGGCCCTTTTCCCCAGCACTCGAATCGAGTTGCTACTGGGAGCCGATGGTCTTGAACGGAACGTTCTCAACAGGACGACCACATCTTATGCGTCGACAGTCCAAGCACTCACGTGGACACTCAACATCTGCCAGATGACAAGCTCCCAGAAAGCTTGGTTGTACACCAGAATCGTCCTACATGACGTGCGCCCATCGATGCTGCAAGGATTCGATGGGTGGGAAACTTCCAATCCTATGATGGAGTCACTGCGATGCATGCAACGTTGACCAAGTGCCTCAAAATGGACATATAATTGAGTCAATCGGCGCATGCCTGACGTGAGCAGTTCAATTGGCTCCCTGCTCAGCTGATGATACTTTGCTGGACTGGCACTGGGTTGTGCTTGGCAACATTGCGTCTAGATGTTGTACGCCTCCTCCTCTTAGTCGCATTCGAGGGCTGTTTCCAAGCAGGCTGGTCGGGGTCAAATCCCACTAGGCAGTTAACAGTCTCTGCGCCCTCGCCTGCATCATTAATTTGAGAACCCACGGGATTCTCCCACTGTCCACTCAACTTGATGTATCCATCGAGTGCATCCGTGAGCGACCTGCCAAGATCAAGAGCTTTTTCTGCTCTAGTGTGTGAGTAGAATTGCAGCAGACTCTTCGCAGCATCTCTCTCGCCGCTACTGATAAGAGTCTGCGCGCTCTTCTCCACCCAGTCCAGGTCGCTCGTTGACTGATTTTCGAAGGCAGTGTACATCTGAGTTACGAGCGGGTGGAAGGCGTCCGGGTTTGAGCACATATAGTACAAGACCCGTTTGAACATGCGGCCAGCAAACTGCGCTGCTTCCTGCAGCTGGAAGTCGGGATTGAGAAAGGATGACGAGGCGCCGGTGGTGAGGTACCGGTGTTCACCGAACTCTGGTGGAACAGACTCCACGCCTAACCACCAGGGAATGAAAGGCGCTGCTACAGATCCTGTAGGCGCGTTCCAGATACGGATTGTGTCTGGGTCCATATCTTGGAACAGACTTACAACCTGGCCGTAGCCAGCTTCATCGTCAGAGATCCGGGGGTCGCGGACACGCTGTCGCATATCGGCTTCGGTGACAGGTGCCATGGCAAGTGTAGCTTCCTCTAGCGCAGCCTGGCTCATGTACTTGTTCCCACCGTCACGAGCAGTCAAATTTTCGCCCTCCACCTGGTATCCGTACACATGGAAGATGTTGAACGGCTCGCTTCCATTCGGACTCCACCAGCCTTGCTCGACAGCAAAGCTGACGATGTTGCTGGACCCCATATAGTCTGTGCTGTTCTGGAAATCCACGGGGAAATCCTCGATGTACCCAGGATACAGCACCCTTACGACGTCAGTTCCCAGTCTCTCAGCAGCCCAAAGTCCCTTTCTGCCAGAGAACTCCCACACAACCCAGCCCTCGTTCGCATCGGCGATCAGATGCGAGTTTCCTCCGTAGTCAGCGTATCCATATTCCTTGATCATGGCTCCGATGATCTCGACACCTTCACGTGCCGTGCTTGCGCGCTCCAGGACTACGCGTGCGAGATCAGAATACTGCAGGCCAATCTGCGGATCAGGCGTCATATCGTAGAGCTCCTGTCTGCTATTTGCCCACACATCTCTCACAGCGACGCCCTTCTCGTTAACGCCACCATTCGTCAACGGCGCGGGGAAACCTTCGAAGTCCGAGTACTCCATGGACATATATCGGAATGTGTGGTTCACCTGCGGGACCTGAATGAGTTTGCCGGGAAGAACGGCATCTTCTGTCACACCAACCGTGATGGTCGCATTGGAGGTGTGATTGGCAGCGGGGAAGATCTGGAGCCAGTGCGAGGACACTTCTTCGCCGGTGCCGCCTACGAGGGTAGCATTAAGAGCTGTGAGGTCGCGGCCGACGTAGAAGGCATAACTAGCGCTTGTGTAGGGCACGAGAAGGGCGAGTACTGCTGCCAGTGTGATATTCCTAGCGGGAGGCGCCATGCCTGAGGAGAGCGATAGCTGGAGAAGCTGCAAAGCCATGCTAGAATCTCACGCCTTCTTATGGTCGGGCATTCTCCGGTGCGCTGCTATCTTGGCTGGCCTGAGTCCACAGCGAAAGCGCGTTCCTGTTCGCGGAGATGAGCGTCGGCGCGGTTGAAAACTGCGATGCTAGCCAGGAACGTGCTGACGGACCCCACTCGACGTGGGTGGTTTGCGGGGCACGACCGGGAACCCTTTAGCTATCATCCATATCTCGTTCGCTGGCAATAAACTCTCGCGTGCATTGAGGAGTTCCTTCCATTTGAGCTGAGATGTGAGAGGAGATAAGTGGACGCTCATAGACCTGGAAAGCCACTTCTTCAGCCCTACCATCGCCGAGATGGATCTCTAGGTCGTTTTCCCTACGACGCGACAATGCGTTTATCACGCGCATACTCCTTGGCGCTATCCTATTCCATCTCCGCCTCTCGATAAGGGACTCTGACTTGAATATGCTTTGAGTCGTGACAGCGCGCACTTGCCAATGTTGCTAATCTTCCTGCGGATGTGTGAGCCAGGCAGACAGTCAGAAGAGGAGTATGACAGTGATGCAATTGGCTGGTGAATGTTGAGGGTAAAGATTCGCAGGACTACGGAGCCGGCAAGCACCGCGTCGCCTCTACCGGTACAGCGCGGAATCTTTCCGCAGCCTTACCACCTTCCTTGACTACACCATCTTCCTTCAATATTAGACATTTGCCGTAAAGCCTCATACTGTGTATCTCCTTCTCCATCCAAACATGGCCCCCCCGATAACGCGCGTCGTTCTCTTCAAAATCGCCTCCCCCGCCGACCAAGCCAAGTTGTTTGAATACTACCGCCCACTCGCCGCGACCGCGACGAAAGACGGAAAACCGTATATTCTGTCTGCACGGGCGGGTCCCACGTTTGAGGATCAAAGGAGGCAGGGGTTCACGGTTGCGGCGGTCACGGAGTAAGTAGTGCATAGCTTGGACAAGCGACATTGGGTTTCAGTGCGAGTGTATGTGGGACCCACACGGGATTGTAGTAGAGCTGCAACCTGGATGGTGGGAATGATCAAGGCCGTGTTTACATGCGAATTCATGTCGACGATGTGATAGGCGATGGGGATCGGACAAGGAGACATTAAAAGGCTGACGAAGAGCAGGTTCAAAAATGAGGAGGACATGAAGTACTACGACGAGGGATGTGAAACCCATGCGGAATTGAAGAAATTTGCGAAGAGTGTGCACGAGGGCGCGATGATGGTTTACTTTAGGGATGTGCTGGCGCCCTGAAGGATACTTTCAGTGTACCAGGCAAGACTTTGAATATAGCACATTACTGACAGAAAAATACAGGCTGGAGGTGCGTCTGCACGCTGCTCCAGATCACCCGTTTTCTGTCGTGTATATTTTACCTTGGTGACTCCTTGTTATTGTAAGAATCTTGAAGAATCGATGTTTTGTTTACTTTACAGTCGAGGCGCTGTAGTCCAAAATTCTTGGCTGTGCAAACGGGGCAACTTTCTACAAACGAGGGGATTTCTGCAAACGAGGACCACACGGTAGCTAGAAAACTTCTCGGTTCTTATATAACGCTTCCTTGCACACTGCTCCGGCACTCTGTCTCGAGCCCCGGCACCTTCGTCATGAACACGAGCCCCAACAGAAAGACCGCACCAGCTTTCACAACATGTGCAGAATCTACCTCAATACGCTCCACATCCCTTGCGCATGTACTGTCCCCACGGCGACCAGCAAGGACTGCGAGAATTTTCTTTCTCAGGCGAGGGAAGCAAGAGAAGATATAGAGGTCTTCAGGAGAAAGCATCCAATTGAGCAACGTCCTTGCACTCGAATCATTCCAACAATTAGTTCTACGGAGAAGTGCGAGTACCATAAACTGGTCATCACACCATTTGGTCTTTGAGAGCATGATACGGATGAAGTTGTCGGCTTTATCTGACATTGAAGTGAAAAACGGACGCAGCGGTGAGAGTGTTCTTCCTTAGAGGTTTTATTGTTGCATATCATGATCGAAGAACAAATAGTCTGCAATTTGATGTCTACATGGCCGGGCTATCCACTTGCGTGACATTGTGGTAAAACGCAGAGCATGTGCTATGACAACCGTTGGGTGCCAGCTAGGCCGAGGGCGTGATCCGGAGACCGGGATCGGTGCGTCACGTTGGTGGAGCTCTCTACATATGGGTCGACTTGCACCAATACTTGCATCCTGCCATTTATCCCAGTCTATCGACCCTCAAACTCTCAACAGCAACCCCTTCATTTAGTAGTACCAATGAAACATCGAAACCTCATTCGATAATTAGGAGAAAACATACTTTTAACCATGTGCAAAGTATGTCGAGCTCCGGTCTACGCATGCGATCACATAGGACGCCTAGTCAAGGCGAACTGCAAGCAATTCATCGATGCCGCTTACTATTTTCGGTTAACGGATGTACAGGTTTTCAAGCTGCAGAACCGTATCGAACATCGTATTTTTCTCGAATATTTCATACTTGCTCTAGACGAGGTCTGTCCTAGCTGTGCTCCGTTTTAGCCGCCCAGGCAGCGAGTACGTGATGGGTGAAAGCATCATGAAGTACTTGCATGTATAGGCAATACTCTTGGAAGATAATGATGGATACAGTGTTTGTGCGTTACGTTAGTTAAAATAAGATCCATTGTAGTAAAATCTCCACGCTGCTTGAGAATTTCACCTTCCGTAGTGGTTTTGCGCATGAGGTTTGTGAACACTGCGGGATCATGCCTACAGTTCAATTGATTTGGCTTGACGCAGTATGAGAAGTCTTTTGAGACTTAGGATAGTTGTACGACCACTATGATTTGGATTTATGATTCTAAGATGGGCTAAGTCTATTCCAGATGCGTCTATTCATTATTTCGTTCAGTATGTATCCACTTAACCCTGCATCTCAATGCCGCCCGATCCATGAAGGACTTCTCCAGTGCAATAAGAACCAAAGGGAGAGGCCAGGGTAACGTAAAGCGTAGCCATCTCAATGGGCATGCCTGGTCTGTTGAGCGGGCAAGCTCCAACACCCAATCCTTTCATCGCGTCGTCGGAGACGTTCTTGGTGGCCGGCTGCAAAGGAGTCCAACTTTATTGTAGTCAGTATCAGCCTTGCAAGTGCCCTAACGCTCAGCGTATCATGTTGGGAGGGGGCGTGGATGACTCACATAATACCAGGGGCGACGGCATTTACACGAATGCCATTTTTAGCTTGCTGCTGTGCAAGACCTCGAGTAAATGTCGCAATGGCGCCCTTTGTGGACGCGTAGTCGAGTAGTTGAGGATTGCTCATATACGCTGCAACAGAGCTGCTATTGACAATGCAATCGCCGCGCTTCATGTGCTTGATAGCGTACTTGGTCATCGCGAACATGGAAACGACGTTGGTCTGGAAAGTTTTCTCCGTAACATCGAGGTCAATGTCGGAAATATCTTCGCACCCCTCCTGCATTGCAGCTTCGAAAAATGAGCATGAGGCATGATCTGACCGAGGAGGATTTATGCATACCATTGTTGACTAGAACATTGAGCTTCCCGAAAGCCTTCATGTGTCCCTCGACGGCCTTCTCGCAGTTTTTCCTGTCCCGCAAGTTGAAAGCCATTAGGTTCGCCTTCCTGCCTGCCTCCTCGATCTTCTTCTTCACGTATTGCGCGTCCTCCTCCTCTTCGGGTAGGTACACGATACTGACATCGGCTCCCTCTCGTGCAAACAGAATAGCAACTGATCTTCCGATCCCTGAATCTCCACCAGTGATCAGGGCAGCCTTGCCCTCCAAAAGGCCTCTGCCCTCGTACTCCTTGAGGTAGGGTTTGCCGTTGTCGTCCCAGAACTCGAGCTGTGTCCAGTTCGCGTATGGGTCCATGTTTTTGTCTAGTCCAGGGCCACCCTCTTGATTCTGGGGTTTTATTTCTGTTGACGGGTAGGCCGTGATGGGACCTTCTTGTTCACCCATCTTGAATGAAGTGATTGATAAACTAAAGGTGGATAGATTAAGTGTACAGCCGGTGGATTGGTTGCGATGATTTCTGTAAAGATTAGGAATATTACAAAAGATTATTGATGGACTGCCAGCGGTCCTTTTCTATGAAAGTCGAGATAGTAGTCAATGACGACGTTGTTACGATCGCGGGGTGCACCTCGCGTGGAAGAACTCGTTTGATCTGATTGGACTGCACGCTCAACATTCGAACTCATTAACCACAACTCTCCTTACGTGAATACCACAGGTACAATTCCACATCAATACGTGCATCGAACCACCAGGAAAAATTCGCTGGCTACACAATGTCATGCCTTTTTGTATCGATGAAGTGTAGGAGTGGCGACGCGAGAGTCTCACCAGTTGCAGGGCCATCTTGAGCGATGCGAAGAAGGCAGGCAAAGATGAAATGTATTGGATTCCACTGTTTGCCTATCCAAAAGCATGTGACGATCGAGACCAATGAATATCTCAGACATACGGGATACTGGCAATACACTTCGGCATTTGATACGGCAAAGTTAGGAAAGCGACATCAGATTGCGCACGCGTTTTCGAATTTTGACTCTATCGCAGCAGCACAACGCTTGCAACATTACGTTCTATCGCATCGCCGATGCTCGTACCCTAGGCCCGCGCTTCTGCGCGAGTAACGATCGCGACGTATCCGCTCTTCTCATCTAGCGTCTCGGCATGCTACCTGGATGGGTGGGGACAACAGCAGAGCCGCACAGGTTTCAGAGCACGACCCACATGTTGCCGACTTCTAACACTCTTTAGGCTTGCGATCCCACTCTAATCACGAACAAGATCACTTTTCGCTTCAAGAACAGTGGGCATATTGAGGTTTTCGTCGCGGGCTCGGGAGCTAGTCGTCATTTAATTGGGTCCCAACCTATTCGCAACGCATATCCAACGAACAACACCCTGACGCCTATTGTCCACCGGTGGACCTGCTGCAAAATGCTTCCAAAGATCACGATAGTGTCCCACGGAGGGTGGACAGTGCGTATCTAAAACTAACGGACAGTGGAGCTTGTCATGCTGAGTTCCGTTCGTAACGTCATGATCGACCCTCTCCGCTGGAGTCTCGATGGACTTAAGTGCCGCTGGTGTTTTCACTCCAATATTCCAGAAATTTCTCCAAGTACTTTTGCAACCCCACAAACACCATAATCATGAAGGAGAAGGCTGCGGGACCTTTCGAGACCCAGGGCAACATGCCCCCGGTCTTGCCCCCAATGGACGAAGGACGCGATGGTAGCGAGCAACGTGAGAAGCAGCCTCTGAAGGAGGGGAGGAGCAAATCTTGGTTCGATGGAAAGTTTCACAGGCCGTCGACTGTACCGCGTCCAGACGGAAAGCGCGAACTGAGGGAGAAAGATTGCTGGGACAAGTTGGCATACTCGTGGCCTACTTGGAAGAAATGGATGTATTTATCCTCGATCGCCAGCATTCAGATCTCCATGAACTTTAACACGTCGGTATTTCCAAGCGCAGTTAACCCGATCGCTGAACACTTTGGGATCAGTACACAAGCTGCGCGAGTAGGCCAGATGATATATCTTGTCTTTTACAGCTTTGGATGTGAGCTGTGGGCTCCTTGGAGTGAAGAATTCGGCAGATGGCCTATCTTGCAGCTGAGTTTATTCTTCATCAATATCTGGCAAATACCGAATTCCGTCGCGCCTAATTTTGGTACGATCGTGGTGTGCAGAGCTCTGGTCAGTTTCGAGAATGACCTCCTGCGGAATTGCGTCTGACGTTCTCAGGGTGGTCTGTCAACCGCTGGCGGAAGTGTTACTCTCGGCCTCATTGCGGACCTCTACGACCCAGAGGAACAACACTGGGCACTATGCTTCATTGTGTTAAGTTCAACCATCGGTACTAGCATTGGTGGCGTTATTGGTGGCCCTATCGAGCGATGTCAGTCTTTCCTCCTTGTGATAAGTACATCGGTTAAGAGCTAACCGCGAAACAGTTCTCAGCTGGCGCTGGAACTTTTGGATACAACTCATATTCGGTGTTACAGTGCAAGCTGTTCACTTCTTTATGCCGGAGTCACGCTCCACCATCTTGATCGACCGCGAAGCCAAGCGCCGTCGCGAAAGCGGCGAGGACCCCAATATATATGGGCCCAATGAGCTCAAGTCACCACGTATCTCGCTAAAAGAGGCTGGCAAGATCTGGCTACGCCCTTTCGAGATGTTTGTTCGCGAGCCTATTGTGTTGTTCCTCTCACTCTTATCAGGGTTCTCGGATGCTCTCATTTTCACCTTCCTTGAGGCTTTTGCCATCACTTTCCCGGATAACTTTGGCTTTGGAATATTGGCCACTGCATGGGCATTCATACCCATTAATGCTAGTTACTTCTTCACTTACTTCCTTTATTGGCCAGTATTCTGGAGAGACGAACAAATCAAGAAAAAAAAAGGGCCTGACTCTCTATCGCCCGAGCGAAGATTGAGACCCCTCTTATTGCTTGCTCTGTTCGAGCCCATCGGACTATTTGGGTTTGCATGGACTTGTATGGGACCGCCGGTAACACATTGGATTGCACCAATGATTTTTTCATTCCTTGTTGGTTTAGCGAATTTCGCCATCTACTATTCCTCGGTGGATTATATGGTTGGCCTCCCCTTGCGAAGAATTTAGCATGCCTGAGCTAATAAAATACAGATTGCAGCCTACGGCCCGTACTCTGCTTCTGCAACGGGCGGAAATGCGTTCGCGAGGGTGAGCGAGGTTGAAGCCTGGTTGAAGTCAGAGCATACACTGATCATACCTGCAGGATTTTCTTGCTGGAATTGCGGCAATGTACGCCACACCACTTTACACTAATCTGAGTGACACACGCCCGTCGGAGTACGCAACCACGGTTTTGGCATGTCTGTCTTGCCTGGTCGTTTTCCCCATCTACATATTCTACTGGAAGGGCCCTCAAATCAGGAAGGCCAGCAAGTTCGCTTCTATACTCGCGGAAGATAGAAAGGCCGAGGGTGTCAGACGACTTAGCAAAGCGGACAATTTACCCTGAATGTCAATATAGGCTTCACCAGTAGCTCAGCTTCGTAATCTGCGATAGACATGGTCCCGAAAAGAATTGCAGCGGGAAAGAAGATACCAGTACGGATTAGACCGCTCTTGCAAGCTGTTGATCATGTCCTACAGTTGCGAATGATGGGACATCAATACGGAGCCCCACTACGTGCGTATCTATTTCGGCATGCACTGCATCCATGTACCGTAACAATTGGAATTTGAAACATACCTTTGGAACGATTCCACGGCTTCAGAAATACAATCAAGACTTTACAGAAACATCGTGCCCTCCGTCTTCTCCATCGAGCGTACGACAAGACCCTTGATGATCGCGTGAAATTAGACCCGACTTGGCTAAGTCGCTAGTCATCTCGACTGTACAATGCCTACTGTATGAATCTGGGGAATGTAGACTTCGCTAAGAATATCTTATAAACTGGCACGTGCTCAGACTTCCACTTCTTCCTCATACGGGAAGAACGTAGCAGATGACGTCTGAGGTGTCAGCGAATAGGGCGTTACCCTGGCTCATGTCAGCATGGAGACCGGAAATGAGCTGAAAGCTTGCCAATTGGGTCATCAGCAATTGCGAGTAATTTTAATTCCTTGAAAGTGCCTACAATCTTGACCCACCGGTCTCTCCACTATCAATGTTAACGTTCTGCAGGCGGGCACGTGATGCAACTCGCAAACTAGTACCCCAGCACCTTACCCGATGATTCAGCCGCTCCTTCGGCCATAAGTCGCTAAACCACAAATAGCATACAATAGATCTTGGCATGTGCCTGAACAACCTGTTCATGAGACTCATGTTCGCAGAGGCCGTGCCTTCCCTACAGCATACCGTTTTCGGCAGGGCCTTTACCATACCGACAGGTTACACTGGCCAATAAGCGTAGAACCCCTTGCGGTCCAGGTAGTCTACCAACCAGACTCGAGTTCAGAAGCTCCCAAGCCCCACTTCCCGATTAATGGCTACAGGGAAACGCAACACTGGCAGTAAGCTTCCCCCAAAAGTACTGTTGTTGATTCGCCATTGCTCAAAGCGCATCCACAGCAGACCTGCCATTCATTGTATCGGTGGGTCAAGCCAAGGTGGACCCAGCGAAGCGGAAATTTATTCGAAGCCATGTCATGCGAGGAAAGAACCGAACGAAGGAGCCAAAACCACAGGTGAATTCAACGGATAGAACTGGGCTAAACGCGACATCTTCCTCGAGCAGTGAATCCCAGAGTATCTCACGATGGTCGTGCAGCAAGTTTTCTGGCATCCGGTTCGCTGATACAATCGAACCTGCTTTTGTAGAAGACATCTTCACGTGTAAGCAACTACTTGGTTCCTTTCCAATGGCGAGTGCCCAATCCTGATGCCAAACTAGTGCTCTCGGTGTCCTCCAAAGCAATGTTCTTATTAGACCAATGCATCATTCCCAACGAAGATGGTTTCCTGCAGGCATGGATTTCGCCTTTGCTCTCCGATCCAGCTTACCTGCATGTTGCCTGTGTGACATCGCAGGCGTTTTTCGATAACTATGCTGGAAGGACACCAAGTGCTGAAGCGCGACGTCAGGAATTTACTTCTTTCGATAAATCCATTCGAATCCTCTCGAAACGAATCGCGACTAATGACCGGAGCGAGGTATTGGCCGAGTCCAACTTGATGACAGTGCTGTTATTGTCTGGGTTCGTAGTCTTTTGAGTCTATCCTTTACCTGCTAATCGATCTTCCCAGCTACTCTTACGCAAGAGGCGACCACAAGGCTGCACACCAACACAATGTTGCCTTGATCAAGCTTGTCAAACTTAAAGGCACACAAGAAACCCTTCGATATTCTCCCAAGATCCTGGTTCAGGAGATCGTGCGAACCGACTTTTGTATCTGCTACGAAAACGGCCAGAGACCAGCGCTCTTCACGTACGAGGCGATCCCTTGGCCTCTGATCTTGCCACCGACAGATGTCATCTCCAGCAGAGATGCCGGTCACATAGAAAGCAGACTAGATCCAAAACTGTCATCAGTTTGGGCCGCGATGTCGCATTTCTGTGCAATGATGAATATCGCCGCACGCAACCCCACTGCCCGAGTAACCGCAGAGACGTTTTTGCAAGCCATGAGTTCTATTCTATACCGCCTCCTCCATTTGCGCTTCGAGGAAGACACGCTCAACGAGACTTTTCGACTGGCTATATTGGCCATTGCAGCTCCCACTTTCCTGGACTGGAAGACGGTCTATTGGCTGAACGGCCATTTCACACTAGTCTGGCGTCAAGCCTTGGAGACCGTCCTCGCTGAATCCACGTTCACTCCACGAGATCGAGTATGGCTGCTCATGGTTGGAACATTATCTTTTGCGCACGACCTAGACTTTCTCGCACGCCTCATTGACGGGCTGCGAACACTCACAGAACATTGTGAAATATTGACGTGGAACGCTTTGAGAGAGCTGCTGGGCTCCTATATGTGGATAGGGACGTTGTTCGACAAACCCGGGGCTGGTGTCTTCGAGGCGGTATCAGCGGACACAGGTAAGACTCTGTCCCTCACTCGTCGCTACAATGGCGAAGACGAAGTAATGGAACTTTTGGACACTAGGCCATACTCCAAGAACCTGAAGCATCCTTCCCGCCGTAATGATCGAGAATACAAGATTCGCGTTTAGGAGGAGCCAGCACGTGGAGACGAAAGTCCAAACGCATATCATGCAACTTGCATCAGAATTAGCGAACTTCACTTGTTACAGGCTCCAGGAATTCTAGACTGTGCCTCCGTGGTCTCGTCGCTCTGAGTCAAGATGGCATCGGTGAGCTCGTTGCTACGCGACTAGCGCAGTCTCTCCCTCGATGTTGTGTACATACAGTCACTACAAGGTCAATCCATCTAAAGTCGATACCAAAAGCTAGAATGCCATCTCTGGGCATTGTAATTGAAACCTTGTCCCTTGAATATTGTCTTTTCTATTAGCTAAATCGCACCTCCGAGGCGGTGACCTGGACATCCGCCGCCGAGCCGTTCTATCCGTAGCACGTAGCACTGTTCGCACAAGCATCAGCGGAGCGATATCGCGCCATGCCCCCGAACGCGCGATTGGACCAGAAATATCTAGATGCGGTTTGGCCGGCATGTCCCCACAGCGATCTCACCGTGTCGACGTGGCGGTGTCTCAGGGGTGGGTCCGCTAACGCGATTGTGACTGGCCAGCGGGCTGGCTGCGCCTTCACAGAGCCACGCCGTTTGGACCAGGGGCGTTGCTACACCGATTCGCCGGGCATGTTTATATATCAGGGTCCACGAAAGCTGAGGCGGAAGTTCACACTTATCCTTGAAGAGCAGAAAGGTGCGATACACACATTTCCAAGTCTCAACCTCAAGTTTACACCATTTCAAACCTGGCCTTGTAACCGCCATCATGTACAACAACAACAACAACAACGGATACCAGCAGCAAGGTGGCTATCAGCAAGATAGCCGTCAAGGTCTCGCGAATGAATACTACTCCGAGGGCCAGGGCCAGCAGTATGGCGGAAACCAGCAATCCTACAACCAACCTCCGCCCCAGTACCAGCAGCAAACCTTGCAATACGGACAGCAACCTCAACACCATGGCGGCTATAACTCCCCTCCGCCAAACGAGTCCTACGGCCAGCGCGACAACCGTGACCCCGAATACGGTGCCCCCCCGAGCACCGACGGCCAAGAAACCTCGCGCGGCTTCCTCGGCGCCGCCGCCGGCGCAGCTGTCGGCGGATACGGCGCATACAAGCTCGCCGGCCCCGCGACCGGGCACAGCAAGACTTCCGGGCTGGTGGGCGCACTCGGCGGCGCGCTGACAGGGCACGTGATCCAGAACGGTGCCTCGCACTGGAAAGACAAGCGCGACGAGAAGAAGGAGAAGGAGAAGTGGGAGAAGGACGAGAAGCAGAATGGCGGTCGACGTGACAGCAACGAGCACCGCCTCGGGGGCAATTTCGCGGGCGGTTTCACGCGCTCGTCGAGGGACGTGCGGCTCGATGCGCACGGGGAGTTCAACCTGCACGCGCAGTGTCGGCGCGAGGATGGGTCGTGGCAGGGGAGCACGCTGTCTTTGAACCGCATTCTGGAGAACGACGACGGCAGCTTCCGGTGGTCGAGTGGGCGGCCGTCGGGTGGCTCGTCGGCGATTACGGTGCAGGCTGGGGATACGCTGCGGGCGATTGCCGCGAGGCATAACTGCGATTTCCATGAGCTGGCAAGACATAATGGGATTCAGAATGAGGACATGATATACCCGGGTCAGAGGCTGGAGGTGCCGGGTGGCGGGTACAGCGGTGGTGGTGGCGCGGCCAACTTTGGGGCTTCGGCAAGGAATGTAAGACTGGTGGAGGGCGGACAGGTGCTTGAGGGGGAACTGAGGAGGGGCGGGGACTGGGTGACGAGCAGGATTGTGTTGGACGAGAGGATAGGGAATAAGAACGGGTGTCTGGAGTTGGTGTAGAGAGCGGTTGGGAAGCTGTAGGCTCACTTGTCGTTCTAAGTTTCCAGGCGTATACTGTTCTGGCAGACCAAGGATCAAATCCAAGTTGACAAGCCTGCGTCAAACCATGGAGTAAAAAGAGAACCGACCACAGCAGCGCATGGAAAAATATAACCAAGTGTAATTGAAGACGTAGAGTGTGGCATAGGTAATAGTGAATGGGTTGAGTTAAGCTGCTAGTTATTTCCAGATATGCCAGTCCAAGGCCAACAGAGTAAATCAATCTATACAGGGACTTAAAAACATCCAGAATCAGATCCCAGTATATAGCAATACATTAGGTCACGTGCTGTCAGATGTGTAAAGTCAGATGTGGATAAGCGTCTTATGACGGACGCCTGTAGTTTGGAGACACAAGCTAGTAGATATGGAGGTCGAGATCGAGGAAGAATCCAGTCGTCGACCAGACCGGTGAAATCTTACAGTGCATGTGAGAGAGACGTGTCGTAGACCTAGATATAGAACATGGTGTCCTTCAAGTTGGGGTGGATCTGCACGTCATTCGCGTTCGCCGGTACGCCTCCTGGCGCAATCGAGCCGCCAGCCTGCGATGGTGCCGTGCTCGGCACAGGACTATCGAACAAGCTCGCCAGGTAGCATCTAGCTCGCTCGCACGCCAGATCGGCGTAGTAGGCGGGTGGGCAAAGGCTCACTGCCTTGGTAGCACGACCGAAAAGGTAGCACATGTTGTGCGTCAGGTCTTCGACGATGTCCGCAATGTTCTGAAAAGGGGGCGGAATCTGCTTGGCGTATATTTGCCGGAAAATTTCGTCGTGCACGATGTAGTAGTGGCAAGGGCGGGCGGTTCCTTGAAGCGCAGCGTGGGCCTGAAGGAAAAAGTCCCAGTTGCGGGCTTCCGTCACGCCACGGTCGACGACGGTGCCGGGCTTGGTATTGCCGGAACGGTCGCAGTCCTGCTCTGTGGTCGGGTAGAAGCGGGTCTTGTGACGCTTGCCACAGACGATGACCGTGATACGGGGAAGGCCCTTCTTGGTATCGGGCGCTGGGTAGACCTGCTCGCAAGCACGGCGGAGTTGGGCCAGCTCCTTTCCAAGGACCATGTCGTATTGTCCCTCGGACACACCATCACGGTAGACGAGGATGTTTTCAGGGAGCGCGGCGTGCTTGCCCTTCGTCTTCCAAAGGTCCAGGCGTGACTTGAGCATCTCTCCAACCGCATCCACTTCCTCCTGGCGTCCCTTCTGAACGCGCAGGACGGCTGGCCATTGGCTCAAGTACTTGTCAACCGAGGCTACCATCGCAGCGACAGATGGTGCATTGGATGCGGAGCCTGGCGAAGGATGGGTCACATCCATGCCAACGACCATTGTCTTATTCTGATCGATTATTGAGAGATTCTTCGGCTCGACAACCTGATTGACACCGCCGAGCTTCAGATTGACCTTCAATGCAACGTTGGCAATGTACTGATCGCGGCCTCGATCTTTGGCCAGCTTCTGAGCGACACAGCAAATGGTGTGGATACCGTACGCCTTGTCCGCAAGCGTCTTGATATGCTTGTAGAGTGGAATGCTCGCCTCTGGTAGAATGAGGACGAGCAGCTGCAGGCCAGCACTTTGCGCGCGCTTGAACGCAGCGTCAAGGGCTGGATCCTCCGCGTGAGTGATTGGGATCCTGTTGCCTGACATCGGTACACCTGCATTCATGCCGATCGTGATGAGACCCTGGCGGAACTCGTGCATCACCGCCTCCAGTTGAGGCTTTTCAAAGGGGTCGCGCCCTCCCTGCCAAGTGATCATCATGAATGACCACTTCTTGTCTGCGATCGTTGCACCGGTGTTGAACTTGATGTTAATCATGTTCCAACTCCCAAAGCGAGTTTCGGTAGGTTTGTTGCCCTTGTAGATTACCTTGGGGCCGTTGAGAACACGGCCAGGGACCTTGACGAGGCCTGGCGTGATCTGAAGGCTGAAGCTTTTCTGGTCAAGGTCAGCATGCGTTGAGGTCGCGGGATGCTGTGACATACTAAGAGAATGTTCGACTTCTCATCAAGACCGACAGTCTGGATACCCTGCTGAACAATCGAAGCCGCGTTCTCCCACGGCTTGCGAACAGCATGCTTGATCATTTCTTGTGTCTGGCGGCTGTCGAGCTTCGCCTTTGAGGGTTGACCAGGGATGACGGTGCAGACTTCTGCGGGCAGATACATGGGATTTTGACGGTTCCCACAATTGACTACGGGGAGCTCTGGGTGTTGCAAGACTCGATTGTACGCTGTGACATGTCAGATATTATTGAGCATCAGAGTAAGGGATGCGTACCTGTCCTGAAGAAGTCGAACACGCTGATGTACTTTCCACCAGTCGCCGGGCCTTCTTTCTTGCCGCCCTTAGCCTTTGCCTTCGTAGCATTCGGTCCACCATCACCCTCAAGCCAGAACTGGACGTCTTTGGCACCTGCACCATGGGAAAGGACCTTGGGGCGGTGAGGAAGACCGTGTCCATCGTCTTTTCTCGCAAGGCCGAATATCGTCTTGATTCGGGGAATCACTTGGCCGGCTTTGTTCTTTTTCTCGGGCAAGTGGTTGGTCTGAACGCGGACCAATTTGAGGAACTTCTCAAGGGATGCCGTGCTACGAGTGCCGTAACTGCCCATAAGTCCTGTGAGAGGTCCAGTCTTATAGAAAGCCCCATGGCTGACGTTGACGTTGACAAGGACGCGACAGGTTGCAGTGCGTACGCTCGAGAAGAAGCCGCGAATTACTTCTAGACCAGAGCCTAGGTCTGCTCGGGCAATGTTCTGGCTCAAAGAAAAAGTCTTAGATGACCCGATCGAGGCAAGGTTGTTGGCAGACTTGGCGTAATGGTTAAGAAAGATATTCAGCGCCTGGATGAACTCGTGCTTGTTCTCGACTGCGTTGCTCAAGTTCGTAGAGTTGAGGTAGTCGGTCAACTGTCCAATGCTCAGGCTCTTAACCCAAAGTAGACGGACCTTGTACGTCGAAGCTCCAGTTCCAGGCTCATCCTCTCCGTCGGAACGATACACAATATCGACATTGATCTGGTTTGAGTCGCTGATCTTCGTCTTAGAGATCAGTGTAGACTTGAAGTCGGTGGCAACATTGCCCTTGTAGGGAGAAACTTCCGCGGACTCCAACAACAGTTGCACGATTCGCTTGTGCTTGCGTCCGGCGGCCTCTGGGCTGGTGTGGATAGCATACTGATGGAGAACGAGGTTGGAGGGCGGAATGAGCTCGACATAGTTCGCTGTGAGAAGAACCTTGGCACCCCTGGTGCCAAAGCCCGGGCGAGTAGGATAATCCTCGCTCAGCTTCAAGGTGCTGAGGTCCAAAGTCTTCTTTGCCGCTGGTAGCAGGGCATCCTCAACCTGAGCAATCTTCGGATTCTGCTGTTGGTTGTTCCTGGACGCAATTAGCACGTTGATCACAGATCATTACTACAGGACTTCAACTCACGGAAAGACCTGAACAGGCACTGGCCCACCACCACGACCGCCACGCATGCCACCACCTCGATCGCCTCGAAAGGCTCCTCCGCCTCTATCACCTCGAAAGCCGCCACCACCACCTCCTCCTCGGTCACCACGGAACCCACCTCCTCCGCGATCACCACGGAACCCACCTCCTCCTCGTCCTCCACCGCGATGTCCGGTAGACATATTTGAATGGCTCGTTGAGATCTTCGAAAAGTCTCACTCGGTCGGGTGTGCAAAGAAAACACCGGCGTAGCACACTAAGTAACAAGTAGCAACCAACTGTGACGAACACGTTGAGGTACCAAAATAGCAGGATGTCACTGTGTCAATATGACATATGTATGTTGCAGATAGCACAGATGGGCAGGCTGGAGGATTGCCAGCCTTGACAGACGGATGATGATAAAGGGCCCACACAGCGGGAACGCGGGCGCGGCCACGGGTACGGGACGCGAGTGGGGTAGTGACAAGCGTGGGCGGGCGGCCAACTGAGTGGCAAGGGACGCGTGCCGATCCCTGCGCGGGCGCGTCAGGTCGCGTCGAGAGAATGATGTGTCTGTTCAACAGTGAGAGAGATGCTCAGGACTCAGCTTTGCAACTATGATGATGTCCGAAAAGGTTTGAGAGTGTCTTTGTCGTTCAGGCGTGGTAGCTAGGTACGCGGCCATTCTCACAGTTTGGCGCTGTATTCCATTTCCCATTCTGGCGGCTGCTTCACGAGCTGCGTTTGCTGAGAGCAACGAGCAGCCTCAGGTTTCAAGGACGTGCCATGGCATGTGAGTTGACTGGCTGGCGACTCACCGCATTCGGCCTTATCGCCAGCCCGTATCCGCCTTGCGCTGCGATACTTCCAAGGCTTCCACGAGGCTGTACTTGCAGAGTGCTATAATCAGCGCAGGTGGCCGCGAGGGTTGAAGGCCGATGCAGATGATGCGGACATGGTTTGCGTGCGAACCATTACTCCAGCACCGCTCTTCATTAATCACATCGTCCCTTCAGCGTTGCCTGTTCCACCCTTCAATCCATCTGCGACCTCATCACCTCTAGCGTCATCCCACATGCTTTGCGCAACCACACACTCCCGGCCCGGCGCGTAAACCGCGCAAATCACACCGCCACCTGTCCAATCTCACAAATGTTTGCCTCGATTGCTCACCATCTCGCATGGCTTGCTCTAGGACCATTGGCCGGGCCGCAGCAGGCCGCCATGTCACAAACATCTCGATTCATCATTCTACAAGCGAAGTGCTTCCTGTCTGAGGTTCATCGCCCACGGGAAAGAGTTGCCAGCAGACCGGAGAACAATCCAAAGTCCAGGCCCGGGGCCCAGTGATGTAGGCAGCAGCGTTTGTGGAGAAGGAGGAGTTGGTTTTGTGCGGACCGGTGAACGTCGCTTCCTTTGGGCGATGGCTTGTTAGCCCCCGCGTGTCACCACGTTGTGCCGCACGCCAATGACAGCCGCGATCATGTTTCTGTGGCGCTAAGACTCTCACGTGCGATGCCTGGTCACAAACGCCTGCGAATCTTGCTGCGCCACGCCATGGGTGATAGTATAAAGCTCATCAACTTCTACTTTCAGGGTGTAGTGTCTAATTTCTGGTCCACCAGCTCTGCATCCAGCCCTTGAATCGTTTCCAAGCTGTCTCGCGCCGGCATGGGCAGGTCGGCGCGCACTCGCCCGTATCCCTTCTAGGAGGATGTGAGATTCCGGTCTATCTTCTGAAATTTTGGACCCATTACCTAAGAACCTCCGACGCTTCCCTGGCCCTCATTCTTTCCCGCATCCAGCTCTCAAAGCGCCTCCAAAGCGGACTTTCTGCCGCTGGGACGCCCGTGTCCCAGTTAGGATCGGTCCCCAATTGCTCCATCCACGCTTTCTTAATCTTCATCCTCTCGTCTTCTGTAGCTTCGTCCCACTCTTGCTGTATCCGCTTCAAGCTGAAATCGTTCCTCTGTTTCATTTGCAACAATTCGACGTTGCGGCTTGCAAGCTTCTGCCTTAGTTCTGGCGGCCAGCCTTCAAATTGGCGTCCGGGAATGAGGTCGTTGACGTGTTCCAGAGCCGCATGCAGCGCCCACTGCCCAGACTGCGTGAATCGCTCGTTGCAATATCGCATTGGGCAGGAAGATGGTCCAAAAAAATCGTTGTGAGCAAAGTCGTATTGGTCGATGGCTTCGATCATCGTTAAGCCCAGACCGCGGCGTTGACATTCAATGCGTCCGTCTAGATATTTGACCTTCTCAAAATGCCCAACCGGTCCGCTGAAAACTCGCATGGGGATCAGAACTGTTCGGTAGGGTCGCCGCGGTGCGACCTTTTTCATTTCCCCTTTGTTTGATATTCGATACAATGCCCTCTCAATGTGCATAGGAGAATTGTTCGCTCGAATCCGACCGCGTCTAAACACAGGACTGCCGTGGGCCACAGCGATAAAAACAGCTGCATCGATGCCAGGTGGACAACTTTCCAAAAGGCGCCGGAGCCATGGTGATATGTTCTCCTGATGCCTGGAATGCTGAGCGGGCCTGTGATACATGGAATGACGAGCGGAGGTTTGGTACAGTACCACGCGCTTCACATTTGGGAACTTCTCTTTCATCACTTTCCAGAGTCTCTCTGCCGCGGCATCTCTAACTTGCGGAAACCACCAATCGCCTGCTCTAGGTGAGATGATACTGTCGGCGTCTACTCCGTAATCGATTTCAATGTTTTGTACCAGACGTAGAAAGGACATACTGTAGTCTATATGACCAGGTTGTCCACCTGTCAAAAGCCAGGACGCGTCGACTGAATAGTACGTGTGTGGATCAGAGAAGAAAATCTTCGATGCCTCAGCTCGTAGGAAAGACGACGTTTGCATTAGTTGTAGCAGGGTCATCCGATCGTCGGAACAAAAGTCTATGACGCGTAGTTGAAGCTCGGGTGGAAGTCGAAGCTCATCGTGCAGGTCACCGAGTGTTATCTTCGAGCTTGGAGCTATCGAAAAGCTGCGTGCATCGGTAAAGTGTAGATGCTGATTGAACAGTGTACGTTCTGCGCCCTCTGGTGATAGGTGGATTTTCCAGTTCAAAGGACTGCCGTCATTTTCTGAATCATCATCAATGTCCTCCCCAAGATGGATTGCCACTGCGTTGCGGATGAATTTGTGGCGCGACTCGAGACCAGCTACGAGATTGAATCGCTCTTCTGGCAACATGGTATGGAGGGAAGGGGTTTCAATGATTATCAGGCGCGTTTGACGTAGCGTGCCGCTTTTGTTGGTTCTTACTGGAGCGTGGTTGTTGCCTAAAAGGTCGCAACGAGAAGGCATCGCTTGCTGCTGTTTCACTGGAAGCACTGCCACTGCAGGGGTTCCAGGTCTTGCACGCTTATGAACTGTGGCACAGTGATGCGCATTGGTCATGCTCACCCAGTTAGTACTCTATTCTCCAATTTTCTCCTGCTGAGGGGCGACCCCGTGTGCCTGGCTCCGTCCACAGTAGTCTTGGTCGCATTCTGTCTCGCTCCGCTCGGCATATCGAACGGACTCGCGCGACTATGCGTCGAGCCAGGAAGACCTAGGTGCTGCCGTCCAGGCGTAGCTAATGGGTCAGTAGTCTCGTCGCCGGGTAGAGGCTGCGCAAGCGGATCTGCACAGAAAATAGCCAGCAATCTTTCTACAACATCCCGCAGCCGATCTGGTTGAGAATGCAGTGGCTTTGACGACATGTGCTTTCGGAAGGCCAGCACCGCGCTCTTGTACGTCTGGTGATAGATGAGTTTGTACTCTTCGTCTTTCGCGGCTTCTTCCGCGGCCGCTTCTTCACTAAGCTGCTCTTCGATTTGAATACCAGGTGCTAGAGAGCCTCGTCGGGACTTGTTCTTCTTACGCTGTTGTAGACCGTGCATGCGCATTGCGGTCATGACGACTCTGGAAAATGCCTCCTTGTTCCTCGACTCTGTTGTTGGCTCTTCTGGCTGCAGTGGGACGGTTGCGACCTGTGATAAGGCAGAACGCTTGGCTTGGCTTTCTGGAACCCCTTTTCTGCTCAAAGGTCGAATGTCGGAGCAAATGCTGGGTGATCTGGACAGCGGTCGGGACGAGGGCCGTGCCAGTGCGTTTGCAGAACCCGGTCTTGAGTCGGGAAATGACAGCGCCTTCGTATCTATTGAGAGAGACTTTCGGTGGCCCAATGCCCGCTGGCTTTCTTGACCCCTGGCCGCAGCAGCAGCGATGCTTTCTCCCCCCTTGCTGCGAGCCTTCTTCCGCGCTTGGGTAGCTTCGTCAAAGATATCTCGCTTTCGCTTTGGTGACGCGGGCGTCTGCTCGCAGGTGAATGCAGGTGGAAGGAATTGCGGCTCGACATGGGTACGTGGTTCCAAGGTGCTCAAGCTAGGCGACAGCGGTGGGTTCTCAAGTAATGCCGGCTTGTGCAGAAGGTCAGAAGATAATGGCAATGCATGTACTTTGAGCTCAGGCAGAGGCTCCCGATCTAGGATGGCATGAGAATGGTCGGGCGAGGAGGAGGGCGGTGTCGGCAGCGCACCATGAGCAGGCGCCGCAACTGTGCCATAGAAGAGGATTTCGGTGATTCTGGGCCCATTGGTATCCAGCTGACTCCCTCCCACTTGCACAAGAACACCAACAGGTGACTGTGCGCGTGCGCAGGTCCACCACCGACTTGCCTGTGCATCTCGAGGCGCGGCGGGTTTGCTGAGGAAGACCGAAGAGAACCACTCTTCGGTGTCTTCGCTCGTTGTCCATACCTCCAAGCTCGGTCCAGCAGCGAGATATAACGGTATTTGAGCAGAGTCGACTATGGCTAGAAAGCGCAGTGACGCTACCAGAAGGGACGCGGTGACGTGTGATGCGAGAGTAATGTCTGCAGCTGTCAGCAGCTATTAGGCTGCATCATAATGCTAGCGTACCTTTTATTGCCGTCTGATCGGGGAGAAGAATATCTCCGCTCCAGATATCGGCCATGATGTATGGGCGTCGAGGTGGGCGTATTGTCGAGTCGTCCTCGGGGCCAAAAATGACGCGTTTCGGCGCCACGCTAATTTCTACGCGTCTCCACGTGCCCAGGTGCTACCAATAGGCACACACGCCTTTGCATGGGCCTGTCCATGTCGAACTACAACGAAAGATCTTTTCTCTTTCATGATAGCTAATAGCAACGATAATTTAGGGATGCAACTTGACTCTTGGGCTGCTCCAGGACTGGCACACGGACGCCCGCAGCCTAACTACCGCTTCATCACCATCATGCCTTCGGCACCTTCAAGCTCTCATTGAAACCCGAAAACGCTTCAAATACCTCTCTGTGCAGCGTACCGCCTAGCCGCACATAACCCAAGTCTAACCAACGGCGGCAGCCTGCTCAGCACCGGGGCATCCCCGTCTTCCCAAAGTCATCGTAGTACCGCGACCACCAGTACGGCGCTGTCTGAGCACTCGTCACCAATTCCGTACACGTAAGCTTGTACCCCTCTCTGAACGCACTCGTCTCGTACGTCCTGTTCGTCAGGTTGGCGACATCAATGCCAACGCACCTACGCTGCTTTACGTTACCGCCTGCGCAGTGCTTATTGATGAGCTCGGGATGATACTCTGCCATTTCTAAAAGTTCTGATTCGCCTGTTCGAGGGTGTATGGATCATCAAGGGTGTCTAGAAAGAACATTGATGTTCGATTACAGCATGTGGCGTTCTGATGTTCGTCAATCGGGTTTGGAAGTGGGCTGAAAGGACAGATGTATTCAGGTGTAGGAAGTCGATCGATTGACAGATGCTCGCCCAATGGTCGTGGCTTCTTTTTTGGACCGTATGACCACGAAGCAGGGAACCGCGAATTACACCATTACTGCCTTCCTCAACCTAGCACCCCTACCATCAACACTCCCACAACGCCCATGATCCCCCCATACCCCCAGTGATTCCACTCCCCCTCGCCGGTCATCCCTTTCACAACCCACCCATCCACACCCGCGCACGCGCTCCCCAATACCAACAGCGCCCCCGCAACCCTCCTATTCCCCATCCACGTCGCCGCCAGAATACTCGCGCCGACGAACAGATCCTTCGCGCCGAAGAGGATCATGATGGCGTCCACGATGTCCGCATCCCGGGATGTTGTCGGAGAGGGGAGGCCGAGAGATGGGTAGGCGAGTCGCGGGTAGAAAGTGTAGGCTGTGCCGAAGCCGATGAAAATTGTGCCGAAGATGGTGGCGAAGAGGCGGAGGATTCTAGGGGGGTTGGAGGGAGGCATGGTGGGCGTGTTGTTGTTGTTGTTATGGCGCGATGAGCTTTCTGCGTGTGAATTGTATACGGGTCACTTGAGTGTATATCTGGGTTGAAGAGCTTGCTCTTGGTCGAAGAGGAGTGTTATGATGGATGTATATGCAGTTGTTGTAATGATGTCTTACAACAAAGAGCGATACACGCCCCTGCTTTTGTACCACGCGTCTCACCACCTTCGCGCGAAAGCACTTGACCGCGCGTTCCAGGCCCCCAACGCGAGGCTTGCACTGCCCGCTACTTTTGCGGTATGGTGCGTACGCCAAGTCATGAGCAAGGACATACATTGCGAGAAGCAAGGGCGGAAGGGCTGTAATTGCAATTTCCTGGCGCCCAGGGTTGGCATTCACAACTAATTCTCAAAAGCCGCAGAATCCGTTGGGGGCCGCCAAGACCGAATCCGAGATCTGATTGGCTGAATATCAAGAAGCGTGCGGAGGCGCCTAGTGCTTCTGAGAGATGGCAAGCAGATAAAAGGGCGTAGAAGCGCTTCAAGCTGGAGTTCTTTCACTAAGCGCTCGGAGTTCTTGTAGGTTGTTTAATATGAACATCTTCTCGTTGGGTCATCGGCTTTATCTACATAATCATCGCCTTCAATCCTACCACTTTGTATTTTCATGCTTCATCCGCGGCGCTCCAGCGTACATCTCCCTTTCGATGTGCTATGCTTGTAACGAGTCGAGTAACTCTTACAATTCGTCTCTGGTCCTGCCACCTTCAAGGTCTGGCATGCTCATGATCTTCACCACCAGGCTCGTCCATCCCGTAAAGTGCTGCGTGCGCTGTCCCTTGCCGGTCTCAGGGTTGTATTGCTCCCATGCGAAACCGGTCTCCTTCCAGCTCTCGTACACAGTCCTGACTAGGTTCTTGCGGAGATCGGTGTACAATTGCTTCGCCTTGGCCTGTTGAGGGCCCTTTTGCTGTGCGACGTTCTGAGTAGTTGTCAGCTGGTTCTTATAGAGTTTCCGCATGAGTGGGACTCACCAGTAGTTGCTGGACAGCGAGATAATTCATGTTCATCCAGATAGGGCCACGCCAGTAATCCTCCTCGGTGTGATAGAACTCGCTGCTCTTGCTTAAGCTTCGCAGTCCATGTTCGCTCCAGAGCTGGTCCTCGTCACCAATCAAATCGAGGATGGGGCCTAGCTTGGGGCTATCCTTGTCCACGAGCCCAGTTAAGAAGGGGAACAGTGAGATGTATCCCTTGTGGCAGACAAGTTTGTTCTCTTCATATTCATCGATGGTAGCATCGCAGTATGCCTTTTCCTTTGCGGACCAGTGTAGGTCATCCAGGTTCTTGACAATGGCTTCTTCAAACTTCAGGAATTGGGCGGCGTCATCGGTCTCGTCGAGGTACACAGCGATACGGCGGATAGACTTTGTCATCATGCCAACCCAGCTAAGAAGGTCAAGATGAAGCTCTCCAGGATGCGGCGGTTGTGCGCGCGGGTAGTCGTCAAGGCCAGAGGTCAAAACGTGTCGAGGAGTGCGACCGCGCCATCGGTAACCCTCTTTCGTGGAGAAAGCTTCGCGGTCGTAGCTCTTGATATCACCAGCTTGTGTCTTGCGGAACCAAAAGTACTGGCGCTTCAAAAGCGGGTAAAGCTTACGCAGATATTCGAGCGCAGCTTCGCGATTTGCAAGCTGCATAAAGTATGACTTCTCAGCGCGGACCTTCTCGTTGCTAGTGTCGGCTTTGACGGCATCCAATTTGTCGAGGAATGAGGTTATGACCATGAACAGCGTGGGTGGGTTCGCATAGTGTGGGTATTGGACTTGGAACTCCTCTGGAACCTTGCTGCGAGCCTCAGCACCTAGGATTTGCTCGCGCGCAATCCAACCCTCTTCGTCCATCAGATTGAACCAACTCTTGATGATGTCAAGGGTTAGGTCAACATCCCAGTCGATCACGGGAAGGAGATGGAAACCCTCGTCCCAAAGAAAGCCGCGCGGAAAGAACGGTCGTGACGGAATGCTAGTGAACAGCTCGGAAGGTCCCTCCAATTGCGCTTGGTTACGGGCACGAGCTTCGGCGGCATCCTCCCAGAAGCCCTCATTGTCCTCCTCATAGGCGGGATCGTCGGAACGGTCAACACGAGAGTCGCCGTAGAAGTATCCGATACCACCGATCAAGTTGGAGAATAGAGACTTGGAGAACTCCTCGTAGCGCTCCTTGACAAACGGCGTCTGCGGCCTGAATATGTCGGTAAAGCGAGCGGAGAATCCGGATGTGACAGAGTTGATTTGTACCGTGAGATCCTCAGAAGTGATAGCTGTGGGCGCAGAGGCGGACGAGAACAGAATATCGAATTCGAAAGCGCCCTCGAAAACTTTCTGAACCAAGTGGATATTCCCATGTCCAGGCTGATGCCTAATGGTATAGACCTGGGCCGGTGGAGGAGGGTTCTCCTCTCCGTACTTGGGCACAAGCGTATCGATCTCGGCTTTCAGCTGCGCGAAGAGCACCTGCTTAGACTGCCACAGCGCCTCAGGTGGTATTTGCGAGCTCGCTACAAGCGTTCGATCCAGCGGCTTGTCCTGGAAGCTAGGATGATTCGACTGTGGGTGATCTCCCTTGCCTGACGTAATCTTCACCTCAAACTCGCCGAGCTCGGGTGTCATGCCCTTGAGTACCACATCGCCCTCAGCACCTGTTTCTTCTACGTCTCCCTCTGCTACAAGGGACCCAAGGCCCTCCAGCGTGTTGTACCAGACCACTGTTGTCTTCAGTTCCGGAGGCGCATCGGCGCGAGGCGTGCCTTTGATTCTAGCTCCCCAGCTGCCGCCATGCTGGCCGCCAGGGAACTTGATGAACTCTGTCGTGACATCGATGTGGTTCGCAGGGTCGTGGATGGTTTGGCGGCCACCAGTGCGCACATCGTATTCGTCCCACCCATAACCGTCAAGCTCGTGCTGCTCGCAAGTGTGTCGCAAAGCTGCATCTCTATGTCAACGATGCCTTCGGAGGAGAGCAATGGCTGGCTTCGTATGCCGGCATTGCAAGCTAGGATTGCATGCAGGTGTCTGAGGAATTGAGTTCCCACTTACTATGCTGCACGGTATGGTCCTCCACTTTCGTCCACATCAGACCGCCCATCAAGCTCTTTGGTATCCTGGGTCGTACTCCGAAGTACAGATTGGGTCTGTAAGGTCCCCATAGCAAGCTGTCGTTGCTAGCCTTCTCGATCTCAGCGACCTGCGCATCGACAAGAGACAATTGGGCACACAGAGCAAAAGTCAGCGCCCGCAATGGACTGCTTGGCCATCTGGAATTGCGCGCCATATTGTTTTGTTGCGGCGCGTGTTCGTGGTAGGTGACGAGCTGCTGTGGGGTTTTGGACACATTGATGTCTCGCTTGCACCTGCCGCGCGGCATGGTTGTGGGGAACTCGGAGGTGCCACACTGTGGCGCAGGGACCGCATTTGTGTAAGGAGCTCGAGCAACGCTCCACGGCGGGGACTCACGTTGCCTAGCCACTTTGTACGAAAGCCTGGTCGCATCGAAGCATTTAATTCACTGTGGTCATGATCGTGTGGCATATTGCCAGTCATATACAGTTGTAGACTAAAAAATAAGAATGATGTTAACTCTGACCTGCTGTATGATGGCATTAGGGTGCTCGAACTGCTCTCATCCAAAGGACTGCACATGTTCTGGACGAGTACAGAACCTAACTCAACTTCCGCCGCCAAGCCAATTCGTTTTGCTCGTCTCTGATGTCGGTTTGTCAGACTGATCCACGTTCGCAAGCTGGAACAAATGACGAAAGAAGGCCGTACCGTAGCTCGGGTGCTTGGCTCGTGAACCGGGTATGAAAAGGGTATCTCGCAGCGTTTGTCGGGTTACGCATGCTCCAGCTGTATGGCCTCTGGAGTTGCAGCTATGCGCCCAAAGCCTTGTCCTACTGTTGGGCACTTGGGCATCATCCTGCAGGAACAATACGTGCTCTGAATGCTTTCCTAGAAGCAATGCTTTGTGGAGGTGCGAAAGTTGATCGACGGCTTGTCTTCTCCCTCAGCCGTGCGATGGCGAAAGCGGCCTATTAAATCCACCTTGACGGTTCATATACTGTCTCGCTTCCATCTTCTTCTCCCTCCTCACGCCGTAATTCTTGTCATTCCCAGGCACCTTTGTGTTTTTGGTGCTTTTGAAGCGCGCGAAGCCCATGACCTGCGCCATCTCCCATGTGTCATCATCCATGCCTTCAGGTCGCTGGCGCTGTGGCTGCTCCTCCATCTTTACGTCCTCGTCTGCCTCTGGGCTGGCAGCTGCGCACGAGTCGGCGGGAGCCTTGGGAGCGCCACCTGGGTTGAATTCCCGCCTGGGGCCTGCAGGTGCGCCGCGGGGCCCTGTGGGTGGTTCGCGGTTGGAGCGAGGGTCGCGTACGTCTCTGTCGTTGTATTGCCGTCTGTCGCCGCCGCGGTCGCCGTCCCAACCGCCCCTGCCCCTGCTTCCTCGGCCTCTGCCTCTCCCTCTATCTCCACCACGGCCGGGCGGCGAGCGGTCACGGTAGCCGCCGCGTCGGTCTCCGCCATCGCGTCGCGGGCTGCGCGAACGATTGCGGCTATCGGGTGCGTTTGCACGGTCACGACCGCCGTTTCGCGAGTCTCGGAAGTCGTCTCTGTCTCGGCGCTCGCGAATCCGATCTCCGCCGCCGCGTCTGTCGTCTGCCATGGTGCGGGTGTGTGTGGGCCGGTTGTTGGGACTGATCGCAGCCTGCGCGGTTATGTTCAAGAAACTGGAGGCTGCCAAGCCCCGTTTTGCGCGCGGCTAATGCTTCCCTCTCTGGGTCCTAGTGCTTTCCTGCCTCCACAGGGTAATTTGCAAACAGCTCCCCGCGTGACTCTCCGCTTGTGATTCAGAATCATTTGTATGTTTTCAAAGGTCCTTTTCCAAAAACAGCCGGATACCGGCCTCATGGTGAGACCTTTCTGGGAAAGCAATCCCTACGAAAGATGAGAGTCGACCGCGTCTAAGCCTAAGCCAACCACTCAATCCTAATGCTTCCACCAGCTCACTTCTAATTGAACGAAAAAGCCAACAGCTCTCTTACCATCTTTGCACTTCAAAGGTAGTCAGCTAACTGGCTTCATCACTAGTGGCCTGTAAGCGATGGTTAATTAGAGTGACGTTCATCGAGGTCCCACCCAACGCCCACTCCACAAATCAGAAGCGATACAACCCACTGACCATCGCTGCACAAGGTTCACCAAGTGGGATGATTATGCAGCTTGGACGTTCAGGCATTTTGCACCCCTCATTGCCCCACCATCACCAATACAATTACACGTGCAAATGAGTGATTTGTTGGCCCGCATGGTACCGACGCCCGGCGACACCAAGAGCAAAAAAGGTATAAAGCGAGAGCTCTGGAGTCATCTCACCTCTTCTCAAACTTCACAATACAATTGACCATTTTTTCGTTCAACTTTGTCGCAACTTCAACCACCAACCGGTACGATGCCGTGAACGCAGCAACCGGGGTACAATGCCCCTCCTCCTCGCTTGTCGGGGTTATCACAGTCAAGTAGCGTCAAGCTCAGGTATTCTCAAAAACAATCCGGAAGCATGCATGGCGGGTGTTCAAGCTCGTTTTCAATCCCTCGTATCCGTCAGAGATTCTCAACATCTCCTCACAGCTACGATGGACTGGAGACGAGCTTGTTCTGAGATCATACCGTTCAAACTTGATCTGGATAATTCCAGCGAAAGGACTAGCTGCTTCTTGATCCCCTATCCCCGCCCTTGCGTGCTGACCTTCCTAGCTTCCCGCGAAACAAGCCAGCATGTCTACTGACAAGATTACCTTCTTGACCAACTGGTCTGTCACGCATGATGCTTCTGTTTACGTGACCAGGACTGATGCCGAACAGGCACGCCACCCCGTACCATGCGCCTCTCTACCTCGCCCAGAGCAAAGGTTACTTCAAGGACGAAGGCATCAAAGTCGCGCTCCTCGAGCCCAACGACCCCAGTGTACTTCTACCCGTCTATTCAACATCATTCCACATCACTGATCAGCCCCAACAGGATGTCACCGAGATCATCGGCACCGGAAAAGTCGATCTCGGCTTCAAAGCCATGATTCACACGCTCGCCGCCGCCGCACGTAATTTTCCCGTAACATCCATCGGGTCCCTCCTCAATGAGCCCTTCACCGGCGTCGTGTACCTCACCAGCAGCGGCATCACGCCAGACTTCACGACGCTCAAGGGCAAGCGGATCGGCTACGTCGGCGAGTTCGGCAAGATCCAGCTCGACGAGCTGACCGCGCACTACGGCATGCAACCCACCGACTACACCGCCGTGCGCGTGGGCATGAACGTCACCAAGAGCATCATCAACGGCGACATCGACGCGGGCATCGGTCTCGAGAACGTGCAGATGGTGGAGCTGGAGGAGTGGTTGAAGGCGACTGGCCGGGCGCCCGAAGAAGTGCAGATGCTGCGCATCGACGAGCTGGCGCAGCTCGGGTGCTGCTGCTTCTGCAGCATCCTGTACATCGGGAACGACGCCTTTCTCCGCGCCAACCCCGAGAAGGTGCGCGCGTTCCTGCGCGCCTGCAAGCGCGCGACGGACTTTGTGCTGGCCTCGCCGGACGCTGCGTGGAAGGAGTTCTGCGATTTCAAGAGCGCGATGGATACGCCTACCAATCGCAAGATCTTCGAGCGCAGCTTCGCGTATTTCTCGCCGGATCTGCAGAATGTCGCGCGCGATTGGGAGAAGGTCACGCGCTACGGTAAGAGGCTGGGTGTGCTGGAGGAGGGGTTCAGCCCGAACTACACCAACGAGTATCTGGGATGGGGTCTTGAGGCTGACAGTGTGGATCCTACGGGCGATCAGAAGAGGATGGTGAAGCTGCAGCAGGGGGTCAAGGAGTCTGGGGGATTTAAGCGACTTGAGAATGCCGCGAAGACGATCGTCGGTGCTGCTGCTGTGAAAGAGGTTTAGATAGTACCTTTTGCTTTGACCCAAGTGGAATGAGGGCGTGGGAGAAGATGAATCGGCCAGCCACTCACTCACATATCCGGCCCAAGAAGATATTGTATAAATGCAGTCCATTCGAGAAAATACTGCTCCATCAACATCGAAGTATACGGTTGTCGTCATGCTGGAACACGAGGGGCTCGCAGGTAACTCATTTTCCTGTTCGTAACTACAGTTTGAGACTGCAACACTGTCTTTCTCAACACGATGCTATCTGCTCGTTTGCAATTCCCACATCACTTGGCATTCCCCCGACTCAGCTCACTTCAAACGATCGAAAATCCACGTTACTTGGTCCTCCTCACCACACGCCCTTTCCTTCTTTACCGCCTACGCTTCGGTCCAGTTGCCTTCGCGATCCTTCGCACCATACCACCCATCGCACCGCTTTGTGAGCTACCTGCACCGCCGCCAGAGTTGCCCTGGAACGTGAGCCGGTTGCCATCAGCACCACCATTGTTTGCTAGACTAGCGAACGAATTGGAAAATGGGGTTTCGTTCGAATTCTGGGACTGGAAATTGCCGCCAAATCCGGTTGACTGCTGTAATTGCCCAGCAAAATCGGTGCTCACTGAGAAGCCGGTATTGCCAGGCGCCGCAGTATTTGGTGCTGGCTGGGCGAAGCTGTTGAATGTGGCTCCGAAGGAACCGGCATTGCTTACAGGGTTCGACGCCGATGTTCCAAACGCACCCTTGAAAGACGCGTTCGACGTAGGAGTGTTGAATGTATTGCGTGCGTTGGGAAATGGGTTCTGGGAGTCTCCGGAAGACGCTGCAGCACCGCCACCGAAGCCTGATTTTGGTGAAGCTTGAGATGGAACTGCACTCTGGAAGCCGGTGTTCGGTGTGTGGAAAGAGTTGAATTTTTTCGGAGCTGGAGACTGAGTAGGTAGTGTCAGGGTACTAGTATCCGGTGCATGAGCACTTCCGAAAGGATTGAAGGTTGGCCCTCCTGATGCTCCTAGCATAAAACTAGGCAGAGAGGGTGCGCCAGTAGCGGGTCGAGTTGCACTGGAAGATCCAAACCCCAAGGTCACTGCAGTGACAGATGTGCTCGACGGAGCTGTAGCTTGAGTCGGTGTGCTGACTGGGGGTTGACCAAGTCCACCGAATTGAGATTGGGGTGGTGCAGTGACACGAAACCCTGACGATGAAGATGAGGGAGTAGCGGTGACATTCGGCGCTATAGAATTGGAAGCATTCGAACCGTCCAACTTGAAACGGAATCCAGCCGGAGTCACATCATTCTTAAGTGCATTCAAGCCCATGTTGTTCTGCCTCTCGTCTTTCGCATTACCAGGAAACATGCCAGATCGCTTTGAATTCGCTTGCGCAGTACTTCGTGGTGCCGCGCCTGAATCTGCTAAAATGTTTGTCGATGCGCGAGAGAAGTTGAACTTCGGAGGAGCTGGTACTGTTTTCGTGGTCGAGTGATCTGGTGTTTCAAAAGGCGTCAAACGTAGTGAAGGCGATTTGAACACATCAGTAAGCCCTACTGACTTGAATTCTGGCGCTTTTATACCCGCAGTGGGCTTGGCCAGATCGCTAGACTTGGTCTCATCTTTTATAGACGGCTTGCCTGCTTGTTTGGCAACTGCAGGCCCCGAGTTGTCCTTCTGGCCGTCAACAATGTCATTCGCCGTGCGGCCCCATGTCTCAGTTTTGGTAGTCTGAGGTAATACAGGCACCTTGGTATTCGATTCTGGAACCAGGGCGTCCTTTCCCAAGCCATGAGTCTTAAAGCGCGCCTCTATTGTCTGAGTGAAGTACTTCGGCTCTTTCTCCAGCCCAATCAGATGGCGGACATCGTCGTCCAGCATGCCTACCGCGTCCAGATTCAATATCTGCCACGCCATCATCTGTACGTACTCGTGGGCGAAGGGCGCAGTGTAAGGCTCAGACTGAACCCGTCCACTAAACGTGTCCCAGATCCAGAGCACATCCATGGGCGTGAGCTTCACCTGCTGGAGCATATCCCACAGCTTCGTTTCCAGATCTCGAGCTTCTTTTTCCATCTCGAAGAATACCAGAACGCAATGCATCGCTATCGTACCCACGGGCTTCTTCTCCACAGGCCCTGGAACAGGTATACCTTGTTTCGCGCAGCGTAAGAGGCCGAACAACATTGACTCGATTGTCTCCTCGTCCAGACATGACGCCGGTGGCACAAAAATGCGGCGGCCCTCAAGCCGCTTCTGGAGTCCTGGAGCTACCTGGAACAGCAGGCGCGGATCGAGGCGGTCAGCGATGACGGCGCCGTTAGGAAAGCCTTCGCGCTCCACAACGAGCTGGACGTAGTTCTGTCCACAAGTAGCTTGTCTATACCAGGTGGTGCGGGAATCGGCTTTGCCGAAGGTAAAGAGCGGCGGGGGTGATGGGGTACACAAGCGCGTCTTACGTGAACCAGGTCCAAAAAGTTCATCTTCTTTTGCGTTGTCCCCATGTCCATTGGAAACTGGATATGCCATATCTCCACCTGCGGCGGACGGTAAGCTACCGTTCGGTACGTCGCCCATGGATTTGAGCATGCGAAGTATGCGCGGGCTGTTTGTCTGGCTGGCGTCGAGTGTTGAGAAAGTTGGGGCAGGTGCGAACCAGGCGCGTGGCTGCCCTGGGACAGAGCGACACCGCGTTTTTATGCACGAGCGGGAACGAGGCTATCTTTGAGCTGTGGTCTGAGCGGGTGGTGAAATTACCTCTGATCACAGTTGTGCGTCTACTTTCATTCCTTGTATCTGCACTCCAGCCAGCTGTGCCCAAACCCTCGATCCCAGTTTCCTGATTCTGTATTCTTTCAACGCTGCATCTCTTCGATTTCCGGAACAGCAGGTGCTGTGTCAACCAAACCCGGTTTTCGCCGCACCCGATCAAACGAATTCGTGCGCCTACTCGCTCGACGCAACTGTGGCCGGCGTGGGCGCGAGGTTACTCTTGAAACCGCTCGGCAGATTCGTGCAGTGTCTGCCTGGCGAGTGAGTCAATTGCTTACCAAAGAAGCATTCACCGTCTCTTTGCTGATCTTTGGATATCGCGGACCAATATCATCCGTGATCTCACCGCGTCGTCTGCCAACAGAGCTTCCCGGCATCTCTACAGGCAAACATCAAGCGACCGCTCGTCGGCAGGCAAACGAAAAGTCGCCATGTCTTACATGCTCCAATTCCCCCCCTCCCTTCTGCCCAAAAACATTACCTCGCCACCCTTCGTCCTCTTCGGCATCAACGACCTCGACCTCTTCTCCGACCTCCCAACGAATATCCCTCTCGCCCTTGTACTCCACTTTGCTCCCGTTCTCCGCAAATGGGTTCTACCGCCGCCCCAGGAACTCAGCACATGCGCCATCCGCATGTCTTTACGGACGCCCTACGTCGGCATCAACATTCTAGCTGACATGGAGCTCGAGGGTTTGAGATATATCCTTGGGCGTATGATGCAACTTGCCCACGTTAAGATTGCAACAGGAAAATACGAAATGTTCCAGATGATGCCGAGTCTGCCTGTTAGCATATCAATCCACAAAGCGTGGATGGCACTGGAGCTGCCGCCTAGAGGCATCGAGGCTTTATACATGCACATCCAAATCACGCTCATGATTGGCCCGCCCGTCACACTGTTCGAGATCAAAGGCGTGTGGCAAAATTTCCCGGTCGACTCGCCGATACAGCGCGAGATGGGTCTGAACTTCGTGCGCAACTACATCGACAGGCTATATCCGGCTTCGGAGAGCTCGGCAGTACGACACTGGTACCTCGAGACGACTGAGCGGTGGAGTTTCTTCCGTGAGCTGGAGAAATCGTCTCCTGCGTTCGGAGACGTGCAGAAGGAGACGATGATATCGGCGAGCGAGCAGAAGAAGCAGGAGGACCTGTACATCAAGAAAATTTTCCAAGAGGAGAAGGACACCATAGCTTCATTGAAAGACGAGAAAGAAGAACGGCATAAGGCGCGACGAGAGCGTAGGGAGAAGCGTGATCGTGATCGTGAAGATAGGGCGGAAAAGCGAAGACTGGAGCGGCAACGTAGCAATAGTTTGGACAGTGTTTCGACCATCATCTGGAACCCGGTGAGCTCACGCGTGGTGGGAAAGGATCCTACCACGCCTACCGTGGAGAGCGGCGGACCCGTTCTACCGTATTCTACCCCCATCGACAGCTCTGCCTTGAACGACCTGCTGGATGCCGTAACCATGGAAGATAAGGTGCAGAGCACGCCTTACGAAGCAGATTCAGTGGAGTACGGACGAAACAAATTGCTGAAAGCAATTGCTGCCGACAAACGCAAAGAGGAGGCTCGCGCTGCGTCGCGCAAGGAACTACAGAGAAGCCGCATCGCAGAGCGCAATGCCTTCAACGAAAAGCGCATCGCACTCGGCAAGACGACCAAGGACCTTACAGAATACGATGAGGACGACGAAGACGAGTTCCACGAGACGATGGAGTACATACCTCCCGACCTAACCAAGCTCAAGCTCAAGCTCAACCCCAAGAGCAATTCCAACTCCCACTCCGATTCCGTCCCGACAGACAAGAAGTACCGCCCACTTCACCACGCCATGTACGAGACAGACGTCCAGCGCGGCCTTCTAGTCGAGCAGGCTCTCGCCACAGCGGCTGAAATATTGTCCCCAAAGTCGCAGTCCGAGAAAAGGGCGGGACGTGAGAGGCCGATGTACCATAGCAAGGACACCAGCCCAGAGGGAGAGATGGCGCTGTCGCCCGAGTACGCGACATCCCCTCAAGCTCATCTGACCTCGAAGGAAGAGTTGGAAGATCAACTAGCCTCCATCAACAACGCACTCGACCGGCGCGCAGACCTTCAGCGCGCCAAACAAGCAGACGCAACCTCCTCAAGGCAGCTGAACAGAGACATCCTCGAAGGCCCAGACGGCCTGGTCTATCTGCAGCCTGCCGTCTACAAGGGCACGCGCTGACACGTGCCCAGCCGCACTACAACTATCTGAAGTGGACAAGATCGTGGCGCCCAGCCGTCACCAGCGCGCTTCTCCACACTAGAGGATCATGGCGGGGCTTTTGCAATTCATGGCGCCGAGCCTCCGCTGGCATGTTTCTCCAGCCTTGGGGTACTATTGCGGGTCTTCCAGGCCAGACTCTGCTGGGCTCGGCGATCAGGCAGATGTGGGCGTGCGCGTACGAACGTCCAAGGCAACGAACCCACCTCCGGAGCCCAGTTCTGTGAAGTGGCATAATGGAATGGGTAAGAACGTTCGGCCCTGGGACATGGTTTCACCTATTTCGATCCAGTTCGCAAACAGCATGAGAGACAACGGGATGAAATTGGCAAAAATTCTCGAAATAAATTGCAGTCCGCAAAGGACGGATTCATTAACATTTGTGCCAAAGAGTGACTAGGTGTACATGCTATATGTGAAGTGCTGCGCGTCGCGCCCCAAGCACTTAGGTATCAAATGATGCTGGAAAGAAAAGACTTTTGAACAATGAAACAGATCGCCAAGTTCTATGAAATGACAGGACCGGAACTAATAATACAATGCGTGATCGTGTACGGTACGGATATGAGGGGTTTGCGGAGGGTGGGCGGGGGAATGTTATGAAGCTTGCTCCTTGTTCCTTGACAAGAGCGCCTTCACACGTTGCTTGATCGACCGGCGTTCGGTGATCTCGTAGAGGGGCTTGTGCTCCTCGTAGATGTCGTGCTCGTTCTCGTAGTCGACATGCACGTAGGCTCTCTCCACATTGGCAAGTCCTATATATAGTAAGTCATCAAGCCCCAAGGTCCGGGACTAGGATTCACCAACCTTCAAGCTTTCGTTGCAGGGTCTGGCTGACATCGTGGGTGACCTTGAGGGGTAGTTCCTCATCCATGACAATATCGACCTCGACGTAATAGTTCTGTCCAGCATGGTAGGCTCGGCACTATCATGGATCAGTCTTGGTCTATTTGCGGGTCAAGTCGTCAAACACTTACAGTATCAACTTTTTGAATGCGGGTATCATGCGTGACCACGAGGTAGATGAGCTTGGAGATGAACTCGTTCGGTGCAGACTTGCCCACAAGGAGCCACACATGCTCGAAGGCGTTGGCAGCCCAAGAACACAGGATGAGAAGACCAATGAGGATGGCACCGAGGGGGTCGAGGTACCACACAACACGGCTTCCGATAATGGACATGGTCAGACCAAAGGCGTTGACAATGATGTCGTTACGGTGGTCGATGAAGAAGACGTGCACCGCAGGGTACCGGCGGAGGAAGAAACAGTAGATGCATAGAGAACCTTTGCAAAAGACTTGGCTGAATGAGCAATTGTCCAAAGAACCACGGTCTTGGGTCAACTTACTTGCGACACCCACGAACACGATGGGGATGATGTGGAGCTGTTCGTGCTCCGAAGCACCCTCTCCCAAGGCACGCCCAGACTCGACCTGATGATGGTTAGTATCTCTCCAAACCTGAACGCCAAGAGGAGCTTACGATCAATTGGATAGCAACCGTGGTCATGAGGCAGCAGAACATGATGATGCCGATGGTTTCAATACGCGTACGACCGACAGGGTACTTGTATACACTGGGCCGTGCAGCCATTCGCGATGTGATGAGCATGACGATGGATGATACCAGGTCCATGAAAGCATCTGCCGCGGTGGCAAACAGTGACAGCGAACCCGTGGAAATGGCAGCATACAGCTGGATCACGAACAGGAAGAAGTTGACCACGAAGGAAGCATTTACGGCAAATTTGACTTTGGGACCATTCTCCAAGGTGTCCAGAGCAGCTAAGCGTTCCTCGTCCCCACTTTCGAGGAACTGGTCAATGAGAGCGTTCTGCCTCGTGTAGAACTTCTTCATGTGGCGTTTGTTGGCAGACGGGTAGTCAACCTCCATTTGTCTCTGGGTGACATTGGCACGCTTGTGCTGGCCAAGACCCAATGGATCACCGTCATTGACGGTGGTGACCTCGTCCAGCTGGTCCTGGGCTGGAGCACTGGCAGTGTTTGTGCCCAGAGAGTGGATGGCATCAGCGTGCTCATTAGCAGTGGCACTGGAGCTTGCCGACATGGCTGTCGTTGACGAGGAGCCAGCCTCGAGTGGTGCAGATGTTTGGTCGGCAGCTTGGCCTTTTTGTGAAGAGGCTAAAAGTAGAGGTCAGTGGAAACATGCGACGCAATCGGAGACAGAAGCCTTACGACGAGAGCCGGAAGACATGTTTTCCGAGCGTGATGAAGTGGATCTGTTGTGTTGATGCCTGGAATGGGAGAGAGAGGCAGACCATATAGGGAGACTCTTGTATTAAACGAGAGTGAGCGGCGAAGAGCGCCATGGACTAGCTCGCGACTCGAGAGCTTCTGTGCATGCCGAGAAGCACTAGACGCAAGCAAGCATCTGCAGCAGGGGGATTTGTGATGGTGCGGAGCCTGGGACGGAGTGCCAAACTCGCTAAGCGTTCTGGGCAGCGATGGCTGGGGGCGAACCGGACACGCCGTTTTGGGCCATCGCGCATCCCCCCACTGTCAACGATGCTGTGGGCGTAGACTGCCGCATGTGTCGGTGGATCGGGTCTCGAGGCGCTGGCCGTGTGCCTACAAACGTCGTGGCAATGTGGCCACGGCCGGAGGTGTGCAAGCGCAGGAGGCTTCGCGGCGGGAGCAAGCCTGAGGCAGGTCGCCAGCGCCTGCCGCGGGCGCGGGTGCGCAGGGCTATTCTTTCCTCGTCTCGGTGCTTGCGCCTGGCAGCCACCGCTGGAGAACAATGCGCGTTGGGCAGGGCTGCCGTGCAGCGAGTCGGCAGTGGGCGATCATGCGGTCGCGCTAAAAGATCGGCAGCTGCATGGCGCCACAAAACGGCGCCCCAGGGCATCCCAACCACAGCACTCCATGCTCTTCGCGTTTCTGAACCACCTGGCCAAGCCAGCGCGTGCCTATGCCCAAGCTAGATATCACAGCGGAAAGGCGTCTGCCGACTTGGCGCCTGCCGCGGGTGGAAACACCACGCGTCCCATTGGCCACCCCAATTTGTGTACCTGATTTCTCCCACCCGCACTGCAACAGGTCGCCTCCCCTACAACACCAAGCGCATCAATCAATGGCTTGGACGTGCTTGAATGTTTCTACGTCACCCGTTGGCCCCACAAGCCGAGCGTGGCGGTAGAGCCTCATCGCAGCCACTCCACAGCGCCCACACTGGGCTTCCCCAGTGCCTAGCCGTCACTCCAGCCTCGACGCCTTGACGCCGTGCTTTTGCCATGACCAATACTTCTTGGATTGGTTCTCCAGATAGTGGTACCTGGCACAGTCTGGGCCTCCGCTCGTCTGTGTCAAGCCTCATCTCATCACCCAAACTAAGACATGGTCTACGTTATTGAAGCTTCACTACCGTGGTGCTCCACCCAAGTGTTCTGTGCCCGTGCTGATCAGACAGGAACGGCTAGTTGGCTCCCAAGTACCAGATCCTTAAAGCACAACGCATTGCCCAGCGCCGAGCCTCAAGTTGTAACCGTGGGTCACCTCGTTCACTTCCTTCTTTACTCTCTGGTAGAGACTTTATTTGATATTTTTGTGTTCTTTCTTCCTTTCTCTCTTCCGAGGCTGCTGGCAGGTCCAACCGGAGTTTTTTCTGCATTCATTCATTCTATTTCCCCTAGAACTTTAAACTAGAAAACCATATTCACCATGCCGGTAGACGCGATCCACATCGCGGCGGTCTGTATGTCATCTCGTCTTGAGCCTCCTCAACCCACACTGACTCGTCTAGTCATCGTCTTCGCCGCCAGTATCTCAGGCGCCGGCTTTCCGGTGGTGGCGAAGAAGGTAAAATGGATGAAGATACCGCCTGGTGCCTTCTTCTTCTGCAAGCACTTTGGTACTGGAGTGCTTATAGCAACAGCCTTCGTCCATGTAAGTCATCGCTGCCTCACGTAGTGCATGCATTAATCATCCCAGTTACTGCCAACGGCTTTTCAATCACTCAACGACCCTTCGTTGCCAGCCCTCTTTACGGAGAAGTACCCTGCCATGCCTGGTGTCATCATGATGGGATCGCTCTTTGTTCTGTTCGTCATCGAGATGTGGCTCAACTCGAAGACTGGAGGTCACAGCCACGGCAGCGCCGATGGACATGAATTTGCTGGAGGAGCTCAGCAAGGTGTTGAAAATGCCTTCAACAACCCCATCAAGCGCGTGCAGAGCTACGATTCGCAGGTCACCATGGCGTACCCAGCCGACAAGAAGGGCCCATGGGTAGAAAACACATATGAGGGGTCCAACTTCCCCTTCGGCAAGCAGGACGACAACGAACTTGAAGTCAAATCAGAGATGCCACCGTGGTTCATCGTCTTCTACGAACAATACGTGCGCCAGCGCGACGAGATGATGTCCATGGTCAACCGCGCTATGCCCGCTCTACCCAACTACAACCAGCCGCCGCCCTCGGATGTTGAGAAGCAGCAGTCGTACTTCGAAACCGATGTTGAGGAAGCCCCCGTTGACCCCGCATTGCTCAAGAAACTCTCCTCGCAGATCACGCTTATCGAAGGCGGTATTCTTTTCCATTCGGTTTTCGTTGGTATGACTATCTCGCTCACCGCAGACGGTTTCATCGTTCTTCTCGTTGCCATCGTCTTCCACCAGGCTTTCGAGGGTCTTGGTCTGGGCTCGCGTATCGCCGCAGTTCCTTACCCCAAGGGCAGCTGGAAGCCGTGGGCGCTCGTTGTCGCTTTCGGAACCACGGCTCCCTTCGGTCAGGCTCTCGGTCTCGCAGTTGGCAATGCTTTCGACCCTGAGAGCCCGCTCGGTCTGATTCTCATCGGTACATTCAACGCCATCTCCTCGGGTCTTCTGCTCTACGCTGCGCTAGTCGATTTGCTGGCAGAAGACTTCCTGTCAGAGGAAGCACAGCACACCTTGACTGGCAGCATGAAGAAGAAGGCTTTTTGCTACGTCCTCATCGGCGCGGCCGGAATGTCTATCGTCGGCGCTTTCGCCTAAGTACCACGCCTTTACTTCTCCAACTACACTCGTGGGGCGTTCGACCCAACGCGTCACGAATCTACGAATTACCACACGCATTACGTCTCCTCATTGTGACTTTACGACCCAGCCCTACGGCGGCTGGGCATCACATGCGTAATCAATCCTCTTTCTCTATTCCCTCTCATTTGTCACGAAAGTTGGAGACGCGAGTAGCCTCCAGTCAGTCAACGTTTTAGGCGCTTGCATTGGGCAAGGCTGAGACTTGGGTCATGCAGCTAGTCATGTACGACATGTGCGCGGGTCTTGTACACTATGGGATGGGGGAGTCGTTACGGTGTTCTCGGCTTTACAGGTCGGGCTCAAACATTATTATTGTTTTTTATCATGAAAGAACGTCTAAAAAGGGGCAACCATTCTTTCTTTAATGGTAGTGGGTTAATGCCATGTATATCAGTTGCCTGTCAAGCCATATTTTGTACTTGTAGATGGGTCAGGCGCCTCATTGCATCTATGGAGATATGCATACGCTTGCTGTGTATAAGGAGGCTGTAGCATTGGCGCCCAGAATGGTGATACAAATAACAACGCGGCATGCCGCGACTTTCTGGGGGCGTGCTCCTACCAAGTCAACTTCCAAGTCTTTTGTTTCTGGTTGAGGACCCCGCAAGATGTCGCCTCGACCCTGGCCTTGAATTGTGGTGTGGAGCAGTTCGCGCGTCCCACTTGTGCGATTCCTAAGTCGAAAATCCACATCGTGCCATAGGCCCAGGAAAGCGACCACAAGTCCGCTCCTCAACAGATAGAAGTGGAGAAGAAGTTCCCGCTCAGCAAAATAAATGGCCAGGGGTTCGTTCCCGCCAACAAAAATTGAACAGAGGTTCGCTCTAGCGGAAGCGATTGGAGAGAGCTTCGCTGCAGTCTGAAGATAACAATAGCAATTGCGCCTACTGTCCCGCTCTGATATTCCCTTGCCATCACAAACTCCTTATATATCCCTAGACAGCGAGTAAAATACCGGCGCGCTCCTGGACGGTCTTGTCGGATACCACAGGGAAGACAAAAATCCGAAGCCAAGCTCGGAAGTCCACCGCCCGAAAGTAGATGTGTGTGAAGTCGGGGGGCACAACGTCAGCGGAAGTTGCGCTCCCACGAGTCAGCGTGCGCAGTGCTGAATCCTCGGTGGGACAACATGAAGCTTGGAAGAAGTCTCCGTTCTTGGCTGTCTACATTTGTCTGAAGATTTGTGGCGGGTGCCCTTCTGCCGACGCACGCCTTGTTGAAGGCGTTGCGCGAAACATGATTTCAACCGATAAGGGCTGGGCAGTGGCGTGAGGCATCAAGGTGCGACTTGTAGGCGAATCATGCTGGGGCTATTGTGAGGCTTAAGGGGGGTAGCGGTAGGGCTGGGCGGGGCGCGAGTGATACTCGGAGCGCTGGGCGGAGATCTATTTGCAAACGTGGGACGGGGAGTGTTTGGGATGCGATGTGCTTGCGCATTCTAGCTGCATTGGGGAGCTATGCCAAGGGAGGCTCTGATTCGTGCGGAGTCCTTCGCTGCTCCAGTGCGCACTCTGGACACAGCCTCCCTCCTCCTTCGCGATTCCTTTTGCAACGGAATCGAAGTCGTCATCATCTGCACCTAGCATGCGCACTCCCAGGATTCGTACGCCCCCGAATCGCACACCGCTTTTTCCAGCATGAGTATCCCAGTTGCACTGCCATCACGAAGCGATTCCCCGCCGGCTTATCGCGCGGGCGGACAGCATCCGCTCCGCGCCTGCGTCCGCACGAGCGTCTGCACGCTACCTAAGATGCATACGGATAGATACGTTTCCGCGATGTTTAATGACCACGAGGCAGATTCGCTCACGGCAGATCGCCCGTCAGACGGGCGATCGGAGCGATGTTTGTAGTTCGCGATGGGTGTAGGGTCATGGGAGGCGGAGAGTGCGGAGCTGAGCCCGCTGAAGACCGCATGCACAGACGCCCGATGGCGCCTCAGGCTCAACAGCAGTCCGAAAGACTGTGTGCATCGGCAGCTCTGTTATTGTCTCTAGGGTACGGCTTCAATACGATCTTGTAGCTAGAAGCAGAGAAGGCCGAGTATGCTCATGTCCGAGGAAAGAAAGGCCACTCAGGGTAGGTAAAGAAGAAAGAGCTATCCTAGGCCGCAGAATACAAGTGTAGAGCGCGAGCCATTGCAAGTTTGTTTCCTATCTGCACAGAACAAACGGACACTACACTATGTTCGAAGCGGATGTTTTGTGGCGGGCTGTTTCTCGTTCTTGCCGTCTGTCGCTCTAGGCCCACCACGGCCGGCTTCGCAAGGTAGAACCGCGCGCCCTTTAAAGTCAATCTTTCGATCTAACTAGCTTCTGTATAACGAGATTAATGCGAAGACACGATTTCTTTTGCGTCTCGATGTCACTCACGCTATGGCGGTTGTCGAGAACTTGAGATGGCATCATCAGCCGGCTGTTCACGTGGATTCGGGAGCCGCGGCCCAACGCGGGGTAAGCCGCGAAATGCCGTGGACCGCCCACTGCCTGCCGCCTGCAAGCAAATTCTCCTGCGATATCCTCCTCGCAGCCATCCCACCGTCGCGTCATGTCGCAGCAACCACAGAACGACAGCACACCCCCTGGAGCGCCACAGGACACCGCATCCAAGAAGCGGACCCACCCTGACGACTTTAAGCGGGCATACAAGGCCTGTATCAATTGTCGCCAACGTAAGGCTAAATGTATCCTCGACACTACACCCGAAGGCGAACTGAAGCCACCATGTCAGCGATGCAAGAGGGAGATGCGAGAATGCATCTTCCGCTCGGAGCGCTCGTGGGTCAAACGACGGAAGCCTGGCGAGGCGAGGGATGAAGACCCTCCTACTGAGCATCATGTCAATATACCTTCAGGGACCAATGGAGCACAGCAGATATCCAACCTGCACCGTGCTTCCACCTCCGCCCAGTCAATGTCTCCCCATGATTCGGTACACACCAGGCGGTCTGATATGATGTCCCCACCGGCCCACTTGCGCAGAATTTCTACCGCTCAACCGGATCTATCCCACTCCGTCATGAGGACGGTGGTCTCCAGCGGCAGCGATGCTTTGAACCTGCTTTTTGAGGCTGCACATCACAGAGATGCGCTTGAGAACCAGGCGCGGGTCGAGAGCCAAGCGCAAGATACCCCTCGCTCAGGTACGTCGTATAACCTAGGTATGCAATCTTGGTCTCACAACCTTCCGTGTCAATACAAGCTTCCACTTCACTTTCCGGATTGGCTTATGCAACCACTCCTAAGTCAACCTTCGCTACATCATCACTGACCATGGCTCTCAATAGGACCCGATGGCCAACCATCCTCTCCCTTCACATTCAAGGCGCAACCTGTGCAGATGTCACAGCCGTCTCCAGAGACACTGCGAGTCTGGACAACATGTAGATTCGTACAGATGGGCTGGTTCTCTGCGCACGAAGCCGTTACCTACGTGGATCTATTCTTCAAGAACTGCTCACCGCTCTCGCCCATCCTCTCTGATTTCTACTCTCATCACGAGAACCACTGGTCCTTGATAGCTTTGGATCCGTTCTTGTGTGTGACCATTCTTATGATATCCTCACGTTACAATGTACTGCCCGGCGTTGGTGGTGCATCCCGAGGCTACTTTGTCCACGACCGGTTATGGGAGCAATGTCAACGTTTCATTATGAAGATTATGTTAGGACAGGTCAAGTTATCCAAGGCTCAGTCGCGGACAATCGGGTCCATAGAAGCACTGCTGCTCTTGTCTGAGTGGCATCCACGCGCTCTGCACTTCCCCACTGCCAGTGATGGCTGGGACTGCGAGCTCATGATTGGAGCTAATAACACCACTTCAGAGGGCGTCCAGATTCTAGAAGGCGATACAACGTCAAGTCGCTGGCTTGAAGACGTCATTGAACCTGCAAAACGCTCCGACCGGATGTCTTGGATGCTGATGGGCTGCGCGCTCTCGCTCGCTCAAGAGCTAGGCTTGTTTGAAGACAACGGAAACGTTGAAAGGGACCAGCAGTCATACCCGAAGACGTCACCCGAAGCGCTAGTCCAGCGACGAATCCGCGCTCGAAAACTGCTTTACGTTTTCATTGAACAACTATCGTGGCGCCTGGGCTGTACATCCATGATCCCTCAAAGCCTCAACCATGCTTTGATGGAGAAGTTGCCTGTAAACTCGACTACTGGCGCGCCTGAAGAGTGGCAAGGTTTCATGAGCGCATGGGTCGAGCTGACAAAACTGGCACGATCGGTGTCGGATACCATCTATCCTTCAACGAGTACGACGCGCAATTTGTTGCGAACAGGAAGATACATAGGCCTTCTTGAACACTTCCAACCTCTCCTCACGACATGGAGGAAGAAATACTTGGATCCATGCAGTAAGTGACCAATCATTTGTGTCCATTTGTCCTTGCTAAGATCATCTCAGAGCTCAAGGTCGGGCTTCATGACATGCTGTGCATAGAGTACCAGTATGTCCGAATTTACACAAACTCTCTCGGTATGCAAGCCGTGGTGGAGCGTACCCTCGCTGAAACCGATCCGGACGGACCACAAGAGGAGATCCTGCCACTGAACTTGGAACCAAGAGACTACGATTTCATACAAGAAGTTGTAGATGGAAGTTGTCAGATCTTGCAGAAGGTCGTCCAGCTTTATGAGTCTGGAGCTCTGCGCTACTCACCAGTGCGGATCTTCCTTCGCATCTCCGCATCCTCCATCTACCTGATCAAAGCGTTGAGTCTGGGCTCGCGCAACCAGAAGCTCCAGAACTCGCTGGATATCCTGGACGCCGCGATTCGCGCTATGCGCTCCAGTACGCTAGACGACATGCATCTTGCCTCGCGATACGCTACTCTGCTTGACCTGCACGTAGCCAAGCTGCGCGAGAACTTTGTTGTGTCTGCGCGACCGCCGCGTATCCCTTCACGCGGTGCATCGCTTGAAAATAATACGACAGCTGGAATGGACTTCTTAAATAATCACAACGCTGGTACCTCAGGGATCGCCTCGCTTGCCAATGACGTTCACGGCTTGATGCCAGATGACGACTGGCTGGCCCTGCCGTTCGATCCCGCCATGGCGCCGTTCGGTCTGGATTCGAACCCGAGCTTCCAGCAAGGCTTTGACGATGGGACGTTAGATTTTATATGGAATTTGCCAATGTAGTACAAGGGTAATGCTTTGGGTTGTAGCGGGCGCTTGTCAAAGTTCAAATTTTCATGGCAAACGCGAACGGCCTTCGTTTATGAGGACATGCTTTATGCCACGGTGGTTCGATTTGGCAGATCGTATTACACTTATTATTAGATGGATGTTCACCGCACAGACTGTAGAACAAGTGCATCATATAGTGCAAAACAAAATTCATATAAGTGGATAGGAAATGCCTAGAAATGCTGATGTATACATTCGAAACTTAATGTTATCATCCTGATGCTGAAATTCAACGCTCAAACCAAATCTCGATCCCTATCATTCTTATGCAAACACGGCCCAAGCGACTCGGATTCATACCAAGTTACCTCGCAACTCCTGCTCGCGCTCGATGGCCTCGAACAAGCTCTTAAAGTTGCCCGCGCCAAAGCCATCAAAATTATTCCGCTGGATGATCTCAATGAACACTGTAGGCCGGTCCATCAAGTGCTTCGTGAACAGCTGCAGCAGGTACCCGCCCTCGTCAAAGTCAATCAGGATATCCAAACTCTGCAACACTTCGAAGTCTTCCTCCAGCCTCATCCCCTTGCTCTTCAACCGCTGGCGCATCGCCGCATAGTACGTCTCGGGCACCTTGATGAACTCGACGCCGCGGGCCTTCAAATTGGTGATATCCCGTATGATGTTGTCCGTCCGCAGCGCAATGTGCTGGACGCCGGGCCCGCCGTAGAAGTCCACGTACTCCTCGATCTGGGATTGCTTTTTGCCGTGGGCCGGCTCGTTGATGGGCATCTTGACGACATCGTTGGGGCTGCTCATCACGACGCTCTTGAGCGCAGAGTACTCGGTGCAGATGTCCTTGTCGTCGACGCTCCAGAAGCGGTGGAAGCCAAGCACCCGCTCGTAGTAGTCGCAGATGTTGTCCATCTCGTCCCAGTCCTGGTTGCCGACACAGTGGTCGATGTTGGAGAGGAGGACGGGCGGGAGGAATTTCGAGAGCGAGTCTGAGACGGAGGGCGCGGGGGCGTAGCCGGGGAGGAAGACGCCGGTGTAGGAGGAGGGCTTCTCGATCAGGGTGTGTGTGGTGTCACCGTAGGTTTTTATGGTGGCGAGGCGGACGGTGCCGTGGGAGTCGGCGAGGGTGTGCGGGGCGGATATGGACTCGGCGCCGGCTGAGACGGCGGAAGAATAGATAGCGTCGAGGTTGTCAACTTCGAAGGCGACGTCTGGCGTGCGTTAGTATGTCGAACTTGTGGTTTAGTATCATATGTGACCACTTACCCTTCACTGCATCACCGTGTCGCTCCTGGTGCTCATGGATCTCATGTAGTAGTTTTGCATCCTCTTCGCTGAATCTTGAACTCTGCTTCAGGCCTCGGAGGGGTGATGTGAGGACGAATGTGACATGGCCGTTCCGTACGACATGGGAGGCAACGGAGCGCGAGCCAGTCTCGAGACCTCGGTATGCAACCCGCTCAAAGCCCATTCGTGTTACGTAGAACGATGCGGCCTGTTTTGCGTTGCCGACATACCAGTGTACATGGTGGTAGCCCCGGTATGCGGAGATATCTGAAGATGAGGGTTCAGAGGGGATGGGCGATCCGGGTGGTGATATCCGTCCAGGGGCCATGTTGTGTAGAAAGTAGAGTGATTATTGTACTGGTGTATAGATGCGTATATCTATCGGAACCCAAGTGCCAAGTCCAAGTGATTGTGTGACAAGTGGAGTGGCAGTGGGCGAGTTCGGGGTGTATTATACAGGTGGAGGCGGTTCAACTCAGCCTTTAAGGTACCCTGAGCGATCCATCTCCTTCACAAACCGAATTTCACTCCTTGACGTGAGCGAGCGTCACCGTGCTGACCATGTCACTTGTGCCGAGCTGCCTTCCTGAGAGGGCCGTCGTCCCATTGTTCGCTAGCTCCGCGCCTAGCCGGGAAAGCCGAGATACTCAGACACAGCATTCTGTGGGCGGTGCGGCTTTGCGGACACCGGAATTGAACATAAAGACTCGATAATTTATTCAACTCGCCGTTCCGCAGTGGGGTTCCGCTGTGTATGTGCTGACGTATAACGAAGGAGCGGATAGACCGGTTGTTGCAGGAAGCAAACTGCTGCCGCGTAACCGTAGCCTTTGTGACCTTTGTCTCACGGCTTTCTGACACAGCTAGAGTCAATTATTTGTGGCTAGATGTTCTTGTATACGATAGCCTGCGCTGGAACTTGGCCGTGGTGTTGACGTAAGGGTCAAGGCCGAGCTGCACTGCACCGTGAAGTTGACAGTCCGGAAGCAGCTAGCTGTTTTTGTAGTAGCGCCAGGTCCGAAGCCACCAGAACAGCCGCCTCAAGCCGTGTAAGCCGATATCACGGGACTGTCTGAGGCAACGTGAACGTTCCTAATCACTGAGTCCAAGTACAACAACTCATACAATACCGCGACACAGATTTTCAGATTCTTTGGAACACCATTTCCAAACACCCTCACCCTCATCCAAGACTAGAAAGACCACGGGCATCGAAAATGGCCATCTCAACGTCCACCACAACACTTTCCGCGAACGACGCAAGAATCCTGAATGCCCTTTTCGACCCAGAAACACTCCCCTCCTCAGTTGCAGCGGCACAATCAACCTCCACAATCGACGACTCTCTGCCTCCACATCCAGCCATCCCATCATCACAGCTCTCCACCCTAGAAGCCCAGCAAAACGAGCTAGTACGACACATCACATCCAGCTCATCCATCTCCTCCGTAGAAGCGGCGATAAAACAACAAGATGAGATAGTGTCAAGCCACCCCTCCTACCCCAGCGCCTACCTCAACCGCGCTATGCTCCGCCGCATGTTGCTAGAATCCTCCCTCCCAAAAGAAGCCGACGCCTCCATATTCTCCTCACCCGAACCGGACCTAGACGCTCTCTTCTCGGACCTATCCCGCTCAATCTCGACATGTCTTCCCTCTTCATCATCCGCAAGCACCTCCGTATCCACATATCAAGCGCGCATTCTACGAACAGCATATTCGCACCGCGCGTACTTGTATCTGAAAGCCGCGGAACTGGGAATAGAGTGGAGGGGGAAGGGCAAGAGTGAGCTGGAGGAGGCGGCGAGTGCGGATTTTGCGGGGGCCGCGAGGTTCGGGGATGAGGTCGCGCGGGAGATGAGCGTGAGGACGAATCCGTATGCGAAGATGTGTGGGGCAATTGTGAGGAATGCGTTGAGGGAGGAGAGGAGAGATATGCTGGGCTAGATGTATGACGACTCGAGAGAAGAAAGGAATATAATTGTGAACTTATGACAGACAGCAGTGTGTCGATCGGTATAGAGTAGTCTTGTATGAGAACGTCTTCCGCATCACGTTGCAGGAGATGTTGTTGCACACGTGGATGCACTTGTGTGTACTTCGGTCGTCTATCGCACAACAGATCTAAGGGTATTTCTACAGCCATGCGACAATCATCGATTCAGCAGCGACAAATCTCCAAACTCCCCCAACACTCCGTCCTTGCCACCATCCCAGACCTCGTGCAGCCCATCGAGCTCCGAGTACGCCTCTGCAAACCTCAACCCTCTCCTCCTCTCCCTCTCAATAACATCCCAGTTCCAGTCCACACTGCCCTTCTCAGGCAACACACCCTCCGCATCCCCGTTAGCCTTCCCGTTCATCTCCCCCTCCATTTCGCCCGCATACACCCACCCATCGGGCTTCTCAGGCACCATGTCAGCATCGAACAGCGCCTTCTCCGGCGGAATCGTCAACCTCCCGCGCTTGATTACATATCGCGCAATTGCCGTCGCGAACACCGCGCCCTTGAGTTTCTCGGGATCCACCTCCTCGCCCTGCACGCGCTTGCTCTTCCGCCACGGCTGCAGACTGAAGCTCGCGGGCTTCCCGACGCCAGGCCTCACCAGATGCGTGACGAGATAGAACCACTTGCGGTCCCAGCTTAGTAGCCTTGTCCACATTTCAAATTTTTGATACGGCAGGATTTCCTTCTTGAAGTTGCACTGCACGCCGCCCAGCGCAATCATGTATTTTGCATTTCCGCCAGTGGGTGCATTGGTGCCCTCTGCTGCGCCCAGGCCTGCGGTGGCTGCACTGACGCTCGCTTGTTTGTTCGAGGCGCGGGGCATATGGAAGCCGCCCTCAGAGACTTTGCGGATGGCGTTGCGCACGATGCTTGTGAACAGGTGTGTGCGCGAGATGTCCATATCAGCGAAGTATGTACTGTTTGACTTGTGCATGTTGAAATCGATTTCGAGGAGAGGGGCGTGAGTCTGCGTGATTACGGGTTGGAAGAGGGCGTGTGGCGGAATCGGCGTGGGCTGTATAAAGATCTGGTACCAGTAGGCTTTGAAGAAACGCAGCTTTAGCAATGCTGTCAGCCTTGGGATCGGCTGGGAAGAAGGTATATTGGTGAGATACGTACATGCCACACAAACGGTAAGTTTTTGAAGTTCATGAGTGCAAAGATAACCGCGAGGAGCCTCCATACGCCTCCCGGCGTATTCACGCCTGACCATCTGGCTAGGAAAGTGCGGGAACTGGACTGGCTGGCCAGCGCAGCCACAGCAGCTCCCACAGCTGCTACGCTGATCGCGCGCGACATTGTGAGCTTCAAAGGCATTAACGGGGGGATTTCGCGGGTGAAAAAAGGTGACGATACGCCATCAAAGCGATAGGGCTGCGCTTTATGATGTATGTGGGTTTGCACGATGTCCTAGACTGCTATGTAATTCTTATCAGGGGCCGAGGCTCGGACGTCTTAGCGCCGCCTTCCGAGCAGGGGTCTTCGCAAGCTGTCCTACATACGGTAATTTTGGACATCCTTGGGGAGAATTCCAAGGTGAAGTCTCTGTAAATGACTGTTTAATGGATGCAATACGAGGATCTGGCGTCTTCTTCGAAGCATTCCAGGGTTGGAACGGGTAGACCTGACTCGTTATGCACAGCTAACTGCATTGAGTAACTCATCGTAGTCTCCACTCAGGGAGATGCAAGCTATTATTTGTTGATTAAACAGAGACGCCTCTCAACCCTACATTCGCACTGAAACTGCAGCATCCAGGGTGTGATTGGGCACGAAGACATGATGCAGGAAAAATCTCATGTGACACCGACTGAACCTTAGAATTCGCCTGGGATTAGTACTTTGTCTGAGCGGTGAACGTGGCCAGTTCACTTCGCTTCGGAGCTCGCAGCGCAGACGCGCGGAACCTACATACCCATCACACAACGTGGTTTCCGCCGGCATCTTGGCGTATATTATGGACACCGAAAAGTGCACGCTTAATATCTTTCGAGATTTGACTCATGGCGCATCTGCCCATCTTTTACGCTCGCCGCGCGCGCTAGGCTGCGTTGCTCTGCGAGTACGATCTGTTGTGGCTACTGCACCTCTTGCTTTGCATGAGCTGCGCGCTGTTCAGGCTCATCGCTTTTTCTTCGTCTTATCCACTATTTCAATCCAGTTCTTGTTGACGCCGCGCTTCTCAAGTGCCTTGATGATGGCATCCTTCTGCGGTCCCTGCACCATCACCTCCATCACTGGGTTCTTCGGACTGCTGCCCTGCAGTCGGTCTACACTCGTGCTGCCTGCACACGTCTTTCGTAGCTCATCCGCAAGTGGTTGCGGTGCGATGTGATAAGGTTCGACACCGCTTACTTTGGTCACCGTCTTGTTTCCACTTCTGGTCTCGATCAGAATTTGGATCTTCGGTGGTGCGCCGGCTTTTGGCTTGGAATCAGCAATATCCTCACTGTTCCGGAGAATTGTGTGGAACGGCGATGCAGCTGCAACCATGCGATCAGCAAGCGCGTCGCGAGGAATCGCACCAGATGCGAGCGCAGCGTTGTCTGCAGCCGAAGAACCAAGCAACGCGTCTGCAAGCTGTGGGTTGATCTTGATAAGGCGCTTGTTCTTCTCGGAGACAAGATTCTCGGCCTCTATGTAGGCTATCAAGACCTGCTTCAGTTCTGCAGGCGTATATAATCCGCGAGGATCCGCTTTCGTGACGTGGAATATCGGTGCAAGTTTTTCTTTCGGTCGTAGCAGGAACACGAGCTTGAGCTTTTGTCCCACGGACGACTCGGCGGACAACGACGCCGGGGGCTTACCGTTGGTGCCTGATGATGTCGGCGCGTCTTTCTTCGGCAACCGATATGGCACGAAAGCCTCGATATGCCTATCAGTGAAGTCAATATCCATGACTACTGTTTCGTTGCCATTTTGCTCTTTGGACTTGAGGATCTGCTGCTTGTCCAAGTACTTTATGAACTTCCGAATGTTCTTCCAGCTAGTTTTCTTGATCTGTAAAGACGCCGTTCTCGCAGGTGTATAGGTCGGTAGAAACGGCTGGACCAAGAGTGACATGACCTTGGATTGTGAGAGCGGAAAGTCAAGACCAAAGTTGGGGTGATTCCGGTTATGATCCATGTGATAGCGTACGCCGAAGAGGAACGCATCTCGGAATGCGTCATCGATCTCTGTTGACAATCAGAGGGATGTCTCGTGCTTTTCTGGGGATACAGCTTACCTTTGGGGGATAACTCCTGATCATCCACAATATCCACTGCATCTTTCAGCGACGGGGCATCCTCGCCTTCGATTCCCTGTGCCTTCTCAGCCTCTGATCGCTCGGTAGGATCTGCAGTTAGTGCAACGCCGCCTTCCTGGTCGTCTTGGAGATCTATGCCGGCAGTCTGCGTTGCTAAGGCCGTGTCGTCGGCTTCATCGTCCCACCCCTGCAAGGCAGCTGGCGGTTCGGAGCCCGGTTTACCACTTGGATTCCATGACCACAACTCGTCGCCAGTCCAATGGAATGTCGACACAGCATGGCCCTTCATGCCCTGGACGGTTCCCAGAGAGCTGACATCGATCTCGCATGAGCCGACCGCCATGGGTACAGTGGGGCGCTCCAAGCTTGCGATCGCAACTACTGCGCCTGGTATGCAGTCAGCTTGCTGTGGCCATTTTTCGTGCTCTCTAGACTCATGCAGCCCAGAAACGCCGCAGCATCTTGACTAAACATACCCTTAGTCGCCCTCTTTGGGAAAGGCGGGCCTCGTTGCAGCCCCGGAGTCATAAGGTCCGCACCGCCTTGAAGCTTCTCAACTACGAAAGATGGTGTGTACAGGAGCGGTATGATGCCCGGATTGTGCCAGAGTGTGTATACTGTACGTGCGTCAGCATGTGCTGTATGGTTGGTCTATGGCATGCTGGCTTCCGCATTGCCGATTTTGATAACGCAAAATGCCCGAGCCATGCCCTTGTGCTTCTTACATACCAGTCGGATACATCTTCTCGCCAACCTTGGCCCACAGTATCCTTTGCTCTTCTCCGGTCCCTTCATGACTACCAACATATACCGTGCCCGAGACTTGCTTGAGGTCAGGCCCAGCGGTCGTCGTGAACCGTGCTGAAAGCGCGTTCTCGGGCAGTAATGACCTCCGGAGAGCGGTGAGGCCAGCAGTGGAGGCGGCCTTGTCTTCTGGATCCGCGGTCGTCTCGACGGGTAGAGGAATCTGGAAGTCAGCTATGATCTGATCGGCAGTCCTACGGCGCTCTGACGACTTGAGCGGACTGAGGGGTTTGATCTGTAAAATGTCAGGCTGTGGCGCTACCACATAGCTAGAGGTGGCGTACATTGGGCTTCTTCTTGAACATGATGCGAAGCAGGCCGACGTCTTCTGGCGATCTAGTGTTCCCGTGGAATAATTTTAGGCAAGAGCTGCAGCAGTGGACGAGTAGCTCGCCGTCGGGTAATCGTGGCGTGTAGCTTGTAGTGTGGAGCGTGCCGCTGTTTTATGAATTCGCAGCTTCCCCCGCTGAAGTCATGGTCTCGAAGCGCAACACTAGTGCGGCTCAAAAGGGGCTAGCGCGGGGTGATGAGTCCAACTCACTCACGATGAGCTTCGCTTTGTGAAGATTGGCGAAGAGTTGCCTGCGATACGGCTTCTCTTTTCTGCATGGCAATCATTCATCTGTCATGCATTGACTCTAGAGCTATAGCCGCTAGATGGGGTCTGTTTGGTGCTACCCGAAGCAATCCAACCTGCTGCATTGGGTAATTCTGGCAAGTATTGAAATCAGGGCCCGGTGCTCGTTGCACGGCATGAGCCAAGCCAACATGCTGCATTTAGCAGCTGTGAAAAGCGTCGAAGACAGCAGGATGAGCGTCTGCTACACGGCGTTCGCTTCGTGCTAGAGCTGCACTATACGCGAAAGTCTCACGCTAGTCTCTGGTTGGCTTAATGGCACCGGAGACGGTCCACCGGGTCCACGACGCGTCGCGTCTCCAAGCCAGCAGCACCGTACGAAGGACGCCATTAGCACTATCAGCGTTTTCGAGTTTTTTTCGACACATCGCCACAATCCCAGCTACAAATTCCTTCAGGCCGGCAGAGATGACTGACTCGCACGAGGAACTCCAGATGGACACTCAGGAGATTGAGCTCGAAACTCCGGTGTCAAACGTGTTCAGTGCGCCCTCCGTCTACAGGCCTGACGTGCTGGCTGGCAAATCCTACTCCCATTTTTCGCCCATCCCATCGCAAATCGCAGATGACATGACAAGAGAGGTGGTTCTGGGTGTCGATGAAGCTGGCCGTGGACCAGTGCTGGGTATGTAGCTTGTTCTTTCGCTCTATCCGTTGCTTATAGCCGCAGGTCCGATGGTCTACGCACTCCTCTACCTGCCTCTTGAGCTACAGCAGAGTCTTTTAGCTGAAACACACCATTTCGACGACTCCAAAGTCCTGACTCCGGAAGTTCGCTCTAACTTGATGCGGAAACTTTGCACGAGGGAAACAGACCTTCATGCGGCATGTGGCTGGGCAACCCGCTTGATGTCCGCTCGTGACATCTCCGCCAACATGCTGGCGCCCTCGCAGTACAATCTGAACGCTCAAGCCATGGACGCAACAATAGATCTGATCAAAGAGGTCATGGCCATGGGAGTCAATGTCAAGGAGATATACATCGACACCATTGGCAGGCCAGAAGTGTACCAAAAGAAGCTCGAGATGATATGGCCCACAGTGCGCATCACAGTGGCCAAAAAGGCCGACAGTTTGTATCCCGTTGTGAGCGCCGCTTCGGTGTGCGCCAAAGTTACCCGGGATGCAGCGCTCGATGCGTGCTATGAGCCTTATCAGGTTGCCGCGGACAACGCTGCCGTCAAAGACAAGTCAAATGGTGAAGGCGTAGTCGCATGGGGATCGGGCTACCCGTCTGATGTCCGCACCACCACGTGGCTGAAGCAGAACATGGATCCCGTGTTCGGTTGGGGCAACGAGTGCCGATTTTCGTGGGGCACAGCCAAAGAACTCCTAGAGGGCAAGAACGCGGACGTCAAGGTAGACTGGCCTGTGGACGACGACGGAAATGGCGATATGCGCATGACGGATTTCTTCGCGTCGAGGAACGAGGCGGGGGGAGACGAACTCGTTGATTGGTTTGGTAAGCGAGTCACGGAGGAAATGGAAGTCTTCTAGAAGCACGTCTCGACAACCTGACACCTCTCTACATCACTCGCATCCTTTAGCGATGGCTCAGCGACAAATCCAGAATAAGCCAAGGTTGATCAATGCAGCTCACCGAGCCTTGCGAGAGTTCATTGGGGTAGAATGGGTAAGATGACGGTGTAGGAGCGGACGTGCATGTCCACGGAATCCGGTCGTTCAGTTAGTCACCGGGCTACTCCCGATGGTCTACATACTCCGACGCTATGACCACCCCAACGCCAACGCCATCCCCAGAGCACATTTGTTCAACAGGCGGTTTACGAGGCCGGGAAATAAGAGTTCCTTGCAGGACGATCACCTTTAAATGATATAACCTCCCCTGCGCTGCTGACCCTGCAGCTAACAAGGTACATCAACTTTCGATTTACTCCATACTCTTCGGCCTTCGTTTGACGCGTGCATCTACGAGTCTAGCCTTAGCGACACTACCGCGGTGGTTCGTTTGGTATTTCTAGTCGTAGTCCTCGTCCTAGCCTCGCACTTTCTCCACAAGGACGGCCTACGATTACGGCCTTACACAGCCTCGCGGTGTCGTGGCCTTTCCGCTTTCGATCGTCAGCGACCTGCATCCCGGCCCATATAATACTACACGACACAAGTCCACGTAGCTACACTTCTTGAAGATACCTTACTATCCTTGCTACGAAACGACCACCATGTGTATCATTATACCGATCGACCACACACCATGCGACCACACCATCGCTATATGGCAACATTGTGCAAATGCACCGCGCTCAGTTTTTGGTCACAAGCCATGCTCTCACATTCGGCAACACGGTCGCCCTATCATAACTAGAAAGATGTGTCACAACTGCGGCGGACCCAGATTCTTTGCTCGAAGAGGAGGCTTGGCTGCGCGCGGCAGTGGTAGTGGCTTCTCGATGCTGAGCCAGGTTAAGGAGGACCTGAACGAACAATACGACTCCGGCTACCAAAGCGACTTGATACCCGAGGCGGAAGACGAGGCTGACGACGACGATCTTTCGCTGTCGCCGCGACAATCAGCGGTGTTGACACAAAGATGGAGGGATATCTCAAGACAACGTTCGTCAAACATTCCTCGGTCCTCCGGCCAAAAGTCTAACTGGCGGCCGAACCTCAAGCGTGATCTCAGCGAGAGTTCATCTGATTCCTCGATTCCTCCCTTACGTCGTTCATCAATTATTTCCACTCGCCAGGTGCCTCACAGTGACGCGAAGAAGTTCAACAACACTTTGGCTCCGATCATACGCATTCCATCTCCTCCGCGGAAGGGATCGACTCTATTGCATCCATCCTCGCCATTACAGGAACCATTCGAGCCTCTCCCGCGCGCCTCTGTCTCTTCATTCCAAGACCTTACACCACCAGCCACACCTCCCTCGCACCCGGATGCACCGAAGCGACAGAGTTCGACGTTGCTTCATCCTTCATCTCCCCAAGTCGGTCCTGCAGCTGATGGCCCTGAAGAACTTGGTTTCCCTTTCACATTTTCGCTTCCAGCACCCGCCACTTCCGCGCCAATTCCGACATCTGCGCCTCGCCGGCCTGATGCTCCATCTCGCAAGAACAGCACACTTCTCCATCCCTCTCCACCGAACGATGAGACCACCGATCCGTTCCCCGTTCTGGCCAAAACAGTAATCAGCCTTCCGCCCACACCTCAAGCGACGCCGACACTGGGATGCTTCAAGCGGTGCCCCTCCGTACGCTCGAACCTGTCCGAGGACGACTGGGAAGAGCCGCTACACTCATCCCACTCCGACGCAGAATATGATTCCGACGACGACCAGTCCGTGGACGCCGACACGAAGTCCGCTCACCGCATCTCTCTCAAGGTGGCGCATCTAGGCCGCGCAGCCCGGGCAAGCAGGATTTCCTTCCACGGAAACCAGCTGCGCATACTGCAAGATCAATACTAGCACCTACAAGACCCTGCAGCGGAAACGCAGAAGTTGGGCGAGTGTGGGAGCCAACGTTGGACTACGCGGCGATACGCGAGGCTGATTGCCGAATGCAGCGCGTGGTGTGCATTGACCGGGGCTACGGGATGCAGGGACTGCGCAAGCCTCAAGGATGAACCCCGAGATGCGCCTGCGCCTCAGAAAAGTGGCCGACCTCCCAGAAGAAGATTGGTGGCACGCTTCAGGTGGCCACGAGTTTATTGTTTTTCTATTGAAAATTAGCATAGCAGAGGCGTTTCCAGATTAGTCTTTCAGCATAGCATTACAACAGTGTAGGCGCTTTCGGTATTTGTTTAGCATCTTCACAGGCCTGTACATACATTTGCAATCTAGGCCATGCTGCAATTTCCTCAATTTTCCATATTCTCCGTGACATGTTTCTCACCTCTAAGCGCGATAACCCCCACATGAACGAACACACTGCCATAGCCTAACCGCATGGGGATCAACTGCAAGCGCGAGCCACCCTCAACACCACCTAGGCACAACTGCGACCCACGCCAACAGCATACCCTCCCACCCCGCAAATTGTAAAGTCTAACAGTCACCAACATTCCACGGCGTTCTGTTCAGATGCAGGGTCTGAATGTCGGCACGAACTGATGCAGGGTCCTGCGCCGCATGCGAGGTGATTGTTGCGAGCAAAGTGGCGCGGGTGCAACGGGCGTGGAGAAGCGCGATATGCGGGCCTCTGAGTCGGAAACACGCGGAGGTTCTAGTCGGTGATTGTTTGACTGGTGGAAGTCAGAGTGTGCGGTGTGCTGCTCCCCACCATCGTAAAAGCAAATTCGCAATCATTATATTGCTACAGCGAGTGTAATGCTATTGGTAAGCACTCAAGGCAAACTATTCGAACAGAGCGGAAGGCTACATTACAAAGGCGCAGCTAGTGTCTATGTTGTCCAGGGGGTTCATTGGACAATGGCAGCTTATGGATCAGAGCGGTTTGAGGTGCCACAGCACGCGATAATTCGAGTAACGACTTTGTTCACTAATATAGCAGTATCTTGCTTACATCTACCTGCGGTGGTGCAAGGTTCGAATGTACGACATGCGTCGTTCTCCTTTCGGTGTAGGTCAAGACCTGGTCTGCAAGCTCTCAAACTTGTACGTAGCCCATCGGCACCCAAACCAACTAGGCGACAGCTTCGGCTTGTTACTGATCGATAGAACAATGTATTTTTACGCTATCTTCCTCAGCTTATTGCCTGCCATCAACTTCGTACTATGTGAAACAACCAACGGCACAAGTAGCCCCGCCACTACTAACCTGAGGGACCAAATCTAGGAAAATCATATTTGGAAACTCCTAATCTCCAGCGAAACTGACAAGCTCAAATGTCCCAGCAAAGGCCTACTGCAGACAGATCATAACGGATGTAACTTCCCATAGCTGTGAGACGCTCTGTGGCAACGGCACAATCCCATCCAAATTACCCAGAAGTGGCCCAGATTTAACAAAAGTCAGCTGGCACAATCTAACGGGCAGCAAATGTCGCAATACGACCATGATGTAAAGAGATACGAAACGAGGCTAAAACAATGCCGTTGCTTAATATACGAAGTGCCCTCAATGGTACCGCTGTATGCGGAGGCGCGGGCAAGGAAGCGCAAGAGATGGGCCACGCGAAGAGCTACAAGTGCTCCGAGATCCCAGATACGACTAAGAAATGGGAAAGCCTTCCCCATGTATTTACGCCTATTGGCTGGGATAAGTATCACTGACTGAAAGCTTCTGTTGAGAACTGCAGAGGGCAAGGTGAATATGCGGGGCCCATCACGACAGATCTCGAGGCGCCTGATAGGAGAGATGAGTATCTTTGCGCTTAAGGCCTGTTCAGTGGATTCCGAGAAGACATTGGCCTATGTTCTCGTCCAAGTGGGATGAGCTGTCAAAACTAAGAGGACCTACTAATATCAGTTGAAGCCTATTGTACAACAGTCGAGAGGGCTACCACTTACCAATGTAGACCTATTGGTAGCCCATTCCATAAGTCCAGATGCCGCACATAGCCCTAGTACCTTAAGATTGCCCGAGTCAGGCAATTCGCTCAAATACGTGGCTCACATTCATGCTAAGTTTCCCAAACCGGCCGCAAAACACATCGCACCCCACGAAGTCGCAGTTACTCGTCGTTTTCTTGCCGAGCTCGAGGATATACGCTATCGCCAAAGTCAGTCAGCCCTTTCACTTGACACGAGACCTCGCACATACCTCGGAAGTACTCCACCAAAGTGTCATTAACCGGGAGGTTAGCACGTGCGGCAACCTCTGGCGGAATGCGGAACTCGTCTTGGACGTCCTCGGTCATACACTATAGCTCGTCCATACGCGAGCAGAGCTCCGCGTCGGTCTTGTGGCAGAACGGCTCCCCCTCCGCGCTCGGGTCCAGCTGCTCGAGCTCTGGGATCTTGGCGTTGAGGGCGGCAGTGCAGATGTCGCAGACCTGGGTGGCAGGCGTGGGGATGGTGCGGTGGCGCAATCAAAGCGGGTCACCGTGGAGCGATATTTGGTGTAGTCCTTGACGGTGTCTTTGGTTGTTAACATGGTGGAAGATGGCATGCGTCTGATCTACACTATGGAAATTGTACTCCAATCATCCACTATCAACTTCACTCGCCATTCCCGCCTGGGCCCGAGCCCGAGACGGGGCGCTTGCGGTCGAGTCGACGATACTCCACGCCACAGGTTTCCTCTCCCATCCCAAGACCTTCACCATCGTGAGCACGATCTACTGATACCAGGCCACACTTGCCCGCTTCCGCGCCCGCGGCGAGAAACATGTACGCGACATTGCCGACCTGAAGGCCAGCGTGAACGACCTCGATGACCAACTTGCGAACGCGTACACTCTCGGCTTGACATGTCTTAACGAGCTCACCGAGACCCTCGAGAGGGTGAACAAGAAGCTCGACGCGGCATACGCTGAGGTTCAGGTCTACTACATGTCCATCATGACCCTTCGAACGGGACGGGACCTGCTGCAAGGGTATAGTAGCGAGGAGATGCTGCCAGCGTTCTTTCCAGCTCCTTTGAATGCGGGTGCGGATACGGATGAGATTGTCGAGACGATGTGTCGAGATGAGCCTGTATGTTTGATAGTAATACCAGAATTAGGGTTCAACGTAATTGTGGTTTCTACTGAGCAGGTACTTGTCTATCATGGTCATTCATAAGTGGAGCTTGTCGACCTCGTCTGGGAAGTCACTCCACTTCCTCCAGGTGCCCCTTCCGTGAGGTCTACACCCGATCGAATGGTATGAAGAATGTGTTAGCAGGCATCGAGATGATTGAAATAGTATCTTCCTACCGGACGACCGTTCTTTGCACGTCGTCGAGTAGAATTGGAGAACTTCAGGCAGGATAAGCTCGATTAGCATCGGACGGAGCATTAGATGCAAAAAGAGTCTAGAGTGCCACAAGCTTACACATCCGTGGATGTCATTGAATAGAAATACAACTGCAGGCCATGGTATATCCACCCATTCGAGGACGCAGTGTCCTCACAAACGCCCGACAATCTACCCTACCCTCAACATAGACTCTTTTGCGTTTGCCGTGCGCCAGAACGCCTGCACCTTCCGTAGCCGGATAATGGAACTCGTAATACATGGGGCGCTATTCGAAACTGACCGCATAGCCCGATCATACAGCACGAGAGTAATTGTAGTATATGAATGCGGGTAGCTCCCGCCAGGCACCACGTATCATGGCGGTCCCGCCTGCCTCGTTCCCGTCGCTCGAATTCACAAGAAATGCTGGGGAGACTCCGGTCGCCTACACCGGCAGGTTGAACTTCTTGCCTTGAATGACCCTGATCTCGCATTAGCAATCATACCTCCCCACTTCGGTAAAGACGCACTTTGTGTAGTAGATCCAGAAGAAGTCAGAGTAGAGGATAGTCTGGACAATGCCTGCAATAACGGCGATGGGGTCCCAGAAGCGCGGGACCTCGAAGAAGTACCGGTAGATCCAGTTAGGGATATACAAGGCACGGTAAGCACCGAGAGCGAACAGGTAGTGGGTGGTGATGGTTTCCGCCTCGCCTGTCCTTTGGAGCATAAAGAGCTGCGGGAGGATAGCGACAGATTCGAGCCAAATGGAGAAAGCCCAGAGGATCTGTGCCACAGTCAATTTCAGCCCATACCTTCCTGACAGTTCTTACACCTACCTCTGTAAAGTTGTACTTGTACGGGAACAGAATCGCCAAAATCGCGCTGGCCCCGATGAGGTATTGCACCTTGAAGGTGTCGAGATTCGGGTCGTGGGTGGGTTTGTAATCGTTGAGCATGAGGTAGACGGTGTACGAGGCCGTGCTGATGAAGATGATTTTGAAGATGGTGTTGTAGAGCGACTTGGGCTCGTAGAAGGTCCAAAGAAGGTCGACGTATCGGGTAATGTATACGATGAGGTACAGGAACTGTGATTTGAACGAGATGCCGGACGCGCTCTGTTGTTGTTAGGCTCCGTTCTCGGGATCGGCGGGGGTTCATGGGCGTACGCTCGACGACTTCATCTTCTGGAGCAATATCAAAATGGACAGGAGATGGGAAAGATCCCCTGTAATGCCACAGTCAGTATGCGCTTCCAATTCCCCCATGCGATTTCCATGCCACGAGGAGCCATTGCGGCTTGTTCGAGCAGCAGAACGCACCTAGTAACCTGAACAGATTCATCATGGTGGCGCGCGATCCTTTCGCTCAGTTTCGTGCACAATGCGGGGGTGCCTGTAGAGCAATGTGGTAGTGAGAGGACGTAGAAGACTCGAAATGAAATGACACGTTTGGAGCTCGGAGGACGCTGCGCGTAAGGCGAGCGGGATCCTTGCAGCGCCAAGAAAGACCCCTGTCCGTAGCCGCGACCCCAACGTCACTGCCGCATACTATCTGTACCACGCAGAGACGCAAATGTCAGCAGTACCAAATAGTAGAACGAACTTGATCTCACTTCTTGTCTTGCAGCCATTCCTTGGGGTGTTAATAATTCCCAAATGCTACGGAAGCCCTGCTCGACCTGAGGCGTGACTTCCGCGGGGATGGTTCACGCACGTTGCGGGTGATCGTTGTCGCTTGTTCTGTCCACGTCTCAAGAGCGTCGCGCGCTCCAGAGAGCTTGACATGGCCTATTTAGCCGGCTGGAAAGACATTCTCAGGCCTATTCGGGATGGATACCGTCACTTTTTTCCTACTCCAGACACAGGCCCCACACCCGAAGAACGCGAGAAGCAGCGTCGACTCGATCAGCTCAAGGGCTTCACGTACTTTGACACTTTCGATCAACTAGTTGCCTGGACTGAAGCTGACTCGGATCCAATTCAGAAGGCCAATACACCACTACTAGCCCGTCCGCCTCCTGTCGGTGAAAGTGGAGTACAGAACGCAAACGTTCTAATCTGTCATGACTACTCAGGGAATTACCATGATTACGAGTCTGCAACTGCAATCGGTCTCGATGAGGAAGCCTATTGTTGTCAATACCTCCAATATGTAGAGTCGTTCATTTACTTTTCGCACAAACTTGTCTGCGTACCCCCACCATCGTGGATCAACACGTTGCATAGGAATGGCGTCAAGGCGTTTGGAACTCTCCTCATTGAAATGCAGACTAGAGACACAGAGAGCCTATTGCGCTCTACCACAAGAATGGAGAACGGGCAAGAAAGGAAAGACTTTCCACTGGCGAAGCGACTCTCTGATATCGCAAGTCATTACGGGTGAGTCGCGTTGGACGCATCGTTGGTTTATGGCTGACAACATGTACTTAGCTTTGATGGCTGGTTGATCAATATTGAAAAACCGTTTCCTCAGAATAATCTAGAGCTGGATCCGTTTCTCCGCCAACTCAAAGAATTGATCGGCGTCAATAAAGAGCTGATATGGTTCGTACATCTACATGTCAAGACATCTTCCTTTTCTGATCGAACGCTCTTCTAGGTACGATGCCCTCACCAAAGACAACAGGATATCTTATCAGAATGGGTTGAATGACAAGAACATCATTTTCGCGGCCACTTGTGGCGCTGTGCTCACCAATTACTGCTGGACAGAAGCCAATGCTTCAGCATCGAAAGATGTCGCATCGAAGCACAGTCTGCCAATTGACAAGGTGTACTTTGGCGTTGATGTGTGGGCGCAAAATACGGTGGACTTTGGGCTTCCCCGGACGACGTACCCAGAACTCAAAGGCGGAGGGACTAATACAGGAATCGCAGTCAGCAAACTCGCCGAAATGGGGCTTTCTGCAGGTGTCTTTGGCCCGGCATGGTCTTTCGAACACTTCCCAGGTCATGGCAGGGAGGCTGAGCGTGCTATGTGGGAAGGTAAAGCTCTCTGGGATGGAGCAACATGCTCTTGCAGAGGCGAAGCCAGCTTCTGCCATCCAACCAATATGGACGAGGCCATCACAAGATCTGCTACACAGTATCCTGCAGGCTCGGAGAGATTCTTCTACACTGACTTTAGTAGAGCATTTGCAATACACGATGAGAGGGAAGCCCAGCGGTTATACGACGGCAAGAACATGCATTCACAGCTGGGATCACAGTCTTTACTGCCAAATTTGGCACCCGCACGTGCATATAATGGTCAGACTCTTATCGATGCCGTAGTCAAGATTGGGAGATTCAGCCACCTTTCAGAAAATGTCGAACCACTGTTATCTGTACGTGGTGCGAGTCACAACTCCGATCTAGCAAGCAAAGACCAAATCTTCGAGCGCGATTTGCCACTTTTCAAGCTCAATATGCCAGCAGACGGTTCGTTGCGACTCTATATAAGTTGCGATTCACTGGGATGCTCGAGTGTTTACCTGAAGTTCTCCAGCGGTATCAAGTTCGTTCCGATTAGAGGCTCTGATCTTCAGAAGCTCATAACGCTGGAATGTACTGTTAAGCCTGATCAGATTTCCTATGAGAATGTTAGACTCCAAGAGCTGGGTGTACGAGTCCGCTCACGCGGTTTCCGGAAGCCGGGAGACTCCTTCCTCAATATCTACAAGATCAGCATTGTGCCGCATTCTCATCCAGATCTGGGACAAAAGTACTCGATTGGGAATGCGCAAATTGAAAAGCGAGGGCAAGACGACACTGAACATTGGCGACTGCTTTGGACATATACGAACACTCTGGGCGACGATGAGAAATCCGCACTTGCGAGATCCGAGATACCATATAGTAAAGTCACTGGGCCTTTCTCCTACTTTGCAATGCAGATAGACGGCGTAGATCTGGGTAGAGCATATGCGCTGGAGCATGTGCTTCCCAATGCTTTCGTCGAGAGCTTAGAGGGAGGCTTTAAGGTTGTATTGATTGGCGTAGGGTTTGATGGTAAGGAAATTTCTCGCTTAGAACAAGAATGCGTGCTTCCATTGGCATGAAAGCTACGAGAAACATTCTCTGTTGATTTCAAGGGTTGCCTGCTCCGACAAGGGGAGGATGATAGGGTAACATCACTTTTCACCGCCATGGGTGATAAATTGCACGCTATAAGAAAAACTCTCATATACATTAAGTAGATCGTCGTGGAGTCAAGACATCATGTCGTTATCCCACGTCCAAGCAAACGAGCCATGGGCGGGATTGAGTCACGTGGCGCAACTGCCTCGCGGGCTGAGCTTCGTCACACCTTCCCGCATCCAGCTAAGACGGTCCGCTGTTGAAGACGCGCCAACTCCGCAGGTCTTCCTCGTTGTCAATTCATTCGCAGGCGAGCGTCCAGCGTCTCTGCTCTACAATCAGCCTGTTCGTTGGCTTCTATCCATAGAGTAGCGCTCGGTGTAGCTGGTAAGTGACACGCAATTACAGAGGCTGGGCTGGGGCTGCCGCACGCGAATTTTGGGCTCGCATCGCAGCGTCATCGCCAACACAGCTCTCTCTCACCTACAAACGCCTCTCACCTTCACCTTTCTAACATCACCCAGTTCTTTCTTTTTCTCCTTCACCATGGCAGATCTGCAAGATTTGCTTGCCCTGCTCCACGGCCAGGGCTCAGCTGGCAACAGTGCTCCTCCGCAACACCCGCCGCACGGTTATCAACAACCCTCCGTATCGTCACCTATCTTTTCGCCATCGCCTGGCGGACCGCAGCCGCATCACCAATCCGCGATTATGTCGCCCAATTCCTCCGCCGCGAACACGCCAGGTCCTGAACAGGCTGGCGTGTCGCAGCAGACACCGCAACAACAGTCGACGCAGCTGCTGAACCTGCTGCGCTTTAATTCGCAGCCCAGCGTTGCGCAACCGAGGCGCCCATCGCAGAACATGCAGTCGTTGGATACGCCGCCCGCTCACGGCCGTGCTGTCTCAGCCTCTGATCTGGTAGCGGGCTTCACGGGCGGCAAATCGCCGCAGGCGCCTGCCAGCGCCGCGTCACTCGCTGCTCGACCAGAGCCGGCGTCTGCATCGAGCCAGCACCAGCAACAGGACCTGCTGATGCGCTTATTGAACCCGAAGCCTGCTCAGAGCGATACTCACTCCTCACGAGCTTCAGCTGCAGCTTTCTCTCCCCCGCCTGTCGCACCGCAGCCAGAAACGGCTGTCAACGACGTGGCTCGAGACTTGGCTGCCGCCGCTGCAACTCTTGAGACAGCCCTTGAGAACCTCCCTACGGATCCGACCGCGGCTTCGTCTGCTGCTTCTCCGATGAGGGTTTTCGGATCCGAGGGACCGGGCCAGTCCCAATTTGAGCCGGAACCCACTCGCTCTAACGACGCTCCGCGCTTCACCTATCGCAACCCTTTCGAACAATTGGAAGCTGCCAGTCCCCGAAACAGGACTCCAGTTCCCGAAGCCCTAAAGGCTCCTGCGCCCGCCCCCAAGATGGAGATACTGAAGCACAAGCATGGCTTGGATGGATCTGCATCTGCCAGTAGTGGCGAGGAACGACCTCAATCGCAACACAAGCACCGGAAGTTGTCACCAGCCAATGCTCCCCACGAAACCGTCGCCGAGGCTGTCAGTGAGTTGGGTGAGCAAATTGGCAAGGAGATTGAGGAGACACTTGAGGCCCAGGCTGCGAAGGAGCTTGCCCGCATGCCGGCTGAGGAAGTCGAGGAGATCGAAGAGGCTATTATTGAAACTGCTTCGGAGATCAAGAAAGAGCTGGATGATGAAGCTAATTTCAAGGCACTAGAGAAGGAGGTCTCGAAGCCGATTGCCGCGTCGCTGAAGCAAGTTGCGAACGACATTGCCCAGGGTGATGTTGCCGACAGCTGGGAGAGTGCCGAGGACAGTCCATCAAAGGAAGAAGATCAGACGGTAATAGTCTATCGCTTCCCTATGCGCGCGTTCGCCTCCATCACCGTTCAAGATTTGCAGAAGCCGCGTATTCTCTTTTCGCCAGATCTCGTTATGGATGTCGCTAGGCTCAAGAAGGAGTTCGACCAGATCGACCGCTCTCTTGTAACAGCAAGCAAGAATTTCATCGTATATGCCATCGTCAAGAAGGGCGGCTTCCGGATCATCCGCCAGGAGAACGGTGACTATCGCCAGGTCTTCGAACACCACCAGGAGCGTCTTTTCAATGTCGCCCTTTGTGTCGGGGGCGAGGACTCGTCTCAGCAGTCTGTTGAGAGTGTTCTTGGCATAGGAGTCAATGGCACTGTTTTCTGGGCTTCAGTCAACCCTGTGCGCGACAGCGACTTCGACGAACTAGACAAGACCGGCCTTGTCCTCCCACCCTCGCCTTCCCAAGATGATAACACATCTGGTGGACAGTTGAAGACCCGGGCGAAGCCATCATCGCGCCACCCCGAATTCTTCGCCATCGGCCGCGGCAAGGCTATCCATATTATTTGGCCTCGTGTCGCCGATGGTTTCCTGCGTAGCAACTCGCGCATCGTTCACACCGAGAAGTACTACAAGGAGCGCTCGCTTAAGATTCTCACTGGTAAGGCCGGGAAGGATTTCACGTTCAGCGAAGATGACACTGTTATCGTTTCCTTGGACAAGGCCGGACGCATGCGCTTCTGGGATATTCGGCCACTCATTGACCCCGTGGTCGCTACACCAGAACATGAGAAATCAGTCGAGGTCTCCGAAACTATGCTTGAATTCCATACCACGTCAGCAAATGCCAAGTCATGGCCAACCTCTGTGTTCTTCTTCGACAAGGACAAGCCTTTTAACAAGGGGATTGCTCTGCGATACGTTATGGTTGGTATGAAGCAAAATCACGCCTTCCAGCTGTGGGATTTGGGTCTGGGCAAGGCTGTTCAAGAGATCAACCTGCCCCACGAGAAAGAGTCCGATGCTATTTGCAGCGTCGGCTTCCACCCCAAGACCGGCATCATGGCTGTTGCCCACCCGACGCGCAACTCCATCTTCTTCGTTCACGTGTCTTGCCCGCGCTACAACCTGCCGGTCATGAATCAAGCCACGTACATTTCACGCATCGTGAATAAGAGCAGTGACAGGGGCCAGCAACTTCCTCCGGTCAACGCAACGGCCATCATGACCAGCATTACGGAATATTCATTCTCCTCGAAGGGCCAGATCCGTAGCCTCCACATGCTTAACGAGCCTGCTGGACCGACTGACGTCGACGATCCGGACAACACTGCTTTGTTCGAACTTTATGTGATGCACTCCAAGGGTGTGTGCACGTTGCGTATCCGACGAAGCGACTTGGGCTGGAAGAAGGAAGGCGAGCCTATGCATCCCAAAGAGGCCCAAGATGAGGGTGTGATCAGCATAGCTCCTTTGAAGCCAGCAGCACCTCCTGTGGATGACTCTGTGACTAGCGGTGACACGCCAGGTCCGAAGTCTGTGTCCGATCGGTCTGCTCGCGAGACCCTTAAGAAGGAAAGCAGCGCTGCCTCCCGCCAATCCATGACCCCCGAGGCTGCTATGCGCGCATCTACCTTGGCCAAGGTGGAGAGCAAGCAGGACGCTGCTCGGGCTGCCATCATCAACGGCAGCGAGAAATCAGAGAAGAAAAAGAAGAAGCGCGCAACGGTCGAGTCGGCCTCGCAGGTGTCTACCTCTTCCCGGGTGCCGCCACCTCCTTCGTATGCTCAAGCTGCCCAGAGCACCCCGTCGACAAAGTCGCCAGCTGCGCCCGAGTCTACTGAGCCCAGCTCCTCGAAGGCTTCTGATACTGAGATTCCTGAGTGGGCCAAGAAGCTTGTTGGTCAACTGCCGCAGCAGTCGCCTGCCGCTACATTTGACTCAAAGAAGCTCGGAGAAGCTGTTCAGGCAGAGATCAGCAAGAGTTTGTCGCAATACACCGATTCAGTGTCTAAGCGCCTCGATGATGAGAGGCGCGCCGCCAAAGCTCAGAACAGTGCGAACCAGGAAGCTGTGCTCCGTTTGGTATCTAGTACGCTTTCAGAGAATGTGGAAGGGCAGATCCGTAAGATGGTCGATCAAAACATGCGCGAGGTTTTGTTGCCCAGCTTGTTGACACAGACCAACTCCACCCTCGAGAAGAACCTAGGCAACACAGTCAAAGCCCATCTTGGTCCGCAGCTCTCCAAAGAGGTTCCCGAGGCGGTTTCACGCACCTTGAAGAGCCCGCAGATTTTCCAGTCGCTTTCCGATCAGATCTCGAAGAAGGTTGCAATTAGCCTCGAGCAGACAATCACAGCAGGTGTCGGTGCCGTAATCACCCCTGCTCTCGCGAACGTCACCAATGCTGTCGAGAATAAGCTCAATGAGCAGGTTCGGCATGCGCAGATCCAGCACCAGAATGATTTGAACAAGATTCACCAATTGACAGAGACTGTGCAAACCTGTCTTCAAACCATCCAGGCAATGGCGGCATCTCAAGCTGAGCTTCAGAACCAAGTCAATACTCTGCAGCAGCACATTAAGGGCATGTCGCAAGTCACACAAGTGGCCCCGGCTGCTCCCCCGGCTGCAAAGCAGAGGACTGCGGAGGAGATTGAAGCCCAGGACATCTTCGATCTTCTTAGCGCGCAGAAGTACGAGCAGGCCACGATGCAATGGGTGCAATCCCCCAACTCTAATGAGCTGTTCGACAATGTATTCATCAAGTGCAACCCGGGCTACCTTGGCCAGATCTCGCCGCTTCTGATTCTCTCGACCGGTGCCGTGGTCACAACTTCCCTCCAGGAGAATCTTGTGGAGCGGCTTGCTTGGCTTGATACTGTGCTCAGAAACATCGATCCTAACGTAAGCAACGTTGCTCTGCATCCTTTTCCAGCGCTAACCATGCTCGCAGGATCCTGAAGTTCATGACGTTGTCCCCAAGATTATGGAGGTTATCAAGGAGCGTCTTACACACGCCTACATGCGCCTAAACGAGAGCTCTCCTGGCGACGCCTCACTCCGTCGCATCGCCGGTCTGGTCAAGCGTGTGGGTGATCTTGTTCCTCGACCCAGTTATCCTAGCTCCCACGTAGGCTCTTATGTGTCTCGTTCATAAGCGCTACGGTCTCCTGCTCGAGCTCTGCGTTCTCAGGCATGGGGCGACGCTGAGAATGCGACGTCCCCACGTCGCCATGTTCGAATCCGACCTAGCACAGCCACTCGACGCTTTGGATCCAATGTACATTATCTCCCACGTTCGGGCTGCATTTCCTTGGAGCCTTGACTTTCTGGGTCTGGAACGGCGCGTCGGGATAACAGCGAATAGATGAGGGTATGCGGATCATGGCTTCGACGGTGTGGAATACCGTCGTCCGAGCACACTTTCTTTCTCCTTTTTCTTTTTCTTCGGTTCTCAACGTGGTGACATTTGTGCATAAACCTGGCGGACGTTGATCTGGCTCGGTTCTTGGTGATATATGGCCGGCGCTTCGGGGTCTTGAGGTGCTGGAATGCTCGCTGGATGTTGACGCGCGCTGACCCTGTTATTGAAGAGACCCGGGTTCCACGATCAGTATTGAATCCAGGGATTCAGGGTATGCATTCAAAGTTAAGAGGTGGACTTTAGGCATACCAGCATCCTGTATCCACCGCGATCTCTGGGATTGCTTGCATGTGTAAGATACGAAAAGCGAGCATGGCAATTTTTGTAGCAAATCAAATTTCCGAGCACTGTTTTGGTGCGACCTCCTAATGAACCATGAATATATTGATTCTCGGATCCCCGCCTCCTGTGGTTGTGCACGACTCGACGGCGATCTATCGATAGGCGACCACTCCTGCTCCCACTCGCTTCATTTTGCGCCACTTAGTCGTAGAGTGGTCGACCAGCGTGCAAAAACATGCGTTGCGTCTGCCCTCTGTTACAGATTGCAGTACCAGCCCTGCAACAGGCTCGCCGCAGATACAAGCCGCCGACCAATGAGCATTGCTTGGCCGCTAAAGCGCAACCCTGTCGCACGTCTGAGGTTGAAACGCGAACGTGTGCTAGACCAGTTACACTCCCTGCGAACTCTCCACCGCATGGAAGACTTGACTTTTCCCGTCGGTGCACGCGTGGATTTCTTGATGTGGCGGCTATTTTGGGGAAAATGGGACGTAGCAGCGTGCTCTGGGCGCATGGACTTGGAGCGGCTTAATATGGAGGGGGTGCGTCGTTGCTGGCCTTGGGAAAGAACGTTTCGTTGACACTGTACATTTTTTCAACGCTCCTTTGAAGGAAGACTCTTTGTGGGCTTGTTGATTGAGTTCGCGTTCGCTCTTTACAGACGGGTTATTGAAGAGATTGGGATTTTACGGAGACGCTGCACGTCACTGGGCAAACTGCACTACTACGACCACGACCACAATCATTCTGGAATAAGAAAGAGAACAAGTCACCATGGTCAACTTTGGCAAAATCATCCTCGGCGCGCGAGCCCTCCAGGCGCTCCTGTCTGTCGTCGTCCTCGGCCTCATGGCCTACGGTCCGTCTTCCCCCTCCCCCTGCACATTCGCCCCTAACATCTCTCAGTCGCCTCCTGGTGGTCCTCCCACTGGCGCGCCATGTCGCCCGTCGAAGTAAACTTCATGGTCTTCAGCCCGGTGTGGTCGCTCCTCGCGCTGGCAGCTCTCGTCGTCGTCCCCATGAAGTTCTCCTCCCTCGCCGCCTCCTCGCCCGGCAAGTTTGGCCTGCTCGCCCTCGAGATTCTGACCATGCTGTACTGGTTCGGCGGATTCATTGCGCTGGCACTGTTCCTTAGGGATCGCATCTGCTTTGGCGCTGTGTGCGATGTCGCCAAGGCGGGGACGGCGCTGAGCGCGGTGAACTGGCTGGTATGGATGGGGAGCGTGGTGTTGAGCGCGGTGATGGTATTCAAGAGAGAGACGATTGCGCCGATGCTGAAGGAGCCAAAGGTTGAGATGCACCAGGGTGTTTAGAGGAAGGGTTCGAGAGCGGATGTCATGATGGGGTGCAAAGGGAAAGTGCGGCTGGCCGTCGAGACTGGCGCTCAATGATGGCCACGCGAGGGAATTCACAGCTTTGGGATCACGAACGGCGCGCTTCTACAGGTGGATGGGCTTGGCTAGGGACGGTGCTTAATTGGGCGTTTCTTGTTACATTCTTTTTCAGGGCAGCGTACACTTGAATGTTGTTTACTACTTTCCAAATATCATAGGGCCAATGAATCGTAATGGCTCGATTTCAGGCGACGAGCTGCGTTCTGTTACGTGCCAATGCGATGCCTATGTGATGGTGTGCGGTGCCTGACGCGGCCTGGGGCGATGAAACTGTGGAGAGACTCGAGGTGCCTGATGATGCGCGCAAGCGACGTCCGCTACTGTTGCAGCGGGTAATCCTTCTGCTTGTAGGAGGGGACACTCGCGCCAGGCAGCTGAGAGACAGGAAATCTTTACGTAGGTGCCTTCTCTTGCGTGAACAGCGTGCATCTGGCCACTGCCATGGGCAAAAGCGAATGTGAAGGGCGGAACCGCAATGCCAGTGTCGGCTAGCTCCTTCCCCAGACGATGGTCCGAAAATAGCTTGGGTTAGGTAAGAGGCGCCACTTTGCTCATTCGTGCGTGGTGGTGGCTCACTCGTTGCTGGCGCCGCACGGAATGAAGGCTTTCCGCCTGGGCTGGGCCTCAGGTCAGCACTTTGGGCTATGCAGACATTTGTAACAGCTTATCTCGAGATCAAAACTGCCCAATCGGGCACACGCACGCGAAGAGGGTCCAGACGGTTTAGGTTGATGGTCTCGGTGCCGGGGCCTGGGACTGGGGCAGCGCAAAGCGGGCTGCGGGACTATCGGCGGAGCACGACCGCGACCGCGTGAGCCTCCACGAGCACACCATATCTTTGAAACGGCCGCCAGCCCGCGCTTCCTCTGCTCTTTTGCCAGCGTCCCCTACCTTTTGCCCTCCACATCCATTGCCATCGCCTTGCTCAGCGCGCGCTCGTGGTTGAAACGCGCTACAACCGGCAACTGCGCTGCACCGAGCTATCGTCTGTCTACACGCAGCTCACAACATGTCCAGGACGTCCGTCTTCACGACTTGTACCCCGCTGCCCGCGGGACTCACAAGACAGAGCGTGCTCGACATGTACCACGCCCACACCGAGATGATCGAGCTGAACCCGCTCGTCATCGAGCGCTTCAAGTGCAAGGCCCCAAGCTATGCGCCCGCAGAGGAGCACCATGCCACGTGGTACACGATCAAAGGTACATTGCAGCTTCCTCTCTTTCCCTTGGTTGGCGTTTTCTGCATCCGGATGTGCATACTGACCGAGACACAGACAAAGTTAACTACCTTCCCGGTGGTCTCGCTTCGTCCTCCGTCTCCTACCACGCCTGCTTCCACGACCTCCCCGATGGCCTACAGACACACGTTTACGCGCCGCTTGGCCTTGATATCCGCGCGAAATGGACGGTCGGCGGTTCACTACCAGGCGAGCCGAAGGCTCCCGCCGAGATGGGCATCGGTGCGCCGCGCGAAGGGCTCTACATCCGTGAGGACGTGCGCATGAAGTGTAACATCATGATGATGGGTTTTGTGAAGAAGACGTTCAAGGAGAGCCATTCCACAATGGTCGACCGTCTGGTTGAAAAGGCGCATGTGCTAGAGAGCCGACAGGCCAACGAGCGACTAAATGCGCTGAAGAACCTAGCACCAGGCGAGCGCATGGGCCACGGGAGCATATTCATTGCCCCTCCGCCAGGATATGGGGAAGAGCGGAAAAGCTACAACTATGACGATAAGCCGCTACCTCAGCCCCGAGAAAGTGTATATTCGGATGGAAGCGCGAGGAGCTCCCCAGGACTGTCCCAGGCCAGCACGTTGACCAGCCAGAGCGAGTTCCCTCAGAAATCTCCACAGTTTCACTATCAGATGCAGCGCCAACGATCCCAGACGCAGTCGCAGGCCGAATCATACAACCCATACCAAGACCAGCGCGGTTCGCTCGCGCCCTCGCAGTGGAAACCCGGTCATTCGCATTCACATTCGCAAGACTGTAACCACACTTCCGGTCCTCAATTTAGCGTCGGTCAGCAACCAAGCCCGGGCCAGCCAGACCCGCAAGCGCAGACTCTACCTAGCCTCTCCTATCTCCCCTCCACCGTGTACAACCCGCACGCAAGCAACGCCCGCGACTCGCAATACCAAGCCTACCAGCCCCCGCGCTCTGCCGAATACCTGCACCCGCCGCCCGCCGAGCTGCCCGCACACATGCAGGACTCACCCACGCTACCGCGCAATCTGCGCGACGACCGCGATAAGCATCTCGCTGAGCTGCCTGCCTGAGCGAAAGAGACCCGTTAACGACGTCATGTATGTTCTGATTTGATTTGCTGTATATATTGAATGTGATTGTACCTTTTGAGGGGACTTTGTGCTGGCACGGCCGTTTTGAAGGATGGATCTTGGGATTGGGGGAATGAATCGTTTCATTTGTAGATACCCGCGCTGGGCTCGCAGTCAACTTGTCACGTACACTGAGAGAAGGAGTATTGGAGCTTTTGGAATGGATATTCGGTGCTAAGCTGGTGTAGAGAATTTGGAATATGTGTTGCTTTTCATCTACCAACCCCTGAATGTACACGGTATAGCTCGATACCTCCGATGCCAACCGATCCTGGTTCCAGAACTATCGAGAATCAACGTGCACCTGTCTCAGGGATGAATATCCGCTGTAGCCACTCAAGACCTATCTCATTTGAGGTCCATCCATTCTTAGAGGTTGTATAGAGCCAGCCAGGAACTAAGGCTGGGAACCAGGTACTTTGTAGGCTCTGTCCTTTGAAGATGACTGCGCAGCGTAGTTTCTGGCCTACTGCTGATACGCTCTCAATCATAGAGACCCACTCGCGATTTTCTGGTGATCGATTATAAGCCTTCTTTTTCTGCCTACTAGAGTACTCTAGAGTTGGCACATACCCCTAAAGCAAGCCCTGTCTCATCCATATTCCAGGTATCCTCAACGCGTATATTTAGACGCACTCTAGTCCTCTCAAAGAGCTCTAGAAAGGCGCGTACCTGCTCTGGAATAGCTGTATCAGCTCTCTAAGCATCTCGCTTTCTACCAATAATAGAGGCGATTCGTGGCTGGCGCTTGATAAAGTGGGATACCCAGAGCTTGCCGATAGGCCGAGTATCGCCATTCATGCGTAGGATTCGATTGGCCATTTCTCGGACGCGAACGTGTGAGGGAGGGCAGGCACGTGCGTCTTCATCGAGGATCCAGTCTACTAGAAAGTCCTCCTGCGCAGGAGTCAATCGCTGCTGGTGCTGATGGCTGAGTGCGCTGTTTGACGCGCCACCAAGTCGGCCTTGTGGGGTAGATCGAGGGATGTGGTAAGCCTTTGCAACAGCGCGTAGACTAGGATAAACACCTGCGTTATAATCGCTGATAGCTGCTTGTATAGGATATCGCGTGTTTTGTGCAGGTGTCGCGTTCTGCCAAGGTGGCCGGCATCTATATGCGCTAGCTTAGTACCAAGCCTGGGTAGTCATAAGAATATTTGCACGGCAATTTCAACAGCTCTTATGCCTAGCGGCTCAGATAGACCGGGGGAAACTTGATCCATGCTGAGATGGACGTTGCTGAAGAGCGTTCTCTGTCAACTCTCCGTCGTGGTGGTTTCCCCAGGTAATCTGCGGGCTAGCCCCTCCTCGGTTAGTTCCTCACCCGCTCTCTATAGATTTGTGGGGAAGGGCCACTCCTGCACCCCGGTCGACCCATTGCCATCTTACGGATTATGCTCACATCCATATCAGACTCCTTGTAGACCACAATGACAAGCGCATGCTCGTACTGTTTGACACGATGTTACGGCTACAACTGCCGAGGCACAGCAACAAGGCCAGGGGTCTGCACCCCCTCACCTTGGACCTCGTTGCCCCTCTTGGCCTATCTCGGATCCGCGCCGCGCATGCATATAAACACGAGGACCGCCGCTACTCCTGATTGCGATGAGCTTGCTACGCAAGTCGGCCTGGCACGGATTGCTCCACTATGTCTGCTCGTCAGGGGCTATCGAACCTCGCGTCGCTGTCCGTCTCACATGTCGCGCTGAATCCTGTTGTTACCGGAGCTCTCCTCTGGGTTCTGACCAAAGGACCTGCAAGTGTGCGTGACCGTCTCATCAACTCTGTCTCTGCACTGCGCAACCCGGACACACGCGCTCGTGTGACGAAACTACTTCGATGGTTGCTCGCCCTAGGGGTGGTCAGGACTGTCAACACAAAGCTGAACCAACTCGCGCTCAATGCTTATAGGACGAACAGCGAGAAGAAGAGATGGAAATGGAACGAAGAAGTCGCCGTCGTGACCGGGGGGTGCAGCGGCATTGGAATGCTGACCGTGAAGCGACTACTCCTCAAAGGCGTCAAGGTTGCGATTCTGGATATCCAGCAGCTGCCGCCGGCCCTGCAAGGCTACGCCGGCATCAGTTTCTTCGCCTGCGATATCGCGGACCCTGGAGCTGTCGCCAGTACTGCCGAGAAAGTCAGAGCTACGATGGGATCACCTTCAATTCTCGTGAATAATGCTGGCATCACCCACCCTCATACGATCCTCAAGACCTCACCTGAGTATTTGCGGAAGATTTTCGACGTCAACTTGCTCAGTAACTGGTATACTATCCAAGCGTTCCTTCCGGATATGATCAAGAAAAACAAAGGCCATATCGTAACAGTGGCCAGCATGGCGTCATACTGGAGCGTTGGGGGGATGGTAGACTATTGCGCGACCAAAGCTGCTGTGTTGTGCTTGCACGAAGGTCATACACCTACTTCCTCTTCCTTAAACCCATCACTCACAGGTTCACAGGGCTTATACAGGAGGTCAGACAGAAGCACGAGGCCCCGAACATTCTTTTCACTTCAGTGCATCCCAACTTCGTCCGGACTCCTTTGGCTGACCCATATGCCGCTAAACTGAAGGGAGTGGACTTGTTGGAACCTGCCGAAGTAGCAGACGCAATAGCCGGGCAAGTATTGGGGTGCGCAGGGGGACAGATATACCTACCTTCTAGTGCACACCGGGCTACTCTAGTTCGCGGATGGCCTAACTGGCTGCAAGAGCTTCTCAGAACCAGGTTGGCTAGAACCATGCTATCCGGTACGGATTGAAGGCTGCTTTGCTGCCTGTGGGAACGGCGTCTGGGTGTGACTATGCACGTACTTGGTTAGGATCATTGATCATCGACGCGTAGTGTTGTATTTTAGAAAGCACAGTGTCGTCTGCCGGGCGCAGAACAAGCTGTGTGGCAGACTGTATATCAATGCTCAGGTGCACGGCAGCTGCAGTCAGCGCGCCCACAGCTGAAGAGTGAGACGCCCACGCAATCACGTAAAGTAACTCACCATATTGAATGGATTCCCCTTGCTTATGTGAAGCACGAGCTTCTTCACGCTCTTAGCCTTGTGTGCGGCGCAAAGACCCACGCGGCGCACCATATGCTGTGCAATCTAGAGCACGAGATAGTGTGCCGATATTCACTCCACAACCTATACCCCGGACCCGAGCGGGTGGATTCAACCAAAGAGATGAAGAGCTACCGAACACAGGGATCGCAAGGTCCCGACTCCGACCCAGTCAGCAGTGCATGATGCGCACCAGGAACTCAAATCCATAGCCTCTTTCAGCTAAGCGCAGCGACGTCGGTTTCTGGCTATGTCACGGGCACAGCTCGTGTTCGGACCGGGCGCAGGCGTCGCGGAAGAGATGTGGAAGGAGAACAATGAACTGGCTACGGCGACGATAGTCGTTGAAAGGGCGCTCTCAGCCGCATGCTGATCGGAAGGCGCGCCTCTTTGTTGGCGGCTTTCCGCGTTCTTTGCTGGCAAGGAGGCGGGCGAGAGGCGAGAGTCGTGCCGAGGGGCGATCCGGGTCTAACGGCTGGGAGGCACCAACGCCAAAAGGCCAGCCCACAATCGGCCAAGTGTGGCTCTTTTTGCCGCCTCTGAGTCGTCGCCGAGCGGCGAACTCATCGTCACCGAACGCCTCGCCTTGAAATTGCGGAGTCGATGGCGGAAAAAGAGGGCGCCTAGCATGTCACCCGCCGTACGTCCTCGGTACCACTGTGCCTCACACATCACCTGCTTTTCCCATAAACTCCCCGCGCCCCCTCCGTGGTCTCGCTCCCTTTTTGCACCGAGTCGACTGTTGGGAGCCATAAAATGTTTTTGGCATCCAAGCACGCTACGCCACGCTAGCAACCTCGGCCTCCTCGAGGCTGGCACTGAACCGCATCATGCCGACGATTCGAATATCACGAGATGTGGAAGCGAACATCGTAGGCCACAGCCCGATGCCCATTACGCCGGAGGGCCTCATCATCGAAGCTTGGTCGCAGGGCTATCTCGTCGGCAGTTTAATCATCATGACCTTCATTACCCTTGCCAATATGCGCAGAGGAGTGCTTTTGCACAAGGTAAGGACTTTTCACGCCAAGACAAAAATTGCCGCTGACTAAGTGTTCAGATGATTCTCATAGAGGTACTGCGCAGCTCTGATATATTGTGTGCTTCTTGAACGCTTATTAACTTCTATCGCAGCTACTTTTTGGGATATGGCAGGGCTTTTGGCTGTTTCCCGGTGGCCAAGCTAGCAGCTGGTGGCTCTCGGTCGCCGCGATCCCCCTCAACATGTCGTGGTTCCTGCACAACATCATCTCCTGGATGAAGATCAAACCTTTCCTCTCTCGGTTCTGGAGTCTCGTCTTTTTGTACACATGCCTGCTTTCGTTCCCCTACTGGGTCATCGAGATTTACGCCAATTTTTCCTACTTCAACGGAAACAGCAAATGGTTCACCAGAACACGCCCACTCGAACTTCTCTTCCGGGACCCTTGGTGGATCATCACAACCGTCTACTTATTCACCATCATTAAAACACACTACGCCATGACTATCAGAGACATCATCCGGATTTCTCCGCGCTTTGGCATTATGCTCGCCTCGATGATCATAAGCATCAGCTTTGTCATCTGCGATGTGTGCGCTGTCACCGGTGCCCTCAGGATCGGTGGCGCCTCCACCGGCATCAATCCCTTCTGGAAGCTGGCTTTTGTGTTCAAGTGCCTCACAGATTCAGTCATTCTGGACGACTTCAAAATGGCACTTGATCGGTTACGAGCATTCAAAATCAGCCGTCTGGGCAGCTATTCGGCAGACGACAGCGACCGTCGAATCCGCAATGACAACAATCTCGTCCAGACCTGGGAAAAGGCCGAGCGCGAAGCAAGAGAGAACCAACGCAATCTGTCGGATATGGGGACCAGCTCGGATGGCCACGATCCGCACGAAAAGGGTGAGGGCTCGGGGCGCTTCCATTTTCCCTTCCAGAATAGCCACCCTGGGAAACAAAAGGAGCCTGTGTCTAGACCGGACCAGTCGTTCTTCCAGCAGGGCGAGCAGTACCGTGACCCTTTGTCGATGGTGCGGAGCGCTTTCGACGATGACTCTGGGCCTTCCTCAGTGCAGTCACTGAATGCTACACACCAGCCGAAGAAGCAGAATCAAGGTGGAGATCAAACGTGGTTTGATGAGACGGACCCTACCGACACGAGGGATGTGGATGTGCTGGAACTGTACGCCAACGCGCAGCGCGATGTCGAGGGTCAACGTGCGCCGCAGAGTCCGGTGCGAAAAGACTTTCCACGGCGCTCGCACACAACAGTCTGAGTAGGCTCAATCCTCCAACCACCACCGTCTGCTTCCACCAGCGATGTGTAATCTCGATATTTCGCCGCGACCGCACGCAAACAGGCCCGACGTCGAACACGACGATTGTCCGTGCGTGGAGGATCCATGATCTGCAGATGAGATCTACCCAATCCGAAAGGTTGGCATTGCAAGCTGGGGGCGGAACCGACATGCATCACGGCGTTATGCTTCTCTTTACAGATACCCAGGGTCAGTTCCCATGTACAGCTAGTATATTTATAGTTATATGGTTGATCCTTCAGCATCAATCCTATCTTCTGAAATACATATATTCACCCTCATCCTTCCATTGTTACTTCTAGGTGTGTTTTCGCTAAACCCTTCATGGAACTAGCGGGGTCGCGCGACGCTGCCTGCATGCTTGGGGCTCCCACCTCAACAGACTCACCGGTACCAGCGACCGCAGCTGTGCAGGTGCTTCGCTTCGCCCACAGTCCTGAGCTATCGTCCATGGGCTGCTGTATCGCACATGCTCTATCCCACCGCTATGTCTTCCTCGCTCGCCCATTCACTGAGTGAAAGTGCATCCTGATGCTAGAGATTACACGTACACGCAGTCTCTTGACATTCTTGATAATAAGCTATAATACTTGGTCATTCCGCGAGATGTAAACATAGACGGCAGTGTTACTAGGCATTTATACAAACAAGCTTTAATGTCACATCGCTGCTTTCACCGCGAGCGAACGTTCCCTTTCACTGTCACCCGCTCCCGCTACCCACGGCAACCCACCCAAAATGGCAACGCCAAACGATCAGCCGGACATGAATCTGATTGTAAAGCTCTTGGAAGACATACAACGACACCCGCCGGCCTTTACTGTGAAGACGTTGCTCGCGCAACACTACGTCTCGATTGGGTGGTTTGACGCCGCTGTAGACTACATTGCAGAGCTGAAGCGTGAGGCGCCCGGTGATGCTGAAATGAAACCTTTGGAAGAGTTTGCGCATGCGACAAAAGCGGAGGTATGACACTAAGGTTAGGGTGTGGGGATGGAGAGCTGATGGTATATAGAGTGCCAAAGCAGCAGCAGGCACCAATACGAGCGAAGCCAGAGCAGCCGTCAGAGCACCTGAGAAGTCAATCCCGAAGACGAAAGCGACTGTGAAGCCGACACCACTGAACTGTCAAACGAGAACGGCGTCAATTCTGGCAACAACTCCCGGAAGGACTTAGTCGAGGGCTACCGCGGTCTGCGTCAGAAGGCGAAGGGCATCATCAACGATCTATCACGTCTCCAAGCCCAGCAGAGGCAGATTGGAACACCGATATCAGGACTTTCTGCGAGAATCCAAGCCATCTTGGTGGGCCAAGTCTCATCTGGAATCGTGACTGTCCGGCCGGCGGCCAATCCTCAGCTCGTGGTGCGCGCGATCCAGGGCAATCCTGAAAAGGGTATGGATATTGTAATCGCTGATCTTCAGGATGATATATACTACCAGAGGGGTACGTCCATTGCATGCCCGGTCCTCCTTTCTTTTCTGGTCGTCCACTGCGGACCAAAAGGGACTGACACAATATACAGTACAGTTGCAAAATCCGAATGATGACTATATCCGCGATATACTATTCAAGCGCAAAATTGGAGTAGAAAAGGCAATGCCAGTCATGCTGAGAATCCACTGAGAGCTTGGCTATTTATGCATGCCGAGCATGAGAACCTCAGGCGCCGGTACGCCAACGACACCACAATGTCGCTTGAGGAGCCAATTAGCGGGATCCCTCGAGAAGACTTAACGTCACCGAGACTAATTACGCGTGGGATCTATCCGAGCCTGTACAAGCGATCACGGCGAACGGCGGCGTGATGCGTAATCCGTTGGGCAGAGACATGTTCACGCCGAAGGATGGGCGCCGTATATTGATGAGCCCGCATGGGAAGCCGCTGGATCAAATACAGGCCAGACAACCTGAATATTCGCAGGGCGTGAGTCCGGAGACAATTCAACGATTAGAGGAATTGGCAGACGTAATGCTAGGCGAAGAGGAGAGAGATCAGATGACGAGTCGTAGGGAGATAGGCGATTTCCAGGCTTATTTCACTACTTGTAAGTCTTTTTACTATGTCTCGTACTGATGAGCTAATCATTGGACAGTACTAGACCGCAAGCAGAAGACTGTAGAGGCGTTCAGATGCCCCGCTTATGACACGCACACCGGCGACGCTAAAGCTACTGAGCTGTGCATTCACAAAGCTGGGAAATTCACCACGCAGGTTGCGGCCCACTTGATGAAGAAATGGGGAGAGCTGGGGCCGCCTAAAGGCTGTGTGGTTATATGAACACATGAGGGAATTGGAATTCAGAGCGGCATGAAGAGGACAGCTGGAAAGGTTCCTGTCTCGGTGATCTGAGACTTCTGCTTCAAGACGATGCGAGAGTCTTACTGAAAGATACAATGCAGAGCTACGCCGGGTCCTATTCAACTCCTTAGTGGAGAGCACTGACTAATTGAGGGTTCTAGCCTCGTTCATCTGATACTCCTGGTCCATACAATGTGTTTCCATGAAACACTAATTTGAAGAATAGGCACAAGTTTAGTATATGGTAAGACTTCACTGCAAAATGCCGAGATTCGCCCATTCACCTTCACACTCGTGGGGAAGGTGAACAGTGCTCGCCTAACAAACACAGATCCCACAATTTGACATCTCTACCATATCTCCTTAAAGCACCCACCCCGAACCAATCAGCAAACCCTCACTTAACACCACGATTTTAACATCGTACCAACCTCGTCAACTCCGTCCAAGCAGCCATGTTGCTCCTCCAACTAATCACGCCCCTACTACTCCTCACCGCTTCCGTCGCCGCTCGGGGGCCACACACCCGCAAAAAGACCCCATGGGGCGCCGACACCCTCTCCTCCCTCTACTCACGCACATCAACGCCGACCACTAGCGCGACCAGCGCTCCCCCGACGGTCGTGTACCCCGCGCCCACGACCCTACTCGACAATCGGAAGTACAAGCGTACACTTGCAAAGTCTCGGACCGTCGAGTCACCCACGACTCCCCCGCCACCGCTGCCCCCCGTTCGCACGGGTGCGCCCCCGACTATCGAGAACGGAGAGGACGAGGAACTGCATGTGAATCGGCCTGAAGTCGAGCCCAAGGTTGAGCAACACGGTCCATCGACGCCCCAAGCTCAATCCGCCACGCCCACGCCATCTATACAGCTAGAGACTACGATCATGGTCTACCGCGAGACGCGCTCAGCTTCCAAGACGCCGGCTCCACCTCCGGAAAGCGTCGACCGAAAGCAAGCTTCCGATGACTGGTATTTGGAGAAGCTAAAGCGGCTTTCATGTTGGCTCTCGAGAAATTGCGACCCTTCAGTGCAGTCTTATTCTACCACCTCCCTCACGCCGCCCACCGAAAACGCTCAGCCTCGGGATTTTATCACCTCTTTCACACCACTCACCGAAGCCGCAACTTCCAATGTCCCGCGCCCCTCCGAGAAGCCAAAGGTGAAGCCAGAAGCGCTCCGTGCTTCTGGCAAGGACAAGCCAATCCTGGATCGTACGCTGTGCAAGCCGTGCATTGACATTATGCGGCGCTGCATGGTCGAGCGCGTGCAGGCTGGCGGGGCCATGGATGACGCGACCTATAGAAAGTGCATGCGTCAGCTATGCTTCTTTGATGAGCGGTGGCCTGCTAGGTGTAAGGCGGGTGGGAGATGTGGGGATTCGTTCGATTGTCCGAAGAGTGAGGTGCTGCTCAGAGATTGGGATGAGGATGGTTTTTATAGATGAGAGGTAGACATGGGGACGGGCGAGTGCGAGGTCATGATTTGGAAGGTATAAGGCTTTCGTGATGGGAGCAAGAGCTTTGTGGATAAATTGATGTAAAGAATGCCATCACTGGAAAATGTATTCATGGAAGACGTGGCACTGCCTTGTAGCAATATGGCTTGTGTGATTGACTTTTCTTTAACTTGCACTAGAATACCTATAATCTCGTAGCATCTTGGTAGCTCTCCGTCCCTGTTTCAAATGCCGACACAAGAGAGAGTTTCTATAAAGAGTTCCAGTTGCCGAAAGGATCCCCGTCAAATCAGGAACTCCATCGCCAAACGGGGAAGCGTCCGAAGCATCAGCCACGCTCTATCACGAGCAACCACTACCGCTGCACGATATGTACCGCGTCCAGAGCCGTATCTTCCCCACTGATATGCTCTAACCCCACCCTATCCCGTCCCCTCTTGTCCAACTCCGTATCGCGGTAAATTCCCCGCTGAATCCCGTAGCCATCTGCATCATATCCACAAAGCGGCTCACCATGAGACGGATACAATGCAGAAAAACTTTCACTTGATTGTCACAGTCCAGACCACTCTACAGGCGGTTTTCAAGGATGCTGGCAAAGACATAGTAAGAGATTTCATTCGCGCAAGAACTGGTATCGTAAAAATCTATGCACGACAATTTTGGAAAGCGAAATCCGCTTTGGGCGCACACCACATCAGCCAAGCAACAACCCACCCATACCCTGCAACTCGTTCAAAGGCTGCAAGAACCGAAGCGTTCATCCACCACAACTTGCTCTTCCGGTACTGCTTCCAGTTGTACTGGACCAAACCCTCGAGCACAAATGATAAAGGTTGTATGCACCAGAAGACCATCGTGCCCCTGCCCCACGCACACTTCCCGCCGTACAACCATGTGACTGTTGCGTGCATGATAGCCGAGAGCACGAAAACAAGGCAATTGTTTAGTATCCTGGAGAACGATGTGCCCTGCGGAATGCGAAGTGCCTTGGTAAACGTCGATGCGTGGAAGTTGAACGACTTGTATACGAGGCGATGCCAGAAGTTGGCCCAGAAACGTCGCATGGTGTAGGCCTCGGACACTGGGCCAAATAGCGGCGGCCACTCCCACGGTTGGTCGATGCCAGTCGCGATGAAGATGATGGCCAAGAGGTCGTGGAAGGCAGATAGAGATAGAACGTCAGGAATAAACTTGTTGGCGGCTAACAAGAGGCGGATCTGGAGTTCTCGGACCGTGACAGGCGATGTGACTAGCCCTTCTGGTTGTGACTGCAGGAATAGACGTCGCAGGATCCCTTCTTTCTCTGGACTTAAGTCTGAGCGAACGAAACCGCCGATCGTCGCCGACACCCTGTACTCAAAGTAGAGCTTCATGGCGACATAGTTGATCAGCAAGTACACGCAATGAATCAGCACAGCTGACCATTTGCTCCTAGTCGCGAGAGCGTGACGTGATGCCGGGGCTTCGACTGGTTTGTCTTTGTAAGTCTCGCTCGAAGGTTTGGCAAAAACGATAGTGCTCTTCTGTTCGGGCCACAGATAGGGGTTCTCCCAAGCCAGCCCGATGCCTCTGGCATTGTAAGCGCGTTTCCAACCTGCTCTCCATGAGGTATCGAGCTCTTTGGTCTTGTCTTTGGTCACCTGTGTCCACTTGTCAGCCTCACTAAACACCCACAGAGACCCGATACTCAACGTACGCTCACCCTGCTTCCCGGCATGAAGCATAAAGCTACCATGTAAGAGAAGAGAATAATCACAAACCGAGAGTAAGTGTCATTAAAGTACTTATTTGGTGAGAGGTTCGGCGATGTGTACAATGCACCGCTTGCCGGGGCCAAAAGTACTATGAATCCAGTCCATTTGCCAAGGTCGGGGACACAGCCCACGGCGAGACAAGTGGCACAAAATGAAAAAGCCCATGCAATATGCTGTGCTGCTAAAGCTAATGTCCACTCATCCTGGAGTGCCATGTCGAAAAAGGGTCAAGAATTGAAAAAATAAATAATGTAAATAGACTGTGGAGAAATCAAGTTCAGTTGTAAAGAGTGTCAAGAATCGGAAATCGATGTGCAAAGAGTCTTGAGAAGTGAATATCAATGATTGTAAAAGAGTGTCGTAGAATCAGAAACCAGCCGTAAAGATCTGACGGAAGATAATGGTGAAGGAAGGTAGTTGCTCATCGCAGCGAAGTTCAGCTTCGTGGAGCATATAACCTCTTCAACGGACATTTCTTCTGGCTTGTTTTGCGCATGACCTATGCAGCAGCCTGGTCATTGCTGTAAAGACGACGGAAATTCGATACATCGTGCCGTTCATGTCGGACGTTAGTTGAGTGCGAGTTCATACTGGCCTCCATGTTCTACACCAAGATGCGTCGGACTTGAGTCTCGTAAAATGTGAGAGGAAGGAAAGTTTCGGTACCATAAGGCCTGGGCAGCCTGATCGGAGAGTGGGCGTCGCGTAGACATGTAGGGTTCACCTATGTTCGGACCTGTAATGCTCTTGGTATGGCGTTGCCCCGACCATCTCATTCGTGCCGACGTAGGCGAGGTTGGTCATACGGGGCGCAGCTGGGGGCGCCAAGGAGTGAGATTAGCTAATTCAGCCTTGGGGATCGGACTTTTGGACTTAGCGCGTTCGCTAGGCATGTTTCAAGCCAATTACAGTGATGACTCGGGCGATACAACATCTGCAGCTTGCCCTTGTCGAGTTAGCGAAATGCTTGTATCCCCATGCACAGACTGGTTAGTGCGTTTCAAGGAATGCAGCCCTACGGAAGTGTTCAAAGCGGTGACATCTCTCGCGCGACTGTATCTTGGAGTTCTCATGCTACTGTCTGAAGCCATCGGAGTATCGCTTCGGACGCTGTGCCATCTCCCTGTTCAGGTATCGTGCGCGAGTAGGCGGAGTAGCCAACACCGAAATTTCCATTGTAGAGGTGCTTGGAGGGACAATATAAAGCTTCTTGGATTCTCCTCCCCAAGATCATCATCACACTCACTACCATTCCAATCAACTACTCTTCACTTTACTTCACTTCACTTCACAGTCACTCTTTCTGCCCGGTCGCAGCTTCCTTCTAATCAACGCTCAAACTTCTCCCATCAGCAACCAACCAACCGACTCAATCAAAATGAAGTTCTTCGCTATCATCGCCATTGCTTTCGCTTCCGTTGCCGTTGCCTGCAAGGACGACAACATCTTCTGCGCTCCTGGCATGGGTGCTTGCAACGCCCCTGACGCCAACTGCGCTAAGAAGCGCTCTCCCTTCACCGTCGCCCGCGCTATCCTCCACGCGGACGCTGAGGCCCAGATCAACGCCGACACCGAGTAAGCGATCACGCGAACAGTATGGCTTCTCCAACATCCACATACGACTCCGCTGACACCAATGCAGCTATAGACAACATTAGATGGACAGTATTGCATTGGAGGAGTTGGAAGTTGGTGGCATTTTGGGGGTATTTGAGTAAATTCGCATTCAGTCATTACCGAGATAGATTTTAAATTGATTGGATTGAGTAGAATATCCCTCTCATCGTTGCAGTGAAATATGCGCTTTGGTCCGATGGTTGGTCTGGTATATTAAGCTTGAACGTGGACGGGAGCCTGCTTTGTAGACTACGCAAAACAGAAGCAGTGTAAGCACAAAAACGCAGACATCAGTGGCTCCGCCTCAGCTGGCCTCTTAGATAAATTTCGCAAAGGGGCAACACCCTCGAAGATCCATGGGAATCAGAATGCAGATGAGCTGCGCGGCATAGGTACATGGCTGCTAAGTCTGGCGAGGCATCATCGTTTCGACAGATACTGTGAAAGTCATTATGGCACAATAGGTACTATCTCATTCGTGTGGATGACCATGGGGAAATGGGCACGTTGATCTGGAAGCGAGGGCTGCCAACAACGCCAGCGCACCATGAACACTACACAGTCTCTCTCAACAACTGTGGTCGAAATCATAGTCAAGGAAGATGCAATTGCGTCTCCGTAAAAGCAATCCCGCTCACACTCACACGGGCAAGCATCAATTGCACGGCGTATCTCAGGAATACGAAGTGAGTTGCTACACCATCTCTAACACAGTTCGGAACGGTCTCCATTACCTTGTACCCAACGTACCAAACGACAACACGTCACAATGAATCTACCCTCCTCCTTGCTCATCTTACTCTTGAGCACGACCGCACTCGCCTAGAGCTGGAAGACCTACGCCCCCTGGAAGGTCAGCAAGTCCAACACATGCAGCACCGGCGCCCTCGCAGCCTTCATACCCCCAAACGTTCCCCGTCCCGCTGCAACTTCCCACCACTAACTCCTGCAGCCCGTCTGCGTCGCCCCGCCAAGATTTACCGGTCTCGTCGCTCGCAACCGCTTCGAAGGAGACTACGAGCGCTGCGCCAGATACTTCAACAAGAATCACAGCCTTGTGGCCAAGGCGTGCCGCAAGCGATTCAAGAAGGTGACGAAGAAGGGCAAGATTCCAAAGAGGTATGATGACTGCGCGCGCAAGGAGAAGAAGAAAAAGTGTGGGAAGAAGGCCGACAAGACGCACCCGGGTGATGCGTATTCGCATAGTGGAAAGGGGCAGAAAAACATTTCAAAGGAGCTCCCGGTTCTCATGTAGGCGTGATATCGATCGTGGCTCAAGGTCTTCTTGTCGGAGGTGTGATGGGGTACGCTTGGGGTCGGGCCATGCTCTAGGTGGGATGTTTAGAAGAACCAATGTGCCACACCCTATCGTGTATTGTGGAACACCTCGATCTTGTAGAGTTAGCCTCTGGCTTTGATTATTTGGGTTTTGTTTACTTTTGGGAGAGGAGATGTGGTAAAGACTCCGGTGGTATTTTTGAAAGATTTTTGCCAACATGAAGTCTCGTCAAGAAATAACTTGATTCCACAGACCGAGTCAAACTTGCTTTCCCGCAAGGGTGTCGGGTATTCGAACCCGGCGAACACTTTACTGAGGTTTGTTGGTGTTGAATGGCGAGACTGAGAGCTGTGACCTACGAGAACGGCACTGCGTCTCCCATCCCACCAACCAGCCACACCATTTGGCTCGGACGAAAGTGCCCCACAACCATGTCAGGACACGAAGATGTATCGTCCCTTCAACAGAAACCAGTCCCATTCTTTAACCTGTGCATCGCTGCTCCCGTTAATATCCACACTAAAGTCCATTGTACAGTACCTAAATACCTTCGAGATAAACCTGTTATGCCCATTACCCTAGTCCTCCACCTCCTAGCGGTATCTGCCGCCTGTTCGTCGATCGCTCCTTCCTCAACTCTCGGCGCAACTGCTACCCCACTAGCAATTTACTGTTTCAGCGTGCCGTGGAAGTGGATCTTTACGGCGATTGCAGTATACTGGTACAGCGTGCCCTCGAAGGTGATCTTTGCGTGGCTTTTGGTGTGTTGTTTCTGATGCGTCCCAAGGAACGCGGCGACGGCCGTGTATTCGCAGAGAGGAACCGCCGAGGCGGTACGAACGACTGAGGAGCACGCAATGTAGAAGAGGAAGGAGAAAGACGAGAGGAAGAGGCAGTAACAGGATAAGGACAAGAAGGGAAGAACACGGAGAACGCAGACCAATAATGCCGAACAGAGGAGGAGCTAGATTGACAACGCAATATGATACATCTATCTTCCAGAACGCCGCCCATGCTGAAAGTCAAAGGGTATACAAGTCCTATACAGCTGCTGAATACGCGTGCAATGCGATGTTTAACCCGTGCTTCCGATTTCCTTCTTTACCCAGCTCTCCAGACCACCAAGCGCGATAATCTCCTGGACGTTAGGCGGCAGCTCGCCAACCTTGACGCTCCACTTCTTACCGTCAGGTCCTTCCTGCACGTTGACGGTGCTCCTGCGCACGTCCCACTCGAGCGTCCAGCCCGTCCGCCTGGTCAGCTGCTTAGACTGCGAGGGCTGCGCCTGGGCCGCTGGTGGCGGTGAGTCGAGCGACTCACGGTTCTGCGAGGGCTCCTGCATATTCTGCTGTGAGCCAGCTGGTGCCGAAGAAGAGAAGACCTCGCGGAGGCGGTTGGCTAGCTTGGGTACCTCGACGCCCATGAGCGCATTGTTGATGCTGTTCCTGCTAAAGATGTTGCCAAAGCTACCTGCGACAACGAGCGGAATGCCCTTCGCGAGGATGGCGGTTGCGGCTTGCTCGCGACTGCTGCCACACCCGAAGTTGAAGCCCGAGACCAGTATATCTCCTGCTTTTGCGATGTTGCCGAATGTAGGATCGTAGTTCTCCATGCAAACTTCCGCCATCTTCTCGCGGGTAACGTCGTCTTGGTATGTGTATTTGCCCGGGTATATGCCATCGGTGTTGATGTTGTCGGCGTCACAGAAGACGATCTCGCCACCAATCTTCTCGGGGAAGCCAGGCAGGATGTCGGTGAGAGTCTCTGCCTCAGATCCCGCGTCCGGAGGGTTGACGGATTGGGTCTCGACAGCGGCGCTTTCGGCTGATTCGATCTGCTCCTCCGCCTGCTTGATAGCCCTCTCGAGCATGTCCTCAATCGTCATCATACGCTCCTCCTCCACAATGCCATCACCCTCGCCGCGGCGCACACCCGCGTAGTTGGCGGGCTCTTCGTACCAACCTGGTCCAGAGATCTTGCCAGCCAAAGCACTTGCCGCAACGACTTCAGGACTGGCGAGGTAAGCCTTGGCATCCGGTGAGCCCATTCGGCCCTTGAAGTTACGGTTGCTGGCACTGATGCCAACTTCGCCCGGCTCAAGCAAACCAGTACCGAGACCGATGCAGGGTCCGCAGCCTGCGGGTAGAGCCTGGGCACCCGCATCGAGGAGAGCCTGCCAATCGCCCAGCTCTTCGGAGGCCTTTTGCTCCGGAATGGACGCGGCAGCAATGTAGAAGTTGACATGATCTGGAAGCTTAGGAATCTTGCCGCCATTGGCAGCAGCCGCCTCCTTGAAAACCCTGGCGGCCGCGTGCAGGTCGGATGCCCGCGAGTTGGTGCAGGAGACAAGGTACGCCTTGTTGACCTTGATATCCTGAGCCTGCAGTTCGGCGAGCGGGGTTGCGACCTTGACAGAGTTGGGTCCAGACACATAGGGAGAGAGCGTGGACAAGTCGAGGAAGAGCTCCTTGGCGTACACTGCTCCCTTGTCCGCAGCCAAGGCGGGCTTGAAGATTTCGCCAGCTTCCTTCCCGACGATACCGGTCGAGGTGAACAGTTTGTCAATACGTTCGTGTTGGAACTGCTCCTGGTGGTGGTCTTTGTATTCACTTTGGGCTCCGAACATGGCGGCATCTGTAGCACGCGCTCGTAGCCAACTGTGAAGAACCGAGTCAATGGGGAACAGTCCCGTGAGTGCACCCCACTCAGTCGTCATGTTTGCGATCGTGAGACGTTCGTCCACAGGAATAGTTCGCAGAGTCTCGTCGCTACCGGTGAACTCGATAGCGTGGTTCAGTACCTCGTCCTTGTTGAAGAGCCCAGCGAGGGCAACGATGACATCCTTGCCCGTCACGCCGTCCGGCAATGCGCCCGTAAGATTGACCTTGGCGACCGGAGGAACCTGCCACCACGTCTTTCCGGTTGCCCAAATGCTTGCAGCGTCGGTGCGCACGACCGGTGTCCCCAAGCACCCAATGCCTCCGTACATGTTGGAATGGCTGTCGGAAGCCACGGCGACGGTGCCTGGCCACGCGTAGCCCTCTTCGACCATGATCTGGTGGCCGATGCCGCGTCCGGCCGGGTAGAAAACGACATCCTGCTTCTTCGCGAACTCCTCGATTTGGTTGTACTTCTTTAGGTTCTTCTCTGTCTTGTTCTGGACGTCGTGGTCGAGCGTCATGACGATCTGCTTCTGGTCATGGATCTTGGTTGCACCAATGGACATGAACTTCAGCGCCACCGGCCACGAATTGTCGTGGGTCATGCATTTGTGCGGCTGCAGCGTGACATAGTCGCCGGATCTGATCGTTTTGCCCTCTGCCACGCCAACAGCATATCGTTGGACGATCTTCTCTGTGAGCGTCTGCGGTACCTTGGCCTTCTGCTGGAAGGTAGAGAGGTAGCTGGCGGCGGGTCCCTCCTTCAGAGAGGGAAACACGTCCGGGGATGAGTCGTATAGCCGTCTTGCGGAGCAGAAGGTGCGCTGAGCGGCAACAGGACGCGGAGGTTGCGATGTGACTCGGAGAGGAAGGCGCGCCCGGGACTGTACACAATGTCAGCGGGCGAACAGCGCGCAACGGGCGCACCAAAACATACCAGAGCTTGGGTCCGGCACAGCGACCGCGCTGCTCTCATAGACATGGCCATTGCGACGTATATGGCAACCGACGGCGGCGTCGTGGTGGTGATGCTTGCTCCAGCTTCCCCAAAATTTCTGGCTTGGCAACCTCGGGCCGATCTCGCTCCAGTCATCTGCTCTTCTCACGCTGCCATTGGATCAGCCTGCGCGCGCTCAATTGCTTCACATAATACAATCATATGCAGTGTCCTCCCACGCAATTGACGTGGACCGCGTGGGACGCGCATTTCTTGGAGAATTGTCTGCAGCGCATTCCATTTGCCGGAAGCGGCACCGGCGCGGGCTCGATGCACTCCCGCGCAATTCATCATATGCTATGACTCTACCAGCTGGGTGACTCCGCTGAACTAACAACATTTGAACCGGCGAATTTCGCGCCTCCGTGTCTTCTTCTACTAATCATTCGACTGCGACCGAACAGCCAGCAACCCTTCCTTCGCCATGGTCAACCGCTCAGACGTGAACTACTTTGGTGCGGGGCCTGCGCCCCTCCCCACCGTCGTGCTTGAGAAGGCGTCCCAGGTGCTCCTGAACTACAGGGAAAAAGGCATTGGCCTCTGCGAGATCTCCCATCGGTCGCCCGAAGCGAACGAGATACTGGCCGAGGCGAAGCAGGCTCTCTCGACGCTGCTCGAAATTCCCGACGACTACGACATCCTCTTCCTGCAGAGCGGTGGCAGCGGCGAGTTCAGCGCGACCGTGTACAACCTCGTTGCGATATGGGTAGAGAAGAAGCGCGTAAAGATTGCCGCAGAGGTTGGCGACGACCAGGAAGAGGTGCTCAAGCGGCTGCGAAAAGTCGTTGACGAGGAGCTGAAGCTCGACTACCTTGTGACCGGCTCGTGGTCGCTCAAGGCGTCGCAAGAAGCTGCACGTCTGATCGGCGCGCAACACGTCAACGTCGCTACAGATGCGCGCAAGGCCAACGGCGGCAAGTTTGGCGTGATCCCGCCCGAAGACCAGTGGAGCCTCACGCCTCGCACGTCGGGTGGTGGAGCGGCTCTAGCCTACTTCTGCGACAACGAGACCGTCGATGGCGTCGAGTTCCCCGCCTTTCCGAAGAGCCTCGAAGGCGATGATGCTCCTCTTGTCTGCGCAGACATGTCCTCCAATTTCATCTCGCGGAAGGTCGACGTGCGAAAGTATGCCGTTATTTTCGGCGGCGCCCAGAAGAACATTGGCAACACGGGGATTGCCATCGTAATCATACGCAAGTCCCTGCTCCCGCCTCACTCCACACCGGCCTCGCCCGATCTGTTGAGACAGCTAAACCTCTCTGTGGGCCCCATTGTGCTTGACTATCCTACTATTGCCAAGAACAACTCGCTCTATAACACGCTGCCCATCTTCGATGTGTGGGTTGCTGGCCAAGTTATGAATGGCCTTGTCAACACATACGGCACGAAGCGAATCGGTGGTCAACAAGAGATATCAGATGAGAAGGCCAGTCTGATCTATGATACTCTTGACAAATACTCGGATATCTACCGGGTAGTCCCGGACAAGACGGTCCGCAGCAGGATGAACATCTGCTTCAGGGTCCACGGTGGAGACGCTGACAAGGAGAAGGCATTCCTTGCGGGTGCTGAGAAGCAGGGTCTGCTAGGCCTCAAGGGCCACCGCAGCGTGGGTGGCATTCGCGCAAGCAATTGTAAGTGAAGCTATATTTCCCCATTCGTTGCCACTTCAACTTCGGCCTGCAATTCCTAGAGCAAGTACAGGTACTCGTCTATGCTATGTACGCGCATGGACGGAAAGGTCAAAGTACCAGTCAGCCTGGCAAAGGTTCCAGATCCTTTGCGTCGATCTTAAGATTGCCCGGGACGATCCCCTTATGTCATCCAAGCATCATCTTTTGCAAGCAAAACCAAGGCAGCTCTGGCTAACCATTTGTGCATTGCAGACAATGCTGTGTCGCTGGAGGGGGTGAGGAAGCTAGTGGCATACCTTGAGGATTTTACGAAATCATGAGGGCAGGGCACCTGCACACGAGGCTGTAACGGCATATTGCAGCTTTTGTAGTGGACCAGAATATGCACCCAGCCACCCAGAATTACGCTGCTATGGCACGCACATCTTGGCCAGCGTCGTTCAACATGATGCTTTCCGTTAGCAGAGAGAGGTAGAAATCTATTCCGTGCTGATCTCCACCAACCTTACAACATGCCCACCCTCCACTACTACCTTCATCTAATTCTGCCAATATGCGCAGCCGTTATCAAATGCATAATCGGTTGTTTGTGATGAGGCACGTAGGACAGAGCTTGCGCCACGGTCGTTGGCAGCCCTGATGTTCTGGAAGAATTCCACGTGTGGCGGCCCTGATGCGTGAAGACTGGTCGGACTGCGGTGCCGTCTGTCCCAAAGATTCCTTCGTGAGACGTGGGACGAATCAAGCTTTTTTCTTGGTGCCGGCCACCCGCTGAACTCAAAGGCTACCGCAGCCCGTGTTCCGGCTTAGAGAGCATCTTATGACCCACCATGACCTTGCGAGGCTGCTGCAGCGACAGCGGTACGGAGGTGGCTTTTGAGGTTTGTTATCTTTGGAGCATTGTCGCCCTAGGCCATTCACAAACGCGTGATGTGATGTGCTCAGGATAGATGCGCACAGCAGCCCCTTGGCACCCCTACGAACATTGCGACGTGACTTGACTGGGGCACGGTCAGCTTGCAAGCTCCTGCTGCTCTTATCACCTTTCGAGGTTTCTGTACTTGAGTCGTTGAGGGCGCCTGCAAACCTGGGGAAGATCACGCTAGCGCGCGTGCTTCATCGACTCTAGCTCAGCAAATGCACCAACCGGGACATTTCGCGTGCGGTTCTGTGCCCAATACAGGCCATAGCTACCGTCTGCTTTCTCATGCATCCCCGGCGTGAGGGTCTCCGTGAGGAAGCGCCGCATTGACAGGGTGTTTCGCATACCCCGGAAGCGAGAGGCTGACACACACCTAAATCCAACAACGTCACAACCACACCCCAAGCTCTCCTACCTCACCACAGCCGGCCAGCGGTCGCCTCGCACAATCGATGGTTTCTCAAAGCGCCGGATCAAGCTACCAAGGCTCTAAATATGGAGCTACAGGTGGAAACGAAACGATGAAGATGCGAAGAAGCGCTGAGGTATGACGGAGCGCTACCTAGACAATCAATCGATGGCACCGTAGAGGAGATAGATGTGTAGATGCACCGGGCCGACAGCTCTCCGCGTATGTACGGCTCCTGGGCTTGGATGGCGCATCCTCGAGCACAGCCAATCTCCACAGCCCGTGTTCTGTGGCGGCGTGAAGGGCATCCAGAGCAACGGCCCACGAACGGGTCTTGCTGCACCCGCCTAGGCACCCTGGCGCACGCGGGCTGCATGATGTTGAAACCCCCCTCAAGTTAGCGTGCGTCGTTACAACCTCTCGTAAGGCCCGATTGGGAGGGCGCCAATGCTCCCATACCACACAGCGGAATGACAGACGCCTCAGGACCGCTGTCTCGAAACCCCGCGCTACTGGTCCGAGTCCAGGTTTCCACAAATACTGTTTGACGTCTCATCACTCACTCCTGGCTCCACGCTTTCATGCCTACGCTCTTTACCTTTCCTTTCTCACTGCTGGCAGGTTCAGGCACGACTTACGACTGGAGCTGAACAGGTTACGATCTCTTGTTCGGCAGCAGTCGTTTCTGCCTCCATGAATACGTGAATTTCACCTTCCCTTCAGCCGCTGCTGGTTACCAGCGAGACAAACAACGTTCTTGTATATTTCTCTGCGAGGAGCTGGAAAAATGGAAGGATGGGGCCTCCGACATCCGCACCTCGACGTGCGGTCGCACTTCAACATGACCCTCAACACCTCGGCTGTCCGTGAGAACCCGTGGACGAGCCAGAACGAAACCCGGACGTTGATTGGGAGCCTCAAGCTTGCTCAGGTCCAGACGCTGCGCACGATGCATCTGACATTGGGCGCCTTCAGTCTAGGGTTGGCACTGTTGACGGTCCACCGGATTATTTCGGATGCGAAGAGAGCAGCCGCGCTGAAGGCGCCCTTGAAGAAAGTGTGAGTGGCGGCGTACAGACTTGCACACATCCAAAACTGACGGTTGCCAGACGATTCGCCGCGCTCCGGAACGTTCATCCCGCAGAGACATTCCCACTCGTACTGGCTACTGGTGCGGTTATACAACAAGTTATATTTGTAGCAGTGCAGAGCACTTCTCTCAGTAGTGTTTTATCTAACCAATGCCGAGGACTGGCCATGATCACCCTTCCCGGTGCGTACAACCAATTGTTCGTATGCTTGCTCGACTGATTCGTATAGCGATCTTCCTCTTGGGTATTATAACTCTAGTTTTCGGTATCGATATGGCGATGCGAGCTCTCAAAGCGGAACGATTCGCGCCAAAGGGAAAATGGACGACAATAATCTGTATCGGATTCATCTGTTTCCTGACGCTGATGATGTGGATGCCCACGGTTGTCTGGCCCATGTACAACCGATGCTTTGCGAGCCTGATCTGGTTCCCGATGCGTTACGAGCTTCTCATGATGGTCGTTCTCGTCATCCTCATCGGCATGTTCCTAATACTGGCGGCTATCATTAGCATCCAGTTGATGCGCACTACCAAGGTCGATCCAAACCAGCGAATTGCAGCTTCGCGAATGTGCTATTACCTGATCATGTCCGCTTTACTATACGTACGTTAAAGCCCAGGATGGATCGAGACGCTAACTAACCGGTTCTACAGACACTCGTACTACCTGTCGAAGTGCAAGCTCACCGAAAGGACTTCAACAGCACATATGCTACGTCAAGGATCGCCGAGGTCGCTCTGTTCTGTTCCGGCATTGTCATCGCTTTCGTACATCTGTTCCTTCGTGTCAACGCTACGCGCCTTGTCATCAAACCTATGAGCGAGATGCACGCCAACGCAAAACAGAAACGCCCGAAGCTTCGATTGTTCGGTCCCAGCGATCTCGAGATGAACATCAGTGGCCCACTGTCGCTGCAAGGCGGCCGTCGCCCGGAAAGCAGACAAGGCCTCATAGATGTTGGCCCGGAGAAGAACAGATTCGACTTCGAGCCAGGCTACTTCGACCGTCCGCAACGCCCGCTTACTCCGGCTTCCGCTCGATCCCAAGGCCCTATCGATCCCACCAAGTGGCCGCTTCCGCCGGACCCCGTGCAGACGGGATTCTTCGCGGAGCAAAAGGACGGCAGCAATGGCCTGCATAGGCGCAACAAGTCTAATTACTCGCTTTTCCCAACACGGGCTGAAGACGTTCCCCGTTTGCCTGCGACTGTCTACAGCCCAGACAAACTTGCTGCACCTCAGAGCCGATTCTCTCAGCTCGCGATGCGCCGGCAATCACGTAAGGGCTCTATCAGTGACGCTAAGTCTATCACCGATGTGGGAGAAGCTTTCAGCTTCCTCGTGAAGCCGCCACCTCTATTCTCGGGACGTCACAACCGCAACCAGAGTACCGACAGCAGTGCAACAGTGCAGATTGGCCTCCGCTTCTCACTTGCACCAGCAATACTAGGCGCAGCGACCTACGGCCAGGACCCACCACCTGTTCCCCCTCTACGGCGCGACGAGAGCCAGACCAGCGTAGAGACTCTTGGGCTTCCCATTCAAAACCCTTCGACCAACACTACACCCTCCGATTTGGAAGGCGAGACCCTACAAGCAGTCGCCTTTCCTTGCCCTCTAAAACCCCAGGGTGCCACCCTCGGCTCACCCGCCAAGCACAGTCCTGGCAAGACTGCTGCTTTCCCCATTCTCTCTCCCGCCACCTACCTCCAAGATCAACGCGAGAAGATCCTCCCTCCAACCCCTCGCTCCGCTATACCCGGACCACCGCCTGCCCTTCAGCCTCCCGCACCTCTGCGAACTGCCCCCGGTCTCAGCGGCCTGAGGATGAACCCCATCTCCCCGTCTTCGACTCTCTCCCCCACATCGCCCGCCACGCCGAGCATACACGCGAGCCGCTCGAATTCGCTGAAATCGAGCACGAGCCCATCGCCGACAGCACGCATTCCCCTCGGCGCGGGAACCATGGCGCGCAGTCCGCCAGCAAACGGCTGGATCTGAACGCCCCTCTTCTTTCGCACCAGTGAGTTTCGATAGACCGGCCGGCTTGAGCCGTTGTACTACTAGTTCGTTTGGGTTTCTTTTCGCGCGCGTCTGGGCAGCACAGGCAGTGCCAGGCGCAGACTTGGCACATGAAGCCAGTCCTGCGGCGTTCGCGGTTTCGTCTTTTACGCTTCTTGTTGCAAGACCCCTGACCACATGCACCTCACCCCACCCCACCGCCACTGCACACATCACACACGCGCACACTCTTGAATGCAATTGCCTCCCCCCGCATGTCGCCGCTTGAAGATTTTCATGCCTCACGCGATCGCTCCCGCTTCCCTTACCTTTTTACTTCCTTCCCATCGATTCTTTTACCATCTCGCTTGCGCTGTTGCGAACTTGGCTTTTTCTCTTAATATCAGACGAGGCGATGGAGCCTGGTGCGGAGTGGCTCGTTGTGCAGGAGAGTAGGACGTGTGAGCGGTGCCCCGAAGTTGGGGATTGTATGTACTATGACGCACAAGGTGCGCTTCCCGTCACTTGTCTGGAGAGGAATGAACAGAGTAACATAACGCGTGCCTTTTCTGCTTGACTTCGTGATACCGTCGATGCACACATCCCGCCGACGAATCCCTGTTCGTTTGAAAGTCGCGGTTGCTTGCAAAATCATCACCGCAACCCTCTTCTTGCAGCTTCTTGCCGTCCTGCAAACTCTTGCATGTCTCTGCAACACTCCTTCACGCGCCAGTCCATCCCGTCCCCCACACGCGTCAGCACCCACACGCCCACAGCACAGTCCCTCCTCATGCCTCAGGCCGCATCAGCCACCTGGCTCGCACGTCCCCATCCCGTCCCGGGACCACGCACCTCCGTGCGCAAGTGCTCCTACCGTCCCGTCCCGCGTCTTCAAAAAAGCCCCGAGCCCGCTGGAAGGCCCGTTTGCGAGCCGTGTCCGGTGCATCGCAGCGGCGTTGGGGTGGGGTGCCGGACTTTGCGGGCGCTGGGTTTGACGCGGACGCGTGGCAGCAAGGTATAAAGCGGGGCGTGGAAGGTGATGCGAGGGTGCTGTGAGGGGGAGCTTGTAGAGCGGAGGAAGAGGATGTGCATGTAATGGAAGTTAGAGCCGTGGGCTTATCTGTGCTGCGATAGTGTGCAGGCCGCCGGCGCAGACAGCCTTGAAGAAGTAGCACATGTTCCCGAGCAATATTCGTAGTATGTAGCATCCAGACAGTCTTCAGAGAGCATGCTGCTTTGTAGGTCATGTCATGTACCTATGCTATGGAACCATCGATGCTGACTAGCTACAATGTTCCTGGAAAGTATACTCATCGCTGTGACGAAGGGAGTGTTAAGCAAAGGTCCCATCCGGTTAACTGTATGCATTACTCATACCTCAGTGTTCGAGACAACGCGGGTCAGTATCAAAGTTAATATCTCCTACCTTCCAGGAGATTCGGCTGCCTAGCGAGGTAAGAGTGATCGGTCCGATTTGTGATCTTCAACAAGGAAAGAAATAGACGCGCTACGCACACGAACCTATCAGCACGATGTATGGTTTTCGCCTACAAGAGACTTCGTTGACAGTCTGTGGAAATTGGCACTTGACCACACAAGGACGAGGCGATGTGAACTTTTCTCTACGCATCTTGACTACGCGCATACAGCCCACAGGAGTACGTATCCTGACACTCTTATGCTGGGCAGAATTGATGGATTGGGCAATAGAGGACGTGCGGACTGGGACGATGGTGATCGTGTTGGCTCCGACAACGGGGCAGTGGTTGGCTTGTTTTGCCTTAGGTTTGATTAACAGGAAGAATTCATATTGGGACTTGATAGGGATCGGTGTGAGGTAGCTGTTGATACTAATTTAGGGAGATCTTGTCACGGAGGCTTTGACCAGTGTTTCGACCATACGGTTCCATTATCCCATTGAGCTTTGTGCGGACTGCGTAATTCCCAGTCAAGATCACTGCCTTCTAGCAAGAGCCCAAGCTCATAGCCGTCTCTCCTATGCCATACCATTTCGTAACGGAAGATTCAGGCAAGGCCATCTTTTTTTTTTGTTTCATATTCTTCAAGAGCGGATCTTATTTTTGGAGCGCTGCGCGTCTTCTTCCGTATGTTAACCTCCTTCTAGAATGAGTTTCGGCCCCTTCTTAGACTGATCACACTCCACGTCACTGGTACACTCATCTAGTACCTTTCGGTACATGTCTGCATTGTCTTATATTGATATCAAAAACTCGGTTCTCACCGGCCAGAAATTGAGTACCAGCCGACGAGCCACCCTTTGAGCAGTCGAGTTCGACTAATTCGGAAACAATAGCCAGTCCAGAACTAGACGGGCAAGATGCATGAGTAGAAGTTGGGCACAGCATGCACGGAGCGGAACTGGACACAGGTCTTTGGGCCGAGTTGCTTGGATGCGCTATGGCCCCAACTTCTCGGGAACACGACAGCGGCCATTGAGATGGGAGCTGACTGTGGTGTGTATGAAGTCAGCGCGAGATTAATACATTCGGACGATGTTACGACTTCTCCGACGCTTACACGCGCTGTATCAATGGGATCAAAACACGAAGAGATCTCAACAGCTAAAGAGTGATGACATCAGAAAGACTGTCTCAAGTTGACCAAGGCATATGTATCAGCAACGAATGATAGATATTATTAATGATAGTGGTTTACCCTCTACACTCTTCCCCACCCAACGGGCCTACCATCAATGGGCCTACCATCAATGGGCCTATCCCCGATCGGTCTCTCTCCAATAGGCCGCTCGCCAACCTCGCCTCTGCCCACGACTTTCTTCAACCTATGTCCAACATGCTTGATCATTTCTCCGTTCTTGCCGTGGCGGTGATGCCTGTGGTACTGGTGACTGCCCTTGTGCCAATACCACTCCCAGTCATCGTCATCGTCGTCACCCCACCAGTCATCGTCATCGTCGCACCAACAGTCGTCGTCTTCGTCTGGATCGCATGGCTCCCAGGGATCTTCAGTAGGCGTTGGCGAGGGGGCCTTGCTGGACGTGCGGGAGGGACTGGTTATGAATGTGCTTGGCGTGGCCCGGGATGAAGATGGCGGTGGTGGTTGAGTTGGTCTCGAGGTAGGAGGAGGTGGGGGCGTGGGCCTCGATGTTGGAGGTGAAGGTGGGGAAGGCTTCGATGTTGGAGGCGAGGAAGGTTTAGATGTCGGTGGTAGAGGTGCGGAAGGTTTGGTTGTTGGGGGCAGTGGAGGCGAAGGCTTCGAAGTAGGAGGTGAAGGCTTCGAAGTGGGTGGCGCCGAGGGTGTCGGCCTTGATGTTGTCGGTATAGGAGATGTCGGCACCGGCCATGAGACAGGTGGAATAGATGTTGGTGACGAAGGCACTGAAGGAGTTGTTCTTGAAGAAGAAGAAGAAATTGGCGGAAGAGGCCTTGTGGTTGGGAATGGAGGTATTATTATCGTCGTGTTGAAAACAGGGGGCCAAGGCTTCAGTGTGGTGACGCTGAATGTCGGGACGGGAGGTATTGGCTTTGACGAAGATTGCGGCGGTATAGGTCTTGTCGTGAGAATTGGTGGCACGATATTTGTAGTGTTGAAGGCCGGCGGTGAAGGCCTGGCCGTCGGGACACTAAGTGTCGGTAGACTCCATGTCGGAAGGGTAAAGGATGGTGTGATGACAGATCCGGAAGACACAGAAGGCACCGGCCGAGTCGGCGCTATGGGTCCATCGGGCCTCGATGTTGGGAATGGTGTCACAGCAGTCGAGTTGAGGACTGGAGGTGATATGGGCGGAAGCGGCCTCGTTGTCGGAAAAGGTGGCACAACAGTCGAGTTGAGAGCGGGTGGCGAGGGCCCGACTGTGGGAATGCTCAATGAAGGCAAACTCAACGACGGTAGACTCGGAGTGGGAAAACTGGTTGTCGGAAGGGGCCTCGAAGTTGGGAAAGGTGGTGCCAGAGTCGAGTTGAGGATGGGCGATGAGGGCCTTGCCGTTGGAAGAGTGAGCGTAGGGAAGCCAGTTGAGTTGAAGACTGGAGGTGGCGGCGGTGGGCGCAATGTTGGCAATGTCAGTGTCGGTCGCGGCGTAACTGGGAGAGTTGAGTTTGAGATTGGAACTGTGGGAACTCCAATAAAGGTGGTCGGCAGTGGAAGTGACAAGCTCGAAGGTGATATTGGCGAGATCGAAGGGAGTGCTGGCCGCGAGATGTTCACGCTAGGCAGTGGAAGTGTCAATGACGGTAGAGCTGTAGGTAGTGGCAGCGAAGGCAGTGACAACGAGGGCAGCGTCGGGCGCGCAGTCGGAGGGGTGACATTGGGTGGCGGAGGCAGCGAAAGAGTTGGTAACGGGATTGAAAGGCCACTGGATGGCGGGACGCCGAAGCTGAGAGACGCAGAAACAGAAGGGGACGGTAAAGACACCCAAGTCGAAGGGCGAGGGATGCCGGAGGGAAGGCTCCATGTAAGGTTCTGCGCTGCAACGATGCTGGATAAGCCGAGCAACGTGAGAGAAGCATCAAAGAGCATGATGGCTGTTATCTACAACCAACGAAATCACGAGACTTGTACGAACCACACACTTCACCGACGTGCAACCTTACATGGCTTTATACCTTCCATCTTTACCAGTGAGCACTTCATTGCCGATAAGGCGATTCTACTGTTCGCTGTCGGATCCGAACATCGAGCGTGCTTCCGCGGGCCAAGAAGGGGAGAAGATGCTCTCGAACCTATTGCTCTACGGCATGCAGAATATCTTTGCTTAGTTTGGTGCGGGAGAATGCGTATATGAGAGGGTGCAGCGTTCTCGAAGCTTCGAGGGTAGCACGACATCGTACAATGTGCTTTCCGATATGAAGCGTATGTTTGCCATGCTGTTGAATAGGGCAGAATCTGAGGCATGCATCGCCGGTGCTGGATAGGTAGATCCAGCAGTCTAGCCTCAATCCAGCTCCGGAGATCCTATGGCAGGAAGAAATCATTTACCGTTGTAATCCATACGGATTCGAAAAGACTTAGTGAGAGAATGCTTCAGAGGAGGCCCCGGGATGTGGAACAGGATTGGTCTGCTCTACCATTGCGCGAGATGTCACTGCATACCGAGTCTGCGCGGCGCTCGCCACTTACGTAGGAGTGCGTATACGAACCGCGGAGAGTTCTCGAGGTCAATATAAGCTTAGATTCCGGTATCGCTTCCCAGATGGACAATGACGATCCCACCTTGAAGTGGATATCCATTCATCCATGCGCATTAGCCAAGGGAGGTGCTAAGGCCGGTAAAGATTTCCACATATTAAGGTACACCCACGCCACCGGATTATGTCCACACATTAATAAAATGAACCGCAAAATTCTGGTTGGCGCGCTCGAAAACGAAATGCCGATCAAAGCTGCTTCGAGATGGAGATTTACACCAGCGTTTTTGCGTTCACTATGAATCTGCCGGAATCGAACGATCGGCCTCGAGCGATTTTGACAGAATCAATCTTTACCAACGTCTCTGAGGAGAAACCGTCTGTTTCTAGCGAACAAGAGTAGCGTTCCCGACCTTCGGCTGCGGCCAAACATCCAACACCACGTCTCCACCAGTGAGCTTGAAACAAGTTTTGTCCTGTTGCGGCACGTCAAGCACCAAACAGTACTCACCCTCATACAGTACTGTGTCGCCGCGCTCATTCACTCTTGCGAGATTGCCAACCGTGAAACCTAACGGCACCGATCTCTCTTCTCCAGGCTTGATATTAGTCAGACGTTTGTACGAAGCCAGTTCCTTGATTGGATGAGGGGTAGGTCCAGCTGTTGTAGTTACGAAAGCTAGAGCGACAAAGTCGGATGTTACATTGCCGTTGTTCTTGACTTGAACGACATGAGAGGGAAACGGACAGCGGTCTTTACGGGAAGTAAAAGAGCATCCAGCAAAGTGTTGGGTGGACGGGTACCTATGGTTGGCGTAGCGGGAGTCGAATCGTACGGTAAAATTTACGTAGTGCAGCCCAAAGCCGAACTCTTGTACCGCTTGAGAGTACCATTTGTACGTGCGTCCGGGGTTCTTGCTGCTGGGTCGGAGCGACATATCCGTCATTGGAACCTGCGCAGTGTAGTTCGCGGGGTATTGGGTGATGGGAAGACGGCCAGCGGGCGCTGTCTTACCGGTGATTATGTTCCACGCGGCTGGGCCCCCGTACATTCCAGGGTAGCCAACCCAGAGCACGGAATTGACGTGTTCATTTAAGAGGAGCGGGGTGTTGTCGACGGATGTCCCTAGCTGAACTACGACAATTTTCTTCCCCAAAGCGCTGAGTTCACGCAGGAGTGTTTGTTGTACTTCCGGCCACGCGATCACGGTTCGGTCCTTGTCTTCTGTTTCAAAGGCCGTACTGATACCGCCGAAGTAGACCACGATATCGGAATCTCGTGCTGCTTGTATTGCGGCACTGTAATTCGCTGTGCCTGATGCTGGACCAGTCGCATAGTTCACCTGGAGGCCGGCATCCTGTGCTGCCCAGAGCGGTGTTCGATATTCTGCTGGTTTACCAAAGTAGTTCCCTAGCATGGCGACGCCGGAGGTATCATTTGCCCAGAATCCTATAACTGCAACGCTTTGGTTCTTTGCCAACTTGATGGGAAGAGTTCCGTCATTTTTCAGAAGTACTGTACCTTCGACTGCCGCTTGGAGAGCTAGTGATTGTGCAGACTTCGTATTTACTTTTTCCGGGCCGTACGAACGTGGGCCCACTACTTCATCGCGGAACACGGCGAAGTAGTCTGCACGTATCAACCCTTCATATTGACGACGTAATGCTCGATCGATGACCTCTTCGCTGACGAGCGACTGATTGAAAGCTCCTACAACATCAGTCGTCCAGCCCCCAGCTTCGCATACATTGTCGGTTCCAGCGGTGAAAGCTTTGCCGGCTGCCTCGGCTGCCGTCTTGACCCACTTGTGGTCGGCATATATGTTGTGCACTGCGTTGCAGTCGCTCACAACATAATTGTTGTCGCTGGTCCAGTTCCAGTGTTCCCGGAGCACGGTGGTCATCAAATAGTCGTTCGCACAAGCCGGGGTACCATTGACGCTGTTATAGCTGCACATAATGGAGGCAACGTTGGAGTCTCGAGCGCACTGCTTGAATGGTGGTAGATAGTACTCTACCAAGTCCTGCATCGAGACAATCGCATCGAATGAATACCGCACTACACCGTTCCAGCGCTCGAGATCGTATGCAGCGTAGTGTTTGCATGTTGCAAGAACCTGTCGCTTGTCGCCTGGACCGGGGTCTTTGCCAGACCATTCCATGCCCTTCAACAATGCTTCCACGTATTTCGAAATCCTGAAAGGGTCTTCACCAGGTGTTTCCAGACCGCGACCCCATCGAGGGTCTTTGAAAGGATTGATGTTTGGCGTCCAGAAATCCAGACCAGCACGTCCGGCATTCGCATATGCGCGAGCCTCCGTTCCAATTGCTTGGCCCACAGCTTGCACGAGGCCGTCATCGAAGGCGGCAGAGATGGTGATTGGAAGCGGAAACGATGTTGCTGAAGAAAAGTTTCCAGAACTTGCGAAACGAACACCTGGAGATCCAGCGACTCCATGGAGAGCTTCGTTCCACCAGTCGTACTTGGGAAGACCCAGTCGCTCCGCCCCTTGACTGTGACTTTGGATGGTCAGCGCACTTGTCTCTTATCTGCATGTAGTACGCACTCCACCATATTGGCCAATTTCTCCTCAATGGTCATTGCAGCGACGAGTGCCTCTGCACGTTCAGATGGATCGAGTTCCATGTTGCAGACATCGTTGCCAGCCAATGGCCCATTGACACAGTCGGGATACCTGTCGCTGGAAGCCAGCTGCCCCAGTGCCAGAACGGCCGAAACGAGCCAAAGACGGGCCATGTTCAAGTTTTAAGAATTTGCTTTGAGTAGAGACACTGTTGACCGTAGCGGAACGCAGATGAAGATATAGGTGTCGATACTATTGCGATGTACTGAGCACTTGCAGCTTTCATCGGGTGAATTGGCTAACAAAGGCAGGGTGTTCGGAGTGATCTTACCCGGTGCTTCGGGCGATCCATACTGGTGTTGAGCCTCACGCAGCTCGATCTAATTAACGCAATATGCGTATGCGTGAGGGGAACGGCCTGCGACGGATTGTCTGCGACCGACATTGTGGTACTCGGTGGAGTATCTGCCAACTCGTTCAGCAATCGCACGAATCAATTTTCAGAAATAGTTCGTGTCTGAGCTTCAGGGAGAGGCGACGGCCGGCGAGATGGTTGATGTGAAGGTGCTGGACCGATGCGCATTTGTGAGGGTGACGGCGCCAAGGCCGAGGCGGACTTCCGATGGTTCTCCACCATCACGCCAAAGGGGAGAATCACCACGCCAACGCGCTAGGAACGCGCTCAACTGCCATGTTATTGCCACTGTTTGGCGTCGCATTCGTAGGGCTCGCGGCCGCGACATGCTATGAGCCGTCGTATGCGCTTCCTCCGCCTGAATATGATCAGGACCATCCGATTTTGAAGGATGCCTGGACGAACCTTCACGATGTACTCACAATCGCTCTAGGTGACCCTAAATACAACTCTACATCCATATCCGTCGAGGTCACTTCCTCAAAACAATCGCTATGGGAGTTCCACCATACCGCGCGCGCACGGAATGCATCTCGTCCCGATATACCTCAGGTCGACGGGAGCGCACTCTACCGCATTGCGAGCATCACCAAGGCGTTCACTGTGCTGGGCTTGCTGCAGCAACATGCGGCAGGTAATCTCAGCCTTGACGACTCTGTAGAGAAGTACTTGACTGAGCTGAAGGGACCTCAGAATGGCACGTTGCCATGGAAGGATATAACGCTGCGATCTCTGGCAAGCCAGCTCAGTGGCATACCGCGCGAACGTAGGCGGCCAATGCATTGTGTGCCATTCGCAGAACGTGTACCTGACGTTTCTAGTGGCTCAATCCGATATGATCAATGCTGGAAACATGGACCAAATAACGGGTGAATGGGGGCTTCCGCCGGTGTCGAGAGAAGGCCTTATGACTTGCGACGAGTACTCGGACAATTATCATAGCCCATGCACCGCAAGCGGTACGCATTGCATCGAAAGTTGGTGGAATTCGGTGGCTGAGAATTTTAGACCTGATTCGATCTGTCAAAGCCGACCATCCCACATTCGCGCCGAACCAACAGTCGACCTACTCCAACGTTGCCTTTGAATTGCTTGGGCTTGTAATTGCGAATGTTACAAATAAAGCATACGAGTCATACATCGATGAAGCTATATTTAAGCCGCTGGAGATGGGTAGGAGTACCTTCTCTAACCCACCAGACAGTGAGGGCGTGATTCCCCTGTGGCCGCATTACTGGGATGTGGACGAGGGCGTACAGGCTAGGAACCCTACTTTTACATTACTAACTATCAATAACACTTTATAGAATCCCACTGGTGGCATATTTACATCGTCCAACGACATGTCCAAGTTCTTGCGCCATGTTCTGACCAGGTACAATGGCATCACACACGCTCTCAATTGGATGCACCCGGTATCGCCGTCCAAAGACCTGCACAGCTTTTATGGCATGCCGTGGGAGATCTTTCAGAGCGACCGCGTCTTGACTAGCTCGCAACGCGCAGTCAGATTCATCACCAAAGGTGGCGGCCTTCCAAGTTATACATCTCAGATTGTCTTGATTCCGCAGTACGATCTAGGAGTCACCCTACTGTTAGCCGGCCCTTCCGACTTTTTCGAAACGCTGCGTGAAATCGTTACCATCGAACTGGCCCGTGCGGCTGAACAGATTGCGATTGCAACACTAGAGGAGAGCTACGCAGGACGGTACATCGCCGCGGATCCCAGACTCAACTCGTCCCTGATACTGAGGGTTGACCACCGTGGGTTGGTTGTAGAAGAGTTTATATCCAACTCGACCAACATGTTGCAGTCGAGCCTCCTTCGATCCCTCGGCCGACCGGACGACAAACCGTGGTATTTGCTCTTGGTCCCAACATTATTATATCGCGACGAGGAGAACCAAAAGGGTGAAATCTGGCGTTTGCAGATTGCTAGCGAGCGACCGAAAGGAGAAACAGATGTCTGGGACGATTTCTGCGTCAACGACGTCGAGGGGCCGTGGTATGCCGGCATCCCTATCAACCAGGCCGTCATCTGGAAAGGTCGGAGCGGGCTCGTCTACGACATTGATCTGGAAGGTTTCAGAGCCAGTCTGGTCCGCATTTTCGCGCATGGTCATGCTGCATCGCATGTGGAAGAGACAGAGCAGATGGAGTTGTAGCAGGTCAGTCGAATCGCGAGACCTGACGACTGACCCCACTTGCTAGGGCGCAAGTCTCTGGCCCACATTCCTTCAGCGTCTCTAAGATTGTTTGCCGTAGCCTAGATTCAAGGTATGCCTTGTACGTAGTCTACATTAGCCGAACGACTTATACGGAGCCCCACACCTTCCCAATTTCAGCCGGAATACACAGTCCGCATCTATTTCGGTCCTCCCAAAATGTCACCAACAAGATCACCGTGTTTCGGTCAGATTCGTTAAGTATTCCCCTCGTACCCACGAATGCTGCTTGGACGAAGATTCAAGCGACCGACAAGATGTACCACACATCGTACAATCCTTCAGACTACGGGCAAGCGGCGTCATGGTTCGCATGTTGATCTTAATCAAGCTCTACGCTAAACAACTGTTGATTCGATCGCCACATGGCCATATATGAAATAGGTTCCTCTGCGATTTATCAACAGGGCTTGGCCTCCCGTCGTCTCGACACTAACGACGCTACTCGTGATCAGGATGTGGGGACGTCTTTCTTTGCATCCTAATGATATAGAGCTAGCATGGCTCTGCAACCAAACGGTTCCAATACGTTCAAGATGCATGTCACTTACCTAGCTTTCGCTCTCTGCGCGGCCACCGTCAGCGGTGCACCGGCATCCGGCACTACCTTCTTGCAGCTCCTCGACCTACTCCCACGACAGTCCAACGTGACATGCCCTCAGACCCCCAGTCCCATGCCCAAAGCGGCCGATTTGCCCGCCGTAAAGACGATGCCCGACCCCTTCCTCTATCTCGACGGAAAGACAAAAGTCAAAAGCAAGGACGAGTGGTATCAGTGCCGGCAGCCTGAGATTTTGAAGCTACTTCAGGAATACCAGTACGGCTACTATCCTGATCATTCGCAGGAAACCGTCACGGCGTCCCGCAGCGGGACAAAACTTGATGTTACGATCGCTGCAGGAGGGAAATCGGCGACAATCTCGGCGACGTTGAATCTACCGAGTGGGAGTGGGCCGTTTCCGGTCATCATTGCTATTGGAGGCATTGATAATAACAGTTATCTGAAGGCGGGTATTGCGGTGGTGACATTTGACTACGGGAAGGTTGCGGCGGATAGCAACAGCAAGACTGGTAGCTTCTGGACACTATACAATGGGAAAGATATCGGCGTACTCACTGCGTGGGCGTGGGGCTTCCATCGCGTCCTTGATGGCATAGAACTCAAAGTCCCCGAGATTGACGCAAAGAAGTCCGGCGTCACAGGATGCTCCCGCCTGGGGAAAGCAGCGCTTGCGGCTGGTCTATTCGACAAACGCATTGCGGTCACTATGCCCATGTGTTCTGGCGTGCAGGGGGCTGGGCCGTATAGATACAGCTTGAGCGGGCAGGGCGAGAATCTGGAGAACTCTGTAAGCACCACCTCGATTGCTATATCACTGCGTCATCAGCTCTAACAGCAGGTGCAGAAATCCGGCGCAGGCTGGTGGACCTCTTCCGGCATATCCCAGTTCGTGAACCATGCCACTCAGCTTCCCTACGACGCGCACACCATAGTTGCGGCCATCGCTCCACGTGCTGTCATCCTCGAGCAAGGAGCCTCAGACCAGTTCACGGATTCAAAGGGTACCGCCACTGTCACTTTCCCGGCGGCGAAGGCAGTGTATAAGTGGCTAGGTGCTGGAGATCAACTCGGCATGAGCATACCCAAGGGTGGACACTGCGATATGGGCGGGTATGCCGACGTGCTGCCGTTCGTGCAGAAGGTTCTACAAGGAAAGACGACGAGCAGGAATTATGACGACCTGGGAAGTTGGAAAGCTATGCCAGAGGCTTATCCTTGGGCGACGAGCTTACCGGCGGGTAGATAGGCCTACAATCATCGAGACTGGGGCCTCTGCATCGGCTGTTAAACGTGCTGTAAGGCAATGTGCGCGAAACCGCAATGTTTTGATTTGAAGTAGTGTTGAGTAGTGATGCATGCGCCGGCCGATGGTGCCTAGATTGGGACCTTGGACCCGGTGTATCGGGGATTGATTGGCCATTCAGGGAGGCTTTGCTTTCTGACCCATGGCCTTTTCTTTGGTCTCATATCTTTAGGCATCTCTTTCCGTTAACGGCAACTCCATAGGTCCAGCGTGCGTGGCTAATACATTCAACTCGAACGTCTCTAACGAACTTCTGGGCTCTTACCGTGCAGGGGACAAACAATAAGTCGCACTCGGATGGCGTGCATCACTCGATGAAACACTATCGTTCTCTAGCCCTTGCCTCTTACCACGAGTACAAGCGTTTACATGGCTCACCATTTCTGAACTGTCTCTCATTGCTCGACCGCACGGATCAAAACCCCGACAGCTCGACTCAGAGTCACATGAAACCAGAACCGACCACGAACAAGCAGCGCGTACGAAACACCGCGAAAAATATCCCTGTTTGGCTCGAGAGAGTCCGCTGCCAGCTACACTTCTCACACTCCAGAGCTCCCGGCGACTGTTCGCGTGCGCGATTTCTCTGTCGAAACCCAATCGCACGCAAAAATTCTCCCGCTCCACCCATACCTGAGCGCCACGTCAATCGAATTATACATTGAAGCGTCTCCACGGTGTGATCAAACACGTCAAGCTATTGGGAGTGGACTACTTCTAGGCAATCACAGCAGACGAGGAGTCACCTCCCAAGAAGCTTGGCGAAAACAAATTTGATTGTTGTCAGGAAGAGTTCCTTCTCGAGCACGACCTTATTAGCTGCTGCGAAGAAGAGGTGGCCACTTGCGCCGCACACTTTTTGTGCAAGGATTGCATAAACGCCATATCGAAAATGGCACTCACGCCAGGCTGGCAGTATTTTCGTGCTCGCTGTTGTCCTTCGCTGGACAACCGTCGCGGCATGGATATTGACCAATGTCTGGTCTCTCTAGATCGGAACCGTAGGGGGTTGGACAAGATCCGGCAGTATAAGAGAAAGGCGGAAGACTACTGCATCATGACGCTGACGCCTGGCCTCTGTGTTCATTGTGTGAAGTGTGACATATGGCTTCATCCTTGTTGTGTCAGGGATGAGGGACGTGGGTATTTCTCAGAGCCAAGTCGCTGAATGTTACTCGTGTGGCACAGAGACCTGCATGATTTGTAAGACTCTGTGTGAGGGTGTCTACCATCGATTTGACAGCTCCGATGATCCATCTGCGAAACCTGACTGGCTGCTGGACTACGCGCTTGACTGTCGCATCAAGCCATGCCCTCGATGCCGCACCTGGATCCAACTTTACGATGCCTGTAATCATGTGACTTCCGAAAACTGCCACTACTAGTTCTGCTTTGTTTGCATGATAGAGTGTCGATGGCAACACTCCGGATGCCCTGTATATGGAGACCCAGCCGGGGGGTGTGATACAGACGGCTACCGAATGGAAACTCGCGGCTGCATGTGTACACGGGACTCGACCGATCGGGGCGCAATCGAATCGCTGCACTCGAGGAATCGCACAGCGAAGCTGAACTCGAACAACACGAACAGGGACTATACGATCAAGACCAAGTCCACGGAGGCGCTCGTTCTGATGACGAAGAAGATCTTGACGAGCATACAGAGCATGGTGCAGTTCCTGCCTTAGACGACGGAGCCAGGGGCTGGCATGCAATTCAATATTCTCTTACCCAAATTGCCGAGGGGATTCAGGATCACCTCCACTGACATTGAATTCCAGAACGCGGTCAGAATGCCGCACTGGTAGCTCAATTTGAGGGAATCGAGACTGATGGCCTACTTATTCAGGCAATATGGTTAGCGTGGTCCAACGGGAAGAAGCAGGCGTGTCACCGTTCAACCAGCTCTGAAGAGGCAGAAAGATTCTGTTGGCTCTTGGTGCGGTGGTGATCAATGGTACCACTTTGCAATGCGTGGCTTCCGTGTTAGAGGGCAACTTCACAGGTGAGGTGGAAATGAAAGCTGCAGCAGCAACTAATTTCATGGATCCTAATGTCAATTTATTATTAGTGTGCAAATTCAATAATTCAGGGGCGTTACAGGGTCCTTTCGAGGACATGAGGAAGTTTGATTTGGACCACTGGCTCGAAGTAAGTTGAGGAGGCATACCTTCCATAGACTTGAAATCTGTACAAACGTCAGGTATTAGCTTCGGGCTGTTTCTTCAGCATCCCTCATTGCATTGCGTTATTTCAGGCTCCGAGATCAGGACTTCTAGGTCTCAGCTATCTTATTAGCCCTACGTATTTTCCGCCATAGAAGATACCCGTGAAATGTTCCTTTAAATGTTGAATAAGAACAGCAATGAGACATACCAGAGGACGAGGTGTTCTTCGCAGATATATGGAAATTTGATGTCGAAGATACCCACTTCTCCTACCGAAGGAAATGCTTGCATCGCGTCTTGCACCAACAACTAGGCGTATGCAGGCTTCTGGTTCAATGGAGAGTTCAATGAATTTTGTTCCTGTGCTCTTCACGGTACGGTAGACTCTGTGGGAACAGGATTTGCGACTCTGTTCGTCAAAATTTGCTGAAATCGCTACACAACTCTCTCGACTTCAGCGTCCAACACCATCTATCATTTCTGTCTTGTCCGAAAATCCAGCCCCAACCGAATGCCCTAATGTCGGTATCCTACACTCTGTACCTTTTTCAACCTAGTCTCACGATCTGGACCTTTCCCGACGCGGTTCGCCTCCTTATACCGAGGGTGTGGAGACGTGCCCGTGAGCAGTAGCTCGCTTGTATTGCGCTTTTGTACGTCTAGCTAGTTTGCTTAATTTTCACACCTCGGTGCTCTGCAACAAATAAAGATACTGTAATTTGATCGATTGGGCCATTAGCCTTCTTCGTGAAGCTGTGTCATGCTTGTGACTTGAAAAAGAACGACAATATCAGGACACTGAGGCCTAGGAGAAGAGGGCGATTTGAATATCAAGACTGGCTACGGCAGAGACCATGAGGATGGTTGGGAACTGTTGTTGTCGATTCTCTGTGGCAGTAAGCGTTACTATAATATGGATCGTGCTGTGGGTTGTTCTAATCGTTGAAAGAGTCGACCCATGTTCAACGATCTCGGACGTCGGCGGAGACAACCGCCGCCGTCGCAGTTCACATCGGTACTTTTGCGCAGCGATCAACGGCGTATCGAGAATTTCCCCATTAGGAATTTTGATGCACGGTGCCAAATCCCATGTGAGCTTTCATGCAGCGCATGGTTCTGCGACTGACCAGTCGCACTACTCTCTCAAACGATATGGGACGGTCCTCGTGTTCTGGAGCCGAAGGACGCGCATACTTATGATTCAGGTAATGCTCAGATGACGTTGGTCGACGCAGGCCTTGCTGTTGGATACATATTTACTTGGAGACAGTGGTTGAGTAAAGTTGCAATGTATGCCCTCCAGCGAATTGACTGCGAAATTCCTTAATTACTGAGCACAGGATATTCATGATTGTGGTATTCGTGCGATCACAGTGAAAATTCGCAGTATAGGCAGTTTGCGGGCGAGTGTGCCGTGCACAGTTGAACGTCTCGTGCTGTTCAAACGGGATAGCATGAAGCACCCGCTCAGTAGGTCAAATACTGACTCTCTCCCTGGTGCAAGGCAGTACCTAAACCACACAGTAGCCACACAACTCCACGGCAATTCGAAACAAAGATGGCGCCTTTGACTCCCCCACCCCAACACACACACACACACACACACACACACACACACACACACACACACACACCAAAGCGCGGTGGAGACGCACCAAGTCGTGCTGATGGAGAAGGCAAAGGGTGTGACCTCATTTCAAGGCGGCCAAACTCTCTTGCCTAATCTACGGAGAGGGCTTCTGCGGAGAGTCTACTGTCATGGAGGACTAGGAAGTTGGAGCGATAACTGCGAAAGGCAATGAAAAAAGCTTATGGATCACAACGGGAGAACGAACTGCAGTCAGCCATAGGAGACATGCAGAGCAAAGACAACAAGGCGGCAGCAACGGACAGAGGCGGTGCGAACACCAAATACAGACACGATCTACGGAACATCAAAGACGAGAGCCTGCCAGTGAGTCGGTTCTGTGGCTCTGAACGCTCCTAAACGGCCGCTGTATACTGGCACGTTGGTTTAAGATGCAAGAAGATTACGCCTTGGCGGCCCCCATTATACCTATTCCACCCCACTCAACAAGTCTATGAGATGGAAGAGGACCAATTCGAAGACGGGTTCTAAAACTTCGAAAACGAGACGCATGACTTCCACAATCAATTGCAAGAAGAATTCGATAACCAGATGATGTGCGCTTCTTGCATCGATGGGATGGGGGATCATTTCGATGGCGAAAAGTCTTCTCTGGATCCATCGTTGCATAACCAAGTGAGCGGTATTCAGTGGGCCGAGGAATGCGAGCTTTCCTTCAAAGCGGATCAGCGTGCAGAATGGCGCGGAGTCCAATAATAGGATGCAAGCTTCAACATTAAGGAGATGTTCGACTCTCTGAAGTTTGAGCTGCGTCTCGAGAACTGGTTCGTTCGAGAGGAGAATTGGGATTTCCAGGCCTCTCAAGGGTCCTCAGCCTGAATGGCAATTACTTCGCTCCTTTTTACGTTGATGGGGAGCACGAAAACTAATCCAGGACGGGGCATTCGGCCGGAACGCGGGCATTTTCTGGGGGGGGGGGGGGGGAAACCCATGGGTGAGGGCAGAAGATGCGGATCGTCCATTCGGAAAATTCAGAATACCAAAGAATGGTTCATAGACCTTCATGCTGCGTGGTCATCTGTTTATCGTGCCCTTCAAGAGTGATATAGCTTGTGTTGCTTCCTCACCATTAGTGAGCGGCTTGTCAAAGACCATACCAAGTGAAATCGTTGAACGAGCTACAACGGATCAGTTCCATCTAGCCCACAGTCCCAAAAGCAAAATGTTTAGAAATCTCGATAAATCTGTTGTTCAAGATTTGTTGCGTGGACGCCACGCATTCTTTTCTTCGTTATCTATGTCGTGACTGAGAGCATGTATCTAAAACATCTGTCTGTTCCTCATCTCGACTGGCAAAAACACCATGACAAGCGCAGCAAGCCAGATACCGCCCGCTCCCAGCCACAAAATGCCTGAGCTCTGATCTGCGAGGAAGCTGGCGCCTGCAAATGGCGCGACAATACCTGCTATACGACCGAGGCAAGACAACATACCGCTGACAGTACCTCGGTAGGTGGTGTCGAAGAGTTCGGGGGCAGAGGCGTACAGCACGGCGTTGAAGTACTTTTAGAAGTTAGCGCGGGATCCTTCTACAGAAGACAATGAGTTCATTTACCGTCTGCATGATATACTCGAGAGCATTCAAGCCCACGTATCCCGCCGTGTTCTTCACTTGCGTATACATGGCCATTGCAAGACCCTGGCAGATAGCCGAAAACACGAGCGACCACTTGCGACCGACGAGCGGCATCTGCACGGATACGAGGGCAAGTGTCGCGCCAATGACTCCCGGGGCATAGATAATAACGTATTGCTTATACGTGTCCGACACGGAACCGCGGCCGTCTGAGACGTTGTTTCGCAGGAGGATGAGAGGCAGGAAGGCACCTGCGAGGTTGAAAGACCAGTAGTCGCCCTGTTGGGAGTGATTAGCATAAGTCGAAGAGAAGGAACGAGCTATCGCACCATATACGCAACGGCGAGCAGAATGAAGGTGAAGCACTGCAGCTTGTTCGCGAAGACTCCCTTCAAGCGCTTGAGCTCTTTGCCAATGTCCCTGCCCACTTTTCTGGCCATCTCCTTGCGAGTTCGCGGGCCTTCCACACTGACGGTGGATGTATTGGAATCCATCTCGTCGAGCGCTGCGAACATCTCCAAGGTTAGTGCTGGCGGCGGAGCGCGGTTGAATTTCGCAATCTTGTGGAGTACCTCAATCGCCTCGGCCTCTTTTCCTCTGGCAAGGAGGAACTTTGGCGACTCGTGGAAAGTGAACACGAAGAAGCGGAGGAAAAAGATGATTAGGGTGACGCAGCCGAGGATGATGACCTCGTATCGCCATCCCATGTTGCTGGAAACTGAGCAGCAGGCTTCTCCTGCGCCCACGGCGTTGCAGGCAGGAAGAGTGGGATCGCAACGGTATTTAGCGGCGGTGCCGTATGCGATACCGGATGCGGCCACAACACCAATCGGCTGCCAGAGGGAGAGGAGGGCGACCAGATTGCGGCGACTCTGAGGAAGGAATTCCAAGGCGATGGTGGCATCGATGGGAATGTTGCCTCCCAGTCCAAGACTCGCGAGGAAATAGATTCCGCATACAGCTTCGTAGTTGTACTTCGGCGCAGCCTGGTAGGGAATTAGCAAGCTGTCAGAGCGGAGAGATCATAACGCAAGACATACAATGAGCAGTCCGAAGATGGAGGTGATCAAACAGGTCAAATTGAACGCCCATTTCCTCCCAATGATGTCCACCAACACGCCGAAGGTAAGTGCGCCAACAGCAAGCCCGGCATTCGCCAATGAGAAAATGTCTCCCTGTCTCGCAGGCGGAACGTTCATCTCCTGGTACACAGCGGAAGCAATTAAGCCCACGCCCTGCGACCACGCCAGGTCAAGGAAGTACCCAAACCCGCACAGAAACCAGATGCATATCTGGTACCTTCCCAAACCAAAGTTGTCGATCTCCACGTTGATGAGGGCAGCCTTCTTCTCAAACGTAGTCATGGGATTCGCAGCCGTACCCTTCAGGATCGCCCCGAACGACATGTCCGTCGCCGCGACTCGCTCGACATCGTTGTAGATAGGCACCTCGACCTGTGTCCGCATCTTCTCAATTGGAGGCTTCTGCGTCTCGTCCAGGCCCAGCGGGTCGTTGTAAGAGTTGTTCGCCATGTCTAAAAACTGGTCGATGGTGAACACGCGAGCTGAGCGCGTCCAGAGTGCAGGACAAATGCAGGGTTCCCGACAGGGTAATATAGCAAACGGTGAGAGGCGCGCTGCGAGCGCGCTACCGACTACCTCATGCACTAGGATCTATGGAACGGGACGCTAGCATCTACGCGATCGAATAAAGAGAGTGGGGTTCGCGGGTTCGTGGAGGGAGACCAAGCTCGAAAAGGCAAGACAAGTGAGATCGCTTTGTGAGTAAGTGTATCAATGACGACATGGGAATTTTCCGCCTGCGCTTCGTTCCCACTGCATGGAAAATTTCGAGCTTGGGTGTAAGCGTCGAGGCCTCAGATGTCACTATTAGTCTAAGGACTAAGGAACAGAGATCTCAGAGGTACGACAAGAGAGGGAATCAGTTGTAGGCCCTCCTCCGAGGTGGCCATAGCTGGGAATGTCGTACTTCGGACATGGGCGCGTGGTCGTCGAATGGCCGGATTCGTCAACGGCGTGAACGAATTTCGACAGCACGAGCGAACACCGTTCGGTGACCCCGGAGACCTGGTTGGTACCTCAGGCTGGCTGCCCATGTGTAGCACAGCATCGTTCCTACACGAAATGCAGATCATGTAATCTTGCTGGATCACAATCAACAAACCATTTTCCTTCATGGTTAGCCTAACACTGGACCAATGCTTAAAGAACGTTACACGCCTGCAACGGCCAGCACGCTGTCACGAAGCTGGAATTGTGACGGAAACGACCGAGCTGCATGCGCCACCTGACAAGCCAAGCCACGCGACTGTGCCGCGTTTGCCATGCGCAAAGTCCATGATTCGCACGAGACTCCCATGCATTTCGCCATGCACATTCTGCTCTGGAATCGAACTTACCCATCTTAGCGGATCTGATGACATCGTTCACTTTTGTATTCAAAGCGGAGTCCGGAAGATTTACAATTGGCTACAGCCACAGTATCACCGAAAAACACACTTATGGGGAGCTTGTTGTTCTCCAACGTTACTCGCATATAGCTCAAGATTTGCTCGCCCGGGACCCTCGAGTCACGTGCAAGACGTCTTTCACATCCAGCAGCAGGGACCAATCGAGAATTATAGTCAATATCAGGTGCAGAAACATCATGCTCTCTGCTGATTTGTTCGACAGGAGGTTTACAAGCAACCAGGAAAGGCCGTTTCTGCAAAATTATACATCCACTGCGAAAACGGACATCACCACGTGCGTTCGTCACACGTGCTGGACAACCCATCTCACACCTGGACCCCGGAGCTATCCAAGTATCACATCAACACGTATTAATCATACAGGTCCATTACATTTCCCTATCTATGTACCAATTGCCGTCCCCTAAATTGCAGCACTCGCACTCGCACTCGGCGTCCCGCTCGGCGGCAACGGCACAAAAGCCTCCGTATGCGTTGCCTTCGCGGTCCCGTTGGTCGCATAATCCGCCGTGATAGCCTTGCTTCCATCGGGAATGACGAGCCCCTGCAGCACGCGCTTGAAAATCTCCAGACTCGCAGCAGGCTGGTAGTAAGGAATCTCATGGCCCGCCTCGTATATCCTCGTGAAGGAGAAGTTGCCGTACTCGCGGGTTTCTCCGTGCTCGACCCCATCGACGAGGAAGGGGACGTACCCCGCGGCCTGGAAGTCCTCGGTGTGCGTGTAGTTCACGGCAAGCGAGACGGCTTCGCCGCCGAACCAGTTGCAAATGTAGTCCGCGTCGCCGTAGATCATGGCCACGCGCACTCCATACCCGAGAATCTCCTCCAGGTCGTCGATGAGCGGGTACACGAAGTCGCCGGTAGTCTGGAAGCCGTAGGAGACGTTGGGCGCGTTGGAGGAAGTGTAGTTGATGTTCACGCCGAGCGCCTCCTGCGTGGATGCCAGGTTGAGGAAGTCCATGAAGTAGTCCGGGGGCGTGGGGTCGTCGTAAGGATGGCGGATGTCGTAGACGCCGCGGCCGCCGTACGAGTAGTAAGGTTCCTCGACCATGGAGCGGCAGATGGAGGTTGCGGACGAGCAGTAAAAGTAGGTGTCTTCGGAGCCGGCGTCCTGGCGCAGCGCGTACTTGCAGTTCTGGATCCAATCGCGGCAGCCGTCGGGGATGTAGTACGCGGTCTTCATGAAGGTGTAGATGGTGTCGTTGATGGATTTAATACCGTAGGTGTTATTCACTGCGAATTCGGGGTAGTAGGGCGCCTGAATCTCTTCGTCGATGATGCCATTGATTATACCCAAGGTGTCCATTCGGAGCTCGCAACCTTGGACGGTGCCGTTCTTGATCGCCTCATTTTGTTGATAGAAGTAATTGTAGAAGCCTGGGCCGTAGTGTCCGCCGTAGCTCTCTGTCCAGAGGTTGAAGGTGAAATTCTGGATGTCGGGGTCGAGCTGGGGAGAAAGTTCCAGGAAAGCTTGCAGGATATGCCATGCGCCGACAGCAGCGGCGTGGGTGGTGTTGGCAGTATCAGGATCGACCAGGGAATAGCGACCTTCTGAGTCTGTCTCGGTAGTCTCGTATGAGAAGCCGACGCCGACTGGTTGCGAAAGGTATAGCATGTTGGACTCCTCATTCCAAGAGTAGGGGTTCAGCTGCGTCTTCAGATCCTCGGTGACATTGCAGGGCCCATGTTCTGCACACATCAGTTAGCATCCTCCGCTCAGTCTTCGCCCTCAATCTTGAATCACTTACCCTGAAGCAGCCCAATTAGACTATCCGAGCCCGGCCCCCCATTCAGCCATAGTGTCAACGGCTTATTACTAGGATCCGTCCTCGCCTCAAAAAACCAGAAAAACATGTTGGTCTTCTCGTCCAGGCTGATGTATCCCGCATAATCATCCACTCCAGGGGTAGTCTCACAAATGCCGCCATCTTTTCCGGGCTGCTTGAACCGGATCTGCGCGCCCTGCGGCGACGTGATGGTCCTCACGCCCGACGGGTCCACGGGGATACCGCGTTCTTCAAGCGTAGGCTTGCGGGCCGCGCCGAGCGTCGCGCAGCCGAGCGCGAGTAGTGTCGAGAAGCGTGTCATGATGTGGACTGGCTGATACCTGAACGCTGCCGTAGGAACGAAAGAGTCTGCGAGCAGGGAGGGCTCGCGGGTCTTATAGGCACAGGGTGGCTAAGACATTTCGTTTCGCTACGAGACTACGTCAAGAGAAAACGGCCGAATAAACCGTGCCGATGTCTGCGGCCGGGGCAGTGTCCTGAGCCATCTGCCTGGAGCAATGGTTGCGGGGAAGATACGAGGCCCGAACAGGCATCTCACTTTGACTGGGGATGGCAATTGGTGCGAGAGGGGCGCGATTATCGACGGGCGAGCACGCTTGGTAGATCGCTGCCGGTCGACCACCGGGTATGTCGTTGCGCTGTAGGAGTTGCAACAGGTACACTGCTGTGCGTCACGTAACAGACATAGCCGGAGGCGGGAATAGATGCAATTTCTCCCAAGCACTCGCCCTGAGCCCTACTCGTCTCGCACCGCATGAACTCAGCTAGCAGTGACTATTTCTATACTTTGACGACAGTCTTTGACAACACTGTTATTGCGTTGGGCGGCGCAGGGTTTGCTCGGGTCAGCTTACGCTACAGCCTCTCCCGCTCTTCCCCAAACAGGCAGCTGCGAAAGACATCTACAACCTTGTCGCACACAAGCCGAGCGTCACCGCAGCTTATCGCTCCTGTGAACGAAGCTTGTTTTGCATCCCATACGTCATAGATTGGGCTGGCATGAACCATCCAGGTACTCCCCACCGGGTCAATATCTGGATACGGCTGCTACCAGAGCCATGCAGTTTCCCCAAGCCACGTTGTAGAGCATCAGATAGGTAAACACGCAAAAACTTTTCTGTATCTCCTCTTATCCTACCCATCCGTATGCCGGCGCCATGCAATGCAAAACTCATACAACACCTCATACCAGCCGACACCATTTTTCGAGCAACCACAAACGACGAAACAGAAAGGGTATATATGTAAATGCTCCCACAAAACACCATGAACCCCGAAGGAAGCCCGACTTTTATAGCGCGACATCATGCGAACTGCTGGTCATGCTGCTTCGGTTAGTGCCCTCGCTAATGTAGGTGACGACACTGGTGCGCTTGAACTGACTGGCGAGGTTGTTTTCTCGTGATGGTGGGCTTGAGAGACCTTGTTGGAGCTGTTGGTTGTTGGGCGACGAGGGAGATGTAAAGACGTGCGTATCAGAGGCTCCGTAGCGCTCGCGCAAACGCTGGATCTCGCGGAGTCGGTTGCGCCACGACGAGACAGACTCGCCGCCGTCTTTGATGAACCAGACCGCGGAAAAAACGCAAGCGTTGATGGCAATGAGGCGGCAGTAAGCGGCAAGGTGCTTCCCTGCCAAGATCTTGGTCTCTGCTGCAGGCGAGATATTTGGAAAACCAGGCTTGGTCATTACCTGTACCTTATAGTATCGGTCTTTGCCCTCGGGGTCGGAGTCGAGGCGGCGGTCCACAAAGGATGCGCGAGATTCGGGAGAGATGACAATGTGCACATAGTTGAATGCCGAAGGAAAGGTATCAAAGTTGTAGGGGAGACCAGAGTCGTTGTAGATGATGTTGACAAAGTCATTGCCAATGTGGCGTTTCTTGTTGGGGTAGGTCATCCCGTCGTCGCGGTTCGTAGGCATCATGGTCGTAATGTGGAAGACGAGCTCGATGCACCGATCACGCCAACAATAAGTGAATTCACCATCTTGGTCGTTCCGGGTGTCGAGGCCGCCCGTGTTGAACTTTGCGCCTTTGAGGCGGCACAAGGTACCGAGGTCGCTCAGGAAGGACGTGTAAGCGGGCGGGCCAATGTCGTTCATCAGAATCTCGCGTTCGTCTGTCTGGCCATCGCCGATGTAAATGACACCGACCTTGTAGCTGTCGACGGCTGAAATCCTATCAAAGGTGGCAATCGCGCGACGAGTCATGTCGTCGTCTGGGAGAACGATAGGCGGGTCGTAAGTTGAATTCAGAGACGCATAGAAAGTCTGGAAGATGTCCTCAGGGAGGATGCCGATATAAGAGGAGCTCTCGAAAGCTTCCGCGGCGAGACCGAATGTCAGGGCGACTTGATGGCGCGGGGGTGGAGCGAGCAAAGGTCGCACTGAGAGGCAGCGGGTGGCACACTATGGTTGTTACTGGTAATCCTGAGCACGATGGGAGCAATACTTACGGGTCTTCTGTTGATAATCTGAGAGACGCCCGTTCTCGCGGCCGTCTCTATGGTCACCAAGCTGTGCCCAACGATCCAAGACTTCTTCCATAGCTCCCCGTCGCCTGGCTTGGCAAAGTTGTCGTCTGGAACGGTTTCGTCGCGGTCCGAGTAGCAGACCAGATTCATCATGTCCACAATAACTTGACCTTGCTCCTCTAATTCCGCTTGTCTACCCATGCCATCTGTGAAACGCAAGCTTCGTGCTATCCAAGGCATCAGCTTTGGGCGATCCTCCATCTTCAGACTCATGAACCAGAACGCGATGACGTGGTAGGCCAGGGAGTACAGATACTGCGGCAGGTCGTCCTCGACAGGCTTTGTTTGCTTGGCGGCTGCGTCGGGGGATGAGGTGATTTCCCGTGAAGGTCCGCTGTGGCGCAGGGACCGATGGTTGTTGTGGAGAGCGGCTGAGGTAGCAGCTCGCTCGCGTTGATCGCGAATATGCTGCAAGTACCGAAAACTGACACCGAAAACCATCTTGAACTCGTCTTCACGAAAATTCTTGTACAGCTCAGGCATGCGCGCCAGAGAAGTGAGGAGGTCCAGGATGTGTATGGCTGTCGCAGGCTTTGTGACAATCTGCGACATTTTTTGTACAACGATATCCAAGGATTTGCTGACGGAAAGCGGCAACTCGAGGCAGCAGACTGACAGCGCGTGTATGCACCACTTCGACGTTCTATCCCAGTTGGTGATCCCGTGGATGAACGCCTTGACTAGGTCATCTTCTTCACTCTTCTCAAAGTAATCGTGATAGCTGATGAGCACCGTGAGGAGATGGAACAGGCACACAGCTACGTCTGCCTTCTTAAGAAGAGTGTGTGGGGGAGGCTCCTGGAAAGAAGAATTGCGTATCTGCTCGCAGAGAACATTGCGAAGCATCTTGAGTTGAGGTATGCAGCTTCGTACCAGGGACTGGTTCGACAGTTGCGGTCCCAGGTGCACAAGAACGTAGCTGTAGACCTCCCAATCGGGCGACTTTTGCAGCAAGGAGATGGCTAGTTCAAGCCACAAAGTAATTTCCATATCCAGAATGTCGTCGCTGAGTGGATAAAATTCGGGATTGATGTGAGAGAAGACGACTCGGCTAACGTCGGAGGAAGGCTCTTCGGGCAAGCCTTTCGGCCCTGGATACATCCAAAGGGGTGGTACTGGCTTCGATACACGTCCGGCGGAATTGGAAAAGCGGGTAAGGGGCTTGTTGGTGGGCGGGAGTGGACTTCCTGAGACCCTTCGCTGCTCTCGGAATGGTGACTGCTCATCATGTCGCGACTGGCTGGGAGGATTGTCTGTTGCAGAAGTGGCGGCTGTCTCTTCTGTCCGGCAGAGCACCGCAGCCAGACTTCTGCCTTCTGAAGATTGATTGACGAAGAGGGCATGGGTGGAATCTGCCCGTAAACGGCAGAGTAGCCGCAAGACTGTGAGGCGAGCATCGCTCTCGTAACCGTCAGTACCCGCGACATGGCGCAGGATTTCGTACAGAAGCCGCGTCTTACGAGCAGAACGTGGGACGCTTCGGATAAACAAGCGCACGAAGCCCGTAGCGATGACATTGCAAGAAGAGCCCAACGCTCTATCGCTCTCGAGCTGAAAAGAAGCAGACAGTGCGTGTGCAATACTCTCCGAAGAATGGTGCAGCGCCGCAGTACGCTGCATCCGTCTCTTTAGAAGCGCGGCTATGTCTGAAAAGCTGTCCCAAGACGCTCGATCGGCGACCTCGACGGCAAAATCGACCAGTTCTTTCAGAACGGCGACATCCTCCTCGTCTTCTATGTTATTCAATAGGAGCGTCCCGCATTGAAGAACAAGGTCGCTCGGACACAGGACTTCCACGGTGTTGTATGTTTCCCGCAGTGATTTGATGGCCATGATACGGAGTGAACGGGGTCTGCTGCTGTCTTTGATGATGCCGGATACCATGCTGCGAGAGGCTTCGAGCCACTTCCCATTTGAAGGATGCAGATACCGTTCGTCAACGTAGTACTTGATCACGTTCTCGGTCGTGGTATCACTGAGGCAATGGGCCAGACGCATACATAGCTCCATGACGGCATCCTTTTGCACAAAATCAAGCTCGCTGCTTATGCCGTCCAGCTTGGTCAAGATCTTGAAGACTCTGTCTTCAGAATGACGGGACAAGGTCTCTATCCGAGGTTCAGGAACAGCCAGGTCGAGATTCGATATCACCTCGCCAGCCTCGTCGCCGTTGGACACGACTGAACCAGCTCCGTTCGACAAAGCGTTGCGAGAAATCGAACCACTCCTAGGGGTCCCGGTATCCGTTGGCTTCTCTGACTGAGCCCGTAAACGCTCATGGCCTCGCTCAGCACACGTGAGAATAATGTCCAAGAGCTCAGTCCAGTCCACCTCAGAAAGCAGCAGATCTTTCAGCGAGGCATCTGACAGGACTGCGTCGATGAGATCCATTACAAACTCTTCCTGGGTCTTGTGGGGATTATGCATCGATGCCTTCAGCGCAGGGAACAACAATGACATGGGCACAATAGGGAGGCCATTGCGTCCGTTTTCGAGGAGGAGTTGCTGCAGGACCTGAATCGTTCCTCTGTATGCACTAGAGTCACGGTTCTTGCGGACGGGACCTTCATTAAGGGTGCGCAGAAGAGCGTTTACCGCGATTTGGCCAACGTGCGATTTGAACAGGTTGCTCAGAGTAGTCCAGGTCTGCTTCTGGAGATCGTCCAACTGCCGGTGGATGGCGCAAAGAAGTTCGAGCAATGGGCGCAGGCAGCGGTTCGGTATGTGTACGTATGTGATTATGGTGTCGAACAGTCGAATGGCATTCTCAATGTCCGGTAGCCGGCTGGTCTCTTGGCATATGGATATGACCTTGGTCAACAGATGCTCCAAGTCATCGTCGCTGAAGACTTTGGAGTTGAACTTGCAGAGGTCGATGGTGTACTGGTACAATTGTGCCAGGTTCTCCAGCTCTTGGGCGGGTTCCGCGCTCTTCTTGCTCCCGCTGGCTTTGCGTGACGCTCGATATGCATCCACACTCTGCCTGGGGACGACATCGAAGGAAGCCAGAACGAAATGGGCCACGGCCGACTCGCAGGCTTCGACGTGGCGACCGCCCTTGGTGAGAGCAGCAATGATGTCGAGGCGCTTGTCGAAGCTGCGGTCGGTCTTGCGCAGGCAGGCGGCATCGAACAGGACGCTGCGCTCGAGCGTATTCAGCTTGGGCAGGCCAACGCAGTATCGGAGCAGTCTGTATCCAGATTCCGCCACATTCTCTGGCTGCTCTGGGAGGAGCATATCGCTCGCGCGAGACCACAGATCCAGCACGTTCTCGATCGTGTAGTCCTCCATGATCTTGCAGATCTTGTCGACAGCAGCCACGCGCTCAGCGAACGGACGGCTCGTGTCCAGCTGCTCGACCAGACCGTCCAGCTCCGGCGGCCCGCCCAGCACCGGCCGCGCATGTTTGGCAACGATGTGCTCGCTTATGCGCTTGAGGGAGCCGTCGGCGGACGAGGAAGAGGGACTGACGAGGGTCTCGGCGAGCGACGAAGCGCGAGCCGGGGTGCAGATGGTCGACGAGGCCGAGGGCGGCGGTGTTGCGCTCTTCAGACGGCCACCAGCTAGCGAACGGAAGGCGCCGAACAGGGCGGCGGAGGAGGAGCGACGGTCGGGCGTGCGCGGGACATGGTCGGCCGGCGGAGACATGTGAGTACTCGCAGCGGGTGCAGCGGGGGGCTAGGCAGCCGCGTCTCTGGCAGCTATCTGTGGCGACGGTGGGTGTGCGGCGTTTGCAGGCCGGAGTCACTCATCGAAGCGGGTCTGATGCGGCGGGCAGGCGGGCGGGGCTGCGAAGCGCTGGGCGGCGGGGGCGGCGAGGAGGCGAGTGGTGGGCCAGGCTGCGAGGGCGCGGAGACTCAGGCATGGCGGGAGCTCATTTTGACGGTGGGCGTGGCGAGAGACGGGCGGCGGGCGTGGGAGCAGAAGGCGCGGCCTGGTCATGGGACGGGACGGCAGCGGCGATGGCGTTCTGCGACCGAAAACCATGAAATCTGGGGAAAGCCGGGGCCGCCGTGCGCCCTGGGCGCGCAGAGCTTCCGCCGCACTGGCACTGTTTTGACGCCGCAAGCCAAACACGCCCAAAGAACCACCGCTGCGCTCCACCGCCTCGCTCTCCCTCCCACCACACCCCCTCTGGTGAGCCCTCCCGCCATGGCCACCGACATCCCCACGCTGTCCACGCTGCTCGAGGCCAGCTTGGATCCCCGTCAAAACAAGCAAGGTACGTCCGTGGGTGCCCCGCCGCTGCTTGGTGCGCAGCATGCAACAAAATTTCTGAGCTCCGCCTGCGCTTTCACGTGGGGACCGTATGCTCTGGGCAGGCAGACCACATGTGTAGCCAGCAAAGCAAATGCCTCGAGACTCCTAGCCCTGGCGTCTCCAATTTTGGCCACCGCCTTTCAGACAGGCAATGGCGAACCCCCAGTGGGAATGCAAGGACCCCGCTAACACTCCCCAGCCGAGGCTGCCATCTCCCAGGAACAGACCAAGCCGGGCTTCTCCCTCCGCCTCCTCCAGATCGTGGCCGGTGACTCGTTCCCGTCTACCATCCGGCTCGCCAGCGCCCTGTACTTCAAGAACCACATCAAGCGCCATTGGGTCGACGAGAATGGCGCCCACCAGCTGCCAGCAGACGAGGTCACCGCCATCAAGCGCGAGCTGATCGGCCTGATGGTCAGCGTGCCGCCAAACCTGCAGGCCCAGCTTGGCGAGGCCATCAGCGTGATTGCAGACAGCGATTTCTACGAGCGGTGGGACACGTTGGTCGCAGACCTGGTTTCGCGACTGACCAAGGACAACACCACGGTAAACATTGGTGTCTTGCGCGTAGCACACTCCATCTTCAAGCGATGGCGACCGCTCTTCCGCTCCGACGCCCTCTTCACCGAGATCAACCACGTCCTCACTCAGTTCTGCGAGCCGTTCCTCAATCAGCTCCAATGCGTCGACTCCATCATCGCGAATTCGCAAGATAACCCCGAGGCCCTCAAGGGCGCCTTCACCGAGCTCGATCTAATCGTCAAGCTCTTCTACGACCTCTCGTGTCAGGATTTGCCTCCTGTCTTCGAAGACAACATTGCCGCAATCGCCGGGCTCTTGCACAAATATCTCATCTACGACAATGCCGCGCTCCATACGGACAGCGACGACGAGTCCGGTGTCCTGGAGTTCACACGCGCGGGCATATTCGAGGTCTTGATGCTCTACGTGCAAAAGTATGAGGATGTCTTTGGCGCACAGCTACCTCAGTTTGTCCAGTCGACATGGCAGTTCCTCAGCACTGTAAACCTGGAGACTAGATACGACATCTTGGTCAGCAAAGCACTGCAGTTCCTCACGAGTGTTGCTTCCACTCAACATGCCGAGTCCTTCAACAACCAGGAAGTGCTGGTCCAGATCATGGAACACATCATCTTGCCCAACCTCACCTTGCGCGAATCCGATGTGGAGCTTTTCGAAGACGAGCCGATTGAGTTTATCCGCCGAGATCTTGAGGGCTCAGACAACGACACGAGGCGGAGGGCAGCCACCAATTTCCTGCGCACCCTGATGCAGCGCTACCAGGACCTCGTGACGAGCACGGCACAGAGTTACATTGATCGCTACCTCCAAGAGTATACAAAGGACCCCCAGGAAAACTGGAAGCACAAGGATACCGCTGTTTACCTGTTCTCGGCTATCGCTGCTCTGGGAACCGTCACGGCCGGGAAGGGTGTCGTGAGCGTGAACCCCCATGTCGACGTTTTGAACTTCTTCCAGACCCACATTGCATCTGACCTGGAGGGAGAAAGCGTCAGTCTCATCCTCAAGGTGGACTCTGTGAAATTCCTGTACAACTTCCGCAACCAGCTTTCGCCCGATCTATGGCGCGCCGCCTTCCCTCTGCTCGTGAATCACCTGGGCAACTCCAATTACGTGGTGCACACCTATGCCGCAATTGCTGTGGAGCGTGCTCTGTACCTCACAGATGAGAACACCAAAGCCTCGGTCATCCCAAGAGACCAGGTAGTTGGCTCATCAAGGGACCTGCTCACTCATCTCTTCAAGCTCGTTACCAAGGATACGGCCCCCGAAAAAATTCAAGAGAACGAGTTCCTCATGAAATGCGTGATGCGCGTCCTGATCTTCATCCGCGATGGCGTGCTGCCTATAGATGATTTGGTGCTTGGCTACTTCATCAACATTCTCAAGATTATACGCCACAACCCAAGCAACCCCCGGTTCCAGTACTTTTTGTTCGAAGGTCTCGGTGCTTTGATCCGGTTTGCGGCCCCAGCACATAACGAGCTGTTCGAGACGAAGCTCGCCGAGCCTTTCCAGCTCATCTTGGCAGACAATGTCGAGGAGTTCGCACCATACGTCTTCCAACTCCTTGCCGCACTGCTGGAAACAAATCCTTCTGGTGCCCTCACTGCGTACTACCAAAGTCTTGCACAAGTCATCATTCAGCCCAGCGTTTGGGAGACAAGGAGCAATGTTCCAGCTCTAGTCCGCTTACTCACTGCAATTATCTTGCGAGACGCGCAGACCATCGTGGCAAACAATCAGCTTGAACCGATACTCGGCATTTTCCAGAAGCTGGTCACATCCAAGGCCAATGAGACCTACGCCTTCGAGCTCATCGAGACAATCGTTGCAACTATTCCAGTCTCGGCGCTCCAACAATACTACCCTACGATCATCCAGCTCATGATCACCCGGCTGTCTAGTATGCGGACGGAGAACTTTGCGCAGCGCTTCATTGCATTCTACCATTTCATCTCCTCCCGGGAAGGGATGGGCGCGGACTTCTTCATCGCCATCACTGATCAAGTCCAGCATGAGTAAGTTCCATAGTTGTGACCAATCGGACCTTTGCTGACTATGGGTAGTGTTTTCAAGGGCATTTACCTCACCATTGTTCTCCCGGATACCCAAAAGCTGACTCGCCCGATCGACCGGAAAACGGCTGTGGTCTCCTTCACCAAGACCCTCACTGATTCACAGGCCTTCGTCGACCGATATCCCAAGGGCTGGAATTTGACCACGCAGCGACTCATCGAGCTACTAGTCAATCCGCCCAAGGTCAGCAAGGGTGATGATCTCATTGCAGACGCAGATGTCGATGAGGTCAGCTTTGGTGTCGGCTTCACTCCACTCAACACCTGCAAGAAGCCGCTTCGGGATCCCTTCCCCGAGATCACGGACGTCAAGGCTTGGGTTGGACAGTTCTTGAAGGACGCGAACTCAAGACACGGCGGTAAGATCGTTACCTTCGTACAGGAGCGGTTGGATCCTGTGACGAGGCAGGCGTTGCAGGAATACATTCAGTAGGTGGAGTGATGTGGCAGTTTGTGACGGACTTGAGAGAGCGTGTAGGATGATATGATACCAGCTTCGCGGCGATGGACATGGAGGGAGCGGGTAGGTACGTAGGTCGACCGACATCTTGTGTATACCTCGCCCAGCCCTGAAAATATAATAGACTTCTTCCCCAAACGTGTTCAAGTCGTCAAGGGCGTCGTGACTATTTCTCACAATTTGTGGTATGGTCCCTGCATTGAATGCGATCGCACCTTCCTAGTCTAGGCTAGTAGCGATGAGGTACGACATCTAGGGCGCATGTCTAGGCACTGTACATGCACATCGATATCTCGAATCTTCCATGTGCGCTCTTGATTTCTTCTTCGGACAGTCATAGGAAGAGTTTCAAGAGCCCAACACGTCCCCAGCACATGCGAACACGCTTTCATCTCCAAAGTCTCCAATCCCACCTCCGCGGCACATCACAATATCCATCCCACGTCCTATATCACTACTCAGCTGCACCGCCCACCATGGCCGACCAGAGAACAGACCCTGTCTACCACCGCGAGGGCCAGATGTATGCGCACAACACGACTCTATCGTCCATCGCGCCCCTCAGCTCCCTACCGGCGTCAACCCAGCCCCTCTTCAAGCCGCCCCCAGACACCACCAAAACACCGTACATCCTGACATCCCCGTCAACCATCTTCCACGCGCAAGGCGGCGGCCAGCCCTCAGATGTAGGCACTATAACATTGACGTCGCCAACGCCGGATGGAAACGATCCCAAGTTCACGGTGCACCAGGTGCGCAAGGTGGACGCCTCGGCCGCGATTCTGCACCTGGGCACTTTCGCGCCGGAGGAGCCGCGCTTCACGGATGCAGAGGTGGGGCTGGAGGTCAAGCAGGCGGTCGACGTGCCCACGAGGGTGTTGCACAGCAGACTGCACACGGCCGGGCACGTGCTGGGCTTGGCGATTCACTTGCTGAGTCGCGCGGGGGAGGCGGGGCTGCCGCGCGATCTGCGGGACGGCAAGGCGAGTCACTACCCCGGCGCGGCGTTTGTGGAGAACATTGGACTCATTCCGGGCGATGCGAAGGCGAGGATTCAGGACAAGGTGGACGAGCTGGTGGCGCAGGACTTGGGGGTTGCTATCCATTTCTGGACGGGCGAGGAGGCCGGGACCAAGTGCATCTCGGGACTGGACGGCGCGGCGGTGGGGGAGGGGGACGAGGTGAGGGTTGTGGATATCGGGGGGTTGGGGAGTTATCCGTGTGGAGGGACACATGTGGCATGTCTGAAGGAGCTGGGGAGGGTGGTGGTGAGGGGGATCAAGCGGCAGAAGGGGATTAGTAAGGTTAGTTATGAGGTTGTGGATGCGTGAGCACCGTGTAGTGTCTGGGTGGGAAGGGAACGAGTGTCGGACGATATACAACGAATGAATGTAGAGCTAGACGATATAGATATTTCAAAGAGTATGCGCTGCCAGCGTATACACGACATTGGGCAATAGCAGCATTAGATATGCCATTGCTGTCTATGCCCACTCTTCATCTGGAAACAGCGACTCCCTCGTCCCAGGCCTAATCGCCCGAAACGGCGCCCCCTCAATCTCCTCCCCAGCCCAGTTCAAATGCACAGTAAACGTCCTCGGCAGTGTCACCTGCCGCAGCGGCGCGAGCAATTTCTCCTCGCAGGCCGAATCCCGGAACCCGTCGAAATACATCAGCCTGACCCTGAGCCATTTCAAGCTAGGCATTTGGCCAATGATACGCCATGTACCTTCCCACGTCGCCTCATCGTGAGGTGGGTACAACGCGGGCCGGGATATGAGGAGGGCTTGGGCGAGGGGGTCGTAGATGGGCCACGAGATGCACCATTCGATGTCGATGTTTTGCACGAGGGACCATCGGTGGGGGAGGATGGTGGAGGAGAAGTAGCGGAGGCAGTCGAGGTCGGAGAAGGAGAAAGTGTTGGTTGAGTAGAGGTATTCTATTGATTCGGAGTATCTACATTACGTTAGTCGAGATAAGGTAAACGGAGAGGAGGGACTTGCATCTGGCGACAGGTCAGCAGCAATGGCAGGATATCGCCGTCTGTGGCGGGTGGATTGTCCAGTGGTTCACCCAGCGGCGACCACACATTGTCGGGGCTGAAGAAGCTGTACTGCTCTGGACACTCGGCGATGGTGGGGGCCTTGCAGCGCTGGTGGCCGAGCTTGTATTTCTTGGTGACCATGTGCATCACGGAATCGCCAATGGCAGCGCGATAAATGATTTGCCTAAGTTCCAGTGGAAGCTGCATCAGCCGGGATGCGGACTGATTGCGAGTCACCCCGCGAGGCGTTTGCGGCTGAACCTCACTCTCTGGCTCTGCAGTACGTCTTCTCATGGTGAGAGCACGCTCTGGTGGCCGAACGGGCAACGGACGGGGTGCCATGGTCTGGCGCTTCTCAAAGCGGCGTTTCTCGCCGGATTCGCCGTGCGGATGGAGGCGGCGCGGACAGCAGCACGAGGCGATTATGATCCAGCAGCAGAGGAATGGTGCACATGCCAGGCCCAGGGCAATTGTGGTGGCCTTGGTTCGGCGGTTTGCCATGTTCAAGGAAGCCGAAGCGGCAGGTAAGAGAAGAATTCGAGGGCACAGCTCAGGGATGACAGTCCATGGTGAAGGAGAGACAATCGCCCGTTCTAGGGACAGAGAGGAGCAAGTCGTCGAAAAGCGAAACAAGAGGCGGTAAGACGGCACACTTTCTCAGCTCCACATCACGTACGAGGACGCGTTGGAGGTGCAGATGCGGTGCGTCATCCGCGCGCCACAGATTGTGGCTGGTGACAAGCCGGCGCTAGCAGCTTAAGTCCGGGTCCAATTGTCCTCCCAATTTCAACCTCGGGACGTTGGAGCTGTCCCCATCGCAATTGAGGAGTCGCGGATGCACAGCGCAGCGCTAGTACCGTAGAATTATCAACTGAATGACATGAGTTCACCGATCAGACTGCTTCCGTGAAACCCTTCCGACCAGTCCATGCACTTACCAACCACCATGACCTCCCCCCCACACGAGCACATCGACGACTTCACCGCACACGAATGGTGCAATGAATTGCTCTCCGACCCAACCATCACCCACATCTCGAAACGCCACATCCCCGACAACCGCAAAGGCGTCTCCAACACCTTCTTTGCGCGCACGCTCTTCACCGACGATGCTATCCGCGCATTCCTATCACTCTATCGGCCCGGAAAGGGCCACACGCGCGAAGTCGACAACACCATCATCTTCACCGGAAGCGCACCCATACACGACACCCCACATGCCGGCAGGTACGAAGTGGAGGCCAAACGCCAGCAAGCCAAGGAGGATATAGCATTCGACCTCGCCGACCCCTCCGCCGCCGAAGCCATTATTCTGGTATCCATAGGCAGTGATATAGACGGCGGCGTGCGGCGCTTGCACGGCGGGGTCACGGCCTCGTTGCTGGACCAGGTCATGGGCACGCTTCTCTCGTACTACTACGAGAACACGAGCGCGACGTCGGAGCTGAATGTGAAATACAAAAAGGCAATTGCGACGCCGTGTATCTTGAAGGTCAGAGCGAAGCTGGTGCGGGAGAAGGGGCGGTGGGTTGAGACGTGGGGGTCGGTGGAAGACGGGCGTGGCACGGTCTTCGCGGAGGGCTCGGGGGCGTTCGTGCTGGAGAAAGTTGGCGTTGCGAAGATGTGATGAACATTGTCGTTTTTCGTTAGAAGGCTGATAGAAGTGTAGATGCTAGAGTTTCTATATCATCGAAATGGGACGAGTACTTCATCGCCAATGTGGTATCTTAAGGACAAGATAGCGTTTCCAAATCCAAAGGCGTTCGACCCATACAGATGTTTGACGGCGGACGCACATGCTGTAAGCGATGATCGTCTTCGCAATCGCTTCTACATCCCCTTCTCCCGAGGTGCAAATGTTAGTTTGGGAGCACGATAAGATACGCCCTGGTCGGCGATCATGCGATTCCGAAATGGCTGACATCTTCAAGCTCCTCGTACCTGGAGCCATACGTGTTGGTATCTCAGATGGTCTGCAGTTTTCATCTGAAACCGCGTGAGCCTGCACGTGTCACGAGAGATTAGGGATTGGAGCAGGACTATAACCCAGTGCCTCTGCCTGGGCGGAGAGAGTGGGCTGCTGCTGTCCCAGTAGGCAAATTGAAAGTCGTTCCCCGGAGGCGCGGAGGAGCGAACACCGTCGAACGCTGGGATACTTTCAGTCGTGGGAGTTATGACGGACGGTGTGAATGTGTACTTCTTCCTGCTTCGTTCGCTACTCACCTATCTGGTGGGTTTACGGTAGAGCCGTCCGTCCGAGTCCAAAGTGAACTATTCGTAATGATGGCTGACGAGCGTTGCGTACAGCACATTTCGACAAGCAGCCATCGCCTTTGTCCTAGCTTTTCGAACTTGGTGCGGTACTAGTCTAAGGTCTCAGTAATGACTAGTTGTGCTTGATCTAGGTCGGAAAGTGCACATGGGAAAGATCAATTGGGGTAGTCCGACGATATGATTGTAAGCATTCATCTTGCAAGTCTCTCCTCCAACATCTCGACCTCTGACGGAATAACCTGCAACATCTCCTCTGGTGTCATGTCCACCACGACCGTTTGATATGACCCATAATTTTCGGTGCTTTGATAGGACGACAATGGATCGGAGAAACGCTCTTTTCACAGCCTGCGATGAATGTGCCCATAACTGTCTTGTTCGTTGTGAATCCAGAGTATTGCCCCACTCAATGGGGACGTTGATTCGCCCCCACTTTAGGATCCTGACACAGTAGTAAGGCAGGGTTTTGTTTGGAGGAGAAATCATGCGTGTATGATGGCGAAGACGAATCGTCAGGCTGATGAAGTCCAGTTGAATTTGGATTAGAAGGTGGCTGTGGTTGCTCATCATTCTCGCCGCCTTTTCTATTGACCGTTGAGCCACGCAAGGTTCAAGGCCGTAGATATTGGAGCTATGACGGATGGAATGCACTGTGTAGCACAAACGCTCCGGTGGGTTGGACAAGCTGCACAAAGATGGTTCGACTCAGGCTCGAATAGCTTCCACTTTCGTAGCGCGAGCTTTTACGCCACGTTGAAATCGCTGTCGGAGCGGTTGTTTTGAACGGTCGATGAGACGGATCAAGACGGTGGTCGAGTAGAAAGGCGGTCGCTTGGCAGGTCGTTCCAAACGCTCGTGAAATTGGCAGCTGCAGCCCGGGACCCCACACCGTCCTCAACCAACACACAGCGAAGCAACCCGCTCGACAAGGCGCGCAAGCCTCGCTGACGCCGGAGACGACCTTTGCAGGGCGCCCACCATGTCGAACTACCTCAACAACCTCCTCACGACTACCACGTCCAAGTACAACACGCTGCGGCGGACCCTCCTCTCAGACGAAGCCGACGGCGACACCGAAGACGACTCGCACATCGCCCGCGCGCTGCGCGCATACTACACAGAGAAAGGACGGCCATTCCCGCAATGGCTGCCGCCCGACCCCAAGGCACCGCAGGCCGCGCCGGTGCAGATGGTGTCGTCAGCAGGGCGAGGGTACGGCCAGATGGGACAGCAGCAGCCCATGACGGGCCGTGGCGGGGGGCTTGGTGATCTATGGGACTCGCCGTCGCAGGCTGCACCGCAACAGCAAGAGCCCATGTCGCTGCGCCGGGCGCAAGGCCGAGGAGGAGGCGGTCTGAGGGCGCACAACTCGCTATCGCCAGAGCCCCAGATGCAGGGCAGACCGCTGCCCAGCCAGCGCGCCGGCAGCCAGCAGAGCGCCTCGTCCTTCCGCAACGAGCTGGCACCTCAGACGACGGGCGGCTCTGCAACATCGGCACAAGACAGGCTAAAGGCACGCCTGTGGGGGTCGGGCAAGTCGCAGAACCCATCGTCTTCGCAGAACCCAAGCCCCACAACCTCGCCAGCGCCTTCAGGTGGCATGCGCAGTCAGTATGACCGACCGCAGGCGGGTGGAGGGCGCGCGCCCTATCCCGACGATCGTGGCAGCACTGGTGGATACTCGGGAGGAGGGAGGCCGCAGAACTACAACATGTCGGCCAACTCGCCGTGGTCTGGCGGCAACGACGACCCCTATGGGCCCTCATACAACAGTGCGCCGCCGCAGCAGCCCGAGAGGAGACGCATGGGCCTGCCAAATGGGCCGCGCATGCGTTGAGCGTGTTCTTGTTACTTAGCATCGGCGCATCTGGGTTCCCTTGGGCGCATGGGCTGGCGGGGGCACTGCTTCACGGGCCTGCGGCAGTACGCGAAATGGCTGCATATAGAGGTGTATTGGAGTTTTGGGTGTATAATTGAACAGTAGCGTCCAGAGGGTTAAATCAATCACACGCGCAGTGAAATCTCCCAGGGCCCCGTGAACACGCATGCACATGCGTGGTGATGGTTCGGCGTGTGCGTAGTGTTGGACTAAGCCTGCCCCGCCACAGCGCGGGACGTCATCAGGCGCTTGGGGAGTGGCTACCTCAACATGGCTCCTCCGGAACAGCTCCACCGTGGCGCGGCTTCCTAGATACTCACTGTGAGCTACCTTGACAATATATTGATACTTGCCGACCCCAAAAACCCATCATTAGACCCTCGATAGAATAACCCGCGCCCTCTGTAGCCGCCGTGCCCCGCATGGCTTCGTCCCCGACCTCCACCCGTAGCCCGCCCTCGCCCTCGGCATCCTTCTATGACTTGAGCGACGATGAAGAGGGCGAGTACAACACCATCAGACACACCGAAAGCGGGCGGGGCGTGAAGCTACTGTACACCAAAAGCAAAGTGCGTTTGCGACATGGCTCTTTGAACGGTGGCGTGACGGCTAACGTCTCACTCAACAGGTCTACATCCACCCTACGCCCTCCGCCAGAGACAACATACCCGGCTTCATAGCCCTCGTACAGCAGAAAGCCCCCGTGAAGAACAACGACGCCCGCCCAAGTACGTCCTCGTCCAAGAGCGAACATGCATCCTCCCTGCTGCTCGCCTGGCTGCCCGAGACATCCCTCGGCGACGCATACGACACCTACGTGAAAGTCGACCTGTCCGACTCCTCGTCCCCGCCGCGACAAACATACCTCGTCCCCCCGCCGCCTACCACCACATCTCACGCGTCCTCGATTGGCACATATGCTTTCGCTGTTCCCGTCAGCGAGGTCTACTCCCTGCTGGTCCGCCCTCCAAGCATCGGATGGTGGTTCGGCAGTGTGGTGGTCAATACACGCGCAGGTGACAGCTTCCCGGCGCTCTTCTTCCATGATAGCGAGTGCCAGTCTACCATCATGCAGCGCAAGAAGCTGGCCAAGGAGAGCTTCGACCCGTTCAGCGATGGCGGCGGTATGTTCTGGGGCGGCGACGAGGTCCTGCGATGGTTGAAGAGGTATGTCCACGTAGAGCGGTCGGGAGCGGACAACAGCATCTACCTCATTGAACCTACCGAGGAGGACAGGCGAGCAGTCGGCCGAAATGCACCTGTTTCGCCCAAGGCAAAGAAGGACGACGGCAAACAAGGCGAAGCTTCATCGTCGAAAGACCAAGGCAAGAGAGACGGCGGGATGGACCCGGTCACCAAGGCGCTCAAGGAGGCGAGGTGGAGCTTTCTAGAGAAGCTCAGCCAAGTCACAACGTTCACCCGGAGGACCGCACAGGCCGTTGTCGAGAACAAGAACCTCCCTCCGCAAGTACGACGGCTCATCCAGAACCCCGAAGTGCAGACACTACAAGAGGAGTTTGATAGCGCACGGTTGTATCTGGCACGATGGGCAATGGGAATCGCCGAGCAAAGCGAACGCGACCGTAACCAGAGAATATGGACAGCCAAGGACGTCCTAGCCATGGAAGAGAGCGATGTGGGAGACTTCGAGATCCTTGACATGGATCGCATGTCGATGGCTGATCGCAGAAAACCCGTCACACTGGAAGAGTGGAAGGGTTTGTTCGACAGGCATGGACGTCTCCAGGTCACGCCTGACGAAGTCAAGGAGCGCATCTTCCATGGCGGTCTGCATCCAGACGATGGCGTCCGCAAAGAAGCGTGGCTGTTCCTCCTAGGCGTGTATGACTGGAACAGCTCCGAAGAAGAGCGAAAGGCGAATCTAAACAGCCGACGAGACGAGTACATTCGCCTAAAGGGTGCATGGTGGGAAAGGATGGTCGACGGGTATGGTTCTCTCGAGGCCGAAGAATACTGGAAGGAGCAGAAGAACAGGATAGGTTCGTACCCTGATATCCCTGACCGCAGAGCATATTTGGCTGACTTGTCCCATTCTATGGGGTCCGCGCTATAGAGAAGGATGTGCATAGAACAGATCGTACTATTCCAATCTTCATGGGCGAGGACATCCCGCATCCAGACCCTGACTCGCCGTTCGCAGATGTCGGAACTAACGTCCACCTGGAGCAGATGAAGGACATGCTCCTCACCTACAACGAATACAACAAGGACCTGGGCTACGTGCAAGGCATGAGCGACTTGTTGGCTCCCATCTACGCAGTCATGCAGGACGACGCTATTGCATTCTGGGGGTTTGTTGGATTCATGGAGCGCATGGTACGTTTAAGTTTACAACTGGCCTAATTTTGCTCATACTAACGGCTATGCAGGAGCGCAACTTCCTTCGCGACCAATCCGGCATGCGCAAGCAGCTGACCACTCTTGACCATCTTGTTCAGCTAATGGACCCCAAGCTCTACGTTCACCTCCAATCTGCCGACTCCACCAACTTCTTTTTCTTTTTCAGAATGCTTCTTGTGTGGTACAAGCGCGAGTTTGAGTGGGCCGACGTTCTACGGCTCTGGGAAGGGCTTTGGACAGACTACCTCAGCAGCAACTTTCACATCTTCATCGCGTTGGCGATACTTGAGAAGCATCGCGACGTCATCCTGGCTCACCTGAAGCACTTTGACGAGGTTCTGAAATACGGTAAGTCAAGGCGGTGCTTTTGAGAAGGGTAACGTGGTATACTTATTGACAGATTGCTGACATGTCGGCAGTGAACGAGCTATCCGGCACCATGGACTTAGAGTCTACACTAGTCCGTGCCGAGTCTCTCTATCGGCGATTCCAGCGAACGGTTGAGATGATTGATAAGAAAGGGAACTTCCCATCTGCACCTGGAATGCGGCAGCGGAAACCCATCGAAGGCTCGGAGGGTCCATCAGACTCGAATGCGAAGGCATCTACATCTGCTACCGAGAACGCTAAACAACCAACCGTCGACGCGGATGCTAGGGTGATCAGCCCTGAGTTAAGGATACTGCTCAGTCGCAAAATCGAAAAGCTTGAGAAGGACGATGTCGTTAAGCATGGTGGCGGCGTCGGTTCATAGGGGAGCCACGCATAGTTTTGGTTTCATTTTCTTGCACACATCATTGGGTTCATCTTCGCATGATTTGGGTACATCGTAGGCACCAGGAAGGCACGCGGGCGTAAGGCGTAGATACCTACATACGTAGCCAGGCTCGACGATCAGGGCTTAGCGCGACTGTTTACAAGCTCACCTCTTCACCTGTCTCTTCACAATTCTCAAACGAACTACAGCTCTCTTCAATTGTCAACACCCTTGCTGAAAAGCACCGCAGCTTCGCTGTCCGCCGCTGTTTTCATTCTCGCTGTGCTGTCGTCGGCAAGGCCGCTGCTAACCATCCACCTTCACAGTCAGGGGATCTGTACAGTTCACGCGCATCCGATCCTTCATAACGCAATCAGACATCAGTCCGCTTGCGGCTACGGATAACGCCGCGATGGAATATTTGAAGTGCTTGATCACCCAGTACACTGGCAGCGAGCAACCGCCTCCACAGCCCAAACCAGAGGCACAGATCTCTCCCCAGCAACCAGCACATTCACCGAAGCAGGTGCGGACTCGTCTTCAGTGGGGTTATCCTTTTGCTCGTCCGGGAGACCCCAGAAACTCAGCACCACCGCCGTCCCCACAACCACAGCAATTGCAACATCGTCGGCGCCATAGTCACTATTACCATCGATCCAAGGGAACGAGGTAGGCCAAAGCAAGAATGGGATCAGTTCGCGGCTGACGGAGATGAGATATCACCCCAGGCACTCTTCTGCTCACACCAAAATGCCGATCGACTCTTTCGCTGGGCCTTCCTGCAAGGATCTGGTCGAATTCATGAAGAGTGTTAAGAACATTCCCGCAAAGCACAAGGATGGCTTCGAAGGCATGTCAAAGAAGGCGATCGAAACTGTGTGCGATATTGATGCGCTGCATATATGGGAGAGCGGCGATGATATCGATGACTTCTTGCACCTGACGCAGGTCATCGTCAAGCTCAAAATTGAGACGGAGAAGCACGAGGGCAGGCGAAAGAAGGAGCCAGCTATGGTCATCATTTCTTCGGAGCAAGGTAGATGATCCCTCCACTAAGCTGTGACTGCAGATGCTTACAACGATTAGCGGCAGGAAGGAACGGAGGAGATGGTTTCGAGCGAATCTGCGAGGTAGTCCGCAATTTGTTGATGTCCGGCGGAAAGAAGCACCTCAATGACACAGTGTGCGCATTCGGCGCAGTTGTCGTCGTCCGCGGCATCGACTACACTTCCTCGAGCGATAACAAAGCCGCCGTAAAGCGCATCAACACTGCCATCGAGCGAGTATTCAAGATGCAGCGCCCCGGTGTCAAACAGGTCGTCTGGCACCACGGCCCCATCCTCTCCCTCCTCCTCACTTGGATCGACAACACGACCTCGGACCTCCGCACCGCTCTCACAGCTATCAGTGTAACCGCTGCGCTCGACCTCACTTCCGGCGTCAAGCCTTCGCCCCTGGGCAAACCCAACAAGCAGGCCGACCTCCAAACCCTCGAAGACTACGCGAAGCGTCTCGACATCCCCGTCGTCTTCGTCGACCCCACCTCCCAACTCATTTCGTACGAGTACCTCGCGACCTACATGTACTACTGGGCGTACTACATCCACATATTCCTCCCCTCTTCCATCCTCCGCCCACATTTCTACGCCGCCCTCGACGCCCTCGTGACATTCTGCTTCCGGCTCCGCGGCGCGAGCGACTCTACCTACGGCACCTCCGCTGTGCGTATGGTGAAGGAACACCTCTCCGCTTCCACTGCGCGCCCCTGGGCTCGCACTTGCATCGACGCGTCTTTCTACACCAAAGAGCTCTGCCGCGGCACCGCCACCGACGCCCAGATCCACAACGCAGTCCAGCTCGCCGATTCTCCCTTTTCCCTCCTCAATCCCACAGCTGGATATCCGCTCCCCGCGTTCGCCCGCCTGCCGCTGTGCCCGTCGGACAACCCAGGTGAGACTACGGGCAAGGCGTACATCGCCGCCCGCGTGTCCTTCACACTCCTAACCTGCACATTCCGCGCTTCGTCGTCGTCTCCCTTCTACATCCTTCTCCCGCGCGAGGGGCGGGACGTCGACAGGGTCACCGCCTGGATACAAGGCAGTATGATGGGCGTGCTGGAGCGGCTGCGCAGGGACAAGGGCAAGGACGCCGTGCGCATCGACAACAAGGAAACGCACATGTATGCCGAGGTTACAAAAGCGTGTAAGTGGGCGCTGGACGGGTGTAGGGGGAAGATGCCGGAGGGGGTCGAGGGGAAGGTGAAGTTCGTGCGAGAGAAGGTGAAGAGGGGGACGTTTTGCTATGTCAGCGGGATGGTGAAGGAGGCACAGGTCGAGAGGTCCAGGTCCAGGAGGAGGAGTAGGTCTGCTGGAGGGTGGTAGGATGGGCGAATTGGTTGCGGTGCGCAGAGGAGTGGGTGGGCGGGGTGGGAGAGTAGAGGGTGCGGTGCAGGGCAGAACGGGCTGATCGGATGGGGCAACGGTGGGAGTGGGTTAGAGCTAGGCGTGTGGTGCAGCACTGCTTGCTCTCTTGCCGGAAGTCGTTGGAGTCTGATTACCGGTCAGGACTCTCGTCGACTGGCCGCCCTCCTCTGCGTTGGTTCTCTCGCCACTAAAGAGCGTGATCGGGTTCTGTTCGGCTTAGTACTGGTCTACGTGCTTGGTCGCTTCATAGGCACTGTCTCGGTTTTGAGCACTCTGCGTGTACGGCTACAGTTGTGCATTAACCTTGATAGCATTGGAAGTAGAGTGTAGAACGCATGTCTAACATCACCGCACTCGTCTCGCTTGTTTGTATTGGATTTGGAAACAGCATCGGTGTGCTAACATATCATGCTGGAACGTAGAGGATATCGATGTACTGCGGCTGTAGGAGCAGTCGGCACTCCAGTGCACAAAGTGCGCGTGCACGCGACCTACGCCCGTCCTCCGAACTTCCCAACGCGGACATTCTCCGCGTCTGCTTTGCCACGCCCCAGTTCAGATCCACAGTACTACAATCTGCCATCCCTCCACCACAACTGTCCCACGCCGTCCTATGGTCCATTCCGCCGCAGTTCGATTTCATCAACAGCTCGCTGAAGCAGTACCCATTCCACTCATCTCTGCTGAACGTGGTGCGCCAATTTTTGACCAGCAGTAAAGAACGAGCAGGGCCGCTGCCTCGACACAGGTGCTGAATGAATCGCCAATGTGGTGCTGTCTAGGGCAGACTCCTAGATCTTGGGCCCCGGCAGCGCGTAGCCGTCGCGGTACTCAACGTCGCGCCCGACCACGCTCTTGAAGAGCTTATCGACAGCCGCGAGCGTCTCCGCAGGCTTCTTCGAGCGGATATCCACGATCCATGCGTCGCTGTCAACGTCGCCGCCACCAAGGTGCGAGAAGAACGATGTCTCGTCCTCGGCGGCGAGGTCAGGGTCGTAGTCTGCATCCTCGGGGTTCGGACCAAGGTAGTGCTCCCACGGCTTTTCCTCCCACGCCGGCTTCGCATGGTAATCGTAGAACTCGAAGCGTGGACCCAACATGAGTATTGCGTAGCCGCTAGATACGCCAGCCTGGCGACCCATGGCGTCGTTCAAGATATCGGCGCGCGGCATCGAGACAAGGCCTTATCGGGCCGCATCAGCTTCTCGGGAACCCAGTGCTCGAACGTGTCCAAGTCGTCCATCATGATGGCGAGATACGTGTGTTGTGCCCAACCCGTCGAGCCGTCCTCATACTGCACCTCGTTCAGCGCCACGTAGCCGGCGATGTGCTCAGGGAAGATGCGGTGGAATTTGTCTGCGAGGATATTGCCGGCCCATGTCTCATAGACGGGTTCAGCGTTCTTCTTGACACCTGCTTTCATGTTGTCGGACTTACGCTTGGTCGCGGTGTAGCAGTCTTCAGGATAGATCCAGGTGCGCCAGCCACCGAACTGGACGAGAGGGAATGCGGCGTGCTCAACGCGGTAGCCTTGGTCCGCGGGGTAGTAGTGCTCGAGGAGGACGACGGCTAAGGCTTTGGCTTTGTCGAGGCAGGGGTCGTGCTTCGCTCGTACCTTTGTCATGAGCGCTGGGTCGAAGTATTTGACGTAGTTGAAACCCTTGGGTCCTGGATTATTCTAAGTATTCGGCCGGTGTGCACGTTCTATATAGCCTCCCCAATCTTGGAAGGGGCTGGGAAGCTTTTGGCGTAAGAGGCGAAGAGTGTTTGGATGGAGTCACTAACTGTGACCACTTGATATGCATGGTCCTCTATCCACTCCGTGTCCTGAGGCAACACTACGGGCTCTGTTGTCTCGTCCGACACTGGTACCAAGCCATGGACTTCGGTCGTTGAGGCGTTTGCTGCAACATCGGGAAGTGGTGTGCCCATCACGTTGTCAGCCACGTTGGGCGCGAATCCCTCGGATTGGTTATGAATGGCTTCAGGTTGATGAGTCGTCATATCAGGCGGGTCGATGTCCATCACAACGCTAGGCTCGTCATGAGTCGCGCCAAAATTGGCGTTCGTGTCCGACATCGCTGCGGCGTTAGATTTGCGATGTATGTTCGAGCTGATCGAGAGGATTGGAGGCTCCGCGCGGAGCACCAGCTTTACACCAGGGGTTGGGTGGCCCTAATTACTTGGAAGGGCCTCAGCGTAGGTTGAAAATAAGAGACTCGAGCACTTAGATGTTCTTGCTAACGATGCGGCCGAGGAGATCGTTGATTCGATGCGCGCAGCGATGTCAAGTCTCAGATCCGGGAGATGCAGGCGTGGGATCTCCCGGGCCAGCTGCTGCTTCCTTCTTTGCCTGTTCTCGCGCTTTCCGCTTGACCTTTTTCTCGCGATTCCGTCTCGTGCGCTTCTCACGTTCGGCCTCCTCTTTTTCTTTGGCAAGTCGCGCTTGCTCGGCTTGTTTGTCGTTGGTGGCTTGCATCTTCTTGCGCAAAGCAATCCTGCTCTTCTTGCCCTTGCGCGTCCTCTTCTTGGTTTGTTCGTCGACCTCAAATGGGACAGAAGGATGACCAACGAGGACAATCTGCTTCAGCCCGGAAGACGTGATCGTGCGCACCTTCCAAGGTACCGCACAGCCAGGCCACGGTATCTTGGCTATGTCCAACACGTCCGCCCCGGTCACTGCAGCTGCGACATATTCCTTCTCCCTCTCACTTGTGATCTCATCCGCAAAGTAGTAGCTTCTTGGCTTCTGCACTCGCATACCAGGCTCCCCAGACGCTTCTGGCGACGTCAGACGGATTTTGTGCGAATCGCCAGCCTTCGACGGCCCCGCAAAGAGCACGAGTTCGGCTTCTTCATCGCTTTCAGCGGCGTCATCGCGAGCTTCTCCGGAGTCATTCTCTCGGTTTGTGAATATGAATTCGCTCTGAGCGCGGGATCGGAGAAATTCAGTCACATCAGGATCAGGACTCGATCGAGGCGACGATGCAGGAGAGTGGAGATCCGCGCGGCCAACACTATTAACAATCAATTAAGCACTTTGTTATCGGAGCCGGACAGTATGTACCTTTTAGCGCCCGTCGCGAACATGGTGGTGTGTATGCGTGGTGGTTTACGGAATTTTTGGAGCTTGGACGTTGAGCCTCGGATGATCGACGTGCCAAGATTGCTATCCCTGTCACAGCGCTTCAGGCTACAGAGGATTGCTCCCCCAGACTGGACAATCTTGAGTTCCGATTCGCCTCCAACCGCATTTCCGACCGGTTCCTTTTCAGAGATGGTTGATCTCTGTTATTGAAACGCATGTAGGATCCCCGATCAGCGACACAACTTTAATGGAGGTACAGCACATGAATGGACACCACAGGTAATTGAGATAACGAGAAGCGGTTTGCTGTCGGTACCGAATGTTTCAAGATTGCGACATCATAAAGATTGTTTGAGGTTTGAAAGTTGCCTCTAGACTGCCCAAAAGCGAACGTGAACACGCTCAGCAATCCAGAGTGGCTTCGCGCGCATCTTACCTCGCCAGCGCTGTTCAGTCATGCCTCTCAACAAAGCTCTACCCTGGTATCAGAACGAGTTCTAGTTGCATCAATACAGTGAGTGCTGGGACTTGGGACCGAGATGTGATGCCTTACTTCCATTGCTTCTAGATAGCGAGATCGGAACCTCTTGCGCGCTTCCCGGTATGCCATCTCAAAACAACGCCGTGCCTTCGTCGCCGGTGTCGCACCTGGAGCGCTGCAATAGCGACTCCAACAACCGCCAAAAGAACGCCCAAAGCACCGAAAGCGAGTGTCGCGCCATTTTAACCGTGAGGATCTTTATTTCTTGTGAATGATCGTTGGCGTTCGCAGAGGTGGACATGGGTCGATCTGTGCGCAAAGCAACGCAGGACCAAGCATATAGTGAGCCATGGGTACACATTGACGAAGATGCACTGTTGATTTGTTAGAACTCCAATGGGATGAACAAATGAGGGGCAGGAGGACTCCCGCGGTGGGTGGGTTTATACTCCAGAAGATGGGGCAGTGGTTGAACACCTCATACGGAGTCTTTCGCTGGCATATTGTTCGGCTGGTGGCGTAGACGAGGCATACGGCCTTCATCCAGATAACGGGTCGTAGCGTTTCGTTTTGACCAATGAGGGGCGACTCACTGTTCGTCCCATTCGAGAATTTCCGCTTTAAGACAAGCCAAGCTGCACGCACTCCAGATCGCATGTCAGATATAGTGGTGTCTTGGCCAATCCTTACCGACAACACCGACTCTTGGTCCAGTGTTACCTTGCCCACAGAAAGGACCCCTGGTCATACTTACTGGCAACAACGACCCCTGGTCACTCTTACTGACAAGAGAAACCCCTTCCCACCTTACCGGCAACAATGACCCCTGCTCGCCTTCTTGTTCACTGCTATAGTCTAGAGTGTCTCTTCATTGCCCGACAGGGTCCTCGGTAATTTCAGCCTCGTTCAGCAAAGATGTTGATACTGAACGATGGTGCGATGTCACTGATAGGATCGCTCATCGCTTCTCCGTACTCACCAGTAGTCGCACTCCAATCACGGGTGTTCTACTCAGCCTCCACCGTACCCCCGACAACCATTCGTCAAATGCATCCGACTAAATGGATTATACTATGCAAGACTACCTCAGATTTTCCTACGCATTCATGATTCGTGGCGTCAGGACGCATATATCCGTGGCACTCTGTCTGTGGTAGAGGGAAAGGAAAAGCCTGGAGAATTTTCGCTCGAATTTTGAATCGTGTTCCTCATTTACACTCAGACAACAACGGTATATGTCAAAGAGAAGAATATTCCTCAGACAAAACGAATTAAAAAAAATTCCGTGAGAATCACCTAATGTACATTCGAGGCAAGGAAGAGTGAGCAGAAGGTGTCTTGAACGACTCAGTCGCACTAACCCGATCCGGATATCGTCATCACGCAATCGGCTTAGTAACGCCTAACCATCCAACCACGCGCAAGCTTACAGTACCGTTTTATATATTATAGAAGCGATTTCTAGGGCCCTAAAAGTGAGAAAACTGTGTGGGCCCTCATTTCCAGCCGTGTGAAATAGTCGATTAGGACTGGTGCTGACCCACCGAAAACCCACGGTCTTTACCTGTCGCCGAAATCGCTCTTAGAGAAGGAACTTTAGAACCTTTGTTCCCGCCACGTTCGAACGCCCTCCTTCCCTCCACTTCGATCATTGTATTGCATATCATGGCGACTCTTCTCCGTACTCCTGGGGCGTGCCAAAGAGCAGTTTCAGCTGCACAAGCTCGGACTTTGGCTTCTGTAGCTTCCGCCGCCGCTTCCTCTCGAAGTCACAGGGTGGTCGTTGTTGGCGGAGGAACTGCAGGAATGACAGTCAGCCACCAGCTTCTCCGCACCGGAAAATTCACCCAGGATGACATTGCAGTTGTGGACCCTGCCGAATGGCATCACTACCAGCCTGGATGGACCTTAGTCGGCGGAGGCTTGAAGAACAAGGAAGATCTGCGACAGCCACTCACAAAGCTCGTCGACCCAAAGCTAAAGTTCTACAACGAGCAAGTGGGCGCGTTCGTCCCAGAGGAGAATCTCATTACGTTAAGCAATGGGGACAAGTTGAATTACGAGCAGCTCGTGGTCGCTCCCGGTATCAACGTCGACACCAGCACAATCAAAGGTCTACCCGAGGCATTGGCCGATCCAAAGTCCCCCGTTTCCACCATATTCAAATACGATACCTGCGACAAGGCATCCAGGAACATTAAAGACTTCAAGAAGGGCACTGCCATCTTCACCCACCCTGCTGGAGCCATCAAGTGTGCAGGTGCACCTCAAAAAATCATGTGGTTGGCTTCGGATCATTGGCGGCGGACAGGTTTGTATAACTACAACGATCCTGCCTCATCGCCTATCAACATCTCGTTCGCGACTGGTCTCCCGGTCATGTTCGGTGTACCGAAGTACAGCGCTACTCTGGAAGCTTTGCGAAAGGAGAGGAACGTCGAGGGTCTTTTCCAGCATGACCTCGTTGAGATCAACGGCAATACTGCCACCTTCGCGCGTCCTGACGGCGCGGACAAAGTCACGAAGAAATTCGATCTACTGCATGCCGTGCCCAAGATGGGCCCGTACGCCTTTGTCAAGAACAGCAATCTCGCTGACCAAGCCGGCTATGTCGATGTAGACCAAGCTACGCTCCAGCACAAGAAATACTTCAACGTGTGGTCCGCCGGCGATGCGTCATCTCTCCCGACCTCCAAGACTGCCGCCGCCATTACCGCCCAAGCTCCCGTCCTGGTCAGCAACTTGCTACGAAGTATGGAGGGGCAGGATGTCCAGGCGGGTTATGATGGGTACACTTCTTGCCCCTTGCTGACCGAGTACGGCAAGGTGTTGCTTGCAGAGTTCAAGTACGGTGGTGTACCAAAAGAGACGTTTGGGAAGCTTTTCGGCATCGATCAAGGCACGCCAAAGAAGGCTTTCTATTACCTGAAGAAGGATTTCTTCCCTTGGGTCTACCAGAACCACATGGTCAAGGGTCGCTGGGGTGGACCCAATGGGTTCATTCGGTGAACGCAACAATGCGGTGTCGATATTGCCTTGGGAAGTACAAACCGGTTCATCCCAAGACAGGCAAAAGAGAAGGTCTAAACAATGTGAGTATGAAAAGATAGTTGGTGTTTTTGTAAGATCAGCCGATGTAAACGATGACCCAATATGTTCAAGGAAGCTAAATACAGATTCGTTGCTATTTTTTTTGTGCTTCACCGCTTTCCCGCACAGGATCCATGCCCTGCCTTACTTATTGACTATTTTGCGTTGCGTCGTGGGCAATTGCAACAGTGCCACTCAGTCAGGCTTCAAAAGCCAGACTTACAGAGAGTATCTAGGTCCTTCTTGACCTTCGGCCGGATTGTCATATATACCTGAATCGTAATATCCATAACTGACTGCGCCCAGATTACAGACGCCATGCTGAATTTTCGGTTGCTTGCCCATGGCAAAGCCGATCATGGAGCTGAATAGAGATAGCCTCAGTAATGACCCTCTCATCAAATGCTTTGGTAGAATACCGATAACTATAATTCGGTCCGCTTCTAATCAGACAGCACAACCCCTTCATATTCCCACTTCGTTGTATTATCCAGGCGTATCTTGAAGGACTGAATGCTCCCATTGCTCTGCAGCCCTACAAACCGCGGCTCGTCAGGAGAAGCTATCAGTGCGCCTGACGTAAAGTTGAAAGTAGAAGGAGCTTTAGTAAGCTCGGGTATGGAACTCCCCGTCCAATTTTTGGTCGTTTGATTCGTGTATTGATTGATCAGCAATTGACTCCCGTCACTGGCGATGGACAAAAGAAGAAGATCGTTATATGACCCTGCTTCGGCGTCTTGGGAAGCAGGAATAACAGCGGATGACAATTGCAATGGACTGCCATCCCCACCTGTGCGCGATCCCTCAATTCTTGTTCCTGTATCTGGGTGAGCTAATGAGCAGCATGAGGCGTTGACTTCCACTCACTGGATCCGCTAGACGGCCACCACAACTTTTCCTGCAACTCCTTTGGCGTCTGGAGATACATCTTCGGGACGAACGCGCTACTGTCATTCGAGTATGGCGATCCTGTTGAAGTCATCGTAAGACCCGTCCCCGACTGCACGTCATCGCCAGTCACAAGACTCTGGTTGGTCCAGTCTTCCTGTGTCAATCTGACAACTTTTTTGTTCGCCGCCTGGTACACTACTTGGATCCAATCACCTGCACCTCCAGACTGGCACTGGCTTCCTTTGCAGGCCACGGTGAACGCTGCAAGTTGCGAATTCTCCGCCGCAGTCTTCCTGCCACTCATAGATGATAGGCAGCACATGCCCCAGCCCGTCTTCGCTGTGATGGTATCGGTGCTCATCTGCTCAACCGTGTTCTGGTTGGAGAGGTAGAACAGCGCGATTGTGGCGAACTTTGGGAATGTGTTGTGTAGACGTACAGTGGCCGCGAGCGGGGTTCCTGGTTTGGGAGATACGTATTGTTCGTTGTACGCATTTTTCACATCCATTGAGCCGTTGAGTGTGAGATTGACCTTCGTCCATTTCTGGGTATCGGACTCCCATATGGATGCCATCAAGTCGTTCGTGACGGCCTGCCAAAAGACGGCGCGGTAGTAGACGCCGTTGTCATCACCACTTGTCCAATTCACGGCGGCTATCCTCGAGTTGCTAAGAACCTGTCGGTCCTGCGAATTGCCTGGCTGGGGAGCCTCTGTCGGTGTGGCATCTTCTGATGCGCGTTTTGCATGTCTCGATCCTAGAATTCCTCCCGCAACAGCACCGACAATCACGACAATGCCGACTAAAACACCCAAGATAATCAGTCGTCGCCGCCGTTTTCCCGGAGAAGAAACCACCTCTTTGTCAATATCGACTTCTGTGGGTTGTGACGCGCTGTACATGGGAGGTTGATTCGCAACGCCTTGGCCCGGAACTACCTCTGGGGAGGCATGTGGATCCAACGCTATCGGTCCGCTTGCGTACTCGGGAGCCTTATACTTGAACGTGTCTTGCCCGTCTGTCTCAACAACCTCGAGATTGCTGTAGGATTGGTGGTTTTCTGGTACATGTGCCATCGAGGGCGGAATGGTAAAAGTGCAGAGCTGCACTGAGGAAGACTGAAAGCGCACGGTGATGTAAGACAAGCGGAGTCCCACCCAGTTTCATGTAGGACAAGACCCACGGGCTATTTTGCGCTGCCTCACAACCGACATCTCGGGTCGTGGGACCATGCGTACTTGGCGGTAGTACAGGGAACAGCATTCAAGTGTTCCCAACGCATGCCCGAAAGAAACTTCAGGATAAGGGCATCTACTAGCCTTTTTGAGCATTCGTTACAACTTCATAATCAGCTTGTGTTCCGAGTCGATGTTAAGATCTTCCTGAAGCTCCCAGAGTACCCAGGCGCTTTGGAGAGCTGGACCCGAGCTGCTATTACCCTGTAGCTGCCGCGTTCCCGAACCATGATGTCCGCCTTGAGGGCCAAATATGTCGTACGGCGACCAGTCGGGATGCCCGGGCCAATCCAAAGCTCCGCTACTCGCAATTTGAAGCGGCCAAGACCGGCCTATACAAATGGGGAACCTTTCGCACCATGCAAGCCTGGGCGTTACCCCTGCGCCGTTATTGACCCGTGGCGCCGAAGCCCGACCTGAAGCTTTGGGGGCCATGATCTGCCTCAAGTACTCCGACCAGCCTCCTCATAGCCACATCAAATGTCCGAGATCGCCCGCAAGTTGAGGCGCAAAGCAAGCAATGCCTCGATCGTTGCAGATGTGGTATGCATTCGCACTGGAACCATCGAATCGCTCACACAACGTGGCAATCGAAACTCAACGAGTGGGCTGTACGCTTGCGCCATGGGTTTTTCACACTATTCAATCGCCAGCGTTTAGTATCCGCGTTGGCATACGTTTTTCGTCCAGATTTGCGTGGGTACTGGTACTCCACACTGGAGGCATACACGACAGGGGTTCCTCGCCAAACCTGCTATGATGGGAAAACATCTTTCTCGCGCTGGTGGGTTTTGCAGTTGCATCATCAACGAACCCGCTTCCTTGACACGGCTGTTCAGTTGCACTGAAACTGATAAATATTGGGAATTCGTGCACTGCGCGTTACTGACAAAGTATTCCGCAGCCAAGGTGGAGTGCATACCCTGGCTATTGTGATTGCTTCGGCAAGAGGGGAACCTCCCAGAAATCCGTGAGGCGATTTTTGCATCGCAACCTTGATTCTCGCCTGGCGTTATGCAGAGGGCCTCCGCCTGGTAAAGGTCTCGGTGCGACAGTGACAAGAAGTCCTTACCCGGTCGTGAACTCATCATACTCCACGAAAGGTTGAATGACGAGCCGATGTCCAAGCGGAACTCAAGAGCAACCACACTCATGGACAGATCGCAGCAATAAGCGGGTTTCGTCGATGGTGGTCTCACGATTTGATATTTGCAAAAAAAAAAAATATGCCTGTTGGCAATATGGACTGAATAAATGAGTAGAGGTTTGTTACGTTTGGCAAGTATACAATCAATAAAGGCCCAAAGACGGTTCAAATGTGCAATGCGAATTCGGGACGACGCCACGAGAAGCTCGGTCGATCATCGCACCGAAAGGGTTGGCGGAAAAACACAGACCGATTCTACGCCATTGTACCCCACAACCTCGCCATACGCCATTCCCAGTGGATTCGCGACCATACCCATGGTGGGTTTACCCTGTGGGACCATTAAATTCTCCGAGCGCCGCTGAAGGTCTTCCGGAAGTGAGCGTTCATCGGTTTGCTGATCATTGTGGTTGCGAGATTTATGATTGCAATGACCGAGGCCAAGCACATTAACCGCGAGTATATTTAATAGACATGGCATGACTTCTCGTTGTCTCGTCACGCCTCATTGCCTTCAATTTCAAAGATGCGCGGAGTTGCGATTGCCCTAGTGGGCCTATTCCAGCTCGCCACCACCACAGATACTGCTGTAAAGGTTAAGTGGCTGGAAGGCGCGCCAAAGATCAATAGCGGTACTACATTCGGTCTTCCTTGGGCTCGTGGAAAACATCTTGCCAATGCTACCTCGTTCACAGCCTCGTCGGGAGAGCTCCAGTCTTGGATAACAGCTTTCTGGCCGGATGGCACGATCAAATGGACTGGACACGCCATTCCAGCATCAGAAAACACCGCCGAGGAATATACGATCACGGCTTCAGGATCTGGAAACGGCACCGCACGACTTTCCAAGAGGCAAACCAGCAATTCATCGACGATTCAGGTCACAGAATCATCAGACGCGATTAGCGTCAACACTGGAAAGATTGCAGTCTCATTTGCCAAATCGGGAAGCGCAGTCGTGTCTTCGATCAAAACTCTAAATGGCAAGATCGTAGGCCAGAATGGTCGCTTGATCCTGAAGTCGCAGTCTGGAATAGCTGAAGAGGGAGATGCAAGCGCGATCGAATACTCCAGCTTCTTTAGCAAGATCTACAACGCAACTGTGTCTGAAGAGAGCAAGATACGCGCTTTAGTGACAGTACAGGGGATTCATCATGCCGAAGCTGGTTCCCACAAAGACTGGCTTCCTTTTACGCTACGATTCTACCTGTACGCCAACTCAGACGCCATTCGGACAGTGCACACCATTGTGTACGATGGCGATGCCAAATCCGACTTCATCTCGGGACTGGGTATCCGCTTCGATGTACCTCTTTCCGGTGAAAGATTAGTCGATCGACACGTGAGGATTGCGGGAACGGATGGGGGCATCTTGCACGAGGCCGTGCAAGGAATTACTGGATTACGTCGCGACCCTGGGGAAGCAGTACGCACTGCTCAATACAATGGAGAAAAGACGCCACCCAACAGCACTTGGGATACCAAAACCTCTACTCGTCTTCAATGGATCCCTACCTGGAACGACTATCGCCTAACCCAGCTTTCACCTGATGGTTTTAACATCAAGAAACGGACAAAAGAAGGACAAAGCTGGCTAAAGATTCCCGGTGGCACGCGATCTGGAGGTTTGGCATATCTGGGAGGCGCTACCGTTGGAGGCCTGGCAGTTGGGCTTCGTGACTTCTGGAAGAAGTATCCAACTAGCCTCGATGTTTCCAATGCGGCGAGCGATGAGGGATCAATAACCGTCTGGCTTTACAGTCCCTCTGCCGAGCCGATGGACCTACGTCCATATCACGATGGATTGGGTGAAGACACGTACGCAAAGCAGCTCGATGCGTTAGAAATCACTTATGAAGATTACGAAGACCGGTACAATACTCCCTATGGAATTGCGCGGACAAATGAGGTTTTCATCTACGCGTTCGACAGTACGCCCCCGGCTGAAAGTCTCTCCACCTTGGTAGATCACACAAATGAACCACCGGTGCTTGTAGCCGAGTCTGAATACATCAAGGAGACCAGAGCACTTGGTTCTTATTGGAATGTTCGAGGAGCGCCGTCGAACTCTTCTACCGATACAGCAACTATCGAATCTCACCTCGACTTTCTCATCAAATTCTACAGAGATCAAATTGAGCAGCGCCGCTGGTATGGTTTCTGGGACCATGGTGATATCATGCATGGTTACGATACGGACCGACACCAATGGAAGTACGATATCGGAGGCTATGCATGGGACAATAGCGAGCTTTCCCCGGATCTGTTCTTCTGGAATCAATTCTTGCGCACCGGACGCGCGGACGTCTATCGTCTAGCAGAAGCTCAGGTTCGTCACGGTGGGGAAGTAGATTCGTACCATCTGGGTAACTTTACTGGTTTGGGCACTCGACACGGTGTACAACATTGGGGCGACAGTGCAAAGCAAGTTCGTATATCTACACCAGTGTACCGCAAGACGTTTTACTATCTGTCTGGTGGCGATGAGCGGACAGGCGACCTGGTTCACGAAGCTCTGAAAGCTGAACAAGCCTTCGTACTCGTTGACGCCCGTCGCAAAGTGCGCGATCCCAGCGTCATCTACAAGCCTGATCCTACGGCTCTGTACCTGAACTTCGGTACTGACTGGGCAGGCGTGGCAGCCGCTCAACTACTGGAGTGGGAGCGTCGCGGTCCGCGCTGGGAAGAGGCACGCGACAAGCTTATCGAGACGGCGAAGACGTTCCCAAAGTTGAAGTTTGGCTTTGTGACAGGCGAAGCGTTGTACAACTCGGAGGACGGGTCATGGGCGCCACCTCCAACGGATCCAAACAACAACGGCACAATCACAGTATCTCACCTCTCCGCCGTCTTCGGCGTGTTGGAAACCCTCGATCAGCTCTTCGAACACTTTCCAGAGATCTCGAAAGCATTTGTTGACGCGTGGCTAGACTACTGCTATTACTACGGAGCTTCGAAAGCTGAGCAGAAGGCACGGTATGGCAAGGACTTCGGTTCTCTTAATTTGAGACAAGGACACTCGCGCTTGACGGCGTATGTCGCGAACAAGAGGAACAATGCAACGCTTTCACAGAGAGCGTGGAACGAGTTCCTGAATGACAACAGCGCAGACGAATTGAGTCCTGATGACCCTTGGGCAACGGTCAGGTTCAATGGAAGTGAGGTGCTAACTCCTGTTGATGAAGCGGACTGGATCACCACCAATGCCGCGGCTTTGTATGGACTTGCGGCGATTGAATTGATTGCTCTCACGTAGGATTGATCTAAGAAGTGGTCCTTTTTTCGTTCCCTAAATAAAATGAAAATTTAGGACTGGAAACGTGAAATTCTCGGGCTCCGTCCTATTGCAACTGTCCAGCACTTCTTCAATCGAGGAATTGAGTGAATGTATTTATGATGTGGTTAGTGTTGATCCGTGGCATGGGCGAGCGGTCCATGGCTCCCGACAACCCAGTCCAACTTTCCAAAGATGACCTCGACATCAACGTACCTGACTTTGTTAACCGTTCTGGAGTCTTCCCGTTACACGACGTTTACGGAAATAGTTTCGCAAGTATCGGAAGTATTTCCAATTTCACATTTGGAAAGTTCCGGGTCTGCTATGATCAGAATAGTGTGGGGCATTCCAGAGGGCTATAACGGATGGGTAGGGATGCCTACACCGTACGGTCTGGGTAACGCTCGAATTATGACCAACCATGCAATATCCGACCTGGCGTTCGTACACGCATTACAAGGGAAGATGGCTGTCCAGGAAACTTCTCGTCAAGGGATCCCTGTAGCCCCAGCACTGGACCTTACAGCTTTCCAAAATTCCTACTTCACCAGAGGCAATGGCACTTCACGCGAAGAAGCGACAATGCCTCTCACTGCGTCCATTGTTCCTTTGATGAACCAGAAACCGCAAATTACCAGGAATGGGTGACGCGAGCACTGGGTAATAAGAGTATACACAATGACAAATGGACGCAGCCTCATGGCTCAAACTTGAGCTCCGTTTCTGCAGCTGCCAATCGATCTGTTGAAGCACTTCTGAAAAAGCCTGGATACTTGCATAAGCTATTTATAAGATGGTCGCATGGTGACAGTCGCCGACATTGTGACTAGCAAGGTGGTACCGCGCCAAAGAAGAAATGCTTGAAGATGGCTCATACGAGTATCCTAAGCTGACGGTCATCGACGCCATCAGAGCCTGAACTAAGCGCGTGTAATAGGAATGGAAGGAGTCATATGTTGAAAGAGGGGAGCCGTTCCATCAGATGCTCGGAGTGACTCTGCCGCCGTCAATGTTTCATATACTATCAGATTGCGCAGCTGCGCCAAAGTGCCAGTGCAAGATTTCCCGTAGTTCATCGACGGACTTGGGATTTAATTCTTGACAATCATCGCCCGCACTTGAATTATGGATAAATATACCCGCTTTCCATTTTTTATAGAGGCTTAGAATTGACGTCCTCCTCTCTATGGATAACGTTCCGCGTGGTCATGATAAAGCTACCGGTGGCCGCGGAATGACTCCGCCCTGCAATTCCGCCTCAGAACATTAGCATATTCAGGGTTGTACAACCCAACTTGGACCCTTCACACCAACCAACATTTCATATCAAAGCATAAAATGACTCTTTCGATATCGTCTGCTACACCTGAAAATAGTGTTGCGTACATCAATGGACGAGTATACACCATCAACAACGCGCAGCCGTGGGCTTCCGGCTTCATCGTATCTCCCGACGGCAGGTTTACCTATATCGGCGGAAATGATGACATACAGAATACGGCCAAGGAACTGGGCCTTGTAACGGTCGACTTGAAGCAGAGATTTGTCATGCCTGGCATTCACGACGCGCACATGCACCTCCTTTACTCTGGCATGATGCTGACAAGCGATGTTGATATCGGAATGGAGAGTACCAGTGAAACCATTGCTGAGGAGATCCAAAACGGAATGTGTAGGTGCGAATACATAAACGCGCGCCAGGACTGGGTCATGGCAGCAATGTATAGCAACCCTGGTTTTCCGAACGGCGTGCCGGATCGGAAGTACCTGGACGAGAAGTTTCCGGACCAACCTGTCGTGGTAGTGGGAGGCGCCGGGCATTCGCATTTCTTGAACACAGAGGCGTTGAAAAAAGCGGGTTATGATCTAGAGAATGAAGAAGATGTCCAAGGTGGCAAGTTCTTTCGCAGGGAGGATGGAAGTCTGACTGGGGAGCTGGGAGAAACAGCAGCGACCAAGGCGATGATTGCTATGCCTAAGCCTAGTCTGGCACAGGTCAAGAGAGTGCTCAAAACTGCTATACACGCTGCAAACAAAGCAGGTGTCACGAGCTGCCAGGAAGCGAGTGCGAACACTCTCCTTCTTCATGCGCTTCACGAACTCGACCAAGAGGGGGGATTGCGGATGAACGTTGCGACTCATATTGTCCATGGACCAGAGTTCATCGCTCACGAGTCCAAGGACACCCTCCATCCACTCATTCAAAAAGCCCATGAATTTCGAAGTCAACACGTGGACACCCGTTTTGTGAAGATTCTACTCGACGGTGTTCCCCTACCACCACTCTTCACTCATTGCGAGCTTGATAGCGACCAAAAACCGAATCAAGATAAGTTGCTAGTGTTAGATGCGGCCGAGGCGATCAAAAAGTATGATTCACAGGGTGTAACTGTGAAAGTTCATTGTACCGGCCATGGCGCCACACGCATGACACTCGACGCGATAGAGAAGGCAAGAGCAGCAAATCCTAACGGGCCTCGACATGAGGTTGCACACTGCAGTGGCGTGCATGATGGTACTTGCTCTGACTCCAATAGCAATAAGAAGGGCCTGCTAATAGTCTTTCAGACGAGTATGCGCGCTTCAGGCAGTTGAACGTGACAGCGGAGATGTCACCTGCGGAATTCTTTGTGCATCCTTTCACCGCAAATTCTGAAGGCCTAATGGACTGGAACTTTCGGAAGATGCTAAATGCTGATGTGTTTCTGACTATAGGGTCCGATTGGGGCGCTACAGCAGACCCTTCGCTATTTGGCCCCGTGTCCAGGGTGGTCGAATCGGTGGGGAACGGGTCCAAAGAGCGTGGCGGTGAAGCGCTATGTCGTATGCTGACCCTTCACGGCGCAATGGCTGTTGGCGCAGATAAAGAGGTAGGTAGTATCGAAGTGGGAAAGAAGGCGAACTTCATCATGCTCGACAAAGACTTGAGCCTAGGAGATTTCGACGGGGCCACAGTGCTAAGGACGTACTTCGAGGGAGAATGTGTTTGGGATAGCGAAGTATCGTGAATTGGCTCACCCATACCTGGCTAGCTCCATAATTTGTTGCTGACAACACTCTTGTTTATGGTGGAAAGCCGCTACGCATGGCTTACGACTTCCGTCTCTTGGGCTGGGCGCGTGTCTAAACATACCATAGATACCGTCTGTTCTACTCATAAGCACCATCATCGCAAATTTAGGTTGACTCCATCCAAACGGTGAAGTGTCAGATTATCAGAGTCTTTCTGGCAGGATCATTTCGAAACATTGTTCATCGTCTCTGACTTGAGCACGAATATTCACGTGACGATTTCAGCACCTACACCTTTCGTCACAGAGTGTGCCTGAATCCGGCATGAAAAAGGAAAACCGGCAGGTCAATCTCAACAAAATCCAATAGTACACTCTCAGTGAAGGTATCTATGTAGAGATCCAGCCCTACAAACGCGCTCAGGCGGGCTCGGGGGTTTGGCTCCACAGTTATTTTCAGCCACAACCGATAAAGCCATAATATTTTGTCCTGTAGCTATCACTCCAGCGAACGCGCGTGCGATCCAAATGACTTTCTCCGGAGTGTGTGTATTTTCGCATCCCCGCACCCGCACTCCGAAGCTTGGCTTCGGGATCTCCACCAGGGTCCGTGTATCCCCAAACAGCCGCACCAGGCAGCCGCCAACTCTTGGGACCCTGATTCCGGCCAGTGAAAAAAACCAAAGGACTGCAAACAACATCGAAGACTTGCCATTTCAACAGCTGAATCGTGATGGCTGAAACTCAGACTCGGGGGCGCCTTGCAGGTGGCATATACGGAATGCGTTCCGCGAAGGTGGCACCTGCAAGCGAGGAGCGAAAAATACAGGCTGTGAACGACGAACGAGAGATCATTTAAAGGTAACGATATAGAGTTGGCCATCACGGTGAAGTCCCCGCCCGTCTACTATTTCTGTCTAAATAATTACGTTGGACGTTGCTGGCTATGTCAGTTGTCAAGTGGCTGATGGTACCGCAAACGCCACTAGCAGATCGGTAGGACATCCGCATGTTTGACGAATGACAACTGCCACGCACACTCAGTGATCCCAATCTGTCATCTCAACATTTAGCGGGCCGGTGGGGACGGTGCCTACCCGAGCTAAACTCACCCTGGAGCCGTCTTATCGGTGCACAGCCACCCGTCTGATTGGCCTGGGGCAATTGTCTCGACTTCACCTTGACAGCTGATTCACTCGTCCCACGACGGACATGGTTCTTACTGCAGCACGACATGATAGCCATCATATTAGCCATCTCCGGCTCCGACAAAGGGTTCTGGAGGCCTGGTCTTGGTATGTCAATGTGAGACTTTACTTAAGGACTGGACTCATAGCCCTGGCTACTTTTGTTGTTGTCAACTCCTTGCAGTCGCCCCAGTCCACAGAACAGCCTCTGCGCCCTCGTTATAAACTGTTCACTTATTACACCGCCGAATTGGTTCGTGTCAACCTCCAACATGACATCGCCGACACATCCCAATGTCGACCTGGTGCCGGGTACCGAGATCATGAATTCAGATGGCCGAGAGAAGAAGGCGTTGATTCCTACGCCTTCAAACGATCCCCGTGATCCCTTGAACTGGTCAAAGAAATGGAAACGTAGGTCGCCGGCTGATTATCCTTCAAGATATTGATCTTGTCGCAGTCATGGTAATGGCAAGTCAATGGCTCTTCACGTGGATCTCAGTCACGGGAGCTTTGTCAATCGCACCAATGTTCCCACTCCTTGGCCAGGAGTTCCATCTCAACAACTCCCAGCTTGCATTTCTGACCGGCATCACGGTCATCACGCTCGGAGTCGCTGGATTTATCATTGTTCCCCTAAGTAATATCTTCGGCCGTCGCGCAGTCAGCTTGACCTTCGCTGTTTTGATCATGCTCACCTGCATTTGGCAGGCCCTTGCCACTTCTCACCGAAGTCTTCTCGCAGCTCGAGCACTGAATGGTGTCGTCTGCGCGACAAGCGAAACTATCCCGGTGCAGATGATCGCCGACGTATTCTTCCTCTATGAGCGTGGTGCCTGGACTGGCGTGTACTTCACCGGTTACTTCCTCGGCGCGTTCCTCGGCCCAGTCATGAGCGGATCGATCGCCGCTCACCATGGCTGGAAATCCTTTTTCTGGCTCGAGACCGGCTTGTCTGCATTTGCGATCATCTTGATCTTCTTCACGTTCCCAGAGACGAAGTATCACCGCGACAACACGAAGGGCTACACTGGCGCGACGACTCCAGAATCAAATCAAAGTCAAGCTGCTATCACAGAAGATGGCAGTGGTCAAAGCTCTGTTGAGAAGCAAGATCCCCATATCCGCAATCGCCAAATGAGCAGTGAAACTGCGTTGCCTCCTCTTGGCCAGGGTCGACCCTCGCGAGCACAGTTCATGCCCTTCCGGAAGCCAGACCCCCGCTGGAAGATGTTCGTTGTGCGCGACACCTGGACACCTGTTAAGGTCTTCTTCAATCCCATCATTCTCTGGGCCGGTCTTATGCTTGCTGGACCTGCAGATCTCGTCCTCTTCTTTAACATCACCGAGTCGGTTATGTTTGCTGCTCCGCCCTACCTATTCAGTCCACAGAACGTTGGATACACAAACTTTGCATTCGTCATCGGTGCCCTGCTGGGTCTCGCGTCTGCAGGTCCCTTCTCTGACTGGGTTGCCGCACGGGCTACTCGCAAGAACAACGGGATTCGGGAGCCCGAGATGCGTCTGCCGGCACTGTGGTTTTTTATGTTCATCACCATACTGTCACTCATCCTCGGGGGTATCGGATACCAGCGACACTGGGGGTGGGAGCATATTGTAGTCTGGGGGTACGGCTTCGCTGGCTTCAGCGTTACGACTGTTCCCACAATATCGATCACCTACGCTATCGATTGCTACAAGCCTATCTCCGGTGAGATCATGGTGGTGGCCACCGTGTTCAAGAACTTCATCGCCTTCTCGTACAGCTACTGGATCTTCGACTTGGCGCATAGTAGCAAGGACGGCTGGATCACAACCGCTATGGTCATCTTTGCGTGCACAGTTGGCCCTGCGTTGTTTGCGTTCCCGCTTTACTATGGTTTGGGCAAGAAGATTCGGACGTGGACGAGGAATTCTGACGTGCATCGCATGGAGCAGGTCATCTAAATTGCAGCGCGGGTTGGTCAATGGCCTTCCATAGGAAAGATGGGATATATATCATGTCAATCAAGTCAATTGCAGGATCAGTTTCGGGTCGGTGTAATTAGGTTTTGGCATAGCATGATACTTGTGCTGATGATTCAAATTGATTTCTATCTTTTTCACTTTTCTTCACACTTCAGTACATTCGAGGTAAGTATGCTTATCGCATTCCCCACCTCTACTTCTAAGCAAGTTTCTAATCGCTGGATTTTCTAGGACCTATACCTTTGTTTCGGTCTCTTCGACCGGAGCACCGTCATCAGTCCTTCTCTTGTCGTCTCTACTCTGTAGTACTCGCAACAGGACGGTCAAAAGGATCATCGCCACACCCATTGCAGACGCTCCAATAAACCCAGCTTTGTACCTTGGTGCATCAATCGTCCGCCATACAGCATTAGTCCACCATATCCTCATGATATAACTGAACATGTTGGATATAGCAATGACAAACCCACGCATCTCGTGATCGTGCGGTATCAGATCTGAGTACCAAGCGAAGTACGGCCCCGGAACGCCGGCGGCAAAATACGTGAAGTAGTATGCGACATACTTGAGTGTATCAGGAACGTTCCAAACAGCGATAATAATGGCTCCAAACAAGGTGCCGGCTTGCATGACGACAATGGCTGGCCACCGGCGACCCTTGAGCAATGGCGAGTCCGAAAGCATTCCCGCGAGAAGCTGGACAACAACACCAATTGCGACTTGGCCCGTAGGCCAAACATTTCTCTGGTATACCGTGTGGCCAGTAGATTTCAGCCATAGCGCATAAGCTGGTTGTTCAGATGGGAAACTCGTCTGCACGAAGAAGTAACCCATTGGCAGAACCCAGAACTGCCACTGCTTGGCAATGCGCAACAGCTTCTTTCGATTCCACGGATTGTGTCCAAGTGGCTTTTGACCTTCTTCGACGAGACGTGCACACTGCCGCGCGGCTTCGTCTTTGGTAATATAGAAGGCTCGTGTGGTTTCTGGAAAATCTGGGATGAAGAAGTATCCTAGAAAGGCGATCGGGAGGGATATGACGCCGCATACGATGAAAAGCCACTGGAGCGATGAGATTGAATACAGGACCTCAATGGGTGTAGTACATACCTGCCAACCCTGTCGCCCCCTGACACCGTCAAGGCCACTATATGCACCTGCCTGGATATAGCCGCTGAACATACTGGCAAGTGCGGCAGTGCAGTAGAACAACGCGACTCGTTTCCCTCTTTCGGCCTTGGTGTACCAACTTCCTATCAGGTACTGGCAGCGGATCAGTGATAAAACTTGGAACCTAGTACTCGGTTGAGCTCACAATCATGACGGGAAAGTATCCGGACTCGCACAAACCCACTAGAAAGCGGATCGCATATAGTTGCGAGACATTCGTGACAGATGAAGAACAGAAGGTCAAAATTGACCAGATGATCTCAAGCGTAGGGATGAGAATTGAGGGTCGAACGCGACTAGCCAGCATGACTGCAGGCATTTGACCGACGACATAACCAGCTGTGAAGACATTGCTCGTGTAGGTCAGTTCGCTGCCATACATTTTCAATGACTCCTTCATCTAATTCACTTTAGCGAGAGTCGCCTATTGATGCCTTTGCGGTTGACTGGTTGTGCTTACCCCAGACACATATGCATTGTTAATGTTGGCTTGATCCAAATTCTTGCTGAAATAGCCCAGACAAGCACTGCTAAGGAGGAACAGATCAAGCTTGAAGAGGAACCATTTTTCTTCCTTGCTCTTGTCTGGATCGTCCCAGATATGCCGCTGGATGGAACGAACAATTCGCCGTGGTCGACTGTATGTGCGAGGCCGTTCAAGAGAAGACGATTCTGGCGATGAAGAAATGCTTGGAGAAGATGCAGCTTTGTCAACTGTCCTCTCAAGATTTCCTACCTCCTTGGAAGTCATTCTCTAGGTTGTTCGATTCTGCGTGGGATGTTCCCCGGGGCTTTGAGATATATAGTTCGGAAGGTTTTCAGCATGTCAGCACGTCGTCCAAACGAGGAGCACTAAAACAACGTAGTTTTCTTCGGCCTTTACTTCAGGCTCTTTTCGTTTTCAGAAAGCAGTGTGATACAGATGACGCGATTGTGTCCATCATGGCGTATAGGCTTCGCTAGTACATAGACGAGGGTGAAGATCCTTGGAGCTCCACCCGGTCCCCCCCAAAGTAGGCCCTCCAAATGATTCCCAGATATGACCGCAGCTGCTAGGCTACTTATCGCTCGTTTGGTCTCTAATTCAGATGCATCTTTCATCCGAGGCTAAGTGTTGCCGCCTGTGATCATTCAGGAAACCTAGGTAGAATTTGTGCAATTGTCAGTCTCATTAAATCCTAGCTTTCGAAGTTTGTGTATCCGCTGGAAGTTTAGAGGCGCACCCTCTGTCTACATCCGCGAGTGGTTTCGATGCGAGGTTGTTAGTGGGACGGACCGATGCGTGCTGCGGGGAGCTTATTGCGCCATCCGATAACGGCCACAATGTGTACGTGAACCGCTTGATAAACAATGCGCCTTACGCGTACTTGGGAGAAATTAGCTACAATCGACAAATTAGAGACTCATGTAACGTCCTTGACAGGGACTCAATTACTCGCTAGCCTGCACTCCAGCGCAGATTCCGTTCTTGTGAGCTCAAACCCGCAAATCAATACGCAGATCATTGGCGTATTGGAGGGTCTTCTTCGGAACTGTGCAGTAGTGCTTGATGACGAAATATGGGGTACAGATAGCGACATGACATCGTTCGATGTTGATCCTGTGATCAAGCTCATTAGTAAACGTCTTAGTGTTGGTGATATCGACCATAGCTACTTAAAACAGCTCATCGTATTCTATCAAGCGTGCATATACTACTGGAAGACCAGAACGGTTGTCTAATCAGTCGACATGTCCATAACAGCAATTGAGGCAACGAAAGTACAAACGGACGCGAAGAAGGATTACAGTCAATACGACTTCGCAAACCTTGAGCCATATGTCCACCCCCCAGAAACGAAGGAGGATCTTCCATGGTCAGAACTCGTCACACTCGATCTTGAAGACTATGCCCGTCCCGGCGGTAAAGAACGTTTAGCCAAGCAACTTGAACACGCTGTGCATCATGTTGGATTTGTGAGTAGTCGCGAGCTACTTGGAACCTATAGCTGGTCTAGAATACTGATATTGCTCCAGTTTTACGTGAAAAACTTTGGCTTGACACAGGAGCAGATCGACCAGCAATTTACCCTTGCCAAGCACTTCTTTGAGCTGCCGGTCTCTGAGAAAGAAAAGTACGAAATTAATTATGCTGAAGCGGATTACAATGGCTGGCGTCGACCGGGACGTTCACTAGTGGCAAGTGCCAGGGACAACATCGAGGTCTTCAACATCCCTAAGGTGAGAACGCAGCGAACTTTTCGACTCGCATAAGTCAGACAGGTAATTGTGGAGAAGCTGACATGGCCAAGTTCATCGATGACTTCAAGGGCAAGTACAATTACCCTGCCCTTCTGGAAGCACATATCGACGAAATCGAGGTCTTTCAGCGTGCACTCCACGCCAACGTGGTCCTCCCTCTCCTGCGACTCTTCGCCATCGTACTGCAACTGCCGGACGAAGATTATCTAGTCAAGCAGCACACGTACCAAAAGAAGTCTGAAGACCACTTCCGTTACATGATCTACTACCCCCGAACAGATGAGGAGTGGGCGGCTGCGAAGAACGGTGCCACTGGCGGCCACACCGACCTTGGAACAGTAACACTGCTATTCCGACAGCCCGTTGCTGGGCTGCAGATCCTCGGCGATGACGGCAACTGGACGTGGGTGCAAGCTCAGCCTGGGACCATTACCGTGAACCTCGCAGACACGATTTCGCACCTCACGGGTGGCTGGCTCAAGTCTTCAGTGCACCGTGTCGTGGCGCCACCACAGGATCAGCGAGAGTTCAAGCGGACTGGACTGTTATACTTTGCACGTCCGCACAACGACACCAAGTTGCTACCCATCACTGACTCTCCAGTGCTGGAGAAGGAAGGCGTCAAGCCACGATTCGATAAGATTGTGACGATGGAGGAATGGGTTAAAGCTAAGCAGACGCTGCAGCTCAACCCAGAGATTGCGGCGAAGAGATGGGCGGAACGAGGTGACGGGAAAGTGGAGGTATTGGCTGGGTTTCACGACCAAAAGTACAAAGAGTAGGGATTTATCAAGCAGTACTCTTAATGAAACGGCCTTTGGGTCATGTCCATTTGCAGTAACATCTCGATCTTGTTCAATGTTTGCATGTTTGTTCGCGGTGTGACTACATACATTTAATCGGAGTAGGAACCGAGCATAATGATGGGTTCCGTGCGCCATGAATGGTGCAGGGAGACAAACTCGTGAGGAATTGAAGTGGATTAGAAGTATTTAATCGCCTATTAGGTCACTGCTAGGTAGGGGTAGATCGTTTAAGGCCGACTAGGTAGTGTACTGTCTAAATCACCTCAACTAGAGGATGTCAACGCATCCGTGTGACTCATGCCCAGGGCAATAATGCATAACCGAGCATGTATCCTGATTCAGGGCTGTGCTATCTTTTCGCTGGGGTAATCTTTCTTACAGCTTCCTGGTCTCACTCGATGAACTATGTGTATTTCACGAATTTTGGAGAAGTCTTCTTAGAAATTGACCGATATCATGTGGGAGAGGCTGCGCTCATTAGAACGACCTAGCGCCACCGGCTACGGTCCGACGAGCTACAAGACAAGCAAGCCCAAGATTCCAGCAGCTGCCATTTGAACTATGTCCCCTGGTCTGCCAGCTACTCCAGCGCCACCAAATTGGCTCGAGGTAGCGGCAGCGCTCTCAGCCAAGTTAGCACCAGAAGCGGTGCCTGTTGTCGAGGCTGCGCTGGTTGTCTCGGCAGGGAGGAAAGTCGGCTCGGCCACACCAGATGGGCAGTGCCAGTGATCGCCGTGGGGTTCACACGTAGATGCTGTAGCCTCGTGGTCGTGGTCATCCTCGTCGTGATCATGGTCCTCGCCTGTCGCTGTGGCGGGGGGAGGCGTTATTGGCTCTGATACGCCGGATGGGCAGTGCCAATGATCTCCGTGGGGTTCACATGTTGAAGCTTCGGTTGTTGCAGCGTTCGCTGAGTTTGCAGTAGAAACAGTAGCTGGAGCAGTTGCTGAAGCACCTGTCTCTGGGGGCTCTGCTGCTGGGGGTATTGTGGGCTCGGGCACACCTGAAGGACAATGCCTGAAGCAACGATTAGCCCATGATACTTTGAAAGTCCATCTCCAGTCGGACTCACCAATGGTCGCCATGAGGCTCACAAGCAGCACCAGTAGCCGAAACAGTGTCCTGGGAAAGAACAATGGCTGCCGTGGCAAGGAAAACTATCAAGAACTTCATATTGATGGCCTGGTGGAAGTGTTGTTGTCTGGATCAACAGGATGGAGTCTATTCGACGATTTTTCGTGTTTAATACTGACAGCTGACAGAAGAATGCCCTTTGTAGGCTAAAGCTGCAGGTACAGTACCGTGGGCCAAGAAGTCGGGATGCTTGGCGATGGACATCGCGGTACTCAATTGCTCGGCGGAACGGGCAGATATGCCTTGGACGCAGCAATTCTGTAAATCTCTTCACCACTCAATGACCAATCGGTCGTCGCAATCAGCTTGGCAGTTGGTAAAGGGTGGGGTGACTTCCTTCCGGCGCTGCTGATATTCCCCTCGTGTACCTTTCCTTTCGACGCACACTATCTCCCAGCTGGACGTCATACTCAGGAGAATCGGCCTCTATGGTCTTGGCCGTGATTTCCGGGATGTCTAGCCGCCCTGTTGATTTAGGTGGAAACACGGATGTAAGCCCGGGACAATGTGTCTGGCCTTCCTTGCGCTGCTCAAGCTCATCGCGAACGAAAGCTTGTTCAACCCATGTATACGCGAGTATAGGTTCAATAGTCGATCTCGGTTGCCACCTTGGCGGGGGGTACGATCTTTTCAAAGCTGTGCAACATAGTCGATCTGTTAGGACCACCATGCGCTGAGGTGTACGACTTTGAATCGAAGGTTTAGGTAACTGGAAGAGGCTTACGAGACGCGTGGTAGCCTCGAGGCGTCCAGTCCGACACTCGAATCTTTCGAACGACATACAGACCAGCCGAGCGTGATGCTGACTTCGATCAATTCGAATCCTTGTGAACAGCAGAGCTACCATTGTGTGCCATAGCCATCATAGACAGGAAAGTATCCCCGCAGAAAGTGGAATCTACAGCTCTCATCTGCTCACCAAACTCGTGTAGAGAAGTAAGATTCGTGCCGACCAGTTTTCCCGTCCCAGATCCAGCAGCAGCAATCCAAGCTTGCGGCGACTCAGCCATCCATAGTCCAGGCCGGCTGTCGAAAGGCAGTGATTCAAGCAGTAACCAATTCGAGCAATATCCGTGCTTCCATGCGTTGAAACAGCAAATGAGGACGTATGCCATTGTAATTGTGCGACGTATGCTTTCTGCAAGAAGCCAATTCTGCCAAGGCGTTCTGTCGCCCAATAAATCTGCGCTCACAGTACCGAGAAGATGCTGAGCCCAGATCTCTGCGACCTTCAACCACGGCTCAGCTATATCCCTTTTGACTGGCTGCTCGGATATAAGCATTGGTGCAGTGAAGACCAAAAGTGATTGAATGGCAGTCAACTCCTCTTCTAGAGGCACTGCGCCGACATCAACCTCCGCGAGGGTCTGAAGGTAGATGAGTGACATGGCGCTGTCTAATGGACTTCGAATCAATGACAAGTATGACCGACCCCCTCGTATTTGAAGCTTCGGATGGATGAAGACTGCAGGACGTAGAGACGTAAACAGCTCCGGGACGTTCATAAAACATTGCTGAATTATCTCCTGGGCCTCTTGGTGTCCAGGAGGACAGAAGGAGGGGTCGAGATCGCTTCCGAAGTGCTTGTTGTATGCTTCTGCGCGGTCAAGAACACAGTAGCCGGTAGTATCGAAGCCGATGCCCTTGAGGAGGAGGCTAGCGGAGCATTTACTGTTTATGTCTGCACCACTGAGCGGCTGCAGGTCGTAAGTACACGTGAGGCCTCTCTGCACGCAACGTGCGCAACTGGGAAGTTGAACCGTGCAATGGCGTTTTGAGCTGGCGCAGCTGCGACACGACTTACGGAGCGTCGCCATACTCTAGGGACAAGAAGATGCGATTGCTAAAGGGTAATGATGAAGTTCGAGTGTGTTCAGTGTCCGTAAGACGAGACTGGGCCGGTCTAAACTGGTGCAGGTGCACTTCTGAATCCTTCACTAGGCTATATATGGCTAGCGTTAACTTCTCTGGCTATAAATAGCCTCCAGGGAAGTGTTACCATCCACTGTTCATCGATTACCTGTTTCGAGATACATTCTCTCATTTGGTTTCGTATGAGCCTAGCTCATGACAGACCGGTGGTCTATGCCAGCTTCCTATTGACTGACCTCAACCACAATTTTGCCTGATACTGAACCTTTCAATAACTTATCATAGCCCTATATCTTTTAGCTCCAGTGAAACGCAAGGTACACCGGCAACTTTACCTGCTTGGCTTGTTCGATCTTCACAAGTGTACCGACATGAACTTTCAGGGTCCCCGCCTGCACCATCTTTACCAGGTCTGCCATTGCCTTGGGTGTAGCGATCCCCGTGACCTGACGGTAGTCCCGAGCCACGCCGCCCAGTATCTTGGGCCATAAGAGATTCTCCGCCATTGACTTGATCATCGAAAGCATTCCAAGGATGGTGTAAGATCCTGGCCTTGGGCCCACGGTGACATACGGTTTCCCTTCCTTCAGTATCTCGGGGCAAGTATTGAAGAGCTCCTGGACACCGGCCGCATCGATGACCGCATCGAATCGAGATGACCCGAACATCACTTTCAGGTGTTCGTGCAAGGGACAATGGGCTGTACGATCAATGACCTAGCATGTGTCAGTATGAACGCGTCTTCGCCTCTTAGAACTCCTACTTCGTCCGCTCCGAGCCGCTTCACCCAGTCCAAGTTTTCCTTCGAGCAGATAGCTACGACTTTGCCCGTTTCGCCGACTTGTTCACGGCACATTTGCAGCGCCAAATGACCAATGCCTCCTGCTGAGCCATTCACCAACACGCTATCCCCACGCTTCAGCTCTGCAGCCTGGACCAGCTCTATAGCTGTAGAACCTGCGATTGGAAGTCCGGCAAGCTCATGACTTTCAAGACCCTCTGGGCTCGTTACAACAGCTTGGTGATCGACAACCACATATTCTCCTAACGCACCCGATAGCGTCCCCGCGTGTTGAGAGACTGGGATGGAGCCAAAAACTCGTCTGCCGATAGTAAGATCTCGTTCTGGCGGAACTTCAATCCCGATAGCATCTACTATGCCCGCGAAGTCCATCTCTGGAATAGCAGTTGAGACGCGAAAAATAAATGGCAGAAGCTGCATAATGATGCTCGCTCCGGGGTTTAAAGCGCAGTGCGTGATCTTGACTCGGACCTGGTTCGATCTGGCGAGTGCTGGTACCGGCAGCGTAGAGAGAGTGAGGACCTCATCTGGAGGACCTCTTCGAGAGTGCGTCCATGCTATCATGTGATTAGCCATTGCAAATTGCAATGACTTACCATGCAAAGCTTCGTAAAAAGCTGGATCGCCGGTTTTCTTTCAAGAACGCAGAAAGGGTCGGGATATGGTTGCAGGATATTCCGGTCAGCTGAGGTTCTGGTTATACGAGTCTGTCCGGTCTAACCCCCGAAGATGAACCATTGGCCAGTGGCGCGAGCTGAATCGAGCTTCAGCTTTTGCACAAACCTACTGCCTGGATTTGGAACGCAACCTAAACTACTTAAGAGCTTGAGGCCATTCGAGTCTTTGATGCCTTAGAGCTCGAGATTCCGGAATGCAGGTCAGGAAAATTCTCTACTCAACAGCACACGTTTCCAGGTGTTGCCAATACCAGAATGTCATGTGCAGCATCGCCTTCATAGGCTGAGCCATGGTGTTACTTGGGTAGGTATCGAGATCCAACTCGGAAGGGTTGCGTACAATAGACCATGGTTGTTCTCACTTGCCATCACAGCGTCTCTCCAACTTAACGCCCTGTTCACCCCCAACCACGCCATTGCCGAACCCACGGGACTTGACGCCCCTAGAGCTCCTTAGCAACGTCTCAAAGTAATTCTGGCTAAAAGCGCCCTTCTCAGGCATAGGAATATAAGCAACCTCTGAAGAACAATTCGCATGCCAACCCAACCCCCCCACCTCGCTTGTCCCATCGCTGAACCCAACGGGCGTCGCCCAAACAAACGCGTCGAAATTAGGATCCCTCGCATGCACTCTCCGCTGGAGCTCGAGAGTAGGTCTAGGCCCAAGCCCCGCCCACTTGTTATTGCACCAGTCGTGCCAATACTGGCGGATGCTCTGCACACCGCTACGACTCGAGTCGAAGATAGCGTGGAGTGGGAACGTAGAGTTGATCGCCTTGAACGACTGGCCGAGCAGAGCGACATACCGCTGCTCGTTGCGCGCCTTGTTGAATAGATCCGCGCACACGGCGCTCTCATCCCTGAACGCCTCACCGGGAGACATGTCCCATGAGTTGTACGACTTCACGTTGACGGACACGCCACGGAACTGCTTCAGTGCGGCGCCACCTGCGCGCTCCCATGCGACGGTGAGTTCGCGGGCGATGTTTTTGGTGTCGTAAGGGGTACGGTTGGGATTCCATCCGAACCAGCCGGCGTGTTTGGCGTCGAGGTAGGTGATTGTGTTGGGTAAGTCGAGGGCTTTGAGGGCTTGGGGGATGGAGGAGCGGTATTCGAGCTGCGATGTAGTGCACTCTTTGTAGTAGGGGTTGCGGACTACAAAGGGGAGGATATCGGGTTCGATGATAAGTGCGAAGGCTGTGTTTTGGTATTGCTGGATGCGCCTTGCGATGGCTGCGGAAACAGTGGCTTAGTACATGTCTAGATCTTAGTTATGATACTTACGGGCAATAAAGCTTTCTAAATACGATTCGGATTGACGTTTCGTCCCCTTCGCCCCCGGCGTCTCCCCAATGGTCTCATCGCACCCCGCATGTGAAAGACCATTAATGACGAGGCCGAGAACATTTCCACAGGGTACGTCTTGGATAGCTTGATCGATCTTCAAGATGTCATCGTTTGATTCGCTGTTCGCATCTCAGGTCACAGATCCACAAGAAGATCAAATGGAGTTGTTTGACCTACATCCACAGAAAAGTCCCTGTCTCAGCCACCTTGATGGCTTTGTCTTTCAATACCGTATCGTTGACGATTCCAGCAGCAGCCGCGTAGTAAGGTCTGTAGATACTATGCGGGTGAAGTGTGTAGCTCAGCCAGATATTTGTTGAAGCATTAAGAGCAACGGGCTCCGCACAGGCAGCCAGTGGTTGTTCCCCTTTCGAAGGAAAGGCGCCCACACCAGCCCACAGCACCGTAAGGCAAAAAGCCGTAATCATTCTGGAGAACAATCGAAGGTAAAATAAGAATTCGGGTTTGGAGCAGAGCAAGCTCTCAAATATTCGACAGCATCCATCACACTCTGCACGGCTATAGATTAAGCAATATAGCAGCAGAAGTCAGCCAATCAGAACACTTTTTCGTGACTGTACGAGGCAATCCGACCGCCTAGTTGACAGCATATGGCAATATAAGGTCTCGTGTACAATGTAAGCGCAGTGTACGTATTGGATCATGGTGCGTTCTTGCGCGAGGCAGATTTACGCCCCAATTGACTACAATTAATTCCTGGTTCATGTCGAACTCGGCGAATATACAACACATTTCATAACAGATTGCATTCGAATGGCATTCGAATGCCCATGGCTGTGCATCGTGAGGGAAATGTTAGGAAGCGTGGATGAGTAAATGGTCACAGACAATGGAAGGTAATCCCTTGATGGCTCGTGTCGCACTTCACCCGAGGTAGTTTAGCCTCCGCATTACCCATCGCTTCTCCTAAGCAACGTATCTTGGTGAACCAGGATCATCGACGCACACGACAACAAACATACATATCTATACTAAAATGACCGACATCCACCCCTTCACGCTTTCCATCCCGGACGCCCGCTTGCAGCACCTGCAAGAAAAACTTGCCCTCGCGACGTTCCCCGACGAGCTCGAAGACGCAGGCTGGGAGCATGGCGCGCCACTAGCCGACATCAAGCGGCTCGTCCACCACTGGCGCACAACCTATGACTGGCGGCGCCACGAAGCGTCTATAAACGCCTTGCCCAACTACGAGACACCCATTGACGTTGACGGTTTCGGTCACATCGACATTCACTTCGTGCACCAGGTCTCGCCGAACGCGAATGCCATCCCGGTGCTCTTCGTGCACGGTTGGCCGGGACACTTCTTGGAAGTCGCGAAACTGCTCCCGCTGTTCAGGGACAGCGAGAAGAATGGCGGACCTGCATTCCACGTTGTTGCGCCGTCGCTGACGAACTTTGGCTTCTCAGGAGTGGTGAAGAAGAAGGGGTTTGGCATGAAGCAGTATGCTGAGACGTGCCACAAGCTGATGATCAAGTTGGGGTATGAGCAGTATGTGAGCCAGGGCGGGGATTGGGGCACGTTTATCACACGGACGATGGCGATGCTGTATCCAGAGGCGCTGAAGGCGACGCACATCAACATGGTGGCTTGTCCGCCGCCTTATAAGAACCCGCTTGCATTGCTAACGCTAGGATTCAAGTATCTCACAGGCACGTTTAGTGCGGATGAAAAAGCGGGTTTCGAGCGCACGCAGTGGTTCCAGGACCATGGGTTTGGCTACTTCAAGATTCAGAGCACGAAGCCGCAGACGGTGGGATATGCGTTAAATGATAGCCCTGTGGCGCTTCTGGCGTGGATATATGAGAAATTGCACGATTGGACTGACAGCTATCCCTGGACGGACGATGAGATCCTGGATTGGATTAGTGTGTATTGGTGGAGTCGAGCTGGGCCCGCAGCTAGCGTGAGAATTTACTACGAGGCGTTGAAAGGAGAGTACACCACCGAGAGGACGTACAAGACGTGGATACCGAATGTGAAGCTGGTAAGTCAACACCTTCCAGAAAATCATGCTGGATAAGACTGATGATCTACCTCAGGGCTTAGGCTACTTCCCGAAAGAGCTCGCGTTGCTTCCGAAGAGCTGGGCGCAGTCTTTGGGGCCAATTGCATTCGCGTCCGAGCACAAGAGTGGTGGTCACTTTGCGGCATTCGAAAATCCCGAGGGAATCGTAGGTGACATGAGGTTGATGTTCGGAAAGGGCGGCGGCGCATCCGGTGTTGTTGAGAACAAGCACGGCTACTAGTGAGTGGGGGCTTTTGATAAAACGAGCATGTGAACTGTCTGCAAAATAGGCATTGTTGAGTTTGCTGTGTCGGCTGAACGGCATACATCATTAGCAAAACAAACCTAAACAAGACTGCAAAGACACAGTCTCTTCTTGTTGTCGTTACTTCATGACGTCCACATGTCAGCCTCTCCTCCCGTTCAGGATGTACCATGTGATCCTGGCGTTACAACTGTATGAGCGTTACAACTGTATGAGGGCTTATCGCTCCGACCCGCTTAGGCCCAGTATTTTCTACCCGCGAACGGACATCGGCGTCGGAGACCGATATCTTGGTAATCGGGGTGAGTCCCTTCCGCCTAGGAACCGCGCCGGGATGGCGGATAGAATATCGATAGGATTTCTATGATACACACAGCAACGCATACGCGTATGCGGCCCCAGAGACGAAGATTTGTGATGGCTTGGTTCGACAAGGGCGGCTGTAATCACCAATAGAAGTTAGCAATCCCAAAAGGATTTTTTTATGCGCTGCATGTACTGCCGTGAAGCGGCGACGTTGGCAACAGGATCGGATATGAGTAGGCACGCCAGGGTGATCTTGAGCGGGGCAGGGTGATAATCGGCAGGCAGGGTTCGAGCACTTGAGAGACGCTGGCAGTCCACAGTTGACTAGACGACGTTGTGGGCCAAGCTGCTTTGCATTCTATTGTATTTTCTGTATTGGAGCAGTCAATGAAAGGCCTAGATCATTTACATACCCGCCCTTTGCGCTCAAAGCAAGGGTGGCGTGTAATAGCGTTGACAGTCCACCCATTTAAGAATGAGTGGCGCCGGCTCGCTGGGATGACAGTGAAGGAATGCTACCAGAGCTATAGAACCTTATGAACAAGCTTCTCTGAATAAACTCGACCGAGTCTAAGGGTCTTTGTGTTACTATGTCCAAGATGGCGGAACAATGTTTGCAGCCCGCGCTGAAGTTGACGTGAGCGGCGCAGTCCTGTTTGACCACATTCGGTACGCCACGTTCCAGTATACCGGCTGCCCTGATGATGCAGGCAAGAGCGGCAAAAGCGACTCTGAGTAGTATACTTGATGACGTATTGAGAGTCAAATAGTGATGGTGAACTACATGATCGATCGTGATCATGGAAGAAAGCGATTTACGGTACAAATGCCCGGTGTTACCCGGACACGCTGATGGGCTGATTGGATACGGGCTACTTGTATAATTAGTACTCGACATCAGAAAGAACGGCTGCTGCAATCTTCATGCAACTGATGATGCTACTGTAAGCAGGGTTAGCGTATGTGGTAATGCCCCTGTATACCTTTTCAATGGCACAGGTGAACGGCACCAAGCTGTCAGCCTGGGCATCTCTCTCTCAGCGTGAAACTTCCCTCGACACAGGCCGATAAATATGGGTATACCTAAGCGCAGTTATCACATAGGTTGTGTGGCTTCTTCGAAAGTATCGATCTTGACGCAATGTACGCTGAATGATGCAGGACAGTGACTGCAGTGGCGTGCAGGGCATGCACAAGAGGAGCCATGTTTTGCAATGTTTGCATGACAGGCGGGCGGTTTCTCCACGTCGTGGGAACTAGTCCGGGACGCCTTGCACACTGAATCAACAAGCACGCTTGGAGGCGTCGCCCGAAAGAGTAGTCAACGTCGACGCCATGAGTACTGTCTATTCGCTACCTCGGGTGCTACCGATCGTTTCTTTGGCAAGTAAGTTTCAAAGGATGACACAGTGGTCAACGTTTCGTGCAACGCGGCGAATGTGCACGCACAAAAGAGACCGCGCCGGTAGGCGGTGTGAGGCCGCGCAATCGTTCGGGCCTTTCAACTGACGCGCCCTGGTACTAAGATGAGAAGCAATGTCTCGACCAGAGAATCAAATGATCGTTCATCTTGCGTCCCGTCAGGATCACGAGGCATGGTCTTAGCTGCCGCTCGACATGGATGCTCTCCACTCATCGACGCGGACAGGCCCCGCCGTTCGGAGGAATGTTGACTCGTGGGCCGCTCTCCTGAGCACACGCGGGAAGTTGTATAATAATTTAGATGAACTGCCTGGGATGTATTTTCGCGCACCGTTTCGTCATGTGCCACCGCATGCTCGGTAATGAGCTGTCGTTGTTTTCTGCGGCGTGCAACGGGCCAGGCAGGCTCGAGGTCTGGGGCTGGAGCGCCACAACGGTCCTGCCGGTAATGCTGCGTGCGCGGTACAGGAGCGAGGAGTGAGTGCGTGCCGACAGGGCCCAATGTCGTGCAGCATGCGCGCCGAGCGCGTGCGTGCAAGCTGTGAATTGCTTGAGGAGGGCGATGGTCCCGCGCCCGCGCGTGCCTGTGTCTAGACCCCCGGCACGATCGCTGCGGTGTCGAGGGTGGATCGGGGATGTGAGGCTGGTGCGGTGAATATGTCAAACATGGCCATGGGGCCTTGCCGCGCTCGGGCCAGCACCTGCCTCCCCCACGGCAGCGCCTTCCCAAACCCAGAGTCGATCCTGCCCTGGCGGCGGGACCACCAATGAGCAGCGGCCCGCACCAAATTAGCAGATCACCCTTCATCAAACAGCGCACATGCAGCGTTGCCGGATTTCATCACCGCCTCGACTCCTCGAATAGATGGCTGACGGCCGTTTGCACCCGCGGCGGGCGGCTGCTGATGCCATGGGCTGCGAGGGCTGGAATTTGCCAGCTGGCCGCAGCCAGCAAGCGCTGCGTAGGTTGTGTTCCAGAGGTTGTGCCTTGCAGAATGTAAACACGCCCTTCACAGCGAGTGAATAAAGACCCGGGGTGCCTGCTCCTTCCCGCGCGCATTGAGATTGCCCCAGGATCGACCAGGACCCCGACCAGGAAACAGGAAGCAGGAACAGGCGCATCCGCGAGATTGAGTGTGGCTGCCATCTGTTTCACGTTTGCTCTACCCTCGCCTAATCTTAGGCCCATTAAAACCACCTGCACTCCCGGCCCCGTGGTGCGTCCCCATCTCTTTGATCTTCTCACTCCTTTGTTGATCAGCGATCTTCCTCTGTGTAGCTTGTCTACCGGGAACCCACACTCTTTTCCAGTTATCCCACTTCAGTCATTCCTTCGGCCACAAGTGCGCCAAAGTCGCACCCGATTGCAACGTCCGCTCAACAACCGCGTAAGCTCCCTATGATCCACACATCTTGCCTCCGGAGTCGACTCCTATCTCGACGTGCTTTGTGTTGCCTATAAAGCACAAGCCGATTCTGTGCTCCTGTTTGGTTCTGTTCTCACATCAACTGACTCCCACTAGTCAAACCTTTCAAGTTCAGACTAACCACCACTACGCCAACCGGATTCCTTTCGACATGCGTTCTTGCACTTCCATTCTCCTGGCTTCGGCCCTTGCCTTGGGTGCTGTTGCCAAGCCCCTCGAGAAGCGTGTCATGGTTACTGAGATCGACCTCGAGATCGTAACTGTGACCAAATACGTCACTGCTGGCCAACCCGCAGAGACTCCCGTCAGCAAGGAAGAGATCAGCACCCCCGCCGGCTATCAGACCCCAAAGGCTTCCTCAACTCTTACCGTCACCAGATCGCAAGCCCCGACCAAGGCTTCCAGCAAGTCGACTCCTGCTCCCAAGCCTAGCCCGAGCTCTCCCGGTTATGTTGTAGCGCCCGCACCGAGCTCATCCAAGCCCGTCTATGTGCAGCCGAGCACTGCCTCTTCCGTATATGTGGCTCCTTCTTCCGTTTATGTGCCGCCTACCTCCTCGGCTCCCCGACCCTCTAGCACTCCCGCTGCCGCTCCCTCCTCTACTCCCGTCTACGGTGTAGAGCACAAGTCGGGAGATGACCAGGCCTACCTCTCTTCCGGTGTTGACTACAAAGACGCCATGCTGTGGCACCACAACCGCGCTCGTGCCAACCACGGCGCATCCAACCTTGAGTGGAGCAGCGATTGCGAATCTGCTGCCAGCACCGCCGCTGCTTACTGCGACTTCACTCACCACGTCGTCGACGGCCAGGGTCAAAACCTCTTCACCGTCTCCGGCGACGCCTACAACGCGACTGCTGGTATCACCGAGTCCTGGTACAAGGCCGAGGCTGACATCTACGGCGCTTTCGACGCTACTCCCAACATGGACACTTTCCACGAGTGGGGTCACCTTACCCAGGTGCTCTGGAAGAAGACCACCCACGTTGGCTGTGTCACCATCGACTGCGGCTCCAAGATGACCATCAACGGCAAATCCTCCACGCTCAACCTGTACACCGTGTGCAACTACTCGCCGCCCGGCAACTACGAGGGCGAGTACGCCGCAAATGTCGCCGCGCCCATCAACTCGTACCAGGGCTTTTCGTGGGCCGACTAATCCCGCCCTATGTCATGTTTTTGCTTCTTTTCCACCATTTTGCCCTCCTTCCTTTCTATCCGCTGCATCTGATTTGGCAACTTCGTGGCATGACTATGTCGGGCTGCTGGTCAACATGACATTTTGCATTGCATGAGTGGAGCTGTGTTCAGCATCTTGACTGTCTTTCCTGTGGAGAGCGGCGCGTGTTGTTTTGCCCGCCAGGAGGCCTGATCTGTGGTCGGTCAACGCGGGCTGGAGATTCAGATTCGATTCACGTGTATATACTTCGCACCCCGGCCCGATCTGCTCTGCTAGCATGGGCCCGCTACTGGGGGCTTCGTTCACTTCTTACCCCGCGTGCGCGCGAATGCAATGATGAGAATCAAAAAGTTCGTCCTAGTGAAAAGTGCAGAGGATTGTGATGCATGTGCTGTGATGGGATGATGTGAGGTTCATCTACTGTGTGGGAGGGTCAGGTGCGCAGTGAGCAGAGGGGCTGGTATGCTTGGGTTGGAATGCGGGCAGCACGGCACCCGCGAGTTTCGCGGTGATTGGGACGTGGGCAGCAGAGGCGACGTTGTGATGTCGCGGTTGGGGGGTTGCAGCGCGCGCCGGCTGTGCTGCAAGTGCGGCGCCTACCGCTGTCGCATGCACACTGGTGCATGTGCTTGAAGATTGGTTTGATGCGCGACAACGGCAAGAAGCGAGAGCAGAACAGACGAGTTCGTCAGCTGCGAGCGCGAGGCGCAAACAAACTGGGCGGTAGCTTGTTTCAGTTGCGATGATGGCGAAGTGCGTTCACACCTTTCGAAGGTGCATCCGAGACGGGCGAAACGTGATGCACGTGATCTGCCTCTCAACGATCTTTGGAAGCAGCCGAACCTCACAGAAAACGAAGAACATTCTTTCAATTCCACCTTCACCCCACTATGTTACCTATCATACGGTTCACTACTCCTGACGATGTAGATCTCCGCAATCAGCGCCACGCATCCGACGACCATGCTAATGGCAATAATGGGCAAATTCACCCGCGCAAAATCCAGCCTGCTAACGCGGATGTGCTTGCGGGCGAGGATGTCGCGCCAGAGCAGGCCGGCGAGGGACGCGGAGAAGGCGGCGCTGAAGGCGCCGTAGTTTAGGCCGAGCGCCATGCTGTAGACGGTGGCCCAGAAGGTGCGGTCGGAAATGGGCGGGGCGCCGGGCTGGGCGTGGATGGTCTGCCACGCTTGGACGACGCGCGAGAGGAGGATAGAGGTGCCGATGTTTGTGCCTGCGAACTGTATATGAAATGGTGTTGTTAGCGGGGGTCGCTTTGGGAGGGAAGGAGTAGGTAGTTGTAGAGAAGAGAGGAAGGGACGTACGTTGCAGAGGACTACAGAGAGGAAGCCCATGCCCCCGACGGCGCCGACGGTGCCGGTTTTGCTAACCCAGTGGTCCCAGCCAAAGGCGAATACTGCGACCCAGCCGTGGGATACGAGCGCTTGGACTAGGACGAACATGCAGAAGGCGAATGGTATCAACGCGAGAGGGAGATGTGCGAGGACGGTGGTAGATGTCGGGAATGTCTCTTGCAGCCAGCGCCATGACTTGGCAATGAGGGATGACAAGGTGGTACGGTCTTGTGGAGCTTCCCTCTTGCCTTCTTCAACAGTAGTAGGTGTCTTGTCATGTTGTCTTTCTTTTCCAGCTGTCGATGTTGCTGGCCGGGTTTTGTCGCTTTCCACCGCGCCTTTTTCGGCGATTGTATCCGACTCGGACGGCTCCAGAAGAGGTGATTCCTGGACAGGCTGCAATCGTTCCTTCTGCTCTTTCTTGGACTCAAGTTGCGCACGACCTTGGCGTGCGATTTCACGCGTCTCCTTGCGATTCAGCCACCCAAGCACTAGATCAAATACAATCAGAATCACAGCGGCAGGAACCGTGACCCAAAAGACGGGATGCTCGCCACTGGAGGATGATGCGGCGTTCAATGCCAGTACAGCGATGAGTGTCATGCCCATAATGACACCACCAAATGCAGCGCCTTTCTTGTCGAGAAATGGATTCATAATTTCTTCAAGCGAGAGTAGCTGGCCGGTCTCATCATTCATGTGCTCCTCTTCTTGTTCCTCCATGTTTGCACGAGCATTGGGGATGTTGGGATTGACGGGCTTCTTGTTTCTCAGTTCCTCTGGCAGCTCGTGCATCTTGATGGAAACTGGGATGAGCGACTCGTCTGCAAAGACAATGTACAAGAGGAAAGGAAAGAGGACGATAGCCGTAATGACCACAGGGACGATGATGTTGGCAGTGTAGTTGATGAACTTGATGTCGAAGGCTCCTGCTAACACCAAATTGGTGGGGTTGGAAGAGACAAGAATGGCTGATGCCATGTTGGCAACGGTGAATTGTGTGTAGATCCAAGCTCGCGGGTGAAGGATGTTGCTGGAGACGCGCGTCATGTACGACAGGAACGCGGTGCCTGAGAGAATGACCGGATCGTTGCCGATGAAGGCGGTCAGAATGAAAAAGAAAACGTAGAGGTAGAAGAAAAGTCGATGTCCGACCTTGCCTCCCCATTTGAGCACTCTGAAGGCCAAATAGCGAATGAGGCCTGAGGCATCAATGGAAATGGCAATGTATGCCAGGGAGAGGAAGAAGGCCATGATGTCCAGCGGTGAAATGTTGTCTGCGCCGACAGTCCCATCATGCACTTCGCTGCGGCCGATGGCCAATATGGCGAGGAGGAAAAGGTCTGCAATCAGCGGCGCAGTGACAAAGTTCATGGGGAACCTCTTCCACAGCAGTTTCTGATTGGGGCTACGCGCAGAGCCCTTGCGAGGGGCAATGACGCGCAGGGAAGCAAGAGCATTGAAAAATGCATCTCGTGCTACCACAGGCACCGGCAGGGGGACGTGGAAGGGAAAGAGGACGATGATGTTGGTGAGGACAAAGACAACAAGCGTGATGATGGAGCGCCACGAGCGAATGACGCTCGTGTCCAATGGGTCGATGCCACCATGGTCGCCAGATGACATGTCGGGGTTGCGCTGGCCAGGCGCCTGCGACAGGACACCTACCTTCGTAATAAACCTCAGCGAGGTTTCTGCTGTGCTTCTTGGGCTCTGGGTCTGCAGTGCTTGGAATTCTTAGGTGCGGGTTGCTGGCCTGAATTCTCACCGGTGCAACAAGGTTTGCGGTCAGCCGATTGGGGTCTAGCGCAGCCTCCTCCTCCACGTGTGGTTCGCTCCTGCTCCCCAGATCGCACGCGGTGTCGACACAGCCTCAATGACGGTGGCCTGCGACGTCGCCCATGGTTGCCCTGCTGGCCCCATTGGCCTCGTTTTCCGGTCACTGCTTCGATGCCAGTTCGCATGAGGCTCAAAAGCACCGTGGTGTCCCCCGCGCAAGTCAGCCTCTCTGCCACATTCGCTGCTGTCCCTCATGGACTCAACCCCAGCCGCTCCCTCCAGGTGCTATGCCGGCGTTGTTCCCCACGCCAGAACTGGCTGATCTTGCAGTTCGCGCCACAGGCAATGCGACTGACGGCCTGCGAGTCGTCTGCGCCTGGCCTGTCTCCGGCCAATATGGCCCCGGGTCGCGGGTGCTGTATGTGCCGTCCGACACCTCGATTGACCGAACTGCTGCTCACAACGACCCAGTTACTACGTTCTTGTCGCGGCTTGTGTGCTTGCGCGCAACGTTGTGTGGCTTCGAAAGGCGTGCTTGGCCGCTGCGCTGCTGCTGCCCGCTGTCGGCTCGTTACACGCCCTCGTGCTTGCCTCGCTCCACGTCAATGGTCCGTTTCGCACTCCCGCCCAGGATACGCCGTGCCTCAACCACTGATTCTGTCTTCTAGGCGTCGTCGACATGGACATTTATGGAGCATTCCAGGTCTGTTCCATAGCCATTCTAGCGGCTCCACTCACTGTTCGCCTGTCCAAGACGTACTTTTACGACCCCGGTCGCAACTTGATCTTTCTGTGGACCGCCCTCATTCTGGCGGGCCTGCTTGCTCTCGCCGTCGAATTCTACCGTGTTACGCCCATCATCTGCCCCGAACAAGTTCCGGGTGGGAGTAATTTCCCCTACGGAATCACCAAATGCGGTTTGAGTTGCGACGAAAATGATCCCAAAAGCCCTTATTCCCCACTGCGCGCTGGTCCCGCCGCTAATATCGGCGTTATTCCTGTGCCGACAACCTTGACATTCAACACTGGCATGTTGCTAGCCACAGCATGTTGCGTGCCCGCAGTCGTCTCGTTGATGTTTACGTGGGACAAGATCCTCGCGCTTCACTGGAAGCGGCGATTCGGACACAGTGAGGAGACTCAGCGGAACAGGAGCATAGAGCCAATAGAAGGAACGAACGGTGCCACCGAGGCGCACATGGACGGCATCAATGGCGCTATTCGACGAGTGCTGGGCGTGATAGAGATTCCACTGTTCAGCAGCGCGATTCTTGCCATCCTTATTGCCGGAGAAATCAATTTCTTCAGCCACCAAGTGCGCTGGGAGACCGAGCCCATAGCCTCGGTCGGGCAATGGGGTCCTATCGCCGGTACAGTTCTGGCCGCTCTCGGATCGCTGTATGTTCTCGCCATGACTGGAGGAGAAAAACAACTTGGCACCCCCAACAGCCCCGCAGAGTGTGCATGCGGTAATCACCTCCAACGGCAACCGACGTTCACCCTCGAGCCAGATAGCGATGGCTCTCCAAGCCAGATAAGTCTTGATGACCACGGCGTACCTATAGGCATTCGGAGGTCCCATGAAACATTCGTAACAGACAGCACTCATCCGCGCAGATCTACGGATCCAGGCGGGCGACGCAGAGTTGCCGAGATGCTGCAGAAGGCTGGCGACAAACTCGGGTCTGCCGCCCACAACAAATACGATGCGAAACAGTACAACAATAGTAGAGCGCGCGAGTTCCCAGAAATTCCTGGTGAAGCTGCACGTAATCCTGAATTGACTGAGCTCAAGAGGCAGTATAGCCTACGGAGAGACGTGGTCTTACGGGAGGAGAACTCAAGAGCCGTCAGCCCTTCACCAAGTAATCTTACATTTCCGGATGTTGATCTCAGCCCCAACACCAGCCCAGTGCTTGGACAGGGCGGTTTTTCTGAGAGCCCAGAGAGAATGGCCACACGACGCGAAACAGTTGAGGCCTCGTCACCAACGCGAACGAGCTTCCCGGACCTTGAACGGGGTCGGCCACCTGCGCGACGAGCTACCCTTGAAGTACCCTCTCCTACAAGGGCGGCATTTCCAGGGACTGATTGTAACGCCGTACCCGCTCGACGAGCCACACTTGAAGTGCCTCCCCCCACAGAATCTAGCCAAAGTAGCGCGAATCGCGATCGCGATCGCACTTATGCAAGGCGTTCTACTTTGGAGGTACCGTCTCCGACCCATCGGCCAGCATTATGATTTCAAGGACCATGATTTTGTCACCACTGCATATGTATATCCTACTAACATTTAGAAATTCTACACTGCATATGCGTTTAGCGGCATTGCTTCTCGGGAGGAAAACGTTGATAGTATAAATAGTATTTGATGTTGTTGTTTTTTGTATTATTAGAGCAAGCGTACTCTTAACAATGATTACGGTATTACCGCACCCATTGCAAGTGTTGAGCCCTTTCTATTAGAATATACACTTTCGCACCAAATTCGAGCGCGTCGTTGGCAAATTGAGCCTCTGTGAATGTGGATGTCTCTTGTGTTTTCCGTTTGGGACTCACTGAAGAAGGTGGATGGAATGGGTTGCGTTAATGCGAAGTATGTAATTTGGTAGTCCCGGAAGGTCTGGTGGGGGCTGGCGGGCGGTGAAACACCTCCCTCCTGCGGACTAATCAAAACACAGCCCCGCACGCATGCAAGGCGAAAGGCTGGAGCCTGCTCAGCCCTAAGCTATCAGGCACGCGACATGATATAATGCTTGCTTTGTCACGAACTTCGTTTGTTCTCTTCATGAATATATCATGCGGTTTAGCCTTATCTCAGTTCGTCCCGACCAAAACCCCGAAGGAATCTACACGCGCCAGACTTCGTACCGCTCATCACCAGGCAACGCAAGGAAACTTCATCCAGTGTCGCGTTAGCACGTTAGCAATTTCACTGGATAATGTCCTCAGTAGTATCAACAGCGACAAACGCTAGCAAGCACCGTCGCGACGACGACTTGTGGCGATCAGCTTACAAAAGACTGAAGCATGACCCAGACAGTAAGCTCGACAAGTTTCACAAAGTCGTTCAGAAGCACTCCGAAAGCAAGGGGTTGTCATCATCAGGCCACCTGAGCTCGGCCAATGGAAGGCAGAAAATGCTCAAGCTCATCAACGCCGAGGCTAGTGCCATGAAGCCGAAGAACGGAACTTTCGACAAAGTCGTCCAGACCATATTGAAAACGAAAGAACTTGTCTCCACCGGAATAGCCGCAAGTCCACCCGCCGCGATCGCGGTAGCGGGAATTTTCATGGTCTTCTCAATACAGCAAAATTACCGTCAGGAGGAAGAAGCGGCGTGTGAAGTCGTCGCTCTCGTAGCTCGAATCATAGTGCGCCGTGCGCTTGAAGAAGGAGAATGCTACAGTAAGCCAGGCGACAAGAAAGAGATGGGAGAGTTAAGAGAACATTTGTACTTTAGCTATCAGGATTTGTACTTCAAGTTGCTATCAGCGATCGCAAAAACACTATGCTGGCTCAAGAAACCGAAAGGACAGCGCGTTTTCGACACTATGTGGGGAAGGGTGGACTGGGTCGCAGAAGAAAGGAACCTTTCAAAAGCGGATAGCGACTGCGTCGATATTCTTGAAGATATACATCGCAGCAATGCCAACCCGGCTGGAAAGGAGTCTCCTTGGAAGAGGGGACGCAACTTGTTACACCAGAATGCAGCAATGGGATACGAAACTCGCGTCGCAGAGCTTCTAGACACACACGCTTTTCCCCCGAACGAGAAAACAGACAAGGGATGGACTGCGCTGAGCCTTGCAGCCGAAGGCGGACACGTCAAAATTTGCAAGAGTCTGCTCAGCCTCAAGGACATAGACATAGAGCTCCAGAACAACCGCGGACGTACAGCACTACACATCGCAGCGATGAAAAACCGGGTAGAAATCGTCCGAGCACTAATCGGAGAGGGCGCAAAGGTAAACGTAAAGGACAAGGACCGCAAAACACCCCTCCACCTAGCCGCACAAGACGGCCGGCGCGACGTTGTAGACGCCCTCTGCAAAGCTCCAGGAATCGAGCTCGACCTTTCCGACAAAGAAGGACGGTCCGCGTTGCACCTAGCCAGCCTAAAAGAGAAGACCGCGGTACTCAAGTTGCTATCCGAAAGGGGCGCAAAGGTCGACCGCAAGGACACCAAGAAACGCACCGCCTTCCTCGACGCCGCCGAAGCCGGAAACATCGAGCTCCTCAAGACGCTGCAAGCCTGCGGCGCAAACATCAACCAGCAAACCGCAACCCACAGGTGGAGTGCCCTGCACTATTGCGTTTCGCGTGACCGTCTGAAGTGCCTGAAGACTCTCCTCGCGTTCCCGGGTATCAAGCTCGACATCACGAACACGGACGACCGCACGCCCCTCCACGAAGCAGTGCTGAAATCCCGGACTTCCATCGTGAAGGCGCTCGCTGACAAAGGCTCCGCAATCGACACGCGCGACAAGAAGAAGCGGTCGCCGTTCCTGGACGCCGCGAAAGCGGGGAAAGGGGACATGGTGAAGAAGCTGCGGGAGAAAGGGGCGGATTTGAATCAGGTGTCTGGTGTAAATGGGTGGAGCGCACTGCACGAGGTCGCAAATAAGAATCACATCGAGGTTGCGAGGTATCTCGTTAGCGAGGGGATAAAGCTAGATTTGAAGGTGAAGGGTGGAACGAGGAAGGGGTTGACTGCGAGGGGCATCGCGGAGGCAAGGAAGAGCAAGGATGTGCTGGAGTTTTTGCGCGAGTATGAGCGCATTGAAGTGCAGCTGGGTGAATGAATCAGTATCTCCTGCATAGGTATTGGCCGCATGAATGCAACCATCTCAGACATCAAGACGGTTGAACTCAATCGCCAGCTGCATACATCCGCTGCTCGCCGGTCCCCCTCCGCCATGCGTATCAACACTTCAAATTCCGCGTCCATTTCGAAATAAACCAAACTCTCAGTCATCAACAGGCGTGAGCTCAATCAACAGGCGCATGCACCCGCTGCTGCTCACCCCCATCCTGAAATGCGCCTCCGTCATGCGTACCTCCCACCCTTCAATCTCGGGCTCCAACTCCTTCGTCGAATCGTTCAGATATCTCTCCACCTTGATCTCCTTTAACTCCGAAAATCTCCCGCTCCTCAGCGTTCGCCCCAACATAACGAACAGTCCTCTGTCCGGCGAGCAAGGCCCGAACCAGCGGTCGTCGTAGTGCAGGTACAGCGTCTCGAGCCCCGCCGGTAGGGCGTCCTCCAGCGCCAGCACGCCGTCATTCTCCCACCGGTTGCGGTGGCCCGTGAAATCACACTCCGCAATCTTGAGGTGGCGCAGCGAGGTCATCTCTTTGAGCGAATCGACCTGTCCATCTGTAGAGCTGTACGAGCTGTAGCCGGTTGTATGCAGCTCGAACGACACTAAGCTCTGCCCGTGCTCCCTCAGCACGGCGCCCATGGCACTGAGGTCGACCTCCAAGTCGAACTGTTCTCTGTCGGTGTCGAAGCTTGGGTCGTCTCTGCGGCTGTCGCCGAAGAGGATGTGCAGCGTGTGCAGGTTTCTGAAGCGCGTGAGGACGTCGCGGAGGCCGGTCGCGTCGATGAAACATTCTCTGAGATCTAGGATTCGGATGGCGGGGTTGGGGTGGAGAGGCCAGCGGGTTTTCCGAAGGCTGAAGGACGTCCAGTCGAATCCTAGGAGGTAGAGGCGCTCGAGGCCGGGGTGCAGGAGGACGGCTTCGATGTCGGCGATGCTGATGCTGCCTGATTCGCTGTCTCTATGTCTGATGCGGAGCTCTTTGAGGTGCGGGAGGGCGTTGTCAGATAGCGTCTCATCGGTGAAGGGCGTTGGAATAGCCCTCAGAAGCTGCTCCTCTTCCAATCTCCGCGAATACGTGAAACGCATTGTTTCTCTGAGATCCGCTATTGTTTGCACAATCTTTTCGACATCTGACCTCCCGCTCAGCATGCCTGCGATGTCGAATGCATCCCTGTACACCGCGACATCCACGACCTGTAGGTTTCGCATGAGCGCAAGTAGTCGACCGTTCCATCCGATCTTCGTTTCCTTCATCATCGCCATCTTCAACCACCTCTTCTCCCGCTCCCCAACGTCTGCCCTTCTTAAGAGGCTCTCACACTCTACATCCTCTCCATTTCTCAATGAGTCAAGGCAAACGTTCCTCGCATGAGCGGCTAGCCGCGGGTTTTGGACCATTGATCGAGCTAGGAGCCTTTTATTTTCGTCCCGAACTTTGGAGTCCTCCTGACTGAAGGCTTCTGCTAGAATGGTGCGGTACATGAACTTCTGGGCAATGTGTTGGAAGGTTCGGCATGCAAGCGATAGGGAGGCAAGATCTTTGAGAGAGGACACATCGTATTGGCTCCCGTAATACCACCAGTTGTCGATTGGCATAGGACACTCGAGGTGGGAGAATATTTGCTCCCAAAGTTCGGTGGGAAGGGAGCGCATCGTTTGACTTCGGGCAGTCCCAGGCTCTTTCATGTTCAAGTTGTCTGGACTAGAGTAATCGTCGCGCGATTGATGTGAAGTACATGTTTTTATACTGTCGCGGCTGTCTTTGCAGGATTCACGCGCACCCCTGAATGGGTCTGTCGCCTAGGCTACGCTTAGTTAGAGAAATGGTGCCTTCTAAAATGAAACCCGTCAACTCGTGGTGGGACTCTCGTATACCCTTTTCCACAGTCGCAAGGATGGCCAGCCGCAATAGGAACAGCTCCCATGGCTCAGAAGTCCCGTTGTGTTTCAAATTATTGACACGGGCACAATGATGTTATCTCGGTAAACGTCATTCTGGTGCATCTTCAAGGTCTAGTCTCTGCACCGTGGACATCTGGCTTCGCGGGCGTCCATGTGATCTTGGGAAGGCCTGAAATCTGCAACAATCATAATCAAGATCGAGACGGGGAGGTTCCGACATTGATGCCTAACCAATCTAGTAGCTTCCACGCGCAGTGCTAGTGGCTTGGCGCTCGTCGTTGCTCGCGTTGCGGGAAGCTGCGACTCACGACGAATTTCCAAAACCGTAAACCGTCACACAAATCAACTTCTTCCTCACACATTTGCTCTCGAACTCACCGCATATACTTCTCTTCATCGCCATCCATCGAAAGCCCGTTCTAATCAACCATGGGTGCCGACATCGTTGCAAACCCGCCGCCATCTGCGTCTGGAGAGTCCAAGTCGAGCCGCAAGAAGCGTGCGAAGGCTGAAGCCGCCTCAGCAACACCCACTCTGCCTACTGCCGACAAAGCGACTTCTGAGCTAGGAGCCAACAGCTCTGACGTGGCAGGCAAGGCCAATGGCGGGGAAGATAACCTGTACATCAGGGAGCTTCAGAAGTGAGTGGGGATCTAGACCCGTGTCATCTGCATTTCGGCGAGCAGCATGTACTGATGCGAACACTTCCAGGAATGTTCGCAACGTGAACAAGAAGCTGGTAAGTTGTGCAATTACCCCCCACATCGATCTCGGCTCAGCTGACTTTATTACAGAACGCTATGAGCAAAGTCACCGAGATCGTCGCCGCGAACCCTGACGTATCCCTCGATGAGCTTGTCTCTACACGCAAGATCAACGCCGACCAGCGAGCCCAATATCAGAAGCGCCCGGCACTCCAGAGCCAGCTTGCGCAGTTCGAGGAGCAGCTCGCTGCGTACAAGAAGTTCGAGGAGGAGCTCCAGAGCAAGGCAGCTCAAGAGAAGGAGATCCTGCAGAAGGGACACTCGGAGGAGCTTGTGAAGCTGAGGGACACACTCAAGGAGGAGGCTGCGCTAGAGGTCAAGAAGACCTTTCGCGAGCAATTTTTGACCTTGTCTCGTTTCCTGCGCGCTGCGGCTGCTCGACGTCAGCTGCCAGAGGACGACAGCAACGAGCTCACCAAGGCCTTCGAGGGAGCGCTTCTGCAAGTCTATGGCGGTGATCCTTCCGCTGTAGCCGCGGCTGAGAAGCTGATTGAGGGGTCACACGACAGTGTGCCTTCAACGGACGGCGAGATCCTCAGCGTCACTTGTGAGTTTCAAGATCACTAGCTGTAGATAGTGCGTGTACTGATGAATACTAGACGCCCAGGTCAAGCAGGCTGCTCTTGAGGAAGCTCCTTTCGCCGCCGAGGAGGCGTGGGCAGACGATGTCGCACAGTCTCAGCCCACGGCCCCCGAGACCGACTCGCCCGCGGCCATCTCCACAGACCCAACTGTCGCCCACGCAGGACTGACCGAAATCGGCACAACCACCGGTACCGTAACTGGCGCAGAGTTGGACACATCGAACGCTCCTGCAGCCTCAAGCGTAGATGCTGGTGCGGCCAACCAGGCTGGAGGCGACTGGGACAAGCCGGGCCCTGGTTCCGACGACCCTCTCGCTGAGTCATTCGAGATCGTTCCTCGTAACCCCGCTGAGACCGAGACACCGGCTGCGCCTGCCGCTGTCAATGTCACCCAGAGCTGGGCCGATGATACACCCGAGGCGGCACCTGCAGCTCCTGCGGACGACGGATTTCAGAGTGTTTCACACAACCGTGGACGTGGACGCGGTGGACACCAAGGAGAGGGCCGAGGTGGTTATCGTGGAAGGGGAAGGGGCGGCCCGCGTGGTGACTTCGGCGGACGGGGCCGAGGTGGACGTGGCCGTGGAGATGGCTTCCGTGGTGGTCCTCGAGGCGGAGGCTTCCGCGGAGGACGAGGTGACTCGTCGCAGCAGTAAAACAAGGCAGCACACGCCCCTTCTCTTCTGAGCACACTCTTGCACGATTGGAATCGGGGGTTTGGAAGTTGATTCCACTAACTCATTGGGTCGCTTCTTTCGCTGTTTTACTACACTGTTGTACTGGCATGTTTGGAACATCTGTCTGAGCGGATCGCATGGAATGTGGGCATCAAGCACTACAGGAACGTGCATGAAAGAGTGTACAGCCTAGTCGTCTTCACAGCATAGCATCGGAGCCTTGGTATCTTGGTTTCCTCGGGTTTTGGGCCATTTTGTAAAATAGTGGCTACGGGATGCGGGTGCTCAAAATCAATGGGCTTGTAACAAAATGCAACTCGTTCCCGACCGTGCTGGTTGCCCATGTATGATTCTCTCAGTGAAAGTCTGACGATGATATAGCTGGCGCGTAGGATGGAGCTCGGGCCGATGGACCTGCAGTATGACGAAACGGAGAAACGGTCCCAGGTCAGGGGTGCATCGCTGGATTGCGCCGATGAGATGAGATAGGCGAGTGTGGATGCGGGAACCAACGTGGCCTGCACTAGTGGGACCAACGCCGCCGCGCGGGTGATCGCGTATTACGGGGACACATGATTGTGCCGCGACTCTACTCACGGGCAATCTGTGCATCTTGCGTTTGATTTGACCCATAATTCTAATAGCGATCCACTTTGCCATGTTCTGGCTGTGCCATCCGCGCGCGGAGGGAAGCATCCCATCAACAGTGCGCAACCATAGGCCTGGCTACATTCCAGGGAAGCGCCGATTCAGCGGATTCGGTATAGAGACTATCGAACTGCTCTGTGCCTGTTTCATTTCGGGGCAGAGGTCACTCTACAAATTGTGTATCGCGAGTTTGGAGTGGGCTCTGCCGTCTCCTCTTCCATCTGACTCTCACAGTCACTGAGCGGGATACAAGTCAGCAGTCCTTGAAACAACCCGCAATGCTGCTACGTACACTGGCTAAATCCGATTGTTTCCCGCGCGCCCAACACTTTCGTCCGGAGGTCAGATTTGTCGTTTCTTGGCTGCGCGTACAGGTTTGCGTGACTGGTGCGCTAGCGTACCCCAGATACCGGTATACCACGTCGATTTGCACTCGCCACAGCTCTACAATCCGAGAGAAGAAATGCCAGCAATTGAAGCAGAGCCAGTGTACGTGTACGAGCTGCCTGGTCACAGGGAGTATGTTGGGGCTACTGGTACGGACAAGCGCGGGACTGTCGACGTAACAACAGCCGCTGTTCTAATGCCGCAGCTCACCAGCTAGAGCAAACAAGTAAGTATGCCATGATCATTTATTTAGCCAGGGAGTGTCGTGCTGTCGTACTAAGCATTACCGGTACCCAGCCGAACAGATGTACGCTATATAAACGCAAGGATAGAATTAAGATAATCGGTACGTACCTGTCGTCAGCAGTGTAACATCCCATGTGTTCCTGACTACCGTGTGTGGCCGTTTGATCTTGATCAGATAAGATGGTCGATCGAGAACGGAATGACGTGCGTGAACTGCACCCTTTTCACGAAGTTGACATAATAGCAGCGCGCAGAGGCCCATCCGCCTTGTAAGCGCATGGACGCTTTCGCGACGACACAAGCACGGAAATCCACCTTCCATTATTCCCGTGCCAAACTATAACGCTGAATGCGAGCGTGCAGCTTGACGTGCATCGGCTGATGTTCAGTCCACTTGCCCTGCAAACTAGGCCGGATAGAGCTACGATTGGTCCGAGCGGCGCTCGCAGACACCTGCACCTCCCCAACCTGCACTTGCGGGCCAAACGCCTACCACCGCCCGTCCGCCACTCGAACACCCCCATACGACGTCTCGTGAGACCCCACGAGCATATGCGACAACCGTGAGCGTGCCGAGTGTGCTGTGTTCTGCCCGAGAGCGCTGCGTGGCGACGACGGATGCCGCCCTTGCGAACGTGCGCGACGCCCGTCAGCCTCACCCACCATCACCCTCGAGTCCACGCACGCCGCCTATAGCCGTTGCTGCCGCCTGCAATGGAGGCGCCCGCGCCCGCGCCCGCGGTGCCTGCACCCCCAGAGGTCTTGCCGTCGGTCGAGACGCCCACCCACCAGGATGCACACGACGACGTTGCGAACAAGCCTGCGCTGACACCGCCGACGAGCGAAGACATGGACAAGCGGGACGAGAGGCTGTCGTCGGAGCTGTCAGACATAGACAGCGACGATGGCGAGGACATTGAGCCCGACCATTACTGGGACGGCGGCAAGATACCTGTCTTCAAGCCGGTACGTTGCATACCTTGCAGACTCTCGCCGCGCTGCAAAGGGAGCTTGCGCCGCCTGCGGCAAGCTTCAGCGTGCTTGCGCAAAGCGACAGTGGAGTGCTAACAGCGTGGTGCTGCAGACAATGGACCAGTTTCGCAACTTTCGACGCTTCATTGACAAGATCGACAAGTACGGCATGAAGTCTGGGATCGTCAAGGTCATTCCCCCAACCGAATGGTAAGCGCAATTGCACACCAACGCTCGGCAAGCCCAACTCACCACTGATGTAGGCGCGAATCGCTGCCCGACCTGAGCGAGGCCGTGAAGACGATCAAAGTCAAGAACCCCATCACCCAGGAATTTGCCGGCCAGCACGGAATCTACACACAGGCAAATATCGAGAAGCAGCGATCATACAATCTGCCTGAGTGGAAGGCAGTGACGGAGGAAGCCCACCACCAACCGCCAGTCAAGCGGGGCGAGCGTCGGAGAGCTGCCGCTGAAGCCCCGTCGCGCAACCGCTCCACCAGAGCTCAGACCAACACCGCAACCGCCGACGCTTCACCCGCCATGAAACGTGGGCCTGGCCGACCGCGGCGTGGCCGCGCCGCCAAGAAGGAAGAGGTCGATGACGATGACACTGCTTCGATTGATGTTCCGCCAACGCCAAAGTCCCCCGGTCCGGAGGACGACAAGAAGACGTCGGTTAGGAAGATCAAGGAAGAAGAACGTGAGGAGTCGCCGGTACGAGCACGTGGCCGCCAGCCGCGCGGCCGTCAACCAAAGGGCGACACGAAGAAGTCGACTACATCTCGCCGCATGAACAACCGGACGGCAATTGCTGATTACATTGACGAAGCTGCTTTTGAAAGCTTCAACTACCATCTCGAGAACTTGGCTGAATTCGGGCCTGACCGCTGCAAAGAGTTGGAAGAGAACTACTGGAAAACCATCAACTTCGGTCAGCCAATGTACGGAGCCGACATGCCTGGCTCTCTGTTCGACGACAGGACGACAAGCTGGAACGTGGCGAAGCTTCCGAATTTGCTTGACGTTCTTGGGACCAAGGTGCCCGGTGTCAACACCGCATATCTGTACCTGGGCATGTGGAAGGCTACCTTCGCATGGCATCTGGAGGACGTTGATCTATACAGTATTAATTACATCCATTTCGGCGCTCCCAAGCAATGGTACAGCATCTCGCAGGAAGACGCCCGACGCTTCGAAGCGGCCATGAAACAGATCTGGCCTAACGATGCAAAGAATTGCTCGCAGTTCCTGCGCCACAAGACCTACCTCATATCGCCGCAAAAACTTGAGAAGGACTTCAACATCAAGGTCAACCGACTGGTCCATTACGAGGGCGAATTCGTCATCACATACCCTTACGGCTACCACTCCGGGTACAATATTGGTTACAACTGCGCTGAATCGGTAAATTTCGCCAACGAATCCTGGCTGAGCTACGGCAGGATTGCTAAGAAGTGCGAATGCGAGTCTGACAGTGTCTGGGTCGATGTAAATGAGATTGAGCGCAAGTTGCGCGGCGAGCCAACGCCGGAGTACATCGAAGAGACTGATTCTGAGGGTGAAGACGAGATTGATCACTTGCCAAGTCCACCTCCCAGCGTTGCTGGCAAGGCCAGGGGGAAACCTGGACGAAGGCCCGCAGGCAACAAACGCAAGAGGGGCAACAAGGAACCCGAAGACGCTCCCAAGCCGAAGAAGGTCCGACGTATTCGCATTCGCATCAAGGTGCCTGGTCGTGGGATGCCTTGTATCCTATGTCCAAATGACGTTGAGTACGACGAGCTTCTGCCGACGGATAATGGCATGAAGGCGCATCGCATCTGCGCAGACTACACCCCGGAAACCTACATCTTGAACAAGAACGGTGTCGAAACCATTTGCAATGTCGCCAATATCGGCAAAGATCGCTTGGAGCTCAAGTGCAACTACTGCCGCTCAAAGCGTGGAGCTGTCTTCCAGTGTTCGCAGAAGAAGTGCACGCGCGCTTTCCACGCGACCTGCGCCATGGCTGCCGGTGTTCAGGTGGACCTTGGGCCAATGCCGACTTTCGACGAGGAGGGCACCGAATACTACTACGATGGATACGATTTCCGATGCCGTTTCCACCGACCGAAGAAGCGAAATAACAAGACCGTTGACGTGGATTACCTTGAGAAAGATAAGTTCGTCATGAACTTTGCGAAGGGTCTCAAACCGAAGGACGCTATTCAATTTCAATATGTTGGTGGCGAGATGTACCAAATTTACGGTGGCCTGGTGGTCGAGAACCGTTCCGGAGAGCAGGCTTTGGTCGTAGACGTACTACCTGACGGTGACCGCGTCGAAGTGGAGTGGAAATACATCTTGAAGCTCGCGCCAGAAGACTCGCAGCGACCGAAACCTTCAGCCAACGCCAAACCGCTGCCCGAACATCTCAAGGAGAACGATGCCTCGCTTGACATTAGCAACCGCACCGATGGCGTTCCCGAGGTTGGCGATCCTTTCCACGATCCCAACTCGGAGCAGAAATGGGCCGAGTTCAACACTGCTCCGGACGTGATCAAGAAGATCTCCAAAGTGGACTTCAGCAAACCTGACCGCCTGTGGCACTATTTGGGCAAGAACTCGACTGAAGCTAGGCCACAGTATACGGACGATCTGTCGAAACGCGTGCACAACCCGAAGAGCAACTTCTTGGATAGAGTTAAACCTCCAGCGCCGATCGTTCCGAATTACCAATACCAATACCAACAGCGCTCGTATCCGGCGACGTATCCCATCAAGCCTGCGCCAGTGTCTTACCAACCTCAAACACCCATGCAGCAGCAACCGAAGCCTTACCAATACAAGCCCAAGGAGTCGATGATGACTACTTTCAGAGCTCCAGCTTACCAACCAAATACAAGCAAGAACCCCAATTCGCCCGTTGCGCATCAGCCGAATGTCACCTACGACCATCGGTCTCCCGGTTCTCCCTATGGGCAAACAGCCTATCAACAGAGCTACCACTCCTCACGGCCGCCGCAGGGCGGCTACATACCCTACGCTCCGCCACAACAATGCTCCACTCACGCGAAGTCGCCGTCAACAAGCGGACCGCCGCCGCTTACTGGTTTCCACCATTATGCTCAGCCGGCTCCGTCACCAAACTCAGTACCGCCAAATTTGTATCACCTGCCTCCTTCGCCGTATTCTCAGAGCCAAGGACCTGTACCGCGACCCGTCTACAGTCCGTCTGCAGGCCGACCTGGCTCACAAACACAGTTTCACAGCGGCGTGCCAGTGCCCCACACAATGAGTAACCCCGCCGGGACCTCCAAACCTCCAATGTACGCCACAATGCACTCTTCCCTTTCCACACAAGCCCCTTCGTCGCAAGTTGAATATCTTGCCTACGTTACCAAATATCCTTATCTGAAAAACGCCTTCCTGAGGAGAGCAAAAACTTACATATCTCCTTATAGTCCAAATGGTGGGTTTACGGCCGAGTGGGCTCCAAAAATACCTACAGCAACCAGCGGAACCCCGAATGGGATGCCGCCCATGCGATCGGATCAATCAAGTCCTGGTATGGGTATAAAGTTCGGGGGAATGATGCCCCAGAATTTACCTATGCCGAGGCCAACTGCACAGTTCCAGTCGCCAGATGCTTTTCGGCAAGATCTAAACAAAGCACCTCGGCCCCTATCGGGAGCGCCGAAATGGGAGACGATGCTCAAACATCTCGGGAACACACCTGAGCAACCAGCTCCAGCAGGCACGACGGCCTCGCATAGTCCACTACCTACTTTGGCTCCAGCCCCGGCGAGCCGACCATCGTCGCGTGCCCCACCGCCTACTCTTGCTCCCTCGCCCATGGCGCCACGTCCTCCGAGCGCGTCGCAACCACCCACCAAGAGTGACACGCCTTCCGTGATCGATCCTGCGCTTCAGAGCTATACGCCGCCTCAGGCTCCACCCAGCACGGCTGCACCGGCGATACCCACCCCGCCTGGCGAGAAGCCGAATACACCCCAACGGCCGGAGTATAGTCCTATCAGCGATAATGGAGATACGAAACCGCCGCCGGCGGTGCATGCTGGGGAGACGTGGAGGTATACTTCGTAGAAATCTGCAGCGTTTGAGGGGCGTTTATGTGGTTGTCGTGTTGCCACACTTGTATGAGTATAGCGCTTACACATGGGAAAAGTAATACTTCATGCATATGGCTATTTGTTTGCGAGGCATTCTTCGTGGCTTTTGCAATCGGTGTTTGGGCGGTATGGACACATCCCAATGGCATAGGTCAAATGGGATGCCACGTAGGCGTGGCAGGAGGGTTCAATAAATACATGATCGTTCTGCTTGCTCTGAGATACATGGCTCCTCGATGCGCACGGTGTTTTTTTTTTCCTCAAGTTTGGTGAGATCGAGAGTGTGTTATTGCTAATCAGTGATGAGTGGGTGAATCTATACGTCTTGCTATACTGCGTTGGCCAATCGTTATGTGTACTCCATATGTGCCTGCTTCTATGATATGTATATACATAATTATTACACTAGTACCCCGCTTTCGTCTACGTCGGGGTGCCATTTCTGTGCTCTTTTAGTCGCGGACGTCAGCTCGCCGGCGTGCTGGATCGTGCCGGCACGTCTGCGTACTCCGCGCTGGGTCGGTCCAGTCATGCTCTCGATTGTGCACCGACATGGGCTCCGCTATCGCGTGCGGCCCACAAGGCTTAGACGGGCTCGGTGTCGACGCTGCGGCGCGGCTTGCGGTGCTTCCGCCTGGCATGCTGCTACAATGCGAAGGTGCAGACCCATGCAGCTACTCCATCAGGTGTTCTGAAGGATATCCGTGGACAATGTGTGCAGCGCCGAGGTACTCCTTCCTTTCTAGGCTGCGACCTTACCGGAAGTCGAAGCCCGAATAAGGGTGATTCGCATCCAGCACAATCGAGTCATCCAACCCCGTCAACTGCATCATCTCGCTATTCAAATCCGAGTAGTTCGTGTCGTCGAACGCGAGGTCCAGACTCTGCTGCGTCTGCAGGGGTGTCATGAAGTTCGGATCCAGATTGCCCCACAGCTGTGCAATCAGCTCGTCATCCAGCACAAGCTGCGTCTGCGCTCCCTCGCCTCGCTTTTCGATGATGGGGATACCCAGGTCGGCAAGCCGGAGGGGTGTTTCTTCCGCAACCATTTTGGAGAAGCCGATCTGTTCGAGGCCTTTCATCAACGCGATGGTGGCTTCGATGTGCGACCGGTACTGCGGCTGCTTCGTGTGCGCGAACGCCAGGATGAACACCATAACGAGCCGGAGGAGGCATGTAGAGTCGAAGGCGGTCAGGCTAGACAGCGTAGACTCAGACGCCATGGCCTGCAAGATGGCAAGACTCTTCTGAGCCGCATCGATCGTCGTCTTGCCCATCCGTTCGAACCAGACTTTCTTGCTCGGCGGGAGCGTGCTGTGCTTCAGCACAAGATACAGCAGGAACGGCCGGCAGAGCAGGATTGTGGCGGCCCAATACTGGAGGTGGAGCACGGCAACGGCGCGCTTGTGGGTTGGTGGGGCGGGGACGTCGTGTTTGAGGTGCGGCGGCATGAGTTGTTGCCAGCCCTGCAGGGAGAGGAGGAGCTTGGAGACGGTGGTGAAGGGGAGCGTGCGGGAGTTGAGGAAGCGCTCGGTGTAGACGGCTTGAATTATTTCGCGCTTGAGGCGGCAGAGGGAGACGGAGGTTGTGAGCCAGGAGAGGGGTGTGTGCATGCCGGGGTAGAGTATCTATCTTTCGTGAGCGGGTGTGAGACGCGGCTGTGGATGGGGGTTACATACCTGCTCGGAGGGCAAGGGCGTGGTTATGCGGAGGTACCGTTCGTCGATTAGGGTGGGGCTTCCGCCTCGGGACGCAATCTCTAGGTCGAGGTTGAAGAGTGTCCACCAGATGCGACGGTTTTGTTCGCGCTCCATCGACGCTCCAGAGTCCGTGATGGAGTCTCGGTGCAGGCCCAGCGAATACGCCACCTGGATACTTGCGCCCATGTAGAGGTACGATGCTGTCCTTGAGCAGAGATTCTCCAATGCGATGCTCTGGGAGATATTAGTCAATTACGATAAAGCCAACTCTCCTGAGTTTTGAGGGAAAATAAAAAAATATTGCCTTGCTGAGTGCTTTCGCACTTCTCTGGCAATGTGTACTTACCATGATAGCTAGCGCACGTATGCTGTCGATATCTGCCTCATCGTACACTGCAGGTATCAGCTCCTTTGCGAGCGCAATGTAGTCTTCTGATGACTTCTCATCTGACGCGGCAGGTGAGCCAGGAGGCAGCGGTGACTGTCCGCTGGGTTCCTCATAATTGGCGGCGCCCAGTCCCAGGATGGCGTACAGTGAGCACATCCATGAGTTACTCAACTTTCCCGCCTTGCCAGTGTAGGTCGACTCCACCCGGTACAGGAACTGCTCAATTGAATAGAACCAATGTGTACAGTGTACATCCTCGAGAAACCTAGAGATGTAGTAGTCACAAAGCTCCCGCCGCGGAAGAAAGAAGGAGCGACCGGGTGATCCGATCTCATTGGTCATTGCTGTGGGAAGGGGCGGAGGATAGAGTCCGACCTTAGGAGGCCCGATAATGTTGGGATTCCTCCGTAACTCTGCTTCTCTGCCCATTGAGCAGACGGCAGCATTGAAAGGGATTTCCGAATGTGCACCAATGTATCCTGGTGCTTCTTAGTCGGCAGACATGCTAAGCTATCGTCACACGTACGATATCGACCCGTGGAGTCTTTCATCATGGTTCCCAGGGGTTCATGTAGATCGTTCACCGAATCGAGCACGGGCTCTGCTTCGTGTAATGAATCCCCTTCATCCGGCGTAGTCTCTTCACTGACCGAGGGCAGAGGTTCGCCTTCAGCGACTGACCCCACAAGCCTTCCGTCGACGACGTCTTGGGCAATCTGTCTAAGCGAGACTAGATTGAGTTCACGATCCGGAAAGAAGTGCTCCAATATACGCATGGCGCACTGGTACTCCTCCTCGGTGACATGGTAGTAGGGCCGCTTGCGGCGAGGTGTCGCAATCTGGCATACCGACCCAGTGCGCGCGCAGTATCGACAAGGCCCAGGAACTGAAGCGCCGGAATAGTGAGCCCCCACACGTTCGCAGACGACAGAACCACAATCCCTGCTTACCTGGATCGATGCACTAGTGCGATTAGTGTCTAGGCGAGCTGTGATGGAGGGCGCCTCTCATACCTTGGTCTTCCTGCTCCGACACCTGTCGCAGCTGCTATGCACACGATGGGTGCCGTGGCCGCGCATGGGCTGTGGCTGCGGCTGCAGGGCGTGGCCCATTGAAGCCGACGCGTCGGCCATGTTCGGGCGATGATCGGACCCGACGCCGTGTCGCGTATCGGTCGCTACGCCTGATATTATTCGATGATGCGACCAGAGCGGAGGTCGCACGGTGATAGGAAAAGCCAGCCCGGCGTCAAAGGAGATGCTGTTGGGGAAAATGCGGGGATTACGGGCTGTTCATAAATGTGGGGGCCCTTAGCCAGGGGCGAGCGCCATCAGCCGAGAAAGGGCGATCAGGCTAATGCTCAAGTGGGTAGCCTCTCGGCCGGGGCAGATGACTGTTGTTTCATCAAAGTTTCATTGCTTAGCAATTGCTGATGAACCTCTGCTTGGCTCGCTAAAATATGCTCTATCGCGGAGAAACGTACGTTCTCCTTTATGTACCTGAGGGTGCTTGAGTAGGCAGCGAATCATGGTGGACGGGGAACATCTAGTCTAGTTTGATGATCACTGACTTCGTTTCAAGGAAGTTGCTCAGTGAGTAGAATGGCTCTCCTTCTCTCCCTGTGCCGGAGGACTTGTAGCCTCCGAAAGGCGTGTCATTTACTCCGGTCGTGGGACTTGTGCAGTTGACGCCGATTGTGCCAGCTTCAAGACCCTTCGCAAATCGCAATGCCCGGCTGATGTCCCGTGTGTAGACTGCTGCGTACAGCCCATACTCGGTGTCGTTCGCTTTGGCAAGGACTTCTTCTTCCGTCTTGAAAACATTGATATTTACGACCGGTCCGAATACTTCCTCTCTCATGATCTGAGCATCTTCAGGAGTATTAGTGAAAACCGTTGGCTGGATGTAGTATCCTTCCCGGTCTGAGGGTGCCGATCCACCGAGAACCAGATCACCGGACTGCTTGCCCATGTCCAAGTATCGAAGAACAGTTTGGTGCTGGACCTCGTCCGCCTGAGGACCGTGGTTGATGCCCTTCTCTAGAGGGTCGCCAACATTTACCTTGCTAGTAAGGAATTCCTTGAAGAGTTCGAGGTATTTGTCAAATACCGTATCCTGCACATAGATACGGGAGTTCATCATGCAGACCTGTCCGCTGTTCGACTGGACGCTGTAGCCGGTCTCTTGAACTGCTTTTTCGAGGTCGGCGTCTTCGAAGATGACTGCTGGGGACTTGCCGCCCAGTTCCAGATAGACTGCCTTCAAGTTCGACTTGGCAGCAGCCGCTTGAATGATCCGGCCTGTGCGTCCTGATCCCGTGAACGACAGAGCGCGTACGTCCATATGGTGACTCAACATGGATCCGCTGACCTAGGTTGAGTGGTTAGTGAGCACCCGCTTATCGTCGAGAACATGATACGTGCTTACATTTCCAAATCCGGTGATTATGTTGAAGACACCAGGAGGGAATCCAGCTTTTTGGACTAGTGTGGCTAGTTTCGCAGACTATCCACGTGAGTATCAGTCTCTAGTCAGAGCAATTAACTCACAGTCAGAGGGGCCTTCTCGCTACTCTTTACCACGACTGTGTTACCCACGATAAGTGCAGGAGCTACCTTTCCTGCCAGGAAGAGCAGAGGAACGTTCCAAGGGATGATAGCAGCCACGACACCGTACGGCTGTCGTAAAGTCAAGTTCAGGAACCCGGGGGTCTGTACACCTACGATGGGTGTTACTGAGAGAGTTTTCAAGTGCAGCAGAGCCAGAACATCTACTCACTGGTGGTTCCCTGGACAGTATGGCCAGCTTCTGCGTAGTGATCAAATTTTCCAGCCGCCGCAAAGCCATCGAAAAATGTCCCGACTGGCTTTCCCATTGACGCAGCTTCAAGAGCAGCAAGCTCATCATTGTTTTCGCGTATCAACGCAGCAAGTTTCTTGAAGTAAGGTGCACGTTGGGCTGGCGATAGGGTTGACCATGACGGGAATGCAGCTTTGGCCGAGGCGACTGCTCGGTCAGTGTCTTGTTCCGATGCCTCGTAAACCTTTGCGACATGTTTTAGTGTGGCGGGGTTGGTTATATCAAAGGTTTTGCCATCGGAAGACTCGACAAACTGTACTAGATGAGCATGTGTCGATCAAGAGGAGCATTAGAAACGAACCTCCCCATTGATGAACAGGCGAGTTTCGATGTGCTCTGGAAGTCCCATCTTGCCGAGGCTAATCGTGTGCGGCCAAATGCGCAGAATATTGGGGGTTATCGATATTGTCACGGTGAGGCGCAGCTATGCAACTCTTTTCCCGGTGATGGTTCCTTGGGGAAATACCAGGCTCTAGTACAAGTAGAGTGCCGGCAATGTTATCCGTGCTGCTGTAGAATTGGAGACTGCCGTGGCTGCGTGTCACAGCTGACAGGTCTAATGCAAGATGTACTGAGAGAGTTTGCAAGACTGGAAGTAGGACCCCACATCGCGGGACATCGTCCGCGGGCATGGTGGGGTGCGAGCGCTACATTTGACCCCGCGCCGCCGCGTTGCAACATCGGTCATATACGACCGCCATGGTGAAGAGGCTGTGAACGGTAATCTAATTGCCGGTCCAATGGAGGAGCAGCGTAGCCGCGAGCCTGGGACATAATGGGAAAAGAGCTCCATGCAGGGCGTTGCAGCTGTAGCCTGCGAGGCGTCGAGCACCGAACGAGCCGAACGAGCAGCTTAAGAAGGTCAGCTTGCAGGCCTTTTCGTATTCAGACTACATTCCATATCATACGATCACAATGGGCAGCGAAATCGAAGAGCTCAAGCAGTTAGTTGCGCAACTACAGAAGGAGGTGTCGCTGGTGAGGTGTAGGTCGCGATGCTTAGTCATACACTGCCGAGGCTAATCGGCCAATAGCTCAGGAGGATGTGAGGAAGCTCCAGTACACATATGGCTATTACCTCGACAAATGTCTCTATAGAGAGGTGAGTGCGACCACCCATGAAGTGTACGCATCACTAACAGCTGCAGGTGGCCGATCTCTTCGCCGACCACCCAGATACTTGCGTAGAGTTTCTAGGTGGCCGCTACAATGGCAAGGAGGGCGTTGAGCGGCTGTATGTCGGCCGCTTTGCCAAAGCCTTCGTGAACGGCCGCAATGGTCCCGTGCATGGCTTTCTCCTCGATCATCCACAGATCCAGGGCATCGTAGACATCGATGCTGACGGCGCCCGCGCCAAAGGTCGCTTTCGTAGCATGATGTCTGCCGGTACGCACGAGAGCATTAAGGACACACATCCCCGTGGGCTTGTGCAGTGGTGGGAGGGAGGCGTATACGAGAACGAGTACATCAAGCAAGACGGCGTATGGAAGATCTTCAGACTGAGATACTTTCCATTCTGGCACGGGACCTTCGAGAAAGGCTGGTCACACACCAAGCCAAACTATGTCCCCTTTATGTCCAAGACATACCCCGAAGATCCCGCCGGACCGAATGAGCTCTGCGAGAACCCGATGCTCTGGCCGGACACCCGCGTGGTCCCTTTCCACTACGCACACCCCATAACCGGGAAACAGGTGGCGGAAGAGGATCTAAGGGCACCTCCGTACGGTGAAGACCCAAAAAGCAGCACGCCGGCTTTGGTTCTGAGCAAACCAAAATCTGAAGCGTAGATCATATTAATCAAAATTGAAACGAAACTTGTGATTCTTCTACACGTTGCCGTAACCACTTTTCATCATGACGTCTCCATAAAACCAGTACATGTCTTGCGTGCGGAATTTGTAGATGTATACTGGGACACGAATCGCTACAAGTCACTATTGTGTCGCAGTTCAACTCGCGCACCATGGGAGGGTCTTCATGCGCTCGGTAACGGAACAAGGTCATGTTCTTCGCTCTACAGCAGCCTCTGAAACATGATCTACTATTTCTCTATTCTAAGGCTCGACTCCAGGCAACCTTGGATCATTCTTCAAGAGGGAGCTTGAACAATCTAATTGCATTCTTTCGTGCAACCGCTTCCTTCTGGTCTTCTGGTAGGTCTACCAACTTCCACCATTGCTGACCCTCCTCCACTGTCTCGTAGGGCGTATCTGTCCAAAGTCAGTATACCTAACCTCCCTTCTCCACGTTACTAATTCGACTCACCAATCGCATACAGGCAACGCTCGAGGCCAATCTCCTCGATACAGAACTTCAATCCTTTCGTGTTGTAGTTACCAGAGGTCGTGATATTGACGTTGTGTGTCCAATAATAACTATAATCTTCTTTCATTGGCCGCGAGCCGCGTTTGAAAGGATGGTTAATCCAGTGGCTTGCTCTCCACAAGTTGAAGGGAATTCTGTGCTATGTCAGTACGCCTGTATCTCTCGCTGCTCAACGACGACGACGACTCACCCTTCTCCAAGATGCCCAGCGACGATCTGAACTTTGGGGAATCGGTCGAAGATACCAGACGAGCAAATCGCGTACAGGTGCCAGCTGAGATCCAGATGGAACTGCACACCCGCACCAAGCAAATGCTTCCGGTCGCCATACTTCGTGCCTTCCCTCAAATCCTGCAGGATTGCATATCGAGGATGGAAATATATCGGCACATCCAGCTCTTCAACGGTCTGCCAGAACGGATCGTAATCTGGCGTGTCGAAGTAAACCTTCTCCTCTGCATCTGCTCCCTGTGATTGGAAGTCGTTCACCAGACCGCCGAACATTCCCAGCTCCCTGACTGCTCTTCTCAGCTCATCCGCAGCGTCCTTCGCGTTGTGCATCGAGAGTGCTGCCAGTGCCCCAAACCTTGTTGGGTTCTTCCTCACTTCGCCAGCAAGATAGTCGTTTGCCACTCTCGCTATTTCCTTCGCTTTTCCTGGATCTGCTTCGCCTTGCGCGCCTGGTGATGTAAGCGAGAGAAGCATGTACTCGACACCGTGTTCGTCCATGCTCTTCAGGCGTTCGCCATGGATGTCCAAGAGTCGCTTTTCGTGTGCTGAAAGTCCCGTGGTCGGGTCGCTGCCTGGACGCATGAGATTTTGAAATTGTGCGAATGAATGTGCCTCGACGCCGGCCTGGTCGATAATCGCCTCTTCTACTGCTATCGTGCCTTTCATTTTGCCGAACAGTTTTATGGCTTCCGCAGGGACTGTACGCTGAGTCGATATCCTTGTGCTGGAGAAAGACGTAGTTGAGAGAGCAAGTTATTATCGTCTCAGTATCGATAGTCTCAGCATACAGAGCAGGCTGGTACCAAGAGCATCCCCACAGCGTAAACGCCCCTGTATGCACTACCCTACCGCTAAGCGACCATGTACGCTAACACCCGCATATGATCGCGGCTTCATCAGACCGAATTCTAATTTTGCGCCTTCGTTCATCGGTTCCATAGACCCGGCCTACACATGCGCGTTCACGGTTCGCTACCCCGCGCGCTACCCTTTCCCCACATCGCCCGCGTTTTGGAGGATGCCTTGCAGACCCACTGGACACTCCGTCACGAGACATTATGGTCCAAATGCCGTTCTTGTGACACTGAACGATCAATATCGCGTACCTAAGTCGGAGCTTCAGCTTCGCTGTTCCTCGCACCAGCAGTCTTCACCATGGCACACATCTTCTCACTTGCTTCTCCGCCTCCACCAGCCTACCATGAGGGTAATCAGACGGGAGGTCAAGTGAAGTTCCCAGACACCGGTTTCTTCCAAGGCTTCAACAAGCCCTCGCGCTTGGAAGCGGACATCTTTGAATGCGAGACCACAGGTTCAATCCCAAAAGACATCAACGGGACTTTCTACAGAGTGCAGCCAGACCACCAATTCCCGCCTTTATTCGAAGAAGACATCCACTTTAACGGTGACGGCTCAGTATCAGCGTTCAAGTTCGAGAACGGACATGTGGACTTCAAGCAACGCTTCGTGCACACGGATCGGTTCAAGGCGGAGAGAAGCGCGAGGAAGGCGCTTCTAGGCAAGTATCGGAATCCATATACCGATAATGAGATGGTTAAGGGTATAATAAGAACGGCATCGAATACCAATATCGTGTTTTGGCGAGGCGTTCTGCTGGCGACGAAGGAGGATGGACCGCCGTTCGCGATGGACCCGACTACATTGGAAACGATTGGCCGTTACGATTTCGATGGGCAAGTGTTGTCCCCTACTTTTACCGCACATCCGAAGTTTGACCCGGATACGGGTGAGATGATATGCTTTGGGTATGAGGCTGGTGGCAATGGATATGATGCAAGCTGTGACATCGTTGTGTATACCATAAACAAGGATGGGAAGAAGACGGAAGAGTGCTGGTACAAGGCACCTTTTTGCGGCATGATACACGACTGTGCAATCACAAAAAATTATCTCATACTACCACTGACGCCGATAAAAGTCAACCAGGAACGGGTAGAGAAAGGAGGGAACAAGTTTGCATGGGATCCGAATGAAGACCAGTGGTATGGAATCGTGCCTCGTCGGGGTGGGAAGCCCGAAGACATTGTGTGGCTTCGCGCCGATAACGGTAAGCACGTATGACAAACTTCAGGAGATACAGCTTGATTTATGTTTACAGGATTTCACGGCCATGTGGCTGGTAGCTACGAAGATGAGAAGGGCCACATTGTTTGCGATCTTACTGTCGCCTCCGACAACGTCTTCTTTTTCTTCCCGCCGGACAACCCAACACCCACACCGACAACCCTCCTCCAACGCAACAAGCTCGTCTCCGATACCTATCGCTGGATCTTTGACCCCAAGACACCCACCCACACACGCGTTCAACCCGCGCGAGTCTTCGGCATCAATGGCGAATTTTCCCGCATAGATGACCGCGTCTTGACTAAGAAGTACAACCACTTCTGGCAGTGCAATATTGACCCGACCAAGCCTTACGACTTCCAAAAATGTGGACCTCCAGCGGGAGGCCTGTTCAACGTCATCGGGCACTACGAGTGGGACACGGGCAAAAAGGATACATGGTGGGCTGGTCCTACATGCACATTCCAAGAACCGGTGTTTGTGCCGAAAGAAGGCTCGACTGTTGAGGGTGAAGGCTATCTTGTGGCGCTGCTGAATCATCTCGACGTGCTACGCAATGATATACTCATCTTTGACGCGCAGAATCTTAGTCAGGGTCCGCTCGCTGCGGTGCATCTGCCGGTCAAGCTGAGACTGGGGCTGCATGGAAATTTCATTGAGAAGAGGGAGGTGGACGAATGGTATGAGAGGAGGAAGGAGGGCGGCAAGGTGGGGCCTGCGGTACCAGCGAAGGAACCGTTGCCTTGGCAGAAGAGGATGGTGGAGCGAGGTGAATTTAAAGGTGAGGAGGGGAAGTTGAATCAGATGATTGGGAAGTCGGAGGCAAATGGCACGAGTGGAGCCCACAGGCATTAGGGATGAACGTGACGAGTTGCTCACTCAATACACCTGCATTTTCAAAGGACACCTGGTCTCTACTTCGGGGAAGGTGTGGCTTATGTAAGTCGTTCTGTCCTCCTTGGCTGCTGCCTACGTCCCTTCGACCCAAACCCCACCCCAAGAGAGACTGCAATATCATGGCCGCTTCTTTGATAGCTCTTCCAGAAGAGCTTATCTCTGCCATAGCTTCGTGTGCCTCGATTCCAGCCTTGGCCAATCTCGCCCTTGCATCGAAACTGCTGAACCGGATCGCGACAGCACACTTGTACCACAGCATCGCATTCAATGATTGCGATGCAGAAGTAAACTACAAACGGCTTCGCTTGCTGGTCATACACTTGCTGCAACATCCGGAGTACGCGGCTTATATCGAGCATCTACAAATTGGGGATCAGTGGCCGCCATGTACACCTATCCAACAAACTCCGTTGAGAAGTCGGGATCCAGTGTTATGGGAGAATATTAATTCAATAGCTGGTCTCTTTTTGGACCGAGGAGATCGTTGGGACGAAGCGGAGGCGCTGTTAATAGTTCTCCTCCGTCTCGCATGTAAACTTCGTACTCTAAACAGCAGCTTACCAGCGGAGTCCAGACAGCACTGGGCGATGTTCATCGGTCTAGCTCAGCACCTATTACCCAACTTGCGAGAAATCGCAATTGTGGAAGATGCAAAACACGAACGTAATCGGCAATTCAGTCATTCCGTTTTCTTCGATCTTCCAGAGCTGGAGAGCGTCTTTGTCTACAACTTTGAGGCTCTAGAAGGGGATCGGGATCTACATTTCCGCCAGCTCGAGATGAACAATCTCATTTACATGAATCATGTCATGACGTCGATTCGATCGAGGCTCGATGAAACTAGCAGTCGTTACTGCCCAGACATCACCATTCCCCATTTGGAGGTTTCAGATGCGTACTTGGATTCATTCTCTTTAGTGGACTTAATCTACGCCTTTCCGGTAAGAACTCCATGCCATCCCCTGCTACAGTGCACTAACGCGGATACCCTTCTGATCAATAGGCGCTGCGTACCTTTGCATTCGACTTTCGCAAAAGTGCAATACCGGAACATCCCCGCTTTTTCAACGCCTTGATATCAGTGCTTTCTACTCGTGCTGAAACTCTGACTGCTTTGTCCATTGGAGGCCATCCCGATGATTGCCACGAAACCGCCACTCCAATCGATTTCAGTTCTCTAGGCAATTTGAATCATCTGCGGATCTCGATCTCTGTGTTCCTTGGAAGCAAATCAGGTGCTCAATCCTTGACCGATGATCGCATGCGCGAGAGATTTCCTGCCAGTCTCCAAAAGCTTGTTTTGTTGGTATACAAGAGCGAGGAGCATCATATCCTCCCACCACTGCAGCACTACATCGATGCAGAACCTCCGATCATACCAAACCTGAAAGAACTTGAGGTCTGCTGCCACGCACCCGAAGCGATGCATGGGTGGCTACAAGGTGCAGCCGAGCGACACGGTATCAATCTGCGTATTTTCCGCAAGCTGAAGACCAGTCAAGAAGACCTGTCCATCGTACCGTTCGTCAATACGGTGAAAGGCACCAAGCAAGAAATATCGCAGGTTAAGATTACAATAACCCCGCCTGTTTCGAATCTGCTTCTTGAGGAGCTGATGCCTCTCGAAGAGTATATGCCTGACACTGAGATCGTTGTGCCGATATTCGAAGAAGCGAGCATGCACGCAGCATAGGCATCAGGCTGTCGCTTGTATTGAAGAGGGGGTCGTCCTGGACAAATGCAATGCATCATCTGTATAATAGACGATGAGAAAATTACCGAGAGAGATGACGGGAACATAAAACAAACTGAACTTAATCAGGCGCCCTTTCTGTGCGTGTCAAAAATCCTTCTTTCCTACGATATCTTCCCCGCACTTTTTTTTCCATCTGTATTCCAACTCTCCAATATCGCTTGTTAGTTCTGCACAAGCTTTCTTGCGATCGGCCACTCACGTTTTTGCAATATATTAGATTAGGCGTCCCCGTATTTTTCCGTGGGTGAGGCAATCTAATTAACCCTGACTGCCGACCACTAGTGGATGGACTTGCATCTATCGAACGTCAAGACCATCTTGGAATGGCCTGAGGAGCCCTTCCTCATCGCGATTGAGGCATGTTTTCTTCTTGCTTTTCTGTCGCCTGATTTGGGAAAATGATATCGCCCGCCAGCGATGAAGCACTATCCAAAGCCTGGCTTTCGCTATCTCTTAATCGTCTCTTTGATCTTGGGGATATGGTTCATCGTGCTATTTCATGAGCATGAGTACGTTCCATTGATCATTCGCGATGGTTTCGCTACGCAGCGTCGACTGCCTTTCGAGGATCCTAACAAGGGCGGCGGACAACCTGTGACGGAGCGTTTAGATCTATCCGAAACTGAATGCAGAGCAAGCTTCCCGGAGCTATTCAAAGAAATTAAATACGCTGCAAATAGCGGAAAGGTCATGTTGACAAAAGACGACGGCGACTACCAAGGCCTCGTACAAGGCTGGATCAAGGATAACCGCGTAGGTCGCCCTCCATCATTTGCATTGTATGGCCCATAGGAATATTTACCAGCTGAATTCGCACAGCTCTACATCCTTACCACCGCGCCTGACAAGACCTCCCAAATCCTCCACCAACGCACCGCCATCCTCTCCCAGCTGCACCGCGCGCTCCTCACCTCGCCCGCTCGGCTACCAAACACGCCCTTCGCCTTTGTCGTAAACGACAGCCCAAGAAACCACTCTTGGGCCTTCTCCCGACCCAACAAGCAAAGTGACTACAATCTCTTCGTCATGCCCTCCTTTGCCTTCTGGTCCTGGCCCAGTCCCACCCTCGGCGCCTTCGACGCCACCGTCTCGCGCATTGCCTCGCTCGAAGAAACCACTCCCTTCGACAGAAAAATTGACAAAGTAGCCTGGCGCGGTACCCCGTGGTTCAATCCCCTCGGACACCCGACGCTGCGCCAAGATCTACTGAAAGCGACGCGGCACAGGGAGTGGGCGGATGTCGCAGCGCTGAACACGAGTACCGACAACGCGCTGGCCATCGAAGACTTCTGCAGGTACAAGTACGTTATGTACACCGAGGGCGTGACGTATAGTGGCAGGCTGCCCTATCACCAGGCGTGCGAGAGCGTGCTAATCACCTCGCCGTTGACGTACTTGACGCATACTGCCTGGTTGATGAAGCCGATCGTGGCGGAAGATTTGATTGCAGCTTTTGCGAAAGGCGGTGGGGAGGGACACAGTAATGGGCGACATGAAGCGCCATTGCCGCTTCTGCAGACTGTGAGGGACTGGCGGGCCGCCAACGCGATCTATGTCTCATCGAAGTTCGAGGACCTTGAAGAGGTTATCATGCTCCTGCGAGCGCACCCAGAGGTCGCGCAGCGTATCGCGCGGAACCAGCGAGAGACGGTTGTAGAGAGAGGTTATCTCAGTGCCGCGGCGGAAGTGTGTTACTGGCGTGCCCTGATTAAGACATGGGCGGTAAGCGTAGTCAAGGGCGATGAGTGGGAGAAAGACATAGGGGAGAGATATGAGACGTGGCTGCTGAAGCAGGTGGCCAGTACGAGCGAAAGATCGCGCAGAAAGTCTGCGGGTTGAATTGCGATGGATAGCTTGGTACAATTAGGCACCATACGACATAGCGGGCGGTATGCGACAGTGTGGCAGCGCGCGATGATCTAATGTAGTGAAGGCTACAGCGAGCGATCAACAAGAAGGGGAACAACAAGGCGTAGCTAGCACACGGCATGCACAGTGAGATCGCACGATGAAGTAATCACAGACATAAGAAGAAAGGCATTATGATGTGAAACTCTTTGCGAGTGATGACATTGATGTGACCAAGCGACCACCCACCATCCTCCAATACATGTACACCAGTGTGTGAATGAGACAAGTAACCACCAAGCCCAAAGGCCATCCACTTTCCCAAAGACCGACCACCATTCATAAGACCACCCTCCAAGCCAACCACAATACCGCGCATTGAGCATCAAGAAGCAGGACTAGGCACTCGACCGCGAGCACAGCCCTGTTCAGTCGCTTGGTGTTCTGTTTGCAGGTAGGCCAGGCACGAAGCCCTCAGATTCCACACAGCCTGCAAATTACTAACCATGACAGTCGAACCTGACGTGCTCAAGCTGGTAGGTATTACATGCCCCATGTGCAAGACCTTGAGAGGCAAGACAGTCGCTGCAACCGAGCATGAGATGCGATCCACCTCTTGACCACGTTGTACCATCCAAGCCATGATGAAGGGTGTTGATGAAGGAAGTAGCAGGTTGATGAAAGATGTCGAAGAAGGTCGAAGGGGGTTGATGGAGTTTGATGAAGGATGCCGATGAAGGATGATCAAGGTTGATCAATGATGCCGATATGAGGCGAAAATCGACTAGAGTCAGTCAGCAAGGGGGGTAACGGAACCGTTGAAGAACCTACCAGACCAAAAATTGAAGTGAGGTCGACATGTCGTTGTGACTCAGGTGAATGTGCGGTAAGCAGGTTGGATGAGGTGAAGTGGAGTGAAGGCGGCACTCAAGTTGGGTATGGAGGAACCTCATAAGTGAAGGAGGAATGAGACATTATGAAAGGTGGTTGAAATGATGTCATGTTGGAGAGGCTTGAAGAGGTCGAAGCAACTTGAGGACTCGAAATGCTTGTCGAATGAGAGTGGAGGGAAAGGAAGAAGGCCCGACTGAGTCTAGGGATCTCTAATATACGTATTTGGGGCGCTAGTACTGGCGCGTCATGTGACGGCGCTAAAAGTTCTGCCTTGCAGGCCCGATTAGGAAATCGTGCAAGTGAAGGCGGGTGTGTCGAGCTCTGGGAGTAACGGGAGCCGGGGCGCGCCAGGAAAAACAAGCACAATATAGTAGATGGGGAAGAATTACGCGAAAAATACAATGGGATATGCGAGAGATGTTCAAAATGTGTGCTCGTTGTGGGGCGGTTGCAAATGCGCGGTGGCCCACGAGCGTCCACAGCTCTTTTACACGGCCGCAAAGGCTACCGCGAGAGCCTCACTTCTCACTTCTATTTGAGAAATACCGGCAGATCCGTAGGGCGGTCGCGTTGTCGTATCGAAGAATGCCGACACAACAACAAGCAGAGCGCTAAACAAGCTTGCAAACAACGCCGCTAATGTCTCGCAATAGGTACAATTATCTCGGCCTTGTCACCTCACACAGCTTACAACCTAAACACTGCTTGCTTGCGCCTCCCCGTTCGTTCGAGCTTCCCCGTTATGTTCCAACCGAGGCGGCACTACGGAGACGGTAGAGGTCACGTAAACGATCACACCAAGACGGCAGCCTCGGCGGACAACACCCAAGAGCAGAGAAGAAAGCTCGTCCACAGCCGGCGAACTTCGAGCCTACCTCAACACCGATCATAGGACCGGGAGTGCGGAAATGTTTACAAGGACGGTGCAAGTTTGTGCCTTGTAAGCACCCACATGATCGCGTTGTGAGGATGGCTCAATGGTTGCCAAAAAAACGAAAAAGAAATTTAGGAGCGACATTTGTCGAGAAATGAAAGCAGGTGTTGCCAGGGTCTCCCATATACTTCATATTGAACTGCCCCAACTACAATCCGGATACTTCTACCCGGTTCCAAGAACATTGGGATAAGATCCAGTGTCTCTCAAGTTCCGGATACGAGAAAGGGGATCGCGGTAATTAGAGTCTTGCAGTCTCCGGTGCGGTACAACTGCGGGAGGGACCGCCTCGCTGGGCCTGAGGAGTTGAGCGAATGTCGAGCTCTGATTGTATGGATGACTGAATGAACATGGTTGTAGTATCGATAAGTACGGGGTCAGGCCAAGTCGACGGTGGTATGGCTCAGCACTCTGTATCCTGTCAGACCTTTGCGGCAAAAAAATGATCGGCATACGCAGTATGACCAGATCATTGCCAGAGGAGCCGGGTCTTGTTTCATTGGGCGAACAGATGACTTGCCACGTAGAGTTCTGACGCAGACAGTGTACATTTCGACTCATTAGCGAGTTGTGCTGTAGTAAACGTAGGCGAGAACAGGCTTGCAAATGTACCCAACTTTTACATCCAAGTTTTGCAGGTGCAGTTGCATCATGTGTACGTTTGAGGATTCACTTGCGTGAGTAACCAGCGGAGTCTCTGCCCACCACATGACGAAGTGGCACTGACAAGCAAATCACCTCCCTCACGTGTGTTTACATCCCCTGGATCAACGACTCCCACCCATCAACCTTAATTAATCACCTTCCATTTCCTTTCCTGCCTCTATGCCGCGCCCCTATCCAACACACCCCTTCCCACCCCCGTACGAGCACGCTGGCTCGACACCCTTCCCCTCAATTGCCCCCTTATTCTCGTCTGCCGCAGGCGCACTGCTCGGATAATCCCCATACGGCCCGCTGTAATGCCCGTAGCTGAGGTACCGGCCGTAGCTGCTAAGCTGGCCCTGCGCAGGTGGTAGCGCTGCTGCGGTAACGGTGGTGGCGAGGAAGTGGAGTGTGAGAATGCGCATGGTGGTCGACGAGCGCGCTGAGGTACCGTGGTGATGCTTGGATGTGGAGGCGGAGACACGCCCTTGCTTGATATCTGAGATCTGACCAGATAGGCTGATTGACTTTTTCAAGCAGCAGAGGGAGCGGGGGAGAGGGGAGATAAGGATGTGTCTTTTCTTCAGAAGCCCGCGCGAAAACAGATACCTGACTACTGCCAGCTTTATCTTATATCATGAACTCATCTGTACGCCCGTAACTCAAGTGTTCCTGTTGAGGAAATTGCTTGTCTCGGGCGACGTGTGACCCGTCGACCAGGCGCAACGTGTTGCTACCAAGGGGAACCAAGGGCCTCCCTTGTGCCGCAGCGCGTCGCACTGACAGCTGTCGCCGTGGGTACGTACATAACCGCGTTCTTTTAAGACGGCTAGCGAATTGATTGACGCGGAAGGGTATATTACACCATCGATTGAGTTTATGAGGTGGGTATTTGCATGTGTACACCGTCTTTGCGAAAGATGTATTTGCTGTTGCTGAATGTACCATTATCGTCAATAAGTACCTGAGAGGCAGACTCCAGGCCGCTCTGCACTCACACCCTGCCGGCATGTTCTTCCATCCTCTCAATGTTCCCGTAGAGCCACCTCCGCCGCCAGACGCCGAGGATACGGAGACGCTCCTCCCCTCCTCCAGACCCAATGCGCGCATGATAAGATCTCAACGTAAGCGGTTCAAGCGAGACTTGCGCGTAGGTCTCAAGTCATGCGTGGTGACCAGCTGCGTCTGGCTGCTTGTTCTCGTCGTGGTATTGAACATGTGGGAAAAGCGAGTGTTGCTCGAAGCGACAGACGAGGTCTGCCTTGAGCATACATCGAAGTATTGTAAGAAGCTTCGCTTATCGTGCCCAAAGCAGATTGACACTAACGAGGGGAAGCGCTGCTGGTGAAAGAGGTCGAGCCGAAGTGGCATGATGTGCGATTCAATGGCACGTTCTTGCACGAGAACGTGTATCGGCAGAGCGCTGGGCCGGAGGTCGATGCGGCGTGGGAAGCTCTCGGGGTTGATTGTAAGGTTACAAGACGGTGCTAATAAGTCGATGCTGATGCGAGCCCAAGACCGACCAATCGTCGTCCCGCTCGAGGAGGCTGAAAAGACTGGACTTCGCCGTGATCAGGTGAGAGTGGAAGATATACATGGCGGCGGGTTCGTCGCGAACGTGGAAGGACTGCACCACTTGCATTGCTTGGTAAACGCACATCTCTCGCTTCGTTACGTAGTATCGTTAATGGTGTGCAGAACATCCTGCGCAAGTCGCTCCGCTGGAACTACGAGTACTACCTGACGGAGAAGAAGCCACCGTTCTCGAACAGCGAAGATATTGTGCGTATACACGTCACGCACTGTCTGGACATCTTGCGGCAACAACTGATGTGTGTGCCGGATATTGGCGTTCTTGGACAGGTGTGGTATAAGCTGGAGAGCATGCCGCAGCCGATGCCGTTCGTCGATTTCAACACAGAGCATCGGTGCCGAGACTTCGAGGGCGTGCGAGCGTGGGCAGAAAGGCATCAGCTGCCGGATGAGAGGGAGGTGGATCTGGAGCATTTCTACCGAATGCCGGGGCCGGGGGATACGATATATTCGGCGATACCGTAGAGCACTGCCTGAGTGTCAGAAAGTGTGCACGTAGCAGCAGTCATGAGCTTACCAATATTGGTTCACAGACGCATCCGCATGGCTGTATCCCACCCGTTACTAGGCCTTTCCCAATGACCGCAAGTCTGTCGCAACCTCGTCGCTGTGCCCAATCAGTTCTGCCTCGGCTTCACGACACCGTCCTGGACGATATAGTACACAACGGTGCTGTCCGTGTCCACCGTCGCCAGCACCACCCTTTTCGTCCGCCTCCACTTGCTCGTCTCTCCCACGGTGCCATCCTCCTCGGGCGGCACCTCACTAACGCCATCAAAGACCTCGGCCAGCCTGCGCAGCGTCCACTTCTCGCTCAACCGCGCCGGCAGTATCCATTCGCGCTCCGGCGCGGCCTTCACCTCCAATGCGCCCGGCCCGCCTTCCCGGTTCGCTTTGCGCGCGCGGTCCGCGTCTTTGAGCAACTCGATCTGCTCGTCGGGGTGGACGTAGAGGCGGTGCGGTGGGAGCCCGGAGAGGAGCGGCCGAGGGAGGAGGGCGCCCGTCAGCGGCGAGTGGGTGTGTGTGTCGAGGGCAGTCCAGTTGTGCTGGTATTGGAGATTGTGTTTGATCTGAATCGCGAGCGAGTGCAGCGCGGCATCGTGAGTCTGGGGGGATGTGTCGTGCGCGATGAGCGATTGGACGGGCGCTGGTGCCGGAGGAGCGGATTCTGTGAGCGACATTCTGCCGGGTTTGGTGGGTTATTACGGTCGAGTTCTGTCGTGATGTTTTCGCTGGATGAGGAAGAGCGCTCTATCGATAAGGACTGAGTCATGTTCCGCCAAGTACTAACCTCGCTCGTGATATACGAAGTAATACTCCAGCAACTCTCGGTCGGTCCTTTCCCTATTTGCGGATGGGCATCAGATTTCTCACAGGGCTGGAATTTTCCAAACTGGTCATTACGTCACATTGCGCCTTCCGCCGGTGGCCGAGTCAAAATCACGGGGTACGACCGCGCACATGCACCTGGCTCTGTCCATCATTTGCGATTGAACTCTTCCGAACAATAGTCTACACGCGGTTGCGGAAACGGGTAAAAAGGTGGCCCAGTCCAAATACCGTAGTTTACGTTGCCTGCGTTCAAGCTCCAGAACTCCCCAGACTCAAAATCACGCCATCTCTTCCCATATGCCTTTGCTCTTTCCTCAATCCTCTACAGCTGCCCCCCGCTCAAACCACTCCTAATCCTACAATCGAAATACCTCTCCCACCCGCTCCCATATGCCTGCCACTCTACCTTTCCATCGTCGCAATCAAAGTCCCCGTTATCCCCACACCCACCAATCTGCCCCTGCCCATCAACGTGTCCAGCCGTGCTCCACAGCGCATCGCAACAGCCCAACGGTCCACAGCCGCCCTTATAGCTCCATTTGATCCATGTCTTGTCCTTGTCCAGCGGCTCGGAGACGTCCATGTAGATTGGGTTCTTTTCGGGAAAGGCCGGCTCAGCAATGATGGGCGAGCCGATGCTGTGATTGCGCTCTTGGTTGTTGGAGTCGATGAGGGACCAACTTGGGAGAGTTAGTGGCGCGAGAGGAGGAGGACTGACGACGGAGGGACTTACTCGACTTGCCAGATGTCGCCGATGATCTGCTGGTGGATCTTCATGGTCCATCTATCCGTGATAGGATCGGTAGGTGTGGGCGAAGGGGGAGGGGGAGGTGGGGGTGCTTCCTCGCTCGTTGAAGGCGGGGGCGCTTCTACGGTCGTCGAGGACACCACAACCGTCGCCAGCGTCGTCAGTGTGAGCGTCGCAGACGCATTACTCGGACGTCCGTCTCCGTCCTCGGCTAGATCTGGATCTATCCTTCCTAGCAGCTCTTCAATCGCGTCCGCGCCATCCAAGATGGCCTGCGCGTCCCCTAGCGGCCTGCGTCCGTCCGGGCTGAGCGAAGGCGCAAGCGTGCAAGCTGGGTTGTCTTGCTTTGTCCGGATTTCGGATACTGTCGTAGGCACTGCGTCGCAGGCGATATCGGTGCGACACACGGTTGTCGTACATTCTGTGGTAAGCGTGGTATCTGGAGATGCCGTGCTAGCGATACAGGACGCTGTGCACTGCTCTGCTGTCTTGGGCTCATCGCAGTTTAGCTCTGGAGGTACCGTAGGTTCTGGCGCTTGTGTCGGATCTCCGCCTGTGGTGTCCGTCTTGGTGGGTTCGCCGCTGCCGGTATCGCTGGGCTGAGGAGGGTTCGATGGGTCTGGATCGGGACCTGGGGTGGGATTTGGGTTCGGATTTGGGTTGGGGTTCGGATTCGGATTGGGATTTGGGTTGGGGTTGGGGTTTGGATCATTTGGGTCGGATGGATTATCTGGATTGGATGGGTCGTCTGGAGTGTCTGGAGTGTCTGGAGTGTCTGGAATATCGGGAGTACCAGGAGTATCGGGAGTACCAGGAGTATCGGGAGTACCAGGAGTATCGGGAGTATCTGGAGTATTAGGGTCTGGAGTATTAGGGTCTGGAGTATTAGGGTCTGGAGTATTAGGGTCTGGAGTATTAGGGTCTGGAGTATCGGGAGTACTAGGAGTATCGGGAGTACTAGGAGTATCGGGAATATCAGGATTGTTCGGATCTGGGTTACCAGGCGCTGGAGGATCTGGATTCGGCGGAGGGCCTGGCGGTGCCAAAGTGATCGGTACCGGTACAATCACTCCACCAGCATCAGTCGAGCTCGAAGTCGAAACCACAGGCGTCGGAGTTCCAGGCGGCGGTGTTGCACCTCCTCCGGTGCCAGGTGGAGCAATAATTATATCCGTCGTACTGCCAGCTTGTGGACCAGGCGGTGTCACTGGCGGCCCGAGGAGTTGATTACGCCACCTACAGAACATCAGTCAAAATGTTGCCCTGAGACAAAAACCATCTCACCAGTATCCTTTGGGTTGGACAACCACGCTCACTGTAGGTGTAATGAGCAGCGCACCGCTATCAGTCTGCGTGATTGTCGTCTCGATGGTGGTTGTGACCGATAGCTGCGTCAAGTCTGTCCATACGAATGGGATCAGAGAGGAGGATATTCCATCGGGACCAGTGATTGCTGTAGGTCGAGGAAGAGAAGGATCAGTCGCGTAGCACGACTCGTCTGTACATACGAGGACGTCTGCGGCGGCAGCAAGTCCGGTGTACAGAAGGAGGGGCGAGACCTTCATGTTGGGAGGGCCTTGGCTGGCCAAATCAGGAGATGGTAGTCACAAAGAGCTTGACAGAAGATCGCAGTGACTATTTTGATGAGGAGCTAGGAACTGCGAGTTGATTTTTTGACTGTAGGGAATTCAACGGTATATAAATCGTGCTTGTGAGCCTTGAGCTGGTCATTCCCCATGTGAATATAGGAGGATTCGAAACGTGGCAATGCTTGCGAGACTCCCACCTCTCTGAGTATGGTCTTCACGACTTCTTGCCGCCGCCTAGCGTCACATAGTAATTTTCCAAATCCTCGAAAACTAATTTTACTAGATACGCTTCTGTAATTGGTAAAGTTCGATGATCTTCCCACCGAAAACCATGAATCGACCCACAGCCGAACGCACAGCCGAACCTGCAAGCAACATTGCGGCGACGCTGAACCCCAGATGTTTCGAAGTATTTCTACCGGGCACAGGCGTAAGCTGATTGGGGTGCAGCGGGAAAGAAACGTTCCGCAAATGCAGCCAATGAGGGTTGCTGTCAGCGTTGCCTCATGCGGCTCTTCTCGCCCCACGCGCCGCGTGGGGCCAGGATGCACGTGAGGTATACGTGCCGTCAGCGCGTTTCAAGTCGTAGACCTAGTATTTACGCGAGCATTTCGTATTTATGGTGGTGGGATATGTGATGTTACGGCACGTAGGGCGAACAGTCGGAGGTGGGGGATTGCGCTTTGAAAGTCTCTTTGGACACAGTACGAAACAAAATGTACTCAATTCAATCAGAGAGTTGAGCGAGCCGAATCTATTATTACGATATCTGTCTTGCAAGTCATGGTGGGCTGCTGAGCCTCAGTGAGTGAGCATTCTGAGCCCCAGAAGTTATTCGCATATAAGTTCATTTGGCTCCATTCAAAAGTAACTCATTAAGCATCGGACGCTGAATCCCCATCAATTTCTTTTGTTCATCTGGTTTCTACAAGACTCACAAGTCGAAAGCGAATATGGTATTCATAAGCCCTCAGCGAACTCTTCTTCTCTTTCTGACCGCAGGAATTTTTCAAACCAATGCATTTCCGGCTGATGGTGCTCCAAACTCACTATTGGTAAGTCTAATACTCCAACATCTCAGCTTCCACTGGTACATGATTTAATGAATCTTTCCTGATGACATGATCACTTAGCCAACATTTACTCTTCTTGGTGGAAATGGAGGCTCAGAGACAGGAAGATGCACCGGGACAGATCTTGAAAACCTGAAAGCATCCTACGAAGATATGTGCTTGATGGCACGTTCAGCCCGTGATGAGATCGATTTCCTCACCCAACAGGCTGCTCTGACTGAGGGTGATGGACCACCAAAGCCAGCAGACAATGCACAGGTTCCAGTCGACAATTGGAAGAGATGGCATCGAACCCGTGAAACCTATGTTTCACTATTCGGTGCAGATCCTTTTGTAAAGCGCGGTGACCCGCCCGGGCCCAAGAACCCTGGAGATTTTATTGATGGACATAAGAGATTTGTGAGGAGTAAGTATTCCAGTTACGATAGGATTCGCATGTCTCTCATCATGGTGCTAATAGCTCTATAGATTTCTACGATGATGTAGTCAATCAGTACTGTGGTGGAGCCCCTGCGCCGGACAAATCAACACTGGTGTGCACTGATGCAGATTTTAAATTCATCCAAGTTGGAAATGTAGATCCTGGTGATCCACAGGGTCGTAACATCGAAGTCACGAGTAAGTGCTTCGCCAGGTACTTTCAGAAGGAAGTCATGAACTCATTATTAGCAGATCCACAATGTACAAACATCGATGGTGTTTGGTATTCCCAGAACATGCCTCCAGGCAATCAATATGATAACCGCGCACCGCCAAGGGAATCTGGGGATGGTCCAGTGTGCGATGATCCAAACCACTTGGCGGTCGTGGTACGCAAATGGCGTGCTGTATTTTTCTGCAAAGATGTAAGTCTTGCTATTTCCGAGTTTTTTTACTTTCTTTCTATGATAGAGTCGTATCTCAATCCATCTCTAGGGCCTCGACACGAATGTTCACAAAGTCGTCACCATCCAGGACGTACGCGACAAGATCAAACCAGCAAGTAGGAGGTACAAGAAGCTGGAGGACCATGAAATCGTTTTACAAGCTCTTACCATGGGTCAGCTAACGAGACTTGACGATGTTAAGAGGGTTGGCGGCGAGATCATGCCAGTGACTTGGCTACATGAGATGCATCATCTTCTAACTCGAAGTATGTCAAACGCTCTAATGCTGCCAATGCTTATATTCCAGCACAAAATATGAATGCTGATTTGTCTCTAGGTACTGACGAGAAAGCGGTAGATAAAACCGGAAATCGCATCCGAATCACAATAAACGAGTACAACTCGGCTACAAACCAATACGAAGATCATGAAGCCGATGAAAAAGCGTACGGTTACGACCTTGCTAGAGATCTAGCACTCCACAACCATGTCAACGCGATGGTGAATCCCGAGAATGTCGCTTTCTTTGGATTGGCCATGTTTTTCAGTGAATTTGATTGGTCGAGGGGTTTCGCTATGCCTTTGAAAGAGCCCAAGTGAAAGGACAAGAAAAGTATCTTTGGCGCAGTAGCGCAGACTGATCAAAGTGTCATGGTTTTAGACGGTGGTGTGGCTCATTAGATCTCGATCTCGGATCTCTTTCATATAACTGAATGTATTTCACATAAGGCGACAACTTTTACAGCCTTCTCTTTTGGTCTTCGACGACTTTTGTCTTTCGGCATCTGATGCAGCTTGCCTTGCAGCCATAATCTCGGCATCCGGCCAGAGCAAAGGGTAGTTAGCTTGCTGGGAGAACTCCCTGAAGTCAAAAGTGCTCTGCTTCACACTTGCACCCATAATCTTCAGCTTCTCCAGACGGCCCACGACCTCTACATCCCACCAATCACTTCTGATATTTGGATAATTCTTTGAAATGATCTCTTGCTCGGGATCTTTGACGCGTGCCATTGAATCAGAGTCTGACCAGTAGACAAGGAAGACAAACGCATGTATACCAGACTCATGATCGGAATCAATCAGTCCATAGAGCTTTTCAGTTCCCAAAATGACTTCCTTAATATCTTCCCAGGGACGATCTCGACCGGTGGTGCCGGAAACTTGATTATAAAGGAGCCATATGCAGTCCCGTCGGAGCATTGTCATCTCGTTCTTGATTGTTTCGTACAGCAACGTACTGGGTGGAGCTTCGATGGTAAAGATATCGCAGTGTCGCTCATACCATGGAAACAAACCACAGCGAATCCAGGTGTCATTGCTGTCTTGGCTCTGTATGTGACGGATGCGGGGTAAACATGTCAGAAATGGTGACAATGACTCGATGGACCTTGGCATGCCCTTAGCTGTCGATATAGCCATCTGGGAGTCGACTGATCTCCAGTTTTGAGATAACTTTCGCCCTCCAGGATGTCAGTATGCAGATAGCGTCTTTTATACCCCACGGACCTAGCTGGAAGCACACTTTGTTCCGAGACTCTATATCCGCTCCCCACTGTACCCACTCGGGCTTCTCTTCCTGCTGCAGATTGCTGAGACATCTTCTAAAAATTTCCTCTAGGTGTTCTGGTGGGAGGCCGCGCTCCGTAAATGGCGTTCCGAAGTCGAGCTCTATAATGGAGAAGATGGATCGAATCGGATCTTGTAGTCCTGGCTGAGACATAAGTTCGTGACTGATACCCCGAAGTAATTTGACAGAATGACTCTCGAAGGCTGTAGGTTATGGGAATTGACCTCGTGGAACATTCAAATAACGCGACTACAAAGGATCTAGTGCTTGCAGCAGGTTTGGGAACCACATCAAGCGATGCCACCTGTAATAGATACACCAATATGACTAAGAGATTTTCCCTGGGATGCTTTTTAGGGTCGTCTCACTCTGATACATGTTCAAAATAAGAACTGAGGGGAGTCGTCTCGCGGCGTGGAAGATGGGCGGCTATCTCGAACTATAAATAGCTCAGCGCGTGATTAACTCATCCCAGGATGCACGTGAGTACTATGCGCCGTCAGCGCGTTTCAAATATCTAAGGTGGTATTTACGTATGATCTTGTATTTATGGCGCGAAAATATGTGTCATTGCGGCACATAGGGCGGAGAGGTGGGATAGGAGTTTGCGCCTTGGGAATCTCTCCAGAGACAGTCCGAAACAACAGAGATCCAGATTCTCTAGGAACCACGATATCCCGGGCTATTCTTGAAATTCTGTCTTGGTAACTTTGGAATGCTGCTGAGCCTCAATGAACACTTCAGAGTGTCAGGAAGTTGAAGAAATAAAATCAGAAGTTCCATTCAATTCTAGGACACTATATACTAAAAGAGTTTCATTCCCACACATCAAATTAAAGAGTCCTCCAACTTGCGTCTACCGTCAACGAGGCTCCAGCTGGCTCAATTGCATAAGATGTTACTCACAAACTCAAAACGAGCCCTTGCTCTTTTCCTCACGGCAGGCGTGCTCCAAATTCAAGCATTTCCCCAAGACGGCGCCCCAAATTCTCTGCTCGTAAGCACTCCTTCCAGACTTTCTGGTGACCAAGCTGGCAAACAATCTGGTCTCATGATAACTAACAACACGGCCACAGCCAGCTTTCACTCTGATCGGCGGAAACGGTGGCGCGGAAACAGGAAGATGCACAGGTGCGAATCTCGACAACTTGAAGGCATCCTACGAGGATATGTGCTTGATGGCACAAAGAGCTCGAGACGAGATTGATTTCATTTTAGCACAGGCTGCTGCAACTCAAGGTGAAGGGCCACCTAGGCCCGATAAAGCCGCTGCTCAAGCAGACATCAACACCTGGCAGAGGTGGCATCGTGTACGCGGGACTTTTATTTCAATGTTTGGCCATGACGTCTTCGCGAAGCATGAAGATGCCACAGGCAATCCCAGCGATGTGCCGCCTGGTCAACCCAAGGGCTTCGCTAGGCAGCTTACGCGAGGTCAGTATATGACCTTAGAGAAGAACTAGATTTGCTGTCTCGAAGTGCTAAGATTTGTGCAGGCTTCTATGACCGGGTAGCGACAGAATTCTGTGGCGGTGTACCCACTCAGAAGTTGCTCTTGTGCACTGATGCAGACTTCAGATTCATCCCAATAGGAACAACGGATCCCGGCGATCCGCAAGGCCAGAACATCGAAACCACTCGTAAATAGTGCCACTTCTGCACCAAGAGAAGCTCATTACTGACTGTTCCTAGATCCACAGTGCAGAAACGTCGGTGGTGTTTGGTATTCGCCAAACATGCCCAATGATGGCCGACGATATGACGAAAGTCCACCGCCAAGACAGCCTGGAGAGCCGGTGGCATGTCATGGAAGCGGAGAAGACTCCTTGGCGGTCACAGTGCGGGCGTGGAATGCCATAGTCTTCTGTGATATAGTAAGTGTCCTCTAGTCGACCAACGGCGGTCTCTTGCTCACTTTGACTTCTCCTTTCAGGGCTTAGACACAACTGTTCATACAACCATCACCCTTCAGGATCTTCGTGGAACTATCGAACCAACAAGCAGACGTTACAGGAGAAAAGAAGATCGTAGCAACTTTCTACGGGGGATAACCACCGGCAGTGTGACAAAACTTGAGGACATCAAGAGGGACGGTGGTGAAATAATGCCTGTGACTTGGATGCATGAGTTAAATCACCTTCTGACGCGTAGTATGTAACCACCATGCCCAAAGCCTACTGGATGCTAACATATTTTCGCAGACAAGGATCAGCCTGCTCTCGACAAAGAAGGAAATCGTCTGAAGACAACAAGAAATGTCTGGAACGATGCTACCAACCAATATGAAGATGAGGTAGGCGATGACAAATCTTATGGATACGAGCTGGCCAGAAATCTTGCTATTCATGGCGGCGCGTCTGGGATGATCAATCCTGACAACATTGCTTTCTTCGCCTTGGCCATGTTTTTTGACGAATTTGATTGGTCGAGGGGTTTTGCAATGCCTCTGAAAGAGCCTTGATTTAGTAGCCGGCGGCCGCGTAAAACAAAACAGTAACAGTAACTGTACAGTAGCTGCGGAGATGTAAATGCTCTGAATTATTTTGTATACCTTATCTTTGGTTTCGGACGCCGCCGAAAAATCTTGTTTTGGATCCAGAGAAGCAGCCTCAACTGCCAGCTTTTGTTCAACCCCGGACTTGGAACGGTTCGCGCATGCCACGAATCTGGGACCCACCAGATCAAGGGATACTGGCCTTGAAAGGGCCTCAGTCTGAAGGTTCCCTGTCTCACCTGGGCACCTACATTCTCGAGTTTGGCGAAGCGTTCCAAAATTCCCGTCGTCCAACAGCGACTGTCAAGCTTTTGTTTGCGACTCCCTGTACTCTCTTGGCTGGGTTGCTTGAATGAATTCATGGACTCTAGACTTTTCCAAAAGAAAAGGAATATAAAAGTACACACCCCAGAGCCTAGATTGTAGTGGACCAATTTATTGCTGTGGTCTAGACCCAGGACCACCTGCTTGAAAACCCTCCAGGGACGATCTCCGTAAATATCGCCAATAAGTAACTGTTTACTGTCGCATCTCAACGTCAACATCTCCGTGTTGATTGTCTCATAAAACGCTCCAGTTGATGGAGATTCCACGATGAAAATATCGCAATGTATCTCTGCACACGGGAAGTCTGCGCAGGTTATCGGCTCGTTCCAGTCTGGACTCAGTACATGACGGATCTTGGGTTCAGATGCCAGGAACGGAGATAGCAGTTCCAGAGAACGAGGCATACCCTTCTCTTGCAACTCTGACATCGCGGCTTGTGACAAATTGTCTCTCTGACAAGTCCATAGCTTCCATCCTGGCGCAAAGAATCATCAGCTTCGTACGTTTGATTCTCAACTCTACACTGACCTATCATAATGTAGACTTGATCTGGGTCCGTCGACTCATCACCCCACACTATCCATTCGGGCTTCTCCTCCTCTTCCAGCTGGCTCAGGCACTTTTTGAAAGTTTCTTCAAGAAATTCTGGGGGACCCCGCTCGGTAAATGACTCTCCAAATTGGAGCTCGATGACAGAAAAGAAAGACTGGAGATGGTCTGGTAGCTTTGGCTGATACATGAGTCACAAGATCGTTCTGGCTTTAGCTTTCTGGGTACAAGAGCTTCCAGAGTCGTGCGCGACGAAATGAGTGCCACCTGGGATGCAGTCTGTTGGTGCGAAGGAGTGCGTCTGCGTGCTCATGGGCTGCATTAGTTTTCATTTGGAGTTGATATCGATAAAATCCGTAAGTGCTCGTTCTACGAGGTCGAGTCTGAGAAAGTCTCACTTCATGCGTGTTCAAAGAACAGAGAGGCGTGTTCTTGCGGCGTGTGAGGCGGGCGCTTAACTCTACCTATAAATACTACCTTAGCGTGTGGTAAACCTACCTGGGCTGATATGTTTGTATTCTTTCTCAACTGTTGGACTTTAATGACAGAGACACCCTACTATTCCTTTCTTACAAAAGCGTTTCGATCCACGAGATAATCTCTTCAATTCATATATATCGAATCCGCGCTACTCTTAGGGTCACTAAGTCTTTCTAACACGAGATCACGTGCACCACACAGCCCCAGCCTGCGACGTGGATCCATCGTTTCAGACCAAACAATTATTACGCGGGTCCAATAGAGCGCTTACCGGTATAGGCCATGTCCCGCCATCAAGCCGAAGACACTCCACATGACGTTACAGGCACCTGCTCCGGCCGGCAGTCTGTTTATTGAATGCTCCCACCAGGCGGCGATCGCACCATGCTGATTGCAAGCAGAGAGCACCTTCCCGCAGCAAACAACGCATGATCAGTTGGGCAGCACATTGTGCGGGGACGCGATCTCAGCCGGTTTCATGTGCCATGGACGATCTGTCGCTGTCTTCAGCTGCGACGCTCCATTGGATGTGCTCGCCCTTTCATGGTGTGGAGCGACGTGGAGCGACGTGGAGCTGAACCCTAGGGGGAAGGAGCCACGTCCGCGAAACCGGATACGGCCACGAGAGTCGAGCAAGCTACGTAGAGGCAGAGAGGCGCTCGCTGCACAAAGCGCCAGTGCGCATGAACTCAGGGCCATTTCTAACCCTCTGCTGTATTTGTTCTTGTTACTCGCATTCATTCCAGTCTTCGACACTATTGCGACTACAGAGCATATCGCTTCTTTGCGCCAAATCATCCAACCAGCATCATGTTCTTCCGATCTCTCGCTTGCGCCTCCCTCCTGCTTGCCGGTGCGACGGCGCAGGACACCGCACCCGTGAGCAGTGCAGTGCTCAGCGAGGCCACCGGTGCCTTGGAGAGTGTGCTGAGCAGTGTGATGGGCACCGGCGCGAGCAGTGCGGATGGCTTCATGACTATCCAGACATCGGTGCCGAGCAGTCTCGCGACTGATGGTGAGTCCTCTTCGGCATGCCTGGAGGTCTGCGTCGTCGAGCCTTGTACTCAATGTGTGCATTCGCGCCAGGCATGACTCGCATCGCTTCTAACATGCAACAGGCCCGTTGACGAACCCTCTGCGCACGACTGAAACGATCCCTCAACTTACCTTCTGCGACGGCGTCTACACAAACACACCTTGTGCATCGGCAACTGGACAAATGTCCATCCCGCAGGGAGAGACACCTGAGCCGACAAGCATGATCTCTACAAGTGTCCCGTCTGAGGAGAGCTCTTCCTCTGCATCTCAAGGCTCCTCCAGGACCGGAAGCGTAAGCCGGCCCGCCGCTACAAGCTCTGCATCTGGCTCCGTCCCTGAATCGACGCCGTCTGAGACGCCCGGCGCTGCTGCATCGGTTTTCAAGCGCGACGGAAACTTTGTCTGGGTGGCTGCACTCTCAGGTCTCTCTGCGACCCTGGGATTTGCCTTGACCCTGCTTTGAAGTGCCAAAATTCTCACAATCATTTCGCATCATCGACGGCGTTGGAAACGGTATGGAGTTCGGTCATATGCTCGAAACATGACAAAATTGATACTTGCATAATGTATATAACAAACAAAAACAGTATGTTTACAGTGCACCACGACGATGCACAAGGGCAATCTCCCGCGCGCCCCACGGCTCCGTAAATTTCCCGGTAGCCTAACGGCTGTACCCCAACGGCCCTGCATGTGCGACGGCTGGGTCCTTTTGAAGGCGTTCCTGTTTGCGATCGCGTTGACCAAGTTTGATTTTGTCGTGCCATCCTTCCGAGCGCATTAGTAGATCCAGTATCCAATCTCAGAGCCCGGGATGCTGCCAAGTACCGCGCCACAGCCTGGAGCGTCTAGGCTTGCGAAGTGACGTGCGCCAGGGCTATGCGCAAAGCTAGCCCGTATCCGCGTATCATGTACGCCTGTATACGACGATAGCCGCTCTCCGCGTCGCCTATACTTCTGCGAAGACGCCCTTCACGGCCGCTCTTTCTTGTTTGCACATTCACAGCCATGGCTGCCTCTAATCACAATGTACCGACGCCAGTCCCGTTTCCTCACCCAGATGCCACGCCTCCCCCGACGAGCGCCACGCCAACAACGCCGGTCGCAAAGCGATCGCGCACATCGACCAGTGCCTCTACCAATTCTGTTACGGGCCGTATTCGTACCGCGAGTATAAAAGCCATGGAGGCGTCACCTCCTCCGGGCATGTGGGCAGCCACAGGGAGCGTCACGGCGAAAGCGCCTACGCTGGCAGACATCAGGGGCGGTTCCTTTAGCGAGTCGGGGTGGCAGGACGGGCCGCAACGGATGAAAGCTGAGCGGAAGGGAAGTCAGGGCGAGGGCAACACTCGCGCAATACAAAGGCCGGGCAGCAACCTGCAGGGTCTGGTCGAGGTCGAGAGCATAGCACGACCGCCGATCAGCGCTACGAGGACAACATCGTCTGAAAAGCTCAGGTCGCACGGGGGACAGTCGGGCGTTGAACCATTCCCTGTGGTGACGGAGGAAGAAATGAACGCATATCCACAGCAAGAGAAAGGCCCCAGTGAGGACATATCACAAGCACCAAGCTCCGATACTACGAAGGAAGATCTCCAGGATGGATCGAGGATCAGAGAAAAGGGCAAATCGAGTAGCAAGGACAAGCACGAGGCAGAGCCGCAGCATGTACGTCAAATATTTAGCCCCTGCAATACACATCTAACATTGCGACAGTACGCCAACGGCTACCAGCCTCCGCCCAAACTCCCATGGACTACCTCAACCGTCATTGGACTGAAAGCGTTCTGGAAGTGGTTTCTCACGATTCCAGGCTTCCTAATCACACTATATGGTTTGAACGTGGTGGCATGGGGCGGCATGCTCTTCCTGCTCCTCTGCAACGCTGCACCCGCTATGTGCACCCCTACGTGCGACGACATACAATCTCCGCGACGAATATGGGTCGAGATCGACTCGCAGATCCTCAACGCACTGTTCTGTGTGACTGGCTTCGGGCTCGCACCGTGGAGGTTCCGCGACTTGTTTTGGTTGGGATACTGGCGGCTCGGCGGTGCGACGCGCAAACAGGTCGGCATGAGGAGGCTCGCAGGCATACATCGAGGGTGGTTTCGCCTTCCCGGCTCAGAGGATCTGCCGGAACACGCAGACGCTACGACTGTGGACCCGGAAGACCCCGCCGTGCCTATTCCCGTCGCAAAGATTCCCGACCCCCCGCCCACCGGTGTCCGCGCGCCGCCGACTCAGGGCTGGAAAATGGACTTTGTGGTGTGGATGAACGTGTGGAACACTTTCTTTCAGGTTGTGCTGTGTTTTTACATGTACCACTACAACCGGTACGATCGCCCATCTTGGGCAACGGGTCTTTTCGTCGCCCTGGGCTGCATTGTCGCAGGCCTAGGAGGCATCATGATGCACATCGAAGGCAAAGCCGTGAAGAAGGTCGAAGGCGTACCCATGCCAGAAGGTGGTTACCAAGTCGTGCCGGCAGACGCGGAAGCTCAGCCTCTTCAGGCTCAGGCTTCGAGGTAGCGCCACAGTAGAATTTCATCGCCACCGCCCACCACTTTTCGCCGCAGACTACCATGTCTGACTGTGACGCTTTCATTGGTCCGAGGCATGTCCCCAAGGTCTTGGCACAGGTCGCCTCTGAGGACGACGCCACCTTGAGGCTCTTCATACTACGCGTCTTTGTTTGCTTTCCTTCGTTAGATACCCAGATGCATGTATCCGTGTCTCATTACTACCATCTTACATCGTAATCAAAGCACGATCTGCTAGCTTCGTCTCGTAGCACTGAAATGCGCCTGCAAGACCCGTGATGCATGGTTCGTGAGTCCTGCACTCATCTGTAAGCGTGCATGTTGAGTGTGCAGTGTGCATGGGACTTCGGCAACCGGCATGAATCCACCCCAGCCAAGACTCACCGGGCGACCCGAAGCGGTGCAAACAGTGCTCACAAGATCTCGCACACGACCTGATGACGTATCGAGGGAAGTAGCTACCCTCCGAAAGTGCGGGATAACTGAATCTCGAGGTGGTTGATAAGGCGGCGAGTCCGCCTTGCCTTGTTTCGCCGACGACATCCTAACAACATATAATACCCTCTACTTACCCTAGACTTTCCTTGATACATCAACCCAAACACCGTTGAGAACTTGAAAGAGATGGCAGCAACAGAATACTACATGGGCACTGCGGCCGCGCAGCAACTCGGCCATATCAGGCCGCCTGCGCATGAACTGCCTGGACACCAGCAATTGTCGTACCAGCACTCGCAGCCTGCAAACCAAATCCAGCCTTATAACGAAAGGCCTCCAACCTACTCGCCATATCCTGCCCAACAACAGCAACCGCGACCACAGCAAACCTACCAACCTCAACAATACCAACAGCGCCCGCAAGGCCATCAGCAACCCTACCCTCTACCGCCAGCGTCATACTCGCCACGCCCTACCTCGCAACCGCGACCGCAACGCTACCCGCAACCACAACCGCAAAGCGCCCTCCTCGGAGTTCCCCTACAGCACCATCGCAGCCATTCCCAGCCTCCACGCGTCCGCTTTGCAGACCGTGACGAGTACTCGACCGACTCCGGCTCGTACACCTCCGACTCCTCCGCTTCCCGGCGCCGCCACAAGAAACATCACCACCATCACCATCACCGCCGGTCATCGGATCATGATAGCCGCGACCGAGGGTACGACTCCGAGCCGCGCTCCGAGCCCCGAAACGCACACTCCAAGTCTCGAAAGAACCGCGATACCTTCCTGGGTGCTGGCGCAGGCGGCGTGATCGGGGATGCAATCTTCCCTGGACTAGGCACCGTAGGTGGGCTACTGCTAGGCGGCTACGGGGGTCGAAAGCGCGCGAGTAAGAAGGAGGAGGATAGGGAGTGGGAGGCCGAGAGCGATGCCGATTCCGCACGCAAGCATGGGCGGAACCACAAGCATAGGCATCATAGGGAGTATGATGACGGTGGCTATGCGGGGGAGGGGAGGCACAAGCATCATAGGGGTGGGGAGAGTGGGTGGGATGAGGAGAGTAGGACGTATAGGAAGGGGTTGGCTGTGAGGTAGAGCGGGATTGTGCGATGGCGGGACGAGACACGTTCATGACTAGACGGCCTATCTATGGATTCTTGCGCTATACCCTTGCGAGTTGTATACATGTTATGCTTCCAAGAACTGTATCACCAAAATCAGCGATGAGAAATACTAGCCACCTCCCGTAACGCGAATGTGGGATATATTTCAGCCTCTCTATCTTGAGTCTAGGCATTCATAGGTCAGCCTCTGCGGTGTGTGTCCGTCGATCTAAGGCAACGCATGGTGAATTCATGGGTCCGCTAAACAGAGCGTGGTCTTCCTGCCTGTACAACATGCTCGTGACACAGCATTTAACGGATTTCAAGGCATTAGGACACCTAGCTCGACCAGAGTACATGTGGCATACATAAAGCGTGTTCTGTTCTTGATGTAGGCATGGGTGAGCAGTATCCGTATTCGGTTCTTATCATGTGCTGTTTGAACGAGCTGATTGGAAGAAGAAACAGAGGCATGCTTCGGTAGTAGCCCATGATGGGCTGTAACAAGTCGATAGTAACGTCCAAAGCGGATCGTGAATATTTCTGAGAGATGAAGCTGGCTATCATACGTCAGCTATACATGAAGACCGTGTGTCGCCCTGTTGGTGAAATACATGGTGCGATTTGTAGCAGCTTAGTCTCCAAGGCTGAGATGACGACGGCGTACTTCAGGGTTCGAAAGTCGAAGTTGTGTGGTTGTAAATACGCATGCTATCCAATCCAGTGCCCATAGCTTTAGGATGTGGTCGGTACCTACCAGCATCCCGTGCAAGAGCATCAACTATTTGTATATCAATTCCTGGCCATGCCACTGTGGATCCCCTGGGGACTTGGAGAGGACCGGCAGGTGAGTGATGTACATGCAACGAGTCTGTGAACTTCGCCAAAGTATTCATAATCGATGGAATAGAAGTACAACTGATCGTTACATACGGGCTGGAGCACGAAACTTGATATGATAATTATATGTTGCTGGAGTGCGGGGCTAATTGCACCTCGTGTGCTCCTCTCCATGTTGTGCGCCGGGCTGCCTTGATGCCTGCGTACAGGCTACTCGAAACTTTCGTGCCCAGCGATTCAAGCATTCTTGCAGTTTCAAAGTCGACATTCCTGGAGCTCGTCTTATTCACGACAGCATTTGAGTCTCAAGGGCTTAACCCCAACTGGTAAGTGGGTCACACACCTCCGTCAACTCCTTGGGGGCGCAGTACCTGTAAATACCTTACTGGTGCTACCAAGAGTTACATCGACTAAATACTTCTGGACAATGCTAAAGACATCATTACACTAATCTAAAAGGTCGTGATTCCTGAAAACTTTGAAATGGCGCCGAGTCTCTCCCCTTTCTTAGTTCACTACAGCATCCTCACCAGACACACACAGCACATCACAATTGTCTTATCTTACTTCTCTACATCATGAAGGTATCCACACTGTTGGAACTCCTCGCCCCGGCGGCCATGTTCTCCACGGTCCAGGCGGGATGCTATAGCGCTGATGCCCCATGGTGGGGCTCGTTCCAAGATGCTGCCAACGCTGCCGTCGATCAGCATTGCAACCCTGGTGGCGTCTCTGGCTATTTTGCCCAAGGGCAGACCAAATACTTCTGCATCCAACACAGCGCGTTGCAGAAGTCCGAGTTCTGGGTTCAGTGGAAGGGCAAAGGGGGCTTGACATTGAAAGACAACGACTGCAAGCTGCGCTTGAAGAACGAAATCAATGGCTGCAAGTGGGGAGGAGAAAGCACTATCGCCGACTGGTACTTCAGGTATACATGCCCACTCCATCGTCTTGCTATATATGCTTACTCAAATCGCAGGTCTGATCCCAACATCGGTACATGGTCATCATCCTGTTGTTACCGAATATATACAGAAGGTCACTGTTCTTCAACTGCCCGGGACGTCTATTCATCGAACTCATTTCAATCTTATACCGGGTCCAACTTGAGGTCTAAATTTGCGGACGTTCTGTCCAGTCTCTCAAGTTACTACTACAACTTACTCTCTATGACTTGGCCTGCGAACTATTAGTAAAGCTCAATGGTATACAATTCAGTCAGCAACGCTCAATCACTACACCCGCGCGATTATACAAGCTAAGTGACTCCACTTCAAGTTCTATCCTTCCTACCATCGCCATTGGCGAGTCTCATCATCCCCGCCACGAACCAGCGGTGCGGTCACACAGGTTACAACACACTCTCTAGCGCTCCTGGCTTAGGGTCTCTCCCGTTTCCCTTCAGTCACCAGCCCCCAGCGATCCAAATCTCTACCCGGCCTTTGCCTATGCGCATCTTGGCTCAGAGCCTCCAGACTCACACAGCTCGCTTTCATAGCAAGAACGCAACATTACTCGCGCAAGCTAACGCCAGCAGTGTTCTGGCCCTAGCAAGCGACATACATACTATAATAACCATCGCCAGAAACCCCCCTAACAAGAGAACCTGCACGACGATAACCGTACTTTGCATCGTGTTGGGGGTGAACTTGCCGGGGCTTCTCATGCTGTCTGTCTGCACCCGCTACAAAGAGTCCAGAAAAACCTATGAGTCGATAGACATTGCAGCTTTCGCTCCCGTCTTCCAGCTCAGGTTCGGCTCGTTCCCGCATGACGTCCCCGTGCCGGGGCTCGCATTACTTGACTAGACAAGACCACACGCCACCCATCTACAAAGGCGCGCTGGCGCACAAAAACGGGTTCTGACACATGCATGTCCATTGCGCGGCGGAATACAGAGTTGAAAATGACAGCAAGCCACTACTACTGCTCCTGGTCACCCATCCGCCTAATCTCGGCCCACATGTGCAAACCCCACACACGCCAGTAGAAAAGGATTAAAATTGCAAAAACATACAACAGCGGGGATTCCACGATTCTCACGAACTCGAGTACTAATCCGCCGGTATCCTGCTTAAATATGGCTGAGCGGACGGGAAGCCTTGCTCTCAGGATCCTGTGGTCGTATGTGGTGCTATTTGCCTGGTGGGACTTACATATGCACAGTACGGGCTCTGAGAATGAGTGGATACGTTTAAAGTTGCGGCGCGGCACTTGTTGTGGACTCCGGAAGGAGGTTCACTGCAGCATGTTCTTGTCTAGAGCCAAAGGCTGGTGTTGTCGATCTGTTCACGTGTCGCCGGCAACCACGTGACTAGCGCTGTCTTCCCATCATCGAGCGAACGAAAGCTCTGGGCCTACCATGACCGTCTTTACTCTGGAATTTGATTGTTACACTATGCGTGATACTTTCTCGTTAAAGTCCGGCTTTGGCATATTGGCGCACCTGCGTTTAGCCCAAATCTGGTCATTCTCGACGCTACCAAAATCAATTCCCCCACGGGGAAGGCTATTCCCTTCGAGAAGCATTGGGGAAAGCCTTCGGTGCCACGAGGCCGACGTGCGGGGAATGCAGTGACACGTGGGCGTATATAAGGTAAGACTCTGACAATGTCGCCGAAATGAGCCGTTGAGGTTCACGAATAAAGGCTTCCCGTGCCACAGAGCAATCAAAATGTACACCGAACTCGGTGACGAATCGGGCCTGGAACCGCGAACCGCGAGCGTTGCCCTAGAGAAGGAGGCCGTCCCTCCTTCCCGTTGCGCTCCGTCAAGCAAAGTATTGAGAGGCACGGCTGAGACACCAGCAGGCGAACACTGCCAGCGCATGGCTTGGGGAGCAAAACAATACACCGTTCAACACCCCAGCCCAGCATGCACCTGATCTGTCCAAGGGTGCCCTACCAAGATCCGCACCAGCATTTCCTACCCATTCCCTACCCATTCCCGTGTTGTTCAGCATGGCAAATATTAACTCGGGCGTGTATGCAGGCAACTCCCAGGCGTCCTGCAGCTGCGGACGAAAGGTGCCAAAGCCTGGCGTGGGCGTGCGGGACGTTGGGTCGCTTCAATAGACCAGTGGTCGAAGAAGCCCGGCGGTTGTATGTAATATGGATAGATATCTTCGCATTGCACTACAATGCTACAACAGCACCCGCGTGTGGAGTCGGCCCGCGATCGGACAGGTTTTGCTGGAGTTGAAGATATTCCGGGTAAAACGCCAGTCATGTGTCAAATGGTAATGTTCTGCGAACGAAATGAGAGAGGGAGACATTCCGACCAGGCAATCTCAAGGGGTAATATTCCTTCATGTAACCAGCGCCGAAGGATGGCCATGATCAACATGTCACGTTGCGCGCGCGTAGCGTTCCGCCCCGACAACGGTTTCCTGGAGACGACCGAATCAAAGAGTCTGCGTCATCCCAATGGAGTGGATAGACATGGGGGCATCGTCATTGCGTTCGAGCTGACTTGAGACTCTGACAGCAATCCGCTGGCTGTTCATTACCGTTTCCGAGGATCACGAGGACGACGCAGACACAGAACAGGTCTCGTTGGGAGGCGATCGGCACGGCGGTGCGTGGCAGAAGCAGTGGGCGTGTTGGTGGGATATTGGTGTTGATGGAATTCATATGCACGACAACTACGCGAAGTAGGAAGCAGCGGAGCCCCGCAAAGGCGTCTCTGCCCCGCTAGATGCGCGAACCCAAGCAGGCGCGTGACGTGCCACCTGGGGCCGCCACCTGTGAACGCATGAGGCAGCCCAGCAGCGCTTGGAGGGGCCGAGACGCACTGAAATGAGCGTAGTCGCGCCGATCGCAGGGCCGTGGACTTGTCGAGCGTGTTGCGGGCGGCGGCCTGGTTGCTTTGTCGTGTCTGAATAATACAGTGCAGTCGCGAATGGGCACGCATGGGGCCATGTGGGGGTCTGCATCGACCGCAGAGCGCGCCGTGGTTGGCCTGGGCCGAGGTGCCCGTCCTCCGCCTTTCGCTGTCGCGAATCCTGCTGTAGCCATTACGAGGCCTGCTGCAAGCCTTCTGCGGTGCCTTGTACGTTTGTGCGACCACGCGCGGGAAGTGGCGTCTGATGCTACATCAACACTAGTCATAGTAATCCGTCTCACTTGCGCCCAGCAGACGAGCTGACAGGCGTGCCCTTTCTGTCTCTGCTCCGCACACTGGATGACCCTCGCCGTCGCCGTTTCAAGCTAGCTGGTCATCGGCCCTTTCACACGTCGTGGGGAAGGCTCCGATACTTCTCCGGACGAAGCGAGCCGCAACCACCGAGCACGACCGTCGCATGCTGTGAGTGACGAGGCTGACAAGAAGCCCGCGAGCCTGCCGAGGCTGCAAAAGCGAACACTGCTGTCACGTCTGGGTGGTGTCTTTCGATGAGAGGAGCCAGACTGCTCCGCGGCACAGAGACGCAGCGTGCGTCGAGGACATGGGCGACTCAGGCACGACCGCGACAACGATGACTGCGCCGCAACCCTCGCGATTCGAACACGACGACCCGCTGGCCCTGCACGAGTACGGCCTCTCGGAGCTGCGAGCCTCGATGGCGTCCTTCTCCGACTTCCCCATGGCCTTCGGGCCCAACCAGGGCTTTGGGAGTGGCTACGACCGATCGCAGACCAGCATCCAGACCAACCTGCACAACCACCGAGGGAGCATGGTGGACATGGAAGACGGAAACGTGAGTGGCGGCAGCGCGCACCCGCATCGGCCCAGCATTGACCTGGGCCGCGACGGCAACCAGACGAGCCCGGAAAGCGCGGCTGGGCTGGGCATGCTGCTGGGCGATGGCATGGACGACGCATCGCTGGCAATGAAGCTGGAAGACGGGATCCTGATGGAGGGCGCGGAGGGCGCGGCCACCAAGGGCGACAGCCAGGACCCGCCGCCGTGGAGCGAAATGAAGACCAAAGCGGGCAAGGAAAGAAAACGGCTGCCGCTGGCGTGCATTGCGTGCCGGCGCAAGAAGATTCGCTGCTCGGGTGAGAAGCCGGCGTGCAAGCACTGTTTGAGAAGCCGCATCCCGTGTGTGTACAAGGTCACCACGCGGAAGGCGGCACCCAGGACCGACTACATGGCCATGCTCGACAAGCGGCTGCGGCGCATGGAGGACCGCGTCATCAAGCTCATCCCCAAGGAGAGCCTGCCGTCAGTCGCCGGCGTCGGACGATCCGTCGTCAAGCCGGCGCTGCCGGGCGCGCCGCCCAAGACGCCCACTGCGCACAAGAAACGAGGTGCCGAAGAAGCGTTTGGAAACGACTTGGACGAATGGGCAAAATCAAAGTCGGCCAACCCGGACGCATCCGGCTCGGCGTCGAGAAACAAGGAGTCCGACGACACCAGCCTGCTCACCGAGGGCGTCGAGAGCCTGCCGTCCAAGGAGATCCAGGAGCATCTGGCCGAGGTCTACTTCGACTACGTATACGGCCAGAGCTACCCACTCTTGCACAAGCCCAGCTTTTTGCGGAGGCTCGCGAAAGGCGATGTGCCCCCGGTCCTCATTCTGGCCATCTGCGCCATATCCGCGCGTTTCTCGACACATCCGCAGCTGCGCTCGGAGCCCTGCTTCCTCCGCGGCGACAACTGGGGCGAGAAAGCGCGAGAAATAGCACTCAGGCGGTACGACGCTCCCAACATCACAATCCTGATCGTCTACCTACTGCTCGGTTTGCACGAGTTCGGAACATGTCAAGGTGGAAGAAGTTGGATGTTTGGCGGCATGGCTCAGCGAATGGCATACGCGCTGCAGCTGCACAAGGAATGCGAGTACGATCCGAGTGTACCAGAGGCTGATCGCAAGCCTCTTAGCCTCACGGACCGCGAGATTCGAAGGCGGACAATGTGGTCTTGTTTTCTCATGGACCGCTTCAACTCGTCCGGCACAGATCGGCCATTGTTTGTCCATGAGCAGTACATTGAGGTTCAGCTACCCGTCAAGGAGCATCTTTATGTGCACGAGATACAAGCCCCGACAGAGAACTTGGACGGAAACGTACCGAATCCCGTTGCGCCAGACAGTGGTCAACTGTCGGAACCCCGCGAGAACATGGGCGTTACGGCGTACACTATCCGCCTTGTCTGCATATGGGGCAAGCTAGTAAAATACATGAACCTGGGTGGCAAAGAGCGGGAGCCTGAACCTATGTGGTCCGCCAAATCCACCTTCCACATCATCAAGAAGGAGGCCAAGGAGTTCAAGGAAGCTCTACCGGAAATGCTAGTCTACAGCCCCGAAAACCTGAAAAGCCACGCCATAGGACGAACAGCAAATTCGTACCTCTACTTGCACATCCTCTACCAACAGATCATACTCTTCCTGCACCGATTCTCTCTTCCTTCGAAGGCTGGGAGTCGACCACCGAAAGAAATGCCTCACGATTTCCTCACCGAGTCTGCTCGTACGGCATTAGATGCTGCGAACCAGATATCGATTCTAATTAACGAAGCAATGGACCACAATGTGGTTGCACCATTCGCTGGTTATTCCGCTTTCTTTTCTTCTACCGTCCACGTCCACGGGGTATTTTCCAAGAACCCGAAGCTCGAAGCGCAATCGAAGAAGTACCTCGCTTACAACGTCAAATACCTGAGTAAGATGAAGAAGTACTGGGGTATGTTCCACTATATCGCAGAGAACTTGAAGGAACTGTACCGGCAACATGCAGATGCACAGCTCAGAGGCCCTGGTGCCGCTGGGGACAAGACCAAGGCCGTCATCTTCCAGTACGGTGACTGGTTCGACAGATATCCACACGGTGTATCCAAGACGGACTACGAGGACGCTGCCGAACCCAATACCAACGAACCAGGTACTGACGCTGTACTTGGGCAGAAGAGCGACCTGCAAAGCGTCGAAGAATTCTTTGCCTCACTGTCGCCACCGACCCGAGCAGAAACCCAACGCAAGCAAGCCCGAAAGAAACAGTCGAAGTCGGTCTCGAGAGCCGATGCACCCGCTGCCAACCACCCTGCGGCACAGCATCGCACTCAATCGATGAGTCAGGGCCAACTACACCAACAGTTGGGCCAGATCAACATCAACCCCCAAGAAGCCATCGAGGCCTTCGACCCCAGCTACTTCGCCCAAGCCAACGCCCAACAATACATGCAGGACTACCCCCACGCGCAGCACAACCTCGCCATGCTCAACACCTCGCCGACATCGATGATCCACCCAGGCCAGCAAATGGACCTCTCCCCCTTCCCCGACCTCACTCCGCACGCCAATAACGCCTCCTTCTGGGGTCTCGACCAGGGCATAGGCAGCGGTTTCTTCGACCCAGGCACCGCCGGATGGTTCCTGCCCTTCAACGTCGAGCCACCGGTCATCGGCGATGACGGCGGCGGCATGTTCAGCCCAGATGCATTCAATCTAGGATTCGGTGTGGGGGCGTCCGTGGATTTGGGGTTAAACGGGCACCCGGCGCATAGGCAGAGTGTAAGCCACGCACATGGGCCGCCAACGGGAATGGAGGGATTGGAGGGGTTGGATGGCACACCGCAATAACAGTGGCGCCGCACGGGCTAATGCTGTACGAATGATTCGATGATGTTACGATGGGCACGGATGGGTTTGGGGTCTGTTGCTAGCGTTTGTTTAGCGGGTATATGGTTGGATGGGCAAGTGGGATGAGTGTATATTAGGTGCGTATGGTAATATGCTTTATGTCGATACCATCAAGTTTGTGATCTTAGGGTTCACTTTTTTTTTTTTCGCTGGTTCTCATTCATGTGAAGATTTTCGCACCGCATGTCATCGCTCTTACATTGGGTGATTCGGGGAGAGTGCGTAGGAGGCTCAGTTGTTTTTACCGCCGTAATTACTGGCCTCAAGCGTTTCCGAGTGGGAAGCAGTGTGCTCCTCTTTGGGTCACACTCATGACTTTTGGTCGTGAGCGAGAGGGTCCTGTGGCATGAGAAAGAATCCGACTTTCGTCGTAGAGCACAATGCACAAGACGCTCGACCCTGCAAGATGCGTTGCTGACAGAACGAGCCCATGATCTTTCTTGGTCCAGATTCTACCTGTCGACCCAGGCTGGTTATTTTTCGTGAGCTTGATAGTTCCTGGTTCCCAGTGAGTAATTCAGCACAGCAATGGCTATTACCGACAGTCTTATGAGGCTTCGACTGCTGTCAGATAGTGCTTTCTCATGAGTAGCTTCCAGGTCGTTCCTGACGTCCATAATAGGAAGCATTGAATCAGATCTTTCTTCAGGTGGAAGTTACCACGCAAGCTCGTTTCGTGACTGCGTTTGCTTCAACAAAAGGTCTTGGGCATGGCTTTGGCCAGCGTTATGGCAGCACGAGGCCCTTCTTACAATGACACGAGCCCCCTTTGTTTGGTAGTTGTATTAAGTCAAGGGCAATCGCAAGGCTGCAAAATCTTAATGTTTAGTGGAAGATTCCAGGTTAGCTGTGGACGCCTCAAGCACCTCCATTCGTCCTTGCACGTCTGCAAACTGCAATCTAGGAAAGTGCGCCTGAGCTCGGGAAGCACCCTATGCGGGAAGCTCAATACACGGGAGAACGCTCTTTAAGCATCAATACTCAAATTCTCCCGCTTCGAGGTACGCATCACTACCATTGCATTTTTATGCGCGACGATCAATCATCACTGAAGATTTCGGGCCACGTCATTGTTCAATCTTGCTGTATCGCTCGCCACGCACATACGCAATCGCTTGCATTTCATACCAACTCTATCTCCACCACCGCTTCCCGATGTTCGCAATCCCTCGGAGTAAGATGGCAGACCCGTCCGGCAACCCAGAACCGACGCGCGACCTGTTATCGGCCTGCCCGTACGGCATTATCAACATTCCTGCCGTCCTCGAATCCTACCTGTTACTTCATGCCAGCGACGAGGACATGCATCACCACCTCCGCACGTGGCTTGCCACGGCTTACCTCGATGGTAACACACAACTTTCATCCATGAACGAGCCGCTCGGCCGCCGCATCCGCTGCCTTCAAGACCTTGGCATGTTAGTTTGTGCCTACGGCCAAGCGAGGGCGTTGAAGAGGCCAAAGACGAACGCCATGCAACACGAGTTGTATTTCTATGGGCAGGGGCCCAGGAAGGAGGAGGGGCTTCAGGCGGGCAAGTGGATGCAGCAGTGGGCGAAGAAGCAGATAGAGATGGTGGGGTTGAAGGGGTCGAGGAAGCCGCCGCTTGGATTTGGGGAGGGAGAGGAGCAGAAGGAGGCTAGGAAGAAAATGGGGGTTGGGAGTCTGCTTCCAGTGGATGGGAACTTGCTTTTTGGGAATTCGATTGCACCGAAAGGGATTCCAGCGAAGGGGAAGGAGACGGTGGCTTCAGTGCGGAAGATGAGTGAGGTGGAAGAGAAGGACAATGAGGAGGAAAATGAGGCAGAGGAGGCGGACGGATGGCTATTGACGTAGGGCGAGTCAAACTTGAGGTGTCGCTTATCCATGGAGGTAATATGATTTCGTACAGAGATCGTTAACTTTGGATAAAGGTCAACGTTTAGTTTCTATAATGGTATCGTGGGAGCACTTCTCATTGATTCGCATGGAGATTCTTGTTTGAACTCGCACTCCGCGCCACAGCAGTGTTACACAAAGGGTTTTGGTTCTACTGTGTAGCTCTGAGGTTCTCTAAAATATTGCAATGCTCAGGTCTCTATGATTCAGCACTGTGAGACGTGTCGGTTACAGGTAAGCTTCTGCCGACATACATCTTAGACTCTAGCGAGAAACTCCATGTCTGTGTCAGATATGGACAACCGCAGCAAGTGCAGATAACACAACCGGGCATTTGACCCCGCAAAAATTGATGGAATGTTCTGATGGCTGCATCGCATGGGTGCAAAAGTTGCGCAGAGCAGATGAAGTGATGATAACAGTGCTTGGGCACAAAGGCGAGGCCACAGGGCGAGTGTTCTAGTCACGAGACTAACCATTGAGGCGCCCACATGAGTCCAATTCAGATTTTGAAAAAAGCTAAAGTACATGGGTGAATCTCTTACTGAGTGAATGCAAACAACAAGATTCGAGTGGTGGGGAAGAGCCACGCTGACGCTTGGTGTGGCGCGATCGGTGCTGAAAAATACGCACACGAGGAAGGCCGCACTCGCTTTCGTTCCTTCACATTCGGAGAGCAAGGGCTCGCAAAGGACCATCAGAGCTCCGAAGAACTCCATTACTCTTGATACCAACTTAAGGTTGAGCTTTGGCGGCATACAGACGGTACGGTGCAGCGTTCGGCTGGGTGTAACAAGCGCCACGGAAGCCAGGTCCAGACGTGGACCCTCGACACTTCCTGACGTAAAATTCTCTCTACACCAGCTTCACGACCACAACCTTCACTTTTCAACGCGAGGCTGTGAAAAGAGACCCCTGCTATTGTGCCTACTGTCAGGGAGCTCCACAGTCATACTTTGCCCGTCCCTTGGCTGCCGCTCAACACAAACACGGCTATCATAGGTATATCGCGAGGTTATTCAGCAATCCTCGCCATCGAACGAGCCCGATCCAGATGATAACCCGCTCCTTATATCAGCTTGCTGGCCCAGGCGCTACACTTGGTGACTCCGCTCCGGAATTCCGCGTCGTGCACTTGAACCAAGCACCCAACACCCCATCGGGTCGCAACTTCACCAACCACAACGCGGCGACCGTCACTTTTCTAGACAACATGTCCGCTCCCACGATGGACATGCCGCCGGTTGCAGGCATGGTGGATTTGCCCACTTTAGCCAAGATGTACGCGGTCCTCAGCACCAGTCATGTGAGTAGCCCACCATTATTCTTGACTGAGAGCTTGGAGACGGTTTGTTCTCGCGGGGCATGCGCTCTGTACAAGACGGATCTGTCTCATTCCTTCGTTGCATTCGCAAGACTATGAACTAACACAATGTAAAGGATGACGACGATAAGAATTTAGCGGCCTGGATCAAGGAGAACTACCTTCCCCAAGACTTTGACGGAGTCATCGAGCAGGGCGGTACCGCCATAAAGGGCGCTGAGGGCTTTTCAAAGTTGTACAATGCTTACAAGCGCGTGCGCATACTCACCAATCGAACCCAGGACAAGTGGCCGTAGGTTATCAAATTTTTGCAATTGTTTGTCTCCGCTGATATGGTTAGATTCTTTGACCGTCGATGGAAGCGCATGACTTCGGCTCAAGTGACAAAGATGGCTACGAGCGACGACCCCGCGCCTCCATCCAATGCTTCGGCTGAGGTTCCCATGAAATCTCCACCGGTGCGCGAATCCACAGAAGAAGGTGAGACCGTCTACTAAATGAGGGACATGCTCTCCAATTCGGCAATGACTAACATACGATAGGTCCATCAATGCCGATGGCTCAACTACAAGCCCGCACATCATCTACCGCTCTCGGTCAGGCAACAACGACCCAGCCTCCTGCTGCAGGTAAGTTTGCTTCATTTGTTGTAATGGAGACTTGCTTCTTGGCCCTGCCTCAGTATACTCCGACTGCTATCACGAAGGGCAGCGATCGCTAAGTCTTAGAAGAAACTATCAAACCAGAAGTGACGCAGCAGCCAGCCAACATGTCCGAACGAGTAGAGCGTTTGCCTACACCAATTTCGCCCAACATGGTAGCACAGACACGATCTGATCATACCGAGAAATCCAAGACGGTAAACGATATGTCTGCTACCTCAACTGCGGTTTCAAGTATGTTCCTTTACCCTAGACGTTCACACGGTATGGCAAACATACAAGCAGTCTGATTGTCGCGCGTGAAGCTCTCAAGGGCGCATTCGCTTTACTGACTTGTTTAGTCCTTGCTGTAGAATCTGCACCCGAGCACTCCAACCTCGATGATCTACCCAGAGTACGTATGTTCGATGACTCCAAAAGCCCTCGCTAACGCAATCCAGCCATCTGGCGGGAAACGCAAACGCGATCCCAAGGACTTCGATGAGCGGGGACTCTTTGCTCGCGGCCATGGCAACCTGCGTAATAGGCGGGGCCGTTGTGGAGGCAAGGGTGGCCGAGGATGTAAGAACAAAACACTTGCGACTGAGCAAGCCGACTCAACCGATAAAGTGACAGAGCACACGCCGCCGACCTTCCAAGACACATCATCTCGCAATGACAAAGACACTGAGATGGCTCATGCGCCTGTGAAGAAGCCAAAGACCGCCCCTCCAAAGCCTCGGGTGACTCGCCGACAGGCGCGCCTCTCTGGAGGCAGCGATGATCAAAATTCGGCCAGCCAGGCGGTACCTGCGCTGGCTGAGCCGCAGACGATTGGATTCCCCAAATTACAGGCGGGCAGTGATACTACTGTCAACGACAACGAGCAGAATGTAAGTGCGGCCTGTATATGCATGGATAGGGCCCGCTCTAACTCAACATCCTCATCCAGAACACGGTGTCTCAAGCCCATAAAGATGCAGTATTCACGGACAACGAAGACACATTGATTCCCGACGATGACAGCGCTACCTCGAATCTGACCAACACAGACCTCCTCGCCATGGGTTTGTCGCACTACGAGCGACCCAGGACCAAGTCAGCTAACACGATCGCAAAAGCTGATCAGGATACTGCCAAGCTTGACTCCAAGGCAATTTCTTTAGAAAAGGCCGTGGGGCAAGACACCAAGTTGCGAGAGCTCGCAACGGTGACCTACTTTGCTCGCGTCAACACCGGTTCTGCTTCCTTCGAAGTCAGTCTCGACGACGCCATGAACGATAACAAGAAGCTAAACAGCGACCTCCTGGGCTATGCCTCATGGAGGCAGAAGATGGGCGAGAAGGGGGCGAACGTCTCATTCGACATGTGGCTCAGCATTTTCAACATTGGTCGCTGAGTTAAGTGATCGCCGAACAGTTGCTGGGCAGAAAAGCGTTTGCAATGCAATTGTGCATCTGGCGGGTTCTTCTTAGAGGACGACGTATGAGTGAATGTGAATGGAAAACTAGCTCCTTTAGAGCCAGGTCTCGTGCAATCTCCACATCAAGGGCCTTACTAAATACAGTTCAGCTTGAGTAAAAGATGCGAGTCTGGCCGGGTGTGTAGCTTCGTATTGCCAACAATGGACTGGGACGAGGCTCAGCTGAAAAGACAAGGCGCATCGAGGCACGCGCCACCTTTTCCACCAGCCAATCAAGTATGCCTAGCACCACCATCATCGCTTAATGTTACCCAAAGCCCTTCGAGGCTGTATTATACCTCAACATCTTCGGCCTTTCTTAAAATCCTCACACATGCCATGTTTGCCCAAGAGCTGCTGCTCGTATTTTCTCAGAGCCTCAATACCATGGCGGACATGTTCTATCTCTACAACAATTACACGGGTACCGCCTTAACGCTCGACCCTACAATTTCCGACTATGGTCTTCGAGCGTTTTATGGTGGATCTGACTCTGCCCTCGCCTTCACGTTCACACCTATCCCAAACACCAGATTCCTTAAGATCTGCACTAGCATCAGCTCTTTGTCGTACTGCCTTGATGTTTACGGCGACCAGAAGACTGTCCCTCATTTGTCCGAGGAAGGGAATTATTCAGGACAACAATGGGATGTAATTACCGCCAGGGGTGGGCTTGTCAAATTAAGCAATCAATATACTGGAACAAGTTGGTATTTGGATGTGTATAGTGATAGCAATGGGGCTTTCATGGACCAGGGCGATTATGCGGGTCAGTACTGGAAGCAAGTCTCGGTGAGTAATACCAAGACATATCACCCGTTTTATGTTGAGTAGGAAGGACTGACAGTTGGTCCAAGATAGGTTCAATGACCACCTCTAACCCAGTGGAATCAACGACGTCTGCTCCTTCCGCCGCCGCCGCCGCCACCACCACCATATCCACTAAAAGCTCGTCCACTCAAAGTACCGGAGATACCGTGACCACCTCTGGGGCAGTTTCTGTAATACCACCTATACCAAGTGCGAATACATCTGGGCTAAGTACGGGAGCCAAAGCCGGTATTGGAGCCGGTTGCGGTGCGCTGGCAATCCTTGTCGGTAGCCTCATCTTCGTCATACTATCTTGGAGGCGCAAGTCCCGATTCAAAAAGGCAGATAACGTGCTAGGAGGGGCGACGACGAATGAGAAGAAGCCAGTATTCTTGGATCAAGACTCTTATCCCGTGGAATCGAATCAAGCGTATTTTGGGACAGCAGAACTGCCTTCTCCAGCTGTTGATAAACCTGTGCTTGAAATGCTGGGTCAAAGTCAACCAGTCAATCATTCAATGGACGGATCGAAAGGTCATGCTGTGGTCCATGAGATGCCAGGGCAAGATGTCTTGCGCTAAGGGCAGATGCACTTGAGACGTTATCATGATTATGGTGAATAGGTTTTCAAATTCGTTAGGATAACAATCGTGTACAGAGGAGATATGAAACACAATAATCATTCACGAGCAATATGGCATTTGCTAAAACACCGGCAAAACTCGAAAGAATGAGGCTCAGCGTCGGATGTCATCTACTCCCTTCTCATGCATTAATAGCCTACAAGTGAGGCAAATCTATATCAAATGGGTCTCAGTCATCGTCCTGATTGCTATCCATACCATCCGGACGGCCACTCTCTCGATCAGCATTGGTAGCATTGCGCAAGATCCCGCGGGAGCCGACTTCGTCACTCGTTGATGCAGATGTCCATTTGCGTCGGGATGCTCCGCATTATCATCGACAAAGACCCTCCGCAAGTATCCTCCAATTCAACATTGACCTAGAGATAATTGTGACTCCTAAGTTCCGCCAACTTGGAAGGTCTTCACCGAGTCCACCGACTGAAATTCGCCTCGCTCGCTTTGCGAACCCAAATCCTACGGACAAGCTTCAAGACCACCAGATATCTGGCTATAACGTTTTCTCCGAAACCGCTCCTTTTCAGATAATATCCATTTGGACTGCATGGTTCTGTGCAGTGTTCTGTCGTGTCGCACGAGAATACAGTGGGTACCATGGGAATTCTCCCTTCTCTTCAACGGTTCGAAGATTTCTCTAATCAAAACAGCTGCTCGCGCGTATCAATGCATTTGTACCGACTTATACGACGATATATCTAGCCTTGCGCCGAGATGTCGGTTTTGGTGACGAGAGGACGCCCACGTTGGGGTTTGATCGTACCACGCACCAGGTGGCTGGGCTGTCAGAACGCCCATCACACTGCATCCGCTTCCAGCGCCTCCGACTTCAACTTTGAATAGAAGGATGTCGCCGACCACGAGAATGAATGTTCATTATACGAGATCCAGTTCGTAAGCCGTAAGGCAATCAGTGGTTGTCGCAGCCCTGTAGGTTTTTTGGGTAAAGATGGGCGGATGAATGCCTCGGTAGCGGTATAGCGGGGGCAGGCTTGAGATCCCAGGCTAGTATCCAATCGCTCGACCTCCGTTGCAACATTGACAAGGCCCTGCAAGCCAACTTTTGCCGCAGCCAGCATACGAGAGGTCTTCCGCGGTCTGGACAAGTCCCAGCCGGCCATTGCGGATGTTCGCTTTGGCTGGTCCGTCTGTCACAGGAGCGCGAGAACCACAAACTAAATGTAGTTTGATGCCAGATGATATTCGCGAGGCTAATCTCCGTTGGCGACGGGTCCACATATGCATGCGGGATAGCGAAGCTTCGCATAGTAGATTAAGTTGCACGACGCGCCCACGGCGCTGGGTCTTGCAACCCTTCTCTCCTTCGTTGTGCATCCTAGACTCTCTCGCTTTTACCCTGCGTTCGACCCCTCATTCGCCCGCAGCATACTTCTAGGAGAGATGAGAAGTTTAATCGCTGCAATTGCGTTGTTGGGGGCGCGGAGTAGCGCGGTACCACTTACTGCAAGGGGTGCTCCGTCGGTGGATCTCGGATACGCTGTTTACGATGGGACTCTAGACAGCCAGAACGGAATTAATATCTTCAAAGGGTAACTCACTATGTATAATATTTGTTCCGCTTGGCTTGCTGAACTTTGCTGTCCAGGATACGGTATGCAGCTCCGCCTGTCGGGAACCTCAGATTCGCGGCTCCCCAACCACCCAAAGAAAACAGAACTGCTCCTATTTCGGCGACAATCGACGGTCCTGCCTGCCCGCAGACTGGTGCAGGTAAGGACACACCTGCCGCGTATGGGTTCATCTCTGCATTGGGGAACGAAGATTGCTTGTATCTGAACGTCTATGCGCCCTCCAATGCGACCAACCTCCCCGTTTTCTTCTGGATCCGTAAGTCCCCTGTACAATACTACAACACGATAATTACTGATCACTTTTAGATGGTGGTGGATACGGTCTCTTCAGTGCTCAGGGACTAGATCCAACCGAGTTCATGAAAACGAATGGAAATGGCTTCATATCTGTGATTATCCAGTACCGCCTCGGCGCCTTTGGATTTTTGTCCAGTGAGGACGTGAAGTCCGATGGCGCCCTCAATGCGGGCCTTTTGGATATGAACTTTGCCCTGAAGTGGGTGCAGAGGCATATCAAGTCGTTTGGTGGCGACCCTGCACGTGTGACGATCGCGGGAGAGAGCGCTGGTGGCGCCGCTGTCATGTATCAAGCCATGGCATACGGTGCGACACAGAACGTATCCCTGTTTAACAACGTACGTTTGCGACTAAGGATACGCCGTCTCATGGTTGACTTCAGGAATCACTTACTAATGCACTAGCAGATCATCGCGGAGAGCCCATGGGTACCAGCGCAACATAACTACGACGACGAAGTTCCCACTCAAGCATACGAAGACTTTGCCGAGGCTGCAGGTTGCGCAAACGCCACTGAGACACTTCAGTGCCTCCGCAACAGCGACAGCGAAGTGCTTCAGAATGCCAGTGCGAAAGTATCAGAAGCCAGCGCTTTCGGTAGCTTTGCCTTCCTTCCTGTTACAGACGGCTGTTTCGTACAAGATCTCCCCTCTACTCAGCTAGTATCCAAGTCCCTCAGCGGGCGACGTCTTCTCTCCGGAAACCTCGCGAATGAGGGCGTTCCACTCAGTCCACCTAACACCACAACCCTTGAGGACTTCCGTGACTACGTGTCACTCACATTTCCTTCTTTTTCCGCGGACGATAAAGCCGAACTGGAAGACATCTACTCCTACGAAGGCGACGATCAAGACGTAGATCCATCTGCACCAGTATATGATACAGACGGAATCGCTCTCATCACCGCGGTCAACCAGTCGACATTTGGTACTGGCCAGCAACAGCGTGTCTTTAATGTCTTCGCGGAATCAACTTTCGTTTGCCCTTCATATTGGCTTGCTTCTGCTTTCCCCCAGGCTTGGAAGTACCAATTCAGTGCTAACCCTGCGTATCATGGCTTCGACCTTCAGGCCCTCTGGTCCGGCACCACAACGCCAGGCGCGTCTTTCAAGCATGCGTTCCGTAAGATTTGGGGTAACTTCATCATACACGACGACCCAGCGATCAGTGTTTCGGACGCAAAGGGTGGAGTCGCCGCTTCGACTGTGCCCGAAGGCGCAGATGGATTGATGGACTGGCCAGTGTGGACCGATAAAATGCCGGTGCTGCTGAACCTCAATACTACGGGCGGAAATGCGACGTACCACCCGGTAACTGAGTATCTGAAGTACTACACTTATTCAGATCCTGGAGTGGTCAATGTAATCACTGTTGCTGATGCAGATGCTTGGGAAGGTGGGAGAGGGGAAAGGTGCAAGTGGTGGCTTGAACATGCCGAATCGGTACCTTACTAAACCGATCTAATAGCGAAATTAAGGTTTCAATTCATCTAGTTTGGGAGACTTATTACTACACGTGCACGCACGTTCAATCTAACTTTCGATGAACCTTGAAGCGCGGCCGAAGGTCAATCAAGCACGTGACTGGATGTTGGTGGCCCTGCCGAATAGCGCGATTTAATAGTCGGTCCTTCCCCTCTGTGCTATCTCCCAGCCACGCCATCAACCTTACCAACCTTCCTGGTCTACTACTGTTTTTTCAAACTCTGCGATAGTTCTCCGGACATACATATGCTGCTTCTACCTTTGGCTATTCGAATGACTGCGTCGGACCGTGCCGGAAAGGGCAGTCGATAATGCAAACGCTGTTACACAGAGGACACTCCAATTTGATGCAATCTAGAACACGAGGGAGGTGTTGATCGCAGCGCTAAGCAACAATCCGACTCTTTCCCAACAAGAGGGGCAACGACGGCTCTGATGATGCAGAGGCAGTCTGTTCCGGATCTCCAGTACTCAGCCTGGCCGTGCATTCCAAGTGTGTCGACATGACGTTGCGTCGTCAGGATGATCGGGGAACCCGAAACTTTGAAAAACTCCCATTGCACCGATTAATCAGATATATCATTTCCCGTAGCGCACGCCAATTGCGAAGACTGTTGTTCCCAGACATCCCACAGTGTCTGAAAAGGAGCGGCCCGCAGCGATGCGCCAGCCGACCGCAGATGGCCCCACCACCGTCCGATATGTGGCTGCGCTCCCATCCAACGTTCTGACGAATGGCGTAGGATGCATGTCTACCTCGAGCTCTGACTTGTCAGCAATTAGCCCACAATCGCAGCGTGAAGGAGGGTGAACAGGGATATTTACACTAGCGCAATCCTAGACGGCGATGATACGAAACCCTGCATTTCAAGAATCGCCGAAGCGCCCGCCATATCCAAGTTGTACATCCCTCCACATCTACTGCGCGATTCGTCAAGTCTCACATCTAGAGGCTTTCCTGGGCGCCCTGGCGACTTGACGCCAGCGTCGCACAGAAAACATTCCGACCATAGATGCATGCTTCTTAGATCTAGGCTGAAAGTGGAGCGTGCCGCTGTCGCATATGCATACAACTGCTGGCCTGTTGCTTTTTTAAGCTCGGCCGACCTGACCAGCGTTGCGACCGGACACTCAACCGCGGCAGATTAACTGGGCATGTCATCAACCCCTCCCTTCTTGGTCCATATAGCCAGCGTGCTACAGTCTGCTCACCAATAAGTATACTTCGCGCCGCGTTTACTTAACAATCCTTCACGACAATTGCGCAAAACATGTGAAGCGCTCCTAGCAAAGCCGGCCCCCACGACGCCAATCACACCGCTCGAATTCAACTTGCGATCACAGCATGAGCCATGTCAGCCTTCACTCCGGAGGAGCTAGTGTACCTCGAAGCACATAAAGACGAAACAAGAGTATCGGAGATCCATTGGGTGTACAGTGTACCCATCGCCTTCGGAATCCTTTCGACATCAGCGAGGCTCTGGGCGAAGAGCTCGGGTCGAAATGGCATCACATTGGATGACTGGCTCATTGTAGTCGCGACAGTATGCGCCTGTAGTCGTTTGTCACGGGAAGATCTAACAACGAATAGATATGTCTAGTAGGCGAATGTGCCGCCGGTTTGGGCTATGGTATGGCCCCAAGCAGAGAAGGGCAATGACATGGAAGCTGACCATATCAGGACCACCTCACGGTATGGGACGACATGTTATCGTCGTATCTCCACATGACCAGTCGATGGTTCGCAAAGGCGATTACGTATTCAGCCATTTTTATGATTTTGCGCTCGTTTTCGTCAAACTTGGGATACTGGCCTTTTACCATCGTGTTTTCGTCGTTCCGCTGTTCCGCAAGGTCGTCATTGCAACTACAGCCTTCGTTATCGCATGGGGAATTGGTATCACTGTCACATTAATCCTAGCATGTCGACCCATCGAAGCATTCTGGGATACATCCGTCAAGGCCACGTGCCTCGACCTTGTCCACTTTACCTACTTCACCAACATCACCAATATGGTTACCGATGTATGGATTTTTCTTATGCCAGTACCCGTCATCTGGCACCTGCAACTACAGACGAAGAAGAAACTCTTGCTCTGTTTCATATTCTCGATAGGCATAGCGTATGTATCTTCATGCCTCCGCCAGGAGATGATCAGACACTAATACGCGTGCGCAGCACTTGTGTTGTTTCCGCCATTCGCCTAACGGTAGTCCTCGGTCACGGTTACGCTGATTTCACATGGAGCTACGTTCCGCTTGGTGCTTACTCTGCTTTCGAGCCTCTCGGAGGCATCCTCTGCACCAACCTACCTATCATCTGGCACATGTGGCGCAAACAAAGAAAATCGGAAGCGCTTTTGCCCGGATCCTCGCTCTTCCGATCTAAGCACTCGTCGGCAGTAACACCGAGCTCACACGAATCGCGCCGTAGCCGCATCGCACGCTCCCTTGGACTCAGCACTGTAGACCAGACTGGCACCGACAGCCAGGCTAGAACGATGCTTGACGCAGAGGAAGGCAGTTCTGGTTTCGGAGAGTCTAGCACGACCAACCGCGAACGCGCGCTCTTCTTTGGAAAAGTCGAAAGAATTCATACGCAGACACAAGAGATGGCGGAAACCGATAATAGGGCGGACTCAGGCTCAAAGCGAACGAGGAGTGCTAGCGAGAGTGGATCGTCGCGTGGACCTAGAAATCCGAATCTCAAGAAAACCGTGTGGGAGGTAAGAAGGAAGAGATAGCCCCACAAAGCGCGTTGTTGTTTGCTTGTTGGCGCTGTCGATTTTCTACTTTACGCGTCAGCGCGTTTCGCTGAAAGCTTTTCTTTCGTTTCTCCTCCTCGATGATATACCCGGATCTCATGCGCATATTCACGGTCTTTTGGCACGCATCGGACAGGGAATCCAAGGCTTAACTAGTTTTAATAGCTTCTTCACGATTTACGAACATCCCGCGCAAAACAGGTAGAATCTGCGCATTGCAAAAAGACGGCACCATCCGGCTCCTTACACTAAATGAATGTACTATTATCTTGAGCTCAGAATACAAGCCAAAAGTAGCCATACCCATCTTCATCCCACCACGGTAGAAAGCTCCATCGATCCCGCCTAGCCTTCCGCGCCGGGAGCGCCAACACATGTGCTGATCCTCTTCCCATTTCGTACGAACCCACATCGTATCAGTCAGCCACCCACGCATCCTTTCGGCAGTCCGCTCGGAGACACTCAACAATCTGTTGTCGCGCAAACACATCAGCAAGAAGTCCAACTTTGCGGGCGCGTGATGATGCTGTCGGAAGATCTAGTCGCGACAGTGATGACGGCTAAATGGTGGGTGGACGCCTAATTTACACCTTCGTCGCGCATCGGACATGCTTGAACGTGATTTGGCCATTGAAGGCATTGGGTGTGCAGGGGTTAGCGAGTGTTGGGAGGGAGAATTTGGCACGTGAATCCGAGGGTGCCTGTTGGAAAATAATGTCACGCGCCATCGCCAGAAGCGACGTACAAACCAGAATAGGCGAAGACAGCGTGAGTATTGTGCCGGACGAGCGACCTAAACTTGCAAAATTATACTTACCAGGCGTTCCGGCCGGACGTTAAGTTACATTGGCCGCACACTATGTCAGATGTTGTCAAAGCCAACGTCAACCCTCAAGAACCAAAGTTCATTGTGTGGCCATATACGTTGCAGCATAATGCTTTGGTATAGAGATTATAATAGCCGCTACTTCACCCTCTCACATGCTAGGACATACTAATACGTGATTGACAATAGCCAGAACATATTCAGATATCGGCAGCCGTGGTCATCAAACCACTCCCAATTGCAATGGACGTAACTCGTCACCCAAATTGTCCACGATCCCGTTTCGAGATCGTGAGGCCGATTACGGAACGACCGGGGCAGAACAATGACGGTATATTCGTTGTGGAGCACGTTACGACTGGTGAGTACTGTGTAGAGAAGCGACTCAAAACAGCCGATGTTGCCAATGGATATGCTCAGCGCGAGATCGATGTCCTGTCGCAGCTCAGCGGGCATCCAAATATCATACAACTGGTAGATTACCAGCTTAACAACGACCCTCAACTGCAGGAGTGCGATCTATCCGCGAGGACATGGACCGAGTACTGCGAGTATGGGAGTCTTAGAAATGTCGTCGATTATCTCCAAGATTCCGGCAACCCGAGGTTGTCCGAACCTTTGCTATGGCACATTCTGGCAAGCCTTGCGGAAGCGGTGCGGTATCTGCAGCAAGGCCCCAAAGAATTTCCTTTCTTATCCTGGAACACAGTTTGCCACCGTGACATCCACCTCGGTAACGTATTCCTGGCCGCTGAACCTGCCGGTAGTAACTTTCCTCGCGTGGTCCTCGGCGACTTTGGATCGTCAACTACAGTCGCTCATACTCTTTTTGGCTACAATAGTGAATGGGCAATTTCATGGTTCGAGGAATTCTTCGCGCCCCCAGAATTCCCGTCGTACTATCCAGAGTCAGACATCTATCAGATCGGGGCGGTCCTATATTGTCTTATGTACGGACAACATTCGCCGTATTATGGTACCGCACCGCGTTTGGTGCATGGAAAGCGCGGATATTTGGATCACGACATATGGGTGCGCGAGCTGCAATTTGATGCTCCATACTCGGACGCTCTTGTCGATATCGTCAGTGCTTGCCTGTGCGGGGACGTGTTCTCGAGGTGTAACATCGATCAGCTCTTAGAAATGCTTGGGAAAATCTAACCGTTACATCATTCTTAACCCTTCGATAAGCAGCATTTGAGACGCAGGAGTCTTTTAGAAACTCTTGAATCGTTTTCACTCTTAGCAGGGTAAATCCATAGTTGTGATATAAGAAGTTAATATGGACTACTATTTTCCACCCACCCTAAAGTGATGGAACTGCCACATTCGAGCTTGCCATCATCCCATTCCTCGCCTCAATCAAGCTCTCAAACGCGAAAGTCTTTCTATTACTCTGTCTTTCGGAAACAATCCTGTCTATGCTTGCTACTAGCACTTCTGCGCTCGGTCTCTGTGCCGCTTCTCTGGATAAGCACCATATGATCAAGCGCTTGAGATCGGTTGATATCTGTCGTCCGCAGGTATTCATTTCGTTGAAGAAGTCGGCAAGGCTTTCTGTGGGATCGGTCTCGCGCATACACAAGCACAGTACGACGAGTCCGACTTGGTAGATATCGCATGATGCTTGTACCAAATAGCCCTCGGGTGGCATGAAGTCTGGATTTCCTGGGGACAAAATTTCGACCGTCGATTCTAACAGGTAGTGTTCGTCCGCTGCGCATCCGAAGTCGCCGAGTTGAAGGTTTGGGTATGTGTGCATGTCCGTGTTCGAATGCAAGAATATGTTTGTGGGTGTGATATCCCGATGCACCACTCCCGAGTTATGACAGAATTGCACTGCCGCAGCAAGGCGTTCGAACGCATACCACAAGAACGCTTCGGGTAGATGTACGCCTTGGCTTGCATAGTTTTCCACAAGCTGTGCTAGCGTTCCTCTGTCGCAAAGCTCCGTTACCATCCAAGGTATATCGTGAGGGTGTTGGCAACCATCTGCGAAGTCTAATAACCGCACGATGTTCGTATGTCCTGTTTTGCCTTGTCGATTCAGATTCTGCAGAACACAGATTTCCCGCATTGCGTTGCCCGGACGTAAGATGTCAGGCGGAAGCATCTTCAAAATGCACCACTTTCCCGTCGAATTTTCCTGAACGAGTTTAATCCCTCGGTTCGTGCAACTATCGGAGGCATGATTGTCATGGTCTGAAAGCGATGAGGCAATAATCCAACGGTGGTTCAAAACGGAGCCTAATTCAAATTTGCAGCCCGCCCGCCGCCTGATGCAAATCTCTTCGAGCATGTGGAGCGAGGCGTCCTTTTTATGGCAGCGGGGAAACGTCGGATATTACCCAGGGTGTGACAGCGAAGAGTGACGTGATTGAGGAAATGGTGCGTAAGCTGCTATATAAATAAGAACTGGAGTGAAATGAATCTTTGCTTTTCAGATCAGTGCAATAGTTAGAATAGAGATGTGAAAGTTCGTGCGGGGGATGCGCATCATCTACTGGTTGACAGGGGAGTATGTTGGTGTGTTTGAACAACCACGCTTCCTTGTTGGTAGAACTTTAACTTATGGTGGATGCATATTTACAGTCGCGACATAAATGATACTTCGCGCTTCAAGCATTACAAGATACATCAGACTTCCCGAATGGTCAAAAGTATTTATCGAAGATTTGATTCACGAGCGGAGAGCTGAAAGCTGCTCTAGGGCTGTAGGCGGGGCTAGCCTTGCAATCGCCAGAACGGGAACTAAGCATTGCACATACCCAACCCCGAGACTAAGTTGGTTGGAACCGCAATTAAACCCAAAACCGGTGCTGACACGCATGATGCAGCCTTGTAATCTGGAAATCCAGGTGCGCAAGAGACTAACTCAACAAAGAATACAAAGATAGGTGGTCGGAAAGTCAACTGAGAGATTGACAAAGAAAGCATCTGCTGTTGTTCACCAAGGACCATGTGCGCCAAGCGTAGCCCACAAAATTTCCACGATGGGTGCCTTTAACTTCTCGCGACTCGATCGGTTGACTGCTAATCCTGAAAGCAGAATCAGCGGTTCCCGCGATAGGCTCGATGATCCAGCGCTGTGTAGGACGTCCCAATTGTCCGACGTAAGGGCTTGTTAGTCATTAATCCCGGAATGCTGGTACAGCGAAAGGACAGATTTCGTCTCACGTTCACCCACCAGCTGCACTACTGTCCTTTTTCGTTTACATTAACGTTATTGAGACACAAGAAACGTCCCTCATACAAAATCTCCATGCGCCATGTACCATGGCCCAAGCCGGTGATGCACTACTGCTGAGTGTATCCACATTTAGCCTTCTTCGGAGTAGTATCTTCTTGCCCGGGCCATCAACGTCAAGATACCGAGCGGGACCAAGAGGCATGATACGCAAAGGGACGTTTCGTCTCCCATAGGTTGGATCTGCCAATGCTGACCGGCCTGCTCCATGTGACCGGTATCCAGAGTACCGTTGACATTGATGACGTGGAGTAGGAAGAAGCAGTGTTTCCGTTCTTCAAACGGTACTTCGTGTTGGGAATGAAGGGCACCGCCGGTAGTCGTGCCGTCAGACTCGCGACATTATTTCGCTTCCAATCCCGATGGAAAACCTCCTCATCAGACTCCTCAGATAATCTATCGCCACGATACACAAACTCACGTACAAATTCTGCGTATCAAACACTCGTATTCAACCCAGTCTATAAAAGTATCCCCTTCGAAACGAAACCTCGGCTTCCGGAGCCATCGTCACAACCTGAACACCCGGCTTAGGCAGCCCTACTTCAACGCAGTCGTGTTCAAAGGTCCCCATCGATCCGCAAAGGGATCGTAACTGGCATTCGTCCACCGGGTGTACTCACTAACATCTGCCACCCACTGACTAACCTCCTCGCCATACACACTGCTCAAGAACGCATAGCTCACATCCACGCCCGCACTCACCCCGCTGCTCGTCCACACATTGCCATCCTGCACCCAACGTGCGTGCGGCACGTACGAGACGTTGTTTCCAAAGGAAGTAGCCCATGCCCACGCTTTCTTGTTAGTCGTGGCCTTGCGGCCGTCGAGCACGCCGGCCCGCGCAATTATGGTGCTGCCGGTGCACACGGAGATGAGGTGCTTTAGCGAGGGATAGACCGTACGGACAAAGTCGACTTCATGGGAAACGTCTTTGCGGGTGCCACCGCCGCCGGGCACGAGGAGGACGTCGAGGGGCCCGGGAATCTTGGTGCTCGTGTGGCACGTGCTGTTTGTCGTGCTCTCATCGATGCTGGTGAAGTTGTTGGCGGCGGCGGCGAGGTACTCGGCGATGGTGATGGTGGGCGGGAGGGCCATGCCGAAGTCGATGCCCGGCATGGGAGGGTTTGTTGTCGAGGGCGTGGAGTTGACGCTGATGATGGAGAGGTGCATTGGGCCCGTCAGATTCTGGAAACCCATGGCGAGGCCTTGGAAAACGTCCATGGGGCCGAACATGTCGATGGGGGTGATGGAGGGCGTAAGGAGGATACCGTAGTGTGTGGGTACTGCGGAGCTGTTGGCGAGCCCTGGTCTTTCTTGGGCGAGAGCGGTCATGGGCACGGCTGCCAGCAGCGAGGTGTAGAATGTCTTGCGCATGATGGCGGTTGGGTTTGGAATTTTGGGTTGATCGAATGGATGTTGTCAAGAATAAGACGATGAAGTGAAGCAAGCCCAGCTCGTGCGATGCGCGAAACAACGTGAGGATGTTAGTGGATGTCTCACACCATCACTCCTCCAGCCCAGCTTTATAGAACCTTGAAGATGACTCTATATTGCACTCCTCGACCCTGCGCAACAATGCCCAGTCCGGTTCCAAGCCAACCGTGTCGCGATGCCCACTACATCCAACCTAGCGTGGGCGGATGTTTACAAACCGCGCGAAGTTGCGCGAACGCCCGGCTCTCTGCCATGGACTCTATTGGTGGATCGACATCGCGATAGATTACAGGCAGGGCGTAAACGCAAGGAGCCGAAGCGAGAGCCTACTTGTTCACATGGCTGAGCACGTTTGCGATGGATACTCGTGCGAAAGCTGCGCGCGGGAGCGGTCGGGGTTTGTGTATTGTGTTTGACGACTGAAGATTCGGTGATTGTCGGAGGCCCCACGGGAAAAGGTTGCACGGGGGCCAGGGAGGTGTTTTGAAACGGGGGGAGTTAGTAGGGCTGCTGACTGACAAGACTAATGGGGATGGGAAAGGATTCTAAGCCTCAGCCTTGCGCAGCTGTACTGAGAAATGCATCGCTGATGCTCAAGATTACGCCTGCACTTAGTCTCGGTGATCATAAATGGTTGTTTCACATCTCCGCATTTATTTTGCTTTCTGTCTGCTCTCCTACAAGACTATCATGTTCGATTTTTCTGCTCGCAACATCGCTGTAGGTCGCTAATATCTTCACAAACTTTTACTATGCTCTTCGTTTACACCAGAATGCCCTCAGCACGCTCCTGCTGCGGCTCTGTGGGAGCGCCCTGCTCGGCCTTGGACCAGCTCCTGCCACCGGGACCGTATTGCAAGCGGTCCGTCTCCACGAGACCATCACGGCCAAGAGCATCAGGGGTCCATTTCGCGCTCGTGATGGGGTTGACATGCAACATGTACATGGTATCGATCTCCTCGAGGGAACGGCCCTTGGTCTCGATCATGAAGAAGTAGACGATAATGGCGAGGACGGCGCAAGAAACTCCGAAAACTAGACCGTAGAAGTAATCGATCTTGTTGGTGATCATGGTACTGAAGAACGAGATCAAGAAGTTGAAGAGCCAGTTCGAGGCTGTGGCGAGGCCCATGCAGGTGGCGCGGTAACGGGCAGGGTACAATTCACCGACGATGGCCCAGACTAGCGGTCCCCAGGTGGTTGCGAAAGCGGCAATGAACAAGCAAGTGAAGACGATCATGATGTTGCCTGCCTGCGGGGTGCTCGTTGGGTTGGCGTGATCCAGCTGGTAGTGTCCGACGAAAGCGTAGATGAACAGGCACACGAACATCCAGAGGGCACCAAAGATCATGGCCTTCCTCCTGCCGACGTTCTCAACGATCCACAGACCGAAAATCGTCGCAGCGACATTCACAGTGCCCAGAATGATGGAGGTGACATCTAGCAGATATTAGCATGTCTCGCGCAAAATTTTTATGAGGAAAAACGTACAGCTGTTCTCAAGACCAGTGGCAGAGAAGATGGTCGTTCCGTAGTAGAAGAAGTAGTTGGCACCAGTCAACTGCTGACCAGCCTGCAAGATCATACCAAGGAGCGTACGGTAGAGCATACGAGGACCAGTGAAGATTTCGTGCCATGGGTGGTCGCCTCCGGCCGACTCAGCCTCGAGCTTGTCCTGGATCTCCTTGATCTCAGCATCGATGAAAGCAGAGTGCTCTGCTACACCATTGAGGCGGGCCATGTTGCGACGCGCTTCCTCGACACGACCCTTGCGGTATGCGTAACGTGGGGACTCTGGAAGGAGCAAGATGGTAGATCCGAGGATGATAGCCCACAGTGCTGAAAGACCGTTGGGAATACGCCACTGGGCGCTGTTTTGGTACTGATCCGAAGTTCCGTAGTTGACCATGTACGCAGTCCAGATACCCATAGTGATCAGCAACTGGTAGGACGAGACGGTGGCGCCACGAATACGCTTGGGGATAGACTCGGACTGGTACATGGGAACGACAGTAGACAGCGCTCCGATACCGAGGCCGGCAGTGAAACGGCCCATAGCAAACTGTACCCACACCCGCTCACTCGTGATCTCGATGATCACGCCGACAATGTACCAGAAAGCAGCGCCAGAGATGGTCAGTCGGCGACCAAAGGTATCGGCAAGAGGTGCGGAGCCCAAGCATCCAAGAAGAGTACCAATGCTGACGCTGTGTTAGTTCCAGCTCTTGTGGCGGGCGTTTGTGCAAACCTACCATAGCAGACCAACAATGGTTCCTTGTCGCACGGCGGAGAATTCTCCGTTCTCGCCGAACCGCTCGATGAAATCGGACATGGCCAGGAACCCAGAAATTTGACCGGATTCGTAACCGAACATGAAACCACCGATACTGGCAACAGCTCCTAGGACCACTGCAACGAACGGAACGCGTCCTTGAGGAGCCTCCACCTCAGGGTTCGAGTATTTCCTGGGCGGCGTCTGCGCAGGCGTCGTCATGTTGGAAGTGTCCTTCTCCGCCACCTCGTCGGTGGACTTCTTCTTGAAGAAACGCATGATGAGAATTCTATGAGGGTATCAAGCGATATGCGATTAAAGTAAGGTAAAGAGCAAAGAAGCTGTGCAGAGAAGGATCTAAGGCACCACCTCCTGGGGAAGAAAAAGCATGGGGAATGGAGAAGAAATAGTTTGGGGTTTTGTTGACCAAGTGCCGCTACCCATTGTCCATAGCACGCGAGCATGGGTCGACCGGCGGCTGAACCATGATTCGGCCGATGAACAGTGGAACTTGCCATCATTGCAGGTTGCGTGACTAGACTAGCAATTTCCTCACGATGGTAAATGGCTCGCTCGAGCTCGAGCCCTGCATCTGGGCGTGCATCGGAAGAGTGGAGTTGGCCAGCCAACGTGTTGAAGATGGCGAGCCTGTCACGGGGTTTCAATCAACGCGGGGAAAGCTGGTCCTATCTCCCAGACTCCTATCCTATGTCCCATGGGGTTGGAAATTCTGGTCTGACACAGTGGAGTTTCGCTCCGTTGTCGTTATCTTCATAGCAGTCCAAACAGACGCAGGCTGACAGCCGATGTTGCCCGAACGAGATATCGGACAGAGGTCGGAGGTCGGACGATGTGCCATGAGGCTCTGCGGGACGTTCCTCGGCGTACCCGTTTTTCTCACACCCTTGTCCCTTTGCGATCAAGAATTTTCGTCTTTGTCCTCCGAAAGAGGGTCCCAGTGGGCCGAGGTGGAAACATTTGGGAAGCTTCAGATTGCGCCGTTTCCGTTGGCGCAATAGCGCGCGTCTCGCTACCAAGATTCGGCAGGCAGCCGGTGACGTTGAGGGTTGAGAACTAGGGATGCGGCATCATGGTCCAGAGTGCAATACCACTGAATGGACAAGCAGAGCGAATAATGGCCCTGAACAGAGGTGTGCTCACACTCACAGTGTTATCACGCGCTTCGATGTGGTGTGAGGTAGATTGTCGGCTCTTGGCCAGGAAGGGCTAGCTGTGTCAAAAACCTAAAAGCGGGCCGACCGATCCTTAGGCCAGGGCGATAACTAGACGCTGTAACCTGCGTCATCGTGCTTGTCGAGGCGACGTGATGGGTCCTTGAAACGGTGCTAGTGGGTGCAGCTCGCCACTTTCTGCAAAGTTCGTGTGAGCGCGAGATCGAAAGACTATTGCCGCCCTTGCTACTCCTGAGCATTTTCATACTACGTCACTGCCACGATGCTCCCAGGTGTAGATCGCGGATTCCGTGCAACTAAGTATATCGTGAACGAACATATACCGCCGCGCGGGCAGTACTCCAAGACAGGCGGCCAAGGAAAAAAGATGTGTTCAACCGCTTCACAATCATGCTTGGCGCACACGGCACTGACCACAATGTGGGCCCGCTTGCCTTGCGCCACATCCTTACCCGCAGAGCCGCATCATCACGGAGTCCGGATATAAGCCCTTGCACAATGCTTGATGCAGGTGATCAATAAGGCTCCTAAGCAGAGCGCTTTCTGTTCACGAGACGAGAGGACTTCTTAGTCCAACTAGACGCGCTTGATCTCTCGCAGCGATGGACAGTCGAGAAGAATAATCTGATCCTTCTCTGCTATCTAAAAAGGCTTTAAACTATAGACGTTTCTCAGGGGCTCCACTTGAAAGTTTCTTAAAGAGGCTATTTCCGTCCGAGAAAAGCGCCGATCGTAAGCTGACAACCAACTCGTTCCTCTCTCCACCAACACCACATGTTCTGGTCGAGCCAACAGTCCTTCATAACTCAACTGTCGAGTTTTTGCGGAGCTCGCTTCTGGTGACAAAGCTGCATGAGAGTCTGACGGCCGCAGAATTCCGGTAGAAGTTTTACGTCTAGGTGGTTCTGTTCGAACAGCCCCGCCACTCCTGAGACATTTGAGGACGGGGCGAAGGTTTGGTAGTGAGGCTGGATCTCTGTTAGTCTGATCAGGCCTGTCCTGCCCGTTGTCACTTACTGGACAAGTGGGCTAGATTGATCTCGACTATTGCCGCAATGGCATGGGGAGTATTGATCCACCAAAGCTCCTGCGAGGTGGCATTGAACTGGGTCGCTAGAATCAATTGTACGAGCGATGCGATGCACACCCTATGACTGTCAGATAGACGCTGAGAGCTGTGTTTTTATTACGGCCTACAAGCTACCGGAACTGAACATTGCAGCAATCGCAATCTTCTCTCTTCTAGCCCTCTTCAGCCTTCGGATCTCGTACCAGGGTAGCGCTACGATACACACTTCTAAAGCGAGGTGAACTATCTGTGAGTCGAATTGATTAGCAAGTGTAGCGAAGGACAGTGCGAAGCGGTCTCCGCCTTCAAGTCACCCACTGTGGAGACGTCAGCATATCGATCGCTACTGTCCAGAGTATTATTTATCTACCTGTAGTGCTATAAAAGAACTGGGTCAGGTTGATACGGCAATGACCGGGTTCCTGACGGTTCCAGAAGTGCGAGATCGGGGTGCATACAGCCAAAATAACGACACACTAATGGCTATCAGTCGCGATGACCCAACTGCGCGGTAGATTCGGGAGGCTTACCCGTGCAAACATCCACCACACAACACAACCGACCAATAGCAGGATCCAGTATCGGGTTGCAGACTTTCCGAACAGACGCCATTGCAATGCTAGTGCCGTCATTTTGGACATTCCCATTGCAGCGGTATACAGCCACATATCCGGGTACAGGAAAAAGAAGTATTCGTGAGCCATGCTGTCATAATTGATACTGCCATCGTGCTTGCGGAGGGCTATATTTTCACGCCGTAGGCCGAGGCCAAATTTGAGTTCTACTTTGTCAGACATGACGCGACTCTGACTATAGAACCACATACTGATCAAGAATAGAATGTTGTAAGCGGTAACAAAGAACTCCCAACGTTAGTATGACGCTACCCGCGGTCGGGATCTTTGGAACCTTACAAATGCAACTGCGGAGACCCAGTCCCCAGCAATGAACGGAACACCATTCCATTTCCTAGCAAAGAACCTTGAAAGAAAGGCGATGAGTGCAGCTGAATAGGTGATCGATATCGCAGCTCCGACATTGGGTTGTAGAGTCTCCATTTTATGGAAGTATGCTAGGCGCCAGGAAACCTAAACCATGGACAAGGATACTCTTTCAACGGTACAACGATTGACGCTGTTGGTACCCAGCGCGCTATCTCTTACGCACATGCGCCTAGAAATTGTGAAGAGTCCAACTCGAAATTCACAGTCTCTCTGCGCAGAGTTCAAGTATATGGTACAGCGTAGTGAATATCGCGTGCGTCACAGGCATTGCTGTGATGCAAAACCCATTCACGCGCGAGAACCAGTCAACTGTAATGCATTATCGCCCGATATCTAATAGCTTTCATATGGCGTGTTCATTCGGTAGCAGAGACAAACATATTTCTCTTTTTCTTGACTGTCATATGCTTATGGTCACGCACAGACTCTTGATAGGCTGCCTGTTGCGGATTGGGCCTAAAGTTGTATTGATGGCCGTGCTGGCTTGCTTTGCACATCGAACACTCTTGCCACTGGCTGCGCCTGTATCGGGATCAGAACCGGAGGGCTGTTCCACGAGTGTAATCTGAACATCTGCTTCTTCCCAAATCCATGGCTTCCGGGGCAATGAACATGGGTTGCCGCTCGTCAACGCGTGGTCAGCATGACATAGGTATTGCCAACCAGATTCTATCGCGGAATGGAACCCAAGAGCATAGTCATTGATCTTCTTAAACCTGGGCATCGGAAGGCGTTTGGTGGTTTCCAAAGCCTGTAGCCCCTCTAGTGAAATTGTTTGGTGCGTCATACGGTGCAGTAATGAGTTCGCCAGCTGCGTATAGGGCATCAGATCATCTTAAGCGGCCTTTTTCAAGCTAAAGTTCAGTCGCTTGAAATTTCTCTGAGCTTTCGCTCATCGTGAAATTGCGGCCTTCCGGATGGACCCAACTTCCAACGTTGGTTGAAGGCGTCGATCGTTTTGCGCAATTCATCGATGATAGGGATGTACAATTCATACGGTACGGTAGCTTATGCCAGGACGTTTTTGCAGCTTGTCGTTGAACGGGCTTTCTTTCCATCGCCCTCCGCCAGGATCTGGGAGGAACTCAGACATGTCCCTTTATTTCACTACACCTACCTATATAGTCCGTGAGTAGTATGGTGATGTGACACGAGTTGATTGAATAAACAGCAAAAAGATGCAAAGCGTTTACACATATCGTCTTTTCGGTTCGGCGAGTGCGTGTCGGATTCGTGGTGCGAGGTCGTGCAGCTCGTCACGTCTGGCAGGCACCACCATCACCGCTATCACTGGCTCATAGTGTAGGTAGTGTTCGAGCACGGTGTTGGCCTGATTTTTCTCCACGTCGTGTAGTTAACATTCGATGTCTGCATCACGCGCAATCCATCTGCGCGTGCACGACATTGGCAGCGTGTTCATCAGCCTTACCCAGACGCTGTACTAATCGTCACTGTATGCGATTGAGATCTCAACAGAGCGCATCGAAGGTGAATTCGACCGATTCGAAATATGGGCTAGTAATATTGCCGCTCATCGCAGAGGTCGTACAGCCTACGAGAGTTGGCTCACCTCCAAGACGAAACAAACAGCCTGCTGACCAACTTGGAACGGTCGCTCAGACATCTTAAACAGCCTAGTGCTTTTCTGGAATATCTCCATGCTCATCTCACTAGCTGTGGCTATCATGAATGGCGACGAGATGCCGTGGAACGCGCTTCGGGACAACGACAGCGAGTTGGATTCAAGCAGCAATGCGTCTAGCAACGCCGTGGAAGACTCCGAGCTGAAACAGATTTTCGAAAGCAAATGATCTTCGCTTACTTGCCTATTCAGACTTTTTATGGTTATAAGAGATCTTGAATCGGATGATCGTCTACAAAACACAATCACCGTCGACGAAACCCATTTCGAAGAATACGACACGAAAGCCAAGTACTCAATTGTGCTGGTTACCTGGCCGAACGACTCGGTCGAGCAATGTCCGTGCGGCGGCAGTACCTCAGTTATCGGGAGCTGCATCACCAGAAGCTTATGTCTTTTCACCAAATATCGAAAACACAGACGAATTATCGGAAGTAGAAATCACCAGCTCGGTGGATAAGGCTGCTAATGAAGCGGAATCGACAACTGACGGGTGGTTGAACATTTCTGGAGATTCTGACGGCCTTGATGAATTGACCCTACGTCATGCAATCGTCGATCGACGAGAGGCAATGTTTTGTCATGCATGCAGTAATGAGTGGTATCGCGATAAGTATGGTTTAGACTGCCTAGAATGTGGGTTAAATTAGACCTAGATTATTGGAGCTTCTGGTTACAAAATCACTACGCTGACGATCCAATCACAGGGTTAGGGATGCCCCGATTGCTGCAAGGTGGCCTCCTGCTTAATCTGAGCTCGAACACGATGCCGCTCCTCTGGACTCAGGGTGGCCAACGCGGTCCATCTGAAGGCACGTTAGGACTCCCCACCTCTTGGGATGTCAGTGGGCAAACCAATTTCCGTAAGTGCATCGCGTACTCTGGAACTGACTGGGTGGCAATCGCTTCGTATATGGCCACCAAAACCCAAACGATGGTAGAGAATCAGTATCTCCGGCTTGTTAATTGCGGTGACGAAGACCTTGGACGAGCGCCGATGGAAGGTGTTGAGAGACGTAGGAAGGGTGTTGACTTAGGCGTGGCTCCCGAGCTTATGGCTCGACCGAAAGGACGGGAATGCATGAAGCCCACTATCGTACATGATATTCCGAGACGACATAGCATAGCGTCGCGACTGGAAGCCGTGGAGTTGATAGCAACATGGCGAAACAACATCCTTAGTTCACACCTAGTACTCCTTCTCAGAATTGGAGATGCTCTGCTCGCCACAGGGTAGACCTCTCTGACGCAAGGCCAGACCCCAGCAAGACGTGACTTCTAAAGAGCCCACTAGTAAAAGAATTAGCGCATCAAATGGATCTAGCCACATTTCAGAGCCGTGACGGAACAAGTGAGCATTGCTTACCCTTCAATTGACCTGGAGTCTCAGAAAGCACGGATGTAGGAATTTAGCTGCGTCGCTGAAGTACTAAATCGCCTCATAGGTCCTATCTATCTCGGAAGCTTTCCTGCCTCTCACAATCGATGTTTGGGATGTGCATTGAGAGCCTAACGTCACCCACTGTTGGTAGAAAAGCACTGTTTGTCGAGAAACAAGCGAGGTACCTATCTTCAAGCACTTCAATCTCCGTCTACACGTCTTGATAATGCGCTAGTACTCTTATATTTTGTGCTCTAGCTATGTCTACACACTTTGAAGTCGTTGTCCAAAAATTACGCACACCTTACAGCGTTCTTGCCCATCTTGCAAAAAGACTCGTTTCATCCTATAAGCTATTGTGCTCTTGCCTAAGAGCCTTGAAGGAGGCGCGACGCCCACTTTGGGAACGGTGCCATTTGGTTCAGAAACAGTGGTATTGCGGTCCATTTCCGATCCACGGCCACATGTGTGGTACTGTATGGAAAACAGTGGTAGATGGGGAATTATTACGCCAAGCAGTGGTAAGGCGGTCTTTTGCCGGAGAAAATAAGCCCACCGACCGTAAGCAGACACTGCACTCTGCGTCCAATCAGAAGCTGATAAGAATACTTAGCTCACGGAAAACTTCGAGCCTAAATTTAGCAGCCTGTGGCTTGCCTCTTGGTCTCGCTTGTCTTGGATTGGACTCCTCCTCTAGCCATGGCGGTGGATCCTTGGGATAGAAGCAGAGTAGACTGGGGTTACATCTTTGATCCTAAGCAAGCCGACCCGCTCGAGCGCCTGAAGACTTTCCTGGAAACGGGTGGCGACCTGCATGCAATCTCTGCAAAATCAGAAGAAGGCAATGTATTTCAGCTGCCATGTCTCCCCGCCGCAACGAAAATGAGGAATGCGGCCGCAGTGTCATTGCTCTTGGCTCACCGCATAGATGTGAATCAAAAACTATGTCGACTTCATTACTTTACGACATTCGAGACCGCGATCATGGTTGCCGCGGAACAAGCAGACTGCGAGATTGCGGAGATTCTCCTGAGCCAACAGAACGTGGATTTGGACGGCTATCATTATTTCAGCTCGAGTGGAGTCATGCTCAAGGCTGCCGTAAGTGGCAGACGACGGATCACGGAAATGTTGTTTGACGCGGGTACTCCACTCCTTCCGACAGGAAGAGAAAAAGAAAGAACGCCATTTCAGGTTGCGTGTAAACTTCACTTCCCCGATCCATTCTGGTTCTATGTCATGCATGGTCTAGCTCGGTTTAGAGAGAATCGGGAGGAACCACCAAAGCCCGAAAGCCCTCCAGTTTGGGTCCTTGACTCATTGTCTAAAATCCAGCCCGGAAACGAAGTCATAGCGAGGCTGGAAGCGTCCTTGCTAGAGCTTGTCTTTCCAGGAACACAGCAAAAACCTCTTCATGTCAAAGAACTTTGTCAGAGATGTGAAGTTCTTCCCTCAGAAATACTTAGGGCACGCGAAGAGAGACTCGCGAAATGGAAAGGCGATGCCCTTTCATTCAACTATGGCTTCATCAAACGATGCGAGATATGCAGAGTAGAACTTATGGATCACCGTCTTCTCCCTGAAGAATTCAAAAGAGCAAGAGTAATTGACCCAGACTCGGAACGTTACGAAGCGCATCTGTACAACAATGAAGGTAGCTTCGCTCTTATCCAGAGCTTGTTTGCCGAAGCTAATGAGCACAGACGATCTTACATGCCTGCGAAAGGTAGTCAAGGATGAGGCGCTGAACACTACGGGCTCCCATGGAGTGTACTCTTTCGCATTTTATTGGCTCCTTCGATGCTTAAAGAGCCATCCTGAGTGCACAGAGAACGACAGAATTCCCCAATTACCTAAACGCGTAATCGATGTTGGGTCCGAGGACAGCAAGGATCCTATACATATACACGAAACAATCCCTGAACAAAAGGGATATTACCTGGCCTTGAGCTACCGCTGGGGTAGGGATCCAGTCAAGTTGCTGGAAGAAAACCTGGAGTCTTATAAAACTGCCCTTCCTGTTCAGGATCTGTCCCAAGTCATCCAAAATGCCATTGAAGTTACTCGGAAACTTGGGATCAAGTACCTTTGGGTTGATGCACTATGTATTATGCAGGACTCAAAGGCTGAGTGGGAATCAGAGATACAGTCGATGGATCGAGTTTTTCGTCAAGCCCTTCTCACCATCGCTGCGAACGTTGAGCCGAGTGGCGGACGTACCGGAATGTTCAGATCTCGAGAAAGCCATAACAGCTCTGGGAACGTGGGTCTCCGTGGCCCCGGCGTTCTGGAAACACGCGGATGGACACTTCAGGAGCAAGTTCTATCTAGACGAATGCTCATATTTACAGAAGACGAAGTTTACTGGACGTGTGTTGGTATCGATGCCTCTATTTCAGAGCCGGCGGGTATCAAAGCCCGTGACATGGGACCTACGCGCGAAGGTCAAGTGCGGATGCTTCAACGGTATCTCAGAGGCTTCGGTCGGGACGATCGATTCTTCCTGAGGAACACCTACGTGGTCTGGCTTACACTCGTCACCGAATATTCACGCCGTGATCTGACGAATGGTTCGGATCGACTAGCCGCACTGGCCGGGATCCAGTCAGCCATCGGGACGATGCTAGGAGACGAGTGCGTTGCGGGCATTTGGCGCAGTCAGTTGGGAGCCCATATGCTTTGGTGGATTGGCGATGAAACGGAGCCGGTATCATACCTGCACAACAAACGATACTACCCTTTCCATCGCGATATAGAGCCAACATTCAGGCCGGCTGCGGAGTTTGAAGCGCCAAGCTGGTCATGGGCCTGCATGAGCGGCCCCATATGGTATTGCAGGCTCCAGGATCGACTAAAAACTCCACCAGCGTCGAGCGATGACTTGGAAATCATCGTGGACGTTCACTCCGTCTCTGTACAAATCAAGGGGCCGTCGAAGATTGAAGGCTCCGTGACATTGACAGGCTCATTACTCAAAGCCACAGCAACAATCAATGATCAGGACGGACGGCCATACCTGCACGCTGAGGCTTACTGCGCGCCATGTTCCAGTCATGGAACGCCTACGCAGCACGGGTTTGTAGTCAGACCCTGGATGCCAGACACAAAACCTCCAGCTGAAGGTGATATATTCTGCTTGCATTTAAAGAACGCTTTCCAGCAGTGGTCCGTCTGCCTCGTTCCTACCGGCAATAACCCGAAGGTCTACCGACGCGTTGGTGCCGTCATGTGGCGAGATGGTCATGACTCGGATCATATATTTCCTGCTGCTCGACACCCTACCGCTCGACACCAAAATTTCGTCGACATTGTGGCAGTCGAACGTGGACGTGACTCGGGATCCTGGCGATTCAAGAAAGATGGTCCGCGATTGTACCCACAATCATGGGCTGAAACTCTAACGATAGTCTAACAGAATCAAATCCACTCGTTGACTTCTCAACTGTTTGTTCGACAATCCCTATTTCCCAATACACCCACTAGCTAGATGCCTATATCAACCGTGAGTTCATCTTTTATGTTATGGAATCTGTAGCGGTTATTGAGGTAATAATCCCACACGTCAGCTTCTGTAATACATTTCGGCTTATGGAGCTAATTCATCCATCAAATGTGTCAATGTGGTCAATAACAGGAACACTTTCATGTATATTTATGGTTCCCTGGGCAACGATACTGGGACTGTTAGTGCGAGCTCTACGATGTTACGTATCCTTACTCTATAACCGGCTGCTCTTCCTTTGCTATAATCTGTTAAATCCAGAAGGATAGCTAGCCCCAAAGGGTTAAGGTTGGTTCTCGGGCAAGACAACTGAGGCAAGGGAAGGGGTCTTGTTGATACGGTAGTATCCTGCGAAGTATAACGAGTCAACAATATGGTCTGAGTGTAATCCAAACGATAGATTGATAAACAGGTTGAACACGAGTATGAGGTTTGATACTCGCGTTCCTATATAGGACATGTGACAGACTTGACAGATGCTGTCGAGTCTGTGACAGACCTGATAGCTTCTGTCATGTCTGTCGGTCACGTGACCTCAAGGCGCCGGCCTCTGTGGCCGTCTCGTTTGACGCCTCACGAACGGTATTACGATACATGTGAGATCCCTAGTTGGATCCTAACAGTATCGTCCAAAGCCTCTGAGGAGTCGTAAAACATTGGTGGTGACAGCTATGCAGGGGTTAGAAGCTGAGATGGTTTCAGAGACTGCAAACAGAATCATCAACAGCATACTTAGAGCCATGAGAATTTTCGCTTTACAGACTAGCTATAGGGAGAGAAGTAGCTGAAAAAGGCCCCTAACTTAGTTAACCATAAAACTATATAGTTATGTTACAATACCTTATGATGTTCGGAAGCTCGGTTCATTTTGGCGTGAGGTGTTTTTCGACCAACAGTGACGGACGTTAATACTGACTCCAATCGCCCGGGTGGACGCGTCACAAAAGATTGACGTGCTGAGTGCGCCTTGAGAGACTCATCCGCGTACCGCATGATCTAGTGTATATTGTACATGCTAGGCTGATTAAGACTGTGGAGCGGCTAATGAAGTACCTCTTTCACAAGCTACTAGGCTTGATATAGCCTGAGCAGCTAGATATATCGGTCTTCTAAGCTATATATCAGCTCCTAATTGGCCGCTCGATAGTCTCAACTGAGCCTAGCATGTACGATATAGACCAGATTATGCAGTACACTAGTGCGCGATCAATCTGCATTGACCAAAAACAACAAGCAATGTTTGAAAGTCTGACAGGCAAATCTACCGGAGGGGAAGCGACCGCAGCTACCATGCGGTCTATCGCTGTTGCAGTTAGAGCATTCGCCAAGCGACTCAGTCATTCGTGGGACGTTACGCACATACGATTTCAGCTTATCCCTTTCGGTGCTCGATTTCAGGTTTGTGACTTGGGACTCGTTCTTCGCAACTCACCTGTGTGGCATGCATTTCATCAACATTTGGACGTCGCCTCGCCAACTCCGGCATCACCATCAATCAAAATCAAGACGCTGTGATCATATACACTCACATGCCACGACTGGTGCCGCTCTCAACATAGCCTGCGGTCTGTGCGGCTTGATTAATACCGAATCGGGGCGACGCCAGCATAGCCCACTCCTTTTCTACACAGCCTCACGGCTCATTGCGCACGTGAAACAACATCAGTCTACTTTCTGCTGCCCCGAGTACGAACTAATTGCATGATCATATTCCTGCAGACCATGGTACCCAATGAGGACAGCCGTCTGTGTCGCGAAGTGTTTACCAGTCGACAATTTGCAGCCCCGCGTACCCGCCTTGAGACCTCGCGGTGTCTGTGCAGGTTCGTTCCACACCAGTCTCGTATTGGCGCGTTATAACTTTCAGATGCTGTGCGGTTCCCTTGCGTTTGGAGAGACGGCTGCTCAACATATACACAACCTGCTACAAACACTTTCGTACTTTGCATAGCCCAACATTGAACTCTTCGTCCCGACTGCATACGCTGCTGCCCCAAGTCGAACACGCCGACATTTGTTCGTACAAACGATGGTAGTAACGCCAACATGAGCCTCTTAATCCGACAGATATGGGCGCTCATTCGCAAGAATCTGCTGTTGATATGCTTGCGACGGCCGATATTGACATTCATACGCGCCGTAGCGATTCCACTCGTTGTAGTCCTTGTACTCTCGTATACGAAAGAATTCTTTGCATCACCGCTTAAATACGGAATTTCGTCTCCGCACAATGTGAGTAGCTATGCAATAGTGAAGGCTAAGCTTCCACTAACTGTGCCCAGACACGCTCGCTCCAAGAAGGCTTAGCAGTCAGCGACGGTCGTGATATCGTGGGTTTCGTCAGCAATGGAATGCAAGGCGATGTCTCCGAACTGATCGATGCACTGTCGAAGACCATAAAAGATGCTGGGAAAACCCCGAAACAGTTCAACAGTACAGAAGAGCTCTCAAAAGAGTGTGTCTCCAACGGGGTCGATGGTAGTGGTCGGAAGTGCTTTGGTGCTATTGTGTTTCTGTCTTCACCAGAACAAGGAACCGATCAGAGCCCGAAAGGAACCTGGAACTACACCATCCGTGGGGACCCCTCCGGCGGGTTCACAGATGTTACACAAGATCGGAACAATGCCGAGATTTACACCATTCCCCTACAACACGCTGTAGATGCAGAGATTGTTTCGCGCTCGAGATCCGGCCAGGCTGGGTCGTTCCCACAGACAAAAACGGTCGTATATACATCGCAGAACCAGCAATCTCTGGACAACTCGCGAACGAGCAACTTCCTAGCGCTCTGCATATACGCCTTCGGTGTCTTGTACACCTTCACTCTCATTGGCATCGTCTATCATATGACGTCTTTTGTCTCCCATGAGAGAGAGCTTGGCATGTCTGGCTTGATTGACGCCATGATCCCAGGAGGCTCTAATATCCGAGGTCGACTTGCGCGTCAAATTGCGACATACATCTCTTTCGCTCTGGTCTACCTTCCGGGCTGGATAGCAGTCGGTGTGGTCGTCTCCGTGTTGGCCTTCCCTAAGACCTCGCAAGGCATTCCTGTTGGTTTCACCATCTTTGCTGGCCTCGCATTGACCTCATTCTCCTTATTTGGTGCTTCGTTCTTCAAGAAATCCCAGCTCAGCGGCTCCATCATGGTAGTCATTGCATTGGTCTTCGCTGTGCTTCCTCAAACGCTCTATGAACAGACCAGCGTTACTTGCGGTATCCTAAGCTTCTTGTTTCCTTCGGCGACATACACCTACTTCATAACGGGCGCAGCGGTGTTTGAATCATACGACTTGAAGATACAGATGTGGAGCCAGCCTCCAGGAGAGATAGAGAGCACCCAACAGTGGCGCTTGAATATTGGCATCCACTGGGTTTTCTTGGCCATACAGATCCTAGTGTACCCGATTCTGGCATTCCTCGTGGAACACGTACGCTTCTCCACGGCATCGCCATACAGGACCTTCGCACAACCGCCCCACGAGCGGGCTCCAACTGTCACATTAACTTCGTTCACAAAGACATATAAAGCGGGAATCATGGGAAGATGTTTCAAGCGTCGCAAAGATGTGAACGCTGTCACTGACATGAGCCTCAATGCATATCGCGGCCAGATACTCTGCCTGCTTGGGCCCAATGGTAGTGGAAAAAGTACAACTATGAACTGCATTGCAGGGCAGCACAAAGTAACATCCGGTACCGTGGCCATCGACCCTAGTGGCGGTCTAGGTTACGCACCCCAGAACAATGTCATATGGCCAGAACTCACAGTCGAAGAGCACATTCGCATCTTCAGTGATCTCAAGTGCATCTCCAAAGTCAATGACGAAGTCGTTTCGGAACTTGTCCGGATGTGCGATCTCCAGAAGAAGTTGCCATCGAAAGCAAAGACACTCTCTGGTGGGCAGAAGAGAAAGCTTCAGCTTGCTATGATGTTCGCCGGAGGATCTGCTGTATGCTGCGTGGATGAAGTTTCAACCGGTCTCGATCCCATCTCGCGTCGCAGAATCTGGGAAATCCTTCTAGCGGAGCGCCACCGACGGACCATCATCATGACCACGCATTTCCTTGACGAAGCTGACTACCTGAGTGACAACATCGTCATCATGTACAAAGGCACTTTGAAGGCCGAGGGCACGGCTGCGGCTTTGAAGAACCAGTTCGGACGCGGGTTCACGATCAAGCTGCCCGAGAACATCGACGTCGAAGTACCTTTGTCTGGAGCGATCGAGAAAGAAACGGCGAGGCACCAGGTAGTATACCGAGTTGCGACACCGGCCCTGGTCACAGAGTTGGTTGAGCATCTCGAAACAAGGGGAATTCGCGACTACCAGATCTCCGGTCCTACCATGGAAGAACTCTTCTTGAAGGCTACCGGTGATACGATTGAGTCGACTGAGGCCATCACATCGAAAGACAAACAAGCAGACAATGCCGATGAGATTGATGAAGTGGTGCCCGTCAAAGCCGTTGATGAACACTACGAGCTCATGGACGGGCGACCTATATCCGTCATCAAGCAATGGTACTTGCTCGTCGGCAAGCGATTCCGCATTCTCCGGCGCCGTTATATCCCCTATTTCGTAGCTGTCGCATTCGCCATCGTCGGAGCCGGCGTTGCGCCTCTTCTCATCAAGAGCTTCAAGGAACCCATGAACTGCCCAACACCAGCGGACCTCTTCAACGATTACAATTCAGCATGGAGATCTGATCTTTCTTCCAACTACGCCACTCCTCGCATTCTGTTCGGTCCTCCCGACAAAGTGAACGACACGCGCCTGGCGCAGATCGCGACGGTTTACTCTCACAACAACACGGGATCGGCGGGCTGCGATTCCACCGTTTCTTATTGTTCCGACTACGGCTACCACAACACTTCGCAAGTGAAGGACTCTTTGGTCATGGTGAACACGTACGAGGACTTTATCAAGAAGATAGAGCTGTACCAGAACTACCAGTCCGGGACATACGACTCCAGCAGCCTCCCCGCCAATTTTTCATTCAGAGATACCAGTGTTGACGGCGGAATCTGGATGGGCGATGGCGGTGCCATCGTTGCCGCCAGCATCGCATCACCGGAGAACGTCGCCATCATGCTGAATTTCCTCGACAACATCGTCACAGGCGTGCCGATCGCGACGGGCTATTCCGCCTTTCCAACAGAGTCGGCTCCGCCGATCTACGACGCCCACTCGCTTATCTTCATCGTTTACTACGGCTTGATCATGTCTGCGTACCCAGCGTTCTTCGCGCTTTATCCTACCAACGAAAGGATCTCCAATGTCAGGTCGATGCAGTACTCTAATGGCATTCGTCCGCTTCCGCTTTGGCTTTCACATCTTGCTTTCGATGGCATCTTCGTCGTCCTGATCAGCTCGGTGGCCACTGGCTTGCTTTCAGCTTCTACCCCAGCGTGGTTCGGCCTCGGGTACATCTGGATCATCTTGGTCCTGTATGGCCTGACCGCGACCCTTCTTTCCTATGTCATCTCTATGTTCGCCAAGTCTGCGGTGACAGCCTGGTTCAGTAAGTCACATCCCAGCAGCTCATTGCGCACCCATGCTAATATGACCACAGTGATCGCGCTCGGCCAGGTAATCTTCTACTTCGCGTACCTCGGCGGCCTCATTGGCGTGCAATCTTCCTACTCCTATTTCAAAATGGAGTCAGTCTTCAACAGCCTCTTCTTCGGCCTCGGCATCGTCTCTCCAGTCGTGTGTCTCGAGAGAGCCCTCACAATCGGGCTGACACAGTTCGCCGCACTGTGCAACGGACACAGCGCCGGCTCAATCTACCTCTTCGGCGGCCCAATTCTCTACCTCCTATTGCAGGGCGTCCTCCTCTTCACCATCCTCCTCTGGTGGGACAGTTCGTTCAAACTGCCTGCCTTTGGGAAACGCAGCGCCGCCCACGATCCCGAGGCGACGGAAATGTACTCCAAAGACCTGATGAACGAGCACAAGCGCCTAGCCTCGGACACCTGCGATCTGCGCGTGGCCTCCGTGTCCAAGACCTTCGGCAAGAACACGGCCGTCGACGCCGTAACCTTCGGCGTGCAAACGTCGGAGATCTTCGCGCTGCTTGGTCCCAACGGTGCAGGCAAGAGCACCCTCATCAGCATGATCCGGGGCGACCTGGCGCCCTCGACGGCAGACTCCCAAATCGCCATCGCGGGGCACTCCATCCTGTCGGCGCCCGTCGCCGCGCGCGCAAACCTGGGCGTGTGTCCGCAGTTCGACTCGGCCGACGTGCTCACCGTGACCGAGACACTCGCCTTCTTCGCGCGCATCCGCGGCGTGCAGGACATCGCGCACAACGTGACCACCGTCATCGCGGCTTGCGGCCTCGGGCCGTGGGCGCACCAGCTCGCGCAGAAGCTGTCTGGCGGGACCAAGCGCAAGCTCAGTCTCGCCGTCGCGCTCGTCGGCAACCCGCGCGTGCTGGTCCTCGACGAGCCGTCGTCGGCGCTCGACGCCAATGCGAAGAGGAACATGTGGCGCTGTCTGCAGAACATCGGCAAGGGCCGCGCCGTCGTGCTGACTACGCACAGCATGGAAGAAGCTGATGCGCTGGCGGACAGGATCGGCATTGTATCCTCGCGCATGCTGGCGCTGGGCGAGCGCGAGGACATGAAGCGTCGAGCGGGAGATTCGTTTCACGTGCATCTCGTGTCTGCGTCTGCGCCGCGGACGACCAACGCAGAGCTGCAGCGGATCAGGGAGTGGATCGCGTGCACCTTTGCGAACGCAAACGTCAGCCGCGAGACGCAGGGGGGCCAGGTGCGGTTCGAAGTCCCGGCCGAGGGGCGGAGTCTGGGGGGCTTGATAGCGCTGCTGGAGCGGGAGAAGGACGGCTTGGGCGTTGAGTTCTACACAGTTGGGAAAGCAACTCTGGACGAAGTCTTCGAGAACATCGTCAAGCGGTATGGGGAGTACTCGGAGAAGTGAAATGAGATGATCGTTCCGCGAGGTCGCGTTGGAGGCGTTTGAGATACCACAGGAAATTAAACAAACAAAGTACGGTAGATGGAATAGAGTCATTACAACCTTCAACTATGCTATCCGCAACCGTCGATGTTGGGGACCAAGCCATTTGCGTTTCACATGTTCGGTGCCATTCAACTACAAGACAAGATAAAACACCGTATCGTGTCGGCGCAGATTACCGCCACCACAGACAATGTCGCTATATGTACATTTTCAAATCGAACAATAAAAATAAACGTATCCTTCATCCTACTCTCTTCCACTCAGATTCTCTCTCCTGGTCTCACACCCATCAACACAGCGTCCAAACCCCCGACTCGCACATACTCCTCCCCATCCAACATCCCTCCCCTAATATGGCGCCCTCCCCACACTCCCTTCGTCCTGGTCCCCATCAACATCAATACTATCCAAAAAGCCACTAAAATCCGGCTTCCCCACCTTTCTACTCCCACTTCCATTAACAAATCCATTTGCGCCTCCCCTACCTCTACTCGCACTCCTGTCTTTCACACTCTTCCCCGCACTCGTACGCACGCTCCGGCTCTTCCGTACATCAACACCCCCATTCGCCGGCCCCGGCGCTGTTTTCGGCCTGTCGGCTGCAGGACTGAGACTCTTGTCGCGCAGGGAATCTGGGATGGGCGGGACGGGCGGGACAGCATCTCTGCTGTATGCGCGAGCGCGGGCAGTGTGCGCGTTGTTCGGCGAAGGCGGAGATGCGGGTGCACCGGTGGTAGACGGTGGGCGCGTCACCGTAGTCGCAGCTGGTATGGGAGAGGGCTGGTTGACGGGCTGCTGGGCGGCGCTGTGGTCTGCGGTGACGAAGGAAGCATCGGAGAGGCTATGGACGCTAACCAGTGACTCGGACGCGGAGGAGTCGACGGAGGAGGTGTGGTTGCGGTGGCTAGGGGCGCGCGTGGAGTACGAGGTGCGTGGGGCAGAGCCGGATAGCACACGCTTGAGGTCATCGACGCGCACGGTGGAGCGGACGGATGAATTGTTATCAGGGGTTCGGGAGGGGCTGTGGTGTCGGTGGGGAGAGGCGACGCGTCCGACGAGGCCGTATGCCATGGAGGGAGGTCGGCTGTGAGCACGTCGTGGGGAAGGTACGGGAGAGTTTGTCGCGCTGTCGAGGTTGCCATTGGGGATAGTCACGCCGAGATAGTTGCTCTTCGCTGTTCGTGAGCCTGTCATGGAAGCCGACGAAGGGTCCGTGGTATTCGTTGCGAGACAAGTCTCCTTACTCCAATCGGCCAGCAGATCTTCCTTGACTTTGTACGAAAGCATGAGGGGAGGTGCGAGCGTCGCAGGTGCAGTCATTGCTATCGACATGGAGCGACCCGCCCCAGACGATGAGCGGGGGCGACCAGGTGAGGCAGGCGGGCTGGACGGCGGAGAGCGTAGAGAGTCGGCGTAGCCATCTGCAATCTTGTCGACGAGTGCATCGCGGTTGTCGAATGGCTTGAGGGCTTCAGTTTGGACGAGGTCAGCTGGCAGCTTTACCGGCTCTGCGTGGGGAGTTTCGATCCGGTCAATAGGCATTGGTGGAACGCGGATGCTCTTAACCCACAGGCCCTTCTCGTTTCGCCTCGAAATCTCGGAATGGATAATTCTGCCGACCGTGGAGGTCTCAAAGTCCATCGCGATGCTGAGAGCCCACAGATAGCCATGCACCAGACTGCCTATCCGTACTTTTGCGCCAGGGTTTTCGATGGTCGCGATGTCTTCTTGTAGCCGCAGAATCATGGGCAGACCCGTCCGAATAGCATTGACCCCGAGTTTGTTCACCAGCGTGGTAAGTAGCAGCTGAAGCAACAACAAGTCCGGCTCCGAGTCGACGAATTGCAGGGCATTTTCGTAGACTGCGAGGTGCAGCAGAGCCAGGAACGTGTTCTTTCCTCTCCGGGGAGAGTTTTCTCGCTGTGACGCGTTGGACACAGCTCGCCTCGCAAGCACGCCCCTGTCGTTCTCCTTCTCCTTCTTGCGATAGTCATCGACAAACTTCAAGTCCTCCTTCTTCTTCTCAAGCGTCAACCAGGTTACCAAGGCGTCGACATAGCTTTTGCGAACTTGGCCACTAGGATCGCGCAGCAGCCACTGCGTGCCCTCCCAGGCTCTGACGCTCACCGAGGCCCGCGGCACAGACGCCGACGATCCATCCGGTCTCCGAGTATTTGCGGTTTTGATGATATTCTTCACGGTCTCCAGCGCTGTCAAACGAGCCGTCTCGAAAGAGAAGAATCGATCTACGTGCGGCGAGCGCTCTTTGAGGGAATCTGCAATCGACTTGACAGCGCCAGAAGGATCCTCTATCGCATCTGCGGCGGTAGACGCGCCTGCGATACCCAAAGGCTTGAGCCGGGTCAATATCGCTGAGACCATTTCCGAGATCTGATCCGTGTAGTACACATGGACCGCCAGGCTAGCCATGCACTGTTTGGCAGTGTTTAGTAGCTGTAAGCGAAGCTGTGAAGGCTCCTTGACGACTTCCATTACCACGCCGCCTAGGTTCCCAGAAGCGTTGGGTGTTGCGTCTTTTTCCATTACTGAAGTTTCTTGTTGGTGGTGCGGCATTACTGAGGTCCCAGGTCCGCCAAGCTGCAAAAGCAATAGGGTATGAGATATCAGGCCAATTAACACGTCGTTCACGCTGAGGCCGATGAAATTAATAGTCGAGCTGAGGAGGTGGTTGATTACAGTCGCGAGTACCAGTTGTCGTTCGAGGTCGTCTTCCAGGATGGGGCTGCGTACGAGCGCTTCGACGATGCCGACCATGATGGCATATCGATCCTGGACCGGCGCCCACAAGCAGATCATGGACAAGAGCGTTGTCGCCCAGCTTGCGATTCCATTCTCTTGCTCCTGCGAGTTCAAGTGGCTTCCGATGAACTTGAGAACGGCAGAGGTGGCCAGGCGCAGTTGTCCGTGGTTGACGCCCAAAAAGATGTGTCGCAACGCTTCCAGCGCAATCATGCCCGCCTCCTCTTCGGCAATCTTGTCCGCCTCCTCGGTGGTCCCCGACGCAGCGATGGGGTCGGCCTCGTCCTCGTCGGTCCGCACGGTGGATATGCTCTGCCGCCGCCGCAGCTGCTCGCTCCTCTCGTGCTCGTCCTTTTCATTCTCGCGGCTCTCGAGGCGGCGGAGGTAGTCGCCGGTCTCGGAGTATACGTTCAGCAGGATGACGGGCATTATGACGGCGAGCTGGCGGCCCGTCTCGGAGCCGAGCGATTCCGAGGCGGCGACAGCCTTGATGGCGTGCAGGCCGGCCTTGCGAAAGCGGATGGCGACGGGCCAGGTGACGGGTGTCTTGCCCACCTTCAGCGTGTCCTTGGAGGCGAAGTCGGCGTACAGCTGCACAATTTCCTCGTACTGGCGGATGTAGTCCTGGTCGGCGGCGAGGCTGGCGGGGTCCTGGTGGGCACACAGGGCCTCGAAGGTGGGCACGGAGCCCTCGACCATGGCGACATGGTCGGACTTGAGGATGGTGCGCAGGCAGCGCAGCACGGCGGCGGCGTAGAGGGGCAGGTCGCGGGGGCACTTTTCGATGAGGGCCTTGAGGATGTGCAGCGTGACCTGCACATTCCTGGTCTTGTCAGTACGCGTCCTGGCTTGCCAATTGGGCCGGGGGCATGGAGAAGAATGCAACGTACCCCGTGCGGACCTTCCAGACGTCGGCTGTGGTGCGCTTGTCGAGAAAGTCGCCGACCTTCTGCAGCTTGCTCCGTCGCGTGCTCGCATAGTACAGCAGGTAGCTCAGCTCCGACGACTTGGCCTTGACCTCGACGCTGTTCTTGGTGAACTTGGGGTAGCACTTGCGCACCAGCACCTGATGCTTCGGCCGGCACGCCTGCCGCGCGGCTTCCATGGGGCGTGTCGGGGCGGTGGGCGAGGGCCGCGGGCGACGACGGCGGGCGCTCGAGCTGGAGGCGCTATCGAGGAGCAGGCGGCGGTGGTGTCGCGAGCAGGCGTGGGAGCGCGACTACGGCGGAGAAGCATGCGGGTCTGCGAAGGATAACGGGTCCAGGGGCGCGCGCGGGCGGGCATGTAGGGGTGGAGGTCTCGGGCTTATGCTGTGAGGGCTGCCTCTGCGACACGCAACAACGGCCCCATCGCTGGAAATGTAGCCCTACGCTGTGCCAAGCTCGACTCCCTGCAGCCCGTCGTCATCGCCCAAACACCACCCCAATCGCCGTTGCACCAGAGCGGGCCTGCTGCGCGCCTCGGCCCTGCGAGTCCTCTGCGACGACCCTGGTTTGCATGTCCGTTTGGCAATGTCGTGCTGTGCCGCGCCCAGTCGCTGCGCCGTCTCCGTCCTCCGTCGACACCGTGTTGCGACAGCACATCGTCAGCAACCCCGTTCCTGACTCCAACAGGTGTGGCAATCATTCGTCTTCTATACGATGATCAGGAAGTCATTATGCATTTGTTGTGGATCCAGGCACTACCTTCTCTGGGCCGGCATCTAGATTGGGACTAGCACCGCTCGAGGGACGTAGATAATTATGTAGCATCGCCCTATGCCACCACTTATCCCACCGTTCTGGTGGAAATTTCAATACCGTGCTGATCCGCGTACACGAACTACTCCGCCGTTTCTCAGGGCACCAGAAGAGCCAACTAGACGAGGAGAGTGCATCCAAAGCACGCGGAAAACAAATCATAGCTTCATAGCTTCTGCTTGGAACCGACTCTCGGCAGAAAGCCGAGCAGTACCGCAACATTGGATGCCATGTGCCCAATGCTGGGGTCGATACCTCGACAGTGCGCCCACAGACGCTGTTGTACAAGGTAGAATACACGTCACCCCCCAAACACTACGCAAAGATTACTGCCGTGAAGATTTGTGCCCACCCTTTTGCCCTTTTCCCTGGGACTTTGAAAAGCGTTCCCACTTCTTGTCTCTCAGCTTGGACGCATCCTTCTTGCTCGGGACATAATACCTCGAGTCGTTGTCTTGACCCCCCGCGGTCCACGCCTCCCACAGATGTCTCTTTTCTTCGGGGATCTCGTCGGTAGGGTCGCGAGCGTAGCTTCCAGGAGTAAAATTATGGCCCCCCCGTTCGCCCAAGGTCGCGTGTGTTTCTTCCTTCTCGAGTCTTCCGTGCGTCGCTCCCTGGATATCGCCCAGTAGCGACTTGCTATAACTCTCGCCCAAGGCTCTCTCGCACAAATGTCCACTGGTGGAGAGGAACGGTGAAAGGTCAGCATCCCCTTCCAAGTGTCTAGTGTACACTGCGTCATAGTTTTCCTCTACTGCTCCATCAACTTCGGCCTCGAGCTCCCTCTCTCCGCCGCTCATCTTGGCGCGCAGATTTACTTGGCGCTTCGCCTCATTTGCTGCTATATTCTCGTCCTTCTTCCACATGCGGTCCAGGTCGCCCCGCCTGGTGCGCATAGGTGCAGTGTTTTGCTCATGGCCCTTGTTGGAAACTGCGTGAGCGAACCCAGACTTCATCCCCCTGGGGAGCTGCTGTACCCTTCCCTCCTCGATGCCCTTCCTAACCGCCTTCTGCACGTTCAACACGCGCTTCGTGAAGTTGCTCATTCCAAACTCATCCCGCTTCGTCCCGTGACCGAGGACGAATTGTACGTGTCTGCCGTTCGTGAAGGGGTCTACGATCCAGCGCGTCCCTTCCGGCATGCTCTTGTAGATGAAGTCGGGCCGGAGGTGCGGGAAGTGCTTGTACACATAGTCGAGGGAGTCCAAAGGGTCGCTACATTTGAAGAGGATGGCGGCCTGCTTGTCCGTGCAGTGGCGTATGCATATATCGAACTCGACCGGACACCCTAGTTGAATGAACTGATACGCCTTGTCCAGCATCTGTGCAAAATGCGTCATCGGTGTGCCGAGTTGGAGCTTGACCTCGCGCAGCCCGAGCATGTGTGCAATTTCGTTATAGTTGCCCCTAGCGCGTGTCGCCGTTCTGCCACCAACCTCGGCGTGCACACCTGTGCTGAAGGCGTCGAAAACGACATAATCTCTATATCTGTCGGCGCTTCCTCGTCTCTCCAGTGCATCCTTGTTCGGGGGCGTGTCGATGCGTGGCACCGTGCTTGCGAGCCGCAAAATCTTGCCAGGCTTGATGTGGTCAGTAAACACCTGGCCCATCGTAACGCCTTCTGCAACCGTCTCCCGGACCGTTCCTCCAACGTCATTTTCCACATCCTTCAAAATGTTGACCTTGTGCTCCAAGTCGGCGATCGTGGGTGGGTCATATCTTTTGTAGTCGATGATCTTGTGCATGCCATGTATGGTTGTTGCTCTGGCCGTCTTGTATAGGTGAAGCGAGCGACATGGCGGCGACGACGGGCGAACGAGAGGCGGGCGGCGAGTAAGCCATCGCAGCGACAGCACCGAGATGCGGAGCGGCGGCGACAATAGAGGCACGAACGTCGCTGTGAGGCGCACGGTCGGTGACATCAATTGGTCCTGGACGAAGTATTGGGGAGCATGTCAATGTGGTGGAGAAACTCTGGACGGACGCGCGCGCATCGGAGTTACCGTTAGTGTACCGTTGCCGAGCGCGTCTACTCCAGCCTTGTCGCGTGCGCGCTCAGGCCAGCACCTCTGTCTTATATTGCATCACAGTGGACGGGACTATAATATCTACTCTCAAAAAATAATGTAAACAGCCAACATGCCGATTTGACATGTAGGTATCGAATATTAAGGTACCCCGGGATAGTCCAGTCACTCGGAGACAACATATTTATTTCCATCATATCATCGAGTCCACACAGGCGCACTCAGTGCCATAAACGCGTCTTCACGCTCCGTGCCCTGCATGTCCGGCCCAGGAGGAAACGGAATATTCCAATCGATCCAATCGCTCGACGAGAAGATGTTCGGGTCGTTCCACCCGCCTAGCGGTACCGGAGCCCCTGGGTCATTGACATTACCGCGTGGGCTCGCTGGGCCCGTCTGCGGCCCTGGAATGGCGGTCAGCTGACCAAGACCAGCGCTGAAGCCAGGCTGGGATTGAGGGGTAGTCTGGGAAGGACTGTGGTACACGAATCCAGCCATGGCGGACGCGCGTGGAGATGGTGGCTGTGACGATGGCTGTGTGCCAGGCGGCGCGTATAACGACTCTAAGAGATCGCTTTCGCATCTGCGGATGATCCCAGCGACCTGCCGGAGTAGTCTTTGCTCGACGGGCCCAGGCTCACGTTCAGCTGTCGCGAAGAGCTCCTGTCGGACGCGCTCGAGGAGTTCGCGGCGGAAACGGCGCGATTCTTCGGTGGGTGAGTCGCTGTCGTAGTCTACTCATCTATCAGCACAGTACATTGGCTCACAATGTTGGTGTAACACACATGGCGAGGGGATATCGGCGACTGCTACTTCGGGGAAAAGGAGTTGATAGGCATCTCTCCATTTGTCCTCTTCCAATCTTAATGCCGGAGATCTCCTTTTCAGACTCTCAACGGTCCTTCGATCCACACCCTCGATAGGCTGTGGTGCAGAAACTTGACAAGGGTTGCCGCGTAGGTGAACGGCAAAGTCCGAATCTGAGTCGAACATCGTGTAACAACGTGGACAGAAGATAGGCTGCGCATGGGAGCGGTAAAGATGCTCCTTCATCCGATGGACAGTTGGCCATCCCGGACCTCCGCATGTTCGCTTTGATCGGTAGCGATTGGGGTCATGCTTGAAGAACGGACAAGCGAATCGGGGCCCGGTCTCTGAGTCTTCAGTCGTGGTCGTGACTGATACACGGCGTTTCTTAGCGTCGTCTTCGTCCGGGTCATCGGGTGGAAGACTTTCATCTGAGGCGCGTGCTTTGCGCTTCCCGCTGGACGCTTGAGAGGAACGGCTGCCACGTGATACATTGGCGCCGCCTGGTGTCCGAGAAGCGTGACCTCCAGCACACTGCATGTATGCCGCGTGGCCAAGGTTAACTTCGACCTTCCTTAGGATGAGTTCGATCGTTTTAAGTGCCGCCTTTGAAAGCGTGCCAGGTACGGCAGTGGTCCCGTGTTCATCGTCACTGTTGTCGTCGGTGTTGGAGTACATGTCGCAACTTCCGGTAGAGTCCAAAGATACTATTGAATGATTTCTCTCTTTAGGTTGTTCGTTTGGACGGAGATTGTCCTTGGCCCGAAGCTCGATGTTGTCGTTTCGTGAGGGATCTCTCGCTGACTGTTTGGCGTCTACTGTGCAGGGGTCGTCGGTTGTGTTAACGGAAGTCTCAACAGGCGTCGGATTACTTGTGACCTTGATTCTGGGGGTTGAAGCTACTTCCTGTATGATCTTGTGTTTCTTCGCCTGGACGGGGTTCAGTGGCGTGGCAGCTAATCTTTTCGTTCTGGAACATGCGATTTCTTTTACATCAAACAATGCCGAAGAGTCACAGGTGAAGTCAGAGGACGTATGGGGTACTGAGCGAAGATTAATACACGCTTCAAGTCAAGTTGATTACTTACTGTTTGGGCTGACAAAGTCAAGCGGTGACAGTGAGAGTTCTGCGTCACTAATGTATCCCGAGTCCTGAGTCCTGGACGAACTCAGAGAGTCTCGTCGGGGGCATTCTTGCGCAGTTCTGAGTTTCGGCAGCGGAGCAGGCCCGTACGAAACTTCGCTAAAAATTACAGGATCCATAGCGCAAAAGCTCAAAATACAAGTTTCGTCCGTTTGTTATGAGCATATGAGCAAGACACGGTGTGCGTGGCAATGGCGGCCGAAGGTTTGCGAGCGACGGTCATGAGCGCAGATGGTGTTATGTCTGCCTGGAGGATGCCGAATGATGCCTGCAACTGCGCATTCGCGCAAACAGCATGTATCCTCGGCATCTGGCCAGCACCGCCGACTCCGGGCAGCCAGGCGATTGCCACGACATCTAGGCGTGCGGAGCTTAGCCCTTGAGGGACGAGAGGGGCCTACCGTGGCTGTGAGAATGCGGGCGGTCCAAACCGGTGAGCTGTGCACCGCGGGTAACGTTGTGCTAAGATGGATGGGGTAATCGTCCTGCATACAACGCCTTGTTCATCATGACTGCTGAGTGATCGTCGTGCGCTGACTTGATCTATTATTACTGCGACGCTGCATATGGACTGGATCATGACCAGCTTGCGCATTGTTGTGGAACTTGTTCGCACAAGGACAGTCGGCACGATGCGTCACAGCCTTCCGCACTGGTGCACTTCCACGAGTGCCGCTGCACGTGCAATCGAGAAGTCACTAACATGTATGCTACCTAAAAGCTGGGAAAAGGGCGAATGCAGGGTCCATGTCAAGTACTGCAGGGCCTTCTTTTAGATTGCAATGCTCTAATTAAGACTCGACCATACTCTTCTTGCCTTTCCTCTTCCTCTTCTTCTTGCGCTCGCCTTCGTGAATATTGCCACCCCCTGCCTCTGCTCTCGAAACTCCATTGCCATTTACTTCTCCCTCGTCATCCTTAAGTATCGTCTCAAACCCGCCTTTGGGCCCGTCCCCATCACCAAAAGTTTCCTGTCTCCACTGCCTGAGCCTGGCTTTCTTGCTAAGCAGCTTCTTATCCTTCTTCTTCTTGGCAGGATCTCGGAAAGCAGCGAGCTTTTTGAGGCCAGCGAATTCATTGAGCTGCTTGTCGCTGGCAAGAAGTATATCGCGCGGCGTCATGCCGAATGTGGTAGGTGAGGTTTCCCGGTAACGGAAGCCCTTTGGTGCTTTGGAGGACGATGCTGCTAGAGCTGTTTCGTACTGCAGGCTGTCGTTGACAAGGTTCTCGATGAGGCGACGATCACGGCGTGCAGCACTCTTTGCATCTGCGCGCTCCTGCTTGCGTTGTTTGGACGACTTCTTCGATGTGGAATCTTCCTCCTCGTCTTCATCATCAATGTCCATATCATCTGCGCCGCCCTCCGCATCCTCGTCGTCGGTTAGAGTGAATTCAGGCTTCTCCTCATCGTTGTCCTTGAAATCTGGAATCAGATCTTTGATATCAAGGTCATCGTCGAATTTGGGTTTCTTGGTCTTCTTTTTCCTCTTGCCCGCTTCGTCATCCTCGTCGTCATCGCTTTCGGACATGGCATCGTTATCTTGATAATACGCGTCGCCAAAGCGCCTCTGCATCTCCTTGTCCCACTGATCATCCGACCATTCGGCTTCCAAAACATCCTTCCATTCGTCGATGTTGAAATCCCTGCCTTTGAGCCCTCCTGTTTGACGGATCTTTTGGACCTTGTGCTCCATCTCATCCATCTTGAGCTTCCGCAACCGCGCAAGGTCTTGCTCCTTTTCCTTCCTCTCGGCCTCGCGTTTCGCCCGTGCGGCCTCGCGGGCCTTGGCGCGACTGCTCTTACCATCGCGACGGACTGTGGTCTTCGCAACAGCGTCACGGGCATACGTAACGAGCTTCTCGTTCGCGCCCGTTGTGTCCTCAAAGTACATGTTGTAGGAGTGTTCGTATTCCTCAGCCGCAGCATCCTCCTCGGACTCATCCGATTCGAGCGGCTGGAATCGCGCATCGCCTTTTGGTACCCATGCGCGGGAGGCCATGAAGTTCGAGAGAAAGGTCTCGGGGTCCTTGTCGGCGTTCTCGACATCTGCTACTGTGATCTTGACACGCTTTTCGGGCACTGGTGCAGGCTCGGACCTCGATTTTGCGACTAGGAAATCGTCCTCTTCATCATTATCTTCTGCAGCCTCGAGCTCCTTGACAAGCTCTTGGCGAGCTTCCTCCTGCTCCTGTGCATAGGTTGGTCTCGGGGTGTCTTCCTCGTCGCCGAGGTTGCCTTCGAGCAGGTTTTTGGTGTGGTATTGCCTCAGCGTCATAGATGATCCCTTGTCGGCGGCATTGGTAGCATTAGCGGCGGCCTCCTCTGCTGCTGTAAAGAACTTCACTTTCGAGTCGTAAATGCGAGGATCCTTGGACCGCAGGGCCGCCAGGGTAGCGGAGATCTCCTGATCGAGATCTTCGGTGACGAGTTCGCCAGCATCGTCCTCCTCTACGCCTTCCTGTGAGTCCTCCGACTCCTCGCCCGCGTCTTGCAGCGCCCTGCCTTTGCCGTACTTTTCCTCCACTGAGAACGATTAGTGCTTTGCGCATGTGCATGTCGGTGTAGTCACGTACGCCTATGCTGCTCCTCGCGCTTCTTGTTGTGTTCAAATCGCCGTGCATAGTCCTCGTTGATCTTGAGCGACACGGCGCCGTCCGCTTCGTCGTCGCTATCGTCCAGCAGCTTCGTCTTCTTCGCAAAGTGGGTTTTGAGAGTTTCGGCGTCGTCGGGAAGCTCGCGCTTCACGCCGTTGGTCGGCTGCTTGCTTCTTGGTCGGCCCATGGTGCGCGGTGGTTCCTTCCTCAGGGCTTGAGAAATTGTGTTGCGGCGGCAGGGTCGACCCACTAAAAAAAGAAGGCGCCAAGAGTTCGCGCCCGGGGCGGAGAAACCGCAACCGGACCGCGGCTGACGTCGAGGCGTCGAATGCATGCATTGGGGGCGGCAGGACACCTCATTGTATCTGGGCAATAAGCACCCGGCGCCCAAGAAGGCACGACTTTACAACCCCGCCTGCCACCATGTCCAGTAGCCCCAATGCATCATAATAAGGAAATTCACCCACCGACCTGCGCATTTTACCACCCCATATACTTTCGCGACAACGACTGAACGCAGCCATGGCTGAGGGCGCCGCAGCACAGCCTGTGCTGGAGCCCGTCGCAAACCCAGTAGCCCTCATGTATGGCCCGCCACTCCGCCTCGTGCTGCAATATTGACCGTAGACAGCCCCGTAGTGATCAAGGAAGCCGCCCTCGACTCCCCCACCTTCCGCGCGACAGCAGTGCATTTCGGCGACCAGATCGACCTGATCGAACGATGGCTCACCACCTACCTGACGGCCGTCTCGAAGCTCGCGAGCGAAATGGGTGCACTGCAGACGCTTGTAGACGCTTATGTGCAAGCATCACATCCGCCGCTGCAACTATCCGAAGCCATCATCGACCACGACTACACCGTCCTGGCCCTGAAGCGTTTTGGTGAGGGGGCACGCGAGTTCTGGAACACTACGTTGCGGGCCATGAAGCGGGCGGAGACGACCGTCTGCGAACCCGTCCGCGCATTTCTGAACAACGACCTGCGGATGCTCAAAGAAGCACGCAGGAATCTCGACAATGCGCAGCGCACATTTGACGGCGCCATTGCGCGCTATGCCGGCCAGGCCAAGACCAAGGAACCTTCGTCTCTGCGAGAAGATGCATTCCAGCTGCACGAGGCAAGGAAGGACTACCTCAAGATGAGCATGAACTTCTGCATTCTAGCACCCCAGGTGAGGTCGACGCTGGACAGGATGTTGGTCAAAGTTGTCAACGAGCAGTGGCGCGACATGAAGTCTGCGCGTGACGGTTCAGCCAGTTCGTTTGCAAGCTGGAGCGCCGACATAGATCGCGTGCGCGGCTGGAGCAAAGAGATGGAGGATGGCGAGCGGGTCTTCAAGCGCGAGCTCCATCTAGCGAGGCAACAAATTGAGAACAGCGCCGAAGTTGCTGCCCGACCAGCACGAGAACTCGACTCGTACGCAGCCTCGACTGTACCATACCTTGGTACACAGGCACCTTCCACCGCCAATCTCGCCTCACCAGCGAAACCGGACCCCGCCAATGAGAAAGCAGAGAAACAGGGCTGGCTCTTCCAGCGTACCATTACAGGGAAGCCTGCGAGAACTTATTGGGTCCGCAGGTGGTTCTTCGTCAAACATGGCATCTTTGGCTGGCTGACTCAAGGCACACGATCTGGTGCTGTCGAGGAGTCCGAAAAGATTGGTGTGCTATTGTGCGGTATCCGTCCAGCATTCCAAGAAGAGCGCCGCTTCTGTTTTGAAGTCAAGACCAAGGACACGACCATTTTACTGCAGGCGGAAACACAGGCTGATCTTACCGAGTGGATCTCTTCCTTCGAAGTCGCCAAGCGAAAAGCGCTTGAGGATACGTCCAAGGACTCTGGTATCCCCGGATCCATCGACGCTGCCTTCTCCATCAGTCCCCCTGTGGCCCCAGAATTTGCTGCAAAGACCTCGGAAGGCAATGCCGCCCATGGCAGCGAAGATGCTGGTATCGCTGAACGCAATGAAACGCTTGTAATACCAGGTTCTGACAGCCTGGCTGCTCGGGGCAGCTTCGACGTCACAAGGCGTAATACGGCCTTTGAGCGAGAAGACGGTAGTCGCCGAGACCATGCCACGAGGATAATGGAAAAGCTTGATTTGACCCGGAAGTCTACAGTAGGGCCCCAGCTAAGTGGAAGCAATCCTTCTTCCGCTTCTGGTGGCATTGCTAGCCTGATCTCTGCAAGTCTCGCGTCTGCAAGTCATAACATTGTACAGGTTGGACAGATCACTGCTCCCGCGCCAGGTTTGCCAGACACTCGGCTCGTCATGGGCCAGACTCTGCCATTCAGCAGCTTGGCTCCGTCCACACTTGCAAACCCTCCCGCGCCGACCAACCTAAGCAAAGCCGCCGTCGCTGTGAGCGGAGAACGTGGCCTAGGTATTGGAAAATCAGGCAACATGCCCGGAGGTTTGATGGCGAACTTGTGGGGCTCCGTCAACTGGGGCTATGTCAACCGTCTTGTGCGCGAAGATGAACCCGAGTTGCGTGACCGTAGCATGTCGGATCCTCCCAGCCCCTTGCGCCCCCAGCTTGGCTTCGAACCTTTCGAGACGCCCAAGGATGCGCCCTCGGGAGACTCGCCCGCTGCGCATCGCAAGACTATGAGTCTTGGAAGCCAAACAACTTTACAGCAGCGACCGTCTGTTGCCACCGAAGATTTCCCGAATTACTATCCCCTTGCTTTGCGGATGCAAGACGCGCAATTTCGTATATTGTTCCCAACTGTACCCCGTGCGGAGAAGGTCGTGCTTGTATTCCGTGCGGTTTGGAACATGACCGATCAGCAAGAGTTCCCTGGGCGGATATACGTCACGGCCAAGGATATATATTTCTACAGTAACCACATGGGCTTGGTTCTGATTACTGGTGTCAGCATGACATCCATAGACGAAGTAACAGCAGCACCGGGCAAAGACTGTGACTTCTTATTTCTCCATTTCAAAACCGGCACGCGAGAGGACGGTGCTACGCGAATTACCATCAAGACATTCCTCGAACCGCTGAAGCTACTTCTTCGACGCCTGAATTTCTTGGTTCGTAATGCAACTACCGGAGAGCATGGTCTGGAAGAGGTTGTGAAGAGATTGATCAAGATGGAAGCTAGCGAGGACAACTCTCCCAGTGCGGACAGCTGGGAGGAAGTGCCTTCACATACACCAATGGATCCTGGGTATGGAAAGGATCTCAAGACTAGCCTGCGCATAGACGGGAATCTTTTCGGGCCTTCAGGCGTCAACCGGACTGCCAGCAAGTTCAAGCTTCCTTCACAGCCTGTCGTCTTCGCTCCTCAAGGAATGACGCAAGTCGCAGTCGAGAAGGAGTACGAGATCAGTGCCAAGGGTCTCTTCCACATCCTCTTTGGTGACAAGAGCACCGTTTTCCAGATGCTGTATCGAGAGCGGCTGGCACAACGCGTCGTGCAAGGTCCGTGGACAAAGATTGATCAGAATCACCAGCGCCGCGACTTCGAGTACGAAGTGATTCAACCTGGCAAGGTCGGGGCGGTTATCATTAACGACTATCAAGTCATCGAGGTTCTGAATGATCATCTTTGCTACGTCGTCGCTGATAGAAAGATACCGTGGTACTTGCCTGGGCACGATCGTTTCATCTTATTGAGCAAAATTGTCGTTACCCACGTTTCGAAATCTCGCTGCAAGCTCGCAATCCATACGAAGATTGATTGGGCACAGAACCCCCGCTTTGTCAAGAAATTGATTGAACGACAAGGCCTCCAGGACATGGAACTTGAAGCACAAGATCTGTTGGATGTCGTCAATGATCAGGTTGCCAAGCTAGGGCATAACCGTAACACGGGCAAGGTCACAAACATATTTGGTCAAATTGGCGTTGCCACCCAAGCCGTACAGATCACCGCTCAGGACATCCCACCGCCCAATCGGCCACGAAAGTTCAAGTTGCGACCGCAGACGACGGGGTCATTCGTCGCCCAATTCATCGGCAACATCATTGTCAGCATCTTCTCCACCCTAATGAGCTGGATACTCGCGGTGTTCGCAGGACTGGGCAAAGTCATTTCTGCACACAAACTTCTTGTCATCCTGTTAATTATCAGCGGTGGCGCAAACTTCTTCCATACATCGCGCGATTCATGGCTATGGTGGAACGAGCGCAACGCTGCCAAGTTCATGTCGCGGTTAGGTGTTGGGCCTAACACTGTAATGGCGCGATCAGTATACCTCCGCGATCTCGAAGAGAGCTTTGTCAATGTGAACGATACAGGCATCGCACTGCACTTGCCCGCCGATGCAGCGACGAATAAATGGTATGTTTTTCCTTTGAACCCAACCTTCTCCTCGATGCTGACCTGACTCGCAGCCACCAAACGTTCACATCTCTGCTCACGGATCCAAGCGCTAACCCATCGACACCACTTTCCCCCTCAATCCATGCGCCGCGCCGTCTGCACCGTACACGTCAAAACCTCGGTTCCCATCGGCACGATCTACTCGTGGCGCTTCGTGTTGTCAATCGTATTGAGAAGGAAGTTATCGAAGCGGAGTATGAGAATTGGCTCCTCGATGAGACGCACAAGTGTGAGCGTGTGGCTACCATGCTGGGCGAGGATGGGCGAAAATCAAAGGAAGTAGAGGCTTGGGTAAAGGGGTATTGTGGGGACTGCGAGAGCGCGCTGGGTGGGGTCACAACAGGGAGGGGCCTGATATAGTAGCAAGGTGGGTCGCGTGTAGGGCGCAGATACACAGCAATACGGTCTGGGTCTGCATAGCACAAGAGAAGTGGATGCAGGCTGGCCAAGAAGAAGAAGGTTGAGTAATGTTGATACGATAGACGCCGACTACAGCACTTCTGTGGGATCAGCAGTACATACAACGCAAGAACGAAGGTGCAACTACGGTCTCTTGGCAATCACTGGGTTTAGCGCGCTCATGCATGCGACGCTGGATTTTGATGTCGTCCCCCGATTTCCGCACCGATGGTAGCCTCGCTGCAGGGTCCCAAGTGCGGAACTCGGCTGCTTCCTAGCGTCTGTAGCAGGGTCTGGATGGCAGCTCTGCTCGGCCTTGTATTCGGCTCTTCCCTTCTCTAGGCGTCGTAGATGTTGTCAATAATCACGTGTATGGGGCTCCGCTCTCCGCTCTGCGGCAAGTGCTAAGAACCTACCTCGCACTCACATCCCCTCGATATCACCAGGCAAAACCCACCGCAAAAAGTCGGATCACATCTCCAACGAGTCTGGCATTGAGGCGCATGAAGTTTCGGCTGGTGCCGAGGCAAGCCAGCGGTTCGGCGTCGTAGGGCTGAAAGACCTTGCCTCGCTAGCGCCGATGTCGTGATTGTTAGCGGAATTAACGAATGAGCAGATGGCGATGGCGGACGTCAAATTTTCTACACCACGTAGACAAGGGTAATGGGGGTCCCTTTAAAGGCTGCCGGTGGCCGGGGTGGTTTCTGGTCTTCTCGTTGTTGTCGTTGCTTGTTGTTCTTATCGAGGCCATTCGTCTTTTTGGTCGTTCCTCCCTACGCAAACTTTTGGGTTTTGAAAAAAGTGGCAGGTTGCTGGTCATAGCAAATCCCCCGGCATCCGGAAGACAGCCTACGAATACATCTGGATTATTCGAGAGAAGAGAGGGTTTGCCATTGAGGTTTATCCTGGGATACTACTTCCTTCCGACCAGGTGTAAGAATTTTATACTCGTCAGCAACATGTCGTCCATCAACGACGAGCCCACGGGCCCCGTCAAATCGCACTCGATATGGCGTTCTGTGCCCTTCCAGATCATCGTCGCATGCGGTGTATCCTTCACCGCACCGGGCATGTGGGATGCCCTCGGCGGTCTTGGCGCAGGAGGAGCAGCAGAGCCCTACGCCGTGTCTGCTGCTAACGCTCTAGTCTATGGTCTCTTCGCCGTGGTCTGCGTACTTGCAGGCGCAATCAACAACCGCATCGGCCTCAAGTACGGACTCGCGCTCGGCGCCATCGGATATCCTCTCTACGGCGCCGGACTGTACACTAACAATGTACACTCGACGACCTGGTTCATGCTGTTCGGCTCTGCGCTGTGCGGTATCTCCGCTGGATTCTTCTGGGCTGCGGAAGCCGCGATCATCATCGGATATCCCTCTCCCGGTGATAGGGCTTTCTACCTCGCCATCTGGCAGTCCGCCAAAGCCGCAGGGCCCATTGTAGGCGGCGCAATCAACCTTGGCCTCAATGCCAACCGCAAAACCGCCGGCTCCGTCTCCTCCTCAACCTACATCGTCTTCATCGTCATCATGTGTCTTGGCCTCCCCATCGCGCTCTGCCTCTCCCCCGCGCGCAAGGTCTGGCGCAAAGACGGCACCACAGTCGTCACCTCCATTGCGCCGACTTGGGGCGCCGAGTTCAAAGCTGTCGGACGCCTCTTCATTAGCCGGCGCATCCTGCTACTCCTGCCCGCCTTCTTCATCAGCTACTTCTACAACGGCTTCGTCAGCACGTGGCTCACGCAGTACTTTACCGTCCGCGCGCGCGCGTTCTCCAGCTTCTTCACTAACTTTGCGGGAATCTTCAGCTCCTTCATCATCGCGTTTCTGCTGGACAACAAGAGGCTGCACATCAAGACAAGGGGCCGCATCGCGTTTGTCGCCATCATTACGATTTTGGTGGGGACCTGGATTTGGGCGTCGGTCCTGCAGCAGCAGTTCTACGAAATGGCTGAGCCTCCCGTGCACGACTGGTTCACCGGTGGCTTTGGAAAGAGCTATGCCCTCGTCTTCTTTTGGCAGTTTGGTGGTCAGGCGTTCCAGCAGTTCTTGTACTGGCTCGTCGGCCAGTACGCGACGGATCTGTCTAACCTGTCGCATCACACTGGTATTCTGCGTGGTGTGGAGGCGCTGGGACAGACTGTGGCTTGGGCAATGCAGAGCGAGGGAAATGCGAATCACTTTGTGAGCATTGGACTGAACTTTGGAATTACACTATTGTGCATTGCGCCGACGTGGATTATTCTGAGCGAGTTGGAGGGCAGCCATGAGGTGCAGGTTATGGAGGAGGAGGTTGATATGAAACAGGATGTCGAGGGCGTGCATAAGCCGTGAGTGGGGTGTGGTAGATTGGAGGAAGTTTCGAAGTGATCTCGCATGGGTCGGAGTACAAAGAGTGTTGTATTGTTGTATTTCTACGATAAAGGCAAATGATACCCATTTCTATTGTTGTAAGTTGGCAAGTTCGGGCTCTTGGGACGTACATGCACCGGCCTTTGGAGGTTCTCAATCCGCATGAGGTTCGTGTTCTCTTCGGAGCATTCCTACGTTCTCGGCCCGCGAGCCAGGGCCATGTTTGAAGATCTCGTCCGCGAATCTCTTCGGAGAAACGAAACGTTTCAAACTAACGTCGTAGCGGTTAATATGTAACCTCAATAAGCGTAGCTCCCTAACATATACGTACGACCTTCGCGTGTAGTCTTCCGTGAAGTTTAGATTGCCTTGCAATGCAAGACGTTCGGCAGCGCGGAACTTTTGATTACGGAAAGAGATACTCCGCCTGGCGTACCACGTCGTCGTCGATCATGGAATATCTATAGAAATTGCCGCCAGAGCTTTTAGGTTTGTACACCTGTTCCAACTAATCTACATTATTTCATCCTAACTTTGGATACACATTCGTTTGATTCTCATCCTGCAAGTCAAGATGCCTTCCACTAAGAAGGCCCTAGCCTGGGCTCTCTCCTTTGCACCTTCTGCTTTCTCCGCCGCACTACCCTTCAAGCGCGCCATCTCCTCCGTGGTTTCGGGATCTCCTGTTGGCTTCGCGAGTGGCGCGACAGGTGGCGGCGATGCAACACCCGTGTATCCCACTACCATCGCCGATCTCAAGAAGTACCTTACCTCGAAGAACCCCCAGGTGATTGTCATCGATGGCCAGTACGACTTCGCCGGATCCGAGGGTACGCAGAAGGAGCAGGCTTGCAACATTTACTCGTGTACTCCTGAGAATGGCGGTCAGGGCATGCTCAACACGCTCAATGGGTGCACAACCGCGACGTATAACGTCGAAATCGACACCGCAGCGTACCAGGGTATTCAGGTGCAGTCGCACAAGACGCTCGTGGGCAAGAACGGCGCGACGCTCAACGGTACAACCCCCTGTCCTTTTGATAACAAAGCGAATTCACCCGTACTAACACCCCGGATACCCAGGTAAGGGCCTCCGCCTCGTCTCCGTCTCCAACATCATAATTCAGAACCTGAAGATCACCAACTTGAACCCGAAATACGTCTGGGGCGGCGACGCCATCTCGCTGTCTAACACCTCCGACATCTGGATCGACCACGTCGAGACCAGCCTCACGGGCCGCCAGCACTACTCCTTCGGTCAGGAACCAAACCACTATGTCACTATTTCCAACAGCTTCGTCAACGGTGAGACGAAGTACTCTGCCAGCTGCGACAGCCACACGTACTGGGGCGAGGAAATGGTCGGGAAAGACGACAGTATCACGTGGTACAGGAACCATGTGTATATGACGAGCGGGCGGAGTCCCGCGATGAGTGGCGGGACGCTGTTACATGCGGTCAACAATGTGTTTGAGGATAACACAGGGCATCTTATTGAGGGTGGGGAGGCGGGCGCGCGGGGGATTTTCGAGGGTAATGTGTTCAAGAATGTCAAAACGACGCTTGACAGCGGGTTCAAGGGGCAGTTGTTTGGTGCGACGGCTAGCAATGCAGGGCAGTGCCAGACTGCGCTGGGGAGGAAGTGTGAGGCAAATGAGTTTAGCAGTGCGCCTGAGCTGAACAGGGCTGATACAGGGTTCTTCAAGAACTTCAATGGGTTCTTCATTGTCGGGGCTGCGTCCGCGCAGAGTATCCAAGATGAGGTGCCGAAGCGTGCGGGGGCGACATTGTAGGTGGGTGATAGGGCCGTTTCGTTTCTCTTGTATCCTTTATAGACCTACCTTCACATACTAGGCCAGGATGCCTAGCGAATTTCAATCATAGCACGATGGAACTGGAGAGCATTCGCCTCATCGGAAACTATGGCTTATCGATTTCCAATACAACTCTGGGGAAGGTTTCAAGCCTCTTTCCGTCTTGAGCGTACGGGCCGTTTCAAGAAACCAACGCGAGCAAAACGCTATGCACATGTGGTGCTATGAGCTGGGATGGGCCACTCGCAGCACCATAGCACTACAGCATCTTTTTCTACGTTGATTTTTTGAGCACTGAACACAGTACCACAGTATGCTTAGAATGGCAGACTCGGTTCTGCGTTGGAATTCTACGGCTAGAGGGACTCCTTGCTGAGCTAAACCTGTACGGTCCATCTTCCAGAGGTAGAGTTCGATGTCGCGCCGTATTCTTCAAGCTACAATCCGGCATACAGGCCCTGGAGATACACCCTCCACTTCGCCTCCCAGTTACTATCGGTACTATCGGGGGCAAAAGAATGGTGACAATACGCACAGTCGTCGTCAGAGTCGTCGCTGTCGTTGTCGCTGCTGTCGTACTCTCCTTCTTCCACAGCACCTCATTCTCCAACTCCCAATCCAACACATCTACCGGCTTCTTCTCGCCCACACTCTTCATCCTCTTCATCCCGCACGTTGAACGTGCGTGAGTAGTCCCTGGAATCCCTAAAACCCCGCTTCGGCACACACTCCAGACCCATGTTTGTCGCCACCCGCGCATCTCGCGCATCTTCAGCATCAGCATCTCGGGTGTACCCACGCTCTGCGACCAGTCGCGGCTGAGTCGGAACTCCACACTGCGCAGATGGGGAGCTTTCAGTAGTGGACTCGACACGGCGCCCTTGGGCAAAGAAAGACGCGCACTGCGGTTGTACACGAAGTCGCGCAGACCCGCTGCGTACGAAGGTGCCACGACGAGATCCACGAGGTTTTCCAGCGGGCGCGAAATATAGAGCTTCGTCAGCACGTCCTGGGGCGCGACACTACTCCCGTAGTGTCTGTAACGAGAGACCATTCCTGCCGCGCGTGCGCCGCGACCGGGATCTCGAAGAAGTTCGTGCGATAGAAGACGGCTGCGGCCTCGGCAGCCATCTGGGAATCTACGAGGGAGACGGGAATGAGGCAGAAATGGTCGGGGGGAAGCGTGTGGTGCTATGGGTCATCCTATCGAGGGAAGTTCTCAATGTGGATGCGTTACCCGGGGGTGGAGTCGGTATAGAGATGGGCATAAATTATGTTTCGGAGCTCCAAGGGAAGGTACAAAAGACGACTCGAAAGGAATGGAAATTCTGGAGCAGCGGATGGGTGCGCATTGAGGATACGAGCTGGTTCGGCGCCTTTGTTCTGTTCATACAAGGTAGAGGTGTACATGATCGGCTTAGGGATGTGATTTTGCTTTGTTAATTGTTGCGGTCGGCGGAGGGTCGATGGCGGCTTCGACGAGTCCTCCTTGTACGAAGAGGGAGATGCTTGAAATCCGTCTCGCGGTGCTTTGAATCTATAGTCGGAGTACTCCGCCACCATTACGCCCGTGTGGGATCACTTCACAGCCATGATGGGAATGCGATAAGTTGCACGCGCTGAGCCGTGCAGGACGGGGTGCATGCCTCCGACTTTTAAGGTCGGGGTAGCAAAAGTTGACATACAACCGGAGAAAGCTATGTGCTATGAATGAGTGGAGAGAAAGAATTGCCAAAGCCCATTGCCTGTATGACAGAGTGATGAAGGCGTGGTAGTGATGTACTCGTAGGAGGTCATCACACGCGAGTCGGAACGCAGGGTCGACACTTGTCTCTTTCCGGCAGAGCGCAACTGCGAGTTCTACACAGTAGTACATCCGGATCCTGGACAACATCCATCGTTCTATGGACAGGATAACGTTGAGTGCAAGATGCACTTCCATGGTGCAGTCCCGCCGGAGGCAAGATTCTTTGCAGGCTCCACATCTGGGGCACCGCGTGGCGTGTACCGCTCTCATCACCCCGAGAAGCTCGGCGTCTCACCCACAGGGACCACTCTTCAACCCATTTGTACGCTCATATTCATTGGTTCAGTCCAGCTCTCCCCGCGCACAACCCTACCGTTTGCATGCAGATCTCACATGGGACCAATTTGTGGGGTACCGGCAGATCTCCATCGCCTAAAAGGACCCCAGGCACCGCCCAACAAGCCGCCACCCGCCCAGTACTGACGAGTTTCCCAGGCCCACTCGCATGTGCGCTTAGCCGTGTACATGTTTTGCATGGAAGATGCTTTATCGTTATTAGGGTAAGATGCAAGGGTTTGATGGCATGTATACTTAAGAGGTGGACCGCAGAAAAATGTTTCTAAACTGTTCCTCGAAAAGTTGGTCTTGAGAAAAAAGAAGCCTCTTGGCTTGCGACGACAGATGCGCAATGGCATTGGGTATCGTAGAGCCGAAGACGAGCGTGCAGCCGCCCGGTACGGAATATCTGGTCGACACAGCACAGACCAGCGGCGAGCATCAGTATGAACATGCACACTTCAAGCACGGAAAGGGCAAGGTAGGTCCTCGGGTCATTCGCTGGGTCCAGCTCATTGACGACCTGTTCCAGAAACAAGATATTGTCTTAGTTCCCCAACCCTCCGATGATCCGGACGATCCGCTCGTGAGTGAGCCTTGATCAGTGTGCAGTATGGTTTTGACATGTATAGCTTTGGCCGATATGGAAGCGCGAAGCTGCCTTCGTGGTGCTGTTCTTTAACAGCATCATTTTCGCCGCTTGTCCTGGTCCAATGATAGCCCCCGCGACCGTCGCATTGGCAACGCAGCTTGACGTTCCGGTCAAGAAAGTGGCACAGCTTTCCGGCTACCAGCTCCTCGTAGTTGGTGCACTCGGGTGCGATTAAACCCTCTCCTTCGATCAGCTCCTTAATCATGATCCTCGACTGATTGGTCATATACAGCCCTGTCGTATCCGTTCTCGCGGAGAAATACGGAAAACGTCCCCAGTTCCTCTTCGCAAGTCTACTCGGCACCCTCGGTACTGGGATATGCATCGCAGGGTTCGACCAATCCAGCCTCTCCAAGTCCTACAGAGTGCTACTTACAGGACGCATGATTCAGGGACTCGGTACGACAGCCTACGAGTCCCTCGCAGTGGCAGCAATCGGCGACATGTTCTTCCTACACCGACGCGGAATACGTACCTCTCTGCTCGTCTTGACGACCGCTTGCCTTGCGTCCTTTGTCGCCATCTGCGCAGGCCACATGTTCGAAGTACTCGGGGCGCGCAACTTGTTTGTCGTCTTGTTGCCTTTGCAACTTTTTGGATTTGTGTGCTCGTTCCTCTTCATTCCCGAGACGCAGTTCCGACGTAATGAGAGGCAGGGTGGTATGGCAACGGAGCAAAATGGACTCACAGTCCAGGATAAAGCGGAAGCCAGTACGCACTCCATAACGCGGGACCCCGCCATGTCGACTGTGAATTCTACCACTCCGAAACGTACCTTCGTCCAAGACCTGCGCCTGACATCTGGCGTCTACAACCATGACAGCATCCTCAAACTTTTGGGTCGCATCTTCGTCCATCTACTTAACCCCGCTATCGTATGGATCACGTTGGTGGCCGCCATCTTGATTGTACGTAATTTTCATCTTCTTCTACTTCCCCTCTCTTTCTATGAACACATGTTAAGCTGCTAAAATCATGCAGTCCTTCTTCGTCGGCACCGCCTACACCCTGGCGCAGATTTTTTCGCCTCCTCCCTACCTACTCACCGTCAGTCAGAACGGCTACTTCTTCACCGGCGCACTGCTCGGAGGTATTCTCGGGGTGATCTCCGGTCCGCTCTGCGATTTCTCCGCCAAGACTCTTTCGCGCCGCAACAAAGGCGTTTTCGAAGCCGAATTTCGTATCCCCGTTAACATCCTTGCAGTCACCATGCTAGCTGTCGGATGGTTTACCTTCATGTGGGCGCTGGAGCGCCCCACGCTGAAGGGCGGTGTGTATCTCTGCTCGTTTTGCTATGGCGCGGTGTGCTTTGGGACGAGTGTCGCCGGGACGAGCACCGGTCTGTATATTCTGTAAGTCTAATGCCTACCTCTTGTTCTCCTAAATGTCCATTAATCGGTGCGGTAGAGACGCGTTCCGTCCTTACGCCACCGAGATTTTCATCTTGCAGATGATGATTAAGAATTTCCTATTTTACGCGTTCTCGACGTTCATCAATGAATTTGTGGCGGCGCATGGCCCTGCGAATATGGCGAAAGTTTGGGGGATAATCACGGTCTGTGGGTTTGTGACGTGTGTGCCGATGTGTAAGTATCCGGACATGCAGTATGAGACAAGGTATCGGGGAAGCAGTCATGCTGACGAAGTACAGATATGTTTGGAAAGGTGAATAGGTCATGGGTGCATCACATATACGTGAAGTATCTGGGGGATAAGTGAAGGAGTAAGAACTGGGTGCGCAGATGTTTTAAGTGGTGTGATAGACTGGCGAGCACACATGCGAGAAGCACAGGTCCTTAAAATTTCATGCTGGTGTTGGAGACTACGCACGATGTCACCGGTCGAGTTAAATATAGTCGCAACCTTGGGAAGGAATGCCCCACATCCTGGTCCAAGCTTCCGGACTCCAGCGCCGAAAACCACCTGGGCAACGCCTCCTTTTCTTTAGGCAGCATCACCTCCACCATTGACACAATTGCTGCGTCCAATGCGTCGCTCAATATTGTATCGTGCGCTCAGGATCATTTTATTTGTGTGGATTCTTACAGTCACCTTCTGGTCGTTGCTGCCTTCGCCAACGATCCCCTACACGCAAGAGGCCCTGAATAACGAAAAGACGCTAAAGACATCGCATACTCTGATAGTTGTCGATGACTATCCAACCATTTACCAAGGTTCCTCCGAAAGCAATGGGTTCGGCCATCTTATCTTCGAGTGGCGGATATCGAGGCAGCTGAACCCAGAGAGCGAGGTGGAGCTCACGCTCAGAGTAGCCGAGAACGACCCGATCAACCTCGCAGACCTGATGAGAAAGTCGGCAGCGTTCCATCTCTCAAGGACTAAACATGATGCTGTCCGGACGCCTTTCTTTGATCTCACGCATTTGGACTATAAAGTTGCTTGTGTGGATGATATTAAAAATTCCGACGTGTGTCTCCCGTGGTTTGATCGTAGCGACAAGGCTCTCCTCACGCACAGTAATCACGATGGCACCTGCACAATCTCTCTGCGTATCGTCGTAGATGAGCACGGAGTAGTAGAACTCTGGCCAGCTTCATTCATCGAGAACGCACTTGCACAGCTAGAGAAAGTACGATTGAAACCAGAAGCCGTGGACTATGAAGAAGGCCAACTGCTAGAAGAAACAATCCAGTTTTTGCGGGAGTCTGGTCACCCGATCATGCAGCTAGAAGGCGGAGATATGACCACGCTGGAAGAACTCCACGTACCATACGTGAGAGGCAATCTTCCCTCAAAGACGTATCCCATTCGGAAGGCAATGCTGGTGCGCCTTGGTCCAGTCTTACGTGTCGCTCTGATTCCTGTTTTTGGAATCATATACTTGCTGTCTACCTTTTCTACAGTCATTCTATTCATCCTGTACAACGGCACACTCTCTTGTGCGGGAATAATGCTGTCGGCCTGGTTGCGGGCTGGACGACCAGAATTTTGGCCATGGACTCAAAGATTTCGGCTGACGAGGTGGATGTACTTCAGATCGCAGAATCAAAAGACGATGTGGGGACCAGCGGGACCCGTTGAGTCGAGATCAGCGGTACGCAAAGAGTGGACTCGGAATGGATTTGTTGGGCTTGAAAGACCCAAGACCGCGAGGCTTGAGAGAGGATTTAATGCGGTATGATGATGATGGAAAGATCAGTACACTAGCTGCCAAGTACTATGCCCAGTATGTGTACATGGAGCACCTTGCAGCTGAGTCGTTATTGTGGTTGGTCTGACAAGAATCGTCAATGCCTTAGGGTTAGCTCTACACCTGGGCAGCCGCGCTGCCTGGAAGCGAGCTAAGCGCGCCCATTCCTCTGCATCCGGCCTACCATGGCGCATTCAACAATGTCCTTTAAAAAGACCTGCAGGCAAGGCTGCCAAATGCAACCGGAAAACTCCAGCTGCCCGCACACAATTCGCCGCCAAGATGCTGTTCGTCGACCAGCGCGTCACCTTCAATGAAATTCGACCCTTCGAACAAGTCTGGATTGCTGCCATATCTACCACGGGCATCAAACGAGCAGCGCCATGGCCGCTCGAGTCAGAGCCAAAGAGACGCCGGATCGATGCGCGCGCAAACGATTGTGCGTGCGCAGAGGAGATGGAAGTGGTTGAAAGTGACCAGCAGCAAGCGAACTGTGTGGAAGAAGATGGCATGCAAATGGATCAATCGCCTTGAACCATACTTCCCTCCAATAGACATGATTGGAATCAGGAAAAGCGACCGCGGAGGATGTGGTGGAATGAGACGGCAGTGACGACCTCCTGTGCTCGACATTATGGCTGGGCGCATCGAGACACTCGGTTCGCGAGCAGATGGAGAATTCCAACAAAAGCACCATGTCCCGCCTAGGTACTGATAGTCTGCCTGCTGGGCCGTTGTGTTTCGCAGAAACCGACTTATGTTCCTCGTCTCCCGGGAGGGCCTACTGTGAACTTGGGAAAAGGACTTTGCGATTGGAAGCTGCCTCCTACCATATGGAGGAAGCGACCAAGGGCCTCTCTTGCTGCCAAGCTACCGCTGTTGTGTTCCGTCGCTCCGCCGTGACCATCAACATTCGTCTCTTCATACATACGTAACATCGCTACTCTACAACATTCGTGTTATCATTATACTATACCAGCCGTTCATTCGCTCGCTCCGGAAAGCACGGCCTCTCAGACATCGCTTTACGCAGTTAGAGCAATACACAATTTTACAAAATGCGCAACATGCGCAAACGCGTCAAGTCAGCGCTGAAGCGACATCTGTCGTTAAGAAACCGAACCTGTCAGCTGAACGATCTCTTAGCAGCCGGACCACAACATGTCGCAAGCCCCAGAATGTCTCGAACCCCGAGTGTTGCACCCATTACCCCGAAACCTAACAATGGTGCTACAGATTCCATCCAGGGCGATACCAACGAGCCTATCCAGGTCAAAGTCAAAGTCCAGCCCCCGGTCGATTTGACATACATCGAGGATTTCAAGAAGTGGCGTTCTGCTTCCGAGAATGCCAATGGATCCAAAGCATGGGATCCAAGTGAAGTGGCCGGAGGACACTGGGAACGGGACTTCATTCTACTATTCATTCAGGACATGGAGAATTAGGAATTTGAGCGGGATAAACTGTACCCGGACTATACAATCAGATTTCATAAGAAGTTCAGGAGGGGTCTGAGGATGCTCCGGAAGCAGATCGATAAGAGGAACGTCAGCTGGGGCAATGATGGTCAGCTGGCATTTAATGGGACTTTGGTGCTTGATGTAGCGCAGCGGCACATTATACGCGGTGCTTGGGACGAAGTGCGTCGGTGGAACCGATTATACTACGAAAACTATGGAACTCCGAAGTTGCAGAAGATGATTCTGGCCCTTCCACACTCAGCTTGATAATGGCGCTGCCAATTCACCGCTTTCTTTTCATTTCTTCTTTGGTTTTTTGTGTGGCCCGATCATGAATGAGTTTCGCACGAAAAGATCCAATGCTGTACTAATTCAACTGGTTTCTCTACTGTCTACCCCGTGCACTCTTTTATACGCAAATCTTTGACGTGGCTGTGTCCGGAGAGTAACACTTAGTCTTCTTTCACAGAAGAAAGGCAAGATCACAGCCACTGCTTATTTCCGAATTGAGAGATGAAGTCGCCCGCGTTGCCATTCTCGATGCTTGCGTTCGCAATGACCGGCCTCATAAGCGCCACGCTCTGCTCGGGTGTACTTGGTCCCTTGAAATCCGGCGCATACTTGGACAGAAACTCGCCAAAGACTGCTGCGACCTTTTGCAGCTGTTCAGGAGTTGCTGCAAAAAAGCCATCAGTGAATCGATCAACGACATCAAGACAAGAGCTCCACATACCCTTATCATCATACCCTACATCCACTATCCCCGGCGCAAGTCCCAAGAACAGAATTCCATCTTTCTTAAATTGCGCGCTGAACTTGGCAATAACCATGTTGAGTGCGGCTTTGCTGGTCGAGTAGAGGGGTGCAAGCAGCATGTCCCATGTGCGCGTCGTCTCAACGTCTGAGTAACCGCTCGTGATGGCGATCACCTTTTTGGCCTGGCCTTTCTGGATGAGCGGGACAAAGAGGTTGAAGAGGTGGACGTTGCCGATGACGTTGACGTCGAAGAGATCTCGCATCTCCTTGGTTATTTGATCCGGCTGGGCCCCACTGTTGGTGTCAACTTTGTTCGAGTGGAACAATGGCCATGCTTACAGGTCGCCAATGGGATCGTATTGGTCGAATTGGGAGATGAGGCCTGCATTGGCGATGATGTAGTCCAAGCTACCACCAGTGATTTTTGCAGTTGCCGAAACCGCATTCTAATGATTATCTCAGTTTTGATCTTGAGTGCAGTCAAATCGAGCTTACTTGAAGGGCGGCATAATCTGTAACATCGGCAGCGATGATGTGGATGTTGGAACGGCCTTTCAGATCCGGGTCTTCGGAAAGCTTCTTGTTGGTTGCATCTTTGTTGCGAACAAGTCCAACTACGATGTTGTTTGCGTCGCTCGAGTATTGCCGCAGGAATTCGTACTAAGACATTAATGATTCCGCCTTTCTGTGGGAGATAGGGTATGAACTTACTCCGATTCCCCTCGAGACTCCTGTGATAAGGTAGGAAGGCATGGTGTTGATGAATCAAAGCTGTAGAAGTCTTAAGATGCGTATATGAGTTTGTGATGTTGCAGTGGAGTTATTGCATCCTTATATACCTCTGCCGTCTTAAGGCCTACGGCGATGCTTCGTCGCAACGTCCGAGTTGAATCGGCACTGTACTGCCTGGTTGGCGTTTTGCACAATTCTCATCCATTCTCGTCCCTAGGAATAACGTTATCTCCAGTATGTCAGCGGATGATTGCCACTTGATTATTCAATACTTGCCTTCTCGTAGGTAGGGACATACAAAGCTCGGCAAAAGTGTTCTTCCGTTGCAAAGGCTGGTAGTCAAGAGCGTGGCCAATGAGTACCTTTGTCCGGATCGGCTAAGCCTCGTCGAGTTAGACTTCGAGTACTGCTTACTCGAGAGTTGCCCAAAAGTTGATCTGCAGCTAGACCTGCATGACTAGCGCCATGGCACCCTTCCTCTTTGTAACTGTGTGTCATCCTCGTGTTTTATGTTGGCGACCACACTTGCCCAAATCCCCAGATTCCATCCACCCTGCATCTACAATCCGGACGTACGCGCACCATCGTCGGTTGAGTGGATAAAGCACCGAACCGGAAAGAATGACAAATCCAATAAGTCACACAACGGGCTACAGATACGCGGCTCCCATTTGCGCTCATCCCAAGTCTTCGAAGCCGGATACGGAAGGAAAAGAACGCGGTCTGCAATTATCGTGGCCATTTGGCAGTCAGCATAGACGTGCGATCGTAAGCAAGGGTCCTGTGGGTATTGATACGGTCCATGTTCGCGAGATCCTCCACACTTCAAGCGAAGACATCCAAAGGCATAGCCATTTAACGCAAGGCTCGTTCGATAGTATGCTGATCAATTTATTTCGACCCTTTTGGGCCGACTGACTTGCTCTAGAATCGGAATGGCAGGTGCTAGAACTGGCGATACCACTGGTCCCTGCGGTGAAGGTTGAAGTGGAGAACCAAGATCGATTCCAGTATTGTAAGTCTCACTGGCAAGCCACATTAGGAATGGTTGCATCATTCCTGGATCCTGTCAACCATCATCTGCATGAGGTGGCTCGCAGTATCGCATGCGAACATGCCACCGGGCGATGGGCCATTGAAGACTAACAAAATTAGTCCAGCATACCGCATCAAAAGCACTTGCCATTCTCGGCCATGAGCCCAAAGCATTAGGAAACGTGCTGATCAGGATTGCCCTAGCCAGCAATACGAGCTCCGCCAAAGCAGTGCGCGAATGTATTCTGGCGTACTCCGCACTGCATCGCCATGGCATCCACCCACAAGCTGTGGAGAGCAAGATTGCTGGACTCAATGCTTTGAAAGTTGCATCATTCACAGAACCGAATGGAATCGACAATTTGGAGGCGATACAGCACGTTGCCGCAGGAATGCTGCTGTTGTCGTTCGAGGCAAGTCTCTCTCTGTACAATATTTTAGCTCGACCACTCAGACTAAGACATTAGGTAGATCCACCTATCAATCTGCACTTCAGACGACTGGACGAAGTACCTATGCGGAGTCAAAAACATCATCAGAGCTGCCGGCCTGGATACGCTCGACCAAGACCAAGACCTCGCGATCTTGCTGGATTGGGTGTACTACCAGGATGTCCTCGCTCGCTTCAGTTTGCGACATTGGTATAGACAATATGGGAAGCCAGCTCTGAACCTGATCACGGTCACTTGCACGCCTGCCGACACAACTCTACATATGACGGATTGGATCGACCAGGTAAGACCAAGATATCTCTCCGCCACCGGCCAGAGTGTTAATTTATGAATTGTGCAGAGCATGCGTAGGAAGTCAGCCAATTTGAATCTCATCAGCTTACTGTCTGAGCTCTGCGATGCGGTACCAAAACCTCTTTGCGGCTTACCCTACTCTGAGGTCGACGAACGGAAGCGCTTCCTCGAGATCCTCGAATGGAAGATCAGAAATCTCGAACCGTCACCCGTGGCTTACGACCACGAAAGATCGCCTTTGATAATGGAACTGTACAAGCTGGCCATGCTGGTGTACCTCCATCGAGTGACCGCCGGTCAGCTCAAACAAACAGTGAACATGCAATTCCAAATTGATCGGGCATTCGAGATACTATTGCAGCTCGGCTCGTGTGAGCGGCAATTTCCCGTTTTCGTGTTTGGCTGCGAAGCGAGAACCGATGCACAGAGAGCAATCATATTGGATACCATGTCACGCACCGAGAGCTCGGTGTCTTCGCGTTCGTTGAACCATGCTCGACTCTTGCTTCAAGCTATCTGGGCACAAGATGATTTAGCGGAGGGCAAGACTCTGTACTGGAAAAAGATAAGTTATGTGATCAGTTGCTGTACAATACCGCCTTCATTTACCTAGAAATTTCACGCACGATCAATGCCTGATACCCGGACAGTCATGGAGTGCTCCCAACGCCGGGACCACAGCGCGCACCTAATCTTGCGCTAACTCACACTATGATACATCTATGGAATTGCAACCTTGTAACCTATCCCGGATGTTCAGATGTTGGCGCGGGATATAACTCTCGACTTACTGGTCGTGTCAACCATGTGACTCGACCATATGTCAGTGCTTGATTTCCTTGACCCTGATGTTGTCAATCACCACACACACACACACACACACACACACACACACACACACACACACACAAAGTGTATCAAAGAAATCGTTGGTATCGTCCACGTTAAAGCAAGGTAGTTCTCCTCCAGTCCATCGTCGTACCTCAACGTCGCAACAAGGCACAAGCCCACACCGAATACCAAGTTGAAACCAAGGCGGATATACGTAGCGACGCGGCGCTGGGAAGTCGCAGCCTAGGGCTATCGCCTTGCAGAAATCCAGAATACGATCCACCTTGAAATTACTAGCCTTGGCCAAGTACCTCGTTGAGAGCTTGTCATACATGGCGCAGGCATCGTGAAGATGAGGACGAATGGAAGATTTGTCGTGCTTCTGAGAATTTACGCAACATGCAACGATGAGATTATTACTTCAGCTATCCTGAGCATTCAGCTCGTTCTGGATGCGCATCGCCTCCTGCTCCCAAAAATCAGCCATCTGCTCCGCGCCGCGTGCGCCGCCAAACTGAGCTTGACCCTCCCCCATATCGCCCTCCACCAGATCCATCAAGCGATTGTAGCAGCCTTTGTTCCTCGGATTGCTGAAATGTCCGTACGGGTTCTCCGGAAGGAGCCATGCGCCGCATAGGTAGCAGAAGTGAGACTTGCACTGGAAACATGTCATGTGGTTGCAACCGTACGACTTCTGGCAAGGAACGGAACAAGTTGGACATGGTGATGTGTTCTTCATGATGTAGTTGAGCGAAGCTTGGTCTTCTTCTGTGAGTTGATTCTTGTCGCGCGGTTCGCAGCGAACAAAGTCACCGTGCCAGGACGCCAGACAGACCTTGCAGAAAGCGAGCGTGCAGTCTTCGCACACGGCAAGGCGGTCCATGCCGGTGACGCCCACAAAGCGCTTCTCAGGTCCGGGTGCTGTTGACTGTTCCTCTGGGGGTGCCTCCACGGGCTCTTCTGCTTCCGAGTCTGATTCGTCCATCTCGCGTACGTCCTTGATCTTTGGGTATTTGTCTGTTCGCATGGCGCCTTGACACCACGAGCGCGGGCAGTAGATGATGGTAGGGTCGGCCTCGATCTTCTTCTTCCGCTTTATCTTGGCGTAGCGTTCCACCGCTTGCAAAGACAAGGGTATCTGTAGTAGCTCCTTCGGTGATAGTAGACGCTCCTTCTTCTTTCCATTAGGCATAAGCTTGCCGCAGTCTGTTGACATGCACTTGACGTTGTTGACATCTCCCTCTTCGATGCAGTTGTTGAGGTAGTCCTGGAGACATTGGACGCAGAAGACGTGGTTGCACCGCTCCATGCGGTAGCAAACGGAACCCTTCTTTGGCTCGAGGCAGACCTCGCAGTCGAACGTCTCCTTGTCGAACAGTTCCCGCTTCATGCGCTTGCTGAACTCTAGGAGCTCAGTTTTCACGCTGTCCGGAAGCGTGAGCTCTGATAACCCAAAGGCTGTCTCGGCCGCTTCCTGTAGATAGCTCACGTAGGCGAACAGCACCTGCCCGCCACTGTACTCTTCCCATAGAGAGCGCGCCTCTCTCTCCAACCTATCTACCGTGTCTGGCGGGAGCCATGAAAACGAGGCTGAAAGCTTGACTCTGGGCGGGCCTTCGGCGGGGTACTCTGCGGGAAGGTCGACCTCCAAGCGGAGAGGCGGCAGGTATGCTACCCTATGCACGTCTTGGGCGGGCTCGAAACGGACCGGCAGCGGTATGGTGGGCGCTACTGCGAGGTCGATGTGTGCAGCGAATGGTGCGTCGAGGACCAGCTCGGGGTAGATGGACTGCAGCGTCTCGAGCTCTTCGGTGCGCTCATCGTCGCCGGCGGTCGACATATGCGATAGGATCGGATGAGCGCTGGAAACCGGCTTGGCTTTTCTGTTCAACTTATTCGTATTGCGCAAAACGCACAAGTCTGCTCTATCTCAAAAGGTTGGGAGGCAAATGTCGGTGGGGCACAGGCAGGCGACCTTGGTTTGGGGCGCCGGGAGGTGTTAGGTGTCGGGTGTAGAGAGTCGGTGTGTTGTTATGGGCGCCCGCGCGTTCCAGCAGTCGGCAGCAACGGGTGCGTGCATTCTGGGTCGCGGCGGGAATCACTTTGCGGAGGTGAAGGGCGGTGGTGAAGGCTAGGCCCGGCTCGAGCCCTCCGCCACCTGATGCTATCGCCGTGCCAAGCCTCCAGGACCCCTGCTGGTTCTGCCGAGGCCACCGTCATTGCTCGTGGTCCCGAGCAGCTGCAGCATTGCACTCACCACCGCCGCCATGGACGATGCCCCGCTCGCGTCGCTGTCGTTGACGCATGTACACTATGTATGCGGTCCCTGCCCATGTGCGTCGCATGCCACGGGAACTGATATCTGGTAGAACCCCGCGGACCGCGTCTCGTACCTCTGTGCATGGCTCGCGCTCGTGCCCCAAGGGCTATGTGTCATCTATGCCACCCTGATATGGAGCAACCGCGAGATTGAGATCATGTTGATGTTTGTGGGGCAGATGGGCTGCGAGGCGCTCAATTGGTGTCTCAAACGCTTGATTAAGGAGGAGCGACCGCGGGGTACCTTCACCGAGACCCTCGCTTCAGAACGTGCACAGTTGACACGCTACAGAAATGCATGGAAAAGGCTACGGCATGCCTTCTTCGCACGCTCAATTCGTCACCTTCTTCTCCGTCACCCTGGCCCTCTTCCTCCTCTTCCGCCACGTTCCCCATCCGACCGAGACGCACACGCCTTTCAGCTTCTTCCAACGCTTCGTACTTTCGGTGCTCGCCCTGCTTTCAGCGGCGGCTGTTGCTGCCAGTCGGATATACCTGAACTACCACACCTCGAAACAGGTGCTGGTCGGCTGTCTTGCTGGTGCCGTCTGCGCTGTAGTGTGGTTTGGCTTCACGACGTATCTGCGAAGAGCTGGCTGGGTTGAGTGGGTATTGGAGACCGAATTGGCGCGTCTATTCAGGGTACGAGATTTGGTAATCCAGGAGGATCTGGTCGACTCAGGGTGGGCACGATGGGTCGAACGGAGACAGAAAAGGCAACCGTCATTCCAGGTTCAGACTAAGAAGGCCAGGTGACCGGCTATCGATGCCCTGCACTATGCACCAGGTTGGCTCGGAAGAGGCTGCATGCACATATACGCACAGCACATGCACGACTTCCGCTCTTACTCACCATGCCAAATACCACAATAAAACATTCGAATACCCAACACTCGTCACGTAAACCAATGTTTGTCAACTAAAGCACTGCTACTAAACTACGTCTAGGTACTGCGCACGGATCGGGCGATCCGGAAACAGAAACGCTACAGCATATGCCGCAAACGACGTACAGGGTGGAATTGCCGTCACAAGCCCGCCTTGGATTGCCGATTGCTGAACCAATGCCACGACGCACAAACACAGCCCTGCAAATACCAGCGACATCAACATGTATCTACAGTTGTCATTCCAAGTTACACGGGCCAGCAATGTTGACTCACATTTTGTCATATGTTACCCTCCGGCATTGGAAATTGAGATACATCAAAGTGAATACCGACCAGGCACCGAGGACACTGTACGACTGGTCAGCTGTCATTGCGCATTGTGAACACACTGGCTTACCCCCATGCGATGATGGGTTCCACCGCTGCATCGTTCCGCATCATGAAGTAAAGCACGCTTGTGATTCCCATTAGCGGACCGATGAGACCTCTCGCCGTACCCATCAAATGCCCTCCGCACAGGAACAGCATGCTTGTCAATGTTCCGATGGCTATCGTCGGGACCGGGTGGACGTCCATGTCAGGCACAGCAAAGGTCCTCCCCAGTACCAATCGATCGTCGATGGCCGTCACTGGTGCAATGAGTGCAGCGCAAGTCAGAGCAGCTATACACTTGGTCATCGCGCCTGCTTCGAGACATCGAATAGTTCTCATTATCAGCTCCGAGGTTGTCTCGCAGACGTCCAAGCTTGCCAAGGGTTTGGATTTACGATCGTCCGTGGTGACATCCTCCTCTGCGAGATCTGGAAGGCATTCCCCGAGCGCCTGCATTTCGTCTCTTGCCTTTTTCATAGCCCTCGTGCGCAACTCCAGTTCCATCATTCCGTTATCGATGCACATGTCCATCCATGCCATGTGCATGAACAGCTTGTAGGTTGACTCATGGATCGATGACTCCAGCTTCGTGAAGTCTTTTTCGTACAGAACTGTCCTGCCGATTAGCTTCAGCTTACTAACTATCAAAGGTGCTTCACTCACTGGACGACATGTTGAATGATGTACGGTGATTGTGCGAAAAGATCGGATTCGCCCGCTTAGTAGATAGTCGAGGATGAGAAATCGTCTTTCCGAGCGACCTGCTGAACAACGTTGGTTTTTGGGGAGCCGTGTGGCATTGTTTCCCTGGCCTTCCCGCGGGTTCAAGGGGGACTGGATCAGGAACCTGCTCACCGGTGAAAAAGGGTGTGATACGAGGGTGAGCATGTATAATCCTCCTGCGATATGCGTCTTTTGCAAACCATTCGTCACAGACGAAGGAACACAACTCGATGGCGCTCTTGGCATCGTCAAAGATGCAAGGCTGAGGCACTCCAAGGCATCCCCACATGTCACCCGACGCCGCATGACCTCGTATTCATCGGTGGGCTGTGCCGGCACACCTGCCAACGCGTTTTCGGCCACACTCAATTAGACGCATTACCGCATGTGTGCCTCTACGCCTCGGAGATTCACATCATCCTTCGACTCGACAACACAACGACAGTAGTTATGCCACACATGCTTCAGCTTCCTAAACAGCAACAGAATGATCATCATCGAGTACAGTTGCACAGTATACATGTTGCAAGTCGGTAAGTTTGGTTCCTTATATCGCGGTCTACGAAGCTCATGTTATACAGAGCTGATCGTGAACATGCGCTGCCCAATCCTTCGAAGGAGGGCACCGACTCACCGGCGCCTAGATGCTGTGTAGAAACTCAAGATTCCACAAGAAACGATATCGACTCGATAAGAAATAGTGGCGCGGATAAAATCTTTGGATGGAAAGAAGCCGCCATGGACGAGACGGATCCGCCCACAAAAAAAGCGCTCGGCTCACGCGATGCACACATTGCGAAGAGCTGGCCTCTTTATGTCTACCAAGATCCAGGTCTTAGGGAAACACCATATTGCGTAGAGAAGACGAGGCACGACATCGATCACGATGACCTTGGCCCTAGCCTCTACGCGCAAACTGGCCATCAGCAAGCCGTCCTTTTTCCAATCCCACTTCCGCACCCTCGAACCGCCATCATATCCGCATGCCTCCTCGTCGCTACCGTCTCCGCTTTTTACGAGGCCTCCAAACCGGATCCACCACATCACACCGGCCTCGATGGACACAACGATCGCTTCTCGTCGCGCTTGGGATTATCACAGCACATCGCATGTAGCACCGCTTCACTATTCATCTTTACAGCTGCAGCGGCGGTAGTTTACCACCTCAATGCAGTCCATCGTTTCCAGGATATATTCGTGCTGCTAGGTTTGATTTTCGGTGTCGTGACCGGCATGGCCAAGTATCGTGACTTGCGGGACGCTATGCTTAGAGCTGTGCCCTGGGGAGTGATTGCGGCGCTGGCCACGAGCATGGTCATGCATGGGGCCTGGGAATCTAGAACAGAAGTGCCGGCAAGGTTGGTGTGAGGCCATCTGCCCGACTCACGAGAGAGCCATTAATGATCAGAGAATTTTGACACTCGTTTTCACACCAGCAATGATATAATTTGGAGACTTGACCATTGGTGTGTTCCTGTATCGTAATCGGCGTCTACTTTTACTCGACGTATTGATATCCTGGCTTTCCAAACAAGGACGAGCTTGAAGCTCATGTGCAGATTGTCAGCGGGACTGTTCATGGTGAGCTGGGAGGAGATGAAAGGTACCCATGAGCGCGGCGATCGAAAACATGATTATATTGTCAAGAGAACTGAAGATCCATCGCCGCAATCTTAGCTTCCTTGGGTCGCAGGATTTGGCTGCAGGACCGAACCGCGAAGGGGAACAGGCGAGTTGACCATTTCCAAGGAATACTCGTGCGACGGTATGAGGCTAGAGATGGTGTAGGATGTGTGGAGAAAGGTGACACCTGCTGTGGGGCAAGCTGTTGCCTGCAGGTTGCGCACGCTGTACGTCGCCATGGCCCCCGAACATTTTTCGGCATGGCAACGTCGACGTGAACGGCATCGCAGGGCATCCACTACACATACGCATGCGTGTATGCTTTCAGTACCTGGAATTCGATTGGTGGATTTCTACCACCGTTGGCGTTGTGGGCTTATCGAGGTGCGGGGACAAACAGCTCCCTCTGCCGCCAGCATCACAGCCACTGAGGCTTGAACTATTTCACTGGGGCTTGAATCATTTAGTGCGCTTAGATACGGCCAATGGCCACTCTCGCAGTCTGCCACACACCTTGTTTTGGACGCTAAACAATCATCTACTTGAGGAGCTGCAACTTTTTCTCAACTTTCGAGTTTGAAACATTTCGACATGCCTATCAGCGAACACATACCGACTGTCACTTGTCAACGCTTCACACGGCCTTCTTGACCGGACACCCGAACACCAATCCCTCATCACGAAAGTTGCAACCTCAGGGATAATAATCTCTAATTGGGTCGAAATGCTCGTGTTCCAACCAATCACTTCGAGCCCCGACCCCGACACATCATGTATCACGTGATGACCGGCTTTTCGGGCAACATGCTCCTCTTGCTGTACTGCGCCTCGCTCATTCCTCACGCGGCTGTCCTCGACACGTCAGCTGCGAGCCCAACCGCGGCCCAACAAACTCGTTGGGCACAAACAATGCACTCTCCAGTGCAGATATGGACGCTGGTAACTAGCGTTGCCGTGACTGCATCAAGCATCTTGCTCGTCCCGCTCATGAGGATGAAAAGCATTGTGGCTGGTGATGCGCAGTGACGCAGCCATCAAACTCTGCCAATCATGGACGTTCTCGCCCCCACTCGAAATCCCCTCTCGCCCCTCAGGATCCCTCCTTGCCAACGCAGCCCAGGGTTTTCGGCTCCTGGCTATTTGCTGGGATAGCAAATACCGATCTCCATTGCCTCCGCTTCAGGAACTATGTACTGTGAGTGGATATTTCCAAACAGCGATGATCTTACCCGTAGCAACCCGCGCAAACAAAGCTGCGACAAAGCCGATGTTTATCTTATGTACACCGAGTCACTCGCTAAAGCCATCTCCCTAATGTATTTTCACAACCGCCTATCTTTGCATTTGTATTGCTACACTCGTTCAACATTCCTTGCCTCAGCCTCTGATTGGGCTCGTTACTGCAACACCGCCTTGCACGTCTTTCGCATCCTATGGTATTGCTCATTTCTTTTCAAAGAGGGAAAGGGAGGAGCAAGATTCCATTTCGGAAGTATTACAACACTTGTTATGGGTACGGGGAGCGTGTGTTCCCCAAGCAATGTTTTGATAAGTATATACTCATTACTTTGTCAGATCGATCTGCTCCTTCATAAGAGCGACACGAATTTAGCAAAATGTGACTCTTGGCCTTCTCATCCACGAAGCGAAAGTATCTGACGTCGATGCTTGAACATGATTGTCACGTGAGCCAATGCACCTTTCTTGCATATTACCACTGCGACGATCCTTTTTAAGTCACTCCACCAGCAAATGACACGCGCTTTCCAATGCCGGCACAACACACTCTCTATTAAAACTCTCCAATATATGAACGTTTATCTCCATGAGTCTCTAGTGCCCGGCTGTGACCGTTGAACTTCACCAATAAGCTACGAGGAAAAACTTCATCGGAGCCAAAAACCCTTGTAGCTCAAATCGTGAACACATACACAACGTCCCGGACGAGATGAACCCGCCGGTTTAGCATCTCCAACCCCTTCCTAACTATAGCATCTGACAGAGCTGAAATTGTTTGCCAGGTGTCTCCGCCATTTGCCGAGACGGCACCAGCAGGCAGCATGTTGGCAGCCGTCTTATCACCAAAACCCGCCATACCAAGATCTCCAGCAGAGATGCCGTTCGGTGACACAAATTGCATGCCGGTGCAACCTTGGTCACTATTGGCATTAAGCATCAGCTTGATATTTTGCGTTGAACATGCGCAGAACACTTACATGAAGAATGCGCACCCATTGCCGCCTTCAGCCAGCTGGTAAGATACGACTTTGTCGCCCCTATGGCGGGAATGATGAGGTTGGTGAACTGTATTTTGAAGATGGTTGATATGAGGCTGTGATGAACGGCGGATGTGATGCGTGAGGAAGTTCGGATAGATAGGAATCGAATGAGCGAAGAAGTGAACTGTTGAGTGAGGGAGTGAATGAATGTCTGGAGAGGTCGATTTACGAAGAATACAAGAATCTCTTATTGTCGCAGTTCAATCTACGTTACTATCGATCCTATTCGGACCGAGTCCTCATGGACTCCTGGGGATCGCGACAATCGTTATAATTCAGCTACTTAATTAGGAAACTCTGAATAAGCCAACTCCCCTGACGATCGCCTCACTATAGCTATATAGTTCAGTTAGAATCACAGTAATACAACTTCAGTGAACCTTCGATATTTTCCATTGCACGATACCTACGGTCCTAAAATCGTCACACTTATAGAACCATCTCTTGTTTGCTGTAGCATGACTACTGGAAAATAGAACGCCGCATTGCTACACCTGGTGATGGACCATGCTACACACAAACTCTGGACTTGGCCGGTACAAATGATTGAAATATCACCCTTTATAGAATATCTGACTCTCAGAAACTGTTAAACTGTGCCAACAGCAGGAATTCGGGAGCTTGGTGATGCGCTTTGTAGTATGATTTCGGTGATCCGTCGCGGCGTGGTCGACCAGGTACCACTGGCGTGGTATGCCACGGGTACCACTTTCGATACCCAGAAAGTAAGATCTCAAGGGCAGAACCTGAAGTTTCACCGATTTTCTCTAGCTCGTACTTGCAGGATCGCTAATGTATCTTGTATGTAGCGTGGTGTAGACATCTTGTGGTATACATTCGCGGTTTTGAGGTTGATTTTGGTCTGAATTGCGAATCGACGTACTTCCCGGCCTCAAGAGATGTTTTAGATCTTCTCGGCTAGTATTTTGATACATTTCCATAGCCTCATGAGTGAACATCGGATTGCCGTTAAGCCTTGGCGACACGCCCCGGGGCCGCGCCGCTATCGGGCGTCGGATAACAATCGTAACACCGGGTCAGCAGGCTTCAGTGTAGTCATTGTATACAGGCGGCGCAGTACCGAGACTTTTACCTTATCCATCGTACACGAAGTTAATACTCAAAAGCCTGCGTGGAGCAGAGACATAGATTGCGTCGCACCATCAGCGGTATCGGTCTAATCCCGAGCGTTCTTATCTCATTTCTGCTATAAAGACCGCGACATGGAAGCGCAATTAGGATTCCAGACTACTTAGCGAACGGGCCGGGGAGAGAGGTGAAGAAGCTAAGCTCCTATCTCCTTCGCCCTCGTCCCCTTCATCCACGTCTTCATCTTGCTCACTTTGACTAGTACCATCGTCAGGCTCTTCGACTCCCTCCTCATGCGAACTGTCATCTCTCACTTTTACTTTGACCTGTTTCACATTCTCCTCCTCCGTAAAGTCGACCTCAGGACGACCGGCTTTCTCTGCCGCCTTGATCTGCTTCAGCCGATATACGGGAAGATCCTGTTGCTTGTCGAAAGCGTCCTTCATAGCACTCCGAATCTTATATTCCGATTGCTTATACTAAGCACCATAATCCTGCAATGCGGCGCCCGCCATACTACCGTGGATACGAAACGCTTCTCTGTCCTTGGGATGAAGAGCTATCCTCACAGGACGGGGATCCAAAATTAGACCATTCAGCTTACGGATGTCGTTCAGCAGGTTCAAAGGCTTCCTATCGCACGTCTTATCACCCGGGCGCGGCTCTGCTTTCGGATCGGATGGGAACATCCCCATTCTGCGCATTTTCTGTTTGGGCTTCCTATTAGGCAACCCCTCGATGTAGGCTTGACCCTGCTCCTCGAGCCACTGTTGGTGTTTAACTTCGGCGATCTCTGCTTTGGCATCGTCGCCGTCTTCAGTATCGGCTCGAACCTTGTAGCAGCCGACTACTCTGCCTTCGATCTCGTCGACTACGATACCGGAGCCTCGATACTCCTCTTCAACAGGGTTTACATCGGAATAGAGCAGCTTCTTGGGTTTAACAGTGCCGGGAAAGTCATTTTTAGACTCGCATTGTTCAGTGTTGTTCCAAGGAACAAACCACCACGTGTCAGGGATAGGGTCTTCACGGAACTTTACGTCTTCGAAGTCCCACCCGAGGGGTTCAGGTTTTCTGCACACTGTAAGCAATAGTTTCACCTGTGCAAGGTTCCCAATTCCAGCTTACTTCCGCGAGGGCGTACTAGAAGAAGGTGCCGAAGACATGATGTGTGTAGACTAGTGCGCTTCGATCCTCTCCGTATTTATCAATACCGTCGCTGGTACGAATTGCGAATTGCGTGCAGCACGTGAACGAGTATTGTGTTTGTGTAATTGCTCTAGCCCAGCGGGGATTTTCTGTGTGGCGAGCTTGTTGCTGCATTGAACGCAACTGAAAAGGCCAAGACCCAGGCGGCAAAACCCGAAAGACCTATCGGTAGTAGCGAGGGCTTCGCTGATCCGTTTCGTTTATATCATCATGTACGTTGAGGCATCGTACAGAATATCGATGCCGGACGACTGGTCTGCCGACCTCAATGCGCCTGACCCAGGTGATAGAGCCATCGCAAACCTCCGAATTTAGCGAATTGTTCTCAGGCAAGCATCGAACTTCTCTGTACTTTTATCTCTACCACGAAATTAGGTAGTAGCATCACCGCCTAAATGGTATTATGACTGCCACTCGAACAAAGTTTAATTACATTCTATCAAATTCTACCGGTATGTGCGCATGTTTACTCAAATGCAATAGATTAAATCGCTTGCATGTCCTGAGTACGCCTCCGACGTCGAAATGGAAAAGGAAATGGGTATATGGCTTTTTCGGAGCGCGCCTCCAACGTCGTGGGACAAAAGAGCTGGGTATATATGGGTTTTGGGAGCGCGCCTCCAACGTCGTTGTCGTTAAGACATGGAACAAGATAACAAACACATGACAATGCTAGATAATGCGCTGTTTCAAGAAAAATTACCTGTAGGAAAATTTTGGACAGAGGGTTGGAGATGCGGGTCGGTCGATGCATAACGTCAACCCAGCGATGGAGAAGCTGTATACATAGCCAGATTATGCGGGTGACTTGCGATCACTCGGCTTTCTTAGTTGCCTTGGTCCTCAACTTCATGAGTAAGTACACCAAGGCATAGCCTGACAGTGCGAAGATAACGCAAATGCCCGCATCACGCCAGCCATAAACGTATTCGCCTAAGTTGAGGGTGGCGAGGTAGTCTTTGCCAACTGAGTATTGACAGACTTTGCACTGGCTAGTGGCATTTGGATTGATTAGGTTGTTGCTCAAGCCCGGGCCTTGAAGCCATGCTTCAAGATACTGCGCACATGATTGACCGGAAGGTGGATCGAAGCGCGCGAACTCTGTCTCCTTGCACTCAACTTTCCAGGAAAAGTCCGTGAAAACGAGTAGCGCGCCCATCATATAGTTGAATGGGTTCAGGTAGTACATCCAATATCTCCAGAAAGGCTGAATCTGAGTGTAGGGAACCAGGACACCGCAGAACGAGACCAGCGTGAAGATAACCAACGGGTTGACAAGCGATGCAAAGATGGCGTTTGGTGCGTAGGCAGCAATGAACTGGCCCATGCCAGTGTAGATGAACTGATAGACTAGCATGACGAAGAAGGTAGCACCGGCTTTATTGGAGTCGTTCGGCAGACCAGCCGTGTAATAAAAACACACGAAGTAAAGGACGGCGCAAATAACAAGATAAGGAAGTTCGGAAACAATAAGACCAGTGACGAAAGGGCTCCAGTGGTACATCTTTGACTTGCGTTCCCGGGCTTCGTAGACATCGCGACGTTCGATGAATAAAGGCTGTAGTTGAGCGATCACACCAGGAGCAACAAATATGTAGTTGAATAGAGCGAAGAGAATAAGCTGTTGATCCTGGACTGAGTTTCCAATATTCCAAAACGAGAAACCAATGAATAGCGCTACGCCGATATGCAAGGCAAATTTGTTGTTGACATAGTCGATATTGCGATAAAGACTGACGTTTGATCGATGAGTGACAAGTTTGGTTTGTGTCCAGATGGTAGTAGCGAATTCATGGCCGTCGTCCTTGGTTCCTGGTTCCTTGTTGGCAGCATCGGTGATAATGTTGTCCAAATCTTGATGCATACGGGCAGCTTCTGGTGACTCCATCCATATCTTGTTCCAGTCTCGGGTAGACTTGGAACCAGAGACTACATCAATCATATGCTCAGCCGGGTTGGCGCCTGGGGGGCAGGGCATTCCATGTCGTCCGAAGTACTCTTTGATCGTGTTTGCATTATCGCCAATCTCGCCAAAGTAAACAGTCTTTCCGCCTTTCGCCAACAAGAGCAGAGTATCAAATTGTGCAAACAGCTGAGCGGAAGGCTGATGAATAGTAACAAGGACAGCTTGTCCAACATCAGCTAGTTTCCTTAGGAAGCGGACAGTATTATACGCTGCTTGTCCATCAAGCCCGCTGGTTGGTTCGTCTAGAAAGATCAAGATGGATGGTTTCGAGACTAGCTCAACACCAATGGTGACGCGCTTCCTCTGCTCCACAGAGAGACCAGCGCCGAGTCTACCGATAAGTGTATGTTCCAGGTCGTGAAGCTCGAGTAAGTCAATGATAGTATCCACGTAGGCGATCTTTTCAGCGCGTGGCGTATCTCGGCTTTGACGAAGGAGAGCTGAAAATTCTAGGGCCTCTCGGACGGTAGCAAAAGGCTCGTGTACGTCAAGCTGTTCACAGTATCCGGCGGAGCGTTGGAAAGATACAGGGAGGGGGCGACCGTCTACCAAAATCTCTCCGTGGATCGTACCCTCGGTCTTGCGCTGAGCCAGAACATCCAGTAAAGTTGTTTTACCAGCACCTGAAGATCCCATGAGGGCGCCAAGCATGCCCGGTTTCACATATCCATGGACGTTATCCAGCAAAGTCCGGTCTCCTGACGAAGTCTTCACTACGTAGGACAGATTACGCCATGTGAATATCGATGTATTCCGGATGAGCGACCTTTCGGCATCATCATCACTAGCGTTAGCATCTTCATTGCCGCTAGCCGGAATCCGAGGGGCCTTCTCAGTAACCTGAGCTTCCTCGTCGTTCGGGGAAATGATCTGAGCCGGCACTTGCTTGGCTGTCTCGCGAGGGATGAGAACGAGACCGGAAGATCCTGCGGTGTCGTCCCATCGAAGTGTGAAGAAGACTGTGAGGCCTACATAAAACACCCACCATGCGAAAAGGATGCCAACGTTGCGCCAGATATGAGTTGGAGAATACGATAGACTAGCGAGGTAGTCCTCTCCAGAGACTGAAATAGCACCCGGAGCAGCTCCGCCAACACCAGCGCAAGACTGGTGCTTAGGATCGAGGTACTGGGGTAAATAATTCGGAATGAGATTGTTGTTTACACAGGGTATGATTGTTCCCTTGAACTCGTTGGCCATCACAGCTTCAAATCCATAGGATAGAGGATCGATCCAATAGATCCAGACAAACCAGGGGTGCATTGCAGGCTTTGCAATCTGGTATCCAATATAGAGAATCAAGGCCGTCACGGAGAAACCGGAAACCTTCGAGGCAGCGTCGAATGATGGGAAGGCAGCGCCGATCATGCGGAACAATGCAGTCATGGTGAAAGCAGTTAAGTAGACCACGAACCAACATGTAAAAAATGCGGCTGCGGTCGCCTTCAGGAACGTCATCCAGTATAGAATAACAATGAAGACGGTAACCTGAAAGAATAGAATGGGAATATCCACAGTGATTTGGGCCAGACAGAAAGCTGCAGGGTTATAGAAGGCGAAATTTTTGTGCTTGGCGAGTATTGGGCGGCCGGCGAAGGAGTCGGTAACTTCGGACATCGCGACCAAGGCATTGTATAGCAATCCCGTGAACAACGCACCGCCCTTAATGAACAAGCCATTCGAGTTCGCTGGGGCATTGTAGAACAAAGAACCGGCGATAAGTGCCTGGACAATAGTTGAACCTTGCTTGATAAAAAAGGTAGCCTTGTCTCCCCAGAGTATTTGATATTGCCGAATGATGCAAGCCTTTATCTGGTCCTGAAACGATACAGTCATGGGTGATGACTTCGGAAGACGAGGTGATCGGTCGAGCATCATTGCTTCGCAAAAGCGACGAGTGTTGTTCTTGGCCTCTTCTGTCGTCGGGTAGTTCAACTCTTGGTCCATATTGGCCTTGATATGAGACTGGCGATACGCGAGCTCGAGCTCGCCCGCGTTGCGTGGAAATCTTGATTCGAAGTCTGGATGAATCTCTCTCTCGCTTGGCACAGTAACGCCGGTCAAGAAGTCAGCAACATTGGCACCGTCGCCACAGACAAAGCCTTGAGACTGCATGAAGGGCCGAGCCTCTTGAAGTGGACCGTAAAAGACTTGTTTGCCTTCATCCAGGACAAGGACCTTATCGAATAGATCGTATATCCCGTTTCCAGCTTGGTATAACGTGACGATTGTAGCAACACCCAACTCGTCGGTCAAACATCGAAGCGCTCTTGTGTATTCCAAAGCAGTCGAAGCATCTAATCCGCGGGTCGAGTTATCCCAACACACGACACTTGCTCTGTTGGCCAGCGTCTCTATGATCGACACTCTCTTTCTCTCACCGCCGGATACACCGCGGACATAGGCGTCGCCGACTTTCGTATCTGCGGTGTGCGAGATACCCATGGAATCCATCAAAAAGGATTTGAACTTCAAACGGAAGTCCTCTGCCTTATCGGTATCTTTAGGCAGGTGGTGGGGTATATTGAGGCGCGTTGCGAAGTCCATGGTCTTTCCCACCGTAAGCGTCGGGAAGAAGAGCTCTTCTTCAGTGTTGATGACGATAGATCCACGATGTTTTAGCGCTGCTTTGGCATCTAGAGTGCCCCAGTGCACGTCGCCTTCTACTTCAGAGTATCTGTTGCTAACGTCAGCTGCATCAAGGCTTCAGTGCGACTTTCGAATCCATACCCTTTGCGCTTGTTCGCTAGCATCTTCAATAGGGTGGTGCAACCGCTCCCTGGCCTCCCCAAAACAAGCAGCATCTCTCCAGGCTTTACGCATCCCGAGCTTCTGTCTAGGATGGTCCTCAAACCCGGTTTATTTCGTCCTTCCTTGATCTGTTGCGGAATGTTGAATTGGCTTAGCACATTTTCTTGTAGCATCGCGTCTGATGGCACAACCTTCACTGTCAGTCCACTCCAGGTTACGCCCAGCTTCCTGCCCTCTGCCTGATCGTTGAGCGGCATCCCCTTGACGACGGAGGCCAGTTTCCACTCGTCGATTTTAGTCTCGGCTGAACCATCATCCCCACTGCCTTCAGCGTCGTCCCATCTTCGGTCACCATCTCTGCGGTCAGAATGGTGCGATTTGCCGGAGAAAGTGCGTGATAAACTTCTCATGAGATCTTCACCAGTGCCTGCAGCGATGCCCGGACCCTGCATCCCAAAACTGCTACTGCGTCGCGTCATGATGTACGCTGAACGTGGAAAGGCGAGAATGGAGAAAGCTAGACACAGAAAGAACGTGTGGGAAGCGAAGAGCCTAAGTAGGTCATCGGCGGTCGTTCTCTCCGAATCAAGATGTCACAAAATTGATAACGTCGAGTACTTCAGAAGGTCCGACTACTTCGTGCCCTGTTCCCAGAGCCTCCAGGTCCTTGTGCGAATCGTACATAGCTTCGAACAAAAAAAGGTTGGTTGATTCAGACATTAGCGCAAGTTACGGGTGGATCGAGTGGGTTTCCAGTGGAGGAATGACCCTCCGACTCGGGCTTTTCGGTGCCACGGCTGCCAAGAGTCCCGGTTCCGCCCTTCGCTGTTCTCGGTCTTTGCGGTTTTTGACTTTGTTGGCGTGCATTTATCTTCTAAGCCTTTTGCTGACGTACTTGCCGGAGGCTGGAAGCACCCTGAAGTGTTCTAGCGGCGGTCTCGCCGGCCAAGGCAGCATTCCACGTTGCGTAACGCACAGCGTGGTCGGAGCCCAGCGAAAACGTCATCAGCATCCCGAAACGCAATCTCAACACCAGCACAGCGCCTCAAAATACGTGGTCTTCTATCTCTTTTCTCCCAATCCGTAACTTTGCATGTATGCATGTTCGATCTACCGCACGAGACTGGAGGACGCACCAGTACGGGGGCGTGTACCTCATCGCACCTAGCATGACGACCGCTAATGCCGATATAATTGCTGTTGCGCTTTGCTCAAATCACCGTGGCCGTTATCCGAGGGTAAAGTAAGGATAGAAGACTGTTCTGGAGTCCATACGAATCGACGGCAATGCCGTTCTTGAGGATTGCAGAGTGAAGGTTGCTGCCCAGGTGTTCTTCGCTGCCGGCTGGCAGGCCACTTCGCGAGAGGTAATTTCACGATGCTGGTTTTTAGGCTGCGAGGGCACTACATTTGGATTGACATCGGAAAGTGGAGCCGAAGGTGCGCTGAGGATGTGCTATCGCGAACTCTCAACACCTCCACACGTTCATCACGCCACCTACCCCGTTTGTGACTAGTTCCGCTTATGTAAGTTCACGTGGATGCGGGGGAATCTGGAGCCGCTGCCCGCTAACGCAGGCCCCCTTGCGCACAACACAGCAGCCGCCGCCCGCGACAAGTCACCGCGCGCCACTCCACGTTCAACATGTTGGTCTTCCCTGAGGATGACGAGGACAAGAGTGCGGAATGCAAAAATGACCGCCTCGGCGTTCTACCGGATGAGCTCTTGCTGCAAGTCTTCGAGACGCTTGCACAGCTCGGCACGCGAAAAGACCTCTGCAACGTGTCACGACTGAACAAAAGGTACCATCGCCTGAGCGACGCGACACTGTACAAGCAGGTGCTTTTCCAAACCCCGGAGCTTCACCTGACCTTCAGCGAATCACTCAGTCGCCGCCCACGCCGTGGATCCGCCATCAATGAAGTCACATTGGCATACCCGTCATCCGAGCTCTCCCAATTGGCGCTTGGTGCCCATGTACCTGGTTCCTACATCCATCCATCCCGATTCGATGGCCTGTCACGTACGCTTTCTATCATGTCAAATCTAGAGAAGCTTGACATCGCTGTTCCTAGCGACTTACTGCATGGCATCGGATCCCTATTCAACGGCCCATTCGATTTGTCATGCCTCAAGTCATGCAAATTATTTTATCAATGCCCCAATGACGAGTACTGGGATCTTCGCGAGAACATTCATATCTTTGCGCACCCTGAGCTTGAAGAGCTGACCCTTCGACGTGCCAAATTTGATGAGCAGGGGTTCAATTTCCTAGAGCGCCCTCACGAAACAGCACTGAAGAAGCTACATCTGATCGAATGCGACATCAATGACGACGGTCTTGGGGATCTCCTCGAGCTTCCTGAAGCGCTTGAGGAGTTTGTGATGACACATCAAGAGGAGCCAGAGCCAGAGCTCGAGGAAAGCTCCGACAGCGTAGCCGATTACATCCAAGCGCTCAAATCCCAAAGCGAATCACTAATAAGCATCACAATCGACTCTCCATCCATGACAAGCCGGAAAGTATTAAGGATGAGGGAGTTCGGCGCCCTTAGGTCTCTGCGCTTGAACTGGGACTACCAGCTATTCGCCAAGTCATCGAAGAAGCCGCGTTTGCATTCGGTCGGCTTGCCTCCCGAGTTGGAGATGCTGGAGTTCTTCAACGAGCTTGGTACCGATGCAGAAGTCAACGATCTCTTGCTGGCCTTGATCGAGAGCAAGAGTATCGTTGCAAGACACTGGAAGACGATGGTGGTTGTCGAGGGCGATGAATCCATTCTCAAGCAAGTCAAGGCCACCTGCAAAGAGAACGACTTGCGGTTAGACATCATCGGGGCTTTTGACGAAACAGATTCTGACGATGATGAGGGCATGGGTTCCAAGAGCGGGGACAGCGCGGACTCGGAAGGTGGTTCTGAATAGACTGCTTATTCCTATAGACGACTAATGATACACAACGACCGGTACACGAAGACCTAGATTAGATCTGACAATACAAGTCATTCATTCCGATCCACATTGACCTCTGTATCTTCTTGACCTCCCTTATTTCTATTTTCAGGCTAATAGCCAAGCAACGATAGCAGGTCCACCCAGCACGAATGTTGGGATCCCGCCTGCCGCCACTCGTGTCCCTGCGCCTGGCGTTGTTGTGCTAATCGGCGTGGCACTTTGCGAAGACGCTGGCGCAGCTGTAGGTGATGTACCGCTACCAATGTTTATCGTCGTTTCACTTCCATCACCAATCCTCCATCTGAGTATTACAGGTGGATGGTATAAGCCATAATTAGCCAGCGTGGTCCCATCTGTGTCTGTCACCACAGTCGTGCCTACAAAATTTCCTTGCTCTTCTCCATCGTCACATACAATGCGCCCCGATGCTGTCAAAGTCATGTCCGTTGTAAGTAGACATATTGGACCACCTGTTGATCGTATAGAAAGTGCGAGCTGGCTGCGCTTTGTCAGTACACCAAACTTTGCCATTCAGAGGATGAGAGCTTACCTAGGGCAACACACGATCTCGGTTTCTCCGCCACTTTCAACAAAAGTTGTTGCCGTGGTCCACACAGATGGACACACGTTTGTCGGCGAAAAGAATCCAATGGACAGCTGCCAGAATTTTTCTTTATCAGCTGAAGCGCTCAAAGAGACAGGGTAGCAATCTGTGTTGTAGTTGTACGCGTAAATGTCTGGACGGGCTGCGCCGGTTTTGAAACACGTGCCGTCGTCGCCTCCTAAGCCGTCATAGAAGACAGGTCCCTTGTCTATACTTCGGACATGGGGGTAGGAGAGACATATTGGGGAGGGAGTGGACGTCGTGGTCAGGGGCCCGCCCGTAGTTAGTGGACGTGGTTGGCCACATAACGCCACCGACCCATGAATAGACGTCGACCATTGGTGCCGATAGATGAGATAAACGTCACCTGATGCGTTTGACAAGAGAAAGACGCTGTATTTTTGCAAAGAAAGAAGGGTGCCTAGGCAGTTAGAAATTATGAGGTACGCGGGACTCTCAAGCCTCTCGGTCCTCGTACGAATGTGGAGTTGGCGTGTCTCGTGCCGAGGGCTCTGCTTTTGTTGGATTTCCTTTGATGGCGCTCATGCAGCTGGGACTACTGAAGCTAGCGTATCCGAGTATACTGATTGGCCGCCATATGGTCACTGGCATCACAACATTCAGCAATTCTATATTTGGACCAAAGGCTTTGCATATGTGCCCAAATCAAGAATCGAAGTCTATCTCTTTGAGTGCGTATGTGGCCTTGATCATGACCGTACTTATCAAGACACCCTTCCGAAATATACTTAGGTATGGCAATCTAGTGAAAAATAGCAGATCCCAATGCCTCGCTGCTCTAAAGGTGAGTTGAAGATCAAGGAGGCGAGCCCATTGTTAGTAAAATAGATTCTTTGATCTCGGAGAGGGTCGTTTTATCGGTCTTGATAAGCTTGTGAGGAGTACTTTGAGTATTAGCTAAGATAACATTTGAAGAAACCCACTATATATCTGAATAGCCGGTAGATCATGCTCAATGGTATGGACCTCTTTACAACGACAGAAGAACGAGTTGGTGCATCTAGGACAACGTTGTTCACGCAATAGTAACTTGCTGTGTATTTCACCCGAGGCTATCGATGTCTTCTAGGCTTTCCGCTGTTCCGAAAACTTTTCGAAAGAAGGGCCTTGTAGATTATAGTGCAAACACTGCGCCCAGCTTCTAGAAATACACGATCCGTGTCTCGATCATGTCTGTAGTAGTTCTGTAACGTTGGAGAAGCGGCCTCAATTGTCATCGTATGATACTTTGTGCGATGGTGCTCAGAAAATGCCAGCCATATGTGCACTTAAATGCCTGATTTGATGTAATAATTCATGAAGAGTGTAGTGTCCCTCTCATATCTGACCAGCTCCCACTATCGACATACCGGAGGGGATTTGATGAGAAGCTTATCCAATGTTACAAATCTTTTTGTAATGATTGGAGAGTGCTGCTCAAAAATTCATATTACTGCTGCGGAGCCTGTTGTCAGCTGAACATTTGACGAATTGCCAATCCAGGCTTGGAAAAGCTTGAGACCTTTCTGTGTGGAACCTTTTATATAATCAGCAGTGGCTTGAGGAATACTTCCCTATTGGAAGTTTAGCACCGACATTGTATCAAACGAAATTCTTACATGACTATCCACCAACTCTGACGCTCTTATCTGTGAGCTAGACGAGAGGCCCCATATGGCCACACTGTTCTTACCTTCAAAGGGGAAGACCAACTCCTGCCAGACCATTCGCTACAGGACTTTTCCGGTCGCACTGGTCAAAGTTACTAATTCATATTGCACCCGCCTCTGAGTGTAATCAATTACGGGAAAGGATGCATAGCTAGGAAAAGTCAGGCGTGTCATAACCCCAGCACCGCGAGAACAAATGCATGGGGACTGACCGTACGTGTCTATTGCGAACCCACTGGTCTGAGTAGCTGTTCGTTACTGTATATGACCCTCCGCAAAGCAGAGTGATGTCTTGCATTACACTTACTTCAAGGGCGTATGAGAATTCGGAGCACCCTTTTCGCTGACTAAGATTGAATACACGTGACCTCACGTAGCGCGCGTCGAATCTGCTATAAAAGCCCGCCGTGCCTCTACCACGTTCTCTCCCCAACAGTAACAGTGATCTAGGGCAACAACACGGCAACATTTCGTCACGGACACGGACTTTCACAACCGAATGGCTTTTCCTCGATTGGTAATCTACTTATCGACGGCGGCACTCTGGCGGCATTTCCATTCACGGCGACATTCCGACGTCTCACGGTGACATATATATTTGACGGCGGTATCCTTCTCTACGTCCGGACGAAGGGAGCTCCTCCTGCTGCGCTAGTCCCGACCACATATTGCGCTGCCCCCGCAGCGCGACTGACAAACAGCAGAACCTCTATTCTTCTGTCTCTCTTCGCAAATCCTTCGGCATACTGGCAGCCATCTTTTCCGTCGGTCTGAAACTCTTCGCGGTCGTGTGATCTACGACTCCGAGGATCAGGCGAGATGATGTGCGGTGTCGCAACCGGGTTGATATTTGTCGGTCGAACGCCGCTCTCAGAGAACTTGTTCTCGGAAGCACAGTTGCAGTAACGATAAAACAGCTGCTTGCGACCAGTCCCGGCAGCGCTCCGCTATGATCCGTGACGTATTATCCGACATGTAAACCGGTCTCAATGAAGCACAACATGAGCCAGTCAGGCGCGTACTACAATTGACGCTGGGTCCGATTATTTTGGCCGGGTGATGCCGTTGCTGTCGGATAATATCCTGCGGGTTGGGAACCCACGTGGGAACCTCAGTCCGCCCAGCAGACAGCTGACCGTTTCCGCTGGGTCCGCCGAGGCGGTACCTTGCATGCCCCATCAAGCTTTTGATACGGCCTGTTGAGCGACGCCAGCGTCTCAATTGTACTCTTACCCCCTGAGAGGCTGCGGCGGTCGAGGTGGTGTTGTGCCTTCCTTGTCGAGATGAGCCCTTCTAGGTTAGCTACCCAACCCACTGTAGATGAGCTACGGGACCCTCATGGGCCCATTGACATCAAAGTCAGCTAGCAGTGGAAGTCCTGTACCTTTAGAACAGTTCAGGATGAAAGTAATTCATCGAGTACTGCTGGATTATATCAGTTGACTATGACCATTGGGGCATTTGCCAGTGTCTCAATCATTCCTATTGCCACTGGTAGGCTAAGTTGGACCAGGCGATGTGCTCGCGCTGTCATCCGATACGAACCTGTTGATGGTAGCCACGTCAAGCCACTACATTTATAATCGACCTGCTGAACGGGTTCCATATGAAAGGTCTTTCGGTACTGGAAGTCCTCCACTGTTCAAAGGCGCAGGACGAACCTTTTCATCGATTATTGTCGGACGTGTCTGGCGCTCGAAGAAGAAGTCTCTCATACCGGAGCGGTTACCTGTGTGAGGATTTTGTGTGATCTGCTCTGGCTCTGTTTTGTGAAGACCTAGGGTGCAGCTGTATTTAGATTGGCTTTTGGCTCGTGCAATGTAGTCAGTTGGTTTGCGAGCAAGGCTATTTGTTGGAACCAAGCGTATCTTTACCTGACTGCGGTACCTGTAGATGCTAAACGATGGTAGCGCTACGTGATGTCCATAGTGTCGTTCGTGGTGTTGATCGGTGTTGACGTTGGAGCTGACTCATCTAGCCTCGGCTTAAATCGGAGCATGTCTCGAATTGAAACCGCGAGGATTCCGAATCGGCGAGATCGCTTGAACACAAACGACAGTATGGCGACTCCCCGGTTACCCTTCCTATGGCCTGTGCTATTCAAACCGCTGAAAGCGCCTCGCACACGCGCACCGAATGTCACGCGATGCACTCCATCCAGGCGAAGACTTGCAGCAACGTCGCGTCCCCGACAAGAAGTCATCACACAGCGCTATGGCACTGCTCAAGAACCCGCGCCGCATCTGCGAGACCATGAAACCCAGAAGGGGTCTGAAAAAGAAGCCGAGGCGTCCTCTCAGCCCGAGCCCGAGCCCGTGGAAGAAGAGGAAGACGAGGGGCCGCTACCGCCCACGATGCCATCCACGCAGATGAAGAGCGCAGACGCTGATTTACCGGACGAAGCAACGCCCCCACCTCCTCTTGAGCCACCAAAACCGCCCGATGCAAAGCCTCTCGATACAGTACTGCACATGCCTTCTCCGCAGGAAGAAGAGGAGCGCAAGCCCCCGCACCTCAAAACCCCGCCCTACGTGCACCACTTCGACACCTACAGCCTCGTTAAAGACCTCACAAAGTCTGGTTTTACTGAGGACCAGTCTGTCTCAATCATGAAGGCTGTGCGCGGTATATTGACGGACAACATGGAGCTAGCGCGCGAGGGGCTGGTCAGCAAGTCGAATGTGGAGAACGAGACGTATTTGTTTCGCGCGGCCTGTAGCGAGCTGAGAACAGAGGTAGGGAATACGAGAAAAGCGGAGGTGGAAAGAATGAGGAGCGAGAGAAACCAGTTGCAGCACGAGGTGGACATTCTGAGTCAGCGCATGGGTCAGGAGACAAGCCATTTGAAAGATGAGCTGAAGGGGCTATTCGACGATCGGAAGATGGCTGTGCGGAACGAGCAAAGGCACATGGAGTCTCTGGTACGTTTTGCAAAGGCGTTTTCCAGTCGACATGCTAACCCATGCGCAGATTCAACGACTGGGCTACAAGATCACCGTGGAACTGAATTCAGATGCGCGCAGCGAAGTCGAGGGTCTGAGATGGATTCTCACACGGAGAGCAGCCACTGCAATTGGCATATCTGCCTTCCTGCTCTTTACCTGCTTGCGGTTCATGAGCTACAGCAGCCACCTGACACAGGAGCAGAAGAAGAAGGACGAAGCTCCCCCCGAGCCGTCAGACAACTCGCCAGCGACAGGCAAGCCCATGCTCGGCAAAGACGAGCCTCTCGGCGGCGAGCTGCTCACGACCGAAGGCGGCGTCTCTCTCGCATAGACACAATGATACCCCCAATACAACGAAAAACCTGTTTTACTCTCACGTCTACAGCTTATGCTTCTTCTCCCCACTCGCAATCTTTCTGAACTCCTCCTGTGGCACGCCCTTGATAAATCGATCCAGCCCCGCAAACACCTCCAGCACGCCCTGTCGATCCAGCGTCTCAATCTCTGGCTTCCTGATCAACGCCTTGATCTTGACGAGACTCTCCCTATTCAAATGCGCCCCAAGCCTATCATCTACCTCCTTCAACACCTCCCCCAAGAACTCCTCACTCTTATCCCTCCCACCAACATCTACGACCTTATTCACGAATCCCGTCTGCACAAGATCCTCAATCCCAATCCTTTTGCTCATAATCAGCGCCTCGTTGGCCTTGCTGATGCCCAGCCGTCGGACAAAGCCCACAGACGCATTGCCCTCGGAGACGAGGCCGAGGGAGGAGAACGGCGTCAATAGGAAGGCGTGCGGCGCCGCGTAGATGAAGTCTGAAAAGGCGATGAGGGCGGCCGAGAGGCCGACGGCGGGGCCGTTGAGCGCGGTGACCAGGATCTTAGGGTGCGTGTAGAAGGCGTGCGTGATGTGGAGGTTGGAGGCGACGAAATTCTTGAGCCAGTGTTGGCGCGCTGAGTCGGTGCCTGTGCTGGAGGCGCCGATGGAAACGTCGGCGCCGCTGGGGCGATGTCAGTGGATGGAGAGGGAGAATGGGGATAGGTGAGGCGAACGCAGAGAAGAAGCGTCCTTTGCCCGTGAGCACGGTGATGTAGATGTCGTCGCGCTCGGCGACCTCGCGGAGAGCTACCGCGAGCTGGAAGTAGCCGTCCTGGTTCAGCGCATTCAGCTTCTTCGGCTGGTTCAATGTCACAATGGCGATGCCGTTGGACTTGTACTCGACGGTGACGGGTGCGTCTGCCATGGTGGACTCAGGTCTGTATGAATCTAGGGTGTCTGAGAGGCTTGAGGTCAGGAAACGAGTGTCGAGATGGAAATATCGGCAGCGTGGGGAAGTCTGGGGAATATGACACCCGGCGTGAGACTCGACAGCGACAGCCGAGGCATGTTGGAATCGATGCGGAGGTACGCTGGCTCTGATAGGCCAATGGGGAGACCTTCGGCAGGCATAGTGTTCGCGAAGCGCTAGGTTCAAGGCAGATGGTATCGTCTGTACAGACGTCCCTGGACATGTGTAGCTGTATGCGAAGCTCTACTTGGGACGAGACGCTTTCAAAAAGCTATTACGTGGGCGACTTTGCTGTGCCTCTCGTCAACATAAAGCGCTTATCGATAAGACCGATCCGAAACATTTCGCGAACCATCGCCGAAGCATCTCCGTCGCAAACTCACCTCAACCTCGCACCACCGTCACGAACCGCCTTCCCAAGCTCCAGCGTCCACTTCCCACACCACGCCCTACCACTAGTTCAAAATGGCAGGCCCCAATCTCGAAGTCTTCAAGGTCCGCTCCTTCCTTTCTTCCCTCTCCACCCATCCTGAAGCTGACACACCCGCGCAGTTTGGCATGTACATTATGTTCCCGATCGGCATCATGTACTACTTCGGAACGAACCTCGACGGGAAGTTCAGCGTGCCGGACTTCTGGCCGAAGCCAGAGCAGACGCATCGGATTCCGTATGAGCGGGAGGAGATTAAGGCAGAGTTGGAGCGGCTGAAGGCGAGAAATGCGGAGATGAAGAGACTCCGGGAGAGGAGGGAGAGGGAGGAGGCGATGAGGGAGGGTAGGGATCTCTGAGATCGAGGGAAAGATGACAGCGGGGATGTGAATAGGGTATGGTAGTTGGAGGCAGTAGGAAGACTGCGTATACACCCGACTCGATTACAGGACGGAACAAGCGAGAACATCACAACTAGTTGAGCATGGAAGGCGTTTTGGACCAAAGTGCTGGTGGATTTTGTACAGTATTGTACTAGTATTTTGTACATCTATGCGGACAAATATGGACAAGGAGAATCATCATATCGCGGTCTTGCTCGCTAGCTCTTCCCACAGGCTATCATCTATTGAACCCTTGGTCCAGTTCAAGTACACGCCCTGGATCCCTTGCACGTCTTGTACCTTGTCCACGAACTTGCCTAATTGCCCTGCCGTTTCCGCATCATCAAGCGGCACCAGGGTATCTTCGTTGGGGTCGTATATGATCTCCGCCTCCGCGACCTCCATGTCCATCTCCTTAGCGACGGTCTGCGCAATTGTCTTTGCGGTAGCGGGCTCCGTGAATAGGACAACACGTCCGTCATCTAGCTCTTGGACGTCCTCTGCACCGGCCTCGATCGCAGCCTCCAGCACCTCGTCGGCGCCCACGCCTTCCTTCTGGTGCAGTATCACCCTGCCTTTCTTCTCAAACATGTAGCTCACGGTCGACACGTTGCCCCCAGCCTCCTTGATGATCAATCGTAGGTCCGCGAGAGAGCGCAGCTTATTATCCGTTTGCGCTTCAATCACCGCTGCGACAGACGCAGGAAGCATGGCCTCTAGCATGATCGATTCAAGCGCGGCACCTGACGCGGAGAGACCCTGGCCGCGGGCTATCGCTGCTTCGATGGAGGCCTTGGGGACTTGGCTTTTTTTCGCGGTTGTGAGGGCGAGGGCAAGGCGCGGGTTCATGTTGGGGTCGGGACCATTGTTCTTTACGGCGTTGGTGATGTCGTTGGTGAGGAGGGCGCGCTGCTTGCTCTTTCCCGCGTCAGCCTTGGCCTTGTCGTGCTTTATCGTCGCCCATTTTCTCTACTGTGTCAGTGAATTGGAGATATCAAATGTGGGTGCAGCGTACGAATGGCCTGAAAACACGGCAGGTGAGCTGCTGAAGCATCGCGCCTGCTCACGGCGGGCGACTCTGGGTGCGCGACGGCAGGCGCATTGCGCATACGCATCGAGCGACAGCGAGGGCTTAACGAGCCGTCTAAAAGGAGTGGACATGAGTGTCACTGAGTGAGAACGAATGCGTTGCTGCAGGCGCTACGAATTTGTGATGACCTGAGTCCTGCCAAGACCGGGGGTCTAGAGAGGCACCTCCGCCTGGAACTCCGCACACCGCAACCCCCGCGAAGCGACAAGCGCCAGCGCGCCATGCCCGTCGCATACGTCGCATCCGCCTGAAGCCCTTCCCGACAGCCTCAGGGCGATCCGCGTATCATGGCCACCCAGGAGGGCGAGCCCGCGCCCACTAATGGCGCGACGTCGTCGAATCCAGAGCTCGACATCAAGAAGCTCCACGCGCTCCCCTCGGAGCAGCAAGAGCTCTACCTCCTGACCTTTTCGTCCGACCTCGCGCGCCATGTGGCGTCGCTCGACGCCGACGGAGCCTCTGCGCACCAGATATACATCAAGAAGGAACTCTTCCAGATCGTCAATCTCGCTTCGCCGCCCCCCACTCGAGTAATCCGGGAGAATCTTGGGAGAACCTTCTACGGCATATTCAGCAAAGGAGACCGGAAACTGCTGTTTGAGTCGATAAACGAGCTAGTGGGCATACTCAACGGTGCTGGGAAGACAGAGAAGGACATCAGGGCGAAGCATGCAGCAGCGCACTGCCTCGGCGCTGTGTTCGAGGCTGCAGGCGATAGTGCGATCGGTCTGCATCCTGGAGCAGTGGGATCGCTGTTGCGCCTCGTCAAGGTTGCGCAAAATCATACCGGATTGAGGGCGACGGTGCTCAAGGCGGCAGGGAAGGTGTTCAAGGGCGTGGGACGCCATGCCGAAGAACCTATCGCAAGAGATGCATGGAAACAGGGCCGTGCCCTGTCTGCTGCTGATAAGTCTGCTCTTGTGCAGACGAGCGCTTGCTACATGTTAGAGCAGCTTATTCGGTCTACGCAGTTCTTCGACAATTCTACCGATTTCGACAAGCTGCAGAGTGCTATTTGGAAGACAATCGATAGCGCATCGGCGTCTGTGAGACATGCGGCGGCATCTTGCATCAGTGCGTCACTAGTCAAGAACTATTCCGAGACGGCTCCTATCGAGATACCGTTGGCACGATCAAAAACGAACAAGAGGAAGAGCAAGAAGCCAAGTGATCTTGAGGGGGACGAGGACATCATCGAACGACCTGATTCGCCAGCTCCCAAGAAGTCAGCTGCAAGACTGTCTTTTACAGTACCGACTCTCCTCAAACAACTCTCAAACCAGTATTGCCGGGCAGCAACCAGCAGCAGAGCAAGAGCTGGCATCATACATTGCTACCTGAAGTCGTTGCGAGGATTGGGCGAGCACGTGGTCGAGACCAAGTATGCGGACATTGCGCGACACTTCTTCTTCGACATCCTCAGTAATTCGACCATCGTGCAGAACCGGTACCGCACCCTCAGCAGCAGGAGATATGTCGCGGTCGTTCTCGAGACAGTCGTTGGCCGCGAAATGCTTGGGGAGTCAGGCCAGCTGAACGCTGCGCGCTTCCTTGTCAATGAGATCCTGAAGGACTACCCACAAGCGCTCAAAGAACGGCCTGAACCCACGAAACAGACGCTAATTGGCACACTCAGCACGCTGTCCTCATTATTCGACAACCTTGGTTCAGCTACGAATGTCATTGCCGATTCGTGTCGTGACGCGCTTCTTCAAGTGCTGCAGCATCCGAGCTACACAGTTCAGGTGTATGCATCATCTTGTCTGCGTTCGTTCGTGTTGGCATGTCCACTGCAGCTCTTGCCGTCCGTTACGATATGCATGAACAGCGTCAATCGAGAGCTTGGACTGTTAGGAGGTCCCCGACAGTCACCTAGGAGATGTGTTGGTCTGGCAAACGGTCTCTCGGCTGTGCTTAGCACATCTACATCCCAGCCGCTCCACGGTTCCGTGGATGTCAACTCGCGGGTATTGTCCCAGGCTACGTCTTTGCTGAAGTCCAGTAGCAACTCTGACCTACGGATATCTTCTACGCAGATTCAAGTTGCTTGGATATTGATTGGCGGACTGATGACCCTGGGCCCTAACTTCGTCAAGATCCATCTGTCACAGCTTTTGCTGCTTTGGAAGAACGCGTTACCGAAACCGCTCAACAAAGACAACATGGTTCAGCGAAACGTGCTTGAATTAAGCTTCCTAGCTCACATACGTGAATGCGCTCTCGGCTCAGTGCTGACCTTCTTGGAGTTCAACAGCAGACTATTGACACTGGATGTGACGAAAAGACTCGCAGCGATGCTGCAAAATACGACGATGTTCCTCAATACGCTTCCGAGCAAGAAGACCACAGACAATGTCTCGGAGCGACTCTCGCCTGTCCTGCAGTTACATGACTTTGATCTCATGGTCCGAAGAAGAGTGTTACAGTGCTATACAAAGCTTGTCGACTTGAGCCCCGCCGGGAGCAGCGAAGTGCTACTCCAAACCAACTTGCTCCCTTTCGCAGTGGCGGCTTTTGCCGATCCCGACCACTATACTCCTAGCTCTCTAGGAATTGCCATCGCAAGCTCTGCTGGCAACTTCGAGAGCATATGGGACGTTGCAGACAACTACGGCTTTGGTGTGACTGGCTTGGTCAAAGGGTATGATATCGAGCCTTTACCGGGCGAGCATGATTCTGAACATCAGCATCATTGGGTGACGAGGCATGGCCCAGAAGCCACTGTCGACCGCACCGTATGTACAAAGATATTGCGTGGGTGAACGTACACTAACATTCAACAGCTTCTCTCGCCTATTTGTAGCGCTCGCGAACACGACTCCATATCACTATACATCCGCAAAGTCAACGACCCCTTCAACCTACCAAATCCGCCAGCCACCGAAGTCGTCAACTCCGCCCTCCAGCTGTTTGCTATCTGTCTCCCTCTCCAGACACCCAAGATCCAAGAAAGTATTCTGGAACAGATCACATCATTCTTGTCCGCAGGTAGCTTACAAAGAGACGTACATCGGAAGTCGGCCATGATGGTGAACATTGCGTATGCCCTCCTCGGGGCATTGAAAGTGGCTGTGAAGGAGACACGGTCCGCTTCTGGTGATTTGAAAGGCTCAGCTGTCGAGAAAGTCATCCAAGAGCTTCTGCATTTGTTTATTGTCTTGCCTGATCCATACGTACGCAACGTCGCAGGAGAGGCCTTAGGTCGCTTATGCAACAGCTCTGGCAACGCCCTTACAACAACTGAAGTCAAGTACTTGGTTGATCAGATTGTAGCCAACCGCGAGCCGAACGCGCGATCTGGCTATGCAGTGGCACTAGGCTGCATACACTCTCAGCTTGGAGGCATGGCTGCCGGCTACCACTTGAAGAACATCCTTGGAATACTAATGTCGCTTGGTAACGATCCCCATCCCGTCGTACATTTCTGGGCTTTGGAAAGTTTGTCCAAGGTGGCCGACTCTGCTGGTCTTACATTCTCCAGCTACGTCACCAGCACCCTTGGCATGCTCGCGCAATTGTACGGCGCGGACACCCATAATGCCGAATCAGCCAGCCTGGCCAACTCAAACCTCGAACTTGATCTCCCAACTCCAGCGGTAATCGCACGCTGTATCGATAGCACAATCAATGTTCTTGGCCCGGACCTTCAAGACATGTCTAAAGCACGAGACATGGTCATGACGCTAATCAGTCTTTTCAAAACCGAGTCAGATATACTCATCACTATTGAATGCCTGAAGTGCCAGGAGCATCTCTCTTTATACGCTCCAGGCCATATCGAATTTTCGGTATACATCAAACAACTGCAAAAGGCCGTCGAGAGCAATGCTACCCAGATATCTGACATGGCTGTGGATGGTCTCCACAACCTAATGCGAAGAGACACGGAAGAAGTTATACGGTCAGGCGAGCCGGGGCTTGAGGACCAGCTCTGGCATATCCTCGACAGAGAGCCTGAGCATGAGGTTGTGCGGAATGTCATCCGCAACTGGCTGCATCAGACCGGACTTACGGACACAGCTACTTGGGTTCAGAGATGCCATTCCGTGCTGACCAAGACGAAGAAAGTCGCCGAGGCAGAAGAAAAAGTAGATACCAAACCGAAAGGCGGACAGACTGATTTGCAAGACGAAGAAGTGGCCGGTTTCGCTGCGGCGGCTAACGCCCCAGGTGAAGATGGAACTGCTACACAGACAAGCCAGGAGCTACTGAAGTGGCAGGTCAGGACGTTCGGCATGGACTGCTTGAGCGAGCTTCTGGCGATGGTGAGCAAGGAGGCGGCTTTCAGAGAAGAAGCGCCGTGTGTGATGGCGTTACAAAAGCGGATAGCAGATGTCGTTCGCATCGCGTTCTCGGCGTCGACTGCAGGCGTCGTGCAGCTGCGGATACGTGGTCTAAAGATTATCGACCAAGTCCTCAAGGTTTGTTCAATAACCTACTAGTGAGACGTGTGCTGATAAAAGTTGCACAGCTCTTTGGCAAGACACCGGATCCTGATTTCCCGGAAGTAACACTGCTCGAGCAGTACCAAGCACAGATCGGATCTGCTTTGACACCCGCTTTTGCGGCAGACTCTTCGCCAGAACTCGCTGCAGAAGCTGTTAATGTTTGCGCAACTTTCATTGCCACGGGCATCGTGACGGATGTCGATCGTATGGGACGTATACTCAAGCTCCTAGTTTCTGCGCTTGAAAATTTCTCCAGTGAGTTTATCGCCTTGTTCCCAGAAACATCCTCCTGACATATTTCAGGCGAAACGGAAGCCGCTGCGATTGGTGATCTCAAAGGCCTCAGCTCGAACGCCGCGGTCATGGTCAAAATGTCGGTCTTTTCAGCATGGGCTGAGCTCCAGATCGCCAGTGCGGAACAGAAGTACTTGGTCGATGTACTTAGGCCTCATATCGCTCGTCTTACTCCACTTTGGCTCGCCTCACTACGTGAATACGCCCGTCTAAGGTTCGAGCCCGATATCTCATCGATGGGCTCAGCATCGCTTTCTGGAAGCTTGGACACTATTTACGCCGCTCTGAACAGAGAGACACTGCTGAAGGTGGGGAATGCTTCTACATGCGAATATTTTTACTTACAGGTCGCAGTTCTACCAAGAGTCATGGCTTAACCTTGTCGATGCAATTGCAAGCTTGATCGATGAAGATAGCGAGTTCGTCTTTGACGCGCTGGACGGCAAGACCGAGTTTGATGAACAGTCAGCAACGCCAAACAAAAACCCTGATCACATCAACTACCGCGATGAACCCGTGGCTTTCTTCTTTGTTCTATTTGGGCTTGCATTCGAAGCACTAGCAGGGCGTCCAGGAGATTTACAAGCGTCGAAAGAGCAGATCTTGGAGATTCTCCAGGCCCTGAAGAAGATCCTCCGACCATCGGTCTCTGGTCACGCCATCTACCAGGAGGTGGTATTCTCGGAAACAATGGACATGCTTGACCGCCTAGTTCTCACAGAGGGACTGCAAGTTCAGACCGTGATAGTCGAGATAGCGAGGAATCTCTGTCTGGGTCACCCATCTGCGAAGAGAGCCCAGTATGTGTCACCCACCCTCCATATTGAACAGCTTGCTGATTGACCAACAGCACCACCAATGGCGATGAACATCTATCCGATGATATTGAGCAACTGTTCGAACTCACCCGCATCATGGTCCTCGTCTTGACCGGCCTCGTGCCTAGCCTCGATGATGGCAAGAGCGGTGGTACGTTTTCTTTCCTGACTGTGCCACTACAAACTCTGATCACTACCACAGTTCGTCACGATCTCAACGAAGAAGCCGTTGCTCTACTCACCACCGCCCTTTCCGCTCTCGTTGACGCAGCGCGCGTCTTCCCCGCAATCATCAAGACAGACCTGCATGCCTGCATTCTTCACATCTTTGTCACTATCCTTGGCACTGGCTCTTGTCAAGCCACGGTCATTCCACAAGCCCTCCCCATCTTCAAACGCTTCGTCACCAGCATATCGCAGATAGCAGAGTCCGGCTCAGACACCAGCACGCAGCTCCGCGCTACACTCGTCCGCTTCCTCCAGACGCTCAAACGCGCGCAAAACCGCGACTTCGACGCCGCCCTCGCATGCGAGAAAAACACAATACTTACCACGACCATCCTACTCAGCTCCGCAGCTTCCGCTTTCACCGCCGACGACCCGCTCATCGAGCGCTTCATCGAAGAGCTCTTCGACTGCCTCGGCAGCAGAATGACCAGCAAAGTCGCTGCGGGCTGCTGTCGCTCCCTCCTGTTACTCCCGAAGAAATCGCCCGTGGAAACCGCCATTGCAGCACAGATCCTCCCGCAGGTCCTCAACTTCATCGCTAACCCATCCGAAGTCGAAGGCCTCGACGAGTCCCGATCTACACTCGCACAGACGCTCGTGGCGTTCATATCGACGCTGTCCACCCCCTCGCAGCGCATCGTAGCGTCCAAGCTCGTTATTCCTGCCCTCCTCGCTAGAGTGCGGAAAGAGCCTAAAGCCAGTGCGGAGACGGCGGGCAGGTTGCTGGAATTTGCAGGCGCCGATCAAGCTAGTTTCAGAGAGGTTGTGGGAGCGTTAGGGGCGCAGGAGAAGGAGTTCTTGCAGGGGGTGCTGAAGAGTGGGCAGGGCGTTAGGAGGGAGGTGAGGGAAGAGACAGGGGAGCCGAGTATTGCGTTGAAGATGAACTTTGGGCAGTGATGGGAGATAGAGATAGAGGCAAGGGCCTTTGGAGTGAATTCAATGTTTTGTTAATTCTTGAGCTAGTGAGGTGCAAGAAGGTGCGTACATTCCTGCGGAGACCTGATGGCACCTTTCCTGAGAAATGTAGCATGTGCCTGTCCTTTATAGAAATGGCAGTCGCCTGCAAGCTTTTGTTGTGTATAAGAAACTTTCCTGCTGAGCGCATCCATGATTAATGCCGACACTTCTTCCGGCCTACGTTCCAGACCCCTCACCTTTTTCGACGGGTCGCGCTGATTCGGTGCACCCCTGAGGGTTACACAAGTGAGGCGCAACGGGGCGACTCTGAGGTCAGCGCGGCCAACAGTCCGTACTACGGGCCGTACTATACGACCCGTAATTAACTTTTGGCCGTCCTTACCGTAGAGATCTCGCGTCCGTAGAGTTGTCGTACCGTAGTGAAAATGAGGCCGTAATACGGCCGTATATTACCTAATTAGGAAGGAGGCGTGAGTGGCGTTGGATGTGGCAAATCTGGGCTGCTTTAGGCGTAGGATGTACCTATATCGCATAAATATGGAACTGTGACTCCTATCTAACTTTTCGCCGTGTTTCCTATACAATAATTAGCTTAGTTATCTATATTGCCATTACTATTATGCTGAGTTAATGAATGAGCTCATAGAGCACACAGGAGTACGTGTGGGTCCTAGGTGTTGCCATTAACTCCAACACCACATTATGCCTTTGCCGCTCGCCGAGCGCTCCCATTAGCCAGCTCCTCGCGAGCGTCGTCGTCGTTAGGCCAGCCTTCTCACGAGTATCTGAAAGGCTGCAATTTAGGCAGGGAGTTAGATATCGATTGGAACAACCTGTGGCATAAATGGACGAAGCTCGCTAGTGGACGGCTTAGTTACCCTATACTCCATAAGTTAATGGCGATAGGAGGCCGCAACGCCTTAATGATATGGTGATATAGAGTAGAGCTTGTTTACCTAGATAATGACGGCGTTAGTAGGAAGGTGTTCTTTCTATGTAAAAAATGCTATATAAATCGTACACTGAACTGCCTTTATAACATCAGATCTGGCACTGCTCATATTATCAACCACATCGCGAAGGTGCACAACATCAATCTAGGTACTAGTTTGATGCCGCCAGCTGTTGGCATGCTATTGGATCCGTTCTAGAAGGCTGCTGCCACGCCTAGAGCTCAGCTAGGTGTTGCTCACTCACCATGGCAAGAAGTAGAGCTCTTGAAGGCGTACGTTGACTGGGCAATACTCCATGATCTGAGCTTCCGGGTGGTGACGGCGGCCGACACGAGAGGCTTGATGATATGGAATCGGCCCGATCTGCTGCGTGCGCTGCCAGCAAGCCACTCCACACTTTCTAGATACGTAAAATCAGCGCGTACGGAGAGGAAGGACGTAGTAAGGGAGCTCCTATGCTGCTTAGTGAGCTGGATAAGTATAAGTACGGACATCTGGACGTTGTCAAACAATGTGGACTTTCTGGGAGTTGTCGCTCACGGACCTCTCCGAAGGCCTCCTTCCTATTTAGGAAAATTATATATAAAGTTCGCCGTATAACTTTACGGTACGGCTTGTTGATGATACCGTACTTACGTCTCTGCCGTAACGTCCGTACAGTAATTGCTTACAACCGTAACGTAACCGTAGCTAGGTCTCACCAGCCGTAGTACGGACTATTGGCCGCGCTAGACTCCCTAGTCAGGACGCGGCTGCCTTACGACGAGCTGAATACACCTTCTAGCCACCTAGCTCTCTGCCTAGATCATTTCCTCCATATCGAAGCCCATCAAATCGATGCGTGAGCAAACACAGTCCTACAAACACCAGTCGCTAGATCATACAAAAGCACAATTACGAGTCCAACGTCTCTGCCGGAGCCAAGCTGGCAGGAGATCTCCCTTATCTTGCGACATGGACGTTTTCGGTCCTAATATTCTCGACTTCAGCCATAATCTTTTCACGTTTGGTGACGATGTCTGCCGTGGAGATTGTCCACTGTTCAGCACTAATGCAGGCGATGTCAATGATCTAGATGTGCCTATCTATTTCTGATTAATCAACTCTGCATCAACCAGGATAATGTTATTGGGCGTATTCATCAGGTCGCTCTAATGTCACGCAAAAACTCTCAAGCTGCAAATACCGGTGTATGGTTACGCGATGAAGGCTTATCTTGAATATCTTGAGGTTCCACCGGATCTCAATCTCAAGAATTTTCTTGGGCCTAGAAATTCTTTAATGGCAACATTCTGGCGCATAGTATGCCACAAATACTTCGGCCACCTATGGATTCTTCAAGAGATAATAGTAGTCAAGGTTATACAAGTCATGATCGCTGGCCAGGTGTCGATGTGTTGGAATGATCTAATGGACACAATTACCGCAGAACGATGAAATCACCTTCTAGAACCATATTGTATCTATTGTCTGGGCGTTGCTTGCCGAAGCGGGAGCCATGATGGGTACATGGATGCTAATGCATTGATCAGTATGTTTGGCAGAAACAACTGTTCTGACCCCAAAAAATAAGACATACGGGCTTATGTACTTTTTATGAAAAGATCTTCACCGAAGTTGATTATAATAAGTCCCTATATTAGATAATCCTCGAGGTCTTCAAGCTGCAAATACGTCAACATGAAGAGCAGCTGCGGAAGGATTGGCAGCATTTGTACCCTGGAACCAAGCACTTGGCTTTATTGGGTTCAGAGCTTGGCTTGACTCCTCCTCAGCGCAAACGCTGACTGGGAAGTCTGTACACCGGTCCGGAATAAGTACTATTACATTATCCCTGAGCCAGTTTCGGCATACGAAGATGCACATACGGACTACACCACACCGTAGACTTCGGCTTTGAGTCTGTCTCGTCATCGAACACGTCCCCCGATCAACACCGCGACAATTTCGAGGAGTACTGGTGGTATGAAAGCGGTACTGAGCGCCGTGTCTTCTCTTGTCAGCCGTTTTCTAATATTGAAGAGGATCCCTTTGATCCTGGAATGAAAGATGCATGAATCTGTAAGGCTCTTCCGATCAAAGGCGCTCAGGAATGGATGTTACTTCAGCAAGTAGCGACATTGTTCCACGAAATAGGCAATAGTTACATAACAAATGCACAAAAATACCCTTGGATCTTATAAAAACGTCCACGAAATTGACCAGTCCCAAATATGGACGCTTGCTCACCCGGAAGCCCCAGAGCTGCAAGTCACACCCGGATTCGCATCATCACTACTGGCACACGGAATCATCGCCTTCCTCTGACAAGAGATTGGGAGGAAGATACTGAGATGCACTTCTGCTGCTCACATCCAAAAGTAGACCTGGCAAAACCGATAACGCCCCGCCACGCGCAGAGTCACCGGCTGGCTTCCAGTGGCATTGACTACAGTACTAGGCCAAAAGTTCCCGAGCCCAACGCACAGACCCCGCACAACAGCATCTCCGCGCTCCTGACGCGTCAACTTCATCCTACCATAACTCGACATCCACATGTCGCCTTTACAAGAATTTAGCGGCAATCGAAAGCGCGGCGGCAGTTTATCCTAAATGCCAAGATTTAATTCTTGAAAAGCGTGCAGATGGGGCGACAGTAGTAGAGTTACAAGAAGCTGCTAGGTGCTCACGATGGGCAGTGCAAGAGACTTTCCGACGCTACAAGAAACACCCACACAACAAAGGATTTACCACGTTCTGGGAGGCCAAAAGTTGCTACAAATAGAGAAGATCGTGCGCTCCTTCGTGCAGCAAGAGAAAATCCTAAGGTCACCTACAAATATTTGCCCGGTTTGGCTGGTGTAGATGGGCATACATCTACTCATAACACTACGCCCTCACGCCGCACTATCCAACGAAGACTATCTGAATTTGGGCTTCAAAAAACAAAGGCAGTAAAGAGACCAGCTCTTACACTAGATCACGCTCAGAAAAGACGTGGATTTGAGCGTGATTGGCGCGGATTTCAATGGCATCAAACCTGTGTCAAGTTCAGTGATGAATGTTCCATCCAACGCGGCGTAGATCCACGTGCGCAGTGGGTATTTCGACTCCCTCATGAAAAATACGCCCATAACATGATCCAGGAGGTCAAATCAACTGGTATCATAGGCCAGATGTGCTGAGGCGCTATATGGTTGGATAGCAGAGGTTGCCCACGGCGCAGTGAATTGATGTGACGATTTTAGGACCGTAGGTATCGTGCAATGGAAAATATTGAAGGCTCACTGAAGTTGTATTACTGTGATTCTAACTGAACTATATAGCCATAGTGAGGCGATCGTCAGGGGAGTTGACTTATTCAGAGTTTCCTGATTCAGTAGCTGAATTATAACGATTGTCGCGATCCTCAGGAGTCCATGCGCACTCGGTCCGAATACGATCGATAGTAACGTAGATTGAACTGCGACAGAAAATCACCAAGACCTACACGGGATGACTAGTAACATTGTAGATCGAGTCCAATAATTCAGAGAGAAGTAAGAACTATACAAGGACGAGGAAGTGATCTTTTACATTATATGATGAGTGGAGTTAGATCATGAGGTGTTGGATTGTCCTAATCGAGGAAAGGCATCCAAGAGCCTATTCGGCACCATGCTAGGCAACGCGTGTAGCTACCTACTTAAGAGCACAAGAAACGGTGAGTACTTTGACCGTGCAATTTTCTGGACTGTAGAGCCTTATGAAGAAGAGGGAACCATTCCACCAAATCCAGTTCTCAAGTGAAGGATGCCGCATCGCTCGCGCGACCACGGATTGCAGCTTTTGGGATGTTGACGATAAGAGCTGCGTAGGTGTAGATAGCGTTGATACCGGCCTGATTACCGTACTATAAGCACATGAGTAAGTCATCTTCACATGGTACACTCTTCGGTGTGAGACCTACGGTAAGATGAACCATGCCAACATTCGCATGGCGAGGTTGGGTAAGCCAGAGGACGTCGACAGCGTCACCGAACTCATCGATGATCTCCTGTAACGGCTCCTCATAACCCCCAGTCTCTGTCACAACCACTTCACCCAAACGCCGAATGTAGCTCAAGTCTTTCTTCCGGGTGGTCTCATCGGAGTCATCGTAATAACGATACTGGTCTCGGAAAAGCCCATTCTGACTATCAAGGACAGACTTGACCTCGATCTCAAGCCTAAGCGACTGGAACACAGAATAGACGGCCATGTCCTGATACATTTTAGATTAGATTTTGGTACAGTTCGGTTCAGGCCCAGCCAGTGACTTACCGAGCCCTTGAGAACACCCGGTAGTTGCTGCGCGCCTTCCTTGGTCGAGTGAGCGTAAGCGTGTTGGCAGTGGATTCCAAGATAGCCACCTGTCTACGTGTCAACGTGAGATCCGACTGTCACGGAACGTTCATATACCATTTGACATGAAATCTGGGTTATCCAAGGCTTCTTGAATCTTCGAATGCAGCGGTAGGCTCTTCACACTCATAGTAGGGCCATTGCCTACCAGCTCGCCGATGTCTGAAGTGTAGAACAAGTTGTAGGTCAGCGTGACTCGGTTACCCTCCGTAACTTCCAACACCTCATGCTCGCAGTCGCTGTAGAACGCAGCCCATTGCACGGATGTATTCACTAGTTCAGATGCGCCCCAGTCAAAGGTCATGGAGTGCCCTGCATGGCGAACAATGAGTTGGCCTCCCTCATAGTGGCATGGGAGTGACACAACCAGAGATCCAAACTGGAGATCTGATCGAGGGGTGTCGACATGAGATTTGAAGAAGCCTGAAGGAGCACCATAGATCTTATTCATGTGTCAGACTGGTCACGGTTCCGCGCTAAAATGAGAACCCTCAACCTACGTTCAGCTTGTAGAGCTCGGCCCTCACACCGTGCGTCGAGGAACCGATGTGCGCACCGTCGTCGCTCTTTGCGTTGGGAAGCAAGATCTGGGCAATTCTGTCGATGATTCCAAGCTCATATGGGCAGAAGTCGACCGAGAATGCAGAGCGATCCAACTTTGTTGCCTTGCGATAGGTCTCGTCGAGCACATCCTCGCCTTTGTAACCGAAGCTGGCAGGCTCACATTCCTCGAGAAGCTTCGAAAAGTTTTGCATCTCCATCGTGTTGGTGGGATCAACGGGAAAGGTAAGCTTGCCTACACCAGTAGCGGAGTATTTGGAATCCCAGCGGAGCGCAAATGGGAAGGTGATACCAGCAGGCTTAAGATCGCCTGGAGTGTCTGACACTCCTTGCTTCTTGAACGTTGTTAGCGATACTTGGAATTAATATACGCGCGAGTAGCTTACGATAGGAATCGTACCGCCACAAGCAAATGTTGAAGACTTGCTGACGATAAATGAGCCAAGCTCCGCGGATATCGCGTCTGTGAGAGCAGTCTTGATGGAAGACATTGTTGAGATTCTTCTAGCTCTTTACTGCCCTTTCAATTTTATGAGTGGAAGCAAGTGGCGTGGGCGTCGGGGAGCTTTATTGAGACAGCGTTAATCCACGCCAAGTCGCGGAAGCACGGGACCTGTGCAGCCTAGAGCCAGTTGCACAAAAAGGGTCTAGACAAGGCAGCAACATCACACGTACCATAGACGTACAACTCGAAGAGGCTACCTCAGCAGTTTTCGTAAGAGTTATGTGGTTCGCTTCGGACGCCACGCAGCTAGCACACTTTCACTGGCTTTCACAACGGTTCTCGCACCATCGATCGACAAGTGAACAAGATTTGATAAAGCTACACGTCGAATAAGCTGCATACGAAATCTTGGACTATATGCTAACATGATACACCTGCTACGCGCATACGGGGTGGCTTTGTACAACGAGTAAGGTCGCAATTACTAACACAACAGGAAATCGCAGGCGACTGACATGCTGAATATTGGTTACATCTGAATGAGTGGCCTACATAATCTTATTATACTTACTACTTGTATAACACTACAGGATGTTGTGTGATGACCTCAACATCCCCCTTGAACTCTGTACCCTGGCCCTTATTTCCCGCGTCCTCCTAGCACTTTCTTGGGTCTTTCTCACCCTCGCGCCACAGCGTTCCAGTGGTCCTCATAAAACCCTGGTTCGTCACTCCTGGCGTTGTCTTTTCTCATTCCCTTGCTTTTGTTTCCACACAGCTTCAATGCGCCGACATCCGTCTCGAAGAAGAGCCAAGAATCCTCGTTCTAAATCTCGTCGATGTAATTCTAGAAAATGACGGAGAGTCCTTTGAATAGCGGAGGGGGGTCGGGCGCAGGCGTACCGGGGTTTCCTGAAATGGGTATAGGGGTCCTTACACGACTTGGGCCGGTAAGGTTCGTCTCCAAAGTCGTCGTTATTACCGCCGGAGCTGTGCCAATCTCTATATTTCTCCCTGATCCAGAACTCGCGGCCAGGGCACCATAGACACCACGGCGGGCGCTGCCAGTTGCTGTATTAGATCCCTTTGGCTGCATCATAAACCTCTGAACAGAAAGTACCTTAGTAGGGCTTTTAGAAAACAGCTGAATAGCTGTAAACTCGATCCCGACCTCAGATTTCACTCATATCTGATCTCCGCCCTCCTACCTCCTGGGATCGTTGAGGGAGCGCCCAAGAACTCACGCGCCGGCTGCCCCTTCCGATTGAAGTTCTGCTACAACTGCTCCACATGATACAGTCTGTAGGAATCGTATTATATATATCGCAGAGACTAAGTCGGCGCGAGTTCAGGTAGGGTGATGCATGCTTGGCGTGTGCGGCGGTGATGAAATCCGAGGCGGGCTTGTCATATCCATCCCATCCAAAGAGACATGTCCCCTTTAAATTCTGCGCGTCAATTGTGTTTCAGATGTCATCTATGATTGGGGGTTAGGGAGGAACGGGTCGCTTGAATAGTGAGGGTTAGTTTCGTAGCGAGTGACGTTGTAGTTTACAAAGTCTGCTCGGACATGAGGCTGTGACAGAAATAATATGATAAGTTGGAGAGGAGGTCATGGAAGCCTGTGGAGGACTATACAGGTAATGCATTTATAAACTATTGGGAGAGCAAGACATCAGGTGAGGATGGGGAGTTTCAGCAGAAGTGGGAGCACAGCTAGAGGGCCGGAGGAGGAAGGTGGAAAAATTATCTTGACTTACTGAGAAATGGCTATCATGCCAGAAATCTTCGTGGCCTGTGGCCCATCGGATGTTGTGGCTCGAGTGGGTCTATTTGCGGTAGATATGGCGAAGTGTACTTGTGAGACCTCATATCAAGTTATAATTGTCTAATGGTCCTGTGTCTTGGTTCATATGTATGATTTTCTCCCAGCAGAGGGCGTCTGTTATTCGCAACACTAGTCACTGTTTCATCATACTGATACTTGAACGCCTTTTACTTTCGCAAACTCTTGCCGGTTACAGTGAGACTTTTCCTATTCTATTCCGTATAACTCCGCTGCACGCGAGTAATCTCGATTTCAAACGCACACGTACATATGTTCTGTGCGGGTTATATACCTAGAGTATACCTAGTTCGCAGCTGAAATTGATACAGCATTGGAATGCAGTGTCTTACTGCCGGATTCTGTGCTGACAATGTCATCATGCTACATCTGCCAATGGTATGGCGAGCTGAGCTGTGACCACTATGTACGGGGCCAGCTGATTGGCAGAAGGCACGCCCCCACCAACACCTGCGGCCATTATGTATATAATTGGTAAAGCCGAAATCAGGAGGCGCAGCAACATATTTGCCTGGAACATGAGCGAGTACTTTCCTGAAATGAGTTCATCTCCATCCCCAAGACCATCGGGACCAAGAGCGAACAGACAACATTTAAATCTACAACCTTGCCAACTGGGGGACGATGTCAACACCCAGCCCAACGATCTATCGTCAAGCGCTTCAAGACTGCAGCAAGCTCCAGGGAGAAGAAGTACTTAGATGCCTGCAATCATTTCTCGGTGCAGATGGCGGGGCATCACGAACTCTGCGGGAAACATTACTTCGTTCTCTAGGAGTTCATGTCGTTTCGCTTGTCTCGTACGGGCACTTGATGAGCCTGCAAGGGCTCGCTTCTACCAATTCATCTGAAGCCTGTGCACGTCTTGTTATATTCTTCCTTTTCCCTGAGCTAGCGATTGCACAGCTCCTCTCGCGAACCGCAACGTCTCTCGCACAATTGTCTCGGAAGAAACGCCTCCACATTCGATACTGGTTCGCGAGTATACTTGGTAGCTACGTTGTTGTATCGGGACGGGCGTTGCCTTTGGGCAATCTCGATCCTGATCGGATGCGTTTTGAGCGCGGAAAATACGGCTTGGTATGGGCGGCCCGATGCATTGCGTTAGCCCTAATCCTCGCTCAGTATATTGGGGGCCTTGGAATCTGGTTCCGAATGCTCTTCATCTGGAACCGATACAGCCTCGATAGTCATTTTTTGGCGCGAAACTACCACATGAGCCTGGGAGGTGTGACTGCTGTATGTAACAGCATCTTGCTTGCCGCCATCAACCTGCAATGGCGCTGTATCTCTGGCTCTCCTAGCTCTGCAATGGAATCGTTAGAAACAGAAAACGAATTGACAAGCCACATTGGACAACAGCCTATCTTGTTAGATGCTGAGACATCGGTATCGACCATGGACCCAAGATCAGAAGAAGGAACCGGATCGAAAATGTACATTCTGCAGAGACTAGAATCATTCGATTTGGGTTTTCGCTGTTGTCTCGACCAATGGTACACCGAGCCCTCTCATCATAAGTTACAGGATGCGATGGTTGTCCATACCTTATCGATGAGTCTCACATGTTTTCTTTGTTCTTTCCGATCCTCCTGGGATCCTCTACGTCTGACTGAGATCTTTCGGTCCAATTCACCAAATGGACTAGATCCCCATGAAAAGACTTGGAATATGATTGGCAGCGTATTCAACACTGCTGCTTATACTACGTTTTTCAAAGGAAGTCCACAGCGAGATGAAGTATATTACAAGACATTTTCCGTTCTCGAAAATCTGCTGATGGGGTGTGTGTCTATTCGTTTGGTTGCGAAGAGTGCGAGGGTGAGCAAATACGCGCCACGCCTTGGGGCAATATGCGTGTTTTGTGATAAATGGATCACAGGCGGTCGGAGCCTCTTATCTTTCCCTTGTTTCCTCATTGTATTGTTTTTTTATGTTTGGGCATGGGTAGGTTCGCTATATCGATCTGTGAAGGTGGCCCACCTCGCGGCTGGCATCATGGAAAGAGGAACGCCTTGGGATCGACTTCACTTGGGCGCCTATATGTATAAGGACCCGTGGTATGATAATATGTACATACTTTAGGCATTTTGGTGAATGTGTCACGTAGTCAATCTCTCGTACACTTTTGGCGCCCTGAGGAGTGATGTCACGTGCAGTTTGCGTAGAGCAGATCATGGATGTTGCCAAATAGAATGGTCAACTCTAGTTGAGACTGAAGAACGGACGCGTAGTCGTGTCCATATGCATTATACGGTTGAAGCGTGGGAAAGTCGCTCGCCGTGAACTTAGTAGTTAATGACGGACCTCGGTACCAGAAAGCCTGCCCCATACGGATACTACTCTGGCGGTCCGCAATGTACATGACTAATGACAAAGTCAATGATATTTCTTTTCTGACTTGGTATTGACATACATGTCCAGGCTAGGCGCTTCCTGTGCAACACAGCGTTGTCATCTTCAGAAGCATCCCCCCTGAAAGCATACTTGTCGAGATGAAGCAGATAGGCCTGCCGTACAGCAAGCCCCACCATTTTCCACGCAGCTGTATCTTCGGTGCCCGCCAGACCACCGTTTTCCTGGTGTGAGATGTTCGACAGGCTAGCGTCCGCATGGGGAACCCATTCAGCCAATATCAACAGTCCCTCGACACAGCCCACAGTGCGGACCTCTTTTGCTCCCAAAACTACTCGCAATAATATTCCTTCCATCGATTCCCACAGCACAGCGTGCATCGAGGCATGTTTAGGCCGGTCCTTTGTCGCGATGAAGAGTATGGCGGTATGGACAAATGGCTCCTCGCGGCTCGTACAACATATGTTCTTGGATGAACACACGTCTCTTGGGGCCAACGGAAGGAAACAGTGGTTTATTTCCTGGTAGCTATCGAGTCAGTGAGATTCAGCAAAGGCTTCCTCGACCCCTCCACTTGATTTTACAACTGCGTTCTGTCGGGTGTACCTCACGTTGATATATAAATAGTTGCAAAATTATCGATTTCAGTCTCTACATCCATCTCGATTCAACCTGCAAGAGATAGATTCTTCAGACAGTGCAATATGACACCCGGGGCCCTTGTCGCCGATACTCTGCCTGGAGGCGCTGCCCTCTCCAAACCGCTCACCCAGGTCGACTCCAGTACATCCCGATACACTGGACTTCGAGTCCAACTTTGGGCCCACGCAACCAGAGACAGTCGGCTACTTGCAACCAACATCGGCTGATACTCCTTTGGAGGTTATGCACGAACGATATCAGAGGGATGGGTACTTATTTGTATGATAATGAACGATGCAAGTGAATTGAACCTACTAATTCATATAGATGAAACATTTGCCGCCCAAGGAAAAGGTCATAGAATGCCGACGAGCCTACTTCGAGCATATGGCGCCATCCGGCCTCCTCAAACCTGGTACTGATGCCGTTGAAGGCACATATTGCGGCACCGATTCCCGGAAATACCTCCCACCAGGTAATCTTCGCCGCCTTTTCGGGATCAAGGACGATCCACAGTCGGAAAAATACGCTGAACTTATGATCGGCGCCCACGAGGCAGACTTCTACCCCAAGTTGACAGAGATTCCTGAATTGCGCGCGTTCGTCCGCAAATTCACTGGATGGAAGAGGGAGACAATGCTCCAGAGGAGTATGCTAAGAGCCTTTGTGCCCAATTCGGAACTGACGCCCGGCCATTACGACCAGATGTACCTTCGTGCAGGACCACCCACATCGTTGACGGCGTGGGTACCAATTGGACCTGTATAATTGGAAGCAGGCGGATTGATGTACCTTGACAAATCGTACGACATTGGACAGGCGACGGAAGAACAGTTCAAGCGAGATAATCACAATTTGACAGACAAGGAACGCGTCTCGGCATTCAACAAGAATATGAATGATGGCGGCTTCTTGTCATGCGACGTTGTTGAGTATGGCCAGCAAGCGAAGCGAAAATGGCTTATTATAGAGTACGAGGCGGGCGATGTGATCTTTAATAGTCGGTGGATGGTACATGCAAGTTGCAAGAACAAGGACTCAGAAGCAAGTATTAGGCTCGCTACAGATCTGCGGTTCGTCAACCCAAATGAGCCTTACGACACTAGGTGGATGAGGATATATCGCCTTTTGGACGGAGTGTAGATGGATTTAATTGACTCATTAGTATAGCGCTCGCATCTTCGATGCAGTTTCACAATATACTCTTCCTCTGGAAACTTACCATATTTGCTGTAGACTGCAAACCATTGTGTAGCCTCGTCTTCAGTCCACTAGTACAATGAGAACCGCCCATCTACGGAGAGTAACAGAGCTCAAGTTTATTGAGACTTCACGAACCCAATACGGGGATTGACCCTTCTTGCATACACATTCTGTTTAGCTTCTTCCCTCTAAAACGAACCTCCAGATTCAAGGAACGGGCGACTGATTTCACACAGCACTAACGCGGCCATGCATCAGAGTCAGTTCCTGTAAGATACGCACACGTGAGGCTGGCCCCCACCGGGCGATAGAACTAATGGGAGCTTACAAACGCCAATACGAGATGTCCATGAGCTTACCCATCAATGTGGACGGGATCGACACTTTATGCATAATCTAAGATCTGTCATAATCGATGTGGCTTACGCACGGCGATTCGGTGAGCTACGTAGGTCTGGCGTCTTCATTCTTCGAGGGGCTCGTGCAGTGCAAAGGTTCCGTACGAGACGCGTACCTTGACGGTATGTGATTGAACGACCTCGCGCGCAGGCTTCTTTGGTGCGAAGAGGACTCCAGGTACAGCGGTATTCGCGTGCAGGCTGAACAGAGCGCTGTCATCAGCGCGGCTGCCAAGTTACTGAAAGGCAATAGTCATCTTGGAATTGGCTTCGCTGCGTCAGGCCAATTCTTTTCCTCATGGACGGCAGGGAACTCGTGCATGATCTGCATCTCACTATCAGGGGCCCGCGTGCCACGCCACCTAGTCAAGATTTTCGTCGGTACGAGTTGGCCAGGAGATCGTGAGGAACTACGGGTGTCTGGCAGATTTGTCGGATCCGTCTTTACACTCACCGTAACGCGCACAGAAGTAAACAAAATCAGGTCTGTATCGGATTACCGTGTCAAGATGATGAGTGGAAAATGGAGCGACTAATTCTTCCGGTGTGCCCTCCATCTCGATAGGGCGTTTTTTGGTCCAGGTACCGCATTTCATAAATGAGGAGCACTCTGTCTTCGCCATGTTGGTCCAAACATCCTCTCAGCTTCCTTCTTCTCGGGACGCACTGATACTCTTGGTGCGAGAAGGCCAAAATCAGTCTTCTGCGTTCCGATGGCTAGGACTGGGCATTGTACATTCCGAAGAGCTCGGAGATCACATGTTTTGTTTGCGGGTATGAAGGGTATGAAGTCTCCTTCCAAAGGACTGCAGGAAGTGTCGGTTGAAATTGTATAGCTATATCAGGTGCACATCTCACTTACAAACGGCACTATCTAGATGAATTACCCACTATCCTGTCGTAACGCAAACTGAAATTGTACCTACGCCTGGGTCACTCATTAAGATATCTTTCCTAACGCACTTGAGGGCGTCTTGGGAACAATGACGCAGTGACTGTGAAGTTCCTGAGTGCAACAATGTGCATCTTTTCTCTCTACCGTATCATGTGTTCTGTTCTTAGTGCAAATTCGCCGTCAGTATCCGCCAGGTCAAATTCGGGCATCGTGTCCAGGAGGAAACCGGAGACGTAGTCGCCATACCCCTGAGCTCGTGGCCAACCACACGTCCGACCGTGCAAGCTTGTGAAGACGCTTGCGCGAATGAGGAAATGCAGTTGAGACGCATAAAGGAGGAAATTACTGCAAGAGGACGAGGAATACCATTTCCGCGCACGTGACGGGCACTAGCCTCGATCGGCGGATGCGAACCTCGGCCCAGAGGCGGCTCGGAATGCGACTCGAGTGACGTTCACAAGCTGGAGCGAGCGGTTCCGCACATAATGCTGCACCACAAATCTTCCACTCCTTTTGCACACATTGTTGCGTAGACGTAGCTTTGACACACTGGTATTTGATATAGGCCAAGAACGCCGTTGCCTTAGATCTACGAAAGAACGACCGATCGGACCTTCCCCGCGCGACTCCTCATCCTGAGCATTCACATCATGTCAGGCGCGCAGAAAACAGCACAAGAGAAGCTCGCCGAGTCGACGCAGTCGGTGCCCACAAGCACGGCAGCTCAGCAGAGCGACAATGTCGCGCACGCGCTTGCCGGCGCTGGCGGAGGTCTGCTTTCCATGGCCTTGACGTACGCTTCGCGATCCTGTAGATGTGCCATCATTCACTGACATGCGGCCTAGCTACCCCCTGATCACGCTATCCACACGCGCTCAGGTCGAATCCAAGCGCGCGCAGTCGTCAACTCTTGATGCCGCCCGCCGCATCATCAAGCGCGAGGGCGTCGCCGGCCTCTATGCAGGCCTCGAGTCGGCCCTCTTCGGCATCAGCGTCACCAACTTTGTCTACTACTACTGGTATGAGTGGACGCGCGCCTTCTTTGAAAAAGCCGCGCTCAAGGCGGGCCGCGCCTCCAAGAAACTCACAACCGTGGAGTCGATGATGGCGGGCGCGCTCGCGGGTTCCGCAACCGTCCTCATCACGAACCCCATCTGGGTCATCAACACGCGCATGACGGCCCGCAAGGCCGACAGCGATGAGCCTGCGCTGCCGGGCTCGAAACCTGCAAAGGCGCCGTCCACGCTCGGCACGCTGCTCGCGCTGCTCAGGGAAGAGGGCCCCGCCCGCCTCTTTGCCGGTGTGATGCCTGCGCTCGTACTCGTCATCAATCCCATCCTGCAGTACACCGTTTTCGAGCAGCTCAAGAACCGCCTCGCGCAGCGCCGCCGCGTGACGCCCACTGACGCCTTCTACCTCGGCGCGCTGGGTAAGCTGCTCGCAACGAGCATCACGTACCCGTACATCACGGTCAAATCGCGCATGCATGTTGCGGGTAAGGATGGGCCCAAGGAGAACATGATGACGACGTTCAGGCGGATTATCCAGGAGGAGGGATACGCAGGGTTGTATGGCGGCATTGGGCCCAAGGTCACGCAGAGTGTGATCACGGCGGCGTTCTTGTTTGCCTTCAAGGACGCGCTATACGCGTATACCGTGCTGGCGAGGAGGAAGATCGCGGCGAGGAAGGTGTAGATTGACTTGGTGACGCGTGGAAAAAGAGACGCGATATGAGAGGACGGGAAAGTGAAAAGGGGGACTTTGGTCGATTCGTGAGATGGAAGTAAATATATAGTGATTAGATCGCTCCATGTATGTTCAGTTTTCTGTTGTGTTATCTGCAACATCTGCTCCTAGTACCCGACATCCGACGCCAAAAGCTGCATCAATCACCGTCACAGACCCTGATCGATAATAAGAACCACTAAAGGTTCCATGCCTTGCAATCGGGCCAGGTTACGTAGACTCAAACCTCCCCATTATCAATGTAGCATCTCCATTTCAGCCCACCAGCTTCAGTACCTATCACTATAGCGAGACCGACAATACCAACCCTCCAACCTTTCACAGTTTCTTCTCAGCCTCATCTGTGGTCCACGAACGAGCCACACCCCCTTAAAGACGGCGTGCGAACAAACTACACCTGGGAGTCATACTCGCTACGCGGAACGCCGTTGCCAGGGATGTGTGTTGGAGTGTGCTCCTCGCGCTCATTATCTGGTGGCGCTGGCGGCGGTGACGGAGTTGGAATACCGCTAGGGGAAGTAGAAGAAGTGGGAAGGATGCCCCGAGTCAAAGACTTCACCGATGATGTCGGGCAATGGATGAAGCCATGGATGATGGTACAAATCGGCGATCCAGATTGACGCTTCTCATCCGCAAGGGCTGCGGTCGGAAGAATGGCCTACATTGACGAGCGCTCGCCGAGGTCTCGCATAGGTGAATGGGTCGACGGTGTCGGACAATGGATGCACCTGTGGATTAAAGTACAGATAGGCGACCCGGCTCTACGCTTCTCGCCCTCGTGATCAACCCGGGATGTCGTCGTCTTCAAAGTCGTTGGCACAGGCATGTTGGCACAGGCATATTGGCGGCAAGGCTTGAAGTTATTGGGTCGATCACGCAGCCATGGCCGGGAGGGCACAGAACGCCTAAGCCCGAGGGAATTTGTGAGAGTGCAGCGACGCTCAGGGCAAGGCCACTGAAGAAGGCCATGGCGAGCTTCATTGTTGCGGATCAGGAGTCCTAATAATGGCTTTCCACAAGGTGATGAAGGTATGAGAGATGTTGAGGTTCCGGGAATGATTCTTCGTCAGTTGAAGGAAAGAATAAAGGATTGCTGATAGAGCCAATAAGTGGGGAAAGGTGAGAGAGGTGCGGTAAGATTCGCTCACTGTACTCTGTAGCGACCACAGCAAGCAAATGCTTTTCTCGAAGAGAATCTTATCCTCGTTTGTACACCACAGACATCACGAAGTCTTCCCAGTGGGTGACACTGTTAGAAACTGCGACCATCGACAACATATAAATAGCTGGTCCTGATGCCAGTGAAGCGCTCGAGGATTAGACCAGTTTGTATCGATAGTACGTCCGAGTTCTTTCGAAAGGTAGAAGCCAATCCATGTTGTTGTCTTGCGGTTGCATGACTTTCGCCCTCTCATAAAGCCAGCGAAGTGGCTCTAAGCAAGAGTTCGATGCCTTGCAAACAGACCAGGCAGTAGAGGCCATCGAAAGCGAGAGCATGCGTTGGGCGAAAACTTCCGTAAACGTTTAAGTGCACTTTTTATGGTTCTTTTCCGTTACTTTCCACACCATGGTAGTCATATCTTTGTAACATATCTATCAAACGCAACCAGCGATTCCCTGAGCCCTGGACTATCGCACAAGCTGCCGTGTCTTGCCGCGATGTGCTTGCTGGAACGCGTGATTTGGGATCCCACTGGAAGATTACTGTCTAGAACGGGCCCGACAGTACTTGTTCTCGTCTGATTTCAGATATCTTTATGTCGAAGATAATAGTGTGACTGTGATTTCGAAGTTACACTACACTTGAGGTAAAACCAGACGATCCAGTGCCTAATCTGGGATTTTGCAACAGTTTCGAGTAGAATTTCGGCCAATTTTGGTTGTGTCGTACAAGGTAGACAGCAGTCGTTCGTATCTAACCTAGCGGACGATTATACAATATCCCACACTGGGTGCATGGTGTGGTTCTTGACTGACTAGCAAGCTTGACTCTCGACAACACAATCCAAATAAATTCAATCGGCGACACCACAGTCAACCATATCCTCACTCCTAGCGCTTCCCCTCGAGCTCCGCGACGAAATGTGCACCTACGCCGTCCTCACGCCAAACACACCACCCTCTCCTACGCAATGCACATGGCGTTGCCCAACGATATCCAATACAGATCTCAAGTCTAAGACCTACCTTGAATTGCTATAGTCAGGAGTGGGTCGAATTAAATTGAGAGCACGAGGATTGCTCAGAAGTGAAGATGGGTTTCATTCTGCGACTGAAGAGGTGAAATAAGCGCAACCCGAAAAGGAGCACTCTAACTGTCTTTCAGCAGACAGCGTCAAGATGTCCATTTTCAACAGCATCAGATGCACAAAAGGTGCACCGTACACACGCCGGCAACACGGAGCCCATCGCACCAACGCGTCGCGATGAATCTAACCACCAATCCGACTCAGCTCCTATGCACTTGCGAGATCGCCGGTAGGCAGCGAATGCCCACATCCCCACATCTGCTCCGCTAGACGGCGAGGTCGGGATGCCTGCCACCAAAGCAGCAACAGCCCGTCGTCTCCGTCTCCCGCACAGACCCGCTCCCAAACCGACATCACATCCTCCAGAGACGCGCCCCTGCACTCTCACACAGTGCCAACGCCCCTGCGACTAACACCTCGCACGCAAGGCAAGCACACTCCCCCGCGCTGGAGCAGCGTCAGGCCACACTGCCGTCGGCCTCACATGCGGTCATTAGCAACCTCCCAACGAACCACAGTCCCAATCTTTGCTCCCACGCACCAGATATCCCTATCCCACGCCGCGTTCCCACCTGCCCTAGCCCCGAGCCGCATCCGCGATTCACAGGCGGTAGACTACTTTGTCCAGCGCATGTAAAGTACCGTGGGTACCGGCCCCGCATAGTCATACGTCCCGGGCTGTGATGCAGTGCGGCGCAAACCCTGTACCGCTGGGCATGTATGGAGTTGGTATGCTCAACAGTTAGTGTTGATCCGTGGCCACTGTGCGTTGCTAGTCCCGCGTGATGAGGGTAGGCTGAGACGTATTGTTAGAGGCAGACGGTGCAAAGGCGCAGGTGGAAAGACGGACGTTGAGCGGAAGGGGGATTAGAGCAGAAGCACGGCTGTAGGTGTCATTCTATGTTGTGTGTGTCTAGCAGAAAAGTATTACAGTGAGATGGCCAGATAGCTTGCTATAACGCGCTCGCTCTCGCCAATCAATTTTCAACGTCGTTGGTCGCCCCGGCATACATGCTTGTCCATCTAAAGCGTACTCTCGAGCGCAAGCACCATCGCCGTCCGCGCGGGCATGTACACCTGGATAAAGTTCTTCCGTCCATTCCACGCAAATGGCGTCGTGAAGAAGCGCGTGCTCTCGTCGATGTTGGCGTGCCCACCAAAGTCCTTGCTGTCGGTGCTCAGCACGATGCGGTAGGTGCCCTCCTGCTCGACGCCGACGCGGTAGTCGGTGAAGCTGCTCTGCGGGTGGAAGTTGAAGATCCAGAGCAGGCCCGCGCGCTCAAAGACAATGACCTTGTCGCCCTCATGCTTGAGCGAGATGTATGCCTGCGGGGAATGCAGCCAGCCGTACTTTTCTTCCGTCCACTGCATCTTGGAGTCGAAGTCGTAGAGGAACCGGTAGCGCAGGAGCTGGTCGTCAACGAGGTTGAACTGGCGGCGCGCGTAGTGGAATGAGTTGCCGTTGCCTTCGCGGGGGAAGTCGAGCCATTCCGGGTGGCCAAACTCGTTGCCTTCGAAGTTAAGGTAGCCCTCGCCGCCGAGGCCGTGCGTGATGAGGCGGATCATCTTGTGGAGGGAGAGGCCGCGGGAGATGACGGCGGTTTCTTCGGAGAGAATCGACATGTTGGTGTACATTTCGGCGTCGCAGAGCCAGAAGAGGAGAGTTTTGTCGCCGACCAACCTACGAGTGTGAGCATGTGTGAAAGATTGGAGATGAGAGGACTTACGCTTGGTCGTGGCTCTCTGCGTAGGCAATCGTCTTCTCGCCGTGGCGACGGTTGGTTAGGGTAAAGGTGAGGTTGCCCATGTCCCAGTCGATGTCTTGCTTCTCCTTCAACCACTTGATATATAGGTCGGGGACTGCCATGGCGAGGCGGTAGTCGAATCCTATTCCACCGAGCGATAGTGCTACGCAGAGGCCTGGCATGCCTGATACGTCCTCTGCAATGGTGATTACTTCTGGGTATAGCTGGTGCAGCATCTCGTTCGCAACCATTAGGTAGACTACGCCTTCCTCGTCGACGCCCTCGCCAAAGTATTCGTGGTATCCGCCGGAGAAGCCGCTGATTGTGTCAGCAGATGCTAATCTGATGTTGTTTCAAACTTACGTTCCAATGCCGTGGTGGGTGTACAGCATGCTGGTAACTCCGTCGAAGCGGAACCCATCAAACTGGTACTCTTCCATCCAGAAACGAAGATTACTGAGTAGAAATCGCATGACTTCGTGACTTCCGTAGTTGAAGAGCCTGCTATCCCACAGCTGATGACGGCCCTTGCTACCCTCGTGGAAGTAGAGGTGGTCGCTGCCGTCAAACATGTTTAGACCGTCGAGCACATTTTTGGACGCGTGGCTGTGGACAACATCGAGCAGGACGGTGATGCCCATGCCGTGTGCGGTATCAATCAGCTCTTTCAGGTCGTCTGGGAGCCCGTAGCGGCTGCTGGCTGCGAAGAAGCTATTGATTTGGTAGCCAAAGCTTGCATAGTACGCGTGTTCCATAATGGCCATGAGCTGGATGACGTTGTATCCTAGGTTCTTGATCCTGGGGAGGATGTTTTGCGTAAATTCCTTGTAGGTAGCGACCTTTGGTTCCGAGGAGGAGATGCCGACGTGGGCCTCGTATATGCGAGCGCTGGCAGGCTTCGGTGGGCGCTGGTTCTTGAAGACGTATCGCTCCTCCTTTGGGGGGTTCCAAAAGCGCGCATCGTAGACGGGCGAGACGTTCAGATCCTGCGTGACGCGCTTGATCCAGGCGGGAATGCGCTCCTGGCGCGCGTGGTCATTGGGTACGACAAAAGACACCTACAGTCGTATCAGTATCCCCGCGGTATCCTTGGCGTGAACTGACCAACCTTGAGCTTCGAATCATGGGGTATGGTTGGCTGGCCATTGCTGCCGGGGACCGTAACCTCCCACACGCCAAACTCGTTCTTCGCCATGGGCGTAGCATCGCGGTCCCAGTTGTTGAAGTCACCGATGAGGAAGGCGCGCAGGGCATTGGGGGCCCACTCGCGGTACACGACGTCGCCGTTCTCCTTTACGTTGAAGCCGTACTTTTCGTACCCCTACGGCCGCCATTAGCCGTCCTTCTCACAGAGCGGATGCGGGATGCTTGCCCTCGTAAACTTTTCCATGCCGCCCTCGGTGTCCTGGATGGTCTTGAGCCATTGCTGGGCCTTTGCGTAGCGGCTGCGCAGGGCAGGCTTGAACGGGTCGAGATACGAGTCGAGCTGGGTGATTCCTGCGACAAGTCAATTTGCGGCGCCCGCGGTCTCGCTGGAGCTGCAGACATACCGGTTCCATCGTTTGGTGCCTGGCCAGCCGGGCTGTCCGTGATGGAGTTTGCGGATGCGTCGTTGAGCGCCATGGCTCGGGGTGAAGGATTTGCGAAAGCGACACTCTGCGCGCGAGGGATTCGATGAAAACAGTGGCAGGGAGGCAGCAGGACAGGAATTTAAGGTTTCTCAGACTGCAGCTCGTGTGGTTGTTGGAGCAGAAAAAGGGTTGCGGGGTAGGCTCCAATTGCTGCAAAGCATCGTCCTCAACCAAAAGCTACACCCTGGTCGCCCGTGCCCGTACGTCACAGCGCGCACGCTTGCAGGGTACAGGAGCAGTATCGCGTCGCAGCCGCAACGCCACAAGCCTCGCCGCGCGCAGGCCAGCGGGCGATTTATCGGACCGGCGTGCGCGCAATTCCCTCAAGTGATCTGCGGGACGTGTTGCGCTGGCAGCTTTCTCGGGGCGATTGAGGCTCTGCGACGGGCAAGCCATCAGCAGCAGCAGCCTTGCGCGCCAGGTCGGGGCGTGTCGGTGGGGTGGGCCGGGCTGGCTTATCGGCGGTGCCCTGCGCTGCCCTGCGCTGCCCCGCCTGGAGAGTTCCCGAAGCGGAGAAGAGCTCACGACGCACCGCTGCTTGTCCATGTACCACCACCGCGCCTTCAGCTCTGCGACGGGTCCACGCGCCGTAGCCGTAGCTGTAGCCCACCGCTCGCTATGTGAGCTTGCCACGCGCCATCCTCGAGGACTCCCACCCGCTGTGACCATGGCCTCACGCACCTTTGTCGTCGTTTCCCCGCAGGCCCGCGCCTCGTACATTGCCCTCGCCGCCATCGGCCGCCGCGCCTTCCACGCGGCCAACGTGCAGCGCTCCCAGTACAACCGCTCAGACTTCTCCGGGCAAGGCTTCAGCAGCTTCTATGAGCCCAACGAGCCCACCAGAGGGCCCTTGGCCGGCTCGCCCAGCCAAGGTGTCAGCCGCGTAACGCCTCGCATGCTCAAGGAGCACCTGGATCAGTTTGTCGTCGGCCAGGAGCACGCCAAGCGCGTCCTCGCCACGGCCGTCTATGGTCACTACCTTCGCATACGAGAGATACAGCGGCAGGAAGAAGAACACCTCCGCCGCGAGGAGAGGGCGGCGCGGCAGGCGCTTGCTCACAGACACCCAGTAGAAGGTGATTCCGCTTTCATCTCTGACTCTCATGACTGTGCCTCTGCTTGCTTCTTCGGTCCGTCGCGCGAGCATGGCTAACTTTAGAAGACGAGTTCCCGGGCCAGCAGCCCACCATGCGCGTGCATCCGTCTCACATGGACCCACCGCCCGATCCGCCGCCGTTGGAAGACAGCACTCCCATGCACATTGAAAAGTCAAACGTGCTGATGTTGGGTCCCACCGGTGTGGGCAAGACACTGATAGCCAAGACACTCGCCCGTATACTAGAAGTGCCCTTCAGCATGTCTGACTGCACGCCGTTTACGCAATCGGGGTACATTGGGGAAGACGCAGAGAGCTGCGTGCAGAGGCTTCTCTCGGCTGCAAACTACGATGTGGAGGCTACAGAGCACGGCATCATAGTGCTAGACGAGATTGACAAGATTGCCGGCGTCAAAATGGCGCATGGTAAGGACGTCGGCGGCGAAGGCGTACAGCAGTCGTTGCTGAAGATTATCGAGGGCACCACGCTGCAAATACAGGCCAAAGCGGAACGCGGAGCCGCCGGAAAACCCCCTGGCGCAGCGGGCAGTTCGAGCAACTTCTCTTCCAGCAACCCACTGGATAGCTCACGCCCAGGCCTTGGGGCAGGCCCCATCACCCCTGGTGGCAAAGGCGAAGTGTTCAACGTGCGGACCGACAACATCCTCTTCATCTGCACCGGCGCCTTTGTTGGCCTAGAGAAGATCATCCTCGACCGCAAAGCCAAAGGCGGACTGGGTTTCGGCGCCCAGGTTCGCGCAGCTGATCGCGACCAGGGCAAGCACGACACCATACTCAGTGACGCTGACGTAGACACCTTTCGTCAGGACCTCCCCATCTACGTCCCCTCCGAGTCCGAAGTCCCCACGCCCTCCAATGTGCGGCACTCAAAGTACCGCGAGGAGGAGTACAACGTGCTCAATTATGTCGTGCCGGCAGACCTGCAAAAGTACGGCATGATTCCCGAGCTCATCGGACGCATCCCAAACACGTGTGCAGTGTCGGCGCTGGACGAAGAAGCTCTGGTGCGTGTCCTCACCGAGCCGAAGAACAGCCTCATCCGCCAGGAAGCCGCACTCTTCCACGCCGACGGCATGGAGCTACGATTCACGTCTGGATCGTTGCGCGAGATTGCCAAAAAGGCAAACGCCATGGGCACGGGTGCGCGCGGTCTCAAGGCTGTCGTCGAGCGCTTGCTGCTGGGGACCAAGTTTGAGGCGCCTGGTACGTACCGCTTTTCTTTCAACATGGTAGCAAAGACTGATGATGATTGTAGGAAGCACAGTGAAGCACATCCTCGTGACACAGGAAGCCGCACAGCTCAAACGCGCACCGCTGCTGTTCCACCGCGGGCAATCGCAGGCCTTTGAGACGATGGCCGCGCAAGCAGAGGATGAATGGCAGGACAAGCTGCGCGAGCGGGAAGAGCATCTCAGCAGTATCAGCAGTTTCGAGGAGTACAGGAAAGCCGGCGCGGCGGGGTACTAGACGTTAAAGATTGCAAACATCATAGCAAGCGCTGCACATGCAATGCTTTGCCTAACTAGACACCTCCAATATCACATCAAACATCGCACAAAGCGATCCTTCCCTATCCGAACTTCCTTCCCGCACCCCCAGAATGCCTGTCTTCCAGAACACACCCCTGCCCTGCCTCTCATAGCATCCGCATCCGCTTCCGTCAGCACGTTGTCTATATGCAGACCCTGCATGCAGAATTCGATATTCGCCTACGCACAGCACTGTATCGGCCCGGCAGCGCGGGTACGTTCGGCTCGCCTGGTTTAATTTGTGTAGATGAGGGCGTGGGAGGCTCGGATAGAGCGGAGTCCGTTGGTATGGGCTTTTGGAGATTGTGGTGGTGCGATAAGGAAGATACTGATCGATGTATTGGCCGCTTCATAGGAACAGCACGCGTGTTTGCACGTTGCTCCGCGATAGGCAGACATGATATCACATTTGAGGCCAAGCAGAGCAGAGGAGTCCGCATGTGCGTCTCCAGCCCCTCCGCATCCGCAACGTGCATGGGCGCACCCTGCGCACGCCTTCTCGATGCGGCATCTCCCTCTACATAGACAAAACAACGGCCCTTCACTGCTGCCCTCGCCAGCACATCCCGATCCGCTCGCTCGCGGCACGCATGTCCCGGCCCCACCCGGGCCGCTCGAGCATCCGTCCCAGTTGAGTTCCATCGCGAACGAAAGCAGCCTCCTCACATCTTCAGAGCCCCCGTCCAACTCTCTCCTACCATGCCGTCAAACCTGGCATAGCACCTGCATCCGCGCCAGCGCCCACGCGTACCGCACCAGCTGCTCGCGAACCCCCACACCTCCGACCGGAGCGAGCCAGATGCCCCTCCCGCGCGAATCGGAGTCTGCCCCGCCGCCAAGCGGCGCCGCCGTTGCCGTTTACGTATTCCGCTGTTTCGAGCGAGCCCAGCCCGGCCCAGACAGTGCGACGGAAACTACAGCACATCCACTACTTACTCGCACGCCATCTCTGAAGGTAGTGTCTTGCGCGGCTAACCGGAAGAGGTTTATGGTAGGATCCCTGCATTTGCGAGGGAGAAATGGTGGACGAGGTAGGATGGGTGATGCGAGGACGCGGTTTTCGAAGTTGAAGCGTCGTGGGAGCGGAGCGGGGGCGGGATGGCGGGAGGAGGGTGGCAGGGCTTGGGCTTGGGGGGACGCATGCGGCGTGCGAAGGCTGGGGCGTGTTTTGTCTTGGGACACGGCAGGGCGAGGTTCGTGGCGTTCGCTCGCGGGCGTACCACGACGCCAGCAAGGCATCTGGCCGCGCATGGCGACAGCGTCCTTTGCCCGTGCGTGAGACTGCATACCCGTTTGCCAGAGCCACAGCCTGCATGCACAATTGCTCCAGTAGGAGCAGCCGCCGCCAGTGTGCAGAACAGCACAGGGAGTGCGCCCTCCTCGCCCGTCTCACCAGGTCGACTGTGTACATCTGAGTACACCCCTGCGAAGCCAGCATCCCTTTTCAGCATCCCCAACTCGAACCCCCTCCCTGGCCAACGCATTATTACACATCCTCGCGCGTCCATGCCCGTGCACAGTGACAACCAGCGTGTCTACCGTTCGTCCTGCGGGGGCGCGTCAGCAACGCGGGGTAGGTTCCAACCCCCTCTCGTCTCGCGCTGAGGGGGTGCTTGATGTGAGATGCGAGTGACGAAGCCGCAGCGGCGCTGTCGGAAGCCGCGGTCCGAGCGAGCAAGCGTCAGGTCACGTCAGTGCGATGTGCATCAGATCAGCTCAGGTCCTACGCTTCATTCACTAGCGAAAGGGAGACAAAATCAGATCAAGAGTGTAGAATGTGATGTGTACGCTTGCGCGTGCGAACCGTCTTGGATTAACAATCTCAGTCTCTCTCACACCCTGCTCAAACTCAAACGCTCCATGCGCATCCTGCGCGCGCCAGTCCAGCCTCGATTTCGTTCCGTGCTGATTACAAGGTATTCTATCGTGCAAACGTAAAGTGACAGTGAGAAAAGAAAAGAAATTCCCATCCCGTCCCGTCCCGTCCCAATCCCAAAGTCGCTCTATAATCAGGCTTCCGAAGAAGGCAATGTGAAAAAAACTCCGCGCAACTGTCGCGCAACGCCGCTGTAACGCCCGAGGGCTCGCTCGCCGAATGACTGAGGCGAGCGCCTAAATTCCTGTCGTAGAAAAAACATTGCCGTTGCTGAACATCATCTGTGCACCATTCAACGGAGCACCACTCAACTGTGCACCATTCAATTGTGCACCATGCACTTGGTCGTAACGCGCCGATCCATCCCATCCCATCATATTCCCATTCCAGCCCAGCCCGTGACCTGTATCCGGTCTCCGATTCATGGGTGTCGAGGGTTGCGAGTACATGGGTGTCGAGGGCTGCGAGTGCATGGGTGTCGTCGGTTGCGAGTACATGGGTGTCGTGGGCTGCGAGTACATGGGCGTCGTGGGCTGTGAGTACATGGGCGTCGTGGTCTGCGAGTACGTGGGAGTCGTAGGTTGCGAGAACGCGCCGAGTCCATAGTTCTCTGTGAACTGGTACATGGGCACCACGCTCGACTGCTGCTGGTAGTATGAATGCATGCCGTATTGCGGAATGGCAAGCGGCTGCGGCCGGGCGTCCACAGAGAGCTCCTTGTTCTTGTGGTCGTCGGTGATGTGGAAGACGTCCGACACGTGCTGCGCGAGCAAGCCATTGTCGAGCGTAAAGGTGAAGATGACGCGGTAGCCCTTGGGCGTCTTCTCCTCCTGATGCCGACAATAGCAGGCGATGCGCATGGCAAACTCGACCTGTCGAGCACGAGGTGTGAACTGCATCTCTGCGTCCTCTACCTCTCGGAGCTTCTTGTGCTCTTTTTCGTTAATCATGATGACGCGGTCGTTCTCGTAGAGTGTAAACTCGTCCTCATCCTCGCCGCGCTTCTTCTTGCGGTCGTAACGCTTGCGCTCGCGCTCTTTGCAGCCCTGGCAGATGAGCACCTCGCCTCCATTCTGCGGGTGTGAAGGATCATCCTTGTCCAGCTCGGTGACAGAGGTAAAAGCTTCGGGCCGGCGAGGGATTGGCTCGGTGCCCGCGGCCCGCCGCAGCGCGCGTTGGCGGTCCTGTGGGGCCTCAATGGCGGTTGCGCAGACGAGGTGGACATTCATCTGCAGCACGGCACCCTTGGATTCAATCTCTTGCCTCTCTTCATCAGAAGCAAAGTGCTTGGGCTTGGCGAGCGTCTTGCGTGGAAACCGGATATACTCGACGTTGTCCAGCGGATCCAGCGTGAGCGTCATCTTGATTTGCGTCTCGGCCCGGGTCTTTGTCTTGTCCGGGACGAGAGAGACGTGGGGTGCGTCTCGTGACTGCGGAATGAGGATTGCGTCAGTGAAACCCGGGGCGGCACCCTCGGGGGAGCTGACGGAGCTGCGGTCGCACATGAAGCCGCGTGGAGAGTTGGACTGGCTGAAGATCATGTCGGTGGCGGGCGAGGGGTTGTTGGTCGCCATGGGGGAGTCGCCCATGGTGAGGAACTGGTCGTACGGCTCCGACGAGTCCATGTCAGAGTCCTGCTTGATGGGCGGCGCCCATTGGCCTCGCAGGTCAACGCCGGAGTCGTGGGCGTTTAGGTCGTTGTAGAACTGGCTATGAGAGGAATTAGAGGAGGTGGCCAGATCCTCTAGCAATATGCTGGTAGTCGAATGTAGCTCCTCGGGGGTCACTGTGGTGGGAAAGGAAATGGGCACCTCGTCGAAGAAAGCGGCCATGTCGTCCCGGGCGGGCGGGAAGAGTTGGGCGCCGTCCATGGCGGGTGGTGTGTGGTGGAGGCTGCGAACAGAAAGTATCAATAGAAGCTCGGGTGCATGCAGAGATGCACGGAGCGGTGCGGTGCAGCGCGGCGTCTGACTTATATACCGCGCAGCGAGCCCAGAATTGTGCGGTCACGCAGCGAGCAATTGCTGCAGCGAGTGCGGGCGCAGCAGATGGGCGTGCGGTAGCGACGGTGGCCGTTTCGTTTCGATAGTGGTGTCCTGTCCTGGGCAGGATAGCTCCCGTGGGTGAGGGCGCTGGGGCGGGTCGTCGCGCCGGGGCTGGGACAGCGGAGCGAGTAGCGGGTCGGGGGATGCAAACTGGGTCGCGCACACTGCTCAGCGGAGGCGGCGAGGGGTGGTCGAGGAGATGCAAACTGAAGTGCGTGCTGGGACGGGCGCTGCACCGTGGATATGGCCGGGCCTGGGTATTTCTCTTTGCTAACAGGCCTGACCCCACTCCCCCGTCGCTCGCCGTGCTAGACGTCAGATCACGCATCCCTGCCGCCTGTGCGCAAGCGGAACACCAGGCCAAGGGCTCCTGCTTCGAACGGCCTGCGCCTGCGCCTGCGCTGCGCGGTGCGCGCCCGCCGGCAGGCCCCGCGCGTTCTCGCTGCCCTCCAGCGGCCTAGCGTGCGTCAGCGACGACGGCGTGCGCAGCAGCCGTCGCGGTGCCGGTTGACGACGCCCAGGCGCTCGCTCCACCGTAGAGGCTGAGGTGCTGAGGTGCGGCCATGGGCCCCCGCCACGGACGCCAGGCGGCGGGAGATGTACAGTACCTCGAGCGCATGGGGCGCCGCATGGGGCTGCTCGTCTAGGTGCAGAGTTTGCGGCGCCCAAGCCGCCAGCCCAGCCAGAGTGCAGGCCTCTCGTCCTGACAGGCGCTCGCCGGCGGGACTCGTCGGCGGTGCAACGCGACCGTTGTGCCTTCATCTAACCGTGCAGCCAGCCTGCGTGCGGCGTATCGCTGGGCCCTGCAAATCATCATGTACGATGCCATCGACGCTATCGCGCGCCGCGCAACGCCCCAGCACTCTCCGCAACAGTAGCTCGCCCGCGCTCCAGAGGGCCGCGTCCTGCTTCAGCTGCCCGCAATGTGACGACGGCCGTCTGCCCGTTGCAGTCCAGGCGGACGGCCCTCCGTCGGCTTCCACAGCGCTGGGCTCGCTGCCAGTGCCAGTGCCATTGCCAGCTGCGCCCACCAAGCTGTGGCTACGGCCTACGGGCCCTTGGGGATGCACCTGCACCTGCACCGCTATCGTCGCAGCCCTGCCCATCCCGATAAAACTCTGCACTCGGCCTGGCTTATTCGCGCATTCAACTGCGTAACAGAAACAAACGTATATTTCGCTCGTTATTATCACCACCAGCACCCTAGGTCCGAGTCCGCTGGTCCCCGCCTTCGGTGGCAATCGCGGCCTCCTTCGCACAGTTTCTCGGGACTGGCGGGGCCTGGCCCTCGCCATTGGCTACGAGTCGGCTCATTCCGGTGCACGGCATGCCGAGCGACCTCCTGGATGCTGTGTCTGTGTCTGCAAAGCTGTCATGGCAGACAGGTTGCTCAATGCACGCAGAGCGTCTGATTAGCTCTGCCAGGCGCCCTCCCGTCGATTACACCTTCCCGCATTGTCTCTGACCAGTGGCCGCTATCTCAACTCCCTCACCCTCGCCGTGCATTCTGTACCCTTACATCACCTCCTCTAGAGCATCGCTTTCCTGGAACCTTTCGATCGTCTAGACAAGTGCAACATAGAATCCACGAGATCATCATCCTGCGCAGAAACCTGTCAAACGATCCGCAGTTAACGAGGCACTCGTCTCTAGAAAGATGCGTGGTTCCCTCAGGCTTCCTCTCATTACATCAACCTCTCTCGGAGAGGCTGCTCTTCGCACATCGATTACTACCCACCACGGTACTGAATGCTGCCAGAGTAAGCGGTATTTTTAGAATATACCGATTGAGACTTGGCAGTAGACGGTCAGGAACTATGGACCCTCCGTTCCCCTCGAAGCCATTGGGATCATTCCGGCTGCATCGAGCAATTTTGCAACGCACTTCTGTCATCCGCGCCGTATTGTGCGTGGCGTGAAGTCGAAACAGAGTGCAGTTCTTGATGGAGCTAGCCCCACAAACCGTGGTTCCTTGACCCGTGTCGGACCAGAGATCACGAAATGGTAAGGCTTAGTACACGACGCTTCCCATGGTACATGTGATGGCTCCGCCGAGCGGCTTCACGACTCTTACCACACCCGCATGTACTACGCATTGTCATCAGTCACTAATGAATCACCTCATTCAGATCAATGCATTGATGCACTTCAGCTTTACGAAGGAAAGTATCTGACACCATGCCTGGCCAATTCTGGCCTTCGCAATTATACACTCGGTACACCACACCCGTCAGTCAACACCAGCGCCATGGGAAGACAACATCCACGCGAGGTTCTCGACGCACCAATCATAGTTTCAGCATTTCAGCATCTCAAATGCCTCGTGTGCGCCCCTCTTTTGGACCTTCCAAACTGTGTTCTCTACTACTGCCTCACATTTGATGGATGGTTCGCTCAACTCATCCCATCACAGCCGAGTTTCCTTTTTTTTTTTTGGAAGATTCCACTGCGTCTCTTACACTGCCTCGCCTTTGGCTAAGGTTTCAAACATACCTCAACTAGATCCAATAGACATGCTATACCGTCGATCACAGCTTTTTCGAGCCACGGCCAAGATGGTTCACTCTCTAGACCAGACGCATCTGATCGTAGTACATCGCGTTATGGAATAGTAATCACCAGAGTATAATCGATAAGGCGTTTTCAATGGCAGTGTCAATCGAATAGCAACGACAGCTTACGATGTCTGACCATATTCTCTGGTCGCCAATGGAATACACCGACCCGCATACGGCGTTGCAGTGCAGCACGACTGCCACTGATTCTGCTAGTTGCTAACGAAAAGTGCATACTCTTGTGCAGCTTGATCGGTCGACTGCATGCTTCGAAACATGTTCTGCATCGCTGTCTGAGAGGTAGCCTTTGCGTACAGCGAGCGCCACCTTTAGCAATTCTGTAATCCCGGTACCGTAGAATACGTCAACTCAATCAATTTCTTCGATCCTAGTACCGTAGAACAGGTGCCGACGCTGTTGTCTAATCGATGCACCAAATGACTGACACTGTATTACTAATGATGGTACAGTTCTCCTCTGCGCATCCGACTAGAGTCGGGTTGCAAAGAGTCTGTACATCGCCCTCGTTGTGTTTCTGCCGAGGTTACTCGCACAAAGACAGTACAGGTTACTTACCGCTCGCGGAGCAGACCAGACGGCGTGGATGGAAGCTTTCAAGCGTGCAGCGAGCAGTGTTTGATCGGTGAGCCCACGCAAGTCTTCGGGATCTCGCGCGAGCTGCGAAGCGGGGAATTCAGTTCGAGTTCTTTCGTTTCCGCATGCTACCGTGAGCCCACGACACTGATCTTTGGTGTGCTTCGCATTGATTGCCAGATTGAACGTGTCAGGCCCGCAGCACCGCCTAGAGCAGCGTCCCAAACTTCTCGCATAATTTGCGTTGGTATGATCAGGTCTAAGGTGCATCTGGGACTGACCAGCCTTGCCTGAGGTTCGGGTGGATGAACGCATGCCGAGCACATTGCAGGAGGCATACATGACAAGCCCACATGGTAGCAACGTTTCAGACAACGCTCGTCCAATCGACCGTTATCAATAATCACAGCAAGATTTCGACACTTTGACAGCCCGCAATTCTGAGCATAGTCTGGAACGGAGCAAGACGCTTCGTCAAGGGGCGCTGGCCAGCCGGCCAATGACTTTTGCGTGCGCGGCACACCATCTTCACCCCCGCACCTGCGCTTCTGCACCCAAGAACGCCGCGATGCTGCAACAGTCGCTTGACCCTGTCCTCGCCTAAGGATTTGCAGCGTTCGTGCATGGCAGGGCTTTGTCTGCTTCCGATCCTTTCCTTCCCTTCTCATGACATCCGGCGAACCGTGCCTTCCTCAACTGCATACGTCCGACCCAACACTCAAGGATGTCTATAACCTTCCTTATCCCGGTGTGTCGATTCTATGAATCACCGACCACATCGAGCGTGCCTACTAACGTCTGTCGTCCTGGGATATTCCGTCGTGGACACTACCCACGCCAAAACGAGCCCTTCAGCGGAACCTACTTTTAGCGCGTGTGGTGTGAGGCCACTTCTGCAGTAGCCTTCCTTCGCATCGTGTTTGAACAGGCACAGCAACTCTTTGCGCTCGCGGGCCTTGCCAAGCATATCGCTTCCCTCTAGAAGCTCGCATCGAGGCGTGAAAAGCATCCCAATCAGACTCTTTTCTCGAGTTAACTCTTCGCCTGAAAGCCTCTTGCTACCTTTACCGTAGTTGCACGCCCAAGTCCGCTCTGGATACACGTACATCTTACTCGGCCCTCGTACCCGAACGCCACCTGGGTCAAGATCGGGCCCTTTCTTGGTCTGCGTACAGCTAACGCTCTTCTCTACCCACGCCCTCACCTAGACGCCGCGGAGACGGCTGTGCCATACACGAGCAGCCAGTTCCCTGCTAGCTGCTGACCACAGCACCGCCTTTCTCTCCGCAAGCTCCCACTGGTGTGCGCGGCGTCGTAGTGCCGGCGGCTATCGTGGTCTCGCAGATGGGGACTGAACACGCCCAACCCAGCTCCATTCCAATGCGTTCTCCACCTCGCGCACGCTCGTCACAGCGCGGACGCTGTTCCGCGGAGGACGCGCGCGAAACTCTCGTTCTCGGACCAGCTTTTGCATGAGGGCCACTGTACAGACTTCATCGGGCGGCTCCGATCAGGGCTTGGCCTCCGAAGGTGCGCCGTCTAGCGAGGTCGAGCGGATGTTCGGTGGAGCAATGTGCATGCGACGGTGGATTGGCGGTACGCGGGGAAGAGCAGGTCTACGCAGGGCGAGGTACCGGTACTTCTGTATAAATGTAGGCGCGAGTCGGGCGCCGGATTTTGGGCCTTGAGTAGCCGAGGGTCTGACTCGCAATTCCGCGCGTGGGGTGCGTTTGTTAGAGAAGCATCGCGGATCGTGCCGAGCGCATCAGGCGTAAAATCTCACCCAGGATGCCGAGGGCGCTGCCGAGTGGGTGGTGCAAGATGTTCAAGGGTTCGTATTTCGTGGCCTGATGTGCTGGTCTGTTGAGTACAGCATTCCCAGGGAGACCTGAACTGATAGTGCGGTCTAGATCGATCAGTGGCACACCAGACGTACTAACACGTCTTGCATACTCCGGCGATTAACATGTGTGAACAGCAGATAGATCAAAGCGGTAATTATTACAGCCCTGGCCTGAACATACAATTTTGTTTGGCCTACCATTCCGATCTTCCCCGGACCCTGACTATCGATCTAACTTACCTTGAATCTCTTTCAGAACCCAATAGCATGGTCCTGTGGCGCCTGTCCTTAGTGGTTAGATGCGAGAGCAATTGCAGCAGCATCCATGTCGAGCTGCGGAGTGAACAGGACGGACAATAATGCAGAGCCCGAAAGACGTGGGCTCCACATAGTTTGCCATGGACCGTAGCTGGCTGGGACAAGCAGGCGGCACCAGAGTGAAGTGCATACTACGACCACATCGTTTTGTCCCTGAGGCCCTGCCTAGCGGCCGTGCAATACAGGATATAACACTGCTTGCTTACCTGCCGAGACTCGATTGTATGAACAGAGCTGTGTATAGAAGCCTGCTTGGGTTTGGAGACCAGGCATATGGAGTTGTTCAGTGCAGCTTTGATGACCAAGCTACCATGTGTGCCAGTAGAGCTGTTCCGGGATGCTTGATAGATATATCTAGCTGGTGGGTTGCTTTGCGACGCTTTTCGACGGGCAATGCAAAGCAGCATCTGCAGCGCTTTCCATGGTCCCACCGCAGCTTGCAGACTTCCAACGAACCGAACATGTTGGCGGATGCAAGCATCATTTTCTGGCCGTGCTGTTGCTCGTTTCTCCGTCCGAGCCTGTCTGATTTACACTGAGGAGTAGTCTTCTCGTCCCAGAGCGAGGATGTCCCTGGTGCAGGTGGCCCGTGATGACGGTACCTTTCTCAACATGTTTAGATAGCCATTGGCTGGCCCTCTTACAATGCTCATTTTGGTAATATGCCTGCTGGCAGCCCTTGCGTGTGTATTATGTTGGGAGCTTGGATTCGTGTTGGGTGTTAGCAACGTGATAGTCAATGCTAAAAAGAGGGTGGTTGTTGGTGTGTAGACTTTACTTCGGCTCCTCGTCGGGATGGTGAGGACATGACAGTCCCGCTGGGTCTGGAATGTGTCCTTCCGGATGACTTCTGTTTTGCTTCTTCGTGTCTGTCTGTGGGAGCTTCCAGGTCGACTAACGTCCCTCCCTACGTGGCGAGACACCCTGTGTGGCGAGACGAATGAGAGGTACTTCGACTTTCAGCAACTACACAACCGATGCGCACAACAAATGTTGCAATAGTTCTATGAAAATAATCTGTCGCAGCTAATTCTAAATGTCTATAATCTACTCTCTATAAATTACGTTTGCATTGTTGTCTCTAAGCCTGATTTGTACAGCGCCTGGTGTTGTAACGTAACAGACTTCCCTCCCTATAGCGCCAACCTCGAGACCTTATTACTCTAAATGCTTATAGAATAACCTTTTCTAAGCCCTAGGACCATCCTCTTGTTTTTGGAAGTCATTGTTAGCCCTATGCGCGCTGCAGGCACAATTTCATATAGGCCGCTATGTCGAACAGTACCTCTAGCAGAACTAAATCACTAATCCTCGCTAGTAGGAGGTGACTCCGCACGTCTTACCTCGTACACTAGTAAAGTATTTTATAATAAGGGATGTGGCTGTGCGATTTGTATAAGTGTTCGAATTATCTCTAAATCCGACTTAGGATTAGGAGCAGTGATAACACTTAGCCTGGTGGGTTTTTTTTTTGTCAGCTAACGCGCTTCCCGCGTCGAAGTCGACTTCGAGAAAGCGATCCCGATCGCCCGTTTCGACGTTATGACTTTGACAAACTTGGTATTTGTACAACGTTCTTGTGGTGCGGTATGAGGGTACAAGTAAGGCCTACTGAGTTGGTCTCGGCGGATGTCACGTCGATACTTTTTAGAGACAAGGGCCCACGCGCGAAGTGATAAGCTTTATTGAACAAGGACTAGACAGGGAGAGTATGAAACGCTTGTCGTTATAATACTATGACACAAAGCAAGTCTTCACCTCATCCCTAACTGATGGAGCTGTGAGATTGAGTAAGCCAGACGTTCCTGGGTTCGAAAGGATCCGGGTACTCAGCTGTAGATTGGTAAGCCTCTGGAAGCTCGACCAGCTGATAGAGAAATTGGTATTCTGATTGCAAACCCCACCCCTGTGTCTTTTCACGTCCCCAAGCTAGTGCCTTTCGAAGTATGGTCAGCGGTTTGAAGGTCGATCGCTTTGGCGTCCTTATCGCCTTGTTGAGTAACTCTTTCGGCTTGTCGGTAATAGAGAGAAATAATCGTAGTATGTCGGCAGCCTGTTGTGTATTCGAGACGTCGACCCTGTGGCTTTCCTTTTTGGCCTCTGGGTGGATGAGTCTATCATGAGGCTTGAACAACCCATCAGATTCTCGTCCAGGTATCAATACGTGTTCCTCACATACGTCAAGAAGCGAATCGTTAAACTCCTGACGCGAGTCCACCTCCGAATCCCAATTCAGCCATTTATCCATCGCGAGCGTTGTTTCATTTCTTCTAGAAGCGTGTTCTTCCCCATACAGTCCAGCCAGAGGATCTAGTCCTAGCTTTTCCGCATATAGATGGTAATGCTGGAGTGCTTGCCTACCGTGGACTGAACTTCGCCATGACTCACCCGTATCGAATGTGACGAGAGAAGGTGGCCCAATGTGCTGCCCGGGCATCTTGACGGTTTCCGTGAAGGGCGCATTTAAAGGCCTTCTACGGCGCGGGCTACTGAAGATATCGTAAGCGACCACCACTGCATGCTCCCACAAAGTGTTGTTTCCGATCGGTGACTCGATTCCAAGTTCAGAACGGTCGCCAAGAATTTGGAGTAAGAACCAAAGAGTCTCCCGCCGGTCCGGAAAGGAAAATTTCCCATCTACCCAGCTGCCTAATGCAAATAAAACGAGAAACTCAACATCTACGAGCTTTGAGGTTCGATTGACCGCTTTTAGGTAGGGAAGAATTCCGTTGTAAGCTGCGAAACTACGAATGTTGGCTTGGGCCCAGAGGGGCACATGATTGGCGAGATGTAGAGTCTCTGGTTCCAAGCAGCTCGGGGCCATTCGAACGGACCAATGTGCAAAGAGCTGGCAATCTTGTCGATCGATTGAGTTGCATGCCAAATCCTGCGATGCCGAAGCCATGGTCTTATCTACAGCCTCCATATATTTAAGCATGAGTGAGTCTTCAATAACGTTATCGGCGTTCCGGCGACATACGTCCATGGCGAGATCCAAGATCCTTTCGCTGTAGTTGGTTCGATCTGAAATCCTAGGTGCTCTTAGATGTTTACTTTCGCCTAGTGGAGGATTCGAAGTCTTCAAGATGGAGAGGATTCCAAATGCGATGTGTGTACCGGGGCTAAATGTCGTGTCGCTGGTGAGAGAGAGCATGTCGTCCCACACGTCTTGGCTGGTCACAAACTCAGCTACAGAGCGATGCAAGTAGGCTACCACCGGAGTTGGAGGCCAAAACATGCTCGCAGTCGGGATCTCACGTACTTCGAGCAGTCCACAACAACGGCTCCGAACACGAGCTTCGATTCTTTCGGAGTAACGCTTTGGCATCTGGGTATTCCAAGCATCCGTGCTTAAGTTAAGCGCAGTAGATGGTTGTTGGATGGCAAAGGATAGCAGGAGTAATTCGAGAGGTTCATCATTGCCACGAAGCCTCCACCACTCAAAGATTTGGAACATCTGCGAGGCCTGTACCTGATAGTCTGAGGGCATTTTCTGCATCATTCGGGTATAGAGCTCCCGTAAATCAGATGGCAAGGCACGAAGCTTAGGAAGAAGATCATCGAAGTCGTCTCCATCTTCCAGCCCCCGCAGTAGAAGTCCAATGACAAGTCGAACCCAGAGAAATACTCCTTCTGCTTTCTCCTGAATCTCCGCCTTCAGTGTTGCAGCTTTTTCCGGCGACTCGGCTTGGAGTTCTGCCATCATCGGATGCGAACTCAGTCTGTCCCGAATGAAGACGCTCATATCATCCTGTGTCAAATCCTGGAGCCTTAGCGTTGGAGATTGCCTGAACACATTAAGGCAGGCATTGATCGGTCGGCTCGACACTACGACTTTGATCGCCGAAGAAGCTATGGAACAGAGGAAGGTTGACATGTCCCGATGGTCTCCCTCAAACTCGTCAACACCATCAATGAAGATGCAGATGCGCAAAAAAGATGCAGATCGAATCTTCAATCGCTCAAAGGCACTCTTGAGTTCAATGTAAGAGGGCGGCTCGTCATCGCTGATGGGAATTCCGTCGGCATACAGGGTTGGGAATACAGCGGGTATGAGATCGTGATATTGAGTGAGTACGCTGTGTAGTAGAGAGCGGAGCATGCCAGTATGGCTCTTCTGTAACTGGGTCCCAGCATTCCAGAAGAAAAAGTGCTGAGTGAGAAGCTTGTGTTGGCCAGCCCATTTCCGGAGTCCTGCTTTCGTTTGTGGATGCGATACGATGTACTTCATTAGTGTCGATTTGCCGCTCCCTGCTTTCCCATTTATGAAGTATGGTAAGGGAACTTCCGCCCCGGAAAGATGAGCACAGAAATCATGCCAGGGTGTATTCGCATGCGGTTTTCGGAAGATCCAATCGAACGTTGTTTGGTGCGCTTCCTCGACCTCCTCGAACCGCCATGTTCTTTGCCGGAAGTCTAGCCAGCGTAAAATCTCTCCCTCTCGGGTGTCGGTGACCGAGGAACGAATCTTCTGGATATCTTCCATGCATGAGTCCATCTGTTTTTGCAACATGTCTAGTTTCGGACCAGATTGTTGCTGGACTAGATCATGCAAGAGGCTTAAAGCTCTTCTCAGCTCAGCGTCGTTCTGTTGGGATGAGTCATTTCCCGCCTCTATTGATTTGAGATGTTCAAGGACCTCGTGGTGGCTGCCAGTCTCCCTGGTGCGTAGAGAAAGCGTTGTTGCAAGCAAAAGAGACCCCTGCAACTTGTCCAGCCTAGAAATATACGCTTCAATATGATTATGATGCCATTTTATCTTAAAACTTGATTGAGCACTCCCTAAGCGTGAGGATGGCTTCGACGTCGTAATGAGCTCATCGATGTATGCGACGAACTCCTCTCCAGTCTTTTCGCAGTCCATGGCCACGTCGAGTAGATGCTGATCACATCAATGCTTGTCCAAACTGTTAGCTACTGTGCTTTCGCAGCATACCTGCTCTTCCTGCTCAAGTGTGGCTGTATTCGCTTTGAGCCGAGTCACGATTACCCGAGTTTGTTGCGTGAGGTTTTGGGCGACTTTACACAGACCGAGCAGAGACGAGGGAGCGCCCATCTTCTTGATCTCCTTGGCGAGAGATAAAAGCTGGCCAGAGAATTGCACGAATTGCACGACATTCCCAGCGAGACCGACGGCGACAAGAGCTTCCATATTGTCGAGCGGATAGAATGGGGAGAATAGAAGTATCGGAAAGCACTTGCGATGAACCAGGCTGAGGATGACTTTCCGGTGTCGTGCCAGCCAAGGCGGGGTGCAATCTCAAGAGGCTGAGCTTTCGCAACTTGATTGGATAGATGTCGCGCGATCTGATGATTGGTGAAAATTCAAAAGCGGCTCAGCGTGAATGTACCCAAGGCAACATGACAAGGTGCTGATAGATCCGTTTGAAGGCAATGAAGTGTGTTAGCTAGGGCGCAACAGGGAAGGAGCGACTGAATATTATTTAGGAAAACTTACGTATTTTAACATCTTGCGCTCATCCCACAAAGAAAAATCGAAAGACTATGCATAGATTCAAAGGCTGGACGATGGTTAGCATAAGTCCATTTATGCCCTGGAACAACTTTGCATATCAAAGGAGGTATTGAGAACCCCCGGAGCTATCGCCATATTCTGAGGCGTACTAGTGAGGAAGAAAGTCCACCAATTCTTCTACTCGCAAAGCCTTGACAGCTCGTCAAGATTCCACATTTTCCCAATTGGAGTACCCTATCACACGAGCAGCCATTCATGCAAGCACAAACCCTCCTCAAGCGCTGGAGGCCATGCTTCAAAGGCCACGGTATCGCCAGCTACTGTAGTGAAATGGTGCTCGTACAGCCAGCGAACCGTTTTCTCATCTCCTTACAGACCAATTGCAACAGTATTTTCCTACGTGCCACTACTATACTCGAGTTCAGATGCATTACGAAGAGAAATGTCAGTTCATAAGCTTAGGACCACCTAAGAAGATTCACTTGTGCTAGCAAACATAGCCGCTTCAAATGATCAGGATGTCTCCAGATCAAGTCGTTGTACCCTGCCATTTCAAAGTCTCTTCCATCTCATCCACCGTGATTCCGTGTCTCGAGACGGGTAAAGGGGATTGCCATGCTTACGTCCGTACCACCTCAGCTACGCCGCCTGTCACAACTCCCAATCCTAAGTCGGATTTAAGATAATCCGAACGCTTATCCAGTTCGCACAGCCACATAGCGGACATTAATTACCATACCAGCGCAGGATGTAAGGCGTGCGGAGTCATCTCGCATTAGCCAGGATCAGCAGTTCGCTTCCGCTCGAAGTACTCTTCGACGGGGTGGCCCTGCATGAAACCGCGCCTCGCAGCGCGCATAGGGCTGATGATAACTTCCTAGCATTAGAGGGAAGTTGCGAGCGTAGAATTAGGCTATTCCACCAAGATTTAGAGCGAAAAAGGCTTGAGGTTGATGCTACGGGGAGGGAAACCTGTTATGCCACAATACAAGGCGCTGTATAAATCAGGCGTGGGAGCGACGATGCAAACGTAATTTTTACGCAAAGCAAAACATAGACATTGAGATTTAGCTACAGCACAATATTTTAGAGAACTATAGCAAAATCCGTCGTGCGCATAGGTTTTCTGGTCGCTGAAAGTCAGTACTCCTTAAGTGTCTCAACACACAGGGTGTCTCGCTATGCAGGGAGGCACATTTAAGGATACTGCTTGCTCGTTTGAAGGAGGAAGGCAGAATCAGGAAGCGCTGTTACCAGGACTGCGAGAATTTTGCGCTTTTGAGGTAAGGCGATGATGGCGATGTTGGTTTGGAGGTTCGTAGCCCAAGGGATTACTCTCCAAGTGCAACTATGGCGACATTTGCGAGATCCGAAAACAGCAACATGCGCATCAGACGAAGGTTGCTCTAATTAGTCTCCACTGTCTTCAGCTACCCCCAGTTCAAATTCACTTTTGCCGTCTCTCCTCCGCTCCCTCAAGCCCTTCTAGCTCTTGTCCCCCCTCCGCCTTCTCACCTCCCTCACCTTTAGCTTTCTCCAACCGCCTCATCTTCCTCTCCACCATCAAGCCCAACATCACCACCCCCATCCCCCCAAACCCCGTCAGAGCAACCGCCTGCCATCCCCACCCCCTCGCATACGCTTCCCTTACCACCCTCTGCACCTCCGCCGGAAACCCGCCCACCGCCTCCGCAGACCCCTTAATCGCCGCCATCTGCTCTGCCGTGAGCTTCCCGCTCAGTCCAGCCGCCGTATGGCTGTTAAGTATATTAACGCTGACGGCAACCCCAATCGCACCGCCCAAGCTGCGAAACTGCCCAACCCCGCCCATGCCCACGCTGATGTCCCGCGGCTCAAAGTACAGCACAGTCGCAAGCACCGTGGCCGCCGACGTGAAACCCAGCCCGAATCCCACAATAGCCTCGAAGCCGTATCTGCTCGCCGGGAACGCGAGCAGATTCGCAGACGGGAGAACAAGCAGGCCCACGCCCAGCGTCTGGACCGCGTTGCCCACGAGCAGCAGCCAGAAGGCGGGGACGCGCATGTTGGACAGGAGGTACGCCGAGAGCGCGGCGCCGAGGGGGTCGACGAGGGTCACGGGGAGGAGGCGGTATCCCGCTGAGAGGGCGGAGGCGCGGTCGACGACCTGGAAGCGCTGGGGCAGCGCGACGGTCAGGCTGAACATGATTGTTGCCATCCAGAAGGCCTGCGCGAAAAGGCCCAGGCAGAAGCGGTTGGTGAGGATGTGCCAGGGGAGGAGGGGCTCCTGGGCGGTTGTGCGGGTGGCTTGGGCTTTGGACCAGAGGAGGAGGGCGGCGTAGAGGGCGACGCTGGTGAGGAGGGGTGCGAGGACGAGGGCGGCGGTCCAGGGGGTGCCGGTGCCGGATTGCTCCAGGGCGGTGAGAAAGAGAGTTGTTGCGCTGAGCATGAGTAGAGCGCCGAGGGAGTCGATCTTTTTGAGGGCGCCGCGCGAGATTTGCGGAGCTTCGGATTGGTGTGCGTAGGGGAACCGGGAGGGGATGGCGAGGTAGAGCAGGGCGATGCAGAGGGCGCCTGTGGGTACACTGGTTGTAATGAGCTTCGCTCCGGGGACGCACACAGGGGATGGAAGTGCCATACTTGAGCCAGAATATCCACCTCCAGTCTGTCTTTTGGCTGATCAGGCCGCCGAAGATGGGCCCGAAGAGGCTGCTCATTGTGGCGACGCAGGAGATTATGGTCGAATAGAGCGTGTACTGGTCCGGCGTGCACATCTCGGGCAGGATGACGAAGGTCATGGTGTACATTGCGCCTCCGCCAATACCTTGGAATGCTCGAAACACAATCCTGGAGAGGACCTCCTCGTTAGCGGTTTTCTTCATGCACAGTCATATCTGGGTCGAATGGGAGAGCAAACGAAGCTTACAGCTGCGTCAATGTCCTCGCCAACGCACACGCAATCGACGAAACGATGAATATTCCCAGACCCGCCGCCACCATCGCACGCCTTCCGAAGATGTCGCTCAACTTCGCCGTGATAATGAGAAAGCCTGAATATATGCGCTCAGCATAGCCCTCTCTCCATCCCCTTCAAACACGCCCGTCTCAAGCAGTGGGAGGAGCAACACATACCAGTATACGTCAGCAGATACGAATTCACCACCCAGCTCCCCCTCTCGAACCCGCCCAGTGCACTTGTAATCTTGACCAACGCTGTGCTCACAATGGTGCTGTCTAGCAGCGAGAGAAACAAGCTGAGGCAGAGACTAACATCGCGCCGTTAGCAACACGTTCCTAGACGGCAGTGCAGGACCTCGACGTACGACAACGTCAAGAGATTGAGCTTTACGCCTGAAAGGGTCATGCGCTCTGGGTCTGAGCCCTCGAGGATTTGCTGGGATGGTTTCGCGTCGGGGGGTTTTGCGTTTGCGTCTGCGATTACGGTGGCATTTTCTGCGTCTCTTTCTCCCGGCTTTGCGTCCATCTTCGGGACCTCCATTCTCCTGGCTGTCGGCGCGATATGGGGTTTGTAGGTAGCACACCTCCCCAACGACTTAGGGGAACCAGTCGAAATCGTGCTGTTCCTCGCCTCGCTTGTCGGGATCCTTCCAGGGGTCCCTCCACCACAGTGCAATGCAATGCAGTACAACAGCGTCCTCCTCTTCACCGCGTGCAGTCTACACTCAAAAGATCGTCGTATCGTCTACTTGTGACCCCATCGCCATCCCGCGAAGTCAACACCGGATCATCGTCCACCCGCGCCGCTTACAGTCGTTGAAGGATCCGGCACCGGCCAGGATGGACATCTCGGCTGCGTGCCGAATAGGGCAGGGGCACGTCAATGCGGACTGTCTCACCTCAGCCGGAGATAAGTACTCGCGCGGCGCGGACTCGCGAAGACTGCTGACTGTGTTGGGACGTGATGTGCGCTGCGGAGGATTTGCTTCGAGGGCGGACCGTGCGGTGGTGATGTGATGTACGGGGGAGGTGCGGTTGCATGGAGGATGGCTTAACGTGTTGGAGTATGCACCAAGATCCGTGGATTACAACAATGTACGAAAAGGGGAGAGGCAAGGAAGCAGAGTCGTAAAGGAGGGACGTCTTTTCTACAGCGCAGCGGTAGCTAACAGGACGTACAAACGGACAAAACGGAAACTGAAAGGTACGAAAGATGATAAATCAACATGAACGCTCAATAACAATGTCAAACCGGGTATAATGTCCAAGAGAATGCGCCGAGCCATCCGGTCCCTAACGTCCAAACAGCCCAATTATGATACCTAATCCCAGTTCTTTCGATCATGATGCACAGCCCGCAACTCCTGCAGCCCCATTGCCTTCTCCTCCGCGTCGTCGTCGAAGGGATTTCGCTCCAGGGTCGGCGCCCTCGGAATTCCAACGTGTGCCTCCGGATCCTGGCTCTGCCGCAAATGGTCCCGGCGATACGCCATGCTGAGCTCGCGCTCGCTGGCCATGCCGATACCAATGAGGTCTTCGAGGCGACTTGTTTTGAAGCTCGTTGGCTTCCTCGGCACCGTGAAAATGAGATAGATGGCCGTGAGCATGGCGAGCAGCGGCGGCAGTGTGAACAGGACAGCAGAGCGCTGGCCCGAGCCGACGCGCGTGCAGGCAAAGGTCGCGTGGCCTTGCGCCGCGGCGCGAAAGTTGACGGGGTCGGCAAGAGGGCTGCTGCTGCGCATGCTATCGAGTGTAGACATTTGCGACATGGTGATGCCGGTTGTGAGGCCGAGGACGTCTTCGAGTGCGTTGGTGGATTGATTGAAACCGTAGGGCGCGCTGCGGATGAGCTTTTGCCAGGAGGCGACGGTCGAATAGCGGTCCGAGGTGTCGGTGACGTTGAGGGCTTGGTTGAAGATGGTGTTGGTCATGCCGTTCCAGTAGCGACCTTCTGAGAGTGGAGCCACGAGTGCGGCGGCGGCACCGCCTGCGTAGCCGTTGCCTAGGGTCCAGTTGGCTTTGTTGTTTGTGGTGGCAACACAGCCGTCGACGCCGGATATCAGTTTGGAGTAGGATGGTGTGGTTGTGAGGGTGCCTTGCTGTAGCTCAAGGGTCAAAGTTCGCCATTTGATCGTCGGCTGGACGTCAATGTCGCAACTTAGGGCATATGTGAGGTTTTTGGCGACACCGGCGCTCATCGCCTCGTAACTGTCGGCGTGTCTAGCGAGAAAATCTTCGTCGCCTATCGAGGCAGCGAGGGTAAGACTGATGATTCCGGTAGCGCCCATGGCAATGGTTCCCTTCCCAACACTGTTTTCCTGGGGGCAGAAGCGAGAGACCATGACGCCAAATTTGCCGTTGGGGTCTTCGGCATTCGCTTGGGTGAAGTTGCAGCCGCCAGCTTCGACGGATATCTGGTGGTAGACGGCTTCCGCGTCAGTCACTTTTTCGGGGATGTTTGACTTGAAGGAAACACTGCCTCCAGGACGGCACCTGACTGGGTTGGTGGCCATAACCGGAAGACATTGAGAGACTGTGCGCAACATGGACTGGTTGACCTTTGCACCGTGGAGGCCATCAAACGGCTCGACAATCTCAGGGAAATCGGTGTAGAATATTTCTGGCGTTCCTATCGCTGAGCTTTGGATTCCAACCCCGTTACGCGAGTATGCTACGTGTGCCGGGTTGATGGTATTGATGGATCCCATAAACTGTGCGCCGGACCAGGATGGACATCCAAGGTTGGTCGTGGCATAGTACGCCGATCCATCATCGTTGTTCCAAAAGGTTCGAAACTCCCACAGGGGCGATGACCGGTCGGTGTTGTTGCTGGGCAACATCCTTGTACATTTGTTGTCGGCCCCACTATGTATGCGGGGAGGCTCCAGGTCCGTGAAGCATGTAGTGTCGGTCAAGGTCACCGCAGCTACGACGGCTGTTGTAATGAGGCCTGTGAACAGGAAAGAAAGCTGTGGTAAAACGGTAGTCTTGAACGATGTGATCCGTTCGTAGAATGTGTTTATGCCCAAGACCTGTACACCATGCACCGTCAGCAAATGTCTTACAGATCTCACCCTCGTCAAGTGTCGGAGAATTACTCACAGCGCGCCATTTCTGCATAATATGGGGACTGTGGTGAAGTTGATATTTGACATCTGAAATTTCGTGGTTGATTTGGCGTAACCATTGTTTCTGGATTTCACCGCTGGCATAGCGAGCGAGTACTGTTGCGACGATTGCGCTGGCGATGTTGTATGCGACCTGAGATTGTCAGCAACGCATCTTGCAAGCTCGATGAAGACGCACTTTAAAGCTGGTCGTCAGTCTGTAACCCGGCACCACGATTGTGGCAAACACCAGCGTGAAAGTGAATATGAAAATGGAGAAGAGAATGAAGATGGCGACCAGCAGGTTCACTGGCACGCCAGATAGTCTGTGGGACATTTTGTCCCAGCTATTGAATCATAACAAGCGAGCGTAGATCGTGTACAGCTACCAGAGCTATGTCCAGCGATGTGGTGGTTGTGCAGAAGTGGGAAATGGGTGACACAAGGGCAAGATGACAGCAGAGGGTGGACCAGGTCTTCAACAACGAGTCCGGGGAAGGATGCAATACCGCCAGGTACGCGACGGGTGGCGTCCAAGAGAACCTGATGCTCGACTGCAGGCCTGAAATGGCTATGAAACTCCGACGGGTGCTGGGGCGCTGTGATTGGTAGGTAGTCCGGCGCTAAACCGGACATGGGGGCTGTACAAGCCCACCCATGCACTGTAGGCAGTGTTTCTAGAATGACACAGGCACAAACCGTCGAACCCGAGTCGTCGGTATACAGCGCAGAGCCCATGTTCCAAGAGGAGGATGCGGTGGCTACACGTCCAATGTAATACTGCGTCTCCGCTGCACTCGCGCGACTTGGAATCAAGGTACATCAGGAATGCCCGCTCACATCCGCTACACAGGGCTCGCACGAACGCGTCCGACAGGGAAGCGAAGCGTGCGTCGTCAAGTCGTCATTCCACATGGCAGCGAACCCAAGATCTGTGCATGCCCGAGGTGTATAGAGGCTCCCCCTGCAGCGCTTGCTCCTTCACGGACCGTTATGGGCATCGGGGATATTCTTAGACAGCGCTTGAGCTTCCGACGCTTCCGAAAGCTGCAAGAGGCATCGTATTCTCTTCGAGGCGAAATACCTTGCGGTTCTGGATGCTGACACTGTGGTCGCCAGGTGCGCCGCGAGGACGGAGTTGCACGTCGGAGCACAGCGTTAGGATGCAGCTCTTCGACGTCTCCATCAACCATGTTGTCGTCCGGGTGAGGGGGACTCATCAGGCTGGCCGCTTTTGGTCACGGCCATGTCGGTCACGTTGTAGCGTGTCCACAGGGTCTACGGGCCCGGAGCGTGGCGTGCACAGCTCGGCTACGGGAGCGAGCGGCGACGGCAAGGTGCAAGGAGAACGGGCTGGATCAAACGTCACGAAGAGGACAGGCATGCAGGAGTGGCCGACGTGTGTGAGGTCGGCACACAGCAGTCGCAAGATGTGTGCCGTTGGTGTCTGGTGTACGCGAACAGCAGCCGAGGCGCAGCAGGGGTCCGCTGATAACGAATCAGAGCACCCCGCGCCAGACGCCCGTTACGTCGTCTGGCGGGGAGTGGTGGTTCACTTTTTTGGCGGCGGCGGGAGCTCGAGCAGACGCAGCTCCCAGTCCTCTCGTCGAGGTGCATGCCGCCAGTCCGCTTCACACTGCGAGGACCTTGTGCTTCTGCGCGACAGCTGGTGACGCCATCGCTTGCCCGCGCAACCTTCCCGCCGGCGGCCCCACCCGCTCGCGATAGCAGCACCCCGCGAGCGCAACTGCGCCGCTTCCACACGCACATGCTCAGGATGGACGCGCGACACATTTCGGAAGGCGCGGCCCCGGGGGGCGATGGCCTCAAGCTGGTCAACCGCCTGGGCGAGAGCAGGAGCCCGTATGTAAGTGCCGTGCAGCCATCCCCCGCGCGTTGCGCCCCGGCTGATGGCAGCGCAGGTGCGCGCACACATGAACAACCCCGTTGCGTGGCAGATCTGGGGCCCCGAAGCACTCGAGCTGGCAAAGGCGACGGGCCGGCTCATCTTCGTCAGCATCGGATATGCCGCCTGCCACTGGTGCCATGTCATGGAGCGCGAGTCCTTTGAGAATGCAGAAGTCGCCGCCCTCCTCAACGAGTCCTTTATCCCCATCAAGATCGACCGCGAGGAGCGGCCCGACGTCGACCGCATATACATGAACTACGTCCAGGCGTCGACCGGCTCGGGCGGGTGGCCGCTCAACTGCTTCATAACACCAGACCTCGAGCCCATCTTCGGCGGCACCTACTGGCCCGGCCCTGGCTCGACCATGGCCGGACAGAGCCACATCGGCTTCGTCGGGATCCTCGAGAAGATACGCGACGTGTGGAAGAACCAGCGGCAACGGTGCCTCGACTCGGCCCAAGACGTCACCGCCCAGCTGCGCGAGTTTGCCGAGGACGGCAGCATCAGCCGCAAGGAGGGGGCCGACCAAGATCCCCTTGATCTCGAGCTGCTCGATGAGGCCTACGAGCACTTTGCCGCAAAGTACGACCCCACGTACGCCGGCTTCGGATCAGCGCCCAAGTTCCCCACGCCGACGAACCTGGTCTTCTTGCTGAAGCTGTCGCAATATCCAAAGGCAGTCGCCGATGTGGTCGGAGCAAAAGAATGTACCAATGCAAAGGACATGGTTCTGGCAACACTTTCAGCAATGAACAGGGGTGGCATCCACGACCAGATCGGCCACGGCTTCGCAAGATATAGCGTCACAAGGGATTGGAGCCTACCACACTTCGAGAAGATGTAAGCAGACATTCGCAGCAGTGAACACATTGTGCTGACAATGCTTAGGCTGTACGACCAAGCACAGCTACTGCCGGTATACCTCGATGCCTACCTCCTGACACGGAGTCCTGACCATCTGGCCGCCGTCCACAACATTGCCACCTACCTCACCACCCCTCCCATGCAATCAGAAACTGGCGGCTTCTTTTCTGCCGAAGACGCGGATTCGCTGTACCGATCGTCTGACAAGGAGAAACGAGAGGGTGCATTCTATGTATGGACCTTGAATGAGTTCCAAGACATCCTGGGCGACCGAGACGCCGACATCCTTGCCAGGTATTACAACGTCAAAGACGAAGGCAACGTTGATCCAGAGCACGACGCGCATGATGAGCTCATCAATCAAAACGTCCTAGCAATCAGCAGTACCCCCGCAGACCTGGCCAAAGAGTTCGCCCTTTCCACGGAAGAAATCGAAAAGACGCTCTCGGAAGGCCGGAAGAAGCTCCTGGCACATAGAGAAAAGGAACGGCCGAGGCCTGCGCTGGACGATAAGATTGTCGTCTCCTGGAACGGGCTTGCTATTGGCGCGCTCGCCCGCACCGCAGCTTCACTCTCCGCGTCAGGTCCCTTATTTGCACAGTTATACCTCGCCGCGGCGGAAAAGGCCGCTGCTTTCATCCAGAAAGAACTATACGACCAACAAGCACACACGCTCCGACGCGTCTACCGAGAAGGCCCCGGCGACGTGCCAGGCTTTGCGGACGACTACGCGTATCTCATCTCGGGCCTGATCGACCTCTATGAAGCGACCTTCAACGACGCATACCTGCGGTGGGCCGATGACCTCCAGAAGACCCAAATCGAGCTCTTCTGGGACAAGCAGCATCTAGGCTTCTTCTCCACGCCCGAGGGCCAAAAGGATCTCATCATGAGGCTGAAAGACGGCATGGACAACGCAGAGCCCGGCACCAACGGCATCTCGGCGCGGAATCTGGATCGCCTCGGTGCGCTCCTCGAGGACGAGACGTATGTGCAGCGCGCGCGGGAAACGACGAGCGCATTCGAGGCGGAAATCATGCAGCACCCATTCCTCTTTCCGGGGATGATGGACTCGATTGTTGCCTCCAAGTTTGGGACCAGGCATGCTGTTGTCACGGGCGAGGGGGAGAAGGTGGAGGAGTGGCTAAGGAGATATAGGGAGAGACCTGCGGGACTGAGTGTTGTGAGCAGGATCGGAAGCAACCTGGGGGGATGGCTGAAGGAGAGGAACACGTTGGTGAAGAGCATGGATGCAGGCAAGGAGGGTGTTATGGTTTGTGAGCAGGGCGCGTGTAGGGAGGAGCTCGGGTGGGGGATGGAGGGAATGGGTGACGCGCTTCAGGAAATTAGTGAGCGGTAGCTAGCTGTGCATGTTTCTCTTTTGATGTCGGACATTGCGGGTGATGGTATCGATGTGGAGGCGTTAGGAGCACTCGAACAACGAGATGTCCACTCTGCCCTCCAGCGCTGCTAGTAGAAAGAAAAGCCTGTACGATTGTCATGTTTGCGAGGCAAGTTTTTCTCGGAATACAACATCTTCATTCGCTACATGCGTGGTGCTGACGCCATGCTACCCGTGAGCGATGGCTTGACGAGACAGTAGGCCGTGCGGCTTCGTCTGTTCGTTTTCTAATGGAATGTCCTACTTGCTGCCTTGAACACCGAACTCCGAGGGGTAAAGAAGAAAGTACAAACCGTCTGATCGCTTGCATGGCGTAAATTGAGACACACTCTCTGGGACCGAGCGGTGTGTGTACATGAGACTTGCTTCATAGGTGGCACGCAGCGTCCGGGCTCTCTGTGTAGACGCTACAATATACCGTAGCAGGATCCCGCCCTTCGAGTCCCGAGTACATGCCCCCGTATGCTGGGCTGGCGTTGCGAGCCTGGTCAACTTGAACCTCCAGGTTGGCTGCACACCACTCTTCGGGGCAAATTGATGGTACCCACTCGTCGTAGTCAGACGCTGGTACTAACGGGACACGGAAGGGGATCCATGAGTCTCTCCCAAATACTAATGGTGTGCTGTGGCTCAGCTCAGCCCCCGAGGAGATGGCTGGTGCGATCGAGGCAGCGGCTTGACCCAGTGGAGCATCGGCGTTGCGGTGGGTTGCTGCGTCGTAGGAGCCCAGGTCCTGGGGCTGGCTGCATGACGGGGATACACAGCCCTGAAAGTCGAGCATCATGAGCTGCTCTCGAAACACGTGCATCGTGTCCGAATCCCTCTCGTGGCTTGCCATCGCGCACTCAATCGCCACCTTCGATTCCGGGGGCACGTCGCGGTGCCGCAGCATGTTCTGTACTGTGCGTGTGCAGCTCCACGCGTCGAAGTCGTCGGATTGCATGCATTCGGCAACGTGTTTGCACCGGTCTTTCCAGCTGTCGAAGCGCTTGGCGCATGTTCCAAAGCCGCATCCATAGTTCCTCGCCCGTGGAGACGGCTTCGGCAGGCCCCGGTGGACGCGAGAGGCCGCGTGCACCTTCTTCGCATGCTTTTGGGCTTCTGAACCGTTGTGAGACGTGTGTCTGCACATGTCGCACGGCCATGACAGGCCGCTTTCCATGTGCTGGTCTTGTTCGTGGCGCTTCCAGTCTTGCTTGCTCTGGAACATCGTCCTCTTTCCTCGCTCGGCACAAAAGGTGCAAAAGTAGGCGGGCTTGGTAGCGACATGCTTGTGATTTTCACCAGTCCCGTCCGAGGCGGCAGCGTATATTGATTGGTTCGTTAGGACTACGTCTTGGGCATCTGGTTCGGGGCCGCAGAACCCTTCCGATAGAACATGACGATTAGGACTGCTCATGTTATCGACATCGGGATTTGCCGTGCATGAAGTGCCCCAGTCCGCGAAGGCCCAAACATGACTGTCACTGCCAAAGTCGGGGAGAGCCGGAGTCATCATTGAAGTATGAGTTTGGAGTTCAGTGAGACCCCGATGATCCGTGTCCCTACGATCGTTGAAGCTGCCATATTGACCCTCCGAGTGCATCCCAGACGTAGATAGAGGCAAGGAGGTACTAGAGACACTAGAAACTTTGCTTCCGACCGAACAGAGTGGCTCGAACGACCCACTTTTGGCAGCGTCATCAGGTCGTTTCGGTGGATGTTCCGGTCGCAGATCATAGTGTTCAAAATATTCTTCCAGCAACTCTTTGATATAGTCCACGAGTATGCTCTCAGTGCCTGGACATGCACACTCCTCCGTCCTCTTTCTGTTCTTGCAGAGCCAGTTATGCAAGCGACGGTCAATGAACACGTACAAGCGGCGACCGATGAACCGAGCGAAATGGGCGTGGTCTTCTAATCGGATATCACCTTCAACGTCTATTGCACGTAAGTGTATGCTTGTTTGAAAGGGATGGCCGACTAACATGGCGATGGTATATCGTCTTCAGCTGTATCAGGGAATATGAGTTTATACATCTGTTTCCAGGCTTCTTCAGGGCCTTGCAACTGCCTCATACTGAGCTTAATCGAGGCATCCTCGGACATCCATCTATCATCTAGTTCATCTTCGTGGCAATGGCCAATTGCTCGATGTCTGCGCTTTAAATGTTCTCTAAAGACCATAAGCGCATGGGGCTTGAGTTGATGTTGTGGACTTACTTGACACGGGATATGTTAGGCCAACCTTTATGGCATGATTCGAATGCCAAATCAAGGCTCCTCTTACCGAAAGGACAAGCAAATTGTCGTTCTGGGTCTTTCTGCTTCTTGTGGAAGGAAATGAATTCAGCTGAAGCACCGCTATATCGTGCCCTCTTTTGAGAGCGGCAGGCCGGGGGATCTGGCTCCAGTGTGACAGTTCTGGTCAAGGCCGAAGCATACCTGCCAGTACTGCGAGAATTATAGATCATGGGGACGGCAAGACAGGCCGTTCTTGCGGTGGGAAGTCGGACCTTTGCGCTCGCCTTGAGAAGAGCTGCCACACCGTGTTGACGAAGTAGGCTCAATGCCGATCGCCAAGAAACTCGTATTACCGATTCACCTGAATTGCTATCGATGTGTGTCAAAGTTGTGGAAGCTGCAGTGCTCCAAATGGCGGTACATTCGTTTTCGCAATGAAGAATCTGAGGGGATTCGAGATTGAGGACAAGACTGGAGGCACATGGGGCTTAGCCGCGAAGAACAGCTGCATATCTGACAGTTGGGTCGATTTCGAAGCCACGTTACTTGATAAGAGGCGGTTGCGGTTCATCATTGGCTGGGGTGTGAGGAGGGTGACCCCGGTAGGCTGAACTCGACAGAGCGCTAGTTGTCGACGAGCCTGCCGCATGCATGCGCAGCAATACGACATGCAGGCTGGTGCGCCTCAGCGCTTCGACGCAAACCTACTTTTACGACTACGTTTGGTGGAAAGATTCTCGCAACGCAAACCTCTTCTGAGACGCTATGCGGTGAGATTTCTTGCAACCTCACGGGATCTGTATTCGTGCTTATCAAGTCAACGGCCCCCTTATACTGCTCTTCAGTCGCAATCGGCGAGGGCCTATATCTGAGACCTATCAGGGGAGACCACCACCTAACAAAGGCGATCGGCGTCAAGAGTGGTGACCTGTATAGACTTGCCATTGGAGGCGCCCCTGCGCAAGTCAGCCCGATCGATAGCTCCGCAGCACCTTGGGAAATGGCCATCGTCTTTTCAAACATCCTATCACATTCCGTGGCCAAATTATGCTGCCGTAATTTCGATGGTCTCGTTACTGATCCATTGACCATGCGCGCTACGTCTTCTTGATCATTGCCAATGGCGTGGACAGATCCGGGGTGAGCCCATCACGGGCGCAGTGACAATGCACCTGATACTGCAGTAGCATGCATCGAGAGACACATCTTCATACTGATCCCGGTTTTCCAGACCTGGGTGCCGTCGCTGAGCTGAACTGAGCTGTGTCGATCCGCCAGTTAGTCTAGTCGAGAATCGCTACCCGCATCATGGTCAGCTGAAGGACAGCCAGACACATGTTGATGATGAAATGAGCTAAGGGGATGCCAGCACTGACTCCTCGTGGCATGGTTCTAATGCGACTCGGCCCGCAGGTGCCCACACAGCCACCTGTTTTGCGTTGGCAGCCTGTTTAGGAACCGCTTACCATTTGGGGAGAACTTTTCAGGGTCAAGCTTCGACCCAAGAGCATTTGGGGCACCGGCATCTCTCTCTTCATATCGTCTGGTTCTTGTGGTGTTGGACTCAATACCGATACTGCTCTTTAAAGACGCCGCCGTCTGAGACTCTCCATCTACACAACTGAACACTGTAAGTAGCGGTCTCTTACTGCATACACCAGCGTAGGACTGCTTTACCGTTACCCATTCGCGGATGTCGTAACGAGGGGCGACCCAGTGCACTGACAATTAGCATAGAAGACGGGTGTACCCTACCTATACACACCACATCACTCGGAAGTCACAGGTACGACCGAGGCCATCGAGATGAATTCCCCGATAGTTTACACCCAGTATGGCCTGGCACTCTTCCATCTGGTGCTCCATTGGGCGCCGTCCTGGAGTGGGATGGCATGGATGGACCCGCGCCCTTCAGCTTTGATGCCGACGATGGGGCAGGTGTCTTGCCAGACGCTTTTGCGTCTCATAAGTGGCATCGTGGGCCTGACATACGGGTCTGTGGGGATGGTCTTGTGGAGTGGAGTTGGCGATGCAGCTCTCTCCTCGCACACCGCCTACACCCTCTACATCGGTGCCAATGCCATGGCAGCATTCCTCGTCCTGCAAAGGGTCCGGCTTTATGATCAAAAGATCACAACACTGAGGGTCTTGATCGTGATCAATTTGATCACGCTGCGCACTATCGATCAGCAATGGTGGTTGCTAGTCACAGCCCCTTCATTGAACCTCCTTCTGGGAAGTTGCATTCTCATGATGACCGCAACTCTGGCAGTGTGCGGGAAGATGGGAGATCGCAGTGACTCCGGACTGGATGCTGTTGTTGGTGCTGTTGTTGGTGCTGTTGTCTGGATTCTCAGCCTGCAGCTGCAACCGCTGCCTATCGACCCCGAAGACTACATCCGGTCCACCCTCATGGTCGTGATCGTGGCGGTGTGGTCACCGTGCGCATGTTTGAAACCTCTCGTCATGCTAGTTTGGTCCATGTATTGTCTTAGATACGTCCTGTGGGTAAGTGGATAGAAATGCGTACGGGAGTGTGCCACCACTGACTGATCCCAGGATGTTCAATCGCCGTTTTGGGGTCCATTGTTGCCCGATTCGATGGTGGCGGCCCTTCAAAAGCGATCTTCAGACACAGTGTGGCAAATTGTTGTTACGATTGCATGTACGCTGGTTAGCACAATCAGTGCGGGGGTCTTTGCTTGGTATGGACGCCAGCAAATTGGGATTACTATCCGCAGAATCGGGTCCGGGTTTGGCCGCGATAATCGTACATCTCCAGATGGCGACTCAAGTCCAGGAAGGCTCGAAGGAGGACTGGGATCACGAGAATCTGAGAACGATGTTGCTCCGTCTGGCGACCTAGAGCACAGTGGCCGTCCCCCACCAAGTCCAAATATACTTGGGAGAGTATGGAAGAACGTCGCCAAAGTCCCCAGTCAACTATTTGCCAAAGCCAGCACCGTCCTGCAACAGATACGGAGACCACCAAGGGATGACGATGACATTGCTCTACCTGACCTAGAGCGCGGTGAGGGTGTACCCGATAACGAGGGCCGAGCCGGTGGGTACACAAACCGTAGCCCCCTATCGCCGGGAAACGATAATGTGAGCGGAGCCGCACGTGATGCCGCTATCACGGCTGGAGAGAATCAGGTCGACCTAGCTTCCTCCCAGGCAAGTTTACCGGCGGAGATAGACCGAGGAGACGGCGATGAGTCCTTTAAAGTGGTTAATGAGATCGAACGTATCGTCGGTGGTGAGGAAGGTGCTACTAAGAGTAGTGCCAGCGGCCAGTCCGCATCGCAGAAACCCACGACAGAGATCCGGCAACATCTCGACCCGCGCGTGGATTCTGATGGGGGCATTCAGGGGACTGATCAATGTGTCCGAGTGTTGCGTCCTACTGCGACTTGGTCTTGAAGGCGAAACTGGCAATGGTAGGCAAGCTGGAACTCATTCCGATCGATGATTGTAGAGTTTGCGGTGCAGTAAGGACGAATTCGTGGTACTTTGAGAGAGATACCATTGATAGTTCGTCCAGAATTTCTGGAACTTGCAGTACGGAGACATTTCTTTCCTCTTGAACGGAGTCCGAGATCGATCTTTGAAGTTTGAAGGGTGGGTTCTTCGTAAAGGGGCATTGAAAATACTATCATGAAAAAACATGAATGAGAAATTGTGCATTCGTTTGGAGAGTGTAAGAATGTTCAGTCTGACTCCTGAGTGGAGCAGCTTTCTGGTGAGGTGTCGGCCTGCAGATAATGACAGTGCTCGATGGATCAACGCCCCGAGTTCAGGACCTGGTCCTCCAGGCGAGAGGCTAGCCAATAACATCGTCAATAGAGCACCCCGCTCCATCGCAGCGGCGTTTTCACCTTGAGCGCACCCGAGATCTCACCTCCATCGCAGCTGAAACCTCAGCCTGATGCGCGCGTTTCTATGTGATGTGTTCACTTGTTTAAAGCCGCCGTAGCCCACTCACATTGTAAGTTAAGCTGATGGCTCCTCATGCATGTGATGTTTGATGCATTCTATGTTGCCTAGATATCAATTCCACCCCTGAAGCATCTTCCCACGCGTAATTGTTTATACTGAATTTAAATGTAAGGATGCGCAGCCTCTCGAGAGTGTTGCACCCTTATTTGTGGATGATGCTGGCTGGTCTCTCCTGCATGACCTATGGCGTTCTCTTACCAGGCGTAAGTGGAATTGGTGAACATCTCGTGAATGAAGTACTTCAAAATATCGTCTGTGAGCCATTGGTGTTTTATCTGCTCTATCGAAACGGGTGCATTGTACGGTCCAGCAGTGTTCACGTGACATTTACTGGTTTGGATGAATAGAAGCGAGCCCGGCTGCGGCTCAGCAAGAAATATGCTGGTTCTATCCTTACAGTTATTGAGTCTGTCCCTTCGGTCAAGTTCTCGTGCGAACGAATTCATCTCATGCAACCGTTGGTGCGGTACAGCGAAAAGATGACGCGATACTATGTCGATTTCTTGGGCTTTTGGTGTTTTTGAGCAGATCCGAAGGGTTCACACTGTCTGCCAACCCACTCCAACTTCAGTCTCGGTGCTGACAACTGGTGTGCAAGCTCATTGAATCGGTAATCTCGCAAACAGCGTGAGAGACAGGCTAGGATGCTACCCCGGATCAAAGAAGCTGTCCGAAAAGGATTCATGCTTACTTGCGAGGGGCGAGGCTAATTTCTCATCTTGCAACCTTTTCGCGATTTCACCTGGGCAACAGCCTACTACTAAGCCCCATAGGTACCGTTGATATATTCATTGGGCCCTCATTGGGTCCTCAATTCGCAGTGCAAATTCCTCCTTGGCACATCATCCTTGCAACCCCAACTCCACATCATACTCCATCGGATCGATCTCTCACATCTCAATCTTAAAGATCAAAGGCGATGTTTTCACCCGCTCCACCTCGCCTCGTTTTGTGTTCCTTGCCCAAAGACCCTCCCTCACTAGTCCCTAAACAGCTAGCTCCCGCCTTTAGCACCAGGAATTTTTCACCGAAGAGCGGATAATGCAGGGTCGAGAGCGCGTGCAGCGTAGGTTTGGTAAGCGGCTCGGGGGCGAAGGAGTCATGTCTAAAGATTGACTTTATTTGATTCATGCTATTACATACGCCTTTGCCAGTAAGATAATATCTTTCGTTTACCAGTATCTTGTGGTATCTCAAAGTCTACTACTCTGCGAAGAGACGAAATGGCACCCACGGACGCCGACGCAGAAAGTGTAATCTCAGTTCCGCCTGAGGAAGAAGGTCACCATGCGCGACAAGAGCAGGTTCAAAAAGAAAAGAAAGGCGCGAGCGTGTATGCATTTGGGGATGGGTCGCGGACAAGCAGTCTGTTGAGTATTCTGGATGTGTTAGAGAAGCGGGCAGGAGTTGAGCTGAGGGGGTGTCAGCCGGTCCCGTGGGACAAGAGGACGGTGACGCAGTATGCGAATATCTTCACGCTGTGGTTCAGTATGAGCTGTAATCTTTTGCCGTGAGTAGTGTTTTCACTTTCTTTGGGCTGGTAGTTTCACCGGGAGGAATGTCTGGTTTTGAAGAAAACTTTTGCCATCCTCTCGAGCTGTTAGGAATTGATGAATAGAGCTAACATCCCACAGTATTACAACAGGCATGGTCGGCACACTGAGCTTCGGCCTCGGACTGCGAGACGCATCCCTCGTCATCCTCTTCTTCACCCTGCTTTCCACCATCCCCGTAGCTTACATGTGCACATGGGGCCCCAGGACGGGCATGCGACAGCTCATACAGGCGAGATTCGTCTATGGGTACGTAACATTCATTCAAAGATCACGATTCAAACTAATTCTCACCAGCAAATACTTCGTCTCACTCTTCATTCTCCTCAACCTCGCCACCCTCACCGGCTTCTCCATCGTCGACTCCATCATCGGCGGGCAAGCCCTATCCGCCGTCTCCTCCGGCACCACCATCAACGCGACCGTCGGCATCGTCATCATCGCCCTCCTCTCCCTCCTCGTCTCCTTCGCCGGCTTCAAAACCTTGCACAAGTACGAAAAGTACGCCTGGGTTCCCGCCCTAGTAGCCATCATCATCGCCACCGGTTGCGGCGGTAAAGATTTGAAGAATCAGACCACCGTCCCGCCCGCCACTGTCCAGCAGGTGCTCAGCTTCGGCGGCCTCGTCGCCTCTTTCATGCTCCCCTGGGCCGCGCTCGCTTCCGACTTCTCCACGTACATGCACCCCTCGGCACCTCCCCTCCGTATCGCAGCATACACCTACATCGGGCTCGCACTCCCCACCATCCTCCTCATGGTCCTGGGCGCAGCTATCGGGGGCGCAACGCCCAACATTCCCTCCTGGCAGGCAGGCTACGAGTCGAACGCGGCGAGCGGCGTGCTAGCCGCTATGCTGCATCCAGCGGGGGGTTTCGGGCGGTTTGTCACGGTGGTGCTGGCGTTCAGCATGGTGGGCAACCTCAGCGCGACCATGTACAGCATCACGCTCAACTTCCAGATGCTGCTGCCGTGGTTGTTCCGCGTGCAGCGCATCCTGTTCAGCATCGTCATCACGGCCATTGTTATTGGCGTGGCGATCAAAGCTGCGAGCTCCTTCTTTACCAACCTGGAGAACTTCCTCGGGCTGATTGGGTACTGGGCTGCTGCGTTCATTGGAGTAGTTGTTACGGATCATTTGTGGTTCCGCTGGGGAAACTTCGCGGCGTACACCGAGGATGAGGGACTGTGGGATGATGGGAAGAGGCTGTCGACGGGATGGGCGGCGATGGGCGCGAGCGTGGGGTGTTTGGGGCTGGTGGTGCCCTGCATGTATCAGATCTGGTTTACGGGGCCTATTGCAGAGTGGACTGGTGATTTGGGCTTCGAGGTGGCATTTGTGCTGAGCGCAGGGTTGTACGTACCGCTGAGGTATCTGGAGAAGAGGGCGTGTGGGAGGTGAGAGGAGGTGGGCAGATAGTTACGCGCCGAACGATTCGTAAGAACCACATGACCTAGTCCATGCCGCTGTGTTCGCAATTCTATCTCCACGAGCCCTTATTACACACCTTGCCCGCTGGTCGTGTAAGATCGTTCGAATAAACCTTGTTACTCGGTTGAGACCAAGTACGCCTCCGGAGTGATTCCCCGAGCATACTCCATACTCCATTATTTCTCCCGCATGGCTTCTCTATTACCGTACACCCCACCCTACATGTCTAGCTTCCGTTCAGCTTCTCATCCTGTAATCCCCTATGCGATACGTGAACTCCAAAGTGTCCATCATTAGATATAAGACAGCAGTTTCAAATTCAAGCTGCTCAGCATTCTTCGGCCAATACCAGACAGCTCAAACCTTGCTGAATGCTGGCTTTTCGTCTGAGGCACCAGCACAATACATCGATATCCGGGGCGTCGAAGATACTAGAGCGATGCTGAGCGGCATATGTGGGGCGAGTAGTGAAAATAGAATTCGGGCTGCGCTGCGCTAGAGTATTGTGTGCTAGGAAGTTGCCGTATTTGTGAACAGGCTCATTTCTTGCGCGACCGAAGAGGAGTCAGCTCGAGAGAAAAGCTCAGCAAGGATCGGCCAGGCGGGAGAATGGTCCAATATGCTTGGAAACATAGTGCTCCCGAAGAAGATTTGGATCGAGAGGCTTGTTATGTGGTAAGACAGCTCGCGCCGCTTTCACCGTTGCCACGGTCCTGCTGTGTCGAACATCATAGCCCGACGAACCATCTTCCACTTAGAAAAAGTGCATGAACGACCGACATCACTCACATACAGGTCCAATCACCGCACAACAAATTCCCACCCCCAGTGACTTGTCAAATGGATTGTATTTACACCCACAGTGCTCGGAGCACACGCGCAGGGCCTATCATACATTAGAAAATAGAGCTATATAAGAGGGCATAACCTCAGTGGAGAGGCGGCCAGAACTTGTTGCCATCCATCTCCAAGAAATATACAATGAGCCGCAATGGCAAGCCCGAGCCATTGTACAGCGCATCTGTAGCAATGGCTCGGGCAGAGAAAAGGGTATCCAACATGACAAACAGCGTCGACAGAGTTGTGCTCAGCTGCTCGTTCGGACCAACGCCAGTCCGTCAGAGATGGTTATTTGTGTGTTGCAGCTAAGCGCTGGGCTAGGTGGGACAGTTGTCTGCTCACTGCTGGAGCAAATACGTCCTACCCGCGCAAACACATACGTGACCAACGCTGAACGACTGGCGTCGACCTTCCGCGAGCAATTGGGTAGCACAACCCAGCCAATACTGATAACGGCAGGCTCATGGCTTTGGTCGTTATGAAGCCGCAACAAAAGCAAAGTAGGTCGTAGCCAAGTGGCAGTGCGATCAGCCTCAGCGGCCGGTTGGTAATGGGCTGGGCTGGTTCGCGGAGGAGGTTCGTAGTAGATTTACGAGTAGTACTTGTCGTCCTTCTCCTTCAGCCCGCCAATGCGGTCAAGGTCGAGGGAATCGAAGCGATCGCCATCGCGCTCGTAGGGCGGCAGGTCCTCGTCCAAAGGCTCCAGTCCAACACTGTGCTCTCCAACCCGTACAACAACTACGCGGCCCGATTGCCGTTTGCCAGCGGAGTCGACCTCGTCGGGAAACGTGATGCGGATCTCGGGTACAGGACTCTGGGGCGGGCTCGAGGAGTTTGCCAGTAGGTCTCTCCTCTCTTGGTAGACGACGACAGATTCACGGGTAGCCTGGATCGTGAGGCGGCGGTGGCTTGACTGCCTCTTCTCATACAACGGAAGCTGTGCCTCTGCGTTTTTCCTGGCCCGGCGGACTCTTCGCAGGAAAAATAGCGAGCCGATCAGGACCACGGCGAGTACAAATAGCGTCAGGAGCGCTACCAGGAGCGTGGTCTGCAGGGTGTTCAACTGCGCCTTCTCGGCATCGTTGTCGCGCGTCACGATAAAGCTGATGGAGTCCATAATGCAAGTAGTATGTTTGCGTGGTTCGTCAAGTGGTCGTGAGATTGGTCTTGATATGGCGCAGAAGTCGGGAATAGTAGCAATTAAGGAAAGTGTTAGCTGTGCACATGGTTAGTATGCTGGATCGCAACGTTGTCGTGCGGTGGGATATTGTTTTGGTCTGCAGATGGATGTCTTGGCGGAATGCGGTGTTTGGGGCCAGCACGCACCTTATTTGGGGCCGGAAGGCAATAGGGAATGTCGCAGCTGGCCGAATGAACGGATGCAAGTATCGCTGAAAGAGTGAAGCGATACCGCGGCAAGGAGGGTGAGGAGAGGGCCGAATGTTGTTGGAGGAGCAGCAAGGACGAGGAAGAAGGGGGACGAGGCTGTTTTTGCTGACCGCCAGGAACAGGACAGGCAAGCGCTCGGGCCGCCGGTGATAAATGAGTTCGCTCCTTCCAAGGTTAGGCCCCGCGCCCAATCGGAAATCACGCCCCACCGTTCTTGCGCGTAGACGCCAGCGCTAGCCCGAATGCGCGGCAATCAATAACAAACGGGAGGGCTTCACAGCGAGCCATTGAATGTTCAATCTCCTCTCCACAGCAGTACGCGCCGGGCGCGCTGGGTGACGTCGCTGGACGAGGACGGTGCAGAGGGCGTGCGCGCGGGAAGCGACTGGCTCTGAGCGCAGCGAGACGACCGCTCGAGCCGCACGGCAGGGGCACGCTGTGACCAGGGTCGATGCCAGGATGTGAATTAGGCAGATTGGAGAGTGGATATCGCGTGCTCTGGTCGCTGTCGCCACGACTCGGACGCTGACCAGCAGCGCCAGATAAATAAAAGCGACCGTCGCCTACTCGACGTCTGCAAGCTGATCCCGGGGTAACTTGGCTGCCTCGACGAGACGTGACGTGTCTGGCACTTCTGGCACTGGCACTGACAGATGTAGGCCTGAGACGAACTGCGGACGTGCGGTCGCAGCGGCTTCTCCAGTATCCGACCAGCATAATTCCTCTGTGCACAAGGCCAGCTGGCGTGCGACTCCACGGAGCGGACGGCACTGAGCAGTAAGCCTCGAAAAGTCCGTTGTCGTAGTCTGCGCCTCCTCCCGAAGCCTGCTGCGTGCGATTTTCTCCGAAGGGTCTATTCCTGGCACCGTGGAGCGAAAAGCCCAATAACGAATTCCAACTCATCCTACCTTGTTCCCACTTGACCTCTGCACTCGCTGCCGTGCAACGCTTCTGCTTCCCATTGTCCATTCTCAGTAATGCATGCTTGAAACATCGCAACGCTACATCCGAGTACACTCTCACGGCTGCCTTGTCGTCGAGAGCCAAGTCCGGTTTTCGTAACTCGCGACGCGATCAGCATATTACAACAGCTTGTGCAGCTTGTTCAGTGTTGAAGCGTGTTGTTGAGTGCATATGCCGCACGGCCCAGGTATATGCCGGCGAGACAGGTCGTCAAGGGTCCTCGGCACTGCAACGTGTGTCTTTGGGGTGTGCTACAGTGCAAATGCACGACGACGTGCTCGACCATGACGAAAGTCTGTTGTTCGTGGGCAAGTGGAGAGCTTCCGGGACGACTGCACGTCTTCTCCGAGTAGTGAGTGTGCGCTCAATACGTGCAGTCAGCTTTGCGCGCCAACGCAGCACGAGAACAGCACAGCGAAGCTAGCCATCTTTTTGACTTTGCAAGTGCGTCTGCCGAGCAGGGACCTGTCAAGTCTCAGTCGCTGGAGATGCTCGATTAGAGGCCCAAAAGCCACCGGTCACGGCCTTCCCAAAACGACGGCCCCCGTGACCGTGGTACCCTGGGTTGCTGCTCCGACGCCATCTTCTCCTCTGCAGACGGACGCGAAAACCCACGTTCGCTGCATTGGTGTGCCTCAACGGCGACGGTCGCCCAATTGGTCTCCCAGCAGAGTCTTGCAAGGCGACCAAACGTAGCCACGCGCTGTTGAGGTTGCCAGAGGGCTGAACCACCATATACAGAGGAGGTGGGTCAGATTCGCTCAGGCACGGCAGGAAACAAGCTTCGGTCTTCGAGAAGCGGTCTCGATTGCAGCCGGCGGCTCGCCAATGCTGGCCTCTGGAGCAGACGGGCAGGGACCCGGCGCATGGCACCTGGTGAAACGCATAGTCCATGTACATAATCAAGACTCCTGTACTGCGAGGGCCTGTCTCACCTTTCTGCTCCGTGATCGTCGCCGCCTAGCAACTCCTGCTTGGCGCACGCGACCTCAATACAGACTCGACGCCAGCGAGAAGAGGCCAGCAAAGCGTCCTCACCTCCTCCGCCTTATAGCACGCCGGCGCGACCCTGCGGCAAGCGTACCTTGGGCCAGCCTTGACAGCGGAGTTTTGCAGAAGCGCGGGACGGAAGCTAACGATCTTGGTCTTGAAACGAGCTTAGTGCGCAGATCTGGGGAATCCAGCATCTCTCCCACCAACGCAGCTCGCGACCGCGCTGCTGTTGTTGCGCCGCCCTCCACGCCTCTCCCGCTGCCACCGCCTGCGGCCGCCGCGCACTCGACCAGCGTCTTCGTGGTACCGTCGCCGTCCCTCATCGCGCCTGCCTCCCAGGGAACCACGGTGCTTGCTGCTCAACGCTCCATTCCGCAATCACGCCCGCCCGCCCGCCGCTCGCCCTTGCGTCCCGTTTTGTTGGCCGTGGAGGACTGCCGTCTGGCAGGCACCCCATCCCTTCTTCGACCGTAGCATGCACAGAGGGTAGAGAGCGCCCGACCTTGCACCACTCCCCATCCCCGACTGCCCATATATCCACGGCACGCCTCGCCTCACCGCGTCCTTCCTCGCGCGCCCGCGGTGGACTCCCTTCGCTCGCACCCCACTTCGCTGTACCATACTACACCCACGCCGCCACGAAACCACTCCTTCCACTCAACACTTTTCGCTCGCAATAGTCAGTAGGCCTCCTCCCCGCACCCAGCGCGCTGCTGGGTAAACTCCGCGTGCTGACGCCTAGACCTTTTTCAGCTTGCACACAATAAGCTGCCCCGCGCTGCATCGTGCCCTCCAGTCTCTCGCTTCATTCATAGCGCTATATATTCGCATCCCTCCCCGCTCTTTGTGCCGCCTCGTCGTCTGAACGCTCGGGTCGCAGCATGGCGGGCATTACGAACAACGTGTGTACAACCCTCTCTACGTCACTTCGTCTCTAACACATTGCAGGTCCGAACGCGCGACCTTAATGGCGGCATATCTCTCAACGGCGGCGATGCCGACCGTCCATCTCACTCGTCATTGGGCTGGGGTGGCAGCATCTGGAACAACGGCAGTGGTGTGCCAGGCCTAAGGGACAGCTCGCGTCCTCGAGGTAATCAATTCACTTGCTACGTCGCGCATCTGATATTAATGCTCCACAGAGAACAGCACTTTCGCCGATTCCATTGAAGGCAAGACTGGCTCCGGGTCCCTTGTCGCATCCTCCGAGTCCGATGGTTGGCACCATGGCCGCAGTGTGTGGGGAGACAACACCTCCAACATCTCACGCGTCCGCTCCGGAGTGTCGCCCCCCGCTAGGAAGCGGTCCCTCGCACACCCTGATTCCACACAGCCGTACGCCGACAAGGCTGCCTCCCTGTTCCCCACCTCGCGACCCGGCGCGGTCGGCCTCGGTACTAAAACCACCAAACCGTTACTGGACCCGACCTCCATGAACTTTACGTCTTCTCGCAGGATCGATCCTCTAACTACCGCCAACTTCTCCTCGTTTGGTTTCAACCAGGGCGACGCACCATTACGCTCGGAAGCTTCTCTAGGGTCGTGGCATGATGCAGCATCGGTGCATTCGCCCACTGACGACAGGCGTAGCGTTGCCAATTCCGAATATCTGGGCCCCTCCAGTGCCACCCCATCAAGAAGTGGCAGCCTGCCCCCTTCCAGGCATGGTAACGAACCATTTCAATTCGGCCAGAACGTCGACACGTACGCACGTTACGCACAGTCAGGTCAACGCCAAGCCTCGTCCTTTTCCGTTGCAAACAACCGAGCTTTCCAAGAACGGAGCGGCTCGATACAGAGCGAGTCATTGAACCTGAGCCACCTCAGCCTGGAAAATGATGCTGTTTCTGGAGCAATGTCCCACAGGCCATCTATGAGCACCAACGCATTCCCATTGAACTCGGTGAATGAGACTCCGCTTACACGCGACTCATATGACGCTCAGGCGTTTGAGAGGTCCAATGGCTACGGACAATCCGGGACCTACACTCCCGATAGCTACACTAACGGCAACAGCCACCTCGGGGGGCCCAACTCTCTCTTTAGGCCCGTTCAATTCGACAGCCACAGCGCGCCCAATGGCACTGGCGTGCACCAGAGCCCGCTTCATACGCACTCTCACACGCCTCCAGTATTCGATCACCTCTACCCTTCTCGCTCAGACCATCCTTTCTCGCTGAACAGCAATAACATTGCTCTCGTGAATCAGAGACTGGCAGGGCATAAGATGCAACAACAAGATAACCGTCGCAGCCATCCTTACCAGAACCAGCAGATACACCCGCAGCAATTGCAGCAACTCATTGCGGCCAATCAGCTGCAGGCTAACCATTTGCGAGGTTCTTATCCTTATAACCCGCTGCCAATGTCCAGTGCTCTTTCCATGACCAGCAACATGCATTCCCTTCCATCCCCCCTCCACGGTGTCATACCCATCGAAGCACCCAGAGCTCCAAGAGACCACAGCAACCCACCTGATCTGGCAACAATGAGCTCTTGCCTCTACAACTTCAAAAACGCCAGCAAGATCAACAAAAAGTTCGAACTCAAGGACATCTACGGCAACGTGGTCGAATTCAGTGGTGACCAACATGGGTCCCGGTTCATCCAGCAGAAGCTCGAGAGCGCCAACAGTGACGAAAAGGAAAAAATATTCCGCGAGATCCAAGAAAACTGCCTGCAACTGATGCAAGATGTATTTGGCAACTACGTGATTCAAAAGTTTTTTGAGCACGGTGACCAAACACAGAAAAAGTTTTTGGCCAACCGTATGATGGGCAACATACTGCATCTTTCCAACGGCATGTATGGATGTAGAGTCGTCCAAAAAGCGTTGGAGTACGTTCTCGTCGAGCAACAAGCGGCCATGGTCAAAGAGCTCGAAAAGGATGTGCTCAGATGCGTGAGGGATTGCAACGGTAACCATGTTATCCAAAAGGTCATCGACAAGGTACCGCTGGAGTATATTAGAAAAATCATCGATGCCTTCCGCGGCCAGGTTGGAACTCTGTCGGTCAATACCTATGGCTGCCGGGTTATCCAGCGGCTATTGGAAAAAGTTCCAGAACCGGATCGAAGGTTCATTCTTACCGAGCTTCACGCCGAAGGTTCCAAGCTTATTACCGACCAGTACGGCAACTACGTCTGCCAGCACATTATCGAGCACGGGACACCAGAAGACCGTGCCAAGGCCATTGGGCTTGTCAACCAAGGATTGCTCACCTTTTCCAAGCACAAATTCGCGAGCAACGTCGTGGAAAAGTGCCTCAAGTTTGGCAACAACGAGCAGCGTCGCAACATTATGCTCAAGCTTACGGACAAGAACGAGCGTGGCGACAACAACCTGCAGACGCTGATCAAGGACCCGTATGGCAACTACGTAATCCAGAAATGCCTGGAAACTGTCAACCGTAGGGACTACCAAGAGTTCGTTGCAGTCCTGAAGCCCGAGCTAGACAAGGCCAAAAAGGTCATGTCCGGCAAACAAATTGTCTCGGTATGTTTCAGTCTTTAGACACTTAGTTACCTACTGACCTGACTTAGGTGGAAAAGAAAATGCACCGCACCGACTTCGACGATGGCCTTGATGACATCACGCCAAAGCCGCAAGCGGCTCCTTCCGACATCTCGACCGACGCTCCGCCCACTCCTCCGCTGACGAGCGAAGCACAAAGCCCCCAGAGCAGCTCGCTTCCGAGTGCCAACGTTTCCACGGTCGACGAGCCTGTACACACTTCTCTTCCAAATAAGAACTTCTCTGCTCCCATTAACGGCATCACCATTGAGGCGGCCGATAACGCTTCGTAGTATATATATCTTTCACGGCACTTACGGCCCGGCCTGGCTGATTCTTTCTGTTACCGGTTGATTTCAACATGCATGCGTTATGGGAGAGCCGCGGGCGTTCCGGCTGGGCGGCATTCAGCATGTTATATACCATCCTTTATTTATTCTGTGGTTATTGGGATGACTTGGGTTTCAATGTGGTAATGTTTGAAAACCCAGGGACGTCTACTCATCGGGTTCGCACATTGTCTTCATGCAAGCACTGGCGCTTTTGGGCGTACACTATAATTAGCATGGCGTACAAAAAATGGAGGAAAGGCATATTGGTAAATGTTCATGAAGGGGGGATGATGGATGGATGGATGACTGGCGGGTGTTTTTGTTCAAATACCATATAGGACGGGGTGTTAGACATAGTCTGTAGAGAATGTCGAACTGTGATGTTGGTTGCAATTACTCTTCCTGCGATTACTGTATATTGCCCATGCACGTTCTGCCATCGTCTGGTTGCTGATCCTCGAAGTGGACCCTGAGCGGAACGCGTCGCGTCGGAACAAGGGGTTGTTCCGGTTCCGAAAGCCCTCAAGCTTCAGGCCTGCATCGTTCCCCTCTGGTACCATTTGAATGTGTCCCAGCCGGTAGTCTTGCTCCAATGGATAATGGCGAGCCTGCGCCATCTTATGAGGGCATTGCTGCCTCGTTTGCAAAGGCCAAAGCCGAGCAAGAGCAGCAGGAGTCGCAGGGCTTGAAACCAACATCCAACGATGCGGCGGCGGCCAAGAAGCAGAGCGAGATACAGTTCAAGGCTGCGCATGGCCTTTTGGTGGCATTCCTGTCGCTGATAATGTATGTCCTATGGCGAACGGCTCGTCGGTTCACTACTAATGCACTACAGGCTACTCCAATTGCTCGGCATTTACCTCTTCACGAGTGGTTTTCTCCTCACGAGATTTACGTTTGACTACAAGTCCGAGTGTGCAGTACCTCCCGTCTATACCAGTGCACGCACTTACACGGCGGGAACACCGGAACGCGGGTGCTGGCACCCCAGAACGTTCGACAAAGCAATCGTTATCCTCATAGACGCACTCCGCTACGACTTCACCATCCCATCGTCTTCCGAGGGAGCTACCGAGAAACCCCACCACTTCCACAACGCGTTTCCAGTTCTTTACGAAGCAGCTGTCGAACAGCCTCGCAACGCATTCCTCCTGCCATTCATCGCCGATGCGCCGACCGCGACCATGCAGAGGCTAAAGGGCCTGACAACCGGAACCCTTCCGGCGTTCGTCGATGCTGGGTCTAATTTTGCGGGCACGGTGATCGAAGAGGACAACCTCATCTCACAGCTCAAGAATGCCAGCAAGAGGATCGTGCATCTTGGGGATGATACCTGGCACGCGCTGTTCCCGGACCATTTCGATCCAGAACTTACACGCCCTTACGATTCTTTCAATGTGTGGGATCTGCATACCGTAGACAATGGAGTCACCGACCATATCCTCCCGCTGATGCATGCTTCCAATACGTCAAAATGGGATGTGGTGATCGGTCATTATCTGGGAGTCGACCATGCGGGGCACCGATACGGGCCTGACCATCCCGCCATGGCGGCCAAACTCAAGCAAATGGACGACGTTATTCGCCGAATGATTGAGCAGCTAGATGATTCTACATTATTGGTTGTTATGGGTGACCATGGCATGGATGCGAAAGGAGATCACGGCGGAGAATCCGACGACGAAATCCAGGCTGCGCTCTGGATGTACTCGAAGCAGGAACGGTTCGGCCGAAGCTCACCTTCCTTCAATACGCCACCGGCTACAGCAAAGGAACGACCCGTCGCGCAAATCGATCTCGTTCCTACACTCTCTCTGCTTCTGGGAATGCCTATTCCTTTCAACAATCTCGGGAAGCCCATCGAGGAGGCTTTCATCGGTACTCAAGGCATTGATTACGAAAATTTGGCTACGGTCAACCGCCTCACATCCGCCCAAATCTACCGCTACCAGCAAGAGTATGCTTCTGTACAAAGCATGGACGAGGCTGCACGTGCGGCATCGCTGACGTCTTTTAATCATGCAAACGAAGCGTGGGATTCTACGGGTACCAAATCCAAGTCAGAGGAATACGCACATGTCTACGCAATGTACCAAACCTACCAACAAGAAACACTCGATATTTGCAAGGCCATGTGGGCAAGCTTCGATGTTCCTCGCATGTTGCACGGAGTAGAAATCCTTGCATTCTCACTCATAATGCTTGCCATTTACGCACGCGGCTTGACGGGCGATTTGTCTGAGTTGAGCCCTGTTCTTCTCGCCCGAGGCGGCATCGGTGCCCTTCTAGGTGCCCTAGTTGGCTTCGGCGTCAGTTCTGCAATCCCAGATGTACCCACACAGCATGCCATAATCTATGCCGCCGCAATCTTTGGTAATCTTGGCATCGCATCCGCCTTTTGGTATCTCAGGCGCAGGCTAGTCTCCGTGTTGCCGAACTCTGTTTGGGGTTATCTTAGTGTAATCTTTACACTGCTTTTATCCGTCGGATTCGCAGCCAACTCCTTCACCATCTGGGAAGACGAGATACTACTCCACTTTTTGTCCACCTTTGGATTCCTCGCAGCGTTGTCTTCTTTACGGCAGCCTAGAACCACCGATCGCGTCCTGGGTGTGTACCATTCCGTCTTATTCGTCATTCTCACGCGCCTCGCATCTCTGTCAAGGCTGTGTCGCGAAGAGCAAATGCCGTTTTGTAAGAGTACGTACTACGCATCCGCCACGTCCTCGACGTCCGCGACATGGCAGCTCGCCATACCTTTCATCGTCGCGCTTCTCCTACCAACCTTTATTCGAGGCTACTACGAGGGGACACTCTCCTACCAAAACTCTGCAGTGATGTGGCTCGGCTTTGGTCTACGTTTTGGTTTGCTACTCAGCGCTGCGTACTGGGCGCTCGATGCTGCCGACGATGGGGATTGGTATCCCGGTTTCAGCGGCATGCTCAAGACCTCCAAGACAATCATCGCGCAGCTCACGCTCGCTATCGCCGTCGGCGTCGGCTATCCTACCTTCACCTGGGCAAAGCCTCTCCTCAACATCGAAGAAGGTAAATCTCACACGCCGCACCCGGCCAAGCAAATCGTCCCGTCAGGCGGTCGCTCCTCCATCGCGATTCTCGGCTACAATAATGTCCACGGCTCGCGCTACGCCCTGCTCATCACAGTGTGGTACCTCGCGACCGCGCTACTCCAAAAGCCCATGGGCGCCGGTGCCCTCGCCCTCTGCTGCTGGCAAATCTTCTCCCTTCTCGAAATCATCGCGACAAACCACCTCGCCCACAGCAGCATCGGTCCGGTCATCCTCGGCCTGCTCGGCAGTTTCCACTTCTTCAAGACAGGGCACCAGGCCGCGCTGTCCAGCATCCAATGGGAATCTGCGTTCATCCCGCTACACACGATCCGCTACCCTTGGTCCCCCCTGCTCGTCGTGCTGAATACCTTTGGCGCGCAGATTCTATGCGCGGTCGCGGTGCCGGCGCTTGTCCTGTGGAAGCAGCCGCCTAGGAAGGCTGGGTTGCTGGGCGATGTGGCACGCGCGACGGCGACGCATGTGCTGTTTTACGCGACTGTGAATCTGGCGACGACGATGTGGGCGGGGCATTTGAGGAGGCATTTGATGCTGTATCGGATCTTTAGCCCGCGATTCATGATGGGTGCGCTAGTGCTCGTTATTGTGGATGCGGTTGGGATTTTTGTGGCAGTTGGCGGGACAAGGATGAGCTTCTTGAGTGTGGGGGAGGTGTTTGGGGTAGCGTAGGGTCTGGGTGTGTGTAGGATAGATAGGTTGGAAAATGGGAGGGTTGAAAAGTGAGGTACTTTGTGTTGCATAGCGCGCGCGTTATCTTGAGTATTGGATCAATTATCGTTGCTTGTTATGGTTTCCCATCTACTTCGTGCGCGAGCAGACGCTGTGAACAACCTCTTCCTCCCCTCTCCTCCCCTCACGACATCCACGCCATTCGTCAACCATGTTTGCTCGATCTTTCCATCCGCACGACACACCGCCGTCAACGCAATCTCTTTTCTCTCACCCTGCTCGCGGTCAACAACTTTCTCTCACTGCAGGTCTAGCCCAGACGAGCTGTTGCTAGGTTGTATAATAGCAGATCCTGCCGTTCTGCAATTTTCTCCACCACCTTCGGTCTACTGTTACTCAGAAGTCTATACGCTCCCTCCCCTTTGAAGTGCTGCGGCTAGAGCGGGAATACCTAGTGCTACGGCATATCCTGCGGTTCGGCAATTGAGGCTTTTCTATCCTCTTGTGGGAAGACTTTCTCCGCCTGACAGGTAGCTTGACGATCGAGTACCAACAGCAATGACCGGTGCGCCGGGAGGTGGAGAAGGTAAGTGCTTGTTGTCCCCAGGAAGCCGCCCTTACACGCGCCGATGTCTATCTACCTGGCTACTGACCGTCTCACAGGAAGGGCCAAAGATATGGCGACGACGCCGAAGCACGGATTCACTGTGGGTGCCGGCAGTGGTCCTTCGCGAGCTTTCGCACGTCAATCTCTGTCACCGCCGTCAAGCAAGAACCCCAAGGAGCAACGCCACGACTCGGAACGCGAATGGCTTGCAAGGGTCTGGCGCGATGCGAAAGAACACGACTAGTTATATCACCGGTAATCTGACGCCACTCGCCCAGGAGATGATTTCATATGATGAAGAGGACTATCGGCCGGCCCCGAAGAGCGCAAAGGCACTAGTCCGACTGAAGGCGAGATTTTTGAGCCATTTAGCTCTAGCTTTTGGTGATCGTGGTGCATCCCATGCACCTACGATCGGGCTCCTACGAGAGGACACGGAGAACGGCGTCGTGACGATCCGGCTCACGCGATTGAACGCAACAAGGGAGTGTCCTGATCTATCCGATACGAGCAGAAAATTCGCGCAGGCGTTGGCAAGTATCCACGATGCATATGCAAATGGGGACATAACCCACTCGAAGGACCTAGAGGAGGTCGTATTCCGCCTGTATCGGAAGCGCATACTGGAAACTGCTGGAAATATGGGCAGTCTGTGGAGCAAGGGCGAAGAAAGGCTTCACGAAGTGATTGCGGACATGTCCGGTATCTGGGACGAAGATGGTCGAGTTGCCCGTGACGAATCCATAGGCGATGCCATCGTCGCTATCAACGGAGCAATGAAGGTCCTGGTCTCTACATCCCTGAAAGATCCAATGAAGCATGAATCAATGCTTAAAGCCTTGATCACACAGGCTTGCAATCTCGCCGATCTTGAAGGTGGCCTTGTACGGGACCGTTTGAAGGGTGTCCTGGGTTCATCGCTCGCAGACGGCATATATGACAATGTCCTTGTCTTCATCCAACCAACTAAGTCGGTCCAGACGATTATACGCACCGCGCAAGCGCTTAGCAGATTTCATACTATCAAATTTTTGAGAGGTAACCCATGTGCAGAAGGTGGCAGCTCACCGTCGACATCCAGCCATGCTCGGGCAAAAGGGCACGTCGGATCGTCAGCTTCATCTCCAACACCTCCGAGACCCATGAGCACCAACGATGATGTGTCCTCGGTTCTAAGCTCCACTGAGCACGAGCATATACTGGCTGGTATCCATCCAACGATAAAGCGTGCAGCATCTGAGTTGGCGGCATGCGTTTATGAAAATCGTCTACCAGATCCCCAAACAGGAGGGTATTACCTCCACGGCTTCTCGGCCTGTGTAAATGAAAACGAAACACAAAAGCTCGGCGGGCTGTACAAGACCATACTCATGAGCGCTCAGTCCCCAGCCGCTGTACTTGCCAAACTCTGCCAGGCATTGACTGAGAACCAGCTCCCGCGGTTCTTTAGCACGCATGGTTGGGGTTCCTTCCGAAGCGACTTACCACACCTAGAGATCTTCTTCACGACACTGATCCTAGAGCGACCCACTGTATTTCGCCTGGTCCAGTTCCTCCGGTCTAGGAGCGATGATAATCCCCGGCGGGTACTGATCCGAGATTGTGGATTCCATCGTTGCAATGGGCGCGAGGAAGTGGAGGTCTTAAAGGATATTTACCGTGCAACACTGGACCGAGTCAGCCGTTTCCGCTTGCACAACGCGTGCGTGAACAATCAGATCCTCCAAACAGTCCAGAGCGCCAAAGTACTTTTCGAGCCCAAGTACCGCAGGCTCCTGTGCAACCAGGGCCCCTTACCAGACTTGGGATATCAGAAAATCACCTCGCGCTTTATGTTTGACCAAGGCCTTTTCAGGTACGAGAAGGTAAAGAGGATGAGGATGAACCTCCGATGATGCCCGAAGCCCGCAAATACTCGTAGTGTCCTGGGCTTGTTTTCGGAACCGGATATCTAAAGATCTGACGGTATGGCGATGAGCACATCACTGAATATCAATTCCCTTGCACCATCCTTGCGACACACGGCTGGAGATGCCGTCGCCCTATCCGCACTGGCCTCGGAGCTCTCAGCGCGGTAATCCAAGCTGTGCCCAGACATACCGTATGCGGCTGTAATTTTCTCTGGGAATTTTGATCGCGCTCGGCCTTCCATGCGACCTCGGTTTTGAATGAAGACCCGACCGAATGTAGCTGGCAGCTTACCTGGCGGCCGAACAAGGGCTGCACATTCCATCTCCTACATTTCTGCTCCATCATTTGCATTCTCAAGTTTTTCTGAACTTTCTGGAAGCCTTGAGTACAAGCCTTGTCTGCTTGACGGAAGCAAGTTTGAGACGGATTGGCCTCCACATATCCGACACTGCAGTAGGTGCGCTGCTAGCTGGTCTCATGTCTGCCAACTCTTTATATTTGATGCTACACTGAAAAAAGGCTGTTTTTGTACACCCTTGCCGCTGATGTGATGTGGATGCGTCGTGCTCACTAAGTAGGCAAATGCTATTACGACGCTAACGGACACAGCACGTAACACGCTTCCTGCCGTCATATGTAGCCTCGGCGATCGGACCGCGGTTACAAGCTCACAGGAATAGCTGCCAACGTGATCACAGCAGCGTCCCCTCCTATCGGCACGGCGACCATATTTTGGAGCTTTGGATCCAGCCATGTGAGTTTAGGCTCTTGCGGTGTTCAACTTCTGATCGCTTCCATGAGTTGACGCCGGCGTTCCAGTTCTCCAGGAGTCCACTCTTCGCGAGAAAGGTGGAGGGCGGTTGTGAGTTCATGGGCTCGGTCGATGGCTGCGACTAACTCTTCATAGTCCCTGAACGGAGCGACGACGGTCCTGCACGGGCCCGCTTCTATGGAATCTGGCGGATTCACCCACCCCTGTCGGTAAATCCGTCCATAGTACCACTCTTCGGACGGTAGTGGAAAAGAGTGGAGATATGCAAGCTGTGCTGATACGTTTGCACAGATGATGTCTTGCGCTTGCTCTGTCATTCTTGAGAATTAGTTAAAACCATTCAATCGGACATCGTCAATGTAGTTTGTTATGTGGCAGTAGATTGTGGATTTCTCGTAGCCTTCAACCGTCCAGGCCGCCAACAGCGTCGGTATACGCAGCCGAGGAAGGTTTTCCGCTAGGAAATGTAGATTTTCGGCTTCCTGATGTGGCTTAGTTGATGGTATGAGCAACGATCCTGGGAATGACTTACTTGAATGATTTTTGGACTGCCGCTCCACTTGACAACATACTCGCCGAATCTGTAAACTTGATGCATTCTAGCGCTTTCATGGAGACGTTCATTCTTCTGTCCATCTTTTCGTTGTTCAGCAAGTGGAGGTTCTGTCATTCTCCGCCCAGAGAAGCATTGAGCGTGTCCCAGGAAATGAGTCCTGAAGAAGAAGGCGCTTGGTAAGGGAGTCTTAATGTAGTCCATGTTTCCATGGGGGGGTATATTCCACGCATTTTTGCCATCTGAGCATCCCATGCACTTTCATGTTTAGTAGCACCCCACTCATCCATCCATACCTGTGCCTTGGGGCGAAATGGCACACCGGTTGTTGTCAGAGGTTTGGGTGTCTGTGTCCATGCTGGAAGCCTTACAAACCGACACCAGCACATGAAGCCCATTATTTATCTTGTATTCAAAGACTAATCACATGCAAGCCTTGCTTCTTTGTCGAACTTTCGACATGATCGGGGTTCCCGATTTGACCTATGGGACGGAAGCTGTCCCTCAGGTCGATTTTGTCTAAATGATTTTCGAACAAAGGGCTTCTTCAGATTTTGGACACTTGCTACGAACTTAGGCAAGTTTACCTGAGGGCGTTACCCCTGCTCAGTCGGTGGTCGCAGCACTGAATGAAAACGGAGCGTCAGGGTCGACTGGCTTGCGATGTCATTCGACTAAAGCAGTGGCACAAAGCACGCTCTTTGAACATTTGGGCGCCACAAGAAGGGAGAGTCGTGATATTGTAGGCTCTTGCGACGGAACTTGTCTCCCATAACAAAGGGGGAAGACAGGGCCTATTATTCACGTGGGTATGCATACAAAAGAGGCTTTGTGAGTATATAGACGAGGAGATGCCAGTGGAGTGCCGCGGTACGATTGATCTAGTGAATATGGAAGTGCGTATTGCTAGAACGTCTCAAAGTCCCAGCATGGTGAAGGGAAGTTCATGGTTGGTTAACTCAGCATAGCCACGTGACCTTAGTGCCTCGCCGAAATTCGCCGCCCAGCCGCTAGCCGCACGTCCCTCGCACCAAGCTATATAAACCCGCCCTCGCTCGCGCTCTCTTCGATTCTTCATACTTACCTTCTTGGGGTTCCCTCAGCTCAAGCATTGAGGAACCAGTCGTTCTCGCCTGCATTGCACAGCGCGGAGCTGGGAGCGACTTCAGTCTCCTTCGGGGGCCTGACTGGGGCAATTTTTGCTGGTCGTACATCTTGTACCTTTTCACTGTTGCTGAGCCGCTGGCGAAGCGCGAGGAAGAGATCTCTGGAGTGATAGGTGAGTGACTTCGGCACAAATGAGAATGTTGGGTCCTGTCGGCGACCTATGTTGGCTGGTGGAATGAGTGATGGGTGCTCGACATCGTAAATAGAAAACCTCGACGTGTTGACTGTAACTTATACGGGCGCTACACACTATGCCGCGTCCAACGCTGCTTGCCCTCGCGCGCGGTGCGCACTGCGCTGATGTATCTACTGCCTTGACTGACGCTGCTGCGCGTTCATCTATGCGTTGTCTCCAGATCGCGGTGCTCCTGGAACGAACACTGGCCTCTGGGTCGCCTGTCCGAAGGCTACCACTCTGCCTATGTCGTCCTGTTCTATCGTGAGCATCCCTGACGTCGCGTGCCGCGTCCAATACTCCCTCTGGCTTCAAAGCTGCCAGACGAGTGGCTCCTCTTACCGTGTTGAACCTGCCGCTGCTCAATGGGCGACTCAGTCGCGCTCGCATGCCTTCCATCGGCCGCTATTGTACTTCATATTGTGTTGCCTCAAACCTCAGCCTTCGCTCTTCCAGTCCTGGACTTTAGATTGTCCCGTTTCAACCTCTACCGCCGCCGGTTCACTCCCCTCCCCAACACCATCCTCCACATCCTCTTCCGCTTCTACGCCCTCCTTCCCCTCCGCCAACGCCCTATACTTTCTCCTTTTCTTCTTATCCGCGCTACCCTTCTTCTTACTCTTCTCCCTCGCCTTCACCCTCGTCCTCGCGTTCTCCCCAAGCTCTAGCTCCTCAATTTTCTCCCCTAGGATCTGCCGCGCCCGCTTGCGGTTCAGGCTGCGCGACCGCGTGTCCTGGTACTTGACCACGATGCCCGTGGGCAGATGCTTGAGCTGCACGGCCGAAGAGGTCTTGTTGATTTTCTGCCCGCCTGGCCCAGAGCCGTGGAGAAACTTTTCTATGATTTCAGAGTCGAGGATTACCCGGCGCGGAGGGAGGGGCTTGGAGAGAAGGAGGGCGGAAGTGGCGAAGCTGCGGGTGGAGCGGGCGAGCATAGGGAGGCGGCGCAGGAGCGGCGGGAGGGCCATGGTGTATGTGGTCAAGAAAAGGAGCTGTAGATGTAGACCTTCATAGCATCGTATGTAGAAGACGGACAGAAAGCATGAGCGTATCGATTCAAACGCGGCTCTCGCCTCGATGCTGGCGCGCAGGAGTCTGATCCGGAGCAAGCAGTCAGGAACCGTTACTCCGGAGCATGCGAAATTTCCCGGTCCGCCGTCCACTCCCGCTCTCCGCCGGCGCGCCCCTTCGCTCACCACTCCCAGCCTAACATCTCGCGCCGCAAAACTAATCTTGCACGCCCCATTGATTGCTCAGCTCCGCACACGACCTACCTTTCCTCCGCGGCATCCGGAGAGTAGCATGCTAGACTCCGCATCCGCGTCCACCGTCGTCCTCCTCGCCGCTGCGTCAACCCTCCTCGTCGCCGCTATGTTGTATCCGACGTCGCTCCTCCGCTGGCTGCAGCGCAAGCGCTACCAGTACGAAGTCACCTTCTCGCTGTACATGCTCACGTCGACTGAGAAGTTCATCCTGAGTACGACTCTCTGGCCCTTCCGCTGCTACGCACTCCAGTCCCGCTCTCCCTAATGCGACGCCCTCCACCCTGAGCAACAACGAGAGCAGAGCAATGCAAAGCAAAAAAACACGGCACAGCGAAAGTGATAGAACAAATTGCTAATCCGGACCCACAGACTCGATTCTCTTCCTCCTCCTCTCCCTCTTTATCATCGCCGCCTCGCTCTATCTCCCCGAGCACATCGCCTTTATGGCAAACCGCATGTTTTATTACTTCTCGGGCGACTCGTCGCACTTCACCACACAGGCCGCGCCAAAGGCCGACTTCGCGACCGCCGCCGTCACGCAGATGCTCAGCAGCGGGGATGCGTTACGAGGGCCCGCCGCGGGACACGAGCTATGATCGCAAGTCTAGGCAGCGCATTGAAGGGTTTTGGTCTGAATCTGGTTTTATTTGGGGAAAGATGGGATAACACGGTCGGTGGGAGAGGCGTGGCCGCCGGCCACAGCGACGGACTGCATGTACGGAGACGTCTGCTGCCGAGCCGACATGCGAGGCGACGGCGGCATAACAGCGGGCGTGCGCCTTGAATGTGCTCGCGCTTCGCATTTGGGCATAGGGATACCCATGCACATCATAGACTCGGGCGTTATCACAGTCCTACCCATGGCGCTCGCAGGCCCTGCCCGGGCTGTGGTCGTATCACACTCGATACCTGCCGCATACGGCACACTACTTAATGTTAATGATTCACCTTCATACCTGCGTGTGCACTGGCCCCACTAAGCCCAACGCGCAGAAGCATTCTAGAAACCTTCTGGAAGGCGGCTAAAGTGCCTGCCCTGTTCGCTTGGAGTGGCGCACGTTTCATACGGTGAATATCATATACTTGAAATCGATAACGGCGAACCAGGTTTTGTGGCGGACAAACCGGCATAATACGACGCCAAGCGCGCAGCAGCGGACAACGGCGGAAGACACATGTTGATCAGACCATATGCAGAGACAGATGTAGTGTGGGTAGGGATAAGAATATTTGATGACTCCGCAGAGTATATTGTACAGCGTATCCCAATATGCACAGAGCAAGGAATCAAACGACCGCAAGGAGACGAAGCATCGAAGATGTGAAGGCAAGTGCGAAGCAAGCAAGTACAGCGAACTGTAACAATGTCGGGGCACCCAATGCCGTGTACCCAAACCCGTCGAAGGAAGTGAAGTTCATGTCTATAACCAAGAGGCACAGAATCCGACCAAGGCGACCATTTGCGTCTGAGAGATCCTGGGGAGGCCGTGGGGTGTCACTTTTCGAAAAGTACACGCACGGCGTTCGTCAGTGCGGCGGTAGAGTAGTCATTGAGCGTGACCAGTGTCGGAAAATCTTTAAGACCATATTCGTGTGTCTGCCTCATTATGCCACTCGAGATGAGGAGAACGATGACGGGTATGCTCGCTAGAGACCTGTTCTCTACTACCCTTTTCATGGCGTCTTGCGCGAACCGCGTCTGCTGCTCATAGGCCCTCGAGTCATGGTTGAGGACATTTTGCGAGGAACATATAACGACAACGATGGCTCCGCTCGTAGGAAGAAAGTCCGCATGTGTCTCTGTCATACCGCGATCCAGGCGGTAAGGCACATGTCGTACCTGCCGGGGAAGCGCTCGTCCCAAAGGCTCAAAAGGGTCCATATCTTTTGCCAAGGAGCTGCCAGGAGGATGAGGTACGAACGGTGTGAACATTGTAATCACTTCCGCCTCGTTAAGGTGTCGCAATCTGGTGACCGCTTGCGCAGAGTCCCGGACGAGCGTCGGGTCTCCCGCTGTCGGGGCGCTGTGAAGAAGCGCGGTGAGGTTCGAGGTTCTAGGCGCTGGCGAAGGCATCTTGCGGTGGTGTGTCGGCAGCAGTTGTGGTGATGGTAGGTAAGTCCTGACTCTGCAATCGCCCATGATGGTCGTGGAACTAGTGCCTTTATGGGATGGTGATGTAGTGGGCCTGAACCAGTCCCTTCGGTGATAGCGCGACGTTTTGGGAAGGACAAAGGGCCGTGAGTGAAATGCGTCGATTCGATGCCTCCGAAGCGACCGGGCAGCAACAACGAACAGCGACTTTCTGTATGGACTGTCCCGGGTATACCTCCCGTATCGTATAATCTGTGCCCAACGGTCGTCCCCAGAGACGCTTGCCGTGTTTTCGGCGGGGGTATCGATGGGCTCTCTGTATCTGGAGTAACGACTTCAAGGTTGATGCTTCAATGATTGAAATCTAAACCATGGAATCAGCCCTCAACAATAACGAGCACGAGAGAAGGATGACAAGGTGTATCAGGTTCAGTGGAACGATGATCCAAGAGTGTTCTGTTCACAGACATCAGCCTCAATGTTGATGGAGGGGCGAAGTTGCTGTATTAATGCTGCCGGATCGCAAACTGAACCGTGAGAGTACAGCGATATCGTCGGACTGTGACGTTAATTAAGCAACACGTCTTCCGAATATACTGCCAATAATGTTGGAGGTGATCCTCAGGGTGCTACGGCATGAGTGAAAGTAAGAGGTAGCACGAAGTCGGGCACGTATGTATCCCGTGCTGGTAAAAAGCAACACGGTGCCGACAAGCCAGTAAGGCGACACGGCTGCAAGGCGATGTCGTTCGAAGGCCCGAAGTACCGCTGACGCACGGCATGATGCCTCGATGTGGCTTGGTTGCACAAAGGATCAGAGTGCAGTGGGCCAGTGTGCGTTTATTGATGACTTGCTGGATGTCGGGTAGCAGTAGCAGAGGTTCAGCGGACAACTAGGCAGAACCCGGAGAGTAGAGGGTGGCGAGCCGCTCCTTCACATGCTGCGCAATTCAGGATGGAATATTGAAACAAGTGCAGGCGGACGAAGACGAGAGCTTGTAATCTGGCATGAAGGTGCACAACGGCCATCCTCCTGACCGAGTCGACCCAGGACCAGCGACCCTCTTGGCCGACAGGCAACGGGACGAGGAGCCAGTCACCCCAGGCTCGGGCGGCCAAGAGTCCAGTCAAGGCAGTGCCGCGGCCAGCAACCCGGGCGGCGAGAGCTGAGGTAAAGGATTCGCCATGCGACGGTTCGTCGAAGTGGACGACACGCGGGGGTCATGGACGCTTCTGGTCCGCTGTGCAGAAACGTTGCGGGCTGTCTGCTGGCTGACGAGGCTGGGCAGCCACTCAGGGCCCGCCAGCCGGCCGACTATCAATCGATGGGTGCTGTGTAACGTTGTAAAGGGGCGCTTCATGGCAGAAGTCGGCGAAGGGCAAAAGTTAGATGGGCCCCCAGTGACCAAGGGCATATGCGGGTGACTGCTGCACGCAGCGCGCGCGCAATTGGGCGCCGTGACGAGCCTCAGCCGAGCGCGCGCGCCAGGCATGCCTACCTGGATCTGCTTGCTGCCGATGCGTGCGAACGCCTGCGCGGGGACCATTGCATTGATATTGATATGTCTTGGTGGTTTGGCAATGCGAGCAGACGTCCGGTGAGGCTCGAGGCGACATAGAACGTGGGCGCCGCGCTGGCGCCTTCTTCGGTAGCCTCTTGCTGACTGATGCGTCCCGTACAGGGAAGGCGCGATCTGCGATGTAAATAGTAGGGCTACGCGACCACCAACGAGCACTCTTCAACGGCTGACCGCCCATCTGACTGCGTGCATGAAGAGAGTCCGGCGTGATGCCTTCCATAGCCGAGCGTATGACAGCTTTCGATCCTCAGCCGCCCTCCACTAATGCATCGGCAGACGAACGGCCCGCCAGCTTGCACGACGCGCTAGAAGCATTGGAGAGAGGTTTGCATGGCCTCGTGCAACTTGAACTGCTGCTGATCAGGGGAACAGCTTCCAACACCCCCGCAAAGCAGCGATCTGTCAAAGTTTCGAGCATTGTTGATGTGGTTTGCCGCCATGCCTTTGATGTGGGACTGGACCAAGACGCCCTCCGGACTGTGGTACAGATCACGTCTGTCAAGACCGAGCTGGACCAGACAAGTGTCACCACCCTCATCAAAAATCTCTATCCTGCTCAGCGGGTACCCTCGGATGCTGTAGTCACCATTGTCGGCGCTCTTGGACAGGGCAAAGGCAAGCCCTCCCCTGGCTCCCAGAACGGTTTCGTCAAGTGGCTCATAACTGTCCACGAGATTATGGAGGATCCCAGCATCCTGTCGCGTCTGTACGGTGTCTTGTTCGGGCTACTCGATTCGATAAGCATCAGGTGAGATCGGTCAAGTCCGAGATCTGATTCGAAATATGCTAAGCTGATCAGAACGTCGTTGTGTCATCTGCTTTCTTTGATAACTCTCCGCAAGCACGTGAAACCTTTCAGGATCGAACAGCTGTATGTGACCGCATGACTCGTTGTCTTCACGACGGGTACTGACGTGATTTTAGACTGGAGCTCGCCCGTGGTCTCGGTAACGAGCCTGCTCTTCAAGGCCTTCTCCGCGTTTACAAGGATTACTACCCCGAAATTATTCTCGGGAGTACATCCGCAAGCCGGAACTCATTTCCCCCAGTGAGTCGTGTCACACATGCATACAAGCAGTCGCTAACTTGATAGGCACCTGATATCGAGTGGCGCTCAAGGATCTTGGCAATACAAGAACGAGCTACAGCAGCAGAAGAGCCTGGGTTTGAGACACGGAATGGCTTCAAGGTCGCGAGGACAGGCAGAAAGAGAGTCAAGACTTCGGCAATACCAGACGTTCACACCTTTCACGCCAACGAGGCAAGTAATGCAAGCATCGGGTACTGAGTGTGCGCTAATATGTATGCTAGACTTCGGTGACACTCGAGGGCATCGACAATGTGGAAGACTTTGTTGAGAAGCTAGAGGTGTTCGAGGTCCCCGGGCAGATGGTCTCGTTCCTCACCGATCCACTTCTACAAAAATTCGTCGAGCTAAGCGGCTCACCAATCATTACAAAACGGATCCAGCTATGGCTGTCAATGTGCCTTGAAGATCAATACAATGCAATTAAAGAGGATTCGGTGGATTGGCGCTACTTTTCCGACATCCTTGATGGCTTGCTCAAGCATGCACAGTACACAAAGGTACGTCCGACATCGCTCGCCCAAACAGAAACCACACTCACCATCATTAGAAGCTGCTCCCGATTGTGCAGACATTTCTAAAAGAGTACCTGCTTGTTTGGGACGGCGTGCAGAATGTTGATATCATTCTCAACCTATTGTCCTATCTTCCAATACACCCTTTCGCAGGCGAGTTGCGGCCATCTCCGCTCACATCTGTACGACCTGACTCTATATAGATGCACGTGTAACCTACCTACAACCACTCGAGCGTTGCATCCTACCTCACGGCCTCCAAGCATGCGAACGCCTTATCGAATTCTACGCCTCGCTCTTTCGTCAGTGGTCAAACCAAGCATCCCCCCAACCCTCCCACTCCAGCTCTTCCCTTGCACACCCCGATCAACGCGCTCTGCACGATCTTGCCACACATGTCTCGATTCTCTCTTCATCGTTACTCCTTTCGCTGTCATCCGGCTCTTCGTCCGCCACCAGCATGGTGTCTACCATCCTAACATTCTACGAGCAACTCTCCACGATATCTACACCGCACCACATTCCCATCGTCCTTCCTCCAATATCCCTCATCTACCTCCTTACCATGGAACCCAGCACGACTACTTTTGCCCGCGTGGCCGGCATTATCGCAAACTACAGACACGCTTTCAGCGCTCACCCCGCCCCAATACAAATCTACTACCCAGAAAAGATGACCAGTTCTTTCAACACTGCCCTACGCGATTTGTACCACTTGCTCTGGATGTCGAAAGCCCTTATCGCCGAACCTCCAAAGTCCGTGGGCCTGTACTGCGCGCCTGAGCTAAGCAACGCTCTACACACGTACCTTACACAAGCAGACCGCGAATACAATATCAGGACCGCATTCAATATATCAAACAACCCACTTCTAGCGTCGATATCGCTGGCTGCATGGGTCGCCATCGAGAACGAGGAAATCGAAAAGGAAGGTTACGATCCCGACGCCATTACGCGGCACGCCGGCCCCGTGAGCCAACGGAAGCTGGAGATGCTGAAAGCGGCTGGAGGCGTGAATGTCGATTGGGATGCGTACCGGGTGCGCGTGCTCAAGTGGATGGAGGAGAGGGGTTTGGCGGGCCCGAAGGAGTTCATGTTTGCGGCGTCCAATCAGCTGAAGGCAAAGTATGGGGGAGAGCTATAGGGTCAATTGGTTGATGAGCGTTATCAGCGTCACCCTGCGGTGGAAAATACTAGCGAAGCTAGAGAGCTTGACATACAATACCCATATCTTTCTGTTTGCATAGGCCTACTCCTTCCACACTACACTCCTGGGCATGCGGAAGAAGAGTGGTTAGAGTACATGTCTTTCTGTCGGTGCTAAAAACAGAACGATCACGCTACCATGTCGTGCGCTCCGTGGGTCTCCTGCACCGAAAGTTTCCGTTTCGTCGCCGCATAATTACGAGTAGAGCTTTTGTCTCACCATATAGGCATGCCGCCCGTCTCCGGTGCCAGTCTCAGTGTGAAGATTACCATCATCATCGGGAACAGCACCAAGCTCCAGCGCAGCCCGATCAATAGCCCGAGAAGTGTATATATACCGCCCGAAACCTTCTCTTCTTCTGTCCACAGTTTTCACCAGGGCCTATCAAAAAACCAAGTACGAGGACCTATTTGGGCTGCGGGCTGCGGGTCTAGAAAGAACCCCTGATACATGTTACGTTCCTCCTGAAGCTCTCGCTCGCCTAAAATCAGAAGGCGTACATTCGATGGGCCTTCTGTCTGGGAAAAACACTCCTATAATACCATGTTCTTTATGGAGGGCTCGTTTCCCAGGCTGCCATGGTGTTTCGAGTAGAAAATGCCCAGCCCAGGCACTCGTGTTCCTCCTACAGTGCTTGTCGGTCAAAAGTAACGGGTGTCATCTCCATGGGCGTGTCTTTAAATCCGTATTACAATGACATATTCTTCTTGATTTCTTTTCCGACCAAACGAGAAAGTAAAATATTGATGTTCTATCGAATAAAAGAGTTCGTATCACCAACAACATGCTTCTTTGGGTGTCGTAGCTGACGAAAGGAGCACATCAACCCATGCCATAGGCTGCGGGTTCAAAGACCCATCCGAAGGACTGATGTTCCTCCAGGGCCCTTTTTCAACCAAACACACTTGACCGCCAATTACAGTTTGGGTCCTCCAATTCGACGTGGTTCTTGGTCGACTAACTTTAACAACCACATAAACATGGATACTGTTCTGAGTCGTTTGCTCCTATCCACATGCATAGCGATAGTATCTTAAATATCGATGCGGGCGCATCATATGGGCTGTGAGTCCCAGAATAACATTTTCGCAGAGTCATGTTGTCTCGGGCGCTGTTTTCGGGCCAAGATCATATGACAGCCGACTTATGGACAAAACCTTGCGCTTGTACGCGATGCTGGGTCAATTGAGCAAGAATTTTACGAATTGAGCTCTCATCGCCTTGCTCGCTATCCACCCAGCTCCTGCTGGCTCTCCAAAGAGGAAAGTCCAAGTGCATGCGCGCTTCGGGTATAGAAAACTTGAACGGCCGCTTCCTGTCCTTCTGGAGCTTGTTTCATAAAAGAAGCGATATGGCCTGTACGCTGCTGCTTCCTTGCCGTCTAGGACTTCTGAGCAATGATGATGTTCATCTTCTGCGACATTTACATCAATGGGTAACAATGCTAGGGTTTAATTGAAACAAATATCGCTCTTGGGCACTTTCTTTTCGCACACTCATTCAGCTTGCAGACTCGGCGCTCCCCAGTCAATCTCGAGTCTGATAATGGATTTGTATGCTCTTTGTTATCCAAGTGCGCCGCAGGAGGATCTACGGCGCGCAGAATGGGAGATGTACAAACACTGCCGGCGCAGACCTTAAACTATATACTACGGACACGACTTCTGGGGAGCTAAAAAGAATCGAAGACAAGAATGACGCGCTGGCGGAACCGAAAAAAGTGGAAGCACGGCATGTATAGAAACATGAAGTGTTTGTATGAGTAGCGGTGGTGCCCTTGCCGAAGGACTCATCTTCCGTATCAATCATATCAATAAGTGCGGTGGATCCTTGCTGTAGCTGCGTGTAGGTATCAAGCTCCGCCTGCGACAGAGGCGGTTTATCCATAGGAACCATCAATCTGCCAGTCGAAGCCGTGTTCCCGTAGTGCAAAGACGAGTGAAAATCCCTATCGAGGCCTGCCGTCGCTGCAGAGAGGACATACTGCAAGTAAAAGTGGTGCGTTCGCAATGCAACCCTGACAGAAACTCGGTATCGAAACTGCATGGTCTTCCTGCGCTCCGAGCACTTCACACATGAACAACAATACAAGAGAAAGTCTAACAATGGAGCTTGGAGCCAGCCGCCCGGAGGGAATATGTTTCCCCCCTGTTCACCGTCTCCAATCCTCTCTACGAATTTGGACATCAATCATTGAAGACACAAACACGAGATATCATAGGAACTCTGCGTACAACAGTTCGTTCGATAACGAAGACCTCATGTTCCTCCCCTTTGGTCTTTCCCAAATCTACCTGCGGATTTGTTCATGTCTTCTCCCGCTGCGAGAAGCTCGCATATGGACGCAAATATCGGAACGTGTCGCATCGAAAGCTTGGCATACCGGTAGTATAATTGTCCCTCGGCCTCTCCACCTCCAACTCTTTCACGCAAAGCTGGTATCCCTCCACCACGAATTACTTCAACCTCGATACATGGGGTCTTGGGGTCGAAAAACTCGAAATGGACAAGCGTATGTGTGTTCCCTCAGAATTCACAGCAACACCACATGAAATGTTTCCGGAAGTGGTTGAAGCCAGAACGATATAGAAAACCACAAGCAAGCTTCCTGATGGGGAATCTTCGGATTCGGAGCTTCGCTCTGGGTGAAAGAAGTTGGGAAGGATTGGTTGAACGAACCGACCGATGGGTAATGATGATGATCTGCATCAGACTCTGTGTGAAAGACCAGTTCTTGCTACAAGTGCTCGTCGTGATTGCACTGTGGAATTAACTTCCCACAGTGACAACGACATCCTCTGAACTTTGAAGCATTCATTCTATATGCGCATGATGAATATTTATGCCAGACTTATGTACCCATGATCCCAGATAGAAATACCCAGTAAACCATATCCGCCGCGCTATGCATACCTCATCCCGCTTAGTTCACACCAATAGCCTGCGGCATCCAGAAGACCTGCTTAGGGTCATACTTCTTCTTGAGCGTAGCAAGCTTGCTGTACAGCTCCTCGCCATAGTACAGCTCATGCGCCTCCTTTGCGCTGTACGACGGGTCCACGTAGTTGAGGTACGCACCGAAGTGCGTCTGCGGCTGGCTCTTGATGATGACGTCGTTGATGCCATTGATGTAGTTTAGCGACGTGGGGTTGATGCCGTAGTTCTGGAAGACCCAGAGGGAATCCCGGTCGTTATAGGCGGCAAACTTAGTGTCCTTAGTGTTGATGGCCGAGCCGGGGCCGCCATACAGGTTGATGATGACGAAGTACGAATACGGGGCGGGCTTGCTGATGTAGTCCCAGAAAGCGTTCAAGGTAGTTGCGGTGAGACCGCCGTCGGCTTCGGGGACGGTGATGGATTTAGCGAAGAAGGTGTCGTGCTCGTCATACCCGGTCAGTGGCTCTCTGATGTCGGTCTTGTCGGACATGAGGATCAGGTATGGGATCCACTCGTACTCTTGGACAACGATCTTGGTTGGTGGGGCAGTGCCGCGAAGAAACTCGGGCTGGATGGTTTCTGTAGTCATCAGTAAAGCTCAGGTGTTGTCAACCACTCGGTAGCTGTGAATTACGTCGCGATGGCGGGAGATCCACCGTGATTGCAAACACATCACAAATTGAGGCTCTGGAGATGGGTGTCACTTACTGTTGAACTCTGCACCAGTGCCAAAGAAAGTACCGCCCAAGTTGTAAGTAGTGTTACCATCAAGGTAGATACCGTAGGAAATACGGTTGTCCACTACGGAAGCATTCTGCGAGAAAGTCTGGATGTGGAGGAAAGTGTCGGTGAATGCCTTCTTGTTCTTGAACAGAGTGTCGGCCCACTGGAACTGGAAGTAGGTGACCTTTTCAGGAGCAGCCTGAGTGCGGAGGTAGAAATTGGTGACAATACCGAACGATTCAGCCGCACCACGAAGAGCCCAGAAGAGCTCCTTATTCTCTGTGGCGGTCGCGTGAAGAAGCTTTCCGTCGGCAGTGACAACATCGAGGCCAACGATGTGGTCGAGAGCGATACCCCAGTTGCGAGAAGTGTGGCCGTAGCCGCCATGGGTGAAATGACCACCAATACCAACGCCGGGGCAGGTACCGTGAGAGATGGCACGCTTGCCTTGGTCCCACACGCCCTGAGCAAGGTTACCAAGACGAACACCACCGCCAACCTTAGCGACGTTGGTGGTCTTGTCGAGCTCAATGTTCTGGAGGGGCTGGAGATCGATGACTGCAGGTAATTAGTAGGGAAAAAAAAATCAGGACTAATCCGAGAGACGTACTTAGTGAGCCGTTTTTGCCTCCACTGCTGAAGCTGGCATATGAGTGGCCTCCCGACTTGGCCTGGACCTTGAGGCCGGACTGCGAGGCGCAGACGACCGCATCCTGGACATGCTTGTTGGTCTCTGGAAGCACAATTGCGGCCGGCTTGTACTGGAGACGCAAGTTGAAGGGCTCGGCAAGCTCATCGTAGTCGGAATCGCCGGGGTAGCTGGCCGGGACCTTCTTGCTGTTCAAGCAGGCATCGACAGCCTTGTTGGGGGCCGCAGCGGCATGGCCCGCCGCCAACAGTCCCGCGGTAAGGGTGGAGAGGAACTTCATATTAGCGAAAATAGAAGATCCTTGAAGTACTGTCGTGCCTGTTCGAGGGGATCCCTAACGAGTGTTGACCTGAAGGGAGATGCTCGGCAAGTGAAGGACAAGAAGGAAACGAGGAGGCGAATAATTTATATTCCATGGTAGCCTGTGCCGTTCTTACCTGCTGCTCAGGTGCAGCGATGGCGGAACTGAATCCCTGTGGCCTTCTAGGCCGAATGCGACGATCATGGTGGGTGAAGAAACGGTAGGGGTGCTGTCGCCCCCATGTGCTGATTGGACCTCAGCGGCTACCGAGACAGACATGCGTGAGCGTAATTTGGACCTAAGGAAGCGTCCATCATAGATGGATTCTATCCCAGCTGAACGATGTGCATGAGGTTACTCCCAACAGTGTGGTATACACTCGCGCGATACTAAGGAGAGAACCTGCGTGAGAGACGTCCATTCGGACTGCGCGGCATGCACATGTCGCAATGTAGCACAAGGCACTCAATGTTCTTCACAGAACCTGCATTGATGCGGCGCAAAGGGTCTGCTGAACGCTGGAGGCGCCGTTGAGGTGCATGCCGTGGGGATCGGTTTCGACCCTGCGTCTGCGGGCTTCTGTCGACAATCGCCATTCGCCATGCGGAGCATAATCGTATTCTCAGTCTCAGCCCAATCCTACTCTTACACGGCACCTCCCTCAGATGCAGTGGCGCGGATTGCCCACGGCCAAATCACCAACTTACCCGAGCCCTACCTCCATGCACTCGTGGCTTCGCCCACGTGCCGCAAATAAGCCTCCTATACCGGGGACCTGGATTGTGCATCTTGCGATTGGCTGACGCAGGTACGCATTGGACCCTGGACAATATATCACGCCTGCGCATTATTCCTAGACACACCAGGCGTGGTCTTTCTGTGTTACCCCACAGTGTGCTTCGCGGGCATGACATATTTTCTGTGAAATTGGCGTCTGTTTTAAGCATCTAGGATGACAGATATCAAGGACGCAGCGAAGCTGGCCCGTGGCGATCCTTCGTCCGCTATGCGCTGTCGTGAGCCGGGCGAGAATGGAGGAGCGTGGAGTGGACGCCCCCAAGCGACCCGTTTCTCCACGCCCCGCCGTTAAGCCACTCCGGTCGAGGCCGGAAGCGAACCCGTACCAACTTCTCCACTCCACCTGAGCCCTAATACAACGACGCATTTGACTCTTCTTGCAACAATCAAAAGTCATAGCTCCATGCCATGCTCAAAGACATTCCCAAGGCCGCGGATGCAAACAAAGTGAACTTCTATTTCGGGCGACCCAGGAGACACGCCGCCCGAGGCTCGAGGCTCAGCTTAGGCCCATAGCGACTTCAGGCCTCTCAATACGCCAAAGATGGCTGTGGTGCTCGGGCCGCCCATCCTATACATGTTTTGAGTATACCGACGTTGCCGCGTGGCGTCAGCGCTCGGCGATATGCCTGTTCGAGAACATTCGTGTAACTGCAGGGGGCATTTTCGCTGTAGCATTCGGCTCGCGTAAGGATTCACGTTGCAATCAAGAGGATTGACAAGGCAGATGCGGAGGAGATGCGGAGGAAGGACTCGTATCATTGTTCGCATTAACGCCACATGGTCATTGCACATGCAGTAATATTGTACATTCCGTCCACATTCCTTCAAAACACAGCGAAATCGTATGTGTGTCAATATCACTCCTTTCAAAAATCACCGCCTTCTTGCCACTAGTAACCAACAGGTTGTCCACCTAGCAAGGCGGCATGAAGCCGTCATGGGCCTCGTGTTTGCAGTTTGTCTGCATAGAGAAGGTATTCTCAAAGGCCTTCATTTGCCTGAGAGCTTGTGCTCCACGCATTTGGCTACGCGCCGGGCTCAACGTTGTCGTCTTGCCCTGAGTCGCCCGTTTGGCATTCGAAGGGTTGTAATAGCCACCGCTGCCAATACACTTGGAAGGATCGCTCCATTGCGCGTCGGCAGCGGCTTTCCAAATGGCAGCTACGCTCACGGTCATCTCCGGCGTGAAGTAGAGGCGACAATCCGCTTCCTCATACTTGAACTGCAGCGCAATGCCAGAGTCATCACCCAAGCGCACGGCATCGCGGACATTGATGCCATTGCCATAGGAGCGACTGAGCGCTTCTCCAGAGGTATATTGCTTCAGCGCCGAAGTCTGGAATGTCTCATTAAAGTGAATGGCCTGCGCCGCGTACTGCTGAATGTATCCCCATTGGTAGATATTGGCGCCTTTGACGCCGCCGACTGCCTGGATCTTATTCGCGTTGCTCCGGCCGCCCAATGCAATGGTCTTGACATGACCTTGTTGAGTCATCAATTCCGCAAAGATCGAGCATGTCGATGCACAGTATCCGTCGGTAATGAGGACAATGTCCTCCGACCTCCATCGAGTCTGATTGGAAGAACCTGTGATATTGATGCCAGACTGATAGGGAATGTAGACGTCAGTTATATTCCAGCGAGAGATGGAGGTGTAATCATCTGTTCTCGTTAGTGTTGGAAGCAACACTCGTAAGAAAACCATACCTTCATTCACAGTGTTCGGGCCAACTTTTTGTGCCCACGACTCAAAGGGTTTGCCGTCAGCAGTCTGGTCGGTATGGTAATCAAAATAGCTCGCTTGGATTGATCTCAAAGTAATGTTCTTCAAGCCAGCATCTCGAGGAGATTGACCAACAACTCCGCTAAACGCCTGCCCGATCAGATCTACGGCTGCATTGTATCGGAAGCGGTTGCCACCGTAGGGATCTAACGCCGGGAACAACTGCTTGAAAAGGTCGCTAGTAGGCATCAGTACCCTGCGCACATATTCGGCACGCCACACTTACTATCCTTGCAGAATGGTGCCTCCTCCGTTCGCCTGCAGGTCAATAATGAGCTTAGTCTTCCCTTCGCTCCAAGCTTTTTGGAGGAACTTTTGCGATGTAATCTGGAACGCGACTTCAGCATAAGAGCTGCTGACAAAGCTCGGTACTTGGAGAACAGCCACGTTCTCATAACCAGGCCCATCGATATAGAACCCATTGATCAGATTCTGAGGCCCGGGAACGACTGGTGTCGGATACCCTAGTGGCGGTGCTGCGGCTTGATCCAGTCCCGGTGGAGGAGAGACTGGTGTGATCACATCAGGGCGGAATTTGGCAGTCGAGTCCTCGTCAATGACGATCTTTCTTCTGAGATCCGCACCAGATGTGACATTCTGGAAGCTGAAATATGATTTGGCAGTGTTGGCAATGGTAAATTTCGTGCCATTGGCGAATTCGAGGGTAGTGTTCGGATTTAGGGGAACATAACGACCGCGACCCGCACCCGTGAACCCACCCAGGCCCGAGCCTCCCACTCCTAGACTGATTTGCGCAAGGTTGTAGAACAAGTTGTTGTACAGAGCATCGCGGTCTTGGAGGGATCCCTGTTGGCTCAGATCCTCGAGGAATGCATTGGCGTCCTGGTCATCAATCTTAACAATGGCAGATGGTGTATAAGAGATATTCTTGAAATGCAAACCCAAAATGTCGGTGTAGGCGAACACGGCGGGCAGTTTACTACCGTCCTCAGACACGGAGACCAAGGGAACAGGGCGACTAAAACTGAAGATCTCACCCACGACATCCAAGATGTATGCGAGGTGGCCATCGTGCGCTGCTCCAAGCAACCTGTAGAGCGCCCAGCCAAACGACCATTCATCCGAAATGTATCCTTGGTCAATGAACGCAGATATCGTATCCAACCCGGCGAGGATGTCGACAGGGTCTTGAACCTTCTCCACGTACTCGGGTGGTGGGTCCTTCAGTACGTCAAGCGTACTCTGCCAGTTGAGATAGAGCGGGAGTTCGAAAAGAATAGCTTTTGCCGAAGTGACATTGAGGGGTATGCTTGTCAGGCATTGGTAAGCAATATCTGCAGGGACTTCCGTAGGTCGTGGGTCATCAGTCGGTACTCCACTAGGGTTCAAGATGACCGAAACTTGCGCACACGGCTCAAGTGTAGGTGTGGGTGTTTCTTGGCGACGGTTGACGTTGTCGGCGGGGGATATCGGCGAGGAAGTGACAAGTGCGGCCAGACCCAGAAGGGTAGCCACTTCACAGGGCCACATAGCAAATGCGGCCACTTCGTGACGGCTGTCGACCGACCGGGACGATGATGAGGAAAAAAAAAAGGAGGGCAAGGAACGCTCGAAGTGGTTTGTAACGAGTGAAGATGGCGAGCAGTAATGAGGTATAGTTGGGGTTGGAGAATGTCGAAGACCAGGAGTATTTTGTTCAACAACAAGTGGTCGACGCGAGAGGAAGGCACGGTAGCCTGCAATTACGTGTACCGAAAAAGGCCGCGTCCCATTCGAATATCACAGAAAAATGCCTCACTTAGCACCGGCACAAGTAGAAGAGTACCTACTGGCATGGGACATGCTGAGAAGATGCCTTTTTATGGCAATGGAAAAGACAAGTTTGGAGCTGAGTAACCGTACCAGTGACTGCCGGCATTGCCGCCAAACGGACCACAACCGTACAAATGTATTGAAAGCGTGCTGGTACCTGCATGTCTTTCGGACGACTGTGTGTGAGCACAGCGGCCTGCAGGCTGTTCGCCTGACGACGGGCTCGCGTGGGCGAGGCGCCAATCGCTGCAGAAACAGCGTGGCCATCGGCATGTGCAGGCAGGACTTAACCGGGAGTTTCCCGTGTGCAGATACCAAGATCAAGATGAAGAGATGTGCTCTGTGCGACGTTGGGTACAGGTAACGCAGCTGTGCAGTCGTTGTGCAACGGATTTTGTGGCTCGTGCAGGTCTTGAACCATTACGTATCTGTGGCATAAGAAATGGGGATGCAATGCAGACAGCATTTCTTGCTGTTCTTGGATGTGTAGAAGAGATATCAGTGTGTTGTTGATATCGCAAACGGCGATGATAGTGGATATCAGGTTGGTAGGTTTGGCGCGCCCCGACGACGACTCCCAGCGCCTGTTTCACCCTAGACTTGCTGCAGGCCATCCGCTAGCCTGTGTCCACATCTTCGCCCAACATCGTACCTCCTGAAGTACCGTCGTGCAAACGCGTTTTGAGACTCGAATCACAGCATACGAACAGTGCTCTCCTTTACCGGACATATTTTATGAAACACAACACCCGGGTCGGAACTTTACCCAATGGCGACCGCCATCACCGCCCTGATTAGGACGTAAACTCGGGACCACAATATGTCCTTGGACGATAAAGACAGTCGTTCAGTATGTGTATGTCCGTTCTTAACGCACTGCCGCAGTCTAAATGAGAACTCTACTACCAATTCACCAGATGGCACCCTCACGGCCACAATGGATGAAACCTACAAAACAAGCACGACAACAAAATCCTCCCTTACTTCAGCATCAATTCAGTGAGTAGGCGCCACCAAAGTTGATCTAGCTAAGACGATCTCTGATACCCCTGTTACCGTGCCGACTGACCCGGGGCAATGGAACGTCCCGTAGAGCGAACGCTTCAGCCTCGCACGAGAGTGTGGACCCCCAAAGGGGGTGTGACAGTGACCTGTGCTTCATCACAACTTAACTGAGAGCAAATCATCACAGCGGTGACTATCACCAACAAGGTCGTGACGACTTTCAAGTTGGCGTCCTCATCACAGCTCACTAATATAGGACATAGTTTTCAACGTTATACACTCTTGCCGTCTCGATGCTAGCTCCAATCAATTTTTTGAGTATCGAGGTTGTTGACAACTGCGGAATGATAGCATCTTCCACCAGCTTTCGATCGATTGACGCTCATCAACTGTCTGTCTATGTGGAGCTCACCGCCTGACAATTCATTACCGAAACGCAGTCACGAACAGCCAATCCGATCCCACCACACCTGGTCCAAAGCCACGAAGCACCATTTCGCAAAGCACATATCTCACTGCACAATACACACGAATGTGACCGCATGCAAAGTTTATGCGATCGTAAGGTCACTCCGTTGCCTTCTGACCATACAGCAATTTTCGCACAACCCTTCACTCTCTGTTGGGTATGATAAGAGAGCTCACCATCTAAGTCAGTACTCTCCTAGCCGAGGCACATTGATGAGCACAATCACCGTGCAACACATCCAACTAAGACGCCACCTCGTCAGCTCCCCTGTCACCGCACAACTACATCCATATTCGAACACAGCACACCAGACGCGGAGCAGCATGATCACACACCACCCGCCACCTCAGGCCCACAACAGACACAGACAAAAGTAATGAAACCATGATTGGCATACAACACTTCACGCTACAAGAGCCACGACAGAAAAATGTACCTCCCGGCACAGGATGTTGACGGGAGCCAGGCCTTTCTCCAAGGTCGTGTATTTATCGCAGCTATATCTACAATGGTCATGATCATTATACATCGTCATGTCGTTGTTGTAGCTTCATTAGGAGCCTCGTCCTTTTCCCATGGCTTCTTCCGCCTTGACTGTGTGGCTCGCGAGGCTTGTCCGGTGAGGAGCGTGTCAGGTATCTCCTTGATGCCTGGTATGGGCTGTCCGGTGGTGACCAGCTCTACGATGTGTGCGAACGACGTAGGATAGGGCGCTGGAGGCTCGCCCACATTCGCCGAAGCTTCTGGGAGAATGCCGCCTGCGGTGTCGGTAGATGCGGCGGGGGGAGCTTGCACGCCGTTGGGCACGAGAGCGGGGCGGCCGCGCGCATTGCGGTAGGCTTTGTAGGCGTCGAAGTCGACGTTGGTGTTGTATTTTCTTAGACAGTCAGTATGCGGAAGAGCTCGGTGCACCTTGGTAACATACCTAGCATAGTAGAAGCATCGCGCCCGCAGTGTCAGTTCAGAGGCCTGCTCGGGCGAGGCGTTGCTGCCCAGAATTGCACTCAGACCCGACTGGAACTCGGCATCGTCGTCCCAGTTGTACTGCTCCAGGGACTCGTAAACGTCGTTCAGCCCATCTGCTGCGGCGACGCTCATGGTTGCAAGTAAAGGCCGGGCATGGAGGTGGGGCGGAGGAGCAGGTGAGGTACCTGGGCCGAAGCTTAGCCGGAGCTGCATGCAGTTCTCTTCGCTTTCGCTCTCACCCACAAACCTCACACACACACTCTCTCTCATTCCGCCCATCCCCTCCACCTTCTTCCCGACCACGTGCTCTTCTTTCTTTTCTTCTCCTGCTCTACTCAAGCGCTACTTGTTTAGCTTGTTCTGAGCTCCGTGCGTCTGCCGCCATCATGTCCGAGTACATTGGGTACGTCTCAGCTGCGCCATCAATTAGAGCTTCCGCTAACACGCATTGTGCAGTGCTCGCATATCCCTCATCTCCAAGAGCGACATTCGGTATGCTCGCATCCATTGAGAGAGCGTTGCGCACGTGCTGAGTGGCCTAGATATGTCGGCACGCTCGTCAACATCAACTCAGCAGAATCCACTGTCTCGCTCGACAATGTGCGATCGTTCGGCACAGAAGGCCGTCGTGGCGGCACCGATGAGTACGGGCCGTCAGATGCAGTCTATGAGCAGATTGTGTTCCGTGGTAGCGACGTGAAGGACCTGCGCATCGAGGAGACGCCCAAAGAGGAGCCTCCCGTGCCGCAAGACCCCGCCATTATCGGAGTAAGTCACAACCACTTTTTTCACGTCCCAGGGTACAATGATTAAACATTTTCGGATGTAAACCATTTAAACCACCGAGAGCGCAAAACCGTGTGGATATCTTCCGTTGCCTTCCTTCTGAGTACCCCTCAATGCCTTCGACTATTGTGACTACTTTGGAAAGAGCTCCGCTGATACGTTGGGTTGAACAGGTACAACAGGCTCAGCGACAAGAAGGCCCTCAGCCTGACCAGCGCGCACAGCCGCCGAACCAAAACTTCCCCCCACCCCCACCTGGACAATTCCCTCCTGGCGGTTACCCGCCGTTTGGGCACCCGCCACCGCCGTACAGCAATAGGTTCGGACCGCAAGGCGGCTTTCCTGGCGGCCCTCCTGGACCTTTCCCACCAGGTGGCCCCCCTGGAGGGTTTGGCATGCCGGGCCCATATGGTTATGGAGCGCCTCCACCAGGATGGGGCCCGCCAGGTCAGTTCAATGGACCTCCGGGTCCGTTCCCTGGACAAGGTCCCATCGGCCCACCTGGCCAGCAACAGCCTCAACAAAATCAGAACCAGAATCGGCCACCGACAGGACCTAAAGGTGCACCGGCTGGTCCTCCAGTCAACAAGGAGGAAAAGCCTAATGCCCAACCCAAGGTGGCGGAAGCAGACGGCAGCGCGAAGCCCACAGAGCAAAAACCCAATGCGAAGCCTTCAAGCGCCACTCCCACCCCCTCTGCCTCTGTTGCAAAGCAGGCCCCTCCCCCTCCCGTTGACTCAAAACCGCCCGTTGCAGCAGCTCTTGCTCCTCCTGCACAGCCTGCTGTAGTACCAAAGGCTGTACCGACTGGACCCAAGAGCGGCCGCATCGCCCCCGCCGTGCCTCTTGTCAGCCCTGGCCAGAGGAACGTCGCGCCCCAAGCTCAACCTGTTGCTGCAGCAGCCGCAGTACAGGGCCAGGCAAGCGCTGGTCCCGCCCAGAACTATCACAACGCCACCCAGGCTGCGACCGCTGCCGTAGCCGCGGCTATGGCAAAGCTTGAGGTCGGAAGAAATCCCGCGCCGTCTACAGCACAGCCGATGAACGCAAATCTTCAGCAACGGATCGACGAGATGCGAGATGAGCAGGCTCGAAGGGGCGGACCGGCTCATCGCGGAGGCGGCCGAGGAGGTCGCGGCGGTCGAGGTGGCAGTGCTCAACACGCGAAGCTGGAGATCCCTGCCACAGACTTCGACTTCGCATCCGCTAATGCCAAGTTCAACAAGATGGATTCCGTCAAGGAGGCTATCGCATCAGGCTCACCACTTGGTGAGGGCGTAGCATCGCCTCCTGTCGTCGAAGCTGCTACCAACGGCCATGCGGCGGAATCTAGCACTGAAAATGTCGTTATTCCTCCCCCTGCGGCGTACAACAAGTCGTCAAGCTTCTTCGATAATATATCCAGCGAGCTCAAGGATCGCGAGGACTCTGCCGCCAACCGTGGCCAGCAATTCCGAACCCAGGAGAGGGCCAAGAACATGGAGACGTTTGGCCAAGGCAGTGTCGATGGCTTCCGGGGCGGATACCGTGGACGCGGTCGTGGCCGTGGCCGGGGTCGCGGACGCGGTTTCAACGCTGGCGGCGGCGGCGGCGGCTTCCGAGGCGGTCGCGGTCGAGGCGGACAGTTTGGTGAGCAGCAGGCTTAGTCGGCCGACCAGTGGCAGGTCGTCTGCGAACCTCCACCGCACTTTCTTATCGAAACTGGTTTATTCGTCCACAAGGTGCAGTGTCCGCATCCATCGCGTCTCACGGACGGACGTGGTCCTGCCGATGACGTTCGCGAGGTTCTTCTCACATTGAGCCGGGTCCTTGGGACAGCTTCACGGTCATGAAAAATGGGCATAGGTTTCTACGATATGATGTATTGTTTTTCAGCGATGGGGAATTGGATTTGGGAGTCGTTGCTTGTGGCGCTCTGTACTAGTATGGATTGAGCGATGGGCGCGGTCTTGCGTCGGACTGTATAGCTTATGGAGAGGATGATATCCCGGTGACGAACCAGTATGGAGTCGCAACGTGCCGACTGGTAACGCCTTGCGAATGAAAGCAACGATCATTGAAATCACATTGGATCTTGTCTGCTGCGTACGACTGTAATGTGGACTTGTTCCATCCTTGACTGTGTATCCGCAGGCACTCCAGCGTGGATTGCATGGTGTAATCGCGTGTGGGAGCGTCGAGTTGCTTTTCCATCTGATAGCGCCCGTGCATCGCGATGACGACGGAAGCAGCGTTGCATGGGCGGCCACGTGCTCAACCATTGGCTGTTGCGACCCAGGGCAAGCAAGAGCTTCCCCGCAGGTCGCGCATCAACAAATCTCTGCCGCTGCAGACGAAGCTTGATATGCACGTTGTTCCTCCCGGCTGCTGATATTTGCTCGGACATCTTTTATCCTTGCCGTTCTCTAGCTTCCCTGCCTCGTTGCATGTGCGTCCAGTGCTTGTCTCGATAGCTGGCTCGATAGCTGTCTCGATAGCTGTCTCGATAGCTCAGCAACCGCGCGCGCGCGGATTGATCCACGATGAAGTTTGGCAGCACCCTGCGCAAGAGCGTCTACGCGCCGTGGAAGGACCAGTACATCGACTACGACAAGCTCAAGAACCTGCTCCGCGAGCACGATGACGACAAGCCGTGGACGTCGGATGACGTGACGCAGTTCACCGAGGAGCTGGCCAACGTGCAGCTGGAGAAGGTGTACAACTTTAAGCGGGACATCCAGGAGAAGCTGAAGGAGCGCACAACGGCCTGCGAGAAGAAACTCGAGCCGTTGGCCCTCGGCATCAAGGCCGAGGACGGCGAGGATGGCGCCGAGGCGGCATCTTCATCCAAGGACACCAAGTCGGACGTGCCGCCCGCGGAAAAAAAGAAGCTGCTCCAAGAGGTGCTGAAGGAGCTCGATGGCATCACCAAGGAGGTCAAGGAGCTGGAGAAGTACGGCCGCATCAACTACACGGCCGTGATCAAGGCCACCAAGAAGCACGACAAGCTGCGCGGCCGGTCGTACCGTCTGAGGCCGTTTATCAATGCGCGCCTTACCGAGAAGCCCATCTACACCGAGGACCAGAGCCCGCTGCTGTACCGCCTTTCGGCCATGTATAGCTTCGTGCGCCAGAGCCTGGACGGCAAGCCGCAGGAGGCGCTGTCGTTTGCCGAGAATGCCAGCGGCAAGGACGAGTTTACCTCGTACAAGTGTGCGTCATGAATTCCCATTCCGCAGTAACCAACTGACCTGCACAGTCTGGGTCCACAAGGACAACCTGCTCGAGGTCAAGACCGTGATCCTCCGGCGTCTCCCCGTCCTCGTGTACAACCCGCAGACCTCCAAGGTCGCCGAAGGCTCCCAGCGCGATCCCACCATTACTTCCATATACTTTGACAACCAGGACTTCCCGCTCTATACGGACAAGGTCAATCACGTCCCCAATGCCGCGTCTCTCCGTCTTAGGTGGTACGGCCAGCTCGCCGAGAAGCCCACCATCCACCTTGAGAAGAAGGAGATGAAGGACGGGGATGTAGCTGAGGAGCAGCGGTTTCCCATCAAAGAAAAGTACGTCCAGCCGTTCATCGCCGGCAAGTACCACATGGAGAAGCAGATCCAGAAGATGGAGGCCCGCGGTGCCCAGGACCCACAAGACGTCAACGAGTTCAAGAAGTCCGTCAACGACATTTCCCACTTTATCAAGGAGAAGGACCTGCAACCAGTCCTGCGCGCAAACTACACACGCACTGCCTTCCAGATTCCCGGCGATAACCGCGTGCGCGTCTCTCTGGACACGAACTTGGCTCTTATCCGCGAGGATTCGCTTGATCTGGACCGTCCCTGCCGTGACCCCGACGACTGGCACAGGCGAGATATCGACGATCGCCAGATGGAGTATCCATTCAAGGAGATCAGAAAGGGCGAGCGGTACGACTTCCCGCACGCAATCTTGGAAATCAAGGTCAGGGGCTTGAAGAAATACGAATGGATCGAGGATCTGATCAACTCCCACTTGGTCAAGGAGGCTCCTCGCTTCTCCAAGTTCGTTCAAGGTGTTGCCAAGCTGTTCGAAGATCAGGTACGTTCTATACTGATGGCCGCTTCGTCTCACGTTCGCTGACAATACCAGGTGAACACGTTCCCATTCTGGCTGAGCGAGGTAGAGATGGACATCAAGCGCGAACCCGAAGCTGCATTCGAAGAAGAGCAGAAGAAGAAGCAGAAGGCCGCGGAAGACGACTTCGCCGTCGGCAGTCTCTTCGGTGCGCGTGCAAGGTACGCAACATAGACCATTCCCACCAATCTCAAACTTACTCACCCTCTCCAGCCCCAGCTACCGCCCCTCGGTCATCTCCCCAGTCGGTTCCCCAGCCGCGGGCACCTCCGCCCGCAAAGCTAGCGCCCCGAAGCCCTCGCCCCTCGTCGTCGAGCAGACCACGAAACCCTCCGCCGAGGAAATCGACAGCGACGACGACGGCGATGCCACCATTCCCGGCCGCACGACGGGCCTCTCCTCCCTCTTCCCCTCGTTTTCCACCTCCAAGTACGCCCGCAGCAAGGAGTCCGCCGCCAAAGCCATCGCGCTCCCCCCCGGCGTCCGGCACCCCGGCGTCTGGATCAAAGATCAGGGCCCCGTGCGTGTCGAGGCCAAGGTCTGGCTCGCGAACCAGCGCACATTTATAAAGTGGCAGCACGTCTCTGTGCTGCTTGCGAGCTTGTCGCTGGGCTTGTACAACGCCGCCGGCGAATCCAACAACATCGCGCGCATCCTTGCGGTTGTGTATACCTGCGTTGCGCTGTTTACGCTGCTGTGGGGATACGGGATTTACATGTGGCGGCGCAGACTCATCATGCAGCGGAGTGGGACGGACTTTGATAGTGTGACTGGGCCGCTGGTGGTCGCGGTCGGGCTGGCGATTGCGCTGTGCTTGAATTTCGGGTTCAAGTACCGGGCTATACTCACCGAGCGCGAGCACAATCACGCGAGGCATAATGGGACGGCGGCAGCGGCGGCGTTGGTCGAAATGGTGGCGGAGAGGATTGAGCTGGTGAGGTAGATGCATTCCCGCCCGCTTTTCCCGAGCTCGGGGGAGGGAGTGGCGGTTGGTGGAGAGCGGTGATGGATTGCGGGATGCACATGTAGAGTTGGAGCAGAATCACGGTCTGTCTCTCCGTTGGGCCATGTCGCCAGGACGTTTGTCGGTGGTGGGTTGTGCGGAGCGAGTGTTGTATACCATGTGCTATTACTATTTGTCTGTTGTGGTTCGGGAGCGATGTGATGGTGATATGATGGTGATGGTCTGATTGCTCGACGGTTTGGTCGAGCGCCTATACCAACTCACATTTTTGGTGACAGCGATGCCATCTGGAGACGAATTAAGTCAGAACTCCATCTGAAAACTACCGTCGCCTTCGGACGATGTGCCCCCTGTCCTTCTGGGCACTAAGTGTTACTCTCACAGACGCCCTTGATGCTCCAATCTGGTCAAGCTGCGAATTAACGTTGCTGTACATTTCGTAGCATATATACTAGAACCAAAGCCAAACAGCCTTACCAGCGCCAGAGGGTATCAAGATCCGCTCACGAGTATCCAAATGCAACATCGCGCCCCAAACCAGTGCCGAAGCAAGCCTCCGCCTTGCCCTCCCCATCCCAACCCACCCTACAAAACCGCCTCCAACACCCTCTCCCTCAACACCCTCGCCTCCTCCTCCCTCTCCTCCAACTTCCTCTGCACAGCCTCAAACCTTCCCTTCCACCCCGCCGCCGTCGTCGTCTGCCCCTGTCCCAACCCCTCTGCCTCTGACTTCTCCTCCCCCGCAGCACCCACGCCCTTGACGACCCACTCCCCGACCAGCCCCGGCCCAAAACTCACGCCAAAAAACACATCGAACGACTCGCGCACGGTTCCAGTTTCAGGGCCGGCTTCGCCTTCGGGCGAGGAGAAGTCCGAGGACACGGGGGACTCGTACCCGTCGCCGCCGACGCGGAACCGCACGCATTCGACGCGCTTGACGCCGCCGGTGGGACCGCCGGCGCCGAGGCCGACGGCGGAGGTGAGGCCCAGACAGCTGGCTATGGAGATGGCGAGGGCGGGCTCGGACAGTGTTTTGGCTGCGGGGGCGGAGGGTGGGTTGGTGGGAGGGGCAAGGGGCGAGAGGATGGCGGAGGCGAGGGCCTTGGCTTCGGTGCCGGAGAGGCGCTTGCGGCGGCCGGTGAGGGGGGCGCGGATGAGGGAGGCGGCGAGGGCGCGCTTGAGGGCGTCGGGGGGGATGCTGGGGAGCGGGGATGGAGCCTTGGTCTGGATCGATGCTTGGGTTTGCGCTTGCTGGGGGGAGGCGTTTTGGAATTGGCTTGCGGGCGAGGATGTTGGGTGGTGCTGGTGCTGGGCTTGCTCGGTGGGCTGGTCGTACAGCGGGCCCGCGCGTTGACTTGTGGTGCTCGTCGAGGCGTCGTTCTCCTGCCCATTCACCAGCACCGTGGGCGTGGCCAGCCGCACGGGATTCCCGAGACTCTGCGGCACCTGCAGACTCAGTCTATGGCCGCGCTGAGACGCGTTCGGAATCTGGGCGTCCATGTTCGTGGGTGAAACGGCTGAGGCTGGGGTCGGAGGGAAGCGAAAGTGGTGCTCTGCAGCCGGAGGGTCTGAGTGGGCTCGCTCCACGATCGGCGTCAGGTTTCCTGGATTCCTGTTCACATCTATCGTGGGTCCCTCCTTGGTTTTGGGGTTGGCGGGGAACGTGACAAAGGGCCCGTCGCGAACGGAGCGATTACTCGGCGGTCTGCCGCGAAGCTTGCCTGTTGAAGAAGCGCTGTTGCTGGGCCATGCCGAGGAAACCGCGGGTCCGTGACGTCGTCGCGATCGTTTTGAGCTCGACGGGGTGATTGCGGATTGAGGTTCGTCGAAGAAATCCGGGTGAGCTGAGTGTGGTGTGACAGCGGATAGGGGATGCGGTGTGGTCGGGTTATCCTGCGTGTTCAAGCGCCATCGGAGCTGCTGCCCTGACATGGGTGATGCTGAATACGGCGTAAGGTTCTTGTTCGGGTTCATTCGGCCAGGTGCTGATGCCGCTGTCAAAGCGGAGGATGGTGTAATAGCAGATCCCGTCCATGGATCATGGGCTCCTAAGAAGCCTTCCATGTGATCTGGGTGGGCGCTGCCTGGATACGCAGACTGCGGTTGCAGAATATTTCCAAAAGGTATGGACGTGTCTAGCTGAGGACGTTTGGGAGCCGGTGAGTGGTCGATCATGTCTACGTCGTCTTCGCCCTCGTCTGCTTTCCTGCGTCCGCGCTTCGGGCGGAACTTCGGATCGAGAGCTCTGATCGCCAGGTCCTCTTCCAGGGGCACGCCATCACGTCCGTTCTCCGGGAACGGGTTGTGAGGCGACGGTATTTGTAGGTAGTACGGATGTTGTTTACCCAGCATGTATTCGAAAAAAGCATCGATATGCATCGCGCGCATCCATCGCTAACATCGTTAGTATCCCAATGAGACTAAAGAAGGAAGAAAGACAGAAGTGATTAGGGTAAATGATGAGGCTGTCGATGTAGGCCCTGACGTAGCCAAACAGAAGGATTGCTCGCCCCGCAAAGGATGTATTGGACCAACAATCCCAGAGGACGAAAGCGTATTAGCCTGAAGCAAGTATATGAATGTTCTAAGCGACGTGTTCGGTTCCCGTATTCGGATACTTTGACGCTGGGCTTCTTACGTGCAGTATTGATGCTCACTTGTCCCTCGAATACAGTGACGGGGTAGCCAACATTTGATGGTCATGATGTCGCGCACAAGCACAGTCCAGATACTGACTGGATAATGAAAGGATGCAGCCTGCCAGATGCAAAGTGCAAATAATGGCAATGCACAAGCACAAATATAAAAAAGGCGCCGCGATTGATGAAATGCAAAGGAAATCAATCTTACCTTCAGGCGGACAGAGTATTGCTGGACTTTCTGCGTGCTCTGCCCCTTGTCTGTATCCGGCCGTTCTACACCCAGATCGAGCGCCAATTGTGTCCACGTCTTGATATCCCCTGCATTGAATTTCCGTATGAGCTCAAAGAGCGCCCAAGTACTAAACGACTTGCCGTCACTCTTTGGAGGGGTCCGAAAGAGTCGCGTCAACTCGGATGTATCGGTCGCAGTCGAGAAGTTCGGATTGCAATACAAGATGAAGGTTGCGTAGGCTTGGTCAAGCGTATCGTCTGAAACATCGCGCGAGGGAGTTGGACGGTCGGTCGGAACGTAGTTCGAGGTCATCTGCTTCGACTGACTAGCTGGAGATATCGCTGAGAAGCGCGGCGAAGCATTGGACGGCGTCGAGGGCGTCTGCGAGGCGCGCGACATGTCGCCATAGAAGGCGTGGGCGAGGTGGCCGCTCCCCATGGAGGCATTGTCCGCCTGCAGGAGGTGGTTTGGCGGGGCGGAGTGGTGGACGGATGACATGGGAGGATGTCCATTACGGTTCGCGGCACTTTGCTCAAGACCTGGGTCGATTGTTGGTAGCTAAGCATTGGTACATCAGCAAAGGTCGCATGCACGACACGACATGAAAGCACATACGGCAGGATGGCGGAACGGCGAGAATGCCGGACTGCCGTGGGTGGAATGTTCAAAGTGACCGTGGGACGAGAGATGTAAGCTATGCTCCGACTCTGCGCCAAAGTCGACTTGCATGGTTTCGGAAACAGCTACAATCTGCGCTGAGGCCAAGCGGGTCGAGCCATGAGCGCTCCTTGGGCCAGTGAGTCGAGTCAGGCGCAACTTTGGCCCATCCAATATGTACTGTGGACAGCACCGCAATCGATAGGCTACCGGTGCGGGTTTCTGAGCTGTACGGCCGCCGAAGAGAGTCTACAGAGCGCCTGTTGGTGACGCGCGCCAGGTGGCAGGCAGGTCGCGGCCAGCGCGAACAAGCTAGGCGAATGCGCGCGGCTCGCTGTGCGCTCGTGGCAGGCGGCGGATGGAGTTGATCGCGGGTCGCTCGACGCGTGCGGGATAGGGTTCGCGATGTCACTGGTAATTAACGGTCCTTCTGTCGCTTCTTAGGGCATTTAACGAACTTAAGCTGGCCTGAGAGGGCCAAGGCGTCTATTCTTGGGGCGGGGTCTCGTTTCAGCCGCACCACCCAAAGCTCCCTAATGCGCCATGGTTCATGATTCGCTGCAGTGAGCATCAGGTGGTTTAGTAGTTCACGATGCCCATTGAACATGATACTGCTTACGAAACAACTGATGAACGATGAACCATGCCCCCGTAACGCCAAAGCTAAGATAATTGTAGCTCATAGATCATTATACCCAAGTATCTCGCCGGCCAGATTATGCATGACCTCTTGTACTGCGAAAACGTGTCGATCGGTAATGATGATTTCATTGAAGGCCCCATCCGTTGAACCGGGGCTGATATCGTAATCATTCACGGGCAAGTTCAGCATCCGTACCGTCTCGAGTACTGGGGCTTTCAAGAGTGATTCCTGTTGACGATGTTTAGTTCGAGTTAAAGTGTACAGCTTGCAAGGCATTGTAGTAAGTCGACATTTGACTCACCATGACGGCTTCGAGGCTGGATAGTAGGACCTTCTCATTTTGTTTCTCGAGACGGTAAGAGTGGACGGTATTAAGCCAATGGCCAAAGGTTGCAGGGTAAAATACTGATGGTCGCCTCTTCCAACCTTGAGCACTTTCCGAAGATGTCTACGACGTCCACGTTGTACTGCACTTGGTAACCGGCTGTCACATCTCCCAGGAGAAGACGCTTCAACGTATCCGCATGATACATAACCCTTTTCTTTGCAACCGAACTTTTCAGGGGCATGCAGATGATGATCGTTCGAAGTCCTTGTCATGTCTGTAGGAAGGAGTCAAGACCTCCGAGGATAGGCGAAGGATCTTCCATGGACATGTGAAGGTTCATTAGGCTTCCCCCGGTACGGGTAAATAGACCCGACAAGGCAAACAGAAATGGTGCCACGTCTAAGAGAATGACGCACCGTTAACCTCATGGGCGATAAGTTATGCAATCTCATGCCACTTACCGACACAGTCACGGATATGTAAGCATTCGAGTGACGAGAAACCTATCTCGTGAAGCAGGGCGCGCGAGGACTCTCCAAGACGCAGGTCAGTGAGCTCAAAGAACGTGAGCACGAGTAGTGGCGACACATTGTAGCGAAGTGGCAGCGAGTCGAGGTTTGTATGCCAATCGGTGTTAGGATTTTCTTCTGAAAAGTCATGACGGATAGTAAGATCACCCATGCCAGGAGAGTTGGTAAGAAGGTAGCGGAAGGGTTCAGGAAATTGTCTCGCCTTCTCATCGAGTCGAACATATACACACAGCATGGACATCGCTGCCATCGAAGGTATGTTCCATGACATTGTCACTCTGGAGAGCGTGTCCACGAAAGTGTTCGGACCGGCAGGATCAAGTTTCAGGGGGTGCGTCCAGTTCGTCCAACTGACCACACGTTGGAGAATTAAGCAAGGGCTCGGCCAATCTTTTTGCCCGCTGGGGATTCCACTCACCTTTGTCTCTGGAGAAGCCATGTCATGACAGACGGCATAACGGCATAAGCTAGGAATTTGATCAACCTGTCCTTCGGGATGTATGCGAGTCAAGCACCAATTCTGGCTCGGGGTATCTCTGACCTGTACCAGGGTCTGAGAGGTACAAGTCGTTGTACATGTCCAAGTATTCCGTTTCTGGGGTCGGTCGAGTAAGTCTTTCAAGCGACGAGAGGAAGTTTTCCGTAGATCCGTGTGCAGTGACTCTTATAGAACTGGTGCCATCAATTGTCTCCACTCATGATTGACCAAGCACACACTTTCCAGGTCGCGAGTCCGTCGTACCTGTCAGCAATAAGCTCAATGTCGAGGAAAGACATGCGCGGCCTCGGGACAAGCACAACGAAGGTGATCCTACGAACGCAAAGTCGTTAAGCTTTGGCTCAGTCGGTAGGCAAGTGAAGTCTGCCATAGTCTACGCGGTCGGTCTCTCCACACATCGATCGTGCCCAGCTGTCGGTTGCGCGGTTTGGTTGTTGCCACTTGGGCGGACGTAGACGTGGAGTGGGATCTGGTAGCAGGGGCGTAGCTGCCTTTCCGGTTGGGCGCTTCAACCACGCTGATAGCCGGGGTACATGTCGCCACGTGATATCAGTCATGCCCAAGAGCGGGCCTGCGTGGACACCAGTAGCTGCAAGTGAAAGACAGCTGTCTTGTCAACGAGACAGCTGCAGCGCGACATGTCTGATGCCAATCATATCTTGTTGCGCACTCAAGAACATTATCAAAGTCCTATACATGTTAAGCAAAGCGTGTATACAATTTTCTCGAACGCAACCAGTTCACTACTTGTGGCAATTTTGGGTAACATTATCTGCATTCTTTCAGTAATATAACAAAAACCACAACTTGAACGCATAGCTCCCATGCCAACGTCCAGTGTGACCTCGATCGGCAATTTGTCTGAAGTGGACCTTGGAAAGTCCACACAGAGGCAGCTCATTCTACCTGAGTCTCTAAGTCGCCACTCCAGAATAAACGGCCGGCGTTCACGTTTAGGCGAGAATAGGGGATTAGAGAAACCGGCTTAGCGCGATTCGGCCTAGCCGGGAATTCTGTAAATTGTGGAACGAGGCGGGAACGCTCGATCCGAATCCCGGTAACTCCTTTTCACTTTGCGATATCGCCACGAAAACTTCAAACCCCATCAACCCTCCAACAAACGCTGCAGACGCAAAAACTGCTGGTGTTCTTCAATTACTCAACGTTCTGAGCGTGTCCCCATCAGCGCGCATCCATAACTTGTTGCTGTTGTCGAAAGGCGAGCGCAACAACAGGTCGCGCTCACACGAGCAAGCAGCGCAAACCGCCACCATGGACGTCGCCCTGGAATTTCTCGATCCCCTTATCTTGGACAAGGCATACGCGTGGGCTCTCCCAAGCGCACCCCTCGGCATTGACTATAGCAATGGCACCTCTCCTCACAAATTCTCGGCCGCGCAAACAACATCGCAATGGCCACGGGACAACATCTACCGCCAGATAATATCGATCCTGGCGTTAACCCAGATAGGCGCAATGAGCCTCTACCTTATTTTCAGCGCATTGTCTTATTATCTCGTTTTCGACAGGAGACTAGAGTACCACCCACGTTTTTTGAAGAACCAGGTCCGCCAAGAAATAATATCTTCCTTTTCCGCCGTCCCGTTTATCAATCTTCTCACGCTACCCATCTTCCTGGCCGAGGTCCGCGGACACAGCTTGCTCTACAGCAATGCCAACGAGTATGGATGGACGTGGCTGGCGGTCTCGACGGTGCTGTACATGGCGTTTAACGATTTCGCCATCTACTGGATCCACCGTCTCGAGCACCACCCTAGCGTGTACAAGTACATTCACAAGCCGCACCACAAGTGGATTGGTAGGTCACGTTACCCGTCAACCTCAACCCTTTACTAACCCTGTCAAAGTACCAACCCCATGGGCAGCCCTAGCCTTTCACCCCCTGGATGGCTTCATCCAATCCACCCCTTACCAGTATGTCCCCTCCCTCCTATCCCACCACCCCCTCTAACCCCCCTCCCAGCCTGTTCGTCTTCATCTGCCCCATGCAACGCCACCTCTACATGGTGCTCTTTGTAGCCGTGCAGATCTGGACCATCTTCATCCACGACGGCGACATGATCAGCGGCCACTGGACCGAGAAGTGGCTCAACAGCCCCGCACACCACACGCTGCACCACATGTACTTCACCGTCAACTACGGGCAGTATTTCACCTGGGCTGACACCTACTTCGGTTCGCATCGCGCGCCGCAGCCCGAGCTTGACCCGCTGCATGATGCGCTGAAGGTTCTGCGAGCAAAGGGGCTGGTTGATGAGAACGATCAGCTTATCAAGAAGAAGAAGACGGAGTAGTGTCGGCACGGGGAAGCATTTTGCGCGTCGACGGGTTTATGGGTTACGCTTTATATTGGCAACTCGCGATGGACTTCTTTCCATTGATTCTCTTCTGGGGGCTACTTTGGCGCCCGCCTGCATCGGTTTGGAAAATGTACGATACGTGGCCGAGCTCTTGCATTTAGGGGCCGTCTGCGTTGTATGGGGGAGGCTGCGATGGGAGATGCCGGCATCATTGTACAGCAGAGCAACCCAGCTCCGACTACACTGTTATAATTTCTAATGACACTGCTCGCTCGTTTGAACACGATGCACCATCACTGTGATATACGTGACGGTGAAGAATATCGGACGATACGTATGGCCAAGTCGAACAGTCCTCTGCATCTCACCTTCTCGTCCATGTTCAAGCCTCACACCGCCGCCACCCTCGACCCATACCCAAATCCACGTCAGCACACTATTGAGCAATCGATAAACCCGCGCCCCTCGGTCCCTCCCACCATCCAGGTCCCAGCCAGCGCCGTGCTGCACGTAAGCCCCGCGCACGCCACCTCATCATTCCCTGACGCACGACACCCCACAAAGAAAACGTCTGGGCTAAGTCTGACATGCAATATCCGCGACTCAGCACCATCGCTCTTTCGAGTAAAGAACTTGCCGTCGAGGAGGGGATGGAAAGGCAGTGCAAACGGAGGTGCAGAATATTCATCGAATCTGATGGCTGTGCATGACGGCGCGCAACTTGGCCGCCGTGCCAGCGGCACGACCACGTCGACTGACCCGCTGGCAAACAGAGGATGCCGGTTCCGCATCGCAAATGAGAGCTGTGGGCAGGATAGTGCTGTGTAGGAGCTACACGGCATGCCCCGTGCCTGAGCGCACACGCAGTCCTCTACACTGCGCGTTCGGTGTAGCCTCCAGCACTAGCCAACCCCCATCCCATGCCATCCCCATGCGGCAACCGCTCATGCAGGGTCCCCGCCAAACGCGTCCTTTGTCCTCGTCGCAACCGTTGAATCCCACCCACCCATTCTACCTGAAACGCACGGAAACGCAAATCCACGGTACGCGGACTGGAATGTTTCTTCATCTCGTCTCGTCGCGTCCCGCGCCGTCGTGCAGATTGCATGTGACTCACCCAGCACCTTCCCTTCCCGCAGCGCCCGCTCCATCAAATCTCGCGTCCGTGTATCGACATCCCCACTGTGCAATATCACTCCCGCTCGTCTCGTCAAGATTCCCTCTCTTCGCCTAGTAGCTCGAGGTTATTATTGCAATTTTTTTTTATTTCACTCTCGCGTGTCTTGTCCTGCAAATTCCCGCGGAGCACGCCTGCGCTTGCCAAAGTCCGTCCGTCCGTTGGGTCCTTGCCCGCACGCCCCCGTTTCACCCTACGCGACGATCCGTTTCATCGCGTCGCGAGCGCTATGCCGCATGCGTGAAGTACTGTAAAGCGGCACGGCGCACACGACGGCGAGGGAGCGGGCGATCCGAAGATCGGTGTTTGAGTTGAGGGGAGAATGCACAGTATGCGTGGGGGACGGTTTGAAAGTCGATCAGCATCTTCATTGTCTGTCTTGCTGGTGATCCCAATCACGTACTCAGCTCAGGAGACGAGCCGGGATGGGAGGGGAAGCATCTTTCACCTTGCACCTATCCAATCCCACACAAGCTTCCACCCAACCCCTCCTCTCTCCTAGACAAAAACAACATTTGTAACGCCGCCCTAGATAAAGAGAGGCTGTGTTGCATATAAACAAGCAGCCCTCTGACGAAATGATAAAAGTAGAGTCGATAGCGAAAGCGTATGAAAGAGAAGATTAGGAACATGTGTAGCGTTGCGAAACATGCGCCATTCTCGGCGTGAGACTGCATGCGTTTCAGCAGCGGGCCGACATATCCAACCATAACAGTGCCAAACACGTCGTATCCACGTGAACATCAACAAGCCGGTTCGCTTACATCCTTGACTGCACTGGTGACAGTCGTGGGGTCGTTGTTGCCGGTGCGAGACGCAGAGGAAGCAGACCAAAGAAAAAGCTCTCCACATCGAAAGTATCAAATGGGGAATCCGAGAAAGATATCCGTAGCGAGCCCTATTAATTGCCGGCGCTTTTAGGGGTGGTATTCGAAGGAAATAAGATGCGCGCGTGCCGAAGGTTGCGGGAATAGTGAACCGTAGAGGAATATCAAGTAGTTCGCCGGAGGGAAGATAAGGAAATCCGGGTGCCGTAGAAACAATATGATATGAGACGTAGTAAGCGAGTGCCGTGTCCGTAGACGTCGAGAAACCATCAAAACTCCATGCGCGCCGTAAGGGATGCCTTCACATCAACAAGAAACCACTGTATCGAGCCGAAGCCAGGTATCAAGAATGGAACAGGTCCCAAGCCCTCGCGCAGAGCGAGATGAATTCTTCCTTCTTCCTGTGCTGAGTCTCCGGGGAGTCGCGGGGTTCACCAAAAGGCCCAGGGCGTGCATGTTGTCGGCCCAGGGGGGGAGTTCCCATGTCACGCTCATACTCGTCTCGGCCTCGTCTCCTGCCGCTGCCGCTGCGGTGCAGATCGGCGTTTGGTGGGTAGGCCTGGGAAGAGTTCTTGCCGGGCATGGGCGAGGGTGGCGTTGGGGGCTGGTGGCCACCGTAATGAACAATGCGAGGCAACAGGTCCTCACGACCGCCAGAAAGGGTCTGTACAGCTTCCTCAGCGGACTTGTACTCTCGCGGGCGGGAGGTCAGTGGCGGCTGCTGGTGGTGTGGCGGCGGGAATCCTGGGGATGGAAGAGGGGGCTGCTGGTTTGAGTGGGACGAGGTTCCGGGGCTATTTGTGTACATGCCACGGCCCGTTCCAAGCGGCTCCGGGAAAACGTCTGCAATGGGTGGCAGTCTGTTGCTGGTCTGCTGTGCTGGGACGTGGTGGATGTGCGAGGTTTGCGAGAGGTTCGAGGGGCCGTTGGCAAGCTGACGGGATGGCGGCATGTTGTTGCGGAGTCCAGTGAATGACTGGTTGATGGGTGCAGACTGGATGACCCGCTCGTTTGCAAACTGGGAGTGCGAAGGAGGGGCAATGGTAAGGCCCGGTGGGGGACCCTTCCGCTTGGGCGTCTTCAACGGTCGTCCAAACGGGCTCATGTCCTGCTGGCGGGAGTCATCATCGGGGGGTCCACCCTTGGCACCGCCCTTCTGGCGCGCTTCTATAATCTGCCTCTGCCTTTCTCTTACATCCATGCTTCTTTGCAACTGCTCACGCATCGAGGGGTCGTTGGTGTGGAAGCCCGGGGACAGGCAGGCGATGCCAATGTCGACGCCCGTCGACAGACCGGCGGGGCGTGCGGTGAGGGCGCCCGAGGCGTGGACAACGTGCGAGCTGGCGAGATTGAGGCGGCTGGGGCGGTGGCGCGAGTTGGGCATGTCGGGCGACGAGGGCTCCTTCTTCACGACAATCTTGGGTGCGGGGCCGCGTGACCTGCTCGAGGATGCACGGTTAGAGAAGCCTCGTCGGGTGGGAGGAGACATGGAGGTGTTGGGCGGGGTGAGCGGAGCAGTGGTGGGACTGATGGAGGAGGAGGGTTGGCGGAAAGAAGAAGAGGAACGCGACGAGTAGGTCGACGACATACGAGAGAGGTGAGCGCTTTCCCTCCGCTCTCTGGGGCGCGGCGCTGGAGCCATCACTGGAGGAGGTAGGTGAAGCATTGTCGGCAGCGCGCTGAGAGAGATGGGAGGTGGGCGTCACGTTGTGGGGAGAGGCAGCATTGGGCGCAATGGCAGCATATACTCTGCTGGGCCCCGGCTCGAGCACGGGCGCGTGTGGAGCGGACACAGGGGGGGCAGCGACGGCGGTGGTCATGGTGCTGTCGTAGGTCGAGGGGCTCGCGTGAAAGAATAGATGAGAAGGAGTGTCGCAGAGTGCTTGGGGGGCCGTCCCGCTACACCAAAGGTATGAAGAGCGGCGGTGCTAACCCAGTCGGCGCGCGTGCAACGGGGGGCGTCTGCGCAAGCAAACGGCGGGCGGGCACTGCAAAGGCGCAGCAGTGCGGCTCAGGGTGGAGCGCAGATTGACGATTCCGACGCTGGAGAGGGTTCGCAGGAGGCCGGCGAGGAGAGAGGCACGGCGGGATGGGATGGGATCTTCACTAAAAATGGCACTGCGCACGGCGGCGCTGCGAGTGGCCGGCACCCCTGCAGCTGCAGCGCAGGCGGCGCGCAGGAGCCTACTGGCCAGCCCAGCCGCCAGCACAACACCGCACGCCGTTCCGCTGCTTTACCACTGCGATGCCTGGCTGCTGCCGAGCGCCCGCCCGCTGCCTACCAGACCACCGCCCGCCGGCGCCCAGCTTCTCGCGAGCGCCGGTGATTCGCATGCAGCTGGCGGCTGGCGCCAATCACCGCTCGCGTCCAGCGTTTCACGCAGTTTGACCAGCCCGGAAGCAGCGCGCGCTCGCGCCCCTCGAAACGCACCACGCCAGTCGCCAAATTGCATGGACCGTCGTTCATGGCGCGCTGCTGCGCGAAGGTTTCAGCGCAGCACCACCGCCCTCCAGTCGCTGCGCCAGCCTCGCGCCCGCTCACCACTTCACCACTCGCCGCACGAGCTGCTTCCTGAGCGTTCGTCGCGCGCCGCGTCCAGCGTCCACGTGTGCGGGCGTGCACCTCGCCCGCACCAGCCTGAGCGCATGCCCGCATCGCCGCCGTCCTTGCGGCCTCGGTTCGCCAGGGCGGATTGCGCACTCGTCTAGCAAACACTAGCACCACCGCAAGAAGCGCGAGATGCACTTTCCACTGGCCCTGCTGGGATGGCTAGACGCCTGTTCTCCTACGCTGTCCGCGCCAGCTCCGCACCTATAACACCTACACGCTCCACGCATCACGCGCAAATTTTCCTGAGACAGTCCATCTCCGCCTAGCATGTCCTCTCTAGACCGCCTGCTTGCTGAACCACCTGCAACGTAAACCTCTTCACCCGTGCCTCATGCTCCCTCACAAGAGCTCGGCTTCGCGTTGCGTGCGTCTCTGCTTCTAGCCTCGGTGCTGGAACCTCTGCCTCCACTCGTGCAGCACACCCTCTTATTGATGCATTCCGGAAACGCTGCCCACGACAAAATTTCCTGTCCTATTGCCTGCTTATGCACACTAAAACGGACACCGTTGGTTGAAACATCATGCGTCCGACGGTCAGCTTGACCGCCGGCGACGTGTGACAGGCCAACGATGCCCGGACTCGAGTGCGCCAGGGAATCCCTCTCCCCTCTGACTCTGCTTTACGCCGACGTCCTCCTAAGATCCTCCTAGAATATGCCATGTTCCTTGACAATGCCCTATTGTCTCTCTGCCCTCTATCCGTCTCTCCCTTCATTTATCCTCGACCGGGGAAATAATCGTCAGGTACAGTACAGCCCGCCCATACACAGGCGGGCCAGACCCTGGGGCCGGAAATGGATAATTCAACGGCAACGAAACAGTGTTTTCACGAATGCTCTCTGCCAATCAGCCGACCGAGGGATCGGACAAGGCCAATCGGCCTACCGTGCCAATATACCATGTCTCGGAGCATCTACCTTTTGCGCCAAATCCTAGGGCTGGATGGTAGCATTGCAGCACGACGGATACAGGACATGCTTGTGGCGAGAACCGCCAGACACTGCGAATGCGTACAGTAGTGATGGTAGCCCTCTGCGGTACTGTAGCAGCAGGGTGCACGTCGCCCATGGCGCTGGATGCCTGTCAGTTCTCTCTCGCTCACCCTGTCCACATCCCATCCTTGCGCCCCACATCCGCGCGTTCGGATACCCACGCCTCGAACGACTGCAATATCGATTGCGCGACGCGACGCGACTTACCGCATCGCGGAGACGTGCGAAGCTGCATTCCCGCTGTGTCATTTCGCGTGCGGGGCGCGCGTCGCGTACCCAGCTACACTGTCCCGCGCTGGAGCACCGCTCCCGACAGTCTGCCAATCGCAACATGGTTGCCCGTCTATCGCGCTGAATTAGTCGACCTGCAAGATATACAACCCCTCGCATCTACATGAGCGCACACAACCACGCCCGCCAGAACGTCCCTGCGTCCGCCCACTCTACACGCGACATCACCCCAACCCAACCTACTTCCAACCTCAACTAACCCAATTGACTCATCATCGCACCTCCTAACCCCATCCAGCCTCCCCCTCGCAGTGCCTACTCCAAGCGCAAACCGTACCACGCACGCCGTCCGTTTTGCGCGTCGCACAAATACATGCGCGTGTGCCCCGCCATTGCACGGCGTGGTGGGCGACGAGACGGCGCGATATGCGGGGAGATGCTTTGAGAAAGGCTTGCAGGTGGGCTTCCGAGGGGTAGAACAGGGTAGGGGAAGGGGAGGTGCATTTGTGGGGAGCTACTGAGGGGAGGTCGGACGTAGGTGGTAACGTTAGTGTCATGTAAACTGCTAGAAGTCGGGTACTGGCTTGGATTGTCATTCTAAAAGAGATCCGGTAGAAGGACCGGCATGTCTGCGAGGTAGTCCCGAAGTGCAGAATAACTAACACAGCGCCAGTGTGGTGTCTGTCGCGTGCCATGTCTGCATTCGCTCATCTGGGCTATCCTGCCCTACCGTGCACGAGTCTCGGTGTATTTGGTACGCCCTCTTGTACGGGACATCGAGTGCGACAATCCTTCTTCGAGATGACAAAGATCGTCTCTAACGCGTGTGGTTGGCTTCCCTGCGCGAAATACTCTGGCTTTGAACCTGCGAGGTCAATATCAACGACCGGAGATCTCATTAAATTGCCGAGAACATGCCCCCCTGATACTAAGTGCATAAGTAGCTGCGGCTCTGCGTCGGCGCTATATCCTGTTCCTTGCATGTTTTCTGGCGTGAGGTCCCAGTCCAAGATCTCGGACCTTGCTTTTCTGATCTGCCACAGCTACGGCGCTATTAGCAGCCGCTCGGCGCATTGTAAGACGTCCGAATGGTTGCGAATGCCGTTTAAGAGAGATCGTCGTTCCTGGGCTGGTGTCTTGCCTCATTACATGGGGTTGCAAGGAGTTCCAATGACCATAGCGAGCATTTTCTGGAGTGGTCATTTCTCGGTAGCAAGAACATTAACTCCGCACATGAGACAGTCACACTGTACCGCCCGTCAAGCCCGCCCAATACCTTCGACACTGCCTATCAAAGACAATCCAAAGCTTGCCTCAGCCAAGCAAAACTCGGTCCAATGCTCAACCCCCCATCATTCATCGTATTAGCGCCCGTACCAAACGTCACGTCCGCCCTTCGGCACCGCCTTTTTGATAAGGTCTTCAAGATAGGTATGTGCTTGCGGTCGCCCTCGAGCATGGGCGTTTCGACCCACGCCGGACTCACCGCGTTGACGCGGATGCCCGCTGGCTTGGGTCCATAGCTGCGAGTGATCAGTCTCGTGTTCTCAGGCCATTTGGGGAGGGGGGAGCTCACCTGATGCCCGCGTGATCCTAAGCAGCGCATGCTTTGCAGTGATGTACGGCGTCTCGCAGGGCACGGCGCCAAACGCCATCGCAGACGCGACGTGTACGATTGCGCCGCGACTGAGAGCCTGCTCACCGAAGCGTTTCGTGCGGACGGCGTAGGTTGTTTGGGCGGTCAATGCTGGGCGACGGCTTTGTAGAGGAGGAAGGCGCCTCGGGCGTTGACGTCGAAGACGCGGGTGAGGTCTGCGTCTGAGGTCAGGTGGGAGGGGACCACGGCCTCGACGTCGATGTGAGATGCGCGCGTTAGTCTTGCTTTTGAGATGGAAGTTTCCGTTCTTGCGCCAGCGGCATTGACGAGATAGTCTATTCTTGCAAATTCCTGGACCGCAAAATCGACCAAAGACTGTACGGGTTGGGAGTCGGTTACATCGACCGTAAAATCGACGGCTCTGAAACTGGGCAGGTAGCAAGAGCTTTACTTTTTTCGGCGACGCGGGTGGCTCGTTGCCCTTGAGATCGGCGCATATGTTGTCTTCGGCGCCCGCTTCGGCAAAGGCGAACACCGCCTCTTTTCCAATGCCGCCGGCGGCCTGGTAATGGTCTAATTTGCTGTACAAGATGCATATTATGTTAGGTGAGACTTCTGCCAACGACGATAGCTAAACCGTTGACTGAGGAGTGTGCCATTTGTGCTAGCTGTGGCATCGAGGCGAAAGTCGTTGCAGTAATACTGTATTTTTCAGTTAGCCAGACTTCTTCGTAGAATGCAACTAGGCTCGATTTAGATCTATACTGCAGATAGACATACAGTCAGTCATATCAATTGGGAGTATATCCAACTCATATATGTTCTTGCACACTTATTGCAACACCAACTGAGTAGGCATGTCAACGACCCAGAAAAAGACAGCAGAAGAGAACAAGGCGTGAGAGAATCAGCACACGCTGCACTTGTATACTTATATGGAGGAGTGGAACCGGCACTAGTACTAGAACGAAACGATGAGCAATGGTCATGGCATTCTTGCGGCGTGGATTTGTTCTATGCTAATCGCTTCTCAGGCTGCGTTGCAGTACATATGTATATCAGATTGGATATATACGTGCAGAACTACGCCGTCGGTGGCGTGGTTAACTACCATATACATCACCATTATTGCGAAGATATCCTGCTATATGTTAGAACAAAGGGCGCGAGCTTGATACGGTTGTTACAAACTGGCCAAATTACCGCTAGCTTAAAGTCTTCGCAAGTTGCGTTCCACTGAGCGGTGAATTGCCTAAATCTTGTCACAGTGAATATATCACGGTTGTCTTGTGCTTCACATCATTGCATCTTACCTCTCTCCACATCTTCGCTTCCATTCCTCGACAGGCGTTGACAGTTCGGTATTCCTGCTGTTTGCGAGATGAAACAAGAGATCGCAGTGCCAGACGAGTTCAGAGGCGGTGGCGACGATGATATGAATGTCGCTGTTTCGCACAAAGTCCCCGGGCTGAAGCGCGCCATCGTAGTCTTGGCCATCGTTTCTTCAACGTTCTTTTACGCATTAGACCACACTTTTATGGCGAGAATTCGACCCGGAATACTAAAAAGTCTGGGTCAGGTCGGCATGCTGCCCTGAACGACCGTAGCATACCCGCTGGGCGAAGTGGGATCGTGTCCATTCTGGTAGGCGTTCGCGTTCCGGCAGTCCACATTAAAACACTGAACGGCGTACCACTAACAGAGGCAGATTGTCGCAACAATGCAACAACAAATGGCTGTACACTATTGCAGTGTCGTGTCCATATTCGAAGGTGGCTCCGTCATCTCTGGCGCAGCACTAACGATGGCTGTACTTGTTTTCAGCCGTGTGCTTGCTGGTATAGGAGGCTCTGAAATTTACGTTGGAACGGTGAATATAGTCACGTTTATGACGACTCCCGTGGAGAGGTCGAAGTATCTCGGATATGTGGCCATGGCATGGAGCCTGGGAACAATGTGAGTCTCTTTGGCACTTCAGCTTCAACACATAAAGTACTCTAATCAAGACAGTCTTGGGCCAATGATTGGTGGAACTTTCAATGACAACTTGGCGATGTGCCTTCTATATCAAATTGTGTTTTACAGCACTAGCAGCACAGGCCTAGCTCTTCTTGATACCGTGTTCAGCACCTCATACAGGGTTCAATTACCGGAAACAGGCCAAACAGCTTGATTTGGTAGGCCTCGTTCTCTTTGCTGGAGGTGTTGCATCCATCATATTGATCCTCGGATTCGGTGGACCGAACTGGGCATGCTCCAGTTCTTGTATGATCGGGCTTTATTCGTTTTCGGCATTTTAGAGATCACTTTTTGGTGCCAACAGTGGTTTGGGATTCTCACGAGCAATCCAATTTTCCCAATACACATCTTCGGCCAGAACGAATTCGCTATCCTATTCCTTCAAACCTCGATATCGTCGTCACAATATACATGCTGCCTTTGCTGTTCCAGTTCGTGTACAGTGATCCAATGCTTTGCTCCAGACTCTATGTTCTTGCTGTGGCGGCGGCAGGACGTGGCGGTACGTTGTCCCCGAAGCTTCAACAACATAGCAGTTTGCACATCTCAGCATCGCAAAAGACAATGGTTGGAAAAATAAGAGGCTTTCACAGTACCCAGATGAAGACTGATTCGTATTAAGTACATAGAATGCTCTCTTTACCACCTACGGCAAGTGCAGTTCACTTATAAAGAAACCCAAAGAAGTGTTGCTAATCCTGTTTTCATCAAGTAGATCTCAACCACTGCTCAAAACTCTGAACTTCAAAGCCTTCCGCTCTGAGTGCCTCCATGTCTACTTTAAATCCCTCCTTCTCGAACCAGTCCATACTCGTTTTTGCGTCATCAACTGCCCATCTCAACGCTCGACTAGGTATATCCCAGATTCGAGGCATTCTGTGTCCACGTACTGTTTGAAAGACATCATCTGCTTGGGTAAATGTTAACTTGTCCCCGGCTATACCCAGAGCTCTCCCCTTCCAACTTTGCACATTAGTCAACGCTCTTGCTGCAACAATTCCAATATCCTGCACGCTCACAAGTTGCATTGTCTTATCAGCCTGCATCGTCGCCCATAGCCCCGCCATCATCTTCCCAAAAAAGTCAGGATTGTAGTTGTCCATGAAGCCTGCAGGTCGCAAGATTGTCCACTCAGTGCAAGTGCCTTGTGTCTTCTCTTTTAGGTACAATTCGATCCTGTGCTTCGCTGCGAAGTGTGGAACTGTCGTTGGATTTTCCCAGCTGGCGCTCTCGCCGCCTCGATCGACGCTGCTGAACACAATGTGAGATACACCATGCGCAGTTGCCGCGTCGATCATCGGGAGCGCTTGTTGCTCATCATTCGGAGGGACGGTAACTAGAAAGACCGAGGTGATGCCTGGACGGGAAGTGAAGATAGGCTGAGGCTCCGCTAGATCTCCTTCCACCAGATCGATGCTCGGGAACTCTTTTTTGAGAGCTTCAGCTTTTGGTGAGACCAAAGATCGTGTGAGAGCGAGAATCCGAATCGGTGGGGTTTGTGGCGGTAATGCCTCAAGTGCTGCGATTGTCGCATGGCCTTGCTTGCCGGTAGCACCTACAATGAGAATACCACGGTCGTTCATGTTTCAAAAAGCTGTTGATTATGTCTTTGCGTATAGGAAATTTTAATGCTGTCTGTGTGTGTGTGTGTGTGTGTGTGTGTGTGTGTGTTTTATGGTTCCATATATACCTAGACGGCATCGGAGACTTTTCCTAATGGGGACGTGCGAAGTCTCCGGGTATCTTTAATGCTCCTTCGGCTGCCCGCTAGGATTATCACCGCAAGTGTTAACCGGCAAGATTCTTTGAGAAGTGAGACTATAGTGGAGTTAGTTTAATCATGTAGGCATCGTGTCTAGACGTAATACCGACTTGTTAGCGCCCCTTATCGCAATATGGCACACGGCGTAGCCTGTAGAACCCGCGCGAGAACGGGAAGGGTTAGCGTTATCCCTAGGTAACCTGTATTGGACTATCCGACACCGAGAACGAGTTAAGCATATGTTTACATATGTTTGGATGTTGTCTTCGCCTCCCGTCCAAACAGGCCAAATTAACATCCGAGAAACTTTTCAGGTCTGGCCAGTTTTCCCCGTCAACTCAGAATCTGAACTTCACTATTTTAGATTGTCTGAAGCAGGCTTTCTAGCTGCATTCTTATATCATAGGGGAAAGCTTATTGAAGGCTGGAATCATGAACATCCTGACAGGTCAGGAGTTTGTGAAAAAGGATAATTGCTTCTATCGTGGCATTTCGATAGAAAATACCACTACACTGGTTACAATTAGTGAGACTGCGAAGACCCATCGGCCGGATTTCAAGTCTTATGAGGGGTAGTGTAGGTTTCTCATTTGTAGCCATGCGTCATAATGCTGACCGATCTGCAGCCCAATGGTTCCATGCTCATCCCGAATTTTCCTTTGAAGAGTAAGCAACCACCCAGGCCCTCTTAAAGCACCTGGGGGCCTCTAGAACTTTGAAAACACAATCTGCCGTCGGCAGCCATGGCGTCACCGCCGTGCTCGCCAATGGGCCCGGTAAAATAATCCTCCTGCGAGCAGACTTAGATGCCCATGTAAGCCAAAAGCGCACTGACTTGCCCTACGTCAACAAAGCTCGCATGAAAGACAGCGATGGCGCTGGGAAGCCGCTTATGCATTCGCGTTGGCACGATGTGCACATCAGAGCTCTGTTGGGCGCTGCGACAAAAATAATCACATAACGCCAGGAGAGAGTGGAGCGGAACCTTAATCTCGTGTATATACACATTTATACGCCCTGAGCAGCTCTATCGCCTTGACTACTATTGAATAAGTAGCAACAACATATCTGAAAAAATCATATCCCGTTCTTCACCGATACATTACAATGACGTCTGGAAATGTTTACAACTGCAAGAAGAGTCCAAGGAAATTTCCTCCAACATCGGCCCTGGAAAAAGCATTTGTCCGCTCACCGTCACCTACCAACTGTGAGACCCGTCGGCCAAAATAAAGCTCTTGATGGCTGTTGCTAATGAGGCTCAAGCGAGTTTCACATTGGTTCTCAACGATGTGCAAGTTAAAACATACATTACGGATTAAAGTCTACCTTTTCACCGGCCTTCTGATCAATCGTTGACTCGAGTCTCTTTATGTCGTCCCATTTTTCATCCCTAATGTAGCAGACTCGCGTTATTGTGAATGCACCGGGGATGGCCAACCAGACTCCCTAAATTCCAGCCCAACACCGCCCTCGATATATGGTTGTTCTGGTTGTGACGAGAACTGAGGTGTTGAGATGCAATTCACCAACCATGTCCATTCTAAAAATTTATTAGAGAAAATTTCGAGGACACACGGGCATAGAACAGTACCTAGAATGGAGTCTGCCCCGCCGGATCGATCGTGGCACCTCTCCTGTATCAATCGAAGCTCTCTCGCAAGATCGGAACTGGAATGGCGTCAGTCTCACCCACTAATCTACTTTATGGTGAAAGAACATGCTCACCATGAGTAGTCCGCTGACACTGTCTGCGGTATTCTTCCTGTGAAGTAGATGTTCGCCTCGTATCCTTGTCCGTCTATTGTCCATGTGTATAGGTTGTAATAAGCTTGGTTGTGGTCCAATCCACATCTGATGCCCTGCGCAGTGAGGCCTTCGAGATATTTGGCAATGTTCTCGGCAGCATCGCGACGGTTCTGATTGACATCTCCAGCTGAGTATACGCAGCTCCAGTCGATGGCTGTCTCCTGGCCTACGTACCATCAGCCACGATTCAATGATTCAAAAGAAGTTCTTACGCTTGCTAAATGCTGAAACGGTCGAGGTGCCATGGACAGTCTGGTACTGCGTTACTTCATGAGGCATTGCCGCGATCGGGGCGACCAAAGCCGAAGCAAGAAGAGCGACCACGAGATTGGAGAACATCATAAATGCAGTGACACGGTGAGTCCCAGAGTACGGGTTCACCTCAGTTTCGAGGGGCAGGCTGATATATGGATCGGCCCAGCTTGGTGACCTACCAGCCGCTTGATTGCACATTGAGGCTTGGGTGTATTCGGAGACTGGGTTTTGTCTCCGACTAGCGTTCTAGCGCGAGGGCTTGGGTATACAGAAGCGATAATACTCCTTGGTCGCGCTTCCTACCGTAGTGCTTAGAAGAGAGCCCAGGCACCCTGGTCTTTGAATTTTGTTTTGCTTAATGGATCTACATACCATTTCCCTGTTCTGTTACACAGCTGAATATCACAAGGCAGATACGGCAACTCCCTTGATTGCCACAGCCCCTGGTCCACGTGAATGTGCATGATCCCGGCGGCTGAGTATTCAGCCAGTGAGATGTGGAGGTGAGACGCCGGCCCCTAACTCGCTACCAGGAAGATCGGCGGAGAATTGGTGCGGGGGCCGATCGATTTGTCCCCGCCAGCACTAGTGCTGAGATAGTAATATCATGCATGTATCACAGCGGTTACCCTTCATGCGCAGTCGTTAGGTGCATGTGGAAATGCATCTGCCAGCGCGTCCCTTGGGGCAGTGTATGTGTACGCGCTACACTTTTCTTGATCACTGTGACCAAAATTCTGCAGAGATGTCGAACGGCAGGCACGAATTAGGCCTGAGAGGCGACTTGTGCGTGGATAGATTATATTGGGTAACACGGGACGTATGGATTCTTGGCGAGAGTTTCCAAAAACAGTGATTTTAATGCCTCAGTATGAAAACAGGAATCTATCAGCTTCCGATGGGCTATAGCCAAACTGATAGTAGAGAGAGCGGCAAAAGCGATACCAGAATACACCCTAGGCATCAACAGAGCTGTTGCTATGTCTGCTGTAGCTCAGCTTCGCAGCTGTGACCCTCTGTGATTCGAAACTCGCATCTGGCGAATCACCCTTTGAACCCTTCCAAGACCTAGATCTCGAAGCAGAAGGAAGAGAGAACATAGTTCGAATACCATGCACAAAGCTGTCCATGGATTGGGCCTTAAACATTCCTCGGAGCGTTGGAAGGCAAGCTGCGAGAACACCAAGGCAGATCGATAGCATCATCCAGTACAATTCCGTTGTGATCATGACTGTTCCTAATTAGACACGCAGGCGAGACCTGATTTGAGGAAAACTCACGCTCTTCGTCAGTTTCGTCACCAAAACCAACAGATGTGTTCCACGCCATCCAGATCATTCTCACCAGAGAGCTTCCTGCGGCTAGAACTCCCATTAGGAAGATACCAACAACAGCAAGCTTGCGCGTAACTGGGAGATGAAGTTTCCAAACCTAAAGAGATGTCAAAATTGGCTCATATGCAGAGCAGTAGCTGAAGACTCACGAATGGTATCGGAATGAGGAGTATGAGTGCGTCCGTGATGAAATCAGAGATGGAATGTGAATATCCAACGGCGAAGGTATCAACACACTTGGCAGTCAAGTTCTCCGGATTCGTGAACAGCGTTTGCACATCTTTCCTGCACATGAAGACGAATGCGAAGATCCAGGATATCGACCATGCACTGATCAACGTAATCATGACGATGAAGAAGATGTTGCGGGCATCTTTGTAAGACGGTATTATAGTGAAGATGCGGCGATAGAGAAGGAGGACGCTGATCTTGATCAGACCAGCGGTCGCTGAGAAAAGAATCAAGGAAGAGTACTCTAACTGAGTTCGTAAGTAATTGCTGTCTAGACAGCGCGCGAGCAACTCACTCTCCTCGTCCGAACAATTCGCGAGGTCGGTCCCGCAAACTCGGGCACGAAGTCGGGGCTCGAAATATCGGTACCCGCAGGAGGCAAAAGCATATAGCGGTATCCCAGCGATTTGGTTCCGAGGCCGTAAAAGTACATCGTCACCAGGCCGATGACTCCAGCGAACGCAGGGAGCATGAGCCAGTCGTCCGCCTGGAATTTCTGACCAAGTCGCCTTCTCATCACGAACCGTAAGATGATGACGATGACATCTAGGACGAGGAACGGGATGATGGAGCCGTACAAGGCTGGGATGGCTGGAGTGTCCCAAAACATGGTGAAGACCTAGTGAGAGTGGTAGGATTAACGATGAAGATTACTCGGATTTGGGGTTACATGTACCCTGAGTTGAGGTTACCCACGGCAATATAGCACTTCAAGAGAGTCTCGGGCAGATAGCAAATCTATTCCAAGCAAGGCTGCGAAGGTCGCGGCAAGCTCCGGCCATTAGCTTCGACCAGGGCACCATTGTACGACACCATTTTCTGTTCAGCTGTAGGTTGTGGCCCCATCACTCGCCCAACGTCCGCGTGGTTAATGTACGCACCAAAATCTGACCATTTGGCTTGACGAACAGAAATTGCGCATGGGGGGCGATAGTTCTGCGACTGGAATGCTCGAGGAGGGCTGTGCGGCATATCCTGGTCATATCAGCCTTGCGTACCGCCCGGGGATTTTCGCCGATTAGGCCAGTGTTACAGATCGACATTACGCTCGCCGATGTTCCATTTTTGGAATGTGCGTCCACGGAGCCATGCTCAGTAGTACAATCTGGGACACAGCCTAGAGAAAACACATTCCATGTGCATCGAAAAGTTTGGGAAACTGCCGATCAGAGACAACACGACATATCCAGTCAAGGGAACTTGCGAGGAAACGAGTGACAATGCTGAATTATGATTATGCATTTCAAGAGCAATCTACTTTGACTTCTAGTCCATCGATCTCCTCAACGCCATTAACACCGTGACTCTCATCATTAATTCTTAGTTTGCACAGATGCGCTTGACTGTAAGGTATAGGTTAGTATATTGAGCGTGCAGTATTCATTGGGCCACTTACCAAGAACTTGGTCGCATTCAGGCGATAATTGCAGTTCGACGTCTCTCCGAGCTTCTGCTACCTAGGTGAGCTTGGCCAATAAAGAATGCTATAAATGAACGTACCTGGTACAGGTGCAGCCAGCGAAAGACCCAAAAACGCAGCAGCCAGGAGAACTTGACGAATCGACATTTTGACAAAGTAGAGCGGGATGTGAGAGCGAGTAGATCCTCAGTTCACGGGCATTGAAGAAGATAAGCTGTTGTCTTGCCGCGTACCCCAGAAAAGCACGCGCTCAGACCTTTCGCGCATGCAGATAATGTGCTAGCACGCGGGAGCCAGGAGGACGAGGGTGCGGTCAATCTCATTGCAGTAGCGTTGTATGGATGTTTCTTCGACCGAGCACGGAATGCCTCTCGAGTGGAGCGGCGGTACATGGCTTCATGGCAGTGCATGTAAGCTCGCTAGGGCAATATCAATGCAAGGGTGCGCATTTCCTGTTTTGGGGATGATCGACGTCTACTTTGGGGGCCAGCTTAGCGCCGGCGCTTCGTGGAATACACTGCCTCCACTTCACGCATAGGATGGACATCCTGGCGTAAACACTTCACTTGACACTGCCTCCACAAAACTCTGTATACCTTGGTTTAATCCGAGTGAGAAATGTGGTACCTGAACTCTGACCTCGCTGCCGTATCCTGAGCCAGTCTGTCGATAGAAGCGTGAAAATGGACGAAGAAAAACATCTCCTCTCTGGAAGCTACTCAGAGTCCGAGCAAGGAGATCACTTGAAAAGCCCTTTAGCTCAGCAAAGCTTGCGACGTACTTTTTCATTTTCGTACTTCACTTCTGTAGTATCGATCCTCCTACTAATCTCCGTGACCACGAACGTCTTCCAATACCTACAACTCAGGCCATCCGCATTTCAACCATCGTCATGTGAGATACCAGCCTCCGCGAGCTCATTCAATGCTAACCCCCTCCATAGTTCCAGGACTGCAGAATCTGAAGCACCAGATCAAAACACACCATGCCGAGCATGGAGTGAAAAACAGCGACTACCAGGGCGGCCATACCAATGCGACCGCGGCAGCATGGACGGCTCTGCTCCAACGTAAGTGATATCGTACTCCACCTCCGCATCCATATCATATTTGATTCTAAAAAAAAAAACATCAGCATTCTACTTCAACGCCTCAGCTTCTGAGCTCTCCAACGCCGACGTCTCGCCCACGAATGCCGTGCGCGTCAAACAAGGCGGCTACCTAGCCAGTCTAGGCGTGTACCACGAACTTCACTGTCTGGTATGCTTCTCCTTCAAACTCCCCACCTTCATGCTAACACTCCGCCCAGAACCAATTCCGCAACTTCCTCTACCTAAGCACCAGTCCCACTCCCTTATCTGCAGAACAAATCACCTACTACGGCAGCCATCTGGACCACTGTATCGAAGTCCTCCGCCTGTCAAGCATGTGCAACGCCGATCTGAGTTTGTACACGTTTACGTGGCCGCGGGAGCAGAGTTTCACGTTTCTGGACGCGCATTCAAATACGCCGAGGAAGTGCGTGGACTGGGGTCAGGTTGAGAACTGGAGTATGGAGAGGAAGGTGGAGTTGGCGCCTACGGTGATAAAGCCCGGGGAGTGAATTATGATATTCGAGACAAGCATCAGATATCCAGAGTTCTGTATCAATACATACTAGCCAAAGGGAGAAAACCAACTCCAGAGATGCAAATAGCCACTTTGCTTGTCGCCCATTGTGCATGCCCCAAGACGCCATAGTCGCCCAAAAGAAAACCATTGAAGGACCAGGTCTTGACCGTTGTCCAGCTGAAAGAAAAAAAGTCAACGACGTCCACCACCGCGGTTGTTGCGTATCTTGCGCATGATATCGACATCACCCGAGCGACCCTTGTTATTCTCATTGAATACGACATTGCTCTTGGGGACGATCGTGTACGTGGTTGGGCCGGCTTCAGCACGAGCGCGCATGTAGGTTGTGGGGACCGCGAGTGCTTTGGTGCGAGCTGCGGCTTGTGCTGCGGCTTGGCTGGCCTGTGGATCGGCGACGCGTTTCTGGACATTTCTACAGGTTCGTTAGCAACGGCAGAGAAAGTCGAGAAATTATGAAAGACGTACGTTGGGTCGTAGTCGGCCTGAGCGAACTCCTTCTTGCGGTAGTCATCGGAACGCTTCAGGATAGGACGAGTCCAATCCGTGTACAAGCGCTCCGCCTGCCGCCGGATTGTCAACTCTGGACGCTTGCTCTTGCAGTAGAACATGATGACTTTGCCGATGCCTGAGGCAACAAGACTGTCCTTGGTAATGGGAAGCTTCGCCAAGGCAGCGAAAAGCTCCTTCTGGATGTCGTATGCGGGAAGGCTGCCGTCGCTAAGGGGCTCAAGGAAGAAGCGCACAGCTTCTAGGAGATTGGTCTCGGGATCAACGATGGAATCCTTGATGCTGTTCTTGTTCAACATAGTGACAACTTCGGGCAGCAGCTTAAGCTTGTGCCTAGCTGGCTCGCCGCGCTTCCGGCCTTCGTTGTCTGCCTCTGCTGCAGAGGCCATGCGTCGGCGCATGTCTTCGATTTCAGCATCGGCCATTCCTTCCAGGTCGATTCCGTCCTTCTTGCGCCGGCGCGAGCCTCCCGAGGGCTTCATGATGGCCTTAAGTTGCTCGTCAAGAGCGCGCTGCCGCCCTGTCCGCGATATTAGTGGGTTTCGCTTGAATATACAGCTGGGCTACCTACGCTGTTCAGGAGTGAGACTCTCGTCGTTCTCATCTGCTTCGGCTGCCCTGCCCTTCTTCCTCGATCGAGCTTTACGCGCGCCAGCCGCCTCATCGGTGCCGCCGACCTCCTCTTCGCGGTTCTTCTTTCGTCGCGGCTTGTCGGCGCGCTTTTTCTTCTTTTTGGGCGCATCACCTTCGCCCTCTGTTCGCTTCCGCTTGTGCACCCCAATCAGGTTCATGTTCTCGCCGTCGATGACTTGCGCCGGGCGCTCTTCAATAGCGAGGGCGCCCTCATCGAACTCCTCGAACTGTTGGTCATCCAGCTCACTCAGTACAGACTCGTTGTCTGACATGCCGCCCTCTTCAACATCGTCCGGGTCAGGCATCTCGTCCCTGGCTTCTGTGACCTCCACATCCTGGTCGGGTGCGCCGAGGGGCGGGTTGACGCCGTTTTCCTCCTCGAGTTCGGGTGCGAGAGGGTCCTCTGGCTCGTTGCCAGCCTCAGGCAACGGCGAGTTGGAGTGCGAGCGGGCGAACTCAACGTCCTCCATGATGGGCGCGGTGATTCCGGCAAACCGAAAGGATCTCGAGAGGCGGGAGATACGAAAAGCACGTAAAGAGGTGTAGCTGACGGTAATCGCGTGCAGATGGGTGGAGTGAAGAGTAAAGCACACGTTGACTTGAAAGAAAGCTGGGAGCGTCGCGGTCGCGGCGATTCGGCGAAAGTATCCAGCCGCTAACGGCCAGGCGCGACCTGCGTCCAAGCGCCGCTTCCTTCCTTTGACCTCTCACTTACAAACAGCAACGGGCGCCTGTTTTGGCATCCACCTCTTCTTCTCTTCACCACTCACCACTTCGCCTTTGCGCGCACGGCCACCCGCATATCTCGCTACACCAGAGTGCCTGCATAGCGCTCTCACGCGACATCAGCTCCCTCCCGACGCTTCTATCAAGCGCGACACTCACCCTCACAGTCTCCGAGCGCGTCTCTGCGGCTTATAGCGTCCGCGTACGGTACTGCACCGGCTGGCTTGGAGGAGGAAGAGAGGGCAAACTCGCGGGGTGGTGGCTCCGGCACTGGCTGGGAGAGTGCGAGATTTGTCGCTGTTCTGGGCACCTGGCGCAGTGCTTACGCTGCTCTTGCCTGGCGAGACATTCATCAATAGCTAGCATCAAGGCGAAAACATCACTTTGTCTTAGTGTGTTCGAGAGCGAGGAAACACTTCGTCCCTCTAATTGACCCGAAGCACCTGTCCGGACCGCCGACGTTCGATCGAGCAACTCATTCTCATCTCACGCACCACTATTCCCTCTAACCAAAGTGCCCTTTTCTTACTCTGTCTTCCACACCAATCTGCCCAAAATGTCTTCCATCTCCGACGAGGTCGCCGCCGACTTCAAGGACGCCCTGCAAGACCTGAAAGTCAATAGTAGACCAGAGATTAGCAATCTAACCCTCATCGCGAAAGAGAACACAGAGCATGCACAGGCGATATCGACCGTACTAGAGAACCACATCCGAACCGTAAGTGAACTTGACTTCATGCTGTGTGTCTCGCCTAAGTCTGGACACCACACTCACTTCCACCTTCCACCCCATTTTCCACCTTTGTACGTCAGTGACTGATCAATACAGGCTCGTCCGGAATGGAGGCTCCCTTCACTTTATGTACTTGACTCCATCGTCAAAAACATCGGTACTCCCTATACTGTTTACCTTGGCCGCGGTCTATATAAGACATTCATGGAAGCATACTCGAAAGTGGACCAACCCACCCGAAAGGCAATGGAAGGCTTATTGCGAACCTGGAAGCAGCCAGTCCCCGAATCGATGGATTCCCGTCCAGTCTTTCCTCTTGAGATGACTAGTGATATAGAAAACGCGCTTAATAAGATGCGTTCTGTTCAGGCTCAAATGCAGTCTCAGCGCCAGGTGCATGCCCTGCCAGCGAGGCCTGTCATTGCTGCCGCCTGGAGGAACACACCCACGCCTCCACAAAACGGCGCTCAATTTGTCGCTCCAGTTGACCCTCGAGCTCGACAGGTAAGCTAACGATAGTATCTAACATACATTGTGTTCTAACCAGCAGATAGTTCCCTGGGCAACAATTTGGGCAGCTCCCGCAACCCACGCCAACGCCAGATCAATTCAGTCAGCCTATGGGCTCTGTTGATTTGAACGAATTGAAAGAAGAGGTCGGCAAGCTCATCGCTACTACTCAGCAAGCATTTGCACTCAATTTTAGTGACCCTAGCTTGCAACAGAAGCTCAACGCACTACTTCAACTTAAGAAGATGTTGGATACACAGACTCTGCCACCACAGCAACTCGAGGCTGTTCGCAATCAGATTCGAGCGCTGGCCCCGCCACCTGCACCTACGCCAGTGCAAATGCCGGCCTTCATCCCTCCACCGATTGTCCATACGCCGCAGCAACCGCCAACACCTACTTTTCAGCCTCCTGCAACTGCTGCACCCGTGAACCTTGCGCAGATGCTTGCAAATTTCCAATCTCCTCCTGCCGTTATGAACCCGTCTCCCGCTCCCGCACCTGCGGCGCCTAACCTGGCAGACTTGATCGCACGCATGACGACTCCACAGTCTTCCACGCCAAATCCTGCGCCGTTTTACCCTTCACCGTTTCCCGGGCCTTCAGGGTCGACTCCTGTTCCTGCACACCCTATCCCAGCATCAGCACCTGCACCTGCAGCTACTCCGGTTCCCGCACCTCCAACCAACCTCGCACAACTTCTGGCTAGCTTTAACAAACCGTCTGCAGCAGCTGCAGCAGCCCCGACCCCACCTCCGTTTAATCCGGCTCTCCCTCCCCAAATTCCGAATCTCAGCCAATTGCTGGCGCAGGCGCAGCCTGCTGGTGCGGCACCGCCACCGCCTAACAATGCATCGTGGCTTTTGAATGCTCTGAGCGGACTGCCTAATGCTGGAACGCCTTCGAACCCCACGCCTCTCGGCTCTGAACCCATGACACGACAATCTTCTGCGCCAGTCAATGTGCATAACGATGTTGAACTAACGACTGCATCCATGAAGCAGTAAGTCGTCTTGGCCCTCGGCCATATAAGAGGCTCGTGCTGACAGTATTCACAGACCACGTCCACATCTCATCTCCCGATTATACGATGCAAAGCCCAACATCTGCACTACGTGCGGGCGACGATTTGATGCGACGTCACAGGGTAGAGAGAAGAAGGCCCGTCACATGGACTGGCACTTCAAGATGAAGGACCCTGATGCTGCTAAGCGTGGCGTCCACCGTAGCTGGTACTTCACTGAGAGGGTAAGAAAGCCAGGTCTAGCAAACAAACGTCTACTGACACGCTCCTAGGAGTGGATCGAGTATCGCGAGGTCGATGAGACAGCTCCTGAGGACACGACTAACGGCCCCTCGGGGGCAGCTGGAAGGGTCAAGAAGCAGGCGAAGGACCGATACGTTCTAGTCCCACAAGACGTCACGCTCGCCCACGCGCCGTGCCCGATTTGTCAGGAGAACTTTGAGCCCCAATGGTCCAAGGATGCTAACGATTTCGTATGGATGGACGCGGTAAAGGTCGGCGGCAAGATATACCATGCGACGTGCTGGGAGGAGTACAGCAAGGGTGCTGGCATTGCTACGCCGAGCACCCCGGACTCCGTGCTTGGAAAGCGCACGGCTGAAACAGGTACGCCTGCGTCCGGGAAGAAGCTGCGCGCTTTTTGAGCGATGCGGCTGGTATTGCTGGCACGTTCTTGTCTTTGGGCGGATACTGTGATTTAAGTTTTGATGCATAGCGACGGCGTTGGCATGTGGATAGCATCAATGTGGGTTGCGAGCAAGGCTTTGGCCGCTTTTCGGGGGAACTGTGTCTGTGGTAACATCGTCTCTAATCGGTGGCAAGAGAAGGTTATCAGTCTTCTCAAGCAATTGAGCTTCGGTGTTTTGAAACTTTCCTAGATAGGACTTCCACAATAAACAATTCATATGATTACGACGGTGGCCTACAAATCATTGCGGTGACTTCAGAGCGCAAGACCTTAGCCGTGCTATGACCGGGCGGTTGACCGAGGCACAGACACTTCCTTGGAAGCGGAAGGTCCGAGCGTGCCCTTCTGTCCGTCGTCGCTGCCAGCGACTACATTTCTGTCCCACGCCATTGTCAACCTGCACCGCGTCCATCGTCCTCAGCTAGCACATATTCCGCTTTATCAGCTCTCCTCTTCTCACACCATTCGGCACAATGGCACCGATACAGGACGCCTCGGTCGATGACCTCAAGCACAAGGTCTCGACTCTCGAAGCGCGCATCGCGGAGCTCGAGAGCAGACTGGGAGGCGGCCAGAGCAGTGCGCCCCAGGCCCAGGATGGTGTGCGCATGATTTTGATGGGTCCTCCGGGAGCTGGTAAGCTTGTAGCGCCGTGCAAGCACATGCGCTGGGAGAGGAAGGAATCTGACAGGCAGCTTAGGAAAGGGCACCCAGGCTCCCCGTCTCAAGGACAAGTTCTGCGTCTGCCATCTCGTACGTGCTGGGCCTTTGACAATGCGAGGGCCTGTCCCATGAAACCCGAGGCGGATGCTAACATGCGCAGGCCACCGGAGACATGCTGCGGGCACAGGTCGCAAAGAAGACGCCGCTCGGACGGGAAGCAAAGAAGATCATGGATGCCGGCGGCCTCGTGAGCGACGAGATCATGGTCAACATGATCAAGAGCGAGCTGGAGAACAACCAGGAGTGCAAGAACGGGTGCGTGAGAATCATGGCGACATCAGCTGCGCCAGCTTCGCAGCTTCCCGAGTGGTAATGCTAACACAGGATATATAGCTTCATTCTCGATGGCTTCCCGCGAACAGTTACTCAGGCCGAGAAGCTCGACGATATGCTTACCGCCAGCAAGAAGCCGCTCGAGCACGCCGTGGAGCTCCAGATCGACGACTCGCTCCTCGTCGCACGCATTACCGGCCGCCTGGTCCACCCTGCGTCTGGCCGCTCCTACCACAAGATCTTCAACCCGCCCAAGAGCGAGATGAAGGATGATGTCACCGGCGAGCCGCTCATCCAGCGCTCCGACGACAACGCAGACACACTCAAGAAGCGCCTCGGCACGTACCACGCGCAGACTGCGCCCGTCGTTTCATACTACCAGAAGACGGGCATCTGGACGCCCATTGACGCCAGCCAGGAGCCGGGACAGGTCTGGAAGAGCTTGTTGAAGGTCGTCGACAACAAAGCGACCATTAGCGGACGCACCGGCAGCCTGCTCAACAAGATCGGCCTTAAGAATTAGTTTCCCCACGCTTTCGTGATAAGGCGGGGCGGATGCACGAAAGGACGAGAACGTCTTCCTCAAGAGAGCGTTCCGACGATTTGATGGCTCTGTTTGGAACTGCATGGCTCGACACTTAAGAAATGTCTTTGGCTTAGGCGAAGAAGCAGACGATGGTTGCACATAGGTGATGGTACTGTTACCCCGGTTTCCCTGTACTTGTAAAGATGAGCTTTTCTTGGTCAGGCTCGCGATGAGACGAGAGGCCTAGGTTCTGTATGGTAGCTAGCGTTTTGATCTCTTCCGCGGTGTCTTGGTGTTTGATCAAGAAGGTGCGGAAGGCGAAAAGTGCATGAATGATACTCAACCTGCGGCTCGCTCATCCGTGCTATACAGAACCGCTCCTACTCTGCTGACACATACTCCCCGACTTGAACCTGTTACCTCGCTTCAGATGTCTTTTGGTCAAACGATTCGCAAATCCGCTTCGAAAGATCCAATGCCAACACACCCATTGGTTGCGCTTCCTGAACACTAAGTTCCAGGCCACCACCTTGCACCCCGGGCACACGTGGCTTGGCATCTCAGCTCCAGCTTTCGCCACCGTCATCTCCCGACGAAAGTCCTAATCTACGTACTCGATCGTGTCGTGTCGTGTCCGTATGACCGCACAAAGGAACGTGCTGTTCTCTGTTGCCTTTAGGTGAGTGAGTTCAAATCGCTGCAAACGACGTGCTAGTCGAATTCATTGGCTGATATCCAGGACTGTTAGCTGCCGACCAGACGCAACCATGGCCAAGCTTTCAGATCTACCATCCGAGCTACTGGAGCAGGTCTTGCTATATCTACCTCAGTCAGCCTACTGTTCCCTTTCCCGGGTGAATAAAGCGCTCTACGGCATCACTACATCGTACTTGTACCGCGACATTACTCTTCTGGCTCGATCCAGGGATCACACCCCCCGGGTAGACAGGCTCTTCTTCAACATCCTGGATAACCCAAAACTGGGGAAGCATGTAAGAAGCCTCACAGCAGGCGTGTGCACCCAAGAACCATGCCGCGAAGTGAGACTATGCATGCCTATCGACAACAAGGCCGAACATCGACTATCTGTCGAAAAGGCCATGAGGTTTATTGATAAATGGCAGCCTGTTGTCCAAGCGGAAGATTTCCTTGATGGTCTGGACGCCAATGACTACGGGGTCTATTTTGCCTTGCTGTACCTGTTGGTCCTTCCCACGCTACAATGCATCAACATTTCCGAGATAGGCGACGAGACTTTAAGACCTCTCAAGTACACTCTAGACAATATCAGAACTGAAGAGGCGACCGGAAATACTCAACTTCTTGGACGTCTGGGGTCAGTCAAGGAGGTGACATACAACTTCCAACACGATATGACCAGTCCTTTTCCGCGGTCAGGCACGAACGACCTGTGGAGCTCTTTGATCATACACTCGATCGAATCTTTGGAGCTATCAGCATGCCGCGAATGGTCGTCGTTTTCTCGTCCCGGTGCCCCGGTTCCCCGTTTCGCTCGGTTCCGAAACTTCCAACCAGCATCCACATTGATGTTCCTTACCACATTTGTTATGCGTTGTACCGTGAACGTTGCTGAGACATTACATGGAATTCTCCCACAGACTCCACAGCTCCGCTCGCTGACTTGTGAGGCGTTCTGCGACACCAGCCGAAATCCTCTAAATGCAGACACGGCTGGGGCGACGCCACCATGGATACTGCTCGAACAGTGGAATGCGGAACTCAACACGGTCAAGAATACTTTAGAAACCTTAGTACTCAGCGTGGAGTTGAGCAATGGGGACTGCACGTTTTTCAGGCAACCTGACCTCAAACCACACGTCAGTGGCCGGCTCAACTTGAGCAGGTTCGATCGATTGCACACGCTCGAGGTGCCTGTGCCCTTCCTGACAGACGACGCTTTCCTTTGGATCGGTTCGGACACGAATTTCTCGCCATATGCTCCACCAAATCTTCGTCACCTCACACTTCGTACGGATATGACAGAGGCACAATGGGTGTACCCTTGGGACACATCAATCAGGGAGAAAGGGCCTACGTTCCAAGAGTCGAAAGAAGAAGCCTGGGTGAAGGACCAAGCTAGAATGGACTTGACCTGCGTTTTTCAGATAGCGCTGGCTCTGATAGACCAACTGCCGGATCTGCAGTCTTTTTCCGTCTGGCAGCCTCCAGACCCCTCCCTCGACATGTTCGGCTATCAATTGGAGGACTTGCGCACATCCTGTAAAAACAAGTCCATCACCGCGAGAGTCGTCTATCCGATGTTACTTCGACGGAAGTCGACCGTCCATTGGGATTTGGCACGGGAGGTTACACTCTTTGATTCACAGTTCCCCGATAGCGGATCGGTCGCCCGGATGTTTCGTGGCGAACGACGTGGCATACCACTTGGACTTGCTTCGCAGTATCACTTGGGTGAATTCAGGAAGAATCATGTCCGCAGGCATAGGTAATCATTGATTGTACACAGGCACTGGTGAGGACACAAGATCTCTTCGAGCGCACCTCTAGTGCAGAGTTGTAAAAAGAAAGATTTGAAGGACGTCACAGATAGACACATGGTGGCTCAACAAGACAGACTACCCTGAACACTGAGGGTTATGCCGAGTGCTTCCTCCCTGCTCCGCTTATCAAGCTCTTTTTCTTCGGGCCACTTTAACGAAGGTCGAGTCTCATAAATATACAAATTGATGCCGCTATGTCTTCGAACGCACACCCAACAATGATCAGCCATTTCGCAAAGGGTGTACGAATGAGCGAATGTCTTCAGTTATGAGTCCTGGTTCCTCAGCTGCCCCGAAATGCCCTCCGCTGGGAAACAAGGTCCACTGACGCAGATCGCTATGTGCTGCAAAGATCGAACGTGGCCGGTAGAACAGGTCTTTTGGTAGCACGGCAACAGCCGTCGGCACGCTGATCTCAGGCTTGATATCGTTAGCCAGCGCCATGGGCTGCGGAAACCCAGACGCTCTGCAGAACAGCTCCGACGAGACGAAGCTGTTAGTGAGCCAGTACAGCGAAACATGCGTGAGCAGCGTATCCTTGTCGAACCTCGTCTCCACGTCTCCACGGCAATCGCTCCAGGCACGGCGACGCAGGAGCAGCCACGCCGCCAGCCCTACGGGGCTGTCGTGCACCGCCCAGGCGAGGGTCTGCGGGTCCAACGCATTGATCAAGACATGTATGAACGCCCCCTGGCCTCTGTCTTGACCCTCCATCAATGTGCGTTCTTCTGGTGTCATTCTACTTTGGTCGTCAGGGCCAAACGGCACACCTGGCAGAACGGGGAAGCTCAGATGCACGCCGATAATTGAGTCGGGATGCGCGTGGCCTAGCCGCGCACTCACAAACGCGCCCGCGTCGCCGCCATGCGTGACGAACCGCTCATACCCCAGCTCCCGCATCAGCTTCACCCACATATCAGCCGTCTCGACATACCCCACGCCGGTCCGCGGCAGCGGTCCCGAGAAGGCGAAGCCCGGCAGCGAGGGCACGACGACATCGAAGGCGTCGCCGGGGTCGCCGCCGTGGGCAGCTGGATCGGCCAGCGCCGCGATGACGGCCTTGAAGTCCCAGAAGGTCCAGGGCCAGCCGTGGTTCAGGAGGATGGGGACGGGGCTGGGTCCCTTGCCGCGCACGTGGATGAAGTGGATCGGTATGCCGTCGATTTCTGCAAGGAACTGCGGGAAGTTGTTGATGTGCGCTTCCTGGGCGCGCCAATCGAAGCGGGACTGCCAGTAAGTGACCAGTTCGCGCAGGTAGGTGCCGTTGACGCCGGAGGTCCAGTCGTCGTTGTCGAGTTCGGGCGCCCAGCGCGTGTTTGCCAGGCGTGTGTGCAGCGCGTCTATCTCACTTTGCGGCACGTTTATCTTGAATGGCTCAATCTTCATCGTCGCTGTGGCGTGCGCTCGAGGAATCTGTTTTGTCTGTCTTTCGCGGAAGTGACGAGAGAACAGATGATGCCGCAGTGTGCCGACGAGACTGGGAGAGGCAAGACCAGAGGTTATTTTTATGTCGATGCAGAAGAGTGTGCGAAGCATAAGCAGAAGCAGGAGATATACGACGGTAATACCATGATGGGGTCCCAAGATTGAGGCTGTGAAGTTGGTGCTTAACGTTATATTTCGTCAGCAGGACGATCGCCTTGGGCTGGGTGACTGTAGTTGAAGGCGACTCTTAACGTTATGCCTCAAGCTGCAGATGAATACCTTTGTACCGCTAGCATGGAGGACTAATGCTAGGGGTGATGCTGGACGCACTTCACCAACTAGACAAAGACGCTTCGACTCCACGATTTCTAGCGTTAGCATAGGCATAGAAAAGCGATTAGTCTTCAGTGAATCAAAGGCGCGATCCGCATTCTTATACCCATTCATAGAGTGCAACACCGCCATAGGTCAATCACTAAATCTTCCCACCGCAATCCTCAGGTTCATCCCTAATTCAAGCAATCATCGCATTCAACGCGGCCAGCGTCAATCACTATAATCATAGTAGTAACCTATGGAACAAGCTTTCGATAATCTTTAGAATTACCATCAATACAATCATTGGAATCATTATTAGAATAATCATTATGGCGTCCTCGCAACTGATGTCAGCCCAGCTTGATGCCCTCCAGCGGCAGAAACATGCTCTCCCTCCCCACCACCATTGCACTGTCAATGCGCTCCCGCTCCTTCTCCGCCCTCTCACCACCCACGCCCTCGCCAAACCGCCACCGCCACACCTCAGCCCTCTTCTCCTTCTCAATCCCAAAACAAACATCCCGCCCCGCCTCAGGCATCCCGACCTCCCTCACCGCATCCTCGAGCCACGTCCCGTCCTTGGCACCGGGCTTGATCCTCACCGCAAAGTCGGCCAGCTGCGGCGCATGCACGCCCCTCTTGTCCAGATACTCTGCGATCCTGCCCATCTTCCTGCCCATGGCCGCGCCCGTCGCCCACGGGCAGTGCAGCACAAGGTCGTCGCGCAGCACCAGCGTCCGCACCCCCCACGGCAGCACCTCCTCGAGCGCGGCCGCGAAGTCGGGCGCCCACCCCAGGAACATGACCATCGGGACTTCGACGCGCTCGAGGTGCTGCATGTCCTTGAGCACGGCGAGGGTGCCCTGCATGGGCGGGAAGGGGATGCCCTGAAGCTTGAGCGCCGCGGGAGACAGGGAGCCCGGCGCGAGCGCGATGCTGAGTTTTACGTCTTGGAGGGTGTTTTTGAGGGCGGAGAGGGCGATGTTGAGGCCGTCGAGATTGAGGTAGGGGGATAGTGGGGGTCCAGAGGGCGTGTGCGCGTTGTACAGGATTTCCTGGTCGTAGTGGAAGCGCTTGAGGTGGGGCGTTGCGTGGAGCAGTTGGTCGAGCGTCCCCCGCGTGATGTTTGTGCGGAAGAGGCGGAGCATGGTGAGAGTTTCGTTGCGCGGAGCCGCGGGGCGGTTCCAGGCGAGCTGCCAGGGCTGCGTCATAAGATATTCGAACGTACGCACGGTGTCGGAGTAGAAGATGGGCCGGATGAGGTCGAGGTCCATGTACGACACCGAATTTTCAGGGTCGAAGCGCTTGTCGCCCAGAACTACGTGGTTGAGTTTGGGGAAGAGGCGGGGCGCGCGTTTGAGGACCTGCGGGAGGAAAAGCGAGTGCATGAGGAATCCGTCTCCCAGATCCAACGTCCTTAGTTCGGTGAAGCGCGTCATAACCAGCGTCGCCAAAGCATCCTTGCTGCGATTTCTGAACTGCTCCTGCTCTTTGTGCATGCTCTCGTCCACGAAAGAATAGATTTCGTTGGAGGCGAAAATCTTCTGTGACTTGGACAGGGTTTGACATCCTTTCAACCCCCACAAGTTGACCGATGCAGGGCCAGCCTTTGCGTCCTCGGGCCACGGGTTGTACTTGGTCCAGAAGGGGAGCGGTCCTCGAAGCTTGAAGACTTTGACATACGATGCGAACTGCGGCTGCTCGAGCAGAGTCCGGAGCAGGAGCGCAAGTCTCCGGGCGCAGCTGCGGGACTTGGTCGCTTCGAACTTGACATCGCGGTAAAGGAATGGCAAAGTTTCTCTGTAGAGGCTTCTCGAGACTCTCAAGATGTCGTTGTAGTCGTGTCTGCCGAGATACTCCAGGATGATCGACAGAATTCCCGCGGGGAGTTCGGAGAGTTTCGTCATTGCGGTCAAGGCTGTGGAGTCGGTCGGATCGCCACAGCTCAGCAAGCAATTTAGGATTCAAGACATTATGTACTTTTTGTGTTTGTTCGTCAAGGCCCTCGAGCTAGCTCGCGATTGCCGATCAGGAAGCAGTATTGGAAATGGGAAATGGGGATGCGAAGACGGAGATAGGAAGGTGAAATATGTACAAGGCAAGTAAGTTCAGCACATGGTTTAGCCGCCACGCCGTGCCTTGTTCGGGAGCTGGGCAGGGGTCTCGCACGCACGCGCTTGGCCGCTCTGAGATTAACCCGATATTGACTGAACTCCGAAAACCAGCCAAAGGGTCCTCGGTCAGAGCGAGGGGCCTCGGGGATTTGATGACACCGTCATCTTGCGGCCAATGGGACGTGTTGGTGGCCTCTGAATTTCCACGCTGGTTACAACGACACTGCGGACGGACCTCGTTGACGACGCCACACCCAATGCCGCACTAGGCAAGTCCCGCGGCGCAGATTGGGGCTCAAACTACGGTTGTGGCTGCCGCATGTACGCTTTTGGTGGTTGAAAATGCGCGGGGCGGACGCATCCGTAGTCGCGCGCGAGTGACGCAGGAGAACATTGGGTAGTGTATAGGAAGTCTTCGCGTTGCTCTTCCGGTCATTTCACAGCTGGCGGCCTGAGTCGGAAACGACAACTCGCTGTGAAAGCTCATCTAAGGTCATTGCGCGTTCAACGGCCGTTGAGCTGCATCTGACCTGCGAAGATAGGGGCTCTTAGTAGACCGAGGTCAATCCCATGGAGTCGAGCGCAGGTGCTTCGGCGGTGGTTCCTGAAGGGCGAGGTGCTTGTGATGTACTGTATACAGGTTCCTACCTCGGTTCGCAGACCTCCGCGTGGAAGCGTACCAGAGGAGGTGTACCGCTGCTATGGTCCAATTAGTCTACCCAGCTAAGCCGGCGGTACGCTACGACTTACAGTGCTCCTGCTAGAATAGCCCACCACCCGCCATCCCTGCTTCGGCGGTGGTTCCGGATGGGCGAGGTGCTTGGGTGTAGAAGCCGGTGGCTACGGTGCTCCTGCTATACAAGTCGAAATGGACCATCGTAGGGATTTGACAAGATTTTGTAAATCTTAGAGTTGTCGATTCATCATGCACTGCTCGCTCAAACGCAAGGGCTCGACAGCCACTGAGCAAGCGGCGTGCTCAACATGGAAGCAGCATTCGGAGCTGGTGCTACGCTCAAGGCAGGTGTAAATTGCAATCGTCGCGTAGTCTCGGCGAGAAGGGTGACCAGGACCGCAACGTAGCGTGCGATTTCTCTGTCGCGCATCAGCCCAGCACTGGTGCATTTACAGCGTCATGAACGTCTGTCTACTGGGCATTTAACACATACTCCGGGTCCCCAAAGAACCGTCGATAGGGCAGTCCTGGAGATCACGGTGGCAGCAATGCAGTTGAGACGCAGGTACCCAGTACCATCCGAATTGCTCATATGGATAGATTAACATGTGCCGTACTGTACATAAAAGGTATCTGAACTACACGTGGAACAAAAGATGCAAAAGTATTAGATGCGAAGCGAAGCAAAAGTAAAATAACAAACCAGACCAACGCCGCATGTTTTTGCCCAGATGTCGTAACGTCGCCAATGCAAATTGAAGCCAAGGTAAATCATCTCATCTCAAGCGTGCGAGAAAGAAGCACACCTAGTGTGCGAGCGTGCCATAGTCGTTGTTAGTCAATCCGTTGGGCACAGCCTTCAGGCTCATCTCCTTGAAGCTCTTGGCCATGTCGGACGCCTTGCCGCCCGCGCTCTTGAGGTTCTTACCAGCGGGGTGCTGCGCCTGCACGGGGCTTTCGACGACGGTATCGTCCGTGGAGTCCTCGCCTGCCTCGGCCTCCGCATCGTCGTCCTGCTCGACCTCGTCGGCCTCCTCAGCGTCAGCCTCTTCGCCATCGGCTTCAGCTTCGACCTCGCCGTCGGCGTCCTCCGCATCCGCCATCTCGGCCTCGACGTCGATGAGCTCCTCCGCGTCGGCCGGGTCGTCCCTTGAATCGGGGATAGCCGCCTCGTCGAGCCGCCAGTCCTGAATAGCCCTGAGGATATCGACCGCCAGCTGGCCGTTCTTTTTGAGCGCCTTGTCCCAGTGCGCGGGGATGCCCTGCTCGAGCACCATCATGCGCGCCACGCTGTGTACCAGCATGTGCCGCATGGGGCTTCCATCCTCGGTGTTCGCATACACGTACTGCACGCGCCGCAACCCGGGGTAGCTGTCGCTGAACTTGTACCATTCGCGCACGACCTGCAATACGTCTGCGATTAGGCCAGGGATCTGGAATTTCTCGGCCATGAGGTACAGGTCGAAGAGCATGGTGAGGTCGCCCTCCTCGCGGGGCACGGGGAGCGAGGACGAGTACAGCCAGCCGACGAGGGTCTTGAAGGGGGCGTCTTCTTCGTCCGGGAGGCCGAAGGATGTTGTGGTGGAGCCCTTGCCGTAGAAGATGCTGCGGAAGAAGGGGGAGTGGTGGCAGAGGAGCTTCTCGTGGAGGATCCAGTGCGTGTTCTCGGGGCCAACGTAGACGTCGACCATGGAGCGGGAGAGGAGCCTGAGAAGGAGTTAGTATAGTTTCCATTGGTGTCTTTTGGTGAAGAGGCAGGGCATTGGGACTTCTTCTGCTGAGCGGATCTCGGGGCTGAAAGGGAGGTGCATACTCATTGAGCGGCTTGTCCTGCGGGGCCGTCATGATACCGGTCGTGTCTTCGTAACTATCAACAGAACTGGGTATATGTCAAGGAATTGCAATGAACAACAAGCAAAGCAGAGCGAAAAGCGAATGCAGATCCAAAGGCACGCTGTGGCCGTGCCGGCTTTAGCTAAAAAGCAGGTCGGGAGGCTGGGAATGGTATGGGAACGGGTATGACGTCGATGACGCTGTTGCGGCACGCCTGGTGCAGGACGAACCCTGCTTCGAATCGCAGCCCAGTCTAGTGCGACGCGCCAGCCGGGATCGCGTCGATCGCACGGCCAATGCCATGCCAAAGTGAATGCGGGCATCGTATTTGGCGCGCGAGAGTGAGCGCGTGGCAGTTGTGGTGGTTTGGAGAGGAGCTGGTCAGATGGAGTTAGCGTACCTGTCGGTCCGCGCATATGGAAGCGACGACGCAGTCACGACCCTCAGGAAGTCATATCCGTGATGATGTGATTCTATCAAGTGCTCGCATGCGCAGAGGAAATGTGAAGCTCCTCCAGCGATCCCGCGAGTTTGCATATACATGTCCATGTTATGCGTAAGAACGCACATGGAAGACGTGGTCCTTTGCGAAAATCCTCGCCCGACCATACCCGTGGTATCAAAAATCTCGGTCCAACGCCGAACGCCCCTTATGCGCAGCCCTTCTGGCGGAACAAGCGCCATGCTGTCCTCTTCCCTTCACCTCGGCGAGGAAACCCAAGTGAGGTGGTTCTGCAGCGAGTGCAGCGCCAGCTCGTTCCATTCGATTCTCCAATCACCGTTGGCACGGAAAGGATCTTTGTGAATGAACTTAGACACATCCTCCTGCATCTTGAGCACCTCGAGATACCCCACGACTTCCGCGAGGACGTCCTGAACTGGCGTGTCAGCCTCCACGCCCTTGAATTCTGGTATCTCAAGCAGGTTATGCGGCTGGGCGGCTGCCTTGAGCGACGAGTCGTCGATGAGGACGGTATTGCGCTGGTCGAAGCGCCCGCCGAACTCGGGGCGCTGGATTTCGTTTGACGCCCATATTCGCGTGAGGTTTTTGTAGCACTGAACGTTCATACTGTAGTGCTTTGGATCCAGGCCGAGTGTGTCTCGCCCCCAGCAGGCGATCAGGCGATGGCGGTAGTCGCCTAGGCCGATTTCTACGAGGACGCTCACGTTTTCTGGCTTTGCCGATGACCACACCATGACAACGAAGTTGTCGAACAGGTAAGCGAGGAACTGCTGGAGGAAGGGCCTAGCTATCATCTTCCTAGGTTGCTTGCGAGAATTGGGCCGGTAGATGAGCGTGCCGTTCAGGTCCAAGATCACGAGCTTTCTCGACGGAGGAATCCTGACTTCGGCCTGCAGCGCGGCTTGCATGAGGTACTTAGGAGTTGGTATAGGTGCCGGCAGAAAGATCTTCGGCTCCTTCTTCTTCTCCTTTGGTCCTATCCGTACTCCCACACTGCGCGATTTGTTAGCTTTGCGCTTCTGAACCGTACACGATCGAGCCGTGTGGAGGCAGGCATACTCTTTGGGTGTTTCTGGAGCAGTCATTTGCGACTGTGGCATGTTGGAGGATGTCTGTGCAAAGCGACGGAACCCAGCAGGATGATGTGGGGTCTGCCCAAAGGGTCTACAAAGGTTGTCAGTTGACCGTCTCCATGGAGGCTGCTTGCTATCATACTGCGCTGTCTCATTCGCCACATTTCCTGTCATCTGAAGAAGAGGCGGAGGCGGAGGTGGGCCCGGGAAGCCACCGGTGAACGAAGGTGTGCCAAACGGAAGTGGAGGCGGTGGAAAGGGCGGCGTGTTGTTATTGAAGGGGCCCTGTCCCGTGAACCAGTGCGATAGCGAGTGTCTGCCGTTGAAAGGACCTGGCTGTGTGGAGGCAAATGATCCCGCAGACGGAGGGGCACCCCTAGGGACATTCGACAGCAGAAGGTTGCCGTTGAAGAAGCCTGGCTGGCTGGGCAGTTGTCCTGTCGCAGGGCGCGGCTGGTGGCGCTGGGCATCCTCTTGACGATACGCCTCGGCTCTCCGGTCGTGCTCGGTCAGACCATTATTCGCAACGTTGACGACGCCTTCCACCCGTGTCGGAAGCGAAGGGCGTGGAGGCAGCGCATGTGCCGGCGGCGGGAGACTGGAGGGATTGTGGCCGCTGTCAGGCGCACGGGGTTGGGTGTTTTGGTCATTGGCGTGGTCGATCATCGTGACAGTGCTTTCGGTCGCAGCTGCCGGAGGTGACTTGGGTTCATTAGCACTCGCGGACTGCATCTGGTGCTGGACATGTTGATTGTACCGGAGAGGCGGCGCCGACGACGACGCCATGAGGGGCACGCTTGCCAAGCCTTTTGCTGCTCCAGGATTTGCGGGAAATTACTCGCAGGTATGGTACTTTGGGAAGGCGCATGTATTGTTGCAGTGGTGAAGGTGAAGGTGACTACCTAGGATTTTGTGGACCCTGGCCGCGGGGATTCATCGGTGGAGCGGTCGGCGAATCGGCGTGGGGGAGTCCCAGTAAAAAGTCATGAGAAGCCACCACGCTGCCCGCAAACCTCAACTACGACACATTCGCGATGCCGCTCTCCTCAAAACTCGACCAAAAGCTGCGCGCTGCCGAGGAAAGCTCCGACGATGAAGAATACTACGAAGTCACCGATCGATCCTCGTCGCCGTCCATCATCGAGACTGGTGAAGGCGGCGAGTTGCTAGATTCGGAGGACGGCGATGAAGAGGAGGGATCCGAAGATGAAGATATGGTAGAGAAACTAGCTTGGTTGAGAGAACTGCACTAACATCTACTAGTCAGACGACGCTGAAGAAGAGGCAAAGGCACAGATGAGCAAAGTCTCGTTCGGCGCACTAGCAAAAGCCCAGGATGCCCTCTCCGCAGACCGGAAGCGAAAGCGCGGCGACGAGTCCTCCAAATCCCAGGAAGACAAGCTCCAGGCTTTGCGGCAGCGATTGCAGGAGATCAAGGCCGCGAAGCTTGCCCAAGGCGGCGGCTTGCAGCCGAAACCGAAGGCTAAGAAGGCGCGACCGACCAAGGACGAGGAAGATAAAGAAGAAGACGATGATAGTGCCTCCGATTCTGACGCTGCGCCGGCTGCACGATCCAGCAAGCACGCGCCCGCCGTGCAGACAAGCAAAAAGGCTGTCTCGAGAAAGCGCCAGGTCGTCGACGCGAAGAAGCCCAAGTTCCGCGATCCCCGCTTCGATATCGGAGCGCCGCCAGACGAGAACACAGTCCAGCACCGATATGCCTTCCTCAACGACTACAAGAAGTCGGAGATGAACGACTTGCGGGACGCCATCAAGAAGACCAAGAACGAGGCAGACAAGGAGAAGCTCAAGAAGAAGCTCATGTCGATGGAGTCGCAGATGAAGGCCCAGCGCAACAAGGACCAGCAGCAGGATGTGATCCGTGAGCACAAGAAGAAGGAGAGGGAGCTGGTCAAGCAGGGCAAGCAGCCCTTCTACCTGAAGAAGTGTAAGTTCATCCTGAGTCGGCGGAGCTACTTTATACTGACCATACCAAGCCGAACAAAAGAAGATCGCCTTGGTCGAGCGCTTCCAGAAAATGAAGTCCAAGGACCGCGATCGGGCCATCGAGCGCCGTCGCAAGAAGGCGACGGCAAAGGAGCGGAAGAACATGCCCGACGAGAGGCGTGCAGTCTGAGCCAGAATCACTATATCTTGAGATACCCATTTTGCAATTACGTTCTCATCAAACAGATAGCACACATGTTTACTTGATTGTCCTAACCCCTGACTCTCCAAGTCTCGCAAAGCTCCGGATCATTCGGATTGTGGGGATGCGGGGTATGGTCCTACACCCAACAGATCGACGGCGGTACTGGAAATATTCGGTGTGATGTCTGCCCTGATGTGGGACCACTTCTGTTTGATATATATAGACGTCGCAGGAGCTTCACTCGGGAGTGGGTTATCCTGAACCGCCATCCGAAAACATCACGGCTAGTACGCACACCCTGTTTAGCTCCACACAACGAGAACGTATAATAACAGGCCAAGTTTCCAGTCCTACATCACTTCTCTAGACTACTGCGATATATCTGATCTATTCAAGAGGCACTCGACACCAACCTCCAATGCCGTCACTTCAAGACCTCCCTCCCTTCCCCTCCGACGTCCTCACCGCCCCCATCGCCCGCATCTCTCTTCAATCCCTCCTCGCCTCCGACCCATCATCCTGCGCAGCAACTCTCGAAGCATGCCGCACCCACGGCTTCTTCTACCTCGACCTGTCCTCCACCCCCCTCGGCACCTCCCTCCTCTCCGCTTCCACCTTTCTCCACGAGATCTCTCACAACGTCTTCAACCACGACCTCCCCTACAAAACAGCCCACGACCTCGTAAAAGGCGTCTCCCTCTTCGGCTACAAGCGCGCCGGCACCGTGAAAACCACAGACCCCACCCTCCGCCCCGACTCCACCGAGTTCTTCAACATAGCCAAGGACCATCTCCACGCCATCACACCCTCCCGCTCGTATCCCGCGGAGATCACAGCGCCGGAGACATGGGCCCTCCTCCAGGCCTTCTCGCGCGACGCGCATGAAGTCGGCATGCTCGTGCTCCGCGTGCTGGCCACACAACTCGGCATCCTGCCCGCCGCGTTTGTGAGCAAAAACGAGTTTGGGCAAAAGAGCGGCGACCATGTGCGTCTGACGCACAAGCCCGCGCGCGTGCCGGATCCCGCCGCCGCCCTCGGACTCCCCTCGCACACGGATTTCGGAAGTGTGACGATGCTGTTCAACTGGCTAGGCGGGCTGCAGATCCAGTCCCACGACCCTGCGCGTGTGGGCGGGTGGGAGTTTGTGAAACCGGTGGAGGACTGCGCGATTATTAACTTGGGGGATGCGATGGTTACGTTTACGAATGGGGTGCTGAAGAGCGCGAAACATCGCGTTGTGGATGCGCCGGGGGAGCAGGGGCGGGTGGATAGGTACAGTGTGGTGTATTTTGTAAGGCCGCATGATGAGGCTGTTATGGAGGCTGTTCAGGGGTTTGAGCATCTAGGGGGGAAGGGGAGGGTCGCAGGGAAGTTTGAGCCGAAGGTGCCGGAGGGGGAGGTGTTGAGGGCGGGGGAGTGGATGAGGCAGAGGGCAGTGCAAATGGGTAGTTAGATATTCGGGTGGATATTATTTTGGGAATGGAAGGATATATTGAACTCTCACACTCATGTGTGGATTGCGACGTGACTTGGCCAGATGATATGCTCTAACCACACTAAAGTACATAGGATCAGTTGCTCACTTGTTTGATGATTGCATGGGCACTGGACGGGGTAGCTTTGAACCTGCAGGAGACAGACCTTTTGACTTTGTAAACTGTATCGCAGAATTTTATTTTTATTTTTGTTTTTCCCTCAATTTGTTTTTCCCTCACTGAAATCGGGCCATGATCACTGGTTCTTTATTCTACCGTATTGTCAGCAAAGGAACTGTACACGGCCAGGCTAGAATAACCGCAGTATCTATAACTGGTTTACCCACAACAGGTGTGTGGCTTAAGGCTGGAGGACCCTTGTCGTGCGTGCGCCCGCAGTCATCGGTGTGCATCACATGGAAGCTGTACATCACGCCAGCTGCGAGGCTCTCTGTTCGAAGTCTGTCACCTTTTAGCTCAGGCGCGCAGAACTCACAAGTTAGCAACGAAAATAGAGCGTGACAAGCTAGGAAATAGATGACGAGAAGATTTTCTTGTGTCCTTGTTAATCAATAGCATCAGGGCTGGGGTAGCAATTTCGATGTTCCATTAGGACTGTACCTCCCCCTTTCTTGGTGGAAAGGACCAGCCTTTGGCTGAATGGCGGTTGCCTGTTTTCGTGCACTTAATTTAAGAGGGCATTTACGACTACAGCAAGGCAAACTTACAGTACGACATGGATGCTACACGTTCCGTTGCTATTGGTTTACAGCCTGGATTGAGTAGGCGAAAAGGGAGCGCCACAAGAGCAGCGCCACCATATCGTTTGCAGAGCTTATTGTAGGAGCTCGGATGGTGAGATAACTGAGTCTCCAAACCTATTTAAATTAGCATTCCTATCCGTGACGACTCCTTGTTTGACCATGCAGCCTGTCTTTATCAATGCCATCTACGCGTCGCCACTCGTCGACTGTATCAACTGCGTCTTGGAAAGACCAGAGATCAGCACAGGTTTCAAGAACACCTGTGCATGCAGCAATATATCCAAGAGCTTCGCGTTCGTTCATCGGCTCCATCCATAACGTCCGCGCTACAAGCGGCTTATTTGAGAACGCTAAGAACTTTTCGCGTACCACACATGCTCTTGTATATGAATTTTCATCCAAGCAATCGCTGAGCGAGAGGACCCTTGACGAAAACTCGGGTCCGGGATACCTTCAGGTTAGTGCCCAGCCCAGTCCATGGAAATCGTATGGCATGTGGCTAACATCTGATCAAGGAGGTTGTTCAGAATGGAAATTCTGACGACCAAAAACTACGCGTCATGTATGAGTAGTAGCGCGGGTGTGTATTGATCGCACTGACATTGGAAGCTTCTGCTTCCTTGAGCAAGTACCAAGCTCTGAACAAACGAATTTCAGGTGTCGACTCTCTCTGAGCGCAGCGTTCGCAAAGCAACTCATGGACACCTTCGATGTTACACCGCAATTCAGCGGTGCTATATTGGGAGAGCCTGATTACGGAGCACCTGGAGATTTTGCCACCTTTGATGACAAGGGCAACATTGAGAAGATAGGTATGTACACATGCATTAAATTCTTTGTTAATAATTTGAACTGCTTGGTTAACATCACGTCAGAATTCTGCTGTCAGCAGCCGCGCTGGGCTATTCATAAGAAACTTACTCCATGGTGCATTTACATGGCGTACTCCTACCAAGACAGAGCTACAACCTATATTGTTGCTTGCGACGCACATCAAGGCCGCTTCGACATCGTAAAAGAGCGACTTTCGGATCTACTAGCCGTTGATCCAACACATGGGACGTTCCTGAGCGACTCCCTCAACCCCTTTTTCCTCCACTTACTCATAACTCAAGAGGTTTTCCTCGATGCTGTGCCGGAGATCACCAAGCTACGACATCAGCTCTACGGCGCACTCGACAGGGTAGATCAATATGCGGCCAAAACAGAGAACGAGCGTGAAAAGAAAGAGCTCGAAGATCTAACTATCACCTTGCATATCGTGTCGCAAGAGACAGACCGCATGTTTGCCAACGTTAGTATGTCAAGCATGATACTGCAGCGAATGATACGAGCCCATGCTCGATATCAAGATAGCGTGAGCAACGATGCGTCGAAGAGGAATTCAGTAGTCAAGACCGACGATGCGCTCCATTATATGTTCGACAGCATTGAGAGCCAGCAAAGATGGTTGAATAGCTACAAGTCGCGGAAGGACATTGCGATGAACCTGGTTTGTGATCTCGTCTCCGTCCCTATCGCCACGTACTTATCGTTCGGCTCAAGGTCTTCAATCTAGTCACGCAACAAGATAGCTCCACCAGCACGACAATCGCCCGCGAAGCGAAAGCTGATGGATCCGCCATGCGCACGATCGCTACTCTGACAATGGTTTTTCTGCCAGGTACCTTTGTGTCGTCTGTTTTCAGTATGCCAATACTAGAGGGTGTGCATTGGCACCTCTATGTCGCCGTCACGATACCCTTGACGCTTTTCGTTTTCGTAACTTGGTGGTTCTGGCAGAACTTTGTATCCTTAAGAAGTAAGTTGGAGAAGCTCGCTCGAAGAGTACGGGGAAAGCGAGCTTCTGCTGGATATCGACCGTGACAAGATTGAAGGACGCAGTGATGTATCTTAGAACGTGTTTTATATTCGCTGCGATTGGGACGTTGTATACAGCTTAAAGAATGCATTACAAGTTTTTAGTAAAGCGTTTCGCCCAATGTCCTCATATACCTTGTATCATACTCTCTGCTTTGGGCAAGACAGCCCTGAAGGGCTCGAAGCGAAGAAAGCTACATGTCTCCGCCTAGACTCGAAAAACGTTCTATGAAGAGACTCTAGACCGGAATTTTGCAAGAAACGGCGAGCATAATCATTGCGTTGGCACACCACTCGTTGGTTTTTATTTTGAGGGGCCAACTGTGCAGGAAGACGCGAGCAACGGTTCAAATGGAACATGGCATGGGGCACAAACGAAATATACGCGGCGGTCTATGATTGTAAACCTCTTTCCTCTTTCTGGCGGAAGACGAAATTCCTCGCCGGCAGCAAACCCAGTTTATGTTCATAGCTTGTCTTTACGGACAAGAGCTACTTCAAGCGGGGCGGGAGATTTAAAGCGATAACACTTACGACGATATCTGTCCTATTGCGATCTTGTGCGTAAAATCTGGGAGGGACCGGAGGCATAATCAGTGTTACAGATAGATGTGAGACGGAAATCTAGTAATCCTGTGTAGGAAAAAGGACTTTATCACAAGCGCGCGCTGTCGGAATCTTTACGCTTAACTTGGTTCCCAGATCTTCCGCTCGGCTTCTACACGTTTAACATGGAACCATGCAGTTTGGCCATGTGAAAGCATTCGACCTCAATATATATAAATAGACAGTAATGATGGACAAACATTGTCATCAACCTGTTCATCAACGTTACGCATTACCCAACTCAAGAACCACTCGACATGCCTTCCATCACCCATCCAAACGGCAAAACAACCTACTACCAGGAAGACGGCTTCGCAGATCCTTGGGGTTCCGCATGACACCATTGTAATCGAGTACGGGTACAGCCTGAACGGAGATTTCTGGTACCACTGGGTCCCAATCCTGGTGAAACTCTACCGGGTCATTCGCTGACACGCACGCACCGACCGGCGATGCGATGCTCATTTGTACAGCTTTTGCGATCGATGGAGAATTGATGGTACATGTGCCCATTCAAGTACCCGGGTTTCTTGTAGCGACTTCCGCCTGGCTACACTTGCACCCATTCCACGTGCGGTCGTGTGTTCGACCTCCAAACGACGCTTGCAGTCACCAAAGTGTCACTGAATAACACAGGCACTGATTATATACAGTTGAAAGTAATATCCATGTTGACACGAGTCACGTGAGACACAGTGCACACGATGCTGCGCGAAGAGAGCTCTAAGCAGACAAGATACATTCGTGTAGCGCGCTCGCGTGGTACCCACTGTGCACGGTACTGCCTGGGAGTAGACAGCTCAAGCAGTCTATTGCCTGTACTTCCGAAGGCATCTCTGCAACGCAAGAGTATGGACGTTTCTAAAGCAATCTTGGTGATCAGCTGTGATGAATCCGCGCACAACACCATCTTTTGGCTCTCCAGTGAGATAGAAATCAGTCTCTCCGTCCTCAGGATCTATGACTCTGTGCGTCATAGGGTTCAAAAGCTCGCAAATCAACATGACTAAGAAGTCGATAGGTTGCCTTGTTTCCGCCCATTCCGGCCAATTGCTGTAAGCAGCCGACACAGAGATTTGCTTTGCTGTGTATATCTCTGGTCTGTACAAAGCCCCATGCGCTTGAAGTTGCGCAGATTCTGATATACTTTGTAATTCTTGCCAGGGTAATGGATGTGAGCGATCCATCGAAGTCCCAAGGTACGCAAGAGTTGTATGATCATTAACTTTGCGTAAGTTTTCTGAGAAAGCTTTCTCAATCTCAGGTCGTGAGTTTATGGGACAGACGCGGTTCTTCTTGAGGCTCGGAAATACAGCAGGTGGTACGTTCCACTACCACGCCACACAACCCCGATATGCAGTCAGGACCCAGGACACCAATAGTTCAGATATAGAGTCCAACGTGCCATAAGAAGTCCAGGTAAAGAGATTCACGGTAGTCATTGAGATCCAATAGCTCCTATGCCGTCTCTTTCGAGGGAAGTGGCGGCAGTTGAGCAAAATACCCCCGGTCAGATACTAGTTTTGCTGCGAGCATAAGAGCACCGAACTCCACGGTGGAACCCTGGATTCTAGACATCGGAGGTAGAGCTACGTCTTCTTCAGTTCAAGACTACAGTTTGCTGAGCAAGGCGTAGGTCGAAAAAGGGTATTGCCTGTCCTAAGGTTCTTCTTGCAAACTACACACTCGCGATGCCCATCCTGGAGGAAAGCGTCTATTGCACCACAGAACTGTATATTGCCAAGGCGACCCACTCCAGTTTGAAAATAGCCCTGCACAAATCTGTTGAGTTGATGTACGAGTCAATCTGGCGTCCCACAGAATGAATCGTCTGGTAGTCCATCGGCAACCATCCATGGCGTGTGATTGCCATCATGATGCTCTTCGAACGCTATCTTTGCTGTCTATATGAAGACGGAATTGCTTGACCTGGTGATGCTCATCCTTCCATAAAGGCACGACAACGTTTTGTGCTTTGCGATTGATCCCGTGGGCCTCCCTTCGTATTGAGTTGAGGGCGCTTAAAGATACACTGGCGCGCGATTTGAATAAGCTCGAAGATTTCGACGATGGTGTCGAGGACCAGGACAAAGAACTAGGCGAGGACATGGGATCACTCACCCAGGGTGAAGAGGACTTCACGGCTTGTATGTTACTGGGAAAGATACTTTGTTACAGTGCAGCCAATAACGCAGTCTAAGGATCTTATTCAACCTCAGTGCGTTGCCAAAGTTGCGTAGTCTGATAGGTGCCACAGTCACTCTCGCTGAACTCGACTACGTTCACAATGGCCACATTCTGGACGCAGGTACCCGTATACGACCAGACAGATGGCTTCCAAGCAAAGAACAGGAAGCCACGAATTAGCCTGTTACTTGCGGAAAAGTAGCATCAATACGGAGTATCGAGGCCCAATGATACCTGTCAAAGTCCCTGTTTTAGGGTTATATATACAGCTACATCTGCACAAAACCCATCTACTGATGCCATCCATGCGCGTAGCGTTGAACACGAGAGCGATCCACGGGGGAGGACACTTGCTGCGGTCAAAGACCTTGCATCCCGTGTATGCACTTGAAGGCTATCGGATAGCGAGGCTTAGAGGTCCTTGTTCAACCCGCAACGATAGAAGTCGAGCACGCGCAAGATAGAGGTCCTCGCCCTACGCCCAATCGCACCTACGTACTGAGCACGAATACTCAGTCTTCCCAAGCATTCCAACCTACCGCCTCGCCGCTACACACGCGTGACACAAACCGCCGGCACTTGCTCCTGCCCTCAACTACCCCTCTTCCCGGGCCCACACACCACCGGCCCTCCTCCCCCAAGCGGCAACGACCGCGAGCCCGACTACACGGTTTGCACCAGCGCCGTTTGGCGCACACGTACACAGTGGAGCCAGCAGCGCCCTTTGGCCCCGGCGGGGTCCGTCAACGGGCAGGGGTAAGCGAGAGCGCAGCTGTGGCGGGTGCGCGCAATATACAGTATGTGCGATGCATAAGTCTGGACCGCGGCATATTGGGCGGGAGATGCGCGCTAGGGATGGGATCCTAGGTCGGGAGGGGGATTTACCTGATGCGATGGTGTGGGAGGTGGGAGGTGGGGTGATGAGGTGGGCTTGCGATCGATGATGAGGGTGTGTGAGATGGCTTGGGGGCTATATTTGGTATGTGTGAAATGGGTATGGGAAAGCTGGGATCGTGACGTGGGACAAGTGCACTGCTGTGGTGCGATACGAGGGCGTTAGCTTCGTGTGCGGCGCGGATGCGGCCGCTGTGTGGTCATTATAGGCATGGTATGGTACTACGCCATTGCTCGTTCACTACTGCCGTAAAGCGAAATCATACAATGTCTTTCTGTCGAGTCGTAGACTGAGATAATGTTCCGTCTCTTCATTCATAAGCGGCTCCCCTCTTCATCCCGCTGTGGAGTATTCTTGGGCTGAGTTCGCTGCTATTCCACCCCAATTTGCAATGTCACCTCTAGTACGTTGGTTGTGGCTGCATGGTCGAATCGTCACCGAATCCCGGCTCTAGCCGTTATGTCGGGCGTGCGGGTGGCCTCGATACAAGCGCGCCGTGAATACGAGGCCTAGAGCGCCATAACGGTTCCTCTCCACCAGGCATATGCATGTCTGTTTGCTGCAGGTTCAACGCGCCTCTCGTTCTCTTTCGTAACGCCCGTTCGTTCTTCCCTTTTCGGTGGCGCCGCGTCCGTACTATCACCTCTCACACGTAGGGAATATCGTCGGTGCGTCTAGGTGCCATTGATGTTACTTCACCACGTCGAGGTTTCTACGATAGCGAAGTCGACGCTTCAAGTCGCGTCGAGTTCGGGGATCATCAGGCTGGGAGCCCTCGCAATGACCGGTTTCGTCTTCAAGCTCATCAAGCGGTCGTAGTGCGGACGGAGATCGTAGTCTTTGAACTGCTCCGCAGCGCCAATCTTGACGTTTCTCAGCATGCATTTGCCGTCCTTGACCCAGAAAATCTGGAGCACGCTCTCAAGTGGCATCGCAAGCGCGATTGCACCGGGTTTGAACACGCCCTGGCTGATTTTGGACGATGCTTTCTTGAGCTTGCGTGGAGACAGCATGCCCTTCGTGGTGTACTCAAACTGTATGATCTCGGTCATGGCATTCACCACAACGAAGGCTTCTCCGGTCGGTGACTGGGCGGCTTGTACAATCTTCGTACTATACGTTTCGTTTTGAAGGTTGTCGTGTCCAGGGAACGGGATGAGCAGGGGGTACTCTTTTCCTAAGAAAGCTGTCACGAGAGCGGAGCGGCGCGCGGAGTCGTAGAAAACGCTGGTCAGGTCGCCGTCGTTCAGCGTCCAAGGAGGCATCTTGAAAGATCGCGAATGCTCAGCTACCGTTGTAACTGGCTCCGTAGTGCAGTCCCAAACATCAACGTAAATGCAATGATCGCCGAGCTGTGTCGCGACTACGAGGCTCTTGCTGTCAGTCGAAAAGTAGACCTTCCGCGAGATGATTACAGTCTGGCGTTGCTGCTCCTCGGCTCTTTCCCTAGAACTAAGTCCTTTTCCTTGTCCTCCAAACCATCCTGGTCCAGCACAATCATTCAAGATCGACACTGTATCGTCACTGGTGGTTCGGCCAATGGGGATAGTTCGTCTTTGAATAGCCCCGCCTCTCATCTCGTAGACGTTGATTTGATGGTGAAAAGCAAGCTGTTTGACTCCGCCATTCTCCAGGCCAAAAATCACTATGCGGTCATTCAATGATACTGCGACGAACTTATCGTTACGAGAGACAGCAAGGCACAACTCGCCCACTCTACCGGGAAGATCGAGATCTACCTCTGCTTCAGATTTGACGTTGATGCTGTTAAATATTACGAGTCTTCTCGTCAAGCCACGGGCGGCGACGATGGCGCATTTGTGGTTTCCAGCTGCCGCTACCTCGATCCCAGCGACCTCATACTTGCAGCCTTGGATGGCCGATGCGTCATTGCTCGGCACGTCAAAGCGAACTAGATGGTCAGCACCCTTCTCCCACAATAGGAGGGAATGTCCGGCAGCAGAGAATACGAAACACGGTTCCTTGGGAAAAGGAGTCTTCTCCTTCTCCTTGGTGCTTGGTTTCCGTCTAAACGAATTCCCGATTCTGATCGTCCTGCTCGACGACTTCATTTTGCTGAAGCTGGGAGTGCTTCTGACGGAACTCGTTGGAGTAAACATGTTCCTTTCGCTCGAAAGCTCAGAAGGCATGGATGCAGACTCAGCCTCTGCAATGTTTTCGTCAATGCTGGGAGTCCGAACCGGGATGGGCAGATCGATCGACAATCTCGAAGCAATAGGGAGCGCAATAGGGATGTTCAAAGACTCGTTGAGGGGACTGATCGGATATTCGATCGCAGATTCTAGGGAGTGCGAGCGAGGTGAAAGTGGATTGTAGGTTGTCGGGCTCACGGGCGATTCGGTGTAACGTGGAGGCTGCAGAGGCGGTACTATTTGAATGTCTGGGTCGCTCGGTCGCGAGACGTGGGACGGTTGGCTGACGCTCATTCCCGAATTCGATGTCAAACTAGGCACAATGCTGCCTGTGTCTGAAGTAGAATGGGAGCCTGAGGCGGCATCATACGATCCAGAGTCGCCTACACTATACTGGCTAAGACTGAAATCGTCCCGCCAAGTAGACGTGTCTAGCGCAGTAGCGAGCGACTGGAATGGCTCGATGAGGCGAGCGAGTTTAATCTTTTCGCCGCCGGAGCAGCTGGGACATGCAATGCCCTCCTTCCAGTTCACGATTGGGCTGTTCCCTTGAACAGCTTCATATGCCCACTTGTCACACCATCGAAGCTTGTCTTCTAAGAGTTTTTTGCGTATGACATGCAGCTTGGGGCAGTCCACAATGTACACAGTCACTGCTGCCGCTTCTTGTTCCTTGGACACCGACTCTGCATTTGGCGCAGCCATCTTTACAATCCAGTCTTTGACCATCCCTTGCATGTTGTTCGATGTCACCCCTGGTCTCCTTATACTGAACTGTTCGTACCCTGACTGTCGGCTTGGCAACCAATCTGCAAAGCTCGTCATAGCCGCTTCGAAGTATGGACTCAATTCAGAAATGTGTCTGCCGTGATTCTGGGCGCGATTCGGACCGGATCGCGTCGGCGCTCGCTGATGCTGAAATAGGGAGTCTTGTCGCGAGAGGAAGTTCTCCAAGTCCTCATCCCAGTCAAGTAGAGTGACTGCCAGAGAGTCCAGCAGTGCTGGTGTCGGCTGCATCGGCCCTGTAACGTGGAAAATTGAGATGACGAGGCTAGTTCGTGTATGCCAAAGCTGCTCTAGTATCTCGTCTGTGTCGACCGATGTTTGGTTCGAGCCGAGCACTCCGGTCTGTCGGCGAAGGTCAACAAACCGCTGGGTAACTGCACACTCGACCGCCCAAAGACAATCGTGCAGCACCCAGTACGCATCCATCCAATCCTCCTCCATTGTGCCATGTATCAATGGCGTAACAAAAGTCTCAACCCTAATGTCCAGCGGGTACTGCGGATGTTAGCGAAAGACAAGCGCAACAGCACCTCGTCATTGGTTGGCCGTGTGGGTTCCGAGACATTTGATACAGAGCTGCATAGCACAGTCTCAGGACCTTGGGCGGCATTTGACGGCCATCTGAGAGTCAGAACGTCCATAAAGGGTTTTCGAACCCACCTTCCCGATACGGAGACCAATGACTGAGCGCTGGGGTTGATTCACTTACAAGGCCAGCTGCGTATGTCGGCAACTTTGCGTTTGCCCATTCCCGCGCGTACGGATTCTCGCGCGATGGTTCATTAAGCGCGTTGAGTACCTCGGCGAACAATTCAGACACAATGAAGCGCTCCACACCGTGCAACCGATCGTCCCTCCATGCTTGGTTTATAGCGTTTTGCAGTCGTCGCTGGTCGTTTGCGTTGATGCCTTCCTTTCGCAGCAGAAGAAGACGAAGTCCGGAAAGAATGGTCTGGGCCAGGATATGCCGTGGACGCGTAAACTCGCGGGTCATGAGCGTCGTCTGGGAGGAGAATAGACTCTTCTTGACATTGACGAGGTAGAGAATGGTTGCGAACAAAAGGTCAGGCGGTAACAGGCACGAAAGGACGTAGGGTGGGCATTCCGCAACCCCCGTCGCGATGCCACTCAAGTAGCATCGCTGGGAATCGAAGACGATCTTGATCCAGCCGATTGTGCGGATCGACTCCTCAATGCTGCGAGGTTCGGCGTCATGGCTGGAGATGGAGTGCTGGCCGACGATTTCACGGAGGAGGTTAGCGATGTCGTGTCTGCCCTGGAGGTGCTCCCAAAGTTGCGCAAGGTTCCGGTGTTGGAGGGACATTGACGCGGGACGACGAGAAGCGGATCAGCGCTTCGAGGCGCGAAGCACGAAACCAGGGAAAGACGGCGCAGAGGGTAGGTGGTTTTTGGGAAGATGCATGACGGGAGACGCAGGGAGCCTTCTCGAGAGCGCGGTCGAGATCGGGCCTGCTGCCTGCGAGCTGCGAAGCGTGCAACAGTGGTGGCCGTCCGGACGGAGAAGTGACGGCCTTGGCTGGCAGACGTATGGGCAGGTCGATGCACTTGTGCGGCCGCGGTTGGATGGGCAGCCATCAGCTGCGACTGGGGGGCATCGTAACAGACCCGCGGGAAAAGACAAGCACCTGTGTGCGCGCCACACGCAGGGACTGAGGGAGCGCACTTCCCGAGCCGGACTGTAATAATAGCACGGGCAGTCCGACTGTAGCGACGACCTGCACATGCCGGAGGATGCTCGCAGCCAGGTTGGGCTGACCGGTTGGTGGTCACGTGCGCGGTGCCCCGCCTGCACCCCTGTGCGCGACTGCCAAAGTTTGTTACGGCAGCCAGCCTGAGACACAGAACATGTCTATTCCGCGCGAGACACTGGCCTCCTGCACGGCTGCTCGCGCGCGCCCGTGCAGCGACGCCAGAACAAAGGGCTCGCGACGGCCACAACATAGGCAAAGACGTAAACATGAGCTTGTGTTGGGTATCATGCACTATCTACCTGCAAAGACAGTGGTTACGACGACGCTAGCACGAGGCGAGCCGGCGACCGCTCACCATTGCACCGACCTCGTCCGAGAAAGGCAAGATGCCCTCGGCGTAGGCGACCCTCCTACTCATTTGAGCCAGCCCCAGATGAAAGCGACAAGCGCTTTTGCGTTATCTTCCTGCCAAAACGGCATCTTCGGGTTCGGGAACTCCAAATGGCCTCGTCGTCGCCCTGGCACCACTACTTTGGGCGGTGGCCTGTGAATCTGCATCGACGCACTGCGCCGCCACTTGAGTGGGTTCCAGCCGTCCGATCGCACGTGGTATGCTGCGATTATAGCAAGGAAGACGGCAACCTGCGTGCAACGTTAGCGCCTGCAGGTAAATCCAGGTCGCCTGACACATACCCCAATGTAGGACGCAACAAAATCGGGCGTTGAGAAGGGCGGCACAAATGCTCTCCAGTTGTTGAAGACGATGAGGAGGGCGCAGAAGAAAAATCCGTACCAGGCGCGGAAGAGCTGTCCGTGGGTCCGGTACGGATACTGCTTGTCGTCGCGGTTGAACGCGCTACGGTTCTCCAAAGTATGGTCATTGGCAGCTACTTTGATCTTGTGGTAGAACTGCGTGTACGAGAGACAGATCATGGTGTAGCAGATGAGCTCCGCAATGACTGCGTTGTTGGTCATCCGTCCCAGAATGACCGAAGGAAACGGCTTGATCGCTAGGAAGGCCATCAAACCGAAGCACCAGGAAACACAGACGGTACCGAGTGGAACGCCAGCATCGCTCACTCTTTCCAGCCGCCTTCTGTAGTTCTGAAACCACAAAGGCCAAGCTTCCGGGATGCTTGCAAGCGCGTGGAGAAGTCGGCTGGACGTGTAAAGCGCGTTGATGCCCGACGTGGTGGCTGCAAAGATGAAGAAGCCGTTGAAGACGGATGGAAACCCTCGCAGGCCGTTCCGAACAGCTGCAAGAACGAAGACACTGTTTTGTCCTGCGCGAACGGCGTTGATCTGGATGTTGACGAGATTGGGATCATCGTACGGAACGTTGAGACCGCCAACAAAAGTACCTAATATGTAAAGAAGTGATATGCGCATCGAAAGCTTCTTCGTCGCAATCTTGATCGTCTCATATTTCTCAAGGTCTTTGTTTTCGGGTGCTGTCACCGCGATGGCCTCAAACCCGACGAAGGAGAATACGCAGGTAGTGATGGCTGTCCAGAGACTCAGGAAATGGCCCAAGTTCCCTTTGACCATGGCATCCGGGTTGGTTGGATCTGATGTAGTCGGATGGATAACCATGCCTGCGGACGAAAACCCCCACGGCGAGTTCCAGGTCCAGAAATGGTTTGCGTGATAGACTTTCTGCATCCCGGACAGAACAATGTTGAAAACGATCAGGAATGAGATAAACGTCAACTTGATGACCCCAAAAATGTATTCCAGTTGGCCGTATTGTCGGACGGGAAGAAGGTTGATAAGCAGTACGATGATCAAGAACAGAAATACCCACACCGCAGGGCTGTAGTGTTCTGTGCTCCATCCCAATTGTTCGTCCGGGTAGCCCACAGATTTCAGATATGCTGGATCGAATCGAAATCTCCATAATTGCGCCACAGCCTGGATTTCGGCAGCCAAAATCACAATCCACGCGCTCCAGGTCATCCAGCCAGTAGCATATCCGACAGCTTCGTCGATGAATCGTCCAGGAAATTCGAACAGTGGTCCAGGGACTGGGAACAATGCAGTCATTTCTCCCAGGCACGCGATCACACTCCACATCATCGAGCATCCCAACACGACCGCGACCAAAGCCATTCCCGGTCCCGCCAGATAGATGACCTTTCCAGTGTTGAGGAACAGTCCGAAGCCTATGCAGGCGCTGAAGGATATCATGTTAACATGACGTTCCTTCAGGTGCTTGCTATACAGCAAAATTAGCCCAGCGCTGCGAATACCGAAGCAGCTGCATACCTAAGCACCGTTCGCCTCGACGACATTGTGGACGAGGTCGAACTCAGACGTGACCACATTCGAACTGCTTTGCGCGAGATCGATGAGCAACGAGGCGCATCGGAAACTGCACCAAAGGTTAGGGAGGCAGAGCACTGAAGCGGGAGCTAGTGGGCGAGGCTATCGCATAATAGGGACTGAGGATCTACGTCGGCGAACACACGCCGCACTCTATCAGTCCAGCGAATGCCTGTCGACGTGCGTCGGGGGCCAATGCAGAACCATGGCCAGTCTCAGCTCAAAAGGTAGCTGCAGACGCTCATCACCGACGCGTCGCACAGGAGACTGCAAGGACGCTCTGCGTCTCCCGCGACGGCGTGTCGTTGGCCAGCATTTTGACCTGGGGGAGATGAGGTCTAGCCGCCTGCCCAACCTGGTGCGTGCCAAAGTGGTGGGATGGCGGCCGCAAGCAGGGAATAGATACGAGACACGAGGTCTCCCCTGTCCAGATCATAGATGTGGTTGGAGACTCGATGCCGCTGTCACGGAAGGGCGTTCATCCTTTGGAACCGTGCGCCCGCGCCATCTCATATGTGGCTAGCGGGAACGCCACAGTGTGCGTTGGCTGGCCGAAAGTGCAACGTCCCGTTGTGCAGACACCGGCGTTTGTTTTTTTACGAGCGGCCTGCAGATACCCCTTAATCACCCTCGCATCTATGTTTGGATTTATACCCTCGAGATATGACGATCATATTGATGCTTCTATCGTCTCAACCCATGCTTGTGGCTCCGCCTTCACGAAGCTAATTTCTGCTGCACATGCCATGAGTTCTGTGGCAGCGCACCATCGTGACGCGAGCGATACGACAATAAAGGAGGCTGAGGGTGCCGAGCGACCCAAGAGAGGGACAGGCAATGCACCAAGAAATCAAGGAAGCAAAAATCGCACAACGCAAGATGGATCTGGCAGGATTGTGTCGCGAGTCGCGATGGACGGAACCTCCCATGCACGCGCGACCTCGCAGGGATTCGATCCCACGAGTGAGGATTAACCTTTACAGGCCATCATTTCAGTGATATGATATCGTCCAAACCGAGACCGAGATCTCGCCCGCATATCACGATTCGAACACAGTCCCGTCCATGGTATCAGATCTACGCGCTAGTCCTGCTCGGATGTATATAGCAGCCATGTCGTGCGAGAGGTTCCCAAAGCGCGGTAGCATTCCAAGAGAAGTAGAGATTCAATGACTGTTTCAAGATCTCTACCTCAGCAAAATTATCCCCTGCTCCAACAATCTTGGGAACTACTGCTCAGGCTCTCATCCTTTTTCTTCGCAAGCCCCTGTGTCTCAAAGGTACTTCTGGTCATAGCATGCTCTGATCCGTTGAGTGAAATGACTCGGGCGTGTCAACGCCTAGCTGATAAGTGCTCTCTTGTAGGAAGATGAACTCTGATCCAATTGCACGAAAACGAGGGAACCGACGCAGGCTACTTCTCAAAACTTCAGTGAAAGGCATTCCCAACGGTTCGAACAGATCTCTTTGCCTATTCTTGTTCATCACCGCTATTTCCTAACTCGTGAATAGACACTTCATTGCCCTACAACTCCCACGGAAGAAGTTGCAACCCTTAAACTCACGTTCCGGCTCCACGGTCTCCATTTCTTATCTCGTAGCGCTCATTGCTTCCTATCCAAGGCTTCCCTTGAACATCGATTTTCGCTTTGTCGAACTTGTCCTGTTCCTGAGGGGGAGCTTTCTTCATGCGTATGCGCCGTAGAAAAGCCGCCTTCCCAAAGACAATCAAAGCTGCGCAACCGACTCCAATGCCTACATATCCTCCGACTGACATGCGGGGTTTCTGATTTCTGATAAGAGAGGAAGTCCCAATGTCTGGTGGGCTCTCTCTGGGTGAGTGCAGGGGCGAGAGCAAGATACCTGTCGTAGCTGAGATGGCTGAAATATGTGGTTCGCCACCAAACGCGGCCTGCTAAATGTTGCGCGGTCATCAAACTCTACTTGGAGATAGGTCTCCTGGAGAAAAATGCGTCCTGGAGCGTAATATGGAGGGACTCGTGAAGGATGTCTCAGAGGAAAGTATCGTAGTTGAATACTGAGATCACTGACGGATAGATACCTAAGCTGTTGAACGAAAGCTTGGTACGGGAAGGTGAAGTCGCTTACTATGTCAAAATATCAGGACAAGGAGATTGTAACGGACACATTGTTGCGTAGGCTCCGTTCATGCGCGGAGTCTCTTGCAGTATAGTATACTAGCGTGTGGTTCCAAGTGAGCCCGAAAGCTTATTCGAAAGCATCGCAAATCTCTATCGGTAGACTGGGAATCAAACAGACTTAGCAAATGCTTGAAATTATTCTTGAGAAGTTGCATACCAGATATGTGGGATTTAAGAGTCAATCATCACTTCAATCGGTTCTGGGGAATTGTTAATCCTAGATTCCGATCCAGAACGGAAGCTCACAGAAGACAAGCGGACGACGAGTCCTCTAACAAGTCCTCTATCTGGCACATCTTCATCTATCAAGTACCACGCAAGAGTTTTATATCCCTTGGCTTTGAGCGCTGGGTCGTATCCATCTACAATCAAGCTCGCTCTCTGGTTCCCTGGGTGCCATCAGAAGGTCAACTTGAACAGACACTAAAGTGGTCCCAGCTTACGATAACGACTGCCCGTACGGTAGCTGTAGGAGTGGAATTGTATGACCCCCATGTCACGCAACCCGTCCATCAGCGGAAACAGTTTGGAAGATTTTGAGGACCCATTGCCAAAGTCGACGTGATGGTCGAAGTGTTGACTTCCCAGGCCGAACAGCGCCATGGCGAAGTTTTCAGATGCTATAAATTCCATGCACTGTTCGGGAACCAAAATTTGGTTCCCTCCGATTTCTACTGTAACTGTATCAATTCCGATGTCTCCTGTCACTATTTCGCCGTCCCGAGTATACAGTGGGTACATTCCAGCAACTTCGGCCGGAACCCAACTTTTTGATTTTGGCGGCCGACATATTCCTCTTTCTTCGCATATCGACGGTCTCGTATCTGTGAAGCCGCACCAAGTAGTGTTGGTTGGGAGGGAGTAGGTCTGATAGGCCGTCGCTGCGAATCTCCAAATTTTCTGTTTATCTGATCCCCCTATTATATCGAACGAGGACCAGGTTCCATCAGGTCCATCCCTATAGGAATATTAAGCTCAATACAAGATAATCTCTTTCGTAGGAAGGCTCCTAGGTCATACGGACCATTCTACGCTGGGCGGGATGACGACCGGCCTTGTTGACGAAGAAACATTCGAGCTTTTACAGGATTGCAAGAAAATAAAAAGCACCGGAATGATTGCCAAGACATAAATCATTTTGTTGTACGCACAGTGGTGAACAGTCTTTAGCAACAACCATAGGTATGTAAGAATTTCGAGTCATGCGAGGAAACGCAGAAGGCTGAAAGTTATAAGCTGAACTTGATGCCTCATGATGTGCCACCGGATCTCACTCCTTGGCCGGGCCGTTGCAGCGCTCGGCTAAGAGATATATATTAAGAATGTCTTGCCATTGATGATATCCTTACCAAACCCTAACAATCTGCAATTCGAGAAGAAGTGTATCCTCGCGCAGATCACCAAGCCGAGTTTTCTCTCGTTGAGCAAAAGCCATCCCGGTATGAGAACGTTAGAGGTCATCGTCTGCTCGGATCATGAGAAGAAAAGAGGCAGGAGATAATCCTATGGTATGCCTTGAATATAGCCTTTTGCCTCGTAGACGATGCTTGCGGCAGGTGGTCAGCACCCATCAATCCCTGACCTTCACCAACCTTAAAACTGCGAACCTTGCTGTCCAATAGCCAATAGAAGGTCTTCATAATAATGATCGGAAAGCGCCTTGGTACTATCCCCGAAAACATTTCTTCCTGCAAGACACCAAACTACCTCTCCTATCACACCGCCCATCATTTGTTTTCCTTCTAACTTCCCTTTGCAGTGAAAGCCCTGAAGGCCAAATGGATCTTGTCCCAATTTTCATCCGTCCATCGGATTCCTCATCCCCTATGATCGCCTCACTATCAACCCTCCTTCAACCCCAATCTTCCCCATGAGGACTCATCTCAAAAAACCCCGCCAGCGTCTCCATCGCGCGCTCCGCACCTCTCAACACCATCTTTCCATACAAGACGATCTCCGTCTTCGGGATCCCACCATGCATCACACGCCGGTATACGTTTTCGTAGTACGTGTACTACATAACGAGCGTGCTTTCTGCGTTGAGCATGCTATATTCGGGCCCGAGGACGGAGCGCCCGGTCATAACTGGATGTGAAGTCAGTATGGGGTGAACAAGCCGGGACGATTGTATCGTGGGGATAGAATGAAGTGTGAAGAGGCACGTACTGTCTAATGTGGCATCGTTTTCTCCTGGGAATAGGGCGCGGGCGTTCGCTGCGAAGCGTGTCAGCCCAAGTTCTGGTCAATAAGATTGGCTTATGATAGGTGGCGGCGATCGACTGATTGGATCAGCCGGAGTCGAGTTGTGCATCGGATGATGATCAGGAGGAAGGGACGGGCAGACCAAGGATCTGGTTGCGGAGCCAGCGTGGAGAGGCAGACATCGAGGCGGATATCGAGGCGGATATCGAGGCGGTAGAATGGTGGGTGCTGCTCTGCTCGGTTTTTAATTTGCGGCGTAAACGCCGGGTGGGGAGGGCGTGTGGGTTAGGAGAGTGGACGATAACGATGAGGAAGACGTACGAAAGGGAAGGAGTCGCATGTGCCTGCCTCAATTGCTACTGCGCTTGCGGTGGAAGGAATGGGACTTCCCTGCCATATCACTAGGAATTACAACTACAATCTATGAACCTCAATCAAACACTCGACTCAAGCCGTTGGACCTTGAGCTCAAACCCTAAAAACATTAATCCCATCCACAAACGTCGAATTATTATCCGCATTCGCCACCAAATCCACGCCATCCCTGGTAACCATCCACGTACTCCCCACAGTATTCAAATTATACAGATTGACATCGTGGGTCGACCCCTCTCCCTCGATGCTGACCATGCGTGTTTGACACACGCCCTCCGACGCCACGTCCGAGCACTTGGTGCTGTAGTTGTCGAAGAAGGAGTACAGGCCTGCGCCGTAGACATGAAGATTGGACGAGCGCACGATGCGCAGGCCCCAACCCGAGGCGTTGTTAGGGGAGACGGGGTGTGTAGAGTTGGATGTGGAGTTTGATGGTTGGGAAGTAGTAAACACTGGGTCAAAGAGGGCGGCGTTTTCGGGGAAGGGGAGGGTGGCGTCGGGGTTAGGCTGGTAATATCTAGAGTTCTGTTAGCTGGGGGGCTCGTGAGTAATGGGAGGAGTGAACGTACGCTGTCTCGGTCTGGATCTGCCCCATGACGACGTCCCGCGTGCCGACGAATTGGTATTCGTATTTGACGTGGTGCTCGACTGCCGTGCCGTAGAGCCAGACTCGGCCCTGCACGCTCTGGTCGAGAAGACCACGGCCCGCGTAGATGGTGATTTGGGTGTTGTTGTTGAGGGAGTCGTCGAGGTCGTGGTCGGCGACCCAGAGCCAGTTGTTCTCCAGGTAGACGCCACTCGCCCAGGGGGTGATGTGTAGGGAGAGGTAGGACGCGATGCACTCCTTCTTCAGGTTGGCGGCTGTAGTGGTTATCTCGGGCTCCTTGATGCACTGTTCCTGCTGGAGGTGTGAACCAGCGAAGCCGCCGATGCGGGTGTGAACGTCCCATAGGCCAGCAGGCTCGCCGGTGCTAAATAGGTTGTATTCGATGAGGATGGCGCCCGCATTGGGACCTTGCGTGCTGACGAAAAAGTCTGACCATTCAATCGAACCGTGCTCGCCCTGCTTTCCTACTTGAACAACAGGCTTTGGGTTCTCCATATCCCCAAAGAACGAACCACTGGCCAAAATGACCGACGAGAGGGCTTCGCCAACGATCCTCGATCCGGCGGGCACGTAGACCGTGCCGCTGACTTTGTAGTACCCAGCATCGACAAAAAGAACCTTGCCTTCCGCCTTCGCCTTTTGAAGCCCGTCGTTCAACGCCTTCGTGTCGTCCGTCTTGCCATCACCTTTCGCACCGAGCGTGCGCGCGCTCAAAAATTTATCTGCCGACAACGTCTCATACTGAGGCTTGGAGCGCTCATAGTACTTGCCCATGGAGTCCAGCAGGCTCCCTGGTCGCTTGGTCGCAGCAATAGGGCCAGTACCCTCGACCGGTGCGAGAGGAGTCTGCGTCTGAGGACCCAATGGGAACTCAGGAAGATACCTATGTCCGTCTGCCCAAGCATTGATAACAGTCGTGGCAGAAGATCCAGCGAGGAGAGTGCCATTGGTGCCGACGACAGCCTGTTGAACATTCGCAAGCTTGACATTTTCCAGATACAATGCACCTGCGCTGTCGGGCTGCGAGCTCTTGGTGCGGCCGGTGACGATGCCAATCGGTGTGTTGGTAATGGAGCTGTCGAGGAGCGTTATAGATCCAACAGTCAGCCCACCGTCCCCATTCAAAGACGACATGTTCAAGCCCACGCGGCAATTGTCAATCGAAACGCTCTTGTACGTCCAGCCCCAGTCCCAGAGCTGATTGATAGCTGTGTCAACGTTGCTGAAAGACAGATTGCGCATGGTGAACTGCTGGTTGCCAACGTTCAATCCATAATGGCCGCCCTGGAATACGAGGTCGTTCATGAAACCTCCTGAGCCCTCCTCGATGAAGAGGCCTTCGTGTTTCGTTCCGTTTCCGGCTGCCATTTTGAAGACGACATTCTGCAGAGATGTTGTCTGGGCAGTTGGCCAGTGGATACCCCTCAGGATGGTCTTCGATTTGACATTTGTCGAATCAAGAATAAGATTTCTAATCTGGCGGAAGAAAGTGTTCGTAGCACCGAAGCCCAAACCATTCGCGCCGTACGGGCTGGCATCGATTAGGTACCCGATATCATCCCCGTCCACGTTGACGGTCGAGAAGTTCGAGCTCGCCTTGATCGTCGGAAGGCAGTTCGGGTTTCCAATAATCTGCGTGTAGTAATAATCGATAATTGACTCTGAAATCAAATATGTCCCGCCCGGAAAGTACACCGTAGCTGGAGTCCTAGTGGTCGATTTGCAGACAGTCGGGGCGCATCTGTTTCCGTCGGTGATGGCCTTCTGAATGGCTTTCGTATCATCCGTCACCCCATCTCCAACGGCACCGTAATCCTTGACGTTTCTGAAAACCTGGTAGGAAGTGTCGTTGTTGAATGAGGCGAGTCCCTGATGCTTCACATGCTCCATCCAAAAGTGCGCATCACAATCACTAGAGCTCCCATTCCCTGGCGAGTACCCGCCCGTCGGCTGTGGCGTTGGCGCAATAGGCGTTGGCGTGTACACGCCGCCCGTTGCGTAGCCTCCACTCCTCCTTACAGGAGCCTCATGATAGTGATGGTGGAGTAAGGAGGCGCTCGTGCCCGATGAAAGAAGGAAAAATGTTGAAGCGAGCGACAGCATCCTGATGAAGGAAATATAGTAATCTAATCTCGAAGATGCAAAACGAAGGTGGCAGCGACTAGAAGACCGCTGGAGCGCGCAACGCGGTGGGCTGAGGCTCGGTATAAGTGCTTACGCCACTATGCGTAGGATCTGTGGATCGGCCGCTAGTTAAATGCAAGGTACGAATGTTGTAACTGGGATGATCGTAGTATTATTAAACAACGATCGCTGTAATTATCGTTAAGAGCTAGAAAAGCGGGCAAGCTAGAGGTGGGAGAGGTAGAAGTGATGAATATGGTCGTTCTTCTCTTTATGTGAGTCTGACTTCGCCTTGTCTCGCGCTGCGCAGCCAAAACGTTGAATAACCTACCTCTACAATACCGAAGTCCAGCGGCGTAGCAGTCGCTGGGCGGGCGTAACCACCCATAATCACTCGGTGACGCACAACATGCCCAGAAGGAGCAGACCTGTGTGGTACTGTTGAGTCCTGCACTTTGACTCCTAGCTGTATGCGCGCTGCAAGCCCTCGCTCGCAAACCTCGCATTGAGCGCGCCGTTAGTGGAGAGCTGAGCTCCAAATTGCGATCCGCGATATGCTGCCACGCGCTGCCCCAACTCAGCCACGAGTGTCATCGACACGGGCGAGAAAGTAAGGTTCAGGGGCTCGCAAACTAGAAGTTCCCGCTGGGGCTGATGCGCGTCTTGTTAACTATGCCCGATCGTGGCGGGCGCTCGTGGCACCACGAGGGTGATCGGAGGCTCGCGGAACAATCAAGCTGGATAAGTCCTATGGTTGGAATGCTATAAGCAGCTCAGGATAGAATGAGTCTCCGATGTGAAAACCACCAATAATGCAGTTGCAAACATTGGCAAGTTATGCAAAGATGGCCAGGGATCCTACAGGGCTCATGGGCCCACACGTGACCCATCGGCGCTCCAGTCCCTAACCTCCGACCTCCAAGCTTCCTCTCGCATCATCAACTTTTAACCACTGCAACCGCAAAGCAACAAACCAACGCCATCCCACGCCTCCACCCTCCCCCCAAACCACATCATCACCCCAAAAACCACAATGTTCGGAGGTACGCGCCCCATCCAGTCCTCCAGAGAGACGCCAACCTAACACCACCCAGCACCGCCGCAACCCTCCAAAGCCGAGCTCGAGCGCGCAGAAGCCCAGACCGCGAGCGACATCAAGTGGACGTTCGCCGGCGCCGTAGTGCTGTATTTCTGTACGTAACCACACGAACCTGTGCCGCGACAACCCGCTGCTTGACGAAGAAGCTTTGTGTCGAGGTGCGAGGTGGGCTAGGCTAACGCACGCGCAGCGCCGTTCGTCGTCGACTATGCGCGCAAGCTCGTTTGATCTAAGCAAACCGCTTCGAACCAAGCAGACTAGAAATTCTTAAGAGGAGGGGACTAAAATGCGCGTTTTTGCGTGAAAGGGCTGGCGTTGATAATGGCGGAAGGGATGAACTTTTACATCGATAGGGACGGATGGGAAGCACTGTACAACAGCAGAAATGTAACAACACCATGTATGTTGGAGCGGGCTACTGTTTTGGCATTGCTCTGAGCGACGAGCTCTGGTATCTACGGTACGGGTTATAGATGAAATCCCAACGTGCATTGCAGGCCGGTCAAGTTGCCTGCGGATATGCCGCGCTCTCCTATATTATGTCTTGGTGTAGGCGGTCTTCCAATGCCGTGCTTCAATCCCCGAATCTGACTCGTCCTACGCCCTTTTCGTTGCGACCATCGCGCCTCCGCCACTCTAGTCTTCTCGGCCGCGGCTCAACTCCACGCGGAGCAAGCTGATATCTTACATGCCTGTGCTCAGGCTTAAATTCACCTCCGGGACCTCACGGGCTTTGTCTGCTCCTTCGTCCAATCATTATATTCCTGCACCGTGTCGTCGACCATCTTCTTGAGGTGCTGCAATTGCTGGTCGTAGCCTTTGAGGATCTGTATATAATATTAGCATGTGAATTTTGTAAGATGTGACACCGACTCACCTTCTCTAACTGCACCTGGTCATCCTCCGATAGAGACCCCTCCTGCAAGCCTGCAGCGGCAGCATTGCTCTGCTTCTCTGTCTCATGCTGCAGCCGCTGTGCGTGCTCCCGCACGCTCGACATGCGCGCCCATATCTCCTCCTGCTTGCCGCCGTTGATGGGATCGAACGCCCGCTTCTCCAGCTCAGCAAGCTTCTTCTTTAGCTCCTCCTCGGTCTGGTCCATTGCGTAGCCCCGATTCCGCAGGATCTGCACCTTGGTCGCAAGGGCAAGTATCCGCTGGGTGTGTTCAATGTGCTTTTGCTTGGCTTTGTTGATCCGTGGCGCGGTCGTCAGCTCGTGCTGGTCCTTGATGACGCCGAGACAGTTGTTCATCTCGTGCAGCCGGCTTTGTAGTGTGTTCATAGCGAACACTTGGTACTGGATGCGCGCCGCCATCTCTTGGAATCCGCGCACTAGCAAGGGGATTGAGCCTTCGCTCGGCTTGTTGGCGAGTGCCTCCTCCCACTTCTTGTGGTCCTCGTGCGGTTGAGGACCGTAGAAGGGCGCCTCTTCTGGCTTGACGGAGTTGTAAAAGTAGTACTGAAAGGCGCATTCGGAGCTGTTTGAGTCCCACTTCTCAGCAATGGTCCTCATCTGGTCAACAACAGACTTCTCTCCTGTCATCTGTTAGTCAGGCCAAGATAAACATGATTTGTACTTACGCGCGCCGTTCAGAGAAGCACTCGCGAAGCGGTCGTGAACCGACTGCCTCAGCTGAGGGAGAGCTTGCTGCTGCTGTTGAATCTGCTGCTGCTGGTTCGGAAGGAGGGAAGGCGCAGGACGGACGAACCCGCCCATAACAGAGCCGCCCATGTTTTGTTGCTGCTGCTGCTGCTGCTGCTGCTGCTGCTGAGACTGGCCCATACCGCCAAACAGACCCCCTCCCGCATTTTGCTGGTTACTTTGCTGTTGCGATTGGTTTAAGCCGCCGAAAAGGCTGGTGGTGTTCGTGTTTTGCTGGTTGTTCGCTGTCGAGCCTCCGAAAAGGCTAGGCTGCTGCTGCTGCTGTTGCTGATTCTGGGTCTGCGAACTGCCAAAGAGCCCACCCGGCGGGGCAGTGGTCGCGCCGAACAAGGTTCCCGTCTTTCTCTCCGTCTGCGCGGCCTGCCCAAGATTGCCAAAGAGCGACATGGTGGAGATCGAGGTGCTGGCGGCGGGTGGGTACGTGTTTTCGTTTGTGTTTACAGGTTGCGCTGGCAGGCGCGGCGGGCGAGAGAGCGTGTGCGCACAGGAGCGCGCCGGGAGAATAGCGCACCGACTGCGCGAAAGGCTGGTGCTGTGCGGGGAGAAGAGTCGTGATGGCGTTTGCGATCTGTGTTGTTTTGCTTGTCAAAGGGAAAGCTGTCGAGCACAGCCAATTGCGGCTGGCGCCCATCCCTGCACGCCGCGCCAAGAGCCGGCGCAACTTCACCTCACGAAGCCGCCGGCGAGCTCCAACTCCAGACTCGAGGGCTCACCACACCCGCCATTGGCCCACCATGTCGTCCCGCCAGCCCAGGTGCGCACCCGCCGCAGCTCCCGCGCCGCTCTCCCGTGCTAATTGGCCCCAGATTCAACGACCAGGCCCTCATCGACACCACCCCTCTGCCCGACGACATCCCCAAGGTCAAGGAGCTCGGCGCCAGCTCTGCGCCCCTGCTCAGCGCCTCGTACTTCATCGGCGCCCGGTGCAAGGCCTACAACGATGACTACATGATGTGCAAGACCGAGGCCAACGGCCGGGGCGAGCTCGACTGCATGAAGGAGGGCCGCAAGGTGACGCGGTGCGCCGCGAGCGTGTATGCCTTTCTGGAGCCATGACCGGAGCATGAACAAGGCTAATATGCTGTGCAGCATCAAGGACCTCAACGAGCACTGCCTGGAGGAGTTCCGCAACCATTGGAAGTGCCTGGACAACCAGAACCACCAGCTGTGGAACTGCCGGTCACAGGAGCGGAGGCTGAACAGCTGCGTGTTCGACAAGCTAGTATGTCTCCTCACGCCGCTTCTGATTTGCCCATGTCTGACTCTGCCAGAAATTGGAGAAAGTGATACCAGATACGCCCAAGGGCGAGACACCCGTGCATCTGCGGGGCCGCCAGATCTTTTCGACCAACTGAGCTGTGTATACTATGTTAGGAACAGGAACACGAAACATGTAAATTCAACCTTCCAACAACCGCTGTGATGCATCTTCGTTTGCGTGGCGCGATGACTGTAGGTGCGTAGGGAGGGCTACGTGACACGATTTGGGTCGGCGTGGATTCATCGCCGTGACTTCTTTTCACGTCAATTATTTAGTGTTCTGACCTCGCGAACTATGCAGTTCGTCGCCTTCAGCCTTCTCACTGACTCCGCCACGGTGAGGGCTCGCATTCATCGCCTTTTGCTTTGCAGCCCGCGTTGAATGCCCCACCGTTCACTTCTCACCGTCGTTCGTCCAATTGTAGCCCCGGTCCTATTGTCGCTATTGTACTTTCACTCACTTCCCTTCATATTGCTCGTCAGCGCCGCCACCTCCGCAAACTTCCAGCCGTCAATTCTCGAAGCCCTTTAACAGTTCTGTCTTCGAGCCTCCAAAAGAGTCGCGTAATCAGCCAGCACGACTACTTCTTTGCCCATTTGCAACACCTCCTGCGTCTTCAGCACCCACAGCCATCCACACGAAGACCAGTTCATATCCGCGACGATGTCCGCCAATCCTTTCTCCGACACCCTCTACCGGGTCCCTAGCGACGAGCACATCACCAACAGCAAGGCGCTCGAGTGGCCATGCATCGTCCAAGTTCCCATCATCAAGGCTTCGGCGCCGGCGCCGGCCTCAGCGTGGTCCCCCTCCACCGCATCCTCCACCTCTGCCGATGCATCTCCCACCAGCATAACAGCCAGCACACCACCACCACCACCCTACACGGCCCTCTCCTGGAGCGCCGCCGACTTGAGTAAGTCCTGGCACCACTCCCATCCTTTCCACCTCTAACAACCCCCAGCCTACCTCCTCGCCATCCTCTACCCGACCCAGATGTCCTCAGCCAGCATGTCCATCTCAACCCACCCCACCGACCCTCTGGACCTCTTCTCTCCCGTCCAACTGGATCTGTTCCTGCACACCAAGTGCAGCCCCGCCCCCTCCTCCGCCTACGCGCCCACAGCACCCATCGGCACCGGCCGCCCCAACTCGCGCTTCCTGCTCGCCTCCGCATCGGGCACCACGGCGCCAGAGGCACGCAAGGCCCTCGCCCACCGCATCTTGCAGAACGCAGGCAAGGAAATGGTACTGGGCTGCGTTTCCGCTTACTACGCTCTCCTGACCGACGTGCACAGCTGCGACGCCGCAACGCTATCTTCGCTTCGGCGGGGGATTGAGGTGATGAAGGACGTGGGAGAGAAAGAGTGGGCGGGACGGAGGGAGCAGCTCAGGGCTGCGGGTGTTGATGGTGGGTGGGGTGTTGAGGCACGGTTGGAGGGGTGGTTGCTCGAGGGGGGTTGGTATGAGTTGGGATTCTGGGGCGGTTGTGTGCAGAGGGCTGGTGCCATGGGGATGGATGAAAGGGACGAGAGGGTGAAGATGTACGGTGGTGTCGTGGGATTTTTGGGCGTTGTTGGGGGTGAGGTGGGTTGGTGTTAAGGGGAGGTGAGAGGGGTGATGGTGGTTGGTGTGCGGCAGTCCTGGGGTCAGTTGAAAAGGCCTCTTTTGGCACGGTGTGCGTGGTTTGGCTTCGAGGGTATTCTAGCTGCGTGCATTTCGTCTTGATATCCTATCTTTGATTACCTCGACTTGTGCACTGCATATCATCCCAAGCTTGCTCGTCCCTCTCGTGACCAGAACACACAAAGGACATCAGGTGTACTGTCGCTATGAAATGCTCCATTCACTCCATAAGAACAACTGGGTAGGATTTTACGGCTCGACAAATGCTAGGAGGGAGGCTTCATGCCATAGCTGGCGCTGTATGAACTCAAAACACGTATAGAACTGAACTTTTATGCATTCTCAAAGTATCGTGTGGGTATCATGTCGTGTCCGCATCAACGCTATTTCTTCATCTCTGGTTCCTAGCCCCGAAGAGCCTCGCCCGCACATTGCCCCTCGCGGCGACAGGGCTGCTCACCAGGAACGAGCTTCCCTCCATCAGTGAACTGCTGCCTTCAAGCTCCACACTGAACCTGCTATTCCGCATCTGCTCCCTCGCCTGAAGTTGACCCATTGCACGAGCCTGGCCCACTGCGTGCGGTGGCTCCATGGTCATCGAAAGACCCTGGCCCATCATATGCGTCGGACCCATCGCATGAGCCTGCACCAAGCCACTCGTCCGCCTGATGCTCCTCACCCCAGAGCTTCTTCTACTCCGCGTACTCCTCACCGCGCCGGAACTCCTCCTGCTCCTCACTGACCGCCTACTCCCCGGCTGCACAAAAGACCCGTCATCCTCATCGCTCGAGTCAAGCAGCGACGAATCAGTATGCTCGTACTCCCCCGCCTCGGGCACGTCGTCGTCCAGATCGCGCTCCTCCAGCAGGCTCCCCTCCATGCTCGCCTCCTCCATCGCAAGCATCTGCCCCACGCGCCCCTCTATCATGCTTCCCTCGATAAAGCTGTCCTCGTTGAACGTGACATCCGCCCTGCCCTCCTCCCCACTTACACCACTCCCCTCCTCACTCTCGCTGCCCACATCGGACTCTTCTTCCGACGCACTCCTGCTCGCCTCCGCTTCGGGCACATCGTCGTCCAGATCCCTCTCCTCCTCGTCAATCTCGTCGCCCGCCGCCTCCCGCGCCTCCGCATTCGCCGCGTCCTGCTGCGCCGCCGCGAGATCCATCATCTGCTGCTCGCGCATGGCGAGGGCTTCCTGCTCCTTGATCTCCTTCTCCTCGTCGATCATGGCCTGGTATGTTTTCTGGATCCCCGGCGGCCGGATCCAGCTCGCGCCGAAGTGGCGGATGTTGGCATTGCGTTGTTTTTGCTTGTTTTCGTCGAGAAGAAGCTGCGTGAAGAGGGAGCGGGTGGGGGCGCCGTGGGAGGGGGCGTGGGTGTGGTTGCGGCGGCTGGGATGTGTTTGGGAGGGGGGGTCGGAGTCGTAGGTTTGGTGGGGCTTGCGGAGGGAGGGCCAGAGGGTGGCGTCCTGGGGGTGGTCAGTCGGTGGAATCAGGGTGTACCCATGTGGTCATCGTGGGTTGCGCGTGGTCGGGGACGCGACTGTCTGTCTCTGAAGTATGATACGAGGGGAAAAGAATGGCGTACCGCTCGTGGGGGAATCGTAGGCAACGACAGCATAGTCTCGAGATTCTCCTGTCTCTGAAGCTTGCTGTCGTAGTTTGTTTCGGTGCGCGATTCAGCCGCCGAGAGCGTCTCGTCCACAAACGCGAGTGTTAAGCCGCGGTACCTCCGCCATACGCTAGATCCGCCCCAATTGGCGCGAAGGGCCGGCACGTGACCGTCTCCGCGCCCAGGCACCTAGATCGCCGGGCAATTCTACGCGAGAACGCGGCGCCCAATGCGAGTGCTCCGCTGTCAACGTGCAGCAACCACCGCACTACGCGTGATCACACACCCTCACCATGGATAGTGCACCGAATAAACGCACGCCAGCCGGCCGCAATATAACGCCCGCCCAGGCCCTCGCAATCATGTTCCCTCCACCTCCCTCTGTTTCAAACATTCATCCTTCTGTCCCTCTCGCAACCATTACCAAATCCTTGCTTCCCTGAGTGAGTGAATTACACCCAGCCAGCAACTCCGCTCTCGACAACCGCGCCAGCACCTACGTAACTCTGCTCCTGCGCAACGCTTCGCACGTAAAAGAAACACACGTCTGAGCCAGTTGGGCGTTTTTGGCACTCGTACAGCCCTCACCTAAGCCACGCGGACAGTGCTCCGAGCCGGACCCGCGTACTGAGCTTACCTACCCGATCAGCGCAGAGGAGCAAAGGTACAAAGCTTGGCGTGAGTACATACGAACAAAAGTCCTGGTGAGACATACAAATACAAACATCATCGTTCAAGAGTAAGGCGTGTGTATCGTCCGACTTCATACGAAAGGAGTAACGCGCGACAACGCCACTGGAGCACGACATCGACTCTCTTTCCAACACCTGAACCCAGCACAGCACCACAGACTACCACAACAAAGATGAACATCCTCCTCGCCCTCCTCTTCTCCCTCTCCATCCTCGCCACCGACGCACAACCCCACCAAAGACTCACCACGCCGACCCCGGCAGTCTTTGAAAACGAAAAACCTCTCCACACCACAGCTCTCATGGCGGGCGCGGCGTGGAGCTCATCCCGGGACGCGGCGACGCGGACGACTGTGCCGGGGGCCAGGACGAGGCCGACGGTGGGCGTGTTGATGGAGCTTTGACGAAGGACGGTGGGAAGGGGTACCGGGCTGGTATGGCCCATTGAGATGGCGTTTAGAAATCAGGGCGGCCATGTCCTTGCGCAATGGGAGGCGCACTGTTCGGTATCATGGATGGATGGCTGGATGGATGGTTGGATACCCAATTTCGTGTGGCGATCAAGGGGCCACAGCGCGATGGAAGACTCGCATGAGTTTATGAATGTATTACTATTACGACGGTTTGTGTGTTTGGTGAAAGGTGTGATGCATACTCCTCCCCGTGCCAATGAAGGTGTGTATCGGCAGCGGATGGTGGGTTGGTATTGAATACGATGCACGGATGGCTGTGGTCACAAAGTGGTATGCCTATGCACTGACTTCGTATGTAGAGTTTCGTCCTCGAAGACACGTGCAAGCCTCTTATGCTTACAGAATATACCCGTACATTTATGAGTGAATCTACAGAACAAGACTTCGTTAATATCGTATCTATGCTACACCAACCTACGACTCCTCAAACGGACACCCCTTATCCGCCGACTGGCTCTTCGTCCTCTCCTTCACCACCTTCCACGTCAAATCCATCAGCCGATCCGCTAATGCATCATCATTCGCCTTGTCGCTGCCCTGCTCCACAATCGCCGGCGGCGCAATATACTGTCCGCTCTTCTCCGTCATCGTCGCCGCATACATGGTCGATACCGCGCCCTCAAATTGCGATTTCTTGAAGGGGTGCATGCCCACGCTCATCGCGAACCCGAAGAAGGGCCACGCCTCGTGCACGTGCTCCGTCGTTTGCCGCGTGTCTACGATGCCGGGGTGTGTTGCGTTAGCGAGGATGTTTGGGAATTCAGAGGTGAGGTTGCGCGCGAGGTATTTTGAGTAGAGGATGGATGCGAGTTTCGTGCGGCCGTATTGTGCCTGTGGGCCATAGTCCCGGTTGAGCTCCTCGATACTTTCGAATTGCGTTTCCTGGAGCGTCTGCTCGTGCAGGTTGGAGGCGATATTGACGATGCGGACGGTGTGACCGTTCTCCGCTGTCTTCTTGAGAACGGGCAGGAGATGTGAGGTCAGCACGACGTGGCCGATGTGGTTCGTCGCCATGTGGAGGTCGATGTCGCTTTTGTTTCGTTGCACGGTCATGATGCCTCGTGCGGCGCCGTTAATCAAGATGTCGATGCGGTCGGTCATGTCGCTTATTTTGAAAGCGACTTTGCCTGTCTGCTCCCAATCACTCAGGTCGCACTGGAGCCACTCGACCTTCTTGGCTGTTGCTGCGCCCATCTCCTTCTCGATGGCCTTGGTCGCGTCCTCTGCGATGCCCGGCTCTAGGCAGACGACAAAGAGCTTGGAAATGTTGTGGGTGAGGAGGGTATGTGTCACGCCATATCCTATGCCTTCTGAACCGCCCGTGACAATGGCAACCTTCCCCGTCAGATCAGGGACCTGCTCGAGCGAAAATTGGCTGTCTCCTGGGGCGAGGCCATGAGTGTCCATGGGTGTGTATTTGCCCAGATTCTCGGCGACGGTGTTCTTGATGGACTGCATGGTGGGTAGAGAGCTGTACAAACGTGGTTTGAAGGAAGCTCTTGTGCAGGAAAGTGGTTTGTGTGTAATTGTGAATACTGACAAGCGTAGGGTGGAGGAGAGGAGCTTCATTGATTGGTATCAATCAGGACTGATGTGATACGCTCGTAAATATGGGTGCAAAGAGCGCATTCGCGGCACCGATCTTATGCAGAAAAGGCGTAGTGTCATGACGTGTTGATGTGTACAGGTATGATCATGTTCGATTTGTCTTGAGGTCAGACGGTAATTCGCATTGAAGTGACCCATGATGACGCCAGTGTTTAGAAGCTATCCACAACGGGCTAGATACAAACACTTATCGATAAGAGCATACCAGCGTCGATGGTGGGATTGCTCTGGTAGCGACGTCTGTCAAGCGATTCTAGTTCAACATTCATACAGTGGTGACCGAAACCAGTTTCCGGTTCCTGCACTTCGGTTATTCTGAGCGCACGGCCGCTCAGAGAGGCGATTACTAGATACGTGCTAGCGCTGTGCATAGGGTGTATGTGGCTTAGAAAGTGGCGATATCGCGAGCTGTGCTACATGCACCTCTACCTACTCATCATCTATGCACCGTGAAACATCCACAACCCTCCAGCCGGTGCGGGCCTGCATCCTCCCAGCTAGCGGTGGCAAGTTGCGGCAAACTTAAGGCAGCGTCACCTTTTAGCAGAATGTGTAGACGGCAGTGGCGTTCAGTGTGGCGGTGGTTGATGCAAATACAATAGCAGAAACATCAAGAGCAAAACTTCTTATAGTAACGCCCTTGCTAAAACATCACAGATGTCTCATTCCTCCGCGGAACTCGAAAAGTCGTCTTCAGAAGGAATACAACATATCCCACAGAAACTTATTTTATCCCCTTCTTGGCCAGCAGCTATGATAGATGTGACTATTGAGGATGCAGTCGGGCGTAATTTCTGCTCTACTGAGAGCATTTGTTGGGTCCAGCCAAGGGCGCGATTGTCAGATGAGTTGCCGATTTCCCCTAATTCTGCGATGAGTTCTAGCAGGGCGTCAAGATTTGTGCGAATATAAGCCCCCTTTGAACCGTGTTGTCGAAGAAATTCATCTATGTCCTGAGCGGTCCTGCCTTTGAGAACCATAATTATCTCCATAAAGACGACACCCAGACTCCAAACATCAGACATTGTATTCCGAGGTTCGTATTGAGCGACCTCAGGCGCACAATATCTATATGATATTCCGTTCGGCATGCTCGTGGTCGTGCTGCCGTCTACATCAGTAAAGTCAAACGACAATCCAAAGTCTGTAAACAAGATACTCCCACGGTTTACGAGAATATTTCCTGGCTTAATGTCCTTGTGTCGAATCTTCTGCTCGTGTAGGAATTCGAGTGCCGTAGCTAGGCAACCAAAGAAGGTTCGTAGCTCAGGATGATTAGAAATGGTAGCTTGCTTCAAGTAGGCGCCCAGATCCATGTCGGCTACGGGTGACATTATTAGACCAATGTATTTCGGGTCCGTATAGCTTCCTACAAACTCTACGATATGGTGATGCTTTAGGCGCTTTAGGATCTGGATCTCGGCGACGAATTGCTTTATATATTCCTTTCGTGGTCCCGTAAAGGCAGTACCCCGAAGTACCCGCTTCCTTGCATACTCTTTGAAGCTGATTTGGCTGAGGACTTTGTCGACCTGGCCAAATCCACCACTGCCTAAGATTCCTCTAGGGTCAAAGGGAACCGGTTCTCCTTTCTCGAAATGGCAATGTTGCCCGTTTCCCCCTTTTTCAAGATCCATCGACTTTGTCAGTACTAGGCTCTGAGTTCTGACAAATGACGATTTAACACTTGGGAGTAAACAACTTGGAAGATTGCGTTCGGTAACAGGAAACCAGTAGTCAGAGAATCCGATGTCGATCAGCCTATCGAGCATGTCCAGGTGGCCGATTATGCGGAGGATGATATATGTACGTGGACAGTTACTCCAATGCTGATTTAAGTGCTTCACCAGCTCTGAGATTTCGATGATTTCAGAGTCAGTATACGGTCCTCGGCTACCTTGCCCTTGTGGGAAGAAGTTGCTTATTCGACTGGCCAGGACTTGCTGGGCGGTTATGTTGGCCGGTAAGGGTGGAGATGAGTTCAAGTGCAATTCTTGTAACAAGCGCATGCTTGCAAGCGTATCTTCATGGTCTGGCCCAAGTGTCCGCTCCCGCCCGCGCACGGCTTGTTGAAGTACTTCCTTAGCCTTACTGTACTTCTTCTGATTGTACAGTGCTAGCCCTAGTAGGTGCTTGCTATAGAGCGTTTCTTCATGCTCTTGTCCAAATGTCTGTTCTTGTCCGTACACAGCTCGCCAAAGAATCTCCTCGGCCTCGTCGTACTTTTTCTGCTTATAGATTGCTTGTCCCAGCCAGTGCATGCTGTAGAGCGTGTCTGCATGTTCGTATCCAAGTATCTTCTCCCGTCCGCGTACGGCTTGTTGAAGCACCTCCTCAGCTTCGCTACACTTATTCTGCTCGTAGAGTGCTAAGCCAAGCCAGTACTTACTACTAAGCGTTTCCTCATGGTCTTGTCTAAGTATCTGCTCTCGGCAACGTACGACTTGTCGAAGCACCTCCCCAGCCTCACTGTACTTACCCTGCTGGCAAAATGCCAATCCTAGCCAGTATTTGCTATAGAGCGTTTCTTCATGTTCTCGTCCAAGTGTCCGCTCCCGCCCATTCGTGGTTTGTTGAAATACTTTCTCAGCCTCACCGTACTTGTCCTGCTTGTAGGTTGCTAGCCCTAGCCAGTGCGTGCTATAAAGCGTCGTTTCATCGTATTGTCCAAGTATCCTCTCCAGCCCACGCACAGCTTGTTGAAGCACCTCTTCAGCTTCGCTGTACTTGTTCTGCTGGTAGAGTACTACTCCTATCCAGTGCTTGCTGCTAAGCGTTTCTTCATAGTCTTGTCCAAGTGTTTGCTCTCGACTGCGCCCAACTTGTCGCAGTATCTCCTCAGCCTCGCTGCATTTGTCCTGCTGGCATAATGCCAACCCTAGCCAGTATTTGCTGTTAAGTGTTTCTTCATGTTCTTGTCCTAGTGTCCGCTCCCGCCCGCGCACTACTTGTCGAAGAATCTCCTCAGCCTTTCTATACTTGTTCTGCTCGTAGAGCGCTAGTCCTCGCCTGTGCTTGCTGTTGAGCGGATCTTTGTAGTCTTGTCTAAGTGTGCGCTTCTGCCTGCGCATGGCTTGTTGAAGCAGATCGTTGATAGCTTAGAATATATCGGACGATGGGGTCGTATGAATTTGGAGAGTCCGGCAGTCTTCGGGTCCGCTACTATTTGGGAAAGGTGCTTGAGTTACTCTCCTGAGGACTAGGTTCGGACACAAACTTATCAAAATGAGAGCAATATTTCGTTGTCTTTCCTGGCTCTTGGATGTCTTGGATAGGTGTATAATTGCACTTAAGACGTTGCTCCTGCTCCGATCCCATCAGGCTGGAAAGACAGCTGCGGCTGAGCGGTATGAGCCCGTGTTCGGTTATGGAAGTACGTTTTTCCAGGATTGACTTGTGAACATTCTAGAGCTAAAGTATAAATGCCACATTTATGCTTGATTCATTTTGCCGCCTACTAGCAGGGAGGGCGGCCGACTGCTCCAGTATACACCTTGTAAATTGCTGGATAGGCTGGTTTGCATGCGGAGAGGTGATCAGCCTCAGGTGTTGGGTCTAATTTTAGAAGTGTTGTCTGGCGTATGTGCGGCCGATACGAATATGCGGCCGTGGAACGGTATGTGTACAGATCTGAGCGAGTCTCTCTCGCATCTGCTCCAAGTTGACGGGCGCGGAGACTTGCAGCCGGGCGTCCGTAAATACCCAGACGCTTTCATAATACATCAATCGATCAACCATATTGCTTTTACACCAGCCGGGGGTTCCACTTGAATGTTTCTACTTGCTTTTCTCCAAAACTGGACACGCGAGCACTAGCAAGAGTAAGAGACAAAACCTGAGTTCGAAGAAATTTGGTCGATTAAAGCATTAAACACGATCAATCAAGAAGAGTCCTGTCAACCCGCTCAAAATGTATCTCTCCAGGAGAGTACCCACAACCTGTCAAGTCATATCTTGGTAGACGAAAGTCTCAACAAGTCCGCTTGCATTTTCGCTGCGTCAATGTACAAGCTCGCGCCCTTCGCACGCGGTCAAAACGTCTAGTACTCCGCCTCAACGCCCTCATCGCCCTCGAGACTATCGGCGGCGACCTCCTCGTAATCACGCTCGAGAGCAGCCAAGTCCTCACGTGCCTCAGAGAACTCACCCTCCTCCATACCCTCACCGACATACCAGTGGACGAAAGCACGCTTGGAGTACATGAGATCGAACTTGTGCGAAAGCGCGCTCCATGCCTCGGCGATGGCGGTCGTGTTGGAAAGCATGCACACGGCACGGTTGACCTTGGCCAAGTCGCCGTTGGGGACGGTCTGCGGGGGCTGGTAGCAGATACCGACCTTGAAACCGGTCGGGCACCAGTCGACGAACTGGATGGTGCGCTTGGTCTTGAGATGGGCAATGGCATCGTGAGTGCTCTTGGTGACAACGTCGCCACGGTACAGAAGGCAGGTAGCCATGTACTTTCCGTTGCGTGGGTCGCACTTGACCATCTGGTGGTTGGGCTCGAAGCAGGCGTTGGTGATCTCCATGACGGAGTTGGCCTCGTGGGCGGCCTTCGCGGCGGAGATGACCGGGGAGTAGGCGACGAGAGGGAAGTGGATACGCGGGTACGGCACCAAGTTGGTCTGGAACTCGTTGAGGTCGACGTTCAGGGAACCATCAAATCGGAGCGAGGCGGTGATCGAAGAGACAACTGTATCTCGTTAGCACATGTGCAGGTCACGCCGGTTTCCAACATACCCTGTGCGATCAAGCGGTTGAGGTTCTCGTAGTTGGGACGCTCAATGCCCAAGTTACGGCGGCAAATGTCGTAGATAGCTTCGTTATCGACCATGAAGGAGCAGTCAGAGTGCTCCAGGGTGGTGTGAGTTGTGAGAATGGAGTTGTAAGGCTCGACCACTGAGGTGGCGACCTGCGGTGCCGGGTAGACACAGAACTCCAGCTTGCACTTCTTGCCATAGTCGACTGACAAACGCTCCATCAACAGGGCACCGAAACCGGAACCAGTTCCACCACCGAAGGAGTGGAAAACGAGGAAACCCTGGAGACCAGAGCAGTTGTCAGCAACGCGGCGGACCTTGTCAAGGACCTGGTCGATGAGCTCCTTTCCGACGGTGTAGTGGCCACGAGCGTAGTTGTTTGAGGCATCCTCCTTTCCAGTGATCATCTGCTCGGGATGGAACAGGGAGCGGTATGTGCCGGTGCGGACCTCATCGACGACGTTGGGCTCGAGATCGCAGTAGATGGTGCGAGGGACGTACTTTCCCTGGCCTGCATCGTGTTAGGGTGCGCGATTTTCTGGATCCCACCATTGTAGCTCACCAGTCTCGGAGAAGAAGGTGCTGAAGCCATGGTCCTCCTCCTCAGCTTTGCGTTCCTCGGTGAGGTAACCGTCGGGCTAGAAAAAAATTGTCAGTTGAGGTCGTGTACGGGTGGCGAGCTATACTGACCTGGATACCGTGCTCGAGGCAGTAGAGCTGATTTGTCACGTTAGCACCATGTCCTGCCAGCGAAGCACCCCTAGGCAGCCCTTTATGCGAAATTCGATCGGAGCGAGGGCTGCACAGCGGGAACTCGGGCAAAACTCACCTCCCAGCACGAGTTTGCGATCTGGCAACCGGCCTGGCCGACTGCACGCGTAAAGGTCAGCGTCAACAAATACAGACTAGGGACCCCTCCAGAAGGCGGTCAAGACGCGGAAGACGCGTGCAGGGGGCAAATGGACGTACCGTTCAAGCTGATGACTTCTCTCATGGTGGGCTGTTCTGGGTAGGAATTGGGTATCTGGGTGGGCGCTTCGATGGAATTACCGGGACCGTAAGGGAGAGGCGCGGAGTGGAGAGAGGGGGAGAGGTGTTGTTGCCGCGAACTTTTAGCAGCCCGGCTAAGGCTAGCGAGTAAACAAGGAAGGTGCGTCCGTGCACCCGTTAGGCGGCAGCTGTGAACCCTGGATCTCTCCACCATTGCCGTGCATCGCGCGTTGATATGAGAGCATTGCGGGCCGCGCGACTGTACATGCATCGTTCCGACAGAGGATGAGGGCCCGTCTGCCACCACCGCGTCTTCCCATTGCCTGCGCCCGCCAAAGATGCGCGCCATTGCCTGGCTGCTCTGCACCCTTGGCTCTATCTTGAGAGTGTGCGCCAACGTCGAGAAGACGATATTCCTCGGCCCAAGTGCAATAGTCCTCCCCAATGCTCGCCCCGGCCTAGACGAACTGCACGTGGACACGCTCGAACCGGCCGAGCACCCCATCCTAGCGACGCAGCTCTCCGTCAAATTCCCCACAGGATCAACACCCCGCGGTGTCGACTCTTGGTACCTTCTACGCGGCCTTGAAGAGGGACGCAGGTACGAGGTGCGCATCTGCTGGCCAGCATTTGTGAGTCCCAGACAGTCTCATCGGTTTTGCTTCCTCTATCCGCTTCGCTGAACCGATTGACCCGCGCGGCTTGGTTTGCCTTCTAACTGAGTCCCAGCAACCCACCGACTTCTGGCTAGACACATTTCCACTCACCCACGTCTTCGACACGCCAGAGCTGATATCCTCGCTCGCCGGGTACAGTGACCGAGCGCGGATATCGCCGCCACAGAAGCTGGGTTACACAGCAGGCGATTCCTCAACAGCTCAGTCGGTGCTATTCCTACGCGTCCAGGCTGCAGCGTCATACTATTCCACGAATAAGACGTTGATGGAACATCCTCCTCTTGTGGACGTCGACATCATCCTTGACCCGTTCATACTCAACGTCCTGCCCCGCTCGCTCGGGCCCACCGCCATATACATCACTGTCGTAGCAGTCGCTGCCTGGTTCATATCGGGGTACACATATCGTTGGATTATCGCTGTCTCGAAAGAGTACGAGGAGAAAGGCCACAAGGAGTGAGCTCTGGCAGCATGTCCGCAGCCGCTAGAGCCCCTCCGACTCCAGTGAGTCCTATACCAAGACCGCAATTCGTTCTGAGAGTATGCGAAGGAACAATGTCTAACATGCTCTTCACGATCAGCCACCACCACCACCTCCTCCTCCTCGTCCACCGCCGCCGGCTCCGCCGTTTGGCGGTCTCCCAACAGAGCTGCTTCTAAACATCATCGAGCTCCTCAGCCGCGATGTACGTTCGCCCAACCATACTTCATACCGTCTCGCTAACCGCTCAGGACTACATAAACTTCGCCATGGCAATCTACCCCATTCTCCGCTCCTATGGCCTCGTGCCCGTCCTCACACCAGAGATTTACCAGAGCCTCACACAACAAGCCCCAAATATGAACTCTCAGCGCCGGGACCAGCGCGAGAACAGCGAGGGATCTTTGCGGCTGCCCATCGAGCTGAACGATGAGATTATGGACTATTTGAATCCGGAAGATCGTATAGCGTGGATATTCTCGCATCGGGAGCTGTTTCGGAGCTACTTCGACGGGCTGAGCGAGGAGACGAGAAAGTCGCTGTCGGAGAGTGTGTGCAAGGGGCCGAGTGATGGGAAGGACAAGCGACGGGACCAAGGTCCTAAACGCGATAAGAAGTAGAGAGTGAGATAAGATACCCAATCGATTTTTGATTACTGCCATGCATCGAAGACGCGTTGTATCTGATGTTTAGCGATTGATGAGCGGACGTGACTCCCCGATCCATCCACAGGGACTGACACAGAATATCGGAGTTGTGGTGCACAGCCCATCCTGTGGTAACTCGCTCTATAATACAATGGTAAGATCGTAATTTCATAGTCCACCCTGGGTTCTCACAGCAGCGCGAGGACAATCGTGTAACGGTACCGCTCCACTGGGACACACGTGGCCCAACAACCGCAAGATGATGATAATTGTCGCTGCAAACTATGCCATCAGATCCATGGAGGAATACTGTACTAGCACGGTAGCGGGCATGTGACCTCAACGTCTCTAGGCTGCACTCATCTATAAAAGGCGTACTATGGACAGCTCTTCAAGAACACACCTATGCGTTCAAAAAGCCCAGTCCTAAAAAAGGTATCTATTCAACGTCATGGGCCGGTCCTCTGAAACCCTTACAACGACGGAGCCATGGTGTGGCGTCCATCTCCAAATCAAAGGCGAGGTTCTCTATGTCTGTCTGCGCGAGCGAGCACTCCTAGGCCTCGATTCCTCCAAGACTATAGCACGAGCGAAGAATGTCTGTTCCGTCGAGCAGCATACCTACACATCAAACATCACAAACCAAAATCGACGAGCAAATCGTGATGGGTGGACCTTACTCCAAATCATCAAGGACCGTGGTTATATGCCGGGCAGCGCTGGTCCTCAAAATGCATTCTGTCAGCATTCATGTCTGCTCGCGCGAGGAGCATCTTTTGCTTCAACATAGCACCTCCACATCTAAATGATACCGGATTAACGATGTCCCAAATCAGGAAGGCGAGTTCGGTCAGGCTACCACTGTGCATGTGGAGGAGAAGCTTGCTCCATACAAAGAGGGAGATGATGACCTACCCACTCAGTATCAAAGACTGTGCGCTCATCTCCAAGTTCTTCAAATCCCTTTCCTAGAAACAATGTCTGCTTGGGTTCCTTCATGCCTTCGTCAAATTCAAATAGAAGGTCTCAGGTTCCTGACGCTCGTCGAAAGCGCGCTTTGTCACAACATACTCATATAATCCATCCAGGCACGGCAATAACTGTTTTGTCCCCTCTGGTATTCACCCGGCACTATTTGGCACGATTCGACGTTAATTGGCACCAATCGGCACCAAATATCACAATACCACCTAAGAAGTGGAGCATCCGCGACTATTAGGATAATAACATCAAAACTAATGGGGTCATAACTAAGTGGCCTTGTATCGGCTACATTCTTCTTATGGCGGATTATGGTGCTATCATCTCAGGCCGCCACTATGTGTGTGAAGCACCGTCTACAAGCAGCGTGGCTGGCTTCCATGCTTTCGACATTCCCTACGCAACGAAGCCACGAGTTTTTATATCTGCGTTCGGGAAAGCGCTGGACAAGGACTCTCGGAGGTGATCTTGTGACTCAGGGTTGTCGCTCAGGTACTTGAGAGCCCATGTGATCGAAGAAGTAGTTGTCTCTTGGAGCACTGTCTACCTAGTCCCTAGACTCGGCGATACACTTGTCTAGTATAATATGGGCAGTATGCCAGTGGGCGGCAAAGCCAAGTGTATATCTGCGGACTTACGCATTACATGGCCCAATCTAGGCAGAGGAAAAGTGTGCCCAACATATTGTAGAATCTGGCATCATTCACTTCGCGAATTGAATCGTCCTAAATCCTCTTCCTCTTATCGCTTCGGGCTTTGCAGCTTTTCCATCTTGGCGTCCAGCAACCCCAGCTCAGTCCTACAACACATCTTCCAAATTCCATCCGGGGTCGCATGCTTGATGTCGTCCTGAGCTTCGAATGCATGGCATGAGCCAGCAAGCTTCATCTTCCTTTCCCAGACATCTGCCAGCTTATTTGCGACCTCAAGAAAACACGGCACTGCAACCTTATCCAAAAACTTCGGGTTCAAGATGATATTGCAAAGCCGTAGCTGCTGTTTGAGTCGCGAGTCTCTCGACTTCAGGCCAATGATTGCTCCCGGTGCGAGCAAACCGAACCACGTATGCATGAGATCCGCTCTATCAAGTTAGGCGACTCGCTTCGTGGCGATATCCTCGATCTCTGACAAATCCGCGAGAAGCAGCACAGGATGAGTTGTCGAGAAGAACGGGATGAACAGCTTCACGAGCGCAGATTGTGTTGCAGGCTTTGTTCTGTTTCGAGAGCCAGGAGAACACTTCACCGGTACGCCAGGAGTAGATGCCGAGATTTGCGAGTTCGCCCATGGCATGCAGTAGGAGAGGGGTTTGTATGGGACTCTGGCAATTGCCCTTGGGGATGGAAGAGCTCGGGTAATGAGCCAGGGTATTCCGAGAGAAAAGGTGCCAATGAAAAGGACTGCAAAAGACATTGACGAAGACGAGGCTTGGATGGAAGATAACTAAAGCAAGAACTCATCGACAGAGTTTCATGCCAAATACGAGAGGGTATTAAAACTTAGCTAGCTTATTTGCAGATTGCGCTTGTGCAAAGCGCCCGTGTTCAACAGAGAGCTTCCAGGTAATTGGGCTACCCTTCGCGTAGACTAGTCACAACAGAAACGATGCGATAAGTCCTGTGCTGTCAAGACTTATGGACGCCTCGATCTCGTCTGTGCAACGCTCTTCACTATTGTAGCAGGAGTTGTGAAAGGCTGCTGTTAGTACTCATTGCTGCTACGTCGCATTGTCAAAGACGATCGCTCAAAACTCCGGATTTGACCGGACTCAATTAGTCGCTCTATCTCAATAGTGCGAACCCCATGGATTTACACCACGCCTCTCTCCACAAAAAGCAGAAGAGTCATTAAACGAGAAATGAGAGCAAATTTTTTACTATGATTTTCTCATCCAGTTCTCTGAATATATATATATATATATATATATTAGCACAATGACTCGAAACAGCTCTTCCTTCAGCTAATAGTGTTTACTACATCTTGGACTGGGTTTACAAGGCGGGATAGAATAGTTAGGAAAATTAAGAACGTTTGAGATGTTTCATGAATTGCTTAGAGTCCAGAGACCCAACAGAAACGTACTATCTTAGTTGCCCCAGAAGATGAAGCGTCCTTGACGACAAACGCATTCCATCCTAATTTTGTCCAAATCCTTCAGGACATCAAATTTGGCGAATTTTAGTCCACTAAATTGTATGACTACCTAGACATAATCAAGTGTCTCTTAATTTTGTCGCCACCGCCACCCAACTCCAGACTCAAGCTTCCGCCCGCTGAACTTAAGTCCGTGGGATCCACCGGCCGCGGCTATGCTCGACTTATATATCCTGCACGAGCGCAGCTGACAGTCTGCATCTTGCGGCGGTGTTACGCACCATTGTCGGCCGCGGATGCTGTTGGTCATGTCCGAAATGTAACTTTTGTCAGCCCCCGGAACATCAATTCAGGGTCCCCTGCTGTAACTTCCAGGCCTCATGTCTTGTGTTAGTTTTGACTTAGTGTCGCGTTCAAGATGTTCGGTGAGAGTAGCGGCTTTCGGTCCATGCTGAGGCAGCGAGGATATTTTAGAGACTACCCATGGAGCCCCTCATCTATAAATTTTAGAGAACTCTGTGATATTATTTGGTCTATTTCAGATTGAAAGCCCAATTTTTAGTATACTATAGTATTGGGCCTGTCCAGATAGTCGGGAGCACAGAGTATGCTGGGTACTACGGTAAGCACGAACAACCGCAATGGGCATAAGTTGTAGTGACTAGCGGAACAAAGGAACACCATCCCCAATATCACTGAATCCTCAACTGAACTACCGGACCATGAAGTGGAAGTGTCTGTAGTTCAACCACTTTCCTCATGCTCGCCGGCATCCTCCAGTTCTAGTGAACCCGCCAGAGTACATCCATGAGACTTCGTCAATTGATTCTAGAGCATTTTCGTGCACTGATACGAAAAAGTTCAAAAGATTAAAAAAAATAAAGAATCTGCGGATGCAATGTGGAGAAGTCCTTCGTCTTCTGGCCAAACCACCACGTACGCCAAGAGTCTGAAAGGAATTTCGATTCAAACCCCATAGCATCACCAGAAGCCTTCTTTGAGATAGTTTATTCCTTTGTTTCACCCTTGTGAGAGGGAACCTTTGGAATAAAAACGAGTGCCAACAGTACAATGACCGAGATCACTGCACTCGAGACATCAAGGGCTCATCGCGCGATTTGAAATTACGAGCAGTCAACATAGATTAGAAGTAAATGAATTCGTCATAAACGCAGTCTGCAAGCTCAGCGCCAGGCACATAAGGTAGCGTGCTCGTTTCCTTAGTTGTGGACCAAGGACGAGCTCCAGCGCCGACCAGTAGGGCATTTTCGACCTTCTCCAACCCACACTCTAGATTTTGGGGGATTCTCAAAACATCACATGAGTTTATTGGAATTTTTTTTTTTTCAAATGTGAGGACCCTAAGAAGATGTGAAGAGCGAGACTACATAAACCCAGAAGGTGTTGATATGTCCCACCGCCACGCTAGAGTATGTTCGGGCTGGCTACAAACATGACGCCTAACGCCTACACGGGCATCACCGTGTTTTGAGTAATCGGAGAAGAGCATGCTCCTGCGGCCATGATTTTATTGTAATTGTGTTTTACACTACCTCGGCTCACATGTCGTGAATGTGTGGGAGATTCTCAACACTCTCATGTTCTTGATATTCGCCCATTTTAGTCGTAAGAAGTGGAATATCCTCGGATGTGAGGAGAAGAAAATTTCATTCTCCGGGCAGAGTTTTATACATCCACCGTCAGGCCGAAGTGGCTTCAGAGAGCGTAATAGTACTGTACGACAAATACATTCAGGCCAGCGCCTTTTTATTTCCGTGGGCTTGAGAGTGAAGGAAAGAAACGCGATCATGCGCCAGGAGCGTAGTGAATTCTGACCAGCACAATGCCCACAACTTACGTACTCGTCATTTTTGGATTTTTCCACCGGTTGATGAGTTTAGTCCGTCGGTGAAAAAAAGCGAGAGCCACGCAGACCAGGCAAAGTTCCAGACACATGCAGCGCGTTGAGTTTGTCTTGGAATGACATACTGGCTACCACAGCACCCATTTCGCTGGGTTTCATGCTTTTGGGACCATCTTCCTGTGGTTGAGCATCTCCCTTTTTGAACAAAATCCCACGACTCCACTGGACCGTGCTTGTAATTCAAGCCATAGTCGAAGACGGTCGAGAGTGGCCCCGGACAGTAGGCACAGTGAGAATGGTAGTGTCCAGGGCGAGTTTCTAGACCACTTTCTCAAGACTGTGTATACACTTGCTCCCTAGACACTCTCCCATCATGGTCCCTTCTTCGTCTTTTTCGTCGAGAAATATCGAGGGATAATTTAGAAGTGGAGGGGACCGCAGAGCACAACGGCCACGGCGTTGGCTTTGCATAGTGTTGAGATGACCTCCCCATCGCGTTTTCCCGAGGAAGTTTCTGAACACCTTCTCATGCATATCAGTCTATGATATTTTTGGCCCTCATTGTCAGTTACTGCAAATAAAAAGTCCTTCACGCCCAACACGGTACACATTGTTGCGTCGCCGATCAAGGGCCCAGCAACCATATAGTGGGGGCGGGTATATTTTTTATCCTCTTCCCACACATGTCCTTTTGTAGTGATTGCTTCTGAATTCTACCATGAACAATTCAGCTTTTTAATGTTTGTCGGCCCGTCAAGGTCGTAGCAGGTCTGATGCGGAGAACAAGTCTAGAAAGTGGACGAGCGGTATATATACCTGCGGGCAGACACAATGGACCAGCGCAGACGACTACTCTTTCTAGACTAGTTCTCTCTCACATGTAGTCATGCAGTTCTAATATTTTTAAATCTTCCCATGGTCACACCGTCAGATCGATTTTGGTCGCTCTTGAACATCGTCCAGCGTGGGGAAAAAGTCCAGCAGGTCGACGGGCGGTCCATATAGCTTTATGGCAGACAAAGAGCCCAGCGACAATGCCTTCGCTTATTGCTCATTTTAGACCACTTCCCACATGTCTTGGGTGGGTCGGTCTTTTTCAAATTCTCCAATAAAGACGCCGTCAGGCTAATTTTAGTCAAAGTTAACAGTCAGAAAGCGGTATATATACCCGCGTGGTGGACGGAGAGAACAGCAGCTTTATCGTTCCTTCTTTGAATTCTTCCTATAAACAGGTAGGTTGCGTACTTTTAGTCCCCAAAACCTACGAAGAAGTAGTGAAGATCCAGTTCGGTAGGTCTAGCAGCGACATGCATTCAGGTGGTAGGATGCTGTGGGAGGAGGAGCACAGGGGCCATCACCCACGCACACTTTTCGTTAAACCACCTCCCAAATATGGCCGTGCGTCGTCCGTGTTTGAACACTCCCCCATACGTGCTCACTGCAGAAACTTTTGGTCCCCAAGTCCAGCCAAGGTGTCGTGCGAAGGAACATGACCAGTTGGCCAGACAATAGTACATATGCCAGCCTCGGGTTCACGAAGAAGACAGCACCCTTCAATTCCTTGATGCAGGGATCTTAGACCACCTCTCCATGTTGAAGCTGTACCAGCCGTTTTAAACAACCCCCAACACCCCACGCTTGTTTGATTCTTAGTCCCCAAGCCCAAGCCAGCGTAGTGTAAGGATGATCCTCACTCCAACCCAGCAGCACTTATATGTCCCACTTCCTACTCAACCATCTTCAGAGGACCGACGCCTTAGACTCGTAGGCGGTTTTCCACCTTATCACGCTTCTGAATCCTCCAATGACGCTATGCGTAGGTTTGTGAGCAGGTTTGAGCGGATTAACATACGAGAGGTTATGTGGTCATAAAGATGCGGTTCGTCAGTGTCACTATGAGTTGTTGCTTGAGGTTTACTTTGCGTCGGTGAATGTCTTGTTACGTATTACTGCCCACCTCTGGGCTCATGCGCACGTTAGCCTATCACTCGCATGCAAACGTCGACTTGAAAGAGGGTAGAGCCCGTAGATTGGAGAGCATAGCACTGCTATTGGTACACTGGCCATCTGCCGCGTAAAGGGAGATCGGAGCAGTAGCGCACAACGCACATAAGGATAAGCAAAACTGGAAAGCGTCTAAGATTCTGTACACAGGCGGACTAATGACACAGTGCCAGCCCAGCGGCGGCTCTTTTCCCCCGAGCTCGCAGCCCTCTTGATTCGATGTATAGCACACAAACAGTACCAAACGGAAAGTCGACCCAAGGAAAAGAGGTATAGGTGTTGGTAGTGTTTGTATGACGCAATCATGCCGTACAACGTTTACTCGTCGTTGAGCTTCTCGCGCGCGGGGAGGTGTTTCTCCGACTTGCTCTGGACCATCATGCCGGGCTTGAACGTAATGGGCTCGGTTCCTTGTGCCTGTATGGGTTGGTATCAGCGCGGATTCGCGTGGAAAAAGCAACGGCGCGCTTATCGCGCACGCCCAACGTACCTTCATGTACTCCTCGGTAGCCTCCTGCCACTCCTTGGTCATGGTGCGCGGTCGTACGGGGTTGGCGAAGAGACGGGTGATGGAGAAGACACCAACGGCAGCAGCGATGACACCGGCAGCGAGGAAGAAGACCTTGCGGCCCTCATCCGGGGGCGGGGGTCGGCGGGGGCCGTGGGGACCGAAAGCGATGTAGTATGCTGTGCAAATGAAGTCAGTATCAGGTGTCTGTAGGCAGTCGAGGTGCCTGGCCCAGGCCGGCACAAAGTCCCTCGGCACGTAACCGGAGATCGCGATATTGTCCAGGCTGCCGTTCCACCTGTTCCAGCGATTCATGCCGACTCCAATGCCCGATTGAGAGAAATTGAGGAGTGTACGCACCGGCCTTCTTCTCCTGGAGCGTCATCTCCTTCCAGTCCACCTTCATGCGGTCACGAAGCGACATCCACAGGTCAGCCTGCTCCTGAGGGGGCATGTCCTCCCATCGCTTCTCGATGTTGGCGAGGGTCGGGTTGGAGATGGCGTGTGCCTGGCGGGTCTGGAGGCACACGGCGGGCGCGGCGCGGATAGCTTGACGTGTCGCTGGGACCATGGAGCTCCTCGAGGCCCGGGCGACGGAGGAGGCGAGCATGGCGGCGGGTAGAGTGGAGATTGGTGCTATATTACGAAAGGAAAGGAAGCTGATTCCCGTCGAGGGAAGCTCTATCGCCAATGGGTTGCGTTGGTGGTGGTGGTGATGACGGTGGGACCAGGGGACTGGACGTGAGGTTTTGCGGCAGCAGAAGCTTGGCGGTGGTACGATGATCAGTCAGCTCCTGATTGGACCACCGCGACAGCTTGTCGATGTCACAGCACAGCATTATGAGCAGAGCTTTGAGCGCGCCAATGTGGGCAGTAGAGCTGCGGGTAGACTCTTTGAATACAGTGGTACAGTTTTACTGTCCTCCTGCGCGATGCGAAGATGCGAGGCCCGTCCGTGTTGCAGCCGACACCTGCAACCACAGGAGCTCTTTCTCGCCTCACACCGGGACGGCCGGTAGTACCTGCCATACAGGCACTGTGCACCCTCGAGGCCAAAACATCAATCATTGCATGGTAGACCTCCAAGCTCCCAGCAGCGTCGACCTTGTCTGTGTGCGATCGGGCCGGCTCTCGACGGGCCACCGGCTATCGCGAGCGGCCACAGTGCGCGCTCGAGCTTCCTCAGCCCTACGAAGCTTCCGTTTGGAGACTGACATTTTTTCCCTGCCCCTCGCTGTCGCATGCAGGTACTTTGAGCTCTGGACGCCCGCCGGCGTGGCACAGAAGGTGGGCTCCAAAGTGCTTTTTAGCTAATCGCTGCTTAGTCTCGTCCGCGGACGCGGACACGCCAGACGCCTCATGGCGCGCCGTCCTCAACACCTGCGGCTCCTCTCTACAGTTCCATCTGGTGGGTGTTGGCTGGCCGTGGCGGTACCCGCCTGTTGGCACGTTACACAAAGACTCGCCTCCCCGCGCTCCGCTGCTGCATAATACCACACTGTCATATTCTTATCACACCGCGTCTCAGCAAAGTGAGCCTGCCCATGACCAATGCTGCTGAGACATGTGCGGTCGCCTGCTTGACGCATCTCCCGCGGCGCCGAGAGGACGAGATTACACAATGAGTGGTTTTTGGAACAAGGGAATGCGGGCCTGTTTGTAGACGGCGAGGCATGCAGAAGCGAAGTGTTGGCATATCATACATCCACGGCAGTCTGCAGCGTGAGACGAGAGCCATAACGCGGGCTGTAGAAGACTTCTCCGAGAGCTTCACGGCTGTCTGTATACGGGCGAGCATGCTTTGTAAACCCAGATGAGGGCCGAGTCCCGCCGTCCGCCGATTCCGGTGATGTGTCCATGGTGATGGCACCACACGCCCGAGGTAGGAGCAGCTGTTTTACCTCAGGGTTGCCGGCCGCGTGCGGGTAACGGGGCAGGGCAATGGCAGAAGTTTCTATTGGGCGCTCGGACGCCGCAGTTATCATTGCAGAAACGCATGGTAAAGAGAGTTTGTTTTGGGAGCAAAACTCGTGACGTTGCGTGGACCCGGTGGACGCTATTTAGAGCCAACAAGTGCCCCTCCTTCAGATTCAGTCCCCCTCCATCACCGCAAACCTTTCTCCCAACACACACACCTTTCTCTCTCACGCCCCATACACATAGCACAATGGTCGTCAAGGTCGGAATCAACGGCTTCGGTCGCATTGGTCGCATTGTCTTCCGCAATGCGTGAGTTGCTCACCCCACCCGCCTGTGCTTGCTTTTGGTACACAACTAACACTGCTGCGCAGCGTCGAGCACAACGACGTTGACATCGTCGCCGTCAACGACCCCTTCATCGAGCCCCACTACGCTGTAAGCAGTTCCTTTTTCGTCGCGAACACGATGATATACGGAATCTGTGCAGACACTGACAGCAGCGCAGGCCTACATGCTCCGATATGATAGCACCCACGGCCAGTTCAAGGGCACCATCGAGGTCGACGGCAACAACCTCAAGGTCAACGGCAAGACCGTCAAATTCTACACAGAGAAGGACCCCGCCCAGATTCCCTGGAGCGAGACGGGCGCCTACTACGTCGTCGAGTCCACCGGTGTCTTCACCACCAAGGACAAGGCTGGCCTTCACTTGAAGGGTGGAGCCAAGAAGGTTGTCATCTCTGCTCCTTCCGCCGATGCCCCCATGTTCGTCATGGGCGTCAACAACGAGACCTACAAGTCCGACATCGACGTGCTCTCCAACGCGTCCTGCACCACCAACTGCTTGGCCCCGCTCGCCAAGGTCATTCACGACAAGTTCACCATTATTGAGGGTTTGATGACCACCGTCCACTCCTACACCGCCACCCAGAAGGTCGTTGACGGCCCGTCCGCCAAGGACTGGCGTGGTGGCCGCACCGCTGCTCAGAACATCATTCCCAGCAGCACTGGTGCCGCCAAGGCTGTCGGCAAGGTCATTCCTGACCTCAACGGCAAGCTCACCGGCATGTCCATGCGTGTCCCCACCTCCAACGTCTCCGTCGTCGACTTGACCGTCCGCATCGAGAAGGGTGCCACCTACGACGAGATCAAGGAGGCCATCAAGGAAGCTTCCGAGGGCAGCCTCAAGGGTGAGTGGAACCACGCATTTCTGAAGTAATTTGGCTAATCGCACCAGGCATACTCGGCTACACCGAGGACGATATTGTCTCCACCGACCTTAACGGCGACAACCGCTCCTCCATCTTCGACGCCAAGGCCGGTATTTCCCTCAACAAGAACTTCGTCAAGCTCGTCTCCTGGTACGACAACGAGTGGGGCTACTCCCGCCGTGTTCTCGACCTCCTGGTTTACATTGCCAAGATTGATGGCAACGCTTAGGAATCAGGTCGGAGCCGGGAATATTCAAAATTGTAGGATTGAATGAACGCCATACTGGTTGGCGAAAGCGGGTTTCTTTGGTACAAAACATGAATGATTATGCCACACGGTAGCCATGATGAAATGCAATAATTCTCCGCAAACTACGTTGCGTGCTGTATTTTCGAAGCGTGAATACCTCAGTACCTAGATGAGCGCAACTGGAGCTATCTTCCCTTTCATATTCGCGTGCCTTCCCGAAGTGTAGCATCGTAGCTCCTTCTCTCGAGCGCATCACCATTTTGCACTCGTCACTCGAAGTCGTCCCTTATTATTATGGTCGCATTTCATTTCGTCCCTTCCGCTTCCAATCCCTTTCAAATGTCTTGGCACTCTCTCCCCTCCTCCACATCACAACGCACCCCAGCCACCTCCGCATGACCCGCAAAACCTCCCGTCGTACTTCTCTAGCGTGTACATGACGGCAGGTACGTCGCGTCGCACCGAGGTACGCTCGTGAACATGCGGAGCGTGGCTGGGAATGTACATCCGCTGCTAGCCTTTGGGCCGAAGGTACGGGAAGTTTCGGAAGGAAGACGGGTTTAGGCGCGTACGGTAGCTGCCTGGGCGAATGTACGTTTAGGTTGGGGTCGATTCTTGGGGCATGGTCGGTGCTGGAGATCATTATGGTTAGGGTTACTCGAGCCTTGGTGGGAGGCGCCGACGTTGTGTTGCGGTTGGTTTGCGTATAACACCTAACGGGGCCAACGAGCATGCAATTCCCAGGTTTTATTTAATTGAATCGTGCATAGAGTTCCCTGTCTCGTAGCTACCCAACTCCTAATCAGCTATATGTTTACAAGCGCATGATTAAAGAAGATATCCACCGTCCGTAGTATGGCTTTGGTGGAGTTTGGTGAAAACAGGTTGTTGCGGCTTGGTGCCAAGAAATCTTGAACTGCGTATGTCAATGGTCTATAATAGCATCTGGACAGTTGCCTACACTGTCTCCCGGATCAATGGTATTGCTCCAAAACTAAGATTTCCTTAAGCGCCTTACTGCAATTATCGATCTCTCAAAGACATAGAGAAGCCGTGACTACAATATACACCGATATGGCCAAGTGGGAGCAAAAGATAGATTTTGCAGCTCATGTATCATGGCCGCCATAGGTGTCATGAGCTCTCTTCACATTTGTGCGGAGCCCTTGTCGTTTCCGGCGCGTTGTATGAAAGACAACCAAGGATTTGCCCTTATACAGTATGTTATCGAGAAAGGAAGTCACCATACTTGGAAGGGTCTAGCGTACCAAAAGCTTGGCGCTCTCCATTCGCAGCGTTCATGCGCGACCATCTCGTTAACATCCCTCATCCAGGGTTGAGATCGCTTGCATTAGTCTACAATCGCGGGCTGTTACTCTATCTTACCTCATCATCCTGAAGCTACAAAGCATCAAACGACCACACCAGACGAAGGGCGTCGCGCGGCGTTCATACGGACAACCGACCTTCCGCATCACGGGATTGCCTCTAGTCCACGTTTCGACCTTGTACTGTCGCAGTTGTAACGGCCGCAACTTTTAAGAGCTGGGAAACAGGACAAAATCAGCCACCGTCCTGCATTATCATCACCAACAACCTGTGCTTGGACTGCGCAGACTCGTTGCGCGCGATTCGCTCCATCGGTTGGCGCGCAAGCAATCTTACAAGATAGTGCAAGCCGTTGGAACATGATTGCGTTTTGATCAAGTAAGTTAAAATTCTTCTATTTACTTTGCCTGTTACACGAAACGGCGGGCTGCTTCAGCTCCGTGTGTCCGCTCTGTTATCATGTCCGCCGCATTATGAATTCCTTGTCCATTCGCACGCGTTCCTATGGAGCTGGCATGGCTTTGTTCCCCTGTGTACAACACGGGATCGTTCCCCTGTGTACAACACGGGATCTTTAGTTCTCATGCTCACTTGCGAGTATCTTCAGACCACATTATGGTGAGGAGTACAAAGCTTGACACCCTGGTACTGTGCGGTCTACGCTCACTCTTCCCTTTCATACGTCTTTTTACTTCCTACCTTCAATGCTACAAGCCAGCTTGTATGGTCTCAGCTTGCTTCATCGTGAGATTTTTTATCGGCCATTTGATGCCCTATACCTGCGCTATATGGTGTTGACACGCATCATGCTTCCCCTATGACCCTGGCATCGCACATATTTCCCCAGCACTAACTAACCACAACTCAACATGGTTCATATGCTGATCAACGACTCAGGGTCTCGAGTACTTCTGGTGAGTAACAAGGCTACCGCGCCGTCTTCGACCATGGCCATGGTAGACGAGGACACCATTGTCCTTTCGGATGAGGATCATGCCATGGAATCCATAGAGCAAGGCAATGGAGACCATTCTGCAACCGTCAATCCTTCGAAGCTCTTGTTCCACGCCACTTCACCGGACCTTCTTTCACCAGTGCTTCCCTTCCACGGGCTCGGACACCCACTCAATAGCTCTCCCGCTAGGAAGCCTTTGGCCGATCATGATTACTCGAGCAACTCTCCTGGCCTCTTAAGCCGAGTTCGGCGCTTAGAAAACCCGGATCCAACCGATCTGGATTCAATGGACACTATACCTGCAACAGCCGCCCGCGTTGAGGTGCGGGTGCCGCCGCCACCGAAGTTCAAACCGCTCCCGTACCCATCTAGCAGGACTGGCTTGGTTTATGATGATCGTATGAGATTTCACGCTGAGGATGAGAGCCTCAACATCAACCCTGATGATATCCACCCAGAAGATCCCCGCCGGATATATGCGATTTTCCATGAAATTCGGGAAGCTGGCTTGGTGCGAGAATCTATCGACTCGGACGACGAGGACGATGTTTCTAACGACAGCAAATGCTGGAGGATCCATACTCGACACGCCACGAAGGCAGAGATTTGCCTCATACATACCCCTGAGCACTACCTGTTTGTCGAGGCATTACAAAACAAAACGCCCCTGGAACTTCAAGCTCTGTATCGCGAGATGGACTCAATATACTTCAACAACTCTACATTCGATAGCGCTTTATTAGCCGCAGGGGGCGCAATCGAGGCTTGTAGAGCTGTCGTCATGGGGCACGTTCGAAACGCTATTGCAATCATACGACCACCAGGACATCACGCAGAAAGCACGGAACCCTCGGGATTCTGCATATTCAACAATGTGCCCATTGCTGCACGAGTATGTCAGAATGATTTTCCAGAAACTTGTCGCAAGATCATCATCTTAGACTGGGATGTCCATCACGGCAACGGTATCCAGCATGCCTTCTATGACGATCCGAACGTGCTCTACATATCTCTTCATGTGTTCAAAGGTGGATCGTTCTACCCAGGTAATCCAGATGCCGACCTCACATACTGTGGCGAAGGACCTGGTCTAGGGCGCAATGTCAATATTCCATGGGAAGATCACGGCATGGGCGATGCTGAATACATCTATGCCTTTCAGCAGGTAGTCATACCGATAGTGTCGGAGTTTGACCCGGATCTCGTTATTATATCTGCGGGATTTGATGCTGCAGAAGGGGACGCACTGGGAGGATGTGAGGTCACTCCTGCCGGCTACGCCCATATGACGCACATGCTCATGCGAGTTGCGCAAGGAAAGATGGCTGTTTGTCTCGAAGGCGGCTATAACCTAAGATCCATTTCCCGGTCCGCTCTTGCAGTTACCAGGACGCTCATGTTACAACCCCCAGATCGTCTGGCGGCTGATCTGGACCCTAATGAGTCTGCAGTCCGAACTGTCGAACAGGTCAAGCGAGCACAGTCAAAGTTTTGGAAATGCATGTACCCTAAGCATATCGGCCCAGCGACACCAGCCTTTTCGTCAACGACACGGTTGCACGAAGTTTTAAGAAAATTCCAAAGCTTGAACATGGCACAGGAACACTGTATGGCACCTCTCCAAATTATCAGGGATGATTTGAGGGAAACATTTGAGCACAATGTGGTAGCTACGTAAGTATTGGCATATCGTTCAACAAAGCACCTACTGATTATATTAGACGAAATTTCATGGACAAGCACCCATTGTTGGTTATTTTTCACGACCCCCCAAATCTTACTTTGTGCCCAGATCCAGTTACCGGCAAGACAGAGCTCCACAACATGTGGCTGGTACGTAGATCTGTACAGGCTGCGTTATATGGCTGCTGACCAAGACCCCAAAGGCTGATGTTGTTGAAAAGGACTACGTCGGATGGGCCATTAAGAACGGTTTCGAGGTCATTGATGTAAACGTCCCGAAGGTAGAGCCTATCCCAGAAGTACGTCTTCTCTCCTTCTTGAACTGTAGTAGTGTACTTTGAACTGATTTTCGTTAGGACGATGGGGAGTACGTCCACGCGGACACCTATGAAGAACGAGCAGATAAGACCAAGCAGCTTGCTGCATATATATGGGAGAACTATATCGAGTAGGGCACATACTGTCGCACCATAGGGCCTCGCTAATGCTATCGTAGGCCCCATCAAGCGACGCAAGTATTCTTCCTGGGCATTGGATCGGCGTATATAGGGTTGATAGACTTGCTGGGCAACAATGGTAGGCGCGACATTTATACAGCCACCTATTCAGCTGTTAACGACTGAGATAGAAGCATGCACCGATGATAATGGCGTCGTTGAAGGCGTCATTGCCTTCGTCGCAGATACTTCTCTCCAGTCAATCAAACGAGCGACTGACGACAGCATCGCCGTTGCCGACTGGTACTACACAGTGAGTCAAAGTCATGTAATGAGTTCAGGCGCACACAAGCTGACGACAACTTCTCAGCACTCCAAGCTTTTCGTCCAAAATAACCATCTCTGCTGGGATCCCAACCGCGCGCGCAAGCCTCGCAAAAAATGGGGCAAGCTAATCCGCTCTGAGCACACTACAATCGACGACATGCTTGCGGAGCACAAAGAAGAAGTGCAACAGTATCTTCTCGAGAAGAAGGAAGCGTATGTCGACCCTGGGGACGACACCAGTGTCGAAGAAAACATCCAGCAGCCTTTGCGAAGCCCTCCTCTACCCATGGGCATCCGATCTCCCGGCAGCGTGCCTCCCACGAAGAACGGTCATGGCGATGCACGGATGCCGCCGATGGCCATATTCACTCTACCTAACAGTCGCATGGGGACTCTTAGCCCGACTGCGCCAGGAAGTCCACTGAGGCAGGGTTTTGGACGAGGCTGAGGTGTTGACGATGGTGAGGAAGACAGGTGTGGACGGTCCGTTTAGGGGTTTGCTTGGTATCGATTTCTCTTTTTCTTCGTGCTTTGTGCATTGCGGGGCGCTGGGAGAGTCTTATTGCGTGCTCTACTCCTAGGCTCCTTGGAGCTTCTATGTAGTTTGAGCAGTTGATCGATGCCTGTTTGATTGTTCATGTCGCATTTGCTAGGGGTGGCACTTTCCACGGATATGGGAGCGCAGCTACGGGTTAAGTTTGATAGGTCGCCCCGCCTGCTAAGCCTCGCGAGATACTCAACCGCTTTCACAATGCATCGACCCTACACCACACTTAATACTGTTGCGTGAAATGCTATCGGTCGTGTGACTATCGCATCGCAACACACTGAACGAGACGTAGGTCCAGCACGCTAAATCGTAAGCGCAGGCTGAGTGAGCCGCCAAGACAGTAAGGCAGGACGATTTGCGGGCCATCAGCATCTAACACGCCTCAGATGGCGAGATGTCCGCCACTAGTATGCGCGCGTGCTGGCAAGGCTGAGGTTGTGTAGACGTCTGGGCCTGATACCCATCGTTGCATTGAAACAGCGGGTGATAAGGCGGAGTCGTGCTGTCGTGCACCCTTCATCACCAACAGTCCCGATGCTTGGAGCGGTAAAGATAGAGATAGCTGTCGAGGGCATTGTCACAACCACGTATCAGTATCTCAATTAGCTCGTATCCTGCATTTGCTGCTGTTTGCATCTCGCCATTAATCACAGAAGAAAGCGCTCGGCTGCACGCCTCGGGATTTAAGCATATCTGCGAACACGAACACCCTCGCTTCGCTTACCAGGAACCTCTGCTCTGGGACCCTCGTTTCGAAACAGTTTTCGTATATTGGACCCCAAAGATGAGCATGCAGGTTCGTATCTTTGCCCGCGTTGGCGTCAGCTAATCCTATTTATGTGCATAGATTACGGCAACAGCGAGCTTTGGGTGACAGCCCCGCCGGAGTCCTTGCACGGCAGAAGCGTTCAGCTCCCGGGGAGTCAGCCTGCTCCTTGAGTGGCGAGCGAGTGATGATAGGGAGGCGTGCAAGAGCTAGGTTGCATCGGGCAAACAGTGTGGGAAACATGGTCGGTACTACGTTTCAGAAGAGGAAGGTACGTTTGCTGCACAGTGGACTTGCTGATGAGAGGTCGGAGCATGGCGATGTTGGGTGGGCATGTGCATGGGCTATATTTACGCGGCTCTGGGTTGGCTGGGTAGAAGGAGCTTTTCTCAGCCTGACGGTCGCTCCCCTCATTCTTTCCTTTTGCTCGCGATTATTGTCGACTGAGATTTGAATAGGACAAAACATTGATTGCCCTTCATACACACCGAAGTTGGACAAGGAGATTCCGGCCCAGCAGTCGAACAGTCATCTAGCTCACGTTACGCGGATCCTCGACAGGGCTCAATAATGGCAACCGCTACACAAAGTCAAGCCCCGGGGTTCACATCCGCGACCGCCTCGAACTCTGTTACATCGATGCAAGAAACAATCCCAGCGCCGTCTTCATTGTCGGTATCTTCGTCCAGTAACTCGACGTCTTCGTCATCGTCATCAAGCAGACCGCCGCAAATCCACACCGTCAAGGCTGGATTGGGAGGCTTCAAATTCGATCCACCGGCGCTGGAAGATGTCAATGTTGGTGACACCGTCACGTTCGAGTTTTATCCACCAGACCATTCAGTCGCACGTGCAGAGTTTGGATCAGCCTGTGTGCCATATGAGTACACCGGCCCGGGCAAAACGGGCTTTTGGTCAGACACGCAATGGGTAAACGACGTCAACCACGTAGGTCTTCACCAAGTAGTTCAAGAACAACACTAACAAGACTAAGCTTCAATACTACAACGTCACTGTCAACTCGACCGAGCCCATCTTCTACTACTGCGCCGCACCCGAGTCCTGTACAGGTCAGCACATGGTCGGCGTGATCAACCCCAACGCCACACAGACCCTTCAAAAGCAGATCGACTCCGCAAAAGAAGCTTCCTACCAGCTCAGACCCGGCGACCCTATCCCTGCAGAAGCCACTGGCACTCTTCAAGCCTCTGCCACCGCCGCGCCAACCTCCACATCCGCCCCACACGGCCACACTTTCTCAGGCGGAGCCATCGCCGGCATTGTCGTCGGCGGTCTCGCCTTCCTCGCGATCTGCGCAGCACTTTTCTTCTACGTCGGTCGAGCGAAGAGCTTGAAAGAGGTTCTCAAACACCGCGAATCAACACTCAAGTCCCCCGCGCCTACGGATGGCCACTTTGCACACCCGCCGGGGTACGCTCCCGCGCCGTTCAGCCCGAATATGCAGCACGTGGAGGCGGGCATGGGCGGATCGTCGTTGCCAACTTACGGGCAGCATAATGCGACCGATAGTAATTACTATGGTGGATATCCGTCGCCGCAGCAGACGCAGGGGCAGACACAGTGAGTTCTCATCAACCACTTCTCGAGGCGCGATGCTTTTGCTGATGGTAATGCAGGATAGCGGAAGTCAAACATGAATTGGCGTCGCCGACGCCGGGACAGCAGTCGTTTTCGCATGAGCTGGAGGCGCCGCTTAAAGCGCCGAGGTGAGGGTTATCAACTCGGCATGTTTCTTACTTCTTTTTCTTATTCTTTGGGATACCCTTCTTTGGTCATTTTGGGCTGGCATAAGTACTGGAGGCGTGTCGGCGTGTGCCTAGGTTCAGCCCATGGTTATGGGTGGAGCGATATCAGCTGTCGAGGGACCTTGAACTACTAATTTTTCTGCATACGATCGAGCAGGACACGTACTCGGATAGTCTTCAGTGTAGTTGTGTGGAAGATGGGAAGGCCGACACATGATGTTCATGCCATGTACTTCGCCTCGGATCTACTGGTAAATTCTCTTGACAGGTGCGCGTGACTTCGCGTGCGTGACGCCATAGACGCGAGCACACCACTTGAGTCTCGTGCTCTCAACGCAACAGTTGTGTTAGTCTGAAAACTGTAGTGAGACAGAGAGTAGACGTGGGCACTCTATGTCTTACAGTAAGTCCATCAGCCGGAGCTGGACTTCGCAGTAGTGCGACCATTGAGTTCGTAGGGTTGGGGAGCCCTCGGATCTGGTATCTCAAGGACATTTTGCCCCCACCCTCATCCCGCTCGGGAGATAGCACGATTACCCTTATGTTTTTTCGGCACAGCTGAAGAAATTGCTGTTGTACTAAAGTCGTAAATTCGGCAGCCGAATGACAGCGAAGGTAATCAGTGCCTCGGCCCGCAAAACTGGAGACTCTCGGGTCCAAACCGGTGTCTGGACGCGTTTTGTGGACCCGTGAGGCCGTCCAGTCTAATTATTCTGAGCAACATCGAGGTAATCGTGCTACGTGATAAAGGCAAACATGGTGACCGACACATCCATGTCGGAACTGAGCCGAGAATGACGTGATCACAGAGATTTGAGGAGGTCTGCAGCCCCTGGTCAACTTGCCACGACTGCGCCGCCGAAAATTCCCTTCTACGGTCCAGGTCAAGCAAACTGTACGCTAGACGAAAGCGGAGCAGTCCAGGACAACCAGAAGGCACGGCACGTGCAGGATCTACATTGGCGGTGCGAATTTTCAGTGCTTGGGCAGCGACCCCACGTGGTATCCTATCGCACTGAGATTATGTCTCGGGTCCACTTGATCTCCCTGGCTTTTCTGGAGGATCTCCACGAAGGCCCCGCTGGACGTTGAAAAATGCGCTGATTCGATTAGCAAATGGAATTGTTTCGGATGTACTGGTCGCGCGGAGGCACATTTTTTCCGCGTAGGGCTGAGGAAGCTAGCCGGAAGCATCGGCCCACAGAGCAACCTCTGAAACGGAGACGGCTCCGTCATTCCTCGGGGGCTCCTGGTGCGGACGGCCGCGTGTTTTTTAGCAGCGGATTTGGGCACGTCAGGCGCACTGATATGCCACGGCTCGCAGCGTCTGGCTCTCGAGTGGATAGCCGTTGCGTTGCATGCACCGCACTCCCTCGCGCGCCCAATCACCGCCGGCCCTTCACCACGTGCAAGTCGTCCTAGAGGCTAGCGGCGCTCCTGACGCTCTCTGGACTATCCGGACGCATACACATTCACTCTTCAGTTGCTCGATGAAGCCTCGCCTTAGCTGTACTTGCCGTTGAGCAACGGCGGTGGTTCTGGGCGACGCACTTCGCTCCCGCCTCGGCAGGCGCGACCTGACCGCACCTCGCAGGCGCCATCGCAGCGTTCCCACCTGCCCCAGACGACGAAGGCGTTTAGTATGCTCAGTTCCAGTCCTAATCTCTCCTCCGCTCCAGCTTCGCCTGTTGCCACGTTCCAAAACCTGCGCAAGAGCCCCTATCATGCTGCGCGACGACGTCCATCCAGCACCTGTGCCCCTCCTCGTCCGCAGGTGAGCAGCGGCCCGACCGCAGCGCATTCGCAGCAGTCGCCAGTGCTCTCGTTTGCAAGATCGCCACGCCCCTTACACTCTCCCCGCCAGACGACAGCGACTCGCAAGTACGCGGATGCCGGTACGCAGTACTCCCCGGACGGCTATCCTCCCACCTACAGGCCACACCCGCCCCAGACCGCGCCCGCCGCGCCCAGCACCCAACTATCACAACCAACAGTACCGATAGAGCGGAGGGACTTCTCCGCCGAGGTCACCATTACGGAGCCCCCAGAGCCCAGCCTGCGGGTAGACCCGCAGCCAGCGGCCCCGGCGCAGAGCACTCAGCCCACCAGGGCAGCGTCAAGAGACAAAGAGAAGGCTCCAGCGCCCGTGCTGCAGACGCCCAGGCAGAGTGAGGCTGATGCTGCTCCCGCAGCGCAGTCGTCTCCCGCCAAACGGGCGCGGCCGCAGAGCGAAGACCTCAAGGTCATGCCACTGAAGTACGAGACGTGCGACGTAAAAGACCTGGGCGTCCTGGTATCCGACATGCTTATGGAGCTGGTGCGCTTGAACGATGACATGCCGTTGCGGGACGGGCAGCTCACACGGTTCCATTCAAGGTATGATAGCAAAGCACCACTGCCAAGAATCGAGACTGACAGTTTTCGCAGAGCACCGCCGGCCATCTCGGTCAAAGACTACCTCTTCCGCCTCATCGTCCACGCTACACTCTCGCCGCCCATCCTGCTATCCATGGTCTTCTACGTCGACAAGCTCTGCTCCATGTACCCCGCCTTCACCATCAGCAGCCTGACCGTACACCGTTTCCTAATAACAGCCGCCACCGTCGCCGCAAAAGGGCTCAGCGATAGCTTCTGGACGAATAGCTTATATGCGAAGGTGGGCGGCGTCAGCCTGCGGGAATTGGCGCTACTAGAGCTGGAATTTCTCAGAAAGCTGGATTGGCGGATCGTGCCGAAGCCAGAGGTCCTCGTCGATTACTACAGGGGTCTGGTGGAGAGAGGCGATGGTTACGTCATGGAGAGGGAGACAGACTCTGAGGTATCTTCAACCCCCGAGAGTTCAGCGGCATCATCGCGGATTGATGCGTTGGTTGCGAGCACGACCGGCTCCAGCGATTAATAGCATCGGTAATGATATCCTACGGTTTTCTTTCTTTGAAACGGCGGTCCCTCCGCTGCCACTGCATTTGATATCGTCATTTCACGGCAAACATGCCTCAGAAGACGCCATCAGGATGCCTTGGGTGTCAGGATAAGAAGGATGGCCTGATGAGTTGGCCGCCTCAACTGCAGGGCGAGGAGCAACGGTTATGAATGGTTACACATGTACCTGGAGAAAGGCACACTGCAAGTCTGTTCGGGTGCTTTGATACGAACGGGTCGGCCCTGTTTCCGGTTGGCCAAGGAGCAATGCACTTGGTATTACAACGGGTAAAGCATTCCTTGGAGGTTGGTGCATGTGCAGGGAAGCAAGTGCTCCGGCTTACGGGCATGTGGAATCCTAGGAGCGTACGTTGGCACCAGGGAAGGGCAGCGCGAAGCGTCTCGTGATTGGCTCGTAGGTTTTAATAGTATGATAATGAAATGCCCCGCGAAGGGTCGAAATTGGCTTCTTCTGGAATGGTGAATGGCTGGAGGCTAGCGGCGCCATTCGTGAGTGAACGTGGACAAATGATAATTGCCGTATCCGGACGATCCTAGTCGACGCACGCTTCGATGGACACATCGGATGCAAAGAGTGAGGCTAGCCATCTGCAATGTGTGGCTTTCTCCTGGTGCATCTCTCGATTATCGCAGCCGCAGAGACGGCGAGATCGATAGCGGTCAGGCGCAGACCACCATGTGCTCGAGACATGCAAGAACAGTCTCGGTGCTCTCTAGCGACTTGAAACCGTACCTCACTCCGAACTGTCCCCACCCCCACGTCCACTCAGACACCCGATACTCTTACGAAAGCGCGCGCTTGAGAGGTCGTGTGCTGCCCTTTGCGGAGAAGCCGTCGTCTGCTGCTCGAGCCGCTCAACACCGTACGGCTATCGCGCTGCGCTGGCCTGTCCTGGCTTGTCTCGTCTTGCTCGCGGCGGCAGCAGCGCAAGTATCATGAGAGTGAGTCGCGCTATTTCATGTCCCCGCCCCATAATGGCTGTCGCAGGCTCCTTCGCGGGCGGCGTGATGTGCCCTCCGCGCGTACCTGAGGTTGTGGTAGCCGCCCCATCCCACCCTGCCCGCGCAACGCGCTCGCGTGCTAACATGACGGACAGAAGCGCCAGTGTACATGAACGGCATGCCCACGATATGACTGACATGGGCCGATGGGAGCTTAGCCAGCGACCGCACGATAATTGGGGCGTCCAGTACCCCGAAGCACCTGTTGCGCCCTCCGCGTTTGCGTTCGCAGAGCAGCCCGCGCTGGTCGAAGGCCTGGGACAGCTGCAGCTCGGACGAGTCTCCAAGACGCGCACCAGCCCCGTGGCAACGCGCACCAGAGTCGCCCGCCATGGCTCCGATCCCCACGCCATGCGCCCCTCCAGCAGCGGCGGCGACGCAATGCTCCCGTACCGCCAGCTTGCCCCGCCGAAACGAGCTGGGTCGTACTCGCACCCCACGCCGCTCGAGGACTTCCGCCGCTCGAGACGGTGGCCTCCGAGCGGCCACCGGCAGGACGACGCGTTGGGACCGAAGGAGGCGGAGGACCTGATATGCGCTGGGGCGTCGACGTTCAAGGGCTATTGCGACGCGATTCCCAATACACCCGAGGGCTATGACCGCTTCTACGCGGTCATGGATTCGGAACACCAGAGCAGGACAGATCGGGGGCCGGTGCAGGCAGACGCTTACCGGTATATTTCCCTGAACCTGACGGGTGCTTTCGAGAGTCAATTCCCATGGCTTTCCCTAGAGCAGCCCTGCATGGCCTATGCATACGGCAAGAGTGCAGGAACGACGACGCTGAACTACTATGTCAGCAAGTCGGGTAGCAGTCACCCTCCGGTCAAGCCCACTGGCGAGGTGAAGCCACGGAAAATAAAGTTCCTCCAGATCCTGGACCGGTTACAGCATTTGGAAGTCGGCCTCGGGGAAGATGTCAGTCCAAGTTCCGTCTCGCCTTCATTGTGGTTCAAGTGACCTGACTTTGGTTGATAGGATCCGGACGAGATGTATAGGTACCTCTACAGCACGCTCATTGAAGATCCCGAGCGCTACAGTGACCACCCACATACGGACGTCCAGCAGCAGATGAACGATCTCATTGCTATTCTCAGTCACCCTTCATGGATAGATTTCTCTAATCCCAAGAACCAAGTAGTCGCTAAATTTTTCGACGCACCAGACCAGCTCAAGAAGCAGGAATTCTTCCACCAGCTGCTCCTCTCTGTGGAACTGTATCTTCGCATTCATTCTAAAAAGCACACGGACAAGTTCAAACGGAAACTCACGTTGCATCTTTCTCCTACTATTGCTTGGGATCTTGCGGTGGCACAGCGATGGATGGAGAACATGGAAATTACGAAGACACGGACGTCTGCCAATCAGAGCACATTCAGCTTCGAGCTCAAGAGTAAGAAGCGACAGAAAGATGCACTGAGGTTGTTTGCAGCGACGCTAAAGTGGCCAAACATGGACGAGATAGACTACGTGCTCGAGGAAAAGGATAAGATGGAGAAGCCGCCGGAAGACCGTTCAGCAGACGCAATGTCGTGGTTCTCTGGAATCATACTTCCTGGCCGAACGCTCCCGTGGCTCATCATGAACAGCCTAATCGACTGTGATCGCGACACGGGAGATTCGCTCAAATACCTGACGCACATGCATCAATCGTCTGGCTTTCAGTACCGCGCCAACACCTACTGGTCGGCACAGAGCATCGTAGGAAAGGTGCTCGGCGCCGCCCGCGGGGTCAAGCAAATCGCCGGCTGGGTTGGGCCCTGCATCTACACGCCCGATCTCAAGCGCACAGAATGCGTGCGTGTGCACCAACTTGCGTCGCCAGACCCGCGGCTCATCCCCGCAGACGTCGTGCACATGGACACTCGGACAAACCCCCTGGGAACCGTAGAAGAAAGCTATCCGATCGACGACTACGAGGTGCCCATGCCCGACCTCGACGACGTGACGGACCTCATCCGCATCGAGAAGCTCAGCTTCATGCCTGCGAAGGAGCAGCCGTCGTCCGCCCGGCAGGGCGCCGGCGGTCCGCTCGTGTTCGACGCGGGCATCTTCTTTGCGTGCGGCGGCGAGAGCTGGCCCATGAAGCTGCGCTACGACGTCGACTTCATCAGCGCGTTTCCGTGCCACCAGGGCCCGCATGGTACGTCTCCCTTCCGTTCCCCCCTCACGTTTCATTCTGCACAGCGAGACTTACTGATGAATGTGGTTAGTCCTCTTCTACGACTTCACCTACACCGCGATCAAAATCGACGACGGCCTCGTCGACATCCACGACTGGGGCCGCCAGTCCGGCCGCACGGCACGCTCGCGGCCGACATCGTCGCGCTCGTCGCCCGGGAAGAAAGCACTTGCCCTCACCACCGCGGCTGCCGAGCCCGCTCACATGCAGGTCAACAAAATCCTCGCGATCGAGGCGTTGGGGGTCTCCGACAACGAAGTCTTCGCGAGGGCGTGGTGCGCGCACCATGGACATAGCGCGATTGTGGCGAATATCAAGGAGACGTGCATGGCGTGCGCGATAAGGGAGGCGTACGCGGCGTGTGTGAGCGTTGTTATTTTCACCGAGGGGGGGAAGGAGACGGAGAGGGATGAGGGGATTTACATCTGAGGCTTGAGTGGAGGGAGAAGAGGGGAGATGACGAGGACGATACATTGCATCACACGCAGTATTTCTTTTGTTTGGGGAAATGGGGGTGGGAGGCGGAGGCGGAGTCTGGGCGTGCAGATGCACATGGAGTGGATTGAGCGGCGGAGTGGTTACGAGATACCGACTCATGACGTTTACGTAGCGATGAACGAAGTATGAATGTTATGACATTAGCTTCGCACGCAAGGATTGTGTGTTCTGCCCATTTATCTCTCTTTGTGTGGACGTCTGTCTGTGGGCGCGGACATTGTGGTGCGATAGATCTATAGTCAGTCCGTTTTAGAAGTTTACCGCGTCATGGTGCAAACACGCGTGCGGTCCAGGCCTGTACAGATCGACTAGGAGAGAGCGTTGTTGCAAGAGGTGAAGTTGCCAAGTGCACAAGCGTGATAACGACAAGGTGTTCCCCCTAGCTAACAATCTAAGAATACTTGTATAGTTATTCATTTGTATCAACGGTCACTGACCAGATGAATACTTGGTGGTGGTATGGGACTCAGGCATCTTTCAAAGATGTGAGCGGAAGGTACTGCAATGGTTCAAACAAGGTTTATATTGTACCGAGATGCAATGACCGCAGGGGCAAGGGCATTTTCAAACCAGCTTCTTCAAGTCGTTATCAATGTATAATCGCTCCTCGTCAGCAGGCGAGAAGAACGCCCCGAGTGCAAAACTATGCAAGGGACGAGACGGAGGGGAAACAAGAGTATCTCGTGGCGAGCCTAAACCCACGATATCGTCGTCCTCAACAAGACACTCACCAACCAAACAGCTCTTTGTAGGCCCGGAATCGTTTGCAGAAGGTAATGGTCGTATTACAAAGGGGACCCGCGCCCCGACCAGAGAGACTACATAGTCGCCTACTTTCGCAGCTGGTGGAAGTAGCATCAGAGTATACAGATGCCGGTGCTGCGGAGAAGAATCGTGTGACGCTAGTATATACCCGCGGGTTGCCCGCACCTGTGGACCGCGGCTCTTGGAAAATCTTTGTCTCAGACGTCTGGGGCCTGCGAAGCGCCATGGCCATGGTGAGAGAGATTTGTCTTCTTTCGTGGATGAAGAGGACGTGGTTGGCTTGAAAATGATCCGTTCCGGCTCAGGAATGGTAATGCCCTGTTTCAACATCAGGCCCAGCCGCCGATTGTCGATGACAGAAGATCTATCGAGCACAGTTTCGACAGCCATGCTTTCATCATCTGTCCAAACGAGAGTCTGACGAGATCTCTGAATCAAGTGCTCCAACACTACTCTTGAGCGTGATGGGTGGTACGAGAGGTTGCTTTTCCCTTCGTTCGACTTGGTCGACACTGGCTGTTCACATAAGCCAACGGGCCAGGTCAGTTTCTCTCTAATTGACAGACTGAGAGGCTTCCGATCACGCAGAGACATTGACTTAGCATGTATATTTAGCGGCAAATCATCCCAAGGAGTGGGCTGGAATTTGGAGCTCGAAGCATTCTTTCGCATGGTCTGATCTCTTTCCCACGATTCAAATTTCCATGGATATGTCTTCCACCGTTCCAGTATTCGAGTGTTCATCTTTTCGGTATCTGCACCACACTCTCGTCGAATTTGCTCGAAAGCAAGCTCGTCGTTACCGTGAAGCTGGAGCGTCGGAGAGACTTCGTGTACCTGTCCAATGATTATCCCGGAACATTGAAGATGGTCTTCATCTTTCAACCAGCGGTCGTTCATCTCAGATGATTCATGTTGCCTGCCTTGTCCTCCTCCTGCGTAGAGAGGAATGCAGCTTAAGATGTTTCGTGAAGTAGGCATCGTTTGGCGCCAGTCTGGTACCCAAGTGGGCCAGTCCCACTCAAGGCTTGCAACAGCGTAGCTGAGAACATCGAAGCTTCGCCCCGCATCAATTGTGTAGCGTGCAAAGTCCTCATATACCTGGCTTAAGGATTTCGAGTAGTCCACCGCGATTCTCGAATCATCCGGGTCGACGCCTGAAGAAATTCCAAGGAGTGCAAAAATCTTGTCTCTTGGATCGGTTGCTTCCAGGCGTCGCGACCGTGCCACCATGTCAAGAACATAGGTTCCACGTGTTTCTTGGTATCCAATGGCATTGTGCCACAAAGGAAGAAGATGTTCAAGTCCGCATGAACTAAGAAAAGCGCATCTAGTCAAGAACAATTCCGTCACATTCTCGTACAACTGCTTGTTCTCCAAGCTGAGTCCATACCTGTCGTTGACTCTCGGTTCCAGAAGTATGACCTTGCAAAAATCATCCCAGGACATGAAGCGTTGACCACATTGCATGGTGATATTTGCCGAGACGGCGATTTCTTGAACGACCCAGACCCTTCGGAACCTTTCAAACTCGTCAGCCTCAGGACTGGATGTAGTATGACACTTACCAAGGCCGGGTGAGCACGTCATTTTCGACGTCACCCAAATCTCCCCTGAAATGTAGTGCGTTGTGCTTGCCCTTGTCGCTTTCCTTGGCAGCGATCCGTTCCAAAAAGTTCCATGCTGAAAGTGACGTGTAACCTATTTCGTCACCGAGATAGACAACTGTCGCACTAGCTCTTTGGTATATCTTGCGCATATGTAGCACTTGATGATTGCGCTCGCGGATGTTTCGCTGGTCAATACACAACCCATCAGCCCAGACTACGATTTCAGTGCTATTCTGGCGAAGATGACGGAGTGCGGAATGTAGATTGACGCCGATGTGAAGTGCCTGTGTTGATGTCGCATCGCTGCTATTGCTGCACGTTCGCTGCGCAGCTTTGCCAAAAGTGACTTTTGCAAGCTGCTTTGCTTCTTCGCTATAAGCAAGAAGCGTGGACACTCGCATCGCTTCCAAATGCTTCCTTAAGTCCTCGCGCCTCTGCGTCGCACGTTCTTCGACATAATCATCGCTGATTTCTCTGTGGATTCGTATAGCTTCATCGCCAGGTTCTATGTATACCGGTTTCCTGAATACCTGCGGGCCCCAGAAATATGACAAAGCTATGAACTCCAACGGGTCCCCGTTCGAAGCCGTCATTGTCGATAGAGTAGTATGCGTAATGCTGAGATGCAAATCAGCATCTACCTCATCGGCCGGCTGTATTCTTAGTAGCCGGATCGAGTCCCTCTCTGTTAAAGGACGGTATATGTCAGAGTCCTTCTGGCTGGCGTCATATTTGATAATGGTGGTAATGAGTGCAGAACGTTCATCGTTGCGCAAGGATGGCAAGTACCCTTGGGTGGTTTCCATGATACTCTTTCGATATCGGAATGTCAAGAATTCGGGATGCAATAATCGTGCAAGGAAGTCGCCTATGTTCAGACCTTGTTCTAGATGTTGTTGAAATAAAGCAGCTACGGACGGGGCAGTGCTCCCTAGCGGCGCAGCATCGATACACGACCGATGCCCGAGGCAGAAGAATACGAGAACATGAGCGGATGGATAGCATTGTAGACACCAACCTTCTGCCAACAGCACAAGTCATGCTGAGACTGCCTTTCGATCAGTAGACCGGCGAAGGCATAGCTTGTGCTTGGTCTACATGTAGACGCAAGAGATGCGAGACAATCCTGGAGGCGCTGTCTGCTGAACGAAGTGAGGTGTAAGAGTGAGATGTAAGTGATGGGTTGTTCTGGCGCAGCGAACCTGCTATTCACAGCTGATGCGCACCTTCTGCGTGTCGGGGGCACTTGTCTTCAACATCTGCTTCGCACGGCATTCGATGCCAGCTCCTACCCTGGAGGTTCGCACAATCACGTGCTCAACGCCTCAGCCGCTCTAGACCGCATTCGGAATACCCGGGCTGTGACGACGCCGTGCTCTGGCGACCGCCGTGCAAGCCAGACAGTTATCGATAAGTTGTTTGCGCACCTGCTCGCATGTCGGTTTCCGTGGAACGGCTGGAAATACAGTATTTGATGCGCGCCGATTGATCGATCCCGCCTGCACTGCACCGTTCCCGTGCCCGGCTGCACATTACCTCCGGTTACCAGCTGTAGCTTCCGCCCTGGGCTTGTGCCTCGAACCCTCAACGCATTCTACAGTGCCTACGCTGCCTACATAATTTGCCCCGGTATCACGTTACTCGTGCGCTCACACCTCACGACGCCTTGCTCGCTCGCGCCGCTCACATGCCGCAATCGCCTTACCCATAAACCTTTCTGCATCTCTCTCGCGCACTGTCCGCACATCATACTATGGGCCGCTCCACGATCCCGCCCGCGCTCATCGAGCTCGCGAACCCTAGCAGCCCTGAAGCGCAGGTGCGTGCGCTGCGGAACCTGAAGAACGAGATTGTCGGCCACGAGCAGAGGAAGGAACTCGCGGTTGTGCATGGTGTGGTAAGGCCGCTTGCGGGGTTGCTGAGGACGGAGACGAGGAGGGGAGGGAAGAGGAGGAGGGGTGTTGCAAATGGGAGTGGGAGTGGGAGTGGGAGTGGGAGGGAAGAGGAGGCAGTGGAGTGGACGGGGGAGGATGAGTTGAGGTTCCAGGCTACACTTGTAGTGGGGAGTTTGGCGAATGGTGAGTCTGGTGTCGTACTTGGGAAAGTTGGAAAGGGCCAGAGTGCTGATTTTGGGGTGTATAGGTGGCCCGGCGTTCATCACGCCGCTGCTTGCGGGCGATGTGCTCCCGCCGCTCCTTGAGGCCCTGTCGCCGAGCGAATCCCCATCCAAGCTCCTCGTCACTACGCTGCGGACGCTCAACCAGATCGCAGATGCCGTCGCGCAGGAGAAGCCTTTCTGGGACTCGTCATCGCTGCTCTCGCTGTCGGTGACGCAGCAGATATATACGAAGTCTGTGGTGGAAAGCTTGGCGGAAGTGCTCGCGCAGACGGCGAGATCGCGCACGGTGTACCAGCAGATAGCCTCAGTGGCACAGCTTTTAGCGAAGACATGTCGGGAGGAGGGCCAGAAGAAGATGCTGCTTGATGCGGGTGTGCTGGATCTGCTGACGGCGAAGATGGTAGCCATTGCCGCCTCGGACGATCCGTCACGGAGACCGGAAAGCAGACACGCATATACCGAAGCACTGCCAAGGTCAAATCTGCCGGATATCCTAGAGGCGATATCTGCGATCATCAAGGACTCGCACTATAACACCGCGCGATTCGTTTACTCGCAGCATATTCAGAACCTTTTCGCATGGCCAAAGGGATCTTCAGGGACGTACGAGGGATACAGCGGGCCACAGGCGAATTCCTGGGACAAGCTGATTCCGAGGTTGCAGACGCTACAGAGTAAGTCGGATCCGTACACTAAGAGTTGGCCTGCATTAGGATCGTTCGCATCGTCTGCGGGCGAGGGCGGCAGTTATACGCGGTTACCCAGCATGGAGACGCTCCAGCCTTCATCGAGTAGGAACATCATCTCAGACGAGTCGGAGACGCCGCTCTTCACATGGCTCATGTTCGTCGCAAGAAGAGGGGAGGGGCGAGAACGCCTAGCTGCGTGCTGGCTTCTTGCTTTGCTGAAAAAATTCGGCGAGCGCTGGTCTCTGAGCGACCCCTCAAAACCCACGCGCGAACGCCACTTCTCCTACCTTGTCGTACCGCTGGTGGTCAAAATGATTGAAGAGGCAAACCCAAATGCAAGAGACGCGGAGAAGATGCACCTGCTCGATCCCGCCGACAGAGAGGAGATGAGGTTCGTTCTCGAGCGGTCGCCACTTGTACTCGCAGAGCTCATTGCGAGCAACAAGACACTGCAGAGTGCCGCGGTCGACGCAAAGATTCTACCCGTACTAGTGCAGATCCTGAAGAAGTCGTTCGATCCCATCACCACCTCAATAAAGCCGCTGTGGCAGCCGAGATCTTCAGCGCCTGCAGTCCGCGATCCCATGATTGATGCTGCATCATCGACGCTGGGCAGGCCGGGCCTAGGCGTTGATATCGTGCACGCGTATAAGTACAGGGAAAGCGCGCTGCTGGCATTGGCAGCGATCGCAGACTCGCAAGATGGGTTGCGCAAGCTAATCATCGAGATGGGTGGTGCACCGCTCATCATCGACTCTCTTGTCCCATTCACGAGCGAGTCGCAATCCGTGGGTGCAAAGTCGACGTCGGCCAAGGATGGTAATCCTGAAGCTGTGCTTGTTGCGGCTTGCAAGGTCACGAGGTCGCTTTCGAGGTCGGTGAGCGTGCTGCGGACGAGCTTGATAGACCATGGGATTGCACAGCCTGTTTTTGACCTGTTGACGCACCCGAAGATAAAGGTGCAGGTTGCTGCTACTGAGGTTATTACGAATCTGGTTCTGGAGGTCTCTCCGATGCGGACAGTACGTTGCTCGAACGATTATCCACGTTGCGGACTCGTTGCTAAATGATACAGGAGATCATCGAAGCGGGTGCACTAGAGACACTCTGTGAGCATTGCCGCTCAGCCAACTTCGACCTCAGATACGGTAGCCTGTGGGCCCTCAAGCATCTGTGCCTTGGTCTCCCAACGCACATGAGGAAAAAGTGCTTGGATACCTTGGGTGTAGGCTGGCTGAAGCAGGTGCTCAACGGCGAGCCTTCGTCGAAAGCAGCATCCTCAGCACCTCTCGGCATGGGCACGCCGAACGCAGCAGGTGAACAAGTCGACATTCTCAACGCAGTTGATGATCCTCACATGGACGTCGACGACGAACCGTCATCTTCAGAAGATGAAGACACCATGACCGACAGCATCCCCTCACTTCGTCGGCACCAGCGTCCAGGCTCGCGCTACACCAGCGCAACAAACATCCGCGACCGCCTCCAGCAAATCAAGAGTGACGAGCAAGATGCAAATATTAGCAACGAACGCGACGACGTCCGCATCCAAGAGCAAGCCCTCGATTTCGTCCGCAACTTCATCACCGAAGAAAAGGCCTCTGGCGACATGATCGACCACCTCCTCAACGAATTCAACCGCACCGAGTTCTTCGAGCTCCTCGATTCGAAACTGCGCCCCAAAACCACAGGCGCCCCTTCCACAACCTCTCAGCCCGCACAATCAAGCAGCGGCACCTCAGCACCCAGCTACTGGTCCCCCTCGTCCTCCCGCCTCCCTTCCTTCTCCACAACCCAGCCCCAGCCCCCAGCCCAACCAAACTGGGCCGCCTACCCTGCGACCGACCTCATAATCGCGACCCTCTACATTCTCGTGCACCTCGCCAACGGGCGCCCCTCGCACCGCTCCCTCCTCATCTCCCAAACACTCCTCATGACGCACATCCTGCCCCTCCTGACCCACCCCCGGCGCGACGTACGCCTGCCATGCGCGTGGTTCATAAACAACCTTGTCTGGGAAGAAGACAGCAGTGATGCGGGCCCGACGCGGGAGCGCGCTATGCAGTTGCGGAATCTGGGATTTGAAGAAGGCGCACGGGGCTTGGGGAGGGATATCGATCTCGACGTGAGGGAGAGGGCGAAGACGGCGGTAGAGCAGCTGGGCAAGTTGCTTGGGAGTGGGAGCGCAGGGCCGAGCGGCTATGGCAGTCCCGGGCATTTTGGGGAAGGGGGCGGGTTAGGCGGATTGAGGGGGCTAGGCGGGCAGCAGAGGGGGAGTTGGAGCAGGGAGTAGCATTTCTCGACGGAGAGCGTATGAGCAGGGGAGTTTGTGGGAGGGTTGTTGGCTTTGTTCGTGTGTATGATTTGCGATGCATGTACGATTTCACCATGCATGAAGAGTGTATGGCTTTGGTTCTATTTTGTAGAAACAACACAATGCGCTAGCCATGCCGTTTTTTTTCCTTTCACCAATGCTAGAGATCACCAAGGTCACGCAAAAAGTCACCAGAGAGTTGCTTACTTGGATATCGAGTGGAGCGCGCGACCCCGACTTGATGCCTGGCTGGGGCCGAACCAGGCCAAACCCTTGATACAAGCCCCGCATCCGGGCACAGCCGCAGAAACAGCTGCCACTTCACACTCGCTAGATTGTCACGCAGTATCACAGCACAGGAAACACGTTTGGAAAGAACATCATCTCCATTTTGCACATCTTGGTTTGTTTGTCGCACCCAACTTTTCAGTCGTCTATCTGCACACAAGCAAGCGCTCTACAGCACAGCACAGCACAGCACAGCAAGGATATAGTAGTCTATCCAGAAAGGAAAAAAGAGTCGAACGGGGAAAAATCCACTCTCGATCAAGTATTATCCTGCCCGCTGTGCCAGCGTGCGCAGGTCGAACCAAACTCCTTCGATGCAAAGCCGCGTCCAACCCCGCAGCCCGTCGCCGTGATCAGGATCGTAACATCGTGTCGGAGCTTCACTCGTTGTCGCTATCGGCGCCAATCTGCATCTTAGCGGTCTTGCCAGCAGTCGGCTTCGCGACGGGGGCGGACATCTTGACGGGCGCAGTGCCGAGGCCGTTGCGATTGCGGAAGAAAAGGACGCCCTTGCCCTCGCCCTGAGCACCTTCGCTGGGCTCGACCCAGTGGCACCAGCGTGCGCTCTTCCACATGGCCTGGAGGAAGCCCAGAGAGCCACCCTCGGTATCGGAACGGTAGTGGCGGCCCATAACCTTCTTTATGGCATCGGTGGCCTCGTCGGCGTGGTAGAAGGGGATCGTGGAGACGTAGTGGTGGAGAACGTGGGTCTCGATGATGCCGTGCAGGAGCGTGCGGCCAACGAAGCCGAACTCGCGGTCAATGGTGGCAGCGGCGCCACGGGTGTAGGTCCAGGTCTGAGCGTCGTAGTGAGGAAGAGTAGGGTCGGTGTGCTGGAGGAAGGTGATGGCAACTATGTCTCGTTAGTGACGAATTCTTGCAACACTGTAATTGCGTGGACTTACCAAGCCAGTGGTTCACCCAGAGGTACGGCATGATGTACCAGACGAAAAGGTTCGAGAATCCGAAAGTCTTGCCGATGTACCAGAGAGTTCCGATGACGACGGCGAGACCGACGTCGCTAGCGAGGATCAAGTGCTCGTCCTTCTTCTCGTACAGAGGGCTGGCAGGGTTGAAGTGGTTGACGCCGCCGAAGAAACCGTTCTTCTTGCCCTTGCCCTTGCCCTCGTGCTGCCTCTCGTGGTAGTTGTGGCCGGTGACGTTGGCAATGAGGTACATGGGCCAGCCGCCGAGCTGCTGCAACACCGAGTGGATAAGCGTCGCAATCGGAGTCTCCTCAGTCAGCTCGTGGAGCTCGTGGGCAAACTTGCCGACGCGCGAAGCATACTGCTCCCTCGTCTTAGGAACAAAAACCATGTCGCGCTCCATGTGGCCGGTGGCCTTGTGGTGCTTGCCGTGGGAGATCTTCCAGGAGAAGTAGGGCACAAGAAGAGCAGTGTGGGCGATGAAGCCTACCGTGTCGTTCAGCACCTTGGAGGGCGAGAAGGACTGGTGGCCGCACTCGTGGGCCATGACCCAGAGACCGGTTCCGAACAAGCCCTGGATCACAGTGTAGCCAGCCCACAGGGCAGCCCTGAGAGGCTTGGACGCAATGGTCTCGGGGGTCACGTAGTTGTGGAAGAGGTAGAAAGTGGCGGCCAGGCAGGCGATGTCGCGGGCAACGTAGCCAAGACCACGGAGGCCGGAGCGCTCGAAGCAGTGCTTGGGAATGGCATCGCGGATGTCCTTGATGGTGTAGTCGGGAATCTGGAATTCGTTGCCGTAGCCGTCAAGCAGCGTCCCGCGCGTGTTCTTGACGTTGACATTGTCGTCGGAGCCAAGCGAGGAGAGCGACGTGTTGGAGGCCGATCCAGTCGGCGAGTCGAAAGGCGAGGCACTCGCAGAGGGCGCCGACGAGGAAATGGCCGAGTCGGTGGTGATGTTCCGCTTGAGGACGGGGTTCTGAGGGCGGGCGGTGGTGGCCATGGTGTAGTGACGGGAGCGAGGACTAGCCCGGGAGAATTATTGGGTGTCAATGGGCGGTGGGGGGTGGAGGAAGCAACGAAACAGTGGTCGCGGGTGTTGTTGAGAGGCGGGCTGCTGTTGGGAACAAGGCAGCACAAGTACACACACCACGCTGCCGGCAGACACAGGATGGAGGGGCGTTGAGCGAGCGGGAGGGCAGTCAGGAGCGCTACCGGTGCAGGCGGCACGGTTTTATAAGTGCAGCATGCAGGCGGTCAAGGTCAATTTTTCTTGGGACCCTGAGCTGCCCTTTGCACCGTAGTGCGGGTCGTCGCAGCCGTTCGAGAACCGGCAACATTCACGGCGCGCGGTACCTGGCTAGGCCTACAGGCCAGCCACTCGCAGCAGCTCGCGCCCCTGCACCGCGCTCGCTCTGACATCGGCGAAGGCCTCTTTGGCTGCGTCTCAGCTTCGATCATCGCCACCGCGGTGGGTTCTGCGTCAAGCACTGACGGTCAGACATGCTGGAGGCCCGCCGAGGCGAGCGACGGCGGCGCCAGAGGGAACAAACCGGAGCCCCCTCGCTAACGCTTTCGACGCACCGCAGCATTCCCACCTCTGCAGCCCTCCAGCCTCTGGGCTCCTCTGTTGATCTCCCCTCCGCCGCCTTGGCGACCAGAACCCATGCAGCAGACCGCCATTTTGCGCCCACACTCACGCGCCTGTCACGCTAACCAGCTCCCCAAACCTGCCCGTCGCCTCGCTCCTCCGAGTTAGCCCCTCCCCGTGCATGCCGCGCAACAACAGCTGCTCCACACCGCGCCCATCCAGGAGCCCTAGAGGCGGAGCTCTAGCATCAGCGGCACAGCTGCTGCTGCGCTGTGGGTTGCGCAATGGCTCCCGCAACAGCTCGAGATGGAAAATCGGGATGAAACGCAGGGACGCCGATCGCTGGCTCTGCGGGCCCTTGCGAGTTCGGAACGTCTTTCGCCACGCTGCACCCTGATTCGCTTCCCCGTGCCGAGGCTCAGCCGCGCTCCCCAGTTGGTCCAACTGCTGGCCAACGTGGGGAACACCTGTTGATATCTGGAATCCAACGCATGCGCTTTGCTTCGTGTAGCTCCCACTATTCGCATACCGATCATACTCCGTGATTGCCATAGAATGGGCTGGAGGCATACCCGCCATACCATCTGCTATTGGAAATGCCCCGGTCCGATTCGCCGGGAAGAGTCTGCTAGAACGTTGTTTGCAAACTGCCCAACATGTGTAGCTCTCAGATACGTTATCGCCACAACCAGATGACGTCCTCGTCTCAACCGCAACACAATCACATGTTGGCGTTCATCGCTGGAATGGCGTTGGTTCACATGCCTCACACTAGACCAAACATGCAGATAATCAGAGGCTCTGGTCTCAGCTCTGTCCACGACGCCAGGCTAGCCTACAGTTGGCGTGGAGTTGTAGAAAACCCAACGCACGAAGAGGTACGTCTGGAGGCCAGTTCACGTCCGACTTCTCTGTCACGTTATGTGTATATCCAAATACTCCAGGGCACTTCGACTTGTCACCTTGTTCGCTTCCACCAAAGGTGATGACGGTCATGCAACCAAGGTAAGACCAGCCCAAGTAGCGGAACCACTTTGAACGCGACCAAGGCTTCTCTCTTGAATGAACATTATCGCGTTTGTGTGTTAAAGCGCATTCGAACACAGCAGTCTTGTTATGGCGACCCTTCATCAATCGATCAAAGCCTGCACCAAAGCTACGGGTGCCAAGACGCCTTCTCCAGCACTAGTTGGAGACCCTGATAAGTCGTGGAAACACCTTCCCCGCAAACCTCGACTTGCTACCACTCCGTCTCACGTCTCACCAAACAGATATCACAAATTCGACCATCATTGGCGCGTGCATCCGCACAAGCACCCTCTCCATCTCAAAGTGGCGCCTTATCTAGCAGTCATTCGCAACTACATGATCAATGATTCAATAACATTCACTGTATCCACGCTTTCCGCTAACCAGCAAGCGTTTCCGACTAACACCAAAGTCCAACGTACAAGCTCCCCCTAACATTAGCTTGTGTCGCGGTGCTTGCTTCTCCGCGACTGAAAGCCGATTGCTACGACTTTGAAAATCTTGATTGCCTTGGCAGGTGGGGTTCAAGATGCCGACTCTTGCGGTGGACAACTTCAACATTGTGTGCGCTTGTCTTGGCGGATTCATCACCCTCTTTGGCCTTGTCTCGTACCTGCTCAAGGAAAAATTCTATCTGTCTGAAGCTCGTATGTTGGTCAAATTGGTAGTTGATATTGCAACTGACAAAACCCAGTGATATCCCTTATCGCTGGTGTCATCTTCTCTCCCAATGCTGCCAATCTGTTGAAGCCTGAGCAATATGCTCTACACGACGAGGAGGTCTTGAACACGATTACGCTTTACTTTTCCCGTCTGGTCCTCGGAGTCCAGGTTGTACTCGCAGGAGTGCAATTACCGAGCAAGTATTTGAAAACGGAATGGAAGAGCTTGGCTCTTCTTTTGGGCCCTGGCATGGCAGTCATGTGGCTGGTAACAAGCCTTCTGATCTATGCACTGGTCCCGTAAGTCCCAATGTATAATCTTATATATGCAGAAAGTGTGATGCTGATACCTTCTCAGCCATATCCACTTCGTTGAAGCTCTCGCAGTTGGTGCTTGCGTCACTCCTACAGATCCTGTCCTCTCCAACTCCATCGTCAAGGGCAAATTCGCAGACAAAAGCATTCCTAAGGAGTTGCAGAAGATCATTGTAGCCGAATCGGGCGCCAATGATGGCTTGGGCTATCCCTTCCTGTTCCTTCCGCTCTACATCATCCAGCATACTGGCGTAGGCTCTGATCACAACATCGGTAACGCTATAGGCGCCTGGTTTGGCGAGACATGGGGCTATACCATATTGCTCAGTATTGTATATGGCGCCGCAGTAGGTTGGATCGCGAAGGAGCTCCTTCATTGGGCAGAGGAACGTCACTATGTGGACAGAGAGAGTTTCCTCGTGTTCGCTATTACTCTCGCGGTAAGTTTCTAGCCCTGCAGTACTGGAGCTTGTCAATAGAACATGCATTCTCAATTGTCGTGATAACGGATTTGCGTGGTACGGATGCTAATATCTGCAGCTTTTCTTGGTCGGAACAATGGGTATGGTAGGATCTGACGATATCCTCGCGTGTTTCATCGCCGGTAATACATTCACCTGGGAGTAAGTCGCAGTCTTTTATACGCGCTCCTCTCATGTCCCGCAACACGCTGACAATTCTGAAGCGATTGGTTTCGGCTTGAAACAATGGACGACAGTTTCCAACCTACTATTGACATGTTACTCAACGTGTCAGTCTTTATCTGGTTCGGTAAGCAGTGAGACTTCCCTTGTTGCATCTTCTGTTGACCTTCTACAGGCGCTGTGTGTCCGTGGAAGGAATTCTACACCAACGATGTCATTCCCATCTACCGGCTCGTGCCTCTCGGCATCCTCGTCTTGCTCCTTCGCCGGCCACCTATCGTTTTCGCGATGCATAAAAGCATTCACCAGATTGAAGAGAAGCGCCAGGCCTTGTACGTCGGCTTCTTTGGCCCGATCGGAGTCAGCGCCATATTCTACCTCTACATCACACTTGACTTTCTGCGCAAGAACGTTACCGTAGATGGAGAGCCAAGATCCGATGCTGTGTACCTAATGGAGGTGACGAAGATAGTCGTTTGGTTCCTTGTCATCTGCAGTGTGGTATGAATCTCGTTCCAGCTGCTTTCGGTATACCTGACCACCATAGATCATCCACGGCTTGACGATCCCCATGTCCAAATTTGGACTGTGGCTACCAAGATCCATCTCCCGAGCTGTCTCCTCAGCAAGAGCAGAAAGCCCAGAGCCTTTCCACATCAGCGAAAACCCGGAAGATGCTGAAGAAATTAACGAAGGGCTTCGACGCCGTGCGGGGGCGGGTTCCAGTACAGCTGCCAACATCCTGCCTCGCAGTGTGTATCGTATCGGGAGGACTATCATTCGCTCCGACAACTCTTCACGGTCGCATTCGCGCGGAAACTCACAGGCCCCACTCCCGCTGTCTAACGCGCCAACGATATCCTCGAACGATCTCAGCAATGAAACTTCTAAGCAAGACCCTACCAGCAGCAACACCCACGTCAATACTTCACAGCCGATTCAGCTCAACCAGAGGGCTATTCGGTTCCCAGATGAAGTCAATCCGCCACAGGCCGCTTAACTCTTCAGAGGGCGCCTCCTCGAATTGAGCATTCGAGGTTGTGGGCTGTCATCCTGAGAGCAATGCCACAAGCTCGCAATTCGGCCCAGCCACCGTTACAAACACATCTCTGTAGCCTCGCCGCTCAACTCAGCGCACATTATACCGATTCTCAAACGAGAGAGCACTAGCAAGACAGCATTTGGACGGGTTCTAGACGCATGTTGCATTTTTACGTACCAGCAGCGTAGGATCCCGAAAATCAAGCACAAATACCGTGTCTCATAGTAAAATGAATTGTTCTGCTCATCAACTTCACCTAAACCAATATCCAGCACCCCGTATCTCTGCACCTCCCTCCCTGACTATACCATGCTCCTCACGCCCTTCTCCCCCTTTTCCCTCTCCGCAATCTCCTCCACATCCACCACCTCCCCCTTTGCCGCCTTCCTCTCCAACTCCTCCCTCTTCACCCCACACCTCGCCTCATACGCCCCTTTCCCCCTGTTACACCTCGTATCCCACAGCACGTTCTCGCCTGCGCAGCTCGCACCCACCAACTCCACCACCAGCACGAGCACGAGCAGCCCTGTGACCGTCCCCACCAGGTCGAGCGAGTTCAAGTGCGCAGCGGGCAAGCAGAGGATAGCGACGGCGCACAGGATGCGGATGAGGAGGCGCTTGTTCTTGAAGAGGCGCTGGTTGGGTATGGATTTGTGCTGGTGGGCGTGGGCGATGACGGCCATGCAGAGCAGCGCGATGCCGGTGCCGCCGCAGTAGAACCAGCGCAGGCCGACCGAGATGTGTTCTTCGCTGCGGGGGATGAAGGTCTCGTAGAGGGAGTCGAGGGGCGAGTCCGGGGCGTCGTGGGCGCGGACGAGCACGGCGAGGGCCGAGGAGGAGAGCACAAAGGCCATTATGAAGGGGAGGTGGATCGAGAACCATGTCATCGCTGGAGCGGGGGAGGTTAGCTAGTCATCGCTGGCGAGGAAAAGGAATGCGTACCAGACCACACGCTCCGCCTGATAGCATGCGTGTGCAGATTGAAACTGTCAATCTCAAAGTAGATCCAGTTGAACGTAAACGCCTGGATCAGCCCCATCACCGCCTTCCCGAAGAACGCATTGATGCCGAACTCCACAGAACTCTGGTACAGCAGGCCCAACACACAGCTGCCAAACACCAGCGTGACGAACGCGCCCGTCCGCTCGATGCGGTGCTCGATGTTGGCCCCGGGGAAGAACTCAAACTGCGACTTCGTCCAGGCTAGTGCGCGCGGGAATCGGGATGCCCAGATCTGCGGGCGCTGCACGAGGATCATGATGGAGAAGCCGAGGGTGTCGAGGGCGAGGGCGGGCCAGATGAGGGCTTGCCGGGCGGGCTCTTCGACGTGGATGCTGCCGATCCAGAGGGCGGCGGGGAAGGTGATGAGGAGGGCGTTGGCGAGCATGCAGGCTCGTACCATGGGAATGGCGTAGGCGTACCAGAGGAAGCTAGCTGCGACGAAAAGACGGGCGGCGAGATAGAAAGCCACCAGCGGCGTGTAGGTGTGCTCGAAGGCGGAGGCCATGTTTGTCGTGAAGCCAAGCAGACAGGTGAGGATGAAGAGCACGGAGCAGCGCCTTAGTATATCGTCGCAATCGAACCAGGATATGAGGAGGGAGATGTCGGACCAGAATTTCCAGCCCATGATGAAGGTGATTGTGAAACGGAGGAGGGACTCGCCCGTCGCGTGCTCGGCGGCCTGGTCGCCCGTGATAGCGATGATGCCGACGTAGAACAGGTCGATGAAGAGCTCGTAGCTCGCGACTTCCTGCGCCTCTTTGGCGCGCCAGAGCAGCCCTTTGTGGAAATACTGCCGGACAATGGGCTTCTGGTAGAACCGCATCGTGGTGCCCAGCTTCCGCTCCGCATCCCACGTCTCCTTGTCGAACATCTCCGAGTTCATTGACGCAGCGCTGGAATTTGTGGGACTGTCTTTCGTCCGGAGGTGCGCGGAGTATCCATACTTTGAGAAGTTCGCATCCAGCTGTACGGCGTGTGAAGATACCATGTGCAGCTCCCTGGATAGGGCATCGAGCTCGCGAATGACACGCTCAAATTCCTCCGTTATCTCGGGGTGGTCTTCCTTGAGGCGCTGGTGTCGATCCGTGTGGTGCTGGTGGGTATGACGGAGGGCATCGATGTGCTCGGGCGAGCCATGGATGACGAGGTCAATATCTTCCTCCTTTTCTGTCGCGGAGAGCGTTTTACGGAGATGGTTGGCTTCTTCCGGCGAGCCTGCGACGTGCACCTTCTTGCCATCAGGCCGGAGAATTTGTCGGAGCCTCTTGCCGGTGTGGTGGAAATGGTGATGTTGATGTTCGTGGTTGCCAGTTGCCGGTGTTGCTGCCCCTGTCGACGCGCCGTCGACCAATGTTTGTGGCGTGGAAGCCATGGTATCTCTTTCGTTGCTCTTTATGTAGCCGCAGACGAGCAAGTCGCAAGCTTCATGTATCCGAGGGTGACTCCGCGCTTAATCTTCGATACGATAGTGAAGGGGGGCTGTACCTTTCCGCGTCGTAAGCACGACGCTGTGTCTTGTCGGTGGCAACCCTCACCACGTCCGCCTTCTCCGACCAGAATTTAAGGTCTCCGAAGGTCCCAAACCCCAGCGCCGCGCATCTCGCTTCGCTCCGTCAAACAAAGGGTGGCTTCCTCCTACACAGCTTAGCGCTGGTTCTAATAAATGTGATTGGCTGAACCACGCCGCCGGTCATCTGAATCAGCAATGCACAGCATGTCAGCAATCCGTAATGGCTTAGTGTCGGGCCCAAACACTTTCATCCTCGTCCCTGCGTCGCTATATTACCAGTGCGCATCTCACACAGCATAGGAGCGCGGACGGAGCATACCATACCTACGTGACGTAGACCGATCTCGCGCGAGTTGACCGACCTTCGGAAAAAAAGGAGAGGAGTGACCAGCGACACAAATACAAGGCCTACGTACACAGATCCTTTGCAGTCGTAATATGAAGGGCCAGTTGCCTACACTATGCGCCAAGCGAAAGCCAGAGCGGATATGGTGTTTGATAAATTGTAGCGTACCTGTGGTAGGTGCAGCCAGCGCAGCCGAGTCACTGCCAATCTTCGGATATGATTGCAGTTCCTTGTCTCTGCTACAAGATCCGAAGCTATTGTCTAGATCCCACTTGCTCTTCAGATCAATTCGTTCGAGATCGCCTCCACACGCGGATCGCTCGGGACAACTCACTGGTACTGAAGGGTGAAGCCGGGCACGCCTTCATTTGAGAAGAACATAACAAAGATTCGAATGGCATGCTTTCCAGATTGTTTCCACGAATCACGAATTGGCAGCCTTGTAAGGTAGTAGATAAAGATGTCATTTGGACTGCAACTGCTGCCCAATAGCAAACAGAAGTGTTGCAAGTAGTCTAGCTGGTTCAAGTTTGCATAGCTTAGCTTGTTCAAGTTCACGTCGACTATCTGTGGAAGTTAGAGTCGAAAGAGTACCAAACAATTGTTGAGTCTCCGCGAGCTTTTGAGTTGCGGCAAAACGTAATATAGGAATCCTGTGGGCGAAAAGGACTAATACATGGATAACAATGGCACAGCAATTGATGTAAAGCATTGGTATTTAGACTTCGGATACATGCGTTCTTTCTGATCGGTTCGCACGTCACCTAGGCAGCAACCGTTTTGCACGCGCTATTCAAGATTAAGCGATTTGAGGGATGCTTTTCTGTTGAGGTGCTAGCTATGAGAGGCGCACGCACAATACAAGTAACGACTCAAGCATAGGAGTCGTTCATTCTCGCGTCTTGTAGCTTCGAAATTTCCGAGTTACTACTCCTTAGAATGCCTACTGGGTGCGTCCCTTCAGTGATGACAGCATATGGTGAAGATCTTGGTGCACTTACTTTAATTGATCATTTGAGCCACATCAGATCATGCGTAGCATTGGGTCGTGAGGCTGCTGGCATGGAACTGTGGCGGCGGCGAGAGTGGTGCCTGTGCAGGGCTCGCAGCCTCATAGGTGCCCAGCCATCGACTTTAGAGCGGGGAAATTATACGTGCGGAGTGACGTCTGGAACTTAGTATAAGTTCCGAATGCTTCACATGCACTCTATTTGTTCGCTCCGCATGGCCGATCGCTGGAGGGAACGACAGATCTCAACAACCGACCTCTCGTCGAGTCACTCTATCCACAGTACTTCTGCCTGCAAAGCAAAAAGGTCGCCCATCGGTCACGAGATCTTACCTCTCATTATTCGAAGTTGCGGAAGATGTCGCAAACGTCATCGGGAATCGCCTTACAACAACTCCAGGCTCCTGATTGGTAAATCAATGTCAATCCAAGTCCTCCTCTGCCCATATCACAACCTGGCTCAAAGCCAGCTCCCAGTATCTTGTCATGGCTTCTCGAAGCCTCGAGTTGGACCAAACACATACTAATTCAAGCAATAAGGTCATTCAATAAAGTCACAGTCATTCTCAGCCTTGCACTCGCCATCGCATTTGGCGTGGTAGGTTGGTTTGGGATCAGAGACTCTCAGAGTCGCATCATGGACGGCATCGAAAGATTTCCTGGAGTACTGTCAAGACAACACGGTAGCGTTAGCAAATCGAGTTTATGGTTGCATCTACTGACGTGCACAGGATCATCTGACAGGAGAACAGCTACAGGACTGCGAGAAAGCGATCTCACGTGGACTTCGAAAACCACCGGTGTCCGGGTTCTCGTCTGAGGCCATGTCACCTTTCGGCCTCATCGCAGCCGTCTGTGTCTCTGTACTGCAGTGTCTGTACCGATATTTCCGTCCCAGACTCGCTCGTCGAACCTTTCCAGACTTGCTCGTCGAACCTTTCCAGACTCGCTCGTCGAACCTTTCCAGACTCAGAATCCTTCGCTTCAAACCACAGGACGTAGACTGCGGCGAACCATGAAAGATCGCGGTCACGAATCGACCCTGTTTGTCTTTAGGACATCAGGGAGGAGGGAGAGCACAGAATGAATCGAAGTCGATGTGTCTCATGTACTTTCAGAGCATCACTCAATGCGTTGAGCTAGATGACCATACAGTATAGTACAGCAATTGGAGGAATGTGGAAACTGGGGATAGCAAATCACGGTCGAGATATCTCGCCCCAAAACCTGCAGACATGCTGACAATCGCTTGTGCAGGGCGCGATGGTCACAAAACGTATTCAGATCCAGCCCAAGCACTTCCTCCCTTCTCATCCCACATCTGCTCGCTCCCGGCCTACCGTTACACAGCCTGCACCTCGCCGCCATCCTTCATCCAAAGACGGGCATCTACTTTCCATTTGCATGTCTTGTATTGCACGTTCCCGCTCCGCCCTCACGCCCTCATCATCGTTGACTCACTCACTCATCCAGCCTCTCACCCATCCATCCTTGATATCATATTCAACGCACACAAAGTATATATATACCCGTCGTCTCCAAATTCTCCCATCAAATCAACAACCCCAGACCGCATTAGTCCAGAGGTTAGGATGTCTGATTTTCACTCTCGCCGTGGAAACGCTCAGAAGACCGGGGTTCGAACCCCCGATGCGGTATTTTTGTTTGTTTTGATTTGTCCTCCTCCGCCAGAATGATAATCAGGTTGGGCTCGAATCAGAACAATGCAGGTTGACGATAGAGCACTGCAGACGAAGGTGTATAGCGAGTCGGTCCGGAGCGGCGTTGAAAGCTCAGTATACCGAGAGGTAGAGATGGAGAGAATGCAATGCTCTCAAGAAGTTGGTTGGGGTTGCCTCGCAGCGTCGTGACTGACGCATGGTCAGGGCTCCGCGAAAACCCTGCACGTTGGTCACGAAAGACACACATACCTAATGGCCCTGGACATCGTAGTCCTCAGCACTAGCCTGGTCCACATGCTGGGCCGACCTACACGTAGCCAGACCGCCATTTGACCAGCCCTGTACTGCCTCTGTACAACCCGCAAGACCAGACTCCAACCTCGCTCCCCGACTTCACCAGCAAGATGCAATCCCCACAGGCCGACTTCTCAACTACAGCACAGCCACATTCACCCTCCCTTCCCACCACCCCCACCGCGCACTTCCGCGTACCCGCGGATGTCGGCAACCCCCATACCGCCAGCAAAGCCAAGCCTTCATCCTCGGTTCGCCAGCGCGCAGCTGCGCACCAGATTTCCTTCGACCCTGCTGTGCCATAGGCAGGGGGGGAGCGTGAAACGAAACGAGCGTGGCTGTGCAGGCCTGGCGTGCCTGAGGCGTCTGGCGTACGCGTATGTGTGGGTGTGTACGAGGAGTATGCTTGCTCTGCCGGAAGAGTCTCCGAAGGAACGGAGTTGCTAGCTAGCTAGAGAGATGTTGTGTGCTGTGCGTGTTTGGGGATGGGATGGCCCTGATAGGGATGGGGGATTGGCTTGCCATGCGGCTTGGCGTAGCGTGACTGGAGCTGCGCATGCGCGTTTAAATTTGGGGAGCTGCGTGAGGCGTCTGTGACAGAAGTGGGTATCCTTGGGCGTGGTGGTGAGATACGAAACGTGACAGAGACAGACAGACAGACAGCTAGAACCGTGCGGTGCACAAAACGCGGGTAAATTGCAATTGTTCCACACAAGACCATATTTCCATCGCTATGCTAACCATGCCAGTCAAATCAAATGATGATAACCCTCCCAAGCAGATGATCCCCTAAAAAAAAAAGTCGCAATCGCGCGATCTTATGAAAGTGAAGTCGGCACACGAGTCAGAGCCCCCGAAACCCCTACGCCGATCAGTCCACGTCATAGCAGATCACCCACGCCAGAAAGAACGTGCGAAATACACCCCCCGTCCACGCAAACCCTGCGATTCCCAGTAAACCTGCGACGCAGCAAAATGCCATGTCCGCCCCTGCCAATGAGAATGTCGAGCGCGGAATCCCGCTTCGGCGCCCCCTCGGAGATGAATGGATACGGAATAATCTCCCACACGTGATTTGGCGACCTGCCGCGAGCGTACTGGCGCCGCCGTTATGAAGGGATACGGGGGTGTCGAGTTGATAGAGGGTAGATACGGTGGTCCGTGGGGCACAAGGGGATTCGTGTTTCGAAACGGTGCTGTCTTCGTCAGCGTTATCAATGCCTGAAGTTGCGGGGCGGCGTGAATGTTGCTCGGTGAGCGGTAGCCCGTGGCCCTGCGTACAGCCAAGCAGTTGCGTGTGTTGGAAAGAGCAGGTGCACTGTTTCGCGCAGCTGGAGCCGGGAGAATAGGCACCTGGAGTAGGATTGGGAATGCGAATTGAAGGATCGAGAGAGCAATTACTGCGAGGGTTGCCCGATTCGGGGCGCCGCATGCTCGCGTAGGAAGACATACCTAGGGATCCCTGCTCTCCTAGTTGATGTCACCGCAGCTGTCTGTGGTTTGCCGTACGGGGTGAACACTCGACAGCGCGGCGGATGGAGCGGAAGGCGTTCAGGCGTTGATGTCTCCGGTGCCTTCGCAAACATGACAGGTCTGCTTGCCCTTCTTGCATTGGGCGCAGCCTTTGCCGTTGCAAGCGTCGCATTTGATTTCTCCGTCTCCTCGACAGGTGGGACACTGCATGGTAGCGGAGGGCGGCCGGCGGGTTGACAGAAGGCCAACAGGAGTTGGGACGTGAAAGGCGGTCGATGGAGAAGTGAATGGTCGAGGATGGAAGCAGCTGTTCAACAGTCTTAACAAAGGCAGAAGGAGCGAAGAAGTGAAGCGTGGAAGGAGCGGCTGTGGTGTCAGGTGCGGTTTGGGGAGACAGCCCCAGCCGGCCGCGTCCAAAGCCTTATATGTCTCTGCAGGCCATGGCTCGACAGTTGGACGTGGACCCTGAAAGAGAGGTAGGGCAGGGCTCAGGCTCAGCCACGAGCAGAAGCAACCGCACCGACCGTGGCATGGACCGTCGTCTCTCACTTGCCATGTCGCCCTGGAGGGAGTCTGTGGTGCGCGGCAGCCAATCCTGAGCATTTCGGAAATTATTCCTGCCGCTCCACTGCACAAGACAGGCAGACGGTGGGCAATCTGGGAACGAGATGGCACTCGGGCCGCGCCTTGTCAACGCCCACTGGTGCCGGTGTAGTCGATCCACGCCGCGGCGCGGGCAGGGCCCTGGGCCCATCAGCTGGAGAGTGGGATGGGCGGTCTCCCACCGGCCGGCGGCGTCGTCAGGCGAGCGGGAGTCAACCTGGGCGGTCCCAAGGCTCAGCGGTACCTGGTGTGCCTCCGACGTTGGAGCACTCGCTCGGTGCCTCAGCCATCTAGCGCGCTGGCGTTGGCATTAGCGAGGGCTAGCATCTGATCCCTGGGCACGCAACGTCACTCGAGGCCTGCTGCCGTGGCCGTTGTTGCAGTGCTGCCTCGCTGCCGTGACACTTTTGCCCTGTCCAGCGACGCAACGGGGAGCCTAACGAGGTCGCCCGCGTCCCGAGGCAGCCTCCAGAGCCAGTGGACGCCCCACGCTCCCGCGGGACTGGGTAAAAGCACACTGCGAGGACCACAGCGAGCGGCCTGCGCGAGTGCCACCAGATAAGGTAAGTACACACGTGGCAGCTGTAGGAGCGTTTGGCATGAGCCGAAGAGGTGGGTAGGGCTGATCGTTCATTCGTCAGCATGCCTGCCTGGAGAATACTCAGAACAGGGGCTTGGTGATCTCTCTCCCTCTCGCTGGAAGCTCCCGTTGCAGGTTTACGCACCCATACGGGAGAGGGGTGGGAGACGGCCCCTACCTGATGTTTGGGGTCCTTGGCGCGAGGCTCGCTGCGAACTGATATGGCCTGGATGCATCAGGACGTCAGCAGCAGGTGCCGCCCCAAGTTCCCTTCTGTCCTTGTACATGCCGAGGATCCAAACTTGCACGCTGGGTTGCGTTCCGGCCTCCACTAGCCCTGCTTGTGAAGGCCGCCCTCTTAGTGGAGTTCAAGGAGTCACGGGTAGTAGACACTTTGCGAACGATGCAGCCGCGATAGCCCGCGGCCGTACGCTCCGATCACCTGTCCGAAGGAATGGGGAGTACCGAACATGTAGGCTGCTCCTTAGTCTAGCGATGAAAGGATTCAAGCCCCTGGGCAGGCACAACATCCTCCTGTGGTGACGTGCACATAGCCAGACGAAGCAGCAGGGCCTGAAACTGGTTTTGCATATTGACGCAAACGTCCGCGTGAGCAATGGGGCAGGGGTCCTCGCTATCGACACCATGAAGCCAATGGCCGTGACACTATCAATATCATCGTGCATTGCCCAATCAGGCAGGTGCCCTCCTGGTATGAAATAAAGCGCGCTTGTGCTCCAGATCCGCAATCTTCCGAGCTGGAGCACGCAAACGACAGTGCTTCGCCCGCCTCGTTCAGCTCCGTGCCGCTATAGTTTGTACGCGCTGTTAAGATAAGCTTCGGGGCGCGCAGGCCGATATGAGTCTTGTACAAGGCCTTTCACGACTTCTTATTCGCTGTCTAGATGAGATATCGATTACAGGCTGAGAACGATCAGGCACCCTTGGACAGACCCGGACCAGAAGACATAGTAATACAGTGTACCTGTAACACTTGGTGCCTGATCTGGTAGTTCGACGTCATGATCGGTGTGGAAGTATGTTTCAAGATGGCCGAATCGCAGATACAGTGTCTTGTCATGTTGTACAGAAGAGCATCAAATACCGCTTACTTTCATTATCTGGCTCGGCGCTTACAGCTTGGCCATCAGCCGCGATGTTAGGCTCGGTCTTTCAAGAGCAGCGGGACCGTCGTAAACGTCTCTTTCAACAGCCCGCGTATTGATCTGTCAGCGTTAGTATCACCGGCCTCGGTTGATGCCAAGGCACACTATTTGAACTCACATGGTGTAGCCCCAACTGATCTACGCGCTCAACACCCAATAAACGCATGCAAGTCTCGGTTTCAGCTTTGAGGACTGTATAGCGGTCAGCAAACATGCAATGTAACGAAGGGAACGATACGACGCGGCGACCGGTGCACGTCATGCGGCTCTTTGTTGCGCCGCAAGGTAGGCAGGGATAAAGCGTGCCCTATAGACGTGTACTGCTGAGTCCACCAAGCGACGGGCGCCAGTCGATCAAAGAAAAAGGGTCCACTCACTTTCAAGAACCCTGGCAACACCTTCTTTGCCGCCAGCGCCCAAGCCGAACAGCGCAGCCCGACCAATACCAACCCCTTTCGCCCCGAGACAAAGTGCCTTGACGACATCCGTTCCTCTCTTAATGCCACCATCAACCCACACTTCTATCCTGTCAAAGACTTCAGGGCAGTATTTGCGGATCTCGAGCAGCGTGTGTACAGCCGGTGGTGCAGTATCGAGTGCGCGTCCGCCGTGGTTTGACAGAATGATGGCCTTGACCTGCGGTGCATGGAGACTGGCAAGATAGGCGTCCTCGTGGGTCTGGATACCCTTCAACACGATTGGCAGATCAGTGTGCTGTGCAAGCCACGGCAACGTCGTCTTCCAGGTAAGATCTGCTGCCGTGCCCCAGAACAGACTTTGTCCCACGCCCATATTTTTCGGTGGACTTGGGGTCTTTGCATCGGTGCTCGTCTTGCTCACGCTCGCGTCTTCTTGCACAGCTGCTCTTACAGGAAGGTTCGCACCGACGTTCTTAGATCTCTCATCATCTTCTCGCTTGCCTGGCACCGGTGCATCGAGCGTCAGGCAAATGAACTTTATTGCCGGCAGCTTCTTCATGCGTGCAAGCATGGCCTCGCTCTTTGCTCGTTCATTCTGGACGTACAGTTGCCAACCGAAGACTTGGCCCCCTTTCGCATCCGCGACGATCTGCTCGGGGGTCATGGAGGCGTTCTGCGAGATGACCTGCATGGCGCCATACTGCTCGCATGCCTGCGCGATGCCCCACTCACCGTCCGGATGCGCCAATCGTGCCATTGCGGCCGGAGACACGTAAATGGGCAGCTTCACTTTATTTCCGATGAAGCTCGTGGATGTGTCGCATCTGGTGCAGTCGACGAATACCCTCGGCCTCAGCAGAATCTGCCTGTATACCGTGTTGTTCAGCTTCTTCGACGTCAAGTCGTCACCCGCAGAATAATAGTATGCCCATGCCTTCTTGCTTATGTTCTTTGTGGCCACCTCCTCTATCTCATCAATGTTCAGTATGCTGTCCAGATCTACGGGTCCATCATCCTCTGCTGCGCCCATCTCCGCTGGCGACTTCTCGGTGGAAGGAAGCGTATCTGGGTCAACAGTTCCGAGATGCTGTTCGGGCTTGAGGCTTTCTTCGAGGATGCCAGGCGGGTGGATTGGATCGTACTCTTCGGTTGCGTCGGTGCCAGCGAGCTGGAGGATAACTTTAGAGCCACCGGGGTGCTCGGCGATGAAGTCGGTCACATCGTACACTTTGCCGTAGAGGACGACCCAGCAGCTGTCTGCTGTATTGTGCTTCCCCACTACGATCGAGTCAATACTGGTGGAGGTGACATTCGCGAGCGATTGTTCTTACCCTCTGCATAATCAAAAACTTTCGACATCTTGCCTATGCAATCGCAATGACTCCTTCCTCCAATCAGATCTGGCTGAAACGTAACACTGGCTTTTAGAACGATTGCTGCGCGGAATGCGTAGACCAGCAGCTATATGCTTTGTAAATGAATATTTATAAGCGTAACAATAAAGTCACAGGGCGTTGGAATGCTGTGGAAGGAGACAAAAGCTTTGGACGTCGACGAGAGTCGCATCTATAACCGACCCTGGTAGCGCGGCTTCAGCGCCATCCTCCGCCTTGGATGCGGGATTTGCGGGGTGAAATCTCGGGGCATTGCTTTGCCGAACTGGCAGTGCGGCCCGCATTTCTTCTTTAACCCAACATCGCCCATTTTGTAGCAGCCTTCTAGTGGCGCTTTTTTTTTGGGGGGGTGAAACATAAAACTCGTGTCCGCCGTCACATTCTGGTCTTGACCATTGACACATGGTGCTATGCTGTGATGTGAATCACGAATTGACTCAAATGCTGCGGCATATGAAATGCTTGGCGCCTGATCGTTCCCAGCAACATCTTCTGCGACGGATGACAACGTGATAGACTGACTGACAGTCTTATGAGCTTGACATTGCATGATTCAGGTGACAGATCACTGCAAACTCTAGGTTGGGTATCATGCCATTCATATTACTATTCTTCTGTGTCCGATCCACCGCATCGCCATTGTACCCTGAGCATCACCACCCCTCTACAGACACCGGCTCCAAGTCCGGGTCATTCTCGTCACCCCAGTCCATCTTCTCCAATTCTCTCCTGAAAAAGTCCTGCTCATCCTCGAGCACTCCACTTCTCGCGCCCATGCCCTCAGGATACCTCTTCAAATTGTGCCAGTGCGTCAGCGCCCTCAGCGCCTGTTCCAAAGGCACGCTCTCATCAACCTCGGCATCCACGTCGCTACCTGCCAGCCAGTCGTCTCTCAGCTCCGGCCGGCAATGTAGATACACCGCTGTGATGACGCGCATGTTGGACTGACGCCACTTGCGCCCGCAATACGGAACTTGGTTCTTGAACAGCTTGAGGGTGTAGAGGCGGAGCTGCGGCTGCGGCACCTTGAGACTCTTTCTGAGGAACTGGGAGGATTTGTAAGAGACGAGCATGAGGTTACGGTGTGCTTTGTTCTTGCAGATCTTTTGCATGATGCGTAGATAGTTGATGGACGTAAAGAAGGCACGCCAGGAGAACGTCGTAATGGGCTCTTTGGGGAGCTCGCTCGTCGGGAAGCCTAACTCGTCGACCTCTGGTGCTTGAGGCATGGCGGGGAGCGGTGAGGGTGGCTCTGCTTCGGATTCCAAGCTCTCTGGGTCGTCACGACGCATTCGAATTGGAGGTGGCACCGCATCGTCAGAGTCGGAATCGGCTTCAGGGCTCTCTTCTGGCTGCTCTTGATCGACACCCAATCTGGAGTGTGACCGGCAGAAATAGAAGAAACTGCTAATTTGGTTAGAGTGAACAGGTGTGAATGCGACTGGTAGCTTACTTGAGTTCTTCTTGCTCGCATTTGAAGTTGACGACCTTTTCAATTTCTTGAAGTTGAAGAAGTTTGAGTATCAGCGGGACGTAGCTAGAGTCGACCAGAAGCTGAGTTATGTACTCGTACTTTAAGATATCTATCGGCCATGGTCAGTGGAGCGCAGGAAAGGACTATATGAACAGCTTACGGGAGATCTTGAACCACTTGAGGATCAACATCAGGGTACCTGAGACCGCTTTGTCAAGCACTTCTTGCGTGCGCATTGCATCCAGTTCTTCGTTGGTTGCTACTGATCCGTTATGGCCATTGACCCCATTGGTTTCAGGCCTACCATTTTGATGATCCTGGTATTGGAACCCACTCTGGAGACCGTTGGCCCCATTTGCTTGCGTGACAAGAGCTGTAACATGCGACAGTATTGCCTTGATGAGGACTATTATCACCGACTGAAGACTAGGTAGAGCTTTTCGCTGCCTGATTGTTAGCTGGAATCTTCAAGATACTGAATAATACTCACGTAGAACTCTTCTACCAGATACAAGCGTTCTTCGATACTTCCCGAAGGCGGCGGCTCCTTCTTGGGGCTGCCCTCTGTAGGGTCCAGGGAAAGCTCATCGATGTCGGCATTGTCATCTGCGCCTGACCAACCTCGTTCGTACTTCATAAACTGCACACGTTCTTCCCACAATTGTTTCATAGCACGTGTGGCCCGCATGCGCTTCGCGTAAAGATCGGCCGCCTCCAGAATCGATGTAGGAATGTCCGGACCCTCCCATTTGCGTCCTACAAGCAGATCTTGTAGATCAGTCGAGCCTTTGCCACCAAGCTTGTTGCTTGTCTCATCGAGAGGTGGATACAGGAATGGAAACATCTGGTTGGTCTGGTAGTTCTGCTTCTTTCCACCCTTTCCGCCCGGGCCTGCTGGCGACGGAGGCGGCGAGGGCGCTGGAGTTGCAATGTGAACAGGCTGATGCAAGATGGATGCATTGTTACCACTCATATCTCCGAGCCCTGATCCGAACACATGATTTCCGGCGACTTTGTTCGGGTGGTTTTTCAGAGGTGGTAAGATCGAGTTGTTCTCTGGCTCCAACGGAAATATCGGGGGCGGAGGGTTATAGGCAGGGTATTTGGAGAGTATTTCTTGTCGAAACAGGTGATAGTCTAACGGTGATGCTGTGATTAAGGGCTGGCCCTTCGCATCTGCAGATTCTAGGGTTTTGTCTTTGAAGTTGTTCCTGGCCTTCTCTGCCTCTGCAACACCTCCGAAAGACACAAGAATAGTCTTCCACAGCAGCAGGCATATCTTTGGTAGCGGAAGACCGATGGTGTCATCCCACCGCAGCTTCGAGATGATGTCAATAAGCAGCATCAGAAGCCCAGGCTCTTCAAGCGCTAGAAGAGCTGTTCTAATCGTAGTATCATTATTTTCCGTCTCTTCCACTCGAGCAACTTCCAAGACAACATACACAGCTGTCATACTGCACCATGCCTCGCGGCGTTCAGAGTCCTTATTATCGCGCAAACCAGTGGAATCTGTATCGACGCCGCATGCCCGTGAGAATGCACAGCTGAGCTGGCTTATGATAACCTCCAGCCCGTCTAGATCGATCAGAAGTCGCACATTTTCTTGAATCAGTTGGACATGCTGTGCAGACTTGTCGTACGTGCCGGGAGCATGCCCGTCTCTGGACAGTGGGGTATGAACCGGCTCTTTGCTGCACTCGGTGTCCGTCAAACCAAGACCAGCACTTTCATGCCAACAACCAAGCAGGATGTACACCAATGCCTCGAGCTTCTTCAGCCTCGGCACCGGATCATCTCCCCTAATGACACCCAGCAAGTATTGTACAAATTCGCTCTGCTGCTGCTTTGTAGCTTTTGCCCAGTCTAACCCTCCTTCTTCGTATGGTATGCTGTTCAACCCGTTAAAGGTGCCCCACTCCTGCGCGAAGGACGTCTGCGCTTTCAGCAGCATCGCCTGCTCTTCCACGCTGTATGAGAACCACTCTTCGAGCTCGTCTTCGAAAGACGAAGCGTCTTCGTACGCGAAAGCATATGGCGCGGGATCGACTTTGGGCAGCTCGCTCACCAGGCTGCGCAACTGCATGAGTGATATCGGGTCGGCCGTCTGGGTAGCATCCGGCGGCGGGACTGGGGGTGCGGGAGGCGGAAGGTGCAACGGTGCAGGCAGCGGGACCGAGTTATCTCGTCGAAGCCCTGGACGTGCGGGCAGTGGTGCGCTGGGCCCATCGGGTAGGGCAGGCGGGTTCGCATTAGAATCGAACACGAGACCTTGTTGTTCTGCGGTGTCGAGAGGAAGGTTCAAGTCTTCCAGAGGCTCTGCCTCGATTACTGGCGTCTGCGTGCCACCCAGTCCCAGTAGCTCAGCCTCGTCAATAACGGGGGGCACGAGCGGCGCATCGGGGGTGTTGTTGCTGTTCATCGTAGCTCGTATGGAATGTTTTGGCGCGGAGATTTCACCGTGGCCACCATTTTCAGGCGACAAATTCAGAGCCGATCCATGTCAATGACTGAGCGGAGCGCACGTTTGCTTGACGCAGTGAAGAAGCGTCGCGGCATCTCCAAAGAGCGGAGGTGGGATGCTCCGCACACGCCAAGCGTGAATGGCTCGTGCCTTCGTCCGCCAATCAACCAATGACGCTCATGCAGGGAGATGCCAGGGTCCAGCCGAACTGTGAGGCTCAATTTCACCCATGCGCAAAGACGTCGTCTTGTATTGCCGATGACTTTGCTTGCCGATTGGTCTGGTAGCATCTCCCTCAAGGTCTGACTTGGCCGTCTATCAAATGAACGCTATCGGAAGGAGGTTATTGTACCAGTATCTCAGTGTGTACGTGAAGATTCGGTGTGGCCTGTAGTATGCAAAATCAAGAACACTCGGTTGTTTAGTCGACGTACAAGTTCATCACATTCGTCACTGTTTGCATACGATGGAAGTGTACTGTCATAAAACTAGTCGTCATCGAAACAGCTATAGCACCCCGAAATATGTGCATCAAGAAGGAAAGAAAATGATCTCCATCTCTCACAAAACAGGTAGTTGTCCACATGTTCGAGGCGAACGTGTACCGTCGGCACATGAATGAGCAAGAACGCACTCTTGGAAATGAGCGTCAACCGATGTATGACCCGAAAACTCCGTCTGAAAGCAGCCATTCGCGGGGTGACCTACCCCAGAGTATGTGAGAAAGAGATAGGTCAGCCTAAAGATGTGTTTTGCGCAAAGCAAGAAGCCACCAGCAGTACTGATCACACCTGCCCAGCTTCACGTTAGAGGACGGGCGAGGCAGCACGGGGATAAGAACAGAATGACCGGAGGATGTCGGTCTCAGCTTGACCCATTCTGCTCGCCGTTGTTCTCGCGGTCCTTGATCTCATCGGGAACGATTCCGGCATTCTCACAAGCGCGTTTGTAGATTGCACACTCATCCCAGGCCCGCTGGCACTCGCCCTTGAACTTGTCGCAGCTGGTGCTGAGCTCCGTGATGGCTTGTTCGGTCAAGAGCTTCTCTAGTGTCCATTTCTCGATGTTCTGTTGCTCATTCTCCTTGAGCTGAGTGATGAATTGGACAGCGCGTTGTAGGATAGAGCCCTTGTTCTTTTCGCAGCCGGGGACGATCTTCGCAAGCTCGTTGATGCCCTCGTTGATCGTTTCGCGGCGGCGTCGCTCCACTGCCAGCCCAAATCAGTATCAAGTTTAGAGCGATATGGACGACACATAGCTTACCTTCCTTGTGGTTGTCCCTTCGCACCTTATGCCATTCCTCGGACCCAACCGTTGGTTTATGGGATGTTGTAGCGGGTGGCGATTCATTGCCAGTACTCTGACCTGTCCTCGAAGACGACGTCGCGGCTTTGAGAGCTTCGAGGCTGAAATCCTGCATTCCCTGTGACTGATGGTGATCGCCCATGTTGAATGACGAGTCGCCGGTGGATGACTGCGGTTGGAAAGACAGCTCAGTTGCCTGGGGCACAGTCATCTGGTAATGCGCGATGGCAGCAGCGGCCGTTTCGCCCATGCTCTGGTTGTTTGCGCCGTCGAATTGTTGCTGCATATCGTCTCCGTTAGCCGAAGCGTTGTGTGCGGCAAGAGAGGCGAAGGCCTGGTCGGTCAGGTCGGAATTGCCGTGGTTCGTAGAAGGCGCGGGCCGGGAGTTGCCCTGATCGCGCGTGTCTCGCTTTCGCTTGTTGGTGTGAAGGCCGTCGTGGGCGCCGAGGCCTGTCTTAGAGGTGTCGGTTGGGTAGCCAGCAGTATCCGCCATAGTCTTCAAGGTCTGCTCGTACAGGGAAATGATGACAGTAGACTGCCAAAAAGAAGCATGTACGTGCTGGGGTGGCAGGTGCTCCTTTCGCTGGCGTTCTGGGGCTCTTGCTGAGCACCAATGACGTTGAGCGGCGTACGTAGATGAAGCGGCGGACCGACGTATGCAGCCGCGTGTGAATCCACAAGGCTAGGTCCTGTGACAGAGATAATGAGGTGGGCGGGGGGCTGCGCGAAGGCTGAAGTCGCAAGCAGGAGAGGTGACGCTTTGCCCACCAGTTCGCGCACGATGCGGGTGCTGCCAGTCGCGATCAACCGGGCGCAAGCAGAGGGGCCTGGTAAAGAACAGACTGTCAGCACGACGCGAAGAGTTGAATGTGCAGTGCGACGCGGCGCCAGTGGGAGCACGAGGCGATGCGCTTGCTGTTTGCCGTTGTGTATCACTCGTCTGTCAACCTCGAAGGGACGGCGCGAGCCACAACCTCGCGTCGTGTTTGTGTAGGTGCGCGCCGGACCCTCATAAGGCAGGCGCGGCCTGCTAGAGGATAGCGCGACCTCGCGCAGTGAATGCGGACGCGCAGCTCTAACATGGTGGTGTTGAAAGGGAGAACAGTGGGCGCATACCTTGGTTGTTGTTCGCGACGTATGGTTCGCGATAACGTGATCGGGCGCTTGAGGCTGCCTGGGTGAGGAGCACTCGCAACAAAAGAGCCAGATGATTCTGTGAATCGGACGAGGATAGCGGCAAGCAAGGCTGCTTACTCTATATAGCCTCAGAACGTCAACCGCTGCGATCTGGCTCAGAAAACGATATCGCCGGGTGGATAGGCCCTGGAGGGTGCAAGAACGTGATCAGTAGGTCACCTGAGGAGCGGCGGCGCCTGCGCTTTATGAGAGCGAGGAAGGGCCCGCCCAATGGTGCACGTGCCACCGACCCCGCGACCAGCCTTCCACCAGGCGTTCCCGCCCGCCAAACTTGTCGTGCAATAATGCGACGATTGCGTGTGAGCTTTGAGCACACCAAATGTCCGCGCTCTTGACATTGGCACGGCTGTTGCTGCACCTGTTATCACTCATACCGCAAATGCTGCAATCTAGACGGTCCTTCATCCACTCCTAACCTCAGATCTTGCTCCGACGGCCGCCCAAAACCATCAACCACAACTACAGTTGATAGTAAGTCAACTGCCTCAGCGGCCGTCGGGTTCTACCCCCCACGTCGAAGTAAGCTCAACGTACTCATGCAACCATCTGTCCGTTCTGGTTCACGTGCCTAGTGGGCGCATGTGACAGTGGTTCCCCACCACTATTCGCCCTAGCACCTTCCTGTCCTTGACGAGGCCTTACTAGAGCGGTCTGATGCCTGCGACATATCCATCTTTTCTGGCTGTGTTATCTGCCTAGGTGCATCGCTCGTATTCAGCTGACATCACCGTTCGAAAGCCTCAGCCAATATTTTGATCAATCGCACGCCAAGATGAAGCTGCTTGCCACAGTCAACACACCACTACATCCAAGACATTACGGGTCGTCCCGGATTTCCCAAGGTGTGCATCACGAGCCTCGCTGTGTAGCACAGATGGGTTACCCCAAGTCTGCACAATATTCATGCGAGCGTGCCCGTGCAAGCATCGCTTTGCCATCAACTTCTCTCCGATTATTGAATCAGCACCTAAAGCTACTTCTCGCATACACCGTCCAAGGCTCTACCTTCTATTGCCCCATTGCAGAACTCAGTTCTGGGTCTGCGTGGACGATCTTCTAGATATGGCACACCAAGATCTGCTTTTCAGTGCTCCTATGCTCTGAATCAATATGCATAGCGTCAGCGTGCTTCAAGCTGGAGTATTGCATAGTGTCAACGAGGTCATGTTGGCGTGTTTTCCGTCAAAGCAACGTCCATCGCGCAGCCTGTGGTCACTCGTCACAGCATAGCAACGGATGCAATGCAGGTATCGATTCATTACCATCCGCCGCGGCAGTTTGCTTTTGTCTGCCTAGGCTGCGCACACAATCATATCTGAGACAAAGCATTGCAACGTGATGTGGTCACGAGGCTACACAGACGCGTTTAGCGGAGTGTACAAGAGGGTCGCATCATGCTCAGGTGACCTCTAGGATGCTTTGCCGGAATCGTTGCGGCAAGCAAAGTGCGACTGTTACTTGACAGTTGTCAATATCGGCCTCAACTTGAATTTCCAGCAGACGCAGGACTGAAGGAAATGCTTTACAACCGCCTTCAAGTAGACTTGGTCTGCTTTTCCACACATAGCCCTCAAGGTCTGCGTAGACGCTATCTCCGTACGTCAGTAACATTCCAATAGAGCCTGCTAGAAGCAAAATGTTCGGCCTGCCGCAAAGTATCCGACAAACAGCTCTGCTAAAAGCCTTCTCAGTTCACGAATCAGCGCATCATAACTTGGCAGGTCGAAAACTTCATACTCCGTAGCATTAACCCTTTCTACAATACCTTTACGGGAAGCCCATCGTCGTCTGTTCCCTCGCCTGCATCCAGCATCAACCATCCGACCTCTTACTACAGCGCTCCTTCCAAAGCTCTTCAGTACCGACCCGACGCTTACACATTTCCATACAGCTTCCTCACGACTTCTTCGCAGTTCGTACCAAAGTATGAAAGTATCTGTTGAAACATATCTTGAGCCCGTCGTATCTTTCGATCCCTGTCTTATGACACCACTGGTCAAGTGCAACAGTCCAAAGCTACCCCTCCAACCCACCACCGAAGATCTCAGCTCAAGTAGAGACAAACGATCAAGCCAAGCAGACCGTTCAGATCGAAAGGAGACCCGCAGTTCCTTCTTCACTATAATCGAATTCTTGAAGAGCAATCTCCATGCCATCCGGCACCAGCGTCCCGCTCGCACAAATCAATAATAGAGGCTAGGCCAAAGCATATCTGAGCCTATTGATCTCAAATCTGCCACTTACAACATACAATCTTGAGCGATTTTCAATCCCGCTTCCCCACCCGCCAAATACGTCGTGTATGATGTGACTGCGCCAGTGCTACCTGCCCCCCCACCACACCCCACCAATATCAGAAATTTTCTTGACACCGCACGACCTGTGCTCCCACCCCCACTTCAAACCCCTCGACGGTTTCCCCATCTCACACCTACCCACTTTCCCTTCATTATTATATGTCAATATATATTTAAATCTTGCTCGCACTTTCATCCATCAGCCAATTGTCAACTAGACAATTACGGTCGCTTAGCTCAGTTGGTTAGAGCGTGGTGCTAATAGCCTTTGCAACGTTAACGCCAAGGTCGCGAGTTCGACCCTCGTAGTGACCAATAAAGATTCTTTTTGCCGCATTTACCATGCCTTGTGGAGGGCGTCTCGTGGGTGGAGTGCGATATCTTTTTTGGGTGTGGAGGCGGCAGGGAGCTGGACATGAATGGACTGGATCACACGACGCACATTACATACTCTCTATATGCCAATATAACTAGAGAACGATGCTCGTGTTTTTGTTCCATGGTTTGTTGGTAAACATATTTCTGGAAGCACATGTGCTAGCGGCGTTGCACTTCGCCAATTGTTCACAGGATTGGCGTGGTCAGATTTTCTCTCACACAAAAAGAAGAACAGGAATCTGTTTGCGGATAGAAGGTTACAAGCGAAAAGCTAATCTCCATACACGCTTTTCTTCCAAGCACAATAACATATCAATCCCAGCGCCTGCCCAAACACCGAAGAATGCCCCGTCCAATCGCCGCGCTATGCAGTAAACAAAACCTTCCGCCTAAGCCTCGTAATCATAACCCCCCTTCCCAAACTCATCCTCCAACCCAATCGTAACCTTGATATTCATCGCCCCCAACTCCTGAATCAGCAGTTTCGCCGCATACGGCATGGTAATGCGCCTGACGCCCTTCTCACTCTCACAGATGCGGCAGTACCCACTCGCCCCCATCTGTCCGCACCGCTCGCACACATCGACATTGTGCGCATCGGAGCTGATCATCAGCCGCTCGAGCAGCAGCTGCGATGCACCGTACGCGATGAGGCAGTCACGCTCCATTTCTCCAAGACGCAGACCGCCGTCGCGCGCGCGACCCTCGGTGGGTTGCCGAGTGAGGATGGCGCGCGGGCCGCGGGAGCGCGAGTGCATCTTGTCTTGGACCATGTGCTTGAGTTTCTGGTAGTAGATGGGGCCGAAGAAGACGTAGAACTGGAGGGCTTCGCCGGTGATGCCGCTGGTAAGGTAGTCCTTGCCTGTGTAGGAGAAGCCGTGTTCCACGAGGACGTCGGCCATGTCGAGGACTTCGGAGCCGCCGAAACAGGTACCGTACTCGAGGGTGCCGCGCAGGACGCCGGCTTTGCCCGAGTGCAATTCCTTCATTTTCCCGACCGTCATACGTGAGGGGAAACCGTGGGGATTCATAATGATGTCGGGGCAGATGCCTTGGTCATTGAAGGGCATGTCTTCTTGGTTGACGATCAGACCGCAGACACCCTTTTGTCCGTGGCGAGACGAGAACTTGTCGCCGAGCTCAGGGCGGCGTGTTTGCCGCAGCAGAAGCTTGATGAGGGAGGTGCCTGCTTCATTTTCGGTGATGCAGACTTTATCAATGTAGGACGGGTCGGGAAGTTTGTATCGCATCTCTTGGGTCTTCATGGGGATGTTGCCGCGTGCTCCGGTCGTGGTGTCCGAAGGCACGGCTTTCATCAGGTAGGTTTCGCCCTGGTTCACTCGGGCGCCGACCTGCGCGATTCCATCTTTTCCGATTGCTCCGTACTTTGGATCTGCAAGATTTTTGGGCTGCATGGCCGTCTTGTCGTCAATGCCATCCGAGGTACCGTTCGCATAGGTCTTGAGTGGCACGACAGTCTTCTTAAGCACCTGGCAACGCCCAAAACCGCGGTCGCAGGATGCTTTATTAAGCACAAGGGCATCTTCAATATCATAGCCGGAGTATGACATGACGGCGACGGTGGCGTTCTGCCCAGCGGGAAGCTTATCGTACTTTGTCAATTCGATGGTCCTTGTTTTCACCATAGGCTGCTGAGGGTAAACCATGAGATACAAGAGTGTGTCTATCCTGGTGAACTGGTTATATGCGATAGCTCCGATGGCTTGTTTACCCATAGCGCACTGATATGTGTTACGAGGCGACTGGTTGTGATGAGGATACGGAATCAGGCCGGCGACAGCGCCGAGGATTGTAAATGGCTCGATTTCCAGGTGAGTTGTGTACGGTCCAATGTCTTTCTCTCTGATCGCAATGTTGGTATCATTCTCTTCGTTGCAATCCAGATACTCAACCAAACCACGGGTAAGAAAGTCTTCAAATTCCATTGATCCTTTTCGGAGCGCCTTCAGGTAACGCGCTGTGACTTTAGACCGTCCGTTCTCCACGATGATGAGCGGCCGACAGATGCGACCTTCGTCAGTAGCGATGTGCACCTCGCAGAAATCGTGGTTGATGTAGATGCTCGTGAACTCCGATATTCGGCCCATTCGCCTTAGCTTTCGGAAGTTGACGAGGAAACTCTTGGGAGTGCTCGTAAGGGCAATAGGGGTACCGTTGAGGCAGACCGAGTACAAGCCTTCCCTGTGTATCTCTTCACCAGTCTGCATGCAGATGTCTTCAGCTCCCAGGAGGAACACCATCTTTCGTACTGGGTCCTCGTCGTCCTCGGTGGTGATGTGAGTCATCAGAGCCAGGTTCTTGACGAGACCGCAGGCTTCTCCTTCGGGCGTGTCCGAAGTGCACAGCATACCGAATTGAGAAGGCTGTAGCGCACGGGGACCCGACACCTTTCTTGTCTTCTCGAATTGACTGGATATGCGCGTCATCATACCGAGAGCCGCAATGTAACTAAGCCGACTGAGAACGTGCGTAACACCCGCCCGGTCCATCTTGAAACGCTTGAGACTCCAGTTGCCGGTAGCAATAGCACGCTCGATACCGAGCGTGATGTGGTTCTTAAGGGCGCCGATGTGCGAGAAGGCATCAAATTCTTGGGCGCGGTTCTGCTTCTTAAGCACCTTGTCTATTCCTAGCTTGAAGTCGTGATTGAATCTCTTGAAGTGATCTTCAAATAAGAGGGACAACATCTGACCGGACAATTCGAGACGCTTGTTGCCGACATAATCTCGGTCGTCTACGAGGCTGGGATTGACTTCAGCCATGACGACCCTCCGTGCCATCAATGCAATGTACAGAGCTTTTGTCCTGAAATTGGTACCTTCCACAGCCACGTGAGGCAGGACGACGTTCGCTAAGCATTCAATGGCTTCGAGGTAGTAGTTCCTAGCTCGTCCAAATTTCTTAGTCAGGCGGACGCGGTGGCCAACATGTTCCAGTGCTGCTTGTTGTGTAAAGATTTTGGCTTGCATGCAAGATTCAAAATTAACGGTGAACTTGTCCTGATACTCAGCATCGTCGCCGCAAATCAAAACCATGATTTCCTCGTCTGAGAGCACTCCTAACGCTTTCATGACAATGACAATCGGAATCTCCTCGGAAAGCGTGTTGTGGCGCAGGTACATGAGGCCTTTCTTTTGAATCACGTATGTCTTCGTTTTCCGCTCGTTGGTCGAACTCGTTACGCTGGCCTGCATGATTCCTTTCGCACTCTCCACAATGACACGATTCTTGTTTAGTTGTTCTTGAACGAGGATAACTTTCTCTTGGCCTCTTGTAATAAAGTAGCCTCCGGGGTCCAGCGGGCATTCTTCCAGAAGAGCCATCTCCCTGTCGTTCTTCCCTGCAAGCACACACTTGTTGCTCTTGAGCATGATAGGCATTCTGCCGATCTGCACGTTGTTCCTCCTGACCCGACTGGATCCGCGCGTATATACAATGTCCACAACGATGGGCGCAGCGTATGTCATGTCTCGTAACCGGCACTCGTTGGGCGTAATTGTGCTCTTGTAATGTCCGTTCACATTGTCTTCTTCCGCACGATTCGGCGCCAGCACCCGAATATCCTTGTATTCGAGCAGAAACTTTGGGTCGAGATCGCTGCGCACGTATCGGTTCGCTTGGAGTATCTTCTTAAGATCCACATCGACAAAGTGATTGTACGAGTCAACGTGCTGCTTCACCAGACCCTTTACTTTCAGAAACGCCGGGAGTAAGTTCCACTTGTCACGCGCAGTGTCGATGGGATCGGTAAGCGATTTGCCGTAGTAGAAGGGTTCGAGCATGGCCGCGAATTCGTCCTTCGCGCTGCTGTTGAGTGGCGCTTTTTGGCGACGGTTCTTGTCGGCAGCGTTGGCGGGCGGATCCACGTCCATTCCATCTTCTGCGAGCGCGCGCTTGCCCTCCTGTATATCACCGCCTGCGTCTTTAGTTGCAGCTGCGCCGGGCGCGGCTGTCATTGCCCCGCGCGGGGCAGGACGAGGCCTCGGTATGGGGGGTTCCTACGAGTGTCAGTGTGTGCTTGGAGTGGTGATGCGATCGCATTACCTTTTGGCCCACCATATCTGGAACTGAAGAGCAGAAACAGACAGTTCGTTGCAGAGGCAAGGTGCGGATGGAGCAGCTTGACTTCAAAATAGTTTTGCCGCAGGTAGGCCGAGTCACAGGTCCCCACCAATCGGGGGTTCGCAAGTGCCGCAGCCTCTATCTCTCAGCGTGGTGAGTGCCCACAACCACCTTTCATCTACAGTTAGTGTGGTGGTACGTGATCCAAACAGCAACCTGGCCAGCGCTGTGAAAGTGAAACAATTTGATAGTGGTATCTTGTTGAGGTGCTAGGACCGTGGTATGCGCGTGCAGCATTCTGTGGCGCACAGAGCACATTTGAGCTGTTACTTCAACCGTCTTCGCAAACGTAAGTTCCTCCGATGGCTAGAGCCGCTCGCTCGACAAATCAAACAATGGCTTGCTGCTGTGTGTGATCTTTACATGCCGGATCGTATTACAACGTCAAGCTCTGAGATAAGCATGCGGGACCATTGTTGTGAGCCTCGAGTCTTCGATGCTAGTATATATTAGACTTTGTGTTGTTCACTATCCGCAATGGTTATTGCGTGTCCACGTTTTCCACAATGTATAATCAGGTCAGGGTTCCCAAACAAATCGAACCATTCCGTCTAGACTCGCAAAGCACCCAAATCTCATATCGACCGATACTTCCCTCGAGCGCCAAACGCCCCCATGCCCATGATCCAAGCAAATTCCACCCTCAAAATGCCATCGATACTTTACAGATTGCAATCATATCCCAACACTTGCATAACTATGCAACTACCGAGATATTCAATCCAGCTGTATACATGTGAAGCTGATTCAAGAGAATAAGTTTTGATCCAAACGATGTGATGTGAAACGAGCAGCGCGCTACTAGAACGCTGCGCCGCCAACCTCACTGTCCCCGTTCAGCGACCTGAGATGTTGTTCGGCAAGCTCGGATCGCAGCGCAGCATTTTCCGCGTCTCGACCCAGTGCGTCCCATTCCCTCAGACTCCCACGCTTCGCCGCCTCTTTCGCCTCGATCTGCTCCCGGAGTTTGCGCGCCTCCTCTTCCAACTTGAGAATCTTGCTCGTATCAACAAGCTCAGGAGCCTTTTGACCTCCTGTAATCTCTTTTGGAAGGTTGTCAAGATGGCCGCCAAAGCGCTGCGTGCGAGGATAGGTAGTAGACGTGCTGTTGCTAGAACCGCGGAACGGTGGAGCAAAGGTTGTAGGCCCGTTTCCTGGTCCGCGAGGGCCAGATGGCGGCCCTCCATGGTAGCCTCCACCTCGCGCACCCCAAGTCGCTGAACCCCGGCGCGGAGGACCAGAGAAATCACGAGGTGCGTCGTAACCAAAGCTACCGCGGCCACCGCCTCGAGGGCGAGTAGGAGCAGCAAGAACCGGATTGTGACTGCTAGTGCGGGGAAAGGCAGGCGGCTGTGGAGTAGAGTTTGACGGTCCGGACGGTGGGGACATGGCTGGCGATGGGTAGCTGCGGTCCCTGGGTCCCGTGGGAGGGGCACGGGAATAGTTGCTTTCTCCGTTGCGGTACGATGAGGAAGGTCCACTTGGCGGTGCGAATTCCCGCTCGCGGTCACCTCTAGGCCCTGTCGGTGGGCCATCGCGAACCCGGGGAGGAGAACGTTCTCGCTCCCGGTCGCGGCTTCTATCCCGGCCGCGGTTGTAGTCCCGGTCTCGATCAAAGTCACGCTCGCGAAAAGGAGACCGAGGAGCAGAGACTGGGTCTCTCATAGGCCTGTCATCAGGTACCAAAGCAGCCCTGCTAGGGTGGACTGGTGGTGGAGATGAACGACGCGAGGTAGCTGCAGATTCCCTGCCCGAAGCATCGTTTGACGCATATGTGTTTCTAGCCGGAGAGGGCGACCGGCGTCTCCAGGTATCTGCGGTATACGGGTCTGCACGCTCTCGTCGGGGGGAAGGCGATCGACGACGGTAGTCTCTGGTATCGCGAGCGGGCGAAAATCGTCGCGGAGGGCTAAACTAGGTTAGCTTACGTTCTTTCACATATATGCTGTTTAACATACCTCTGTGCACGGGAGCGAGGTTCATCGTACCGGCCGGTACGTGGGGGCGAGCGAGCGGCACGGCTCCTGGCTGGCGAAGGGTCCCGTTCTCGAGGTGGCGGAGACCTGTCGCGGCGAGGAGAGCGCGTGTACGAGTCGTACTCCCGGCGAGGGGGGGATCTTGCGCGATCGTTGCGGAAATCGTCTCTTCGAGGAGGAGGAGGAGGAGAGTATGCGCGGCGAGGTGGGGATCGAGCCCTACCGGCCCTCCAGCGATCGTCATCCCGCCTAGGGCTCCTGGATCGCCTGCGGAACGATGCCGGAGAGCGACTGCGAGGGCGCGAGGCACGACCGCCACCCGGTGTGTACGTGTCTGCGCGACTGACTCCACCGCGAGGAGGGCTTCGGTCACGGGTGTTGGCGCGGTAGCTGTCGATCCGCGGACCAGGCGAGCGAGGACGGTACGTGTTCGAGTATCTGTCGTCCCTAGACTGCATTAGCTAGGTGCGCAAAGTGCGAACGAGGCCTGTTTCAGCTCGAGTGTAGAGCTGCATACGAATCGACAGGCTTGGGTGCAACAAACCTCCGGTCGCGGTCGCGATCGTCTCGTTCTCTACGGTCCATGGCGATCAGAGCTTGCAATCTTATTGCTGCTGGCGACGATACACGGCGATAAATAGTAGCTTTCGTTGCACTGGGATATGAATGGACGAAGTCAGTGGTGTTGCGGAGTTCGACGTCGACGCTCGTTTGTCCTGCGCAGGTCAGGGTTGTTCGAACTTTCTAAAGAGGCCAAGCCAAGCCTGGGGCCCACGCGACGACAATCGCGCACGTGATGCCGTTCTAGGCCCAACATTGACATCAATCTTGACAGTGCTCCGTCTGCAAATTCCACAATATAATCTAACCGTGCGTCTTGGAAGCCCCGTATGGATCGTTTCGTTCGAATGAATCCTGAGAGAAAATCGTCCACCGTGCACGATACACTTGTCAATGTCCACCAAATCCTCATTTTTTTGTCTCATCTTGATGTCATCACGAGCCAACATTTTTAGTGTCTTCTTCCATGAGTTCCGTTGTTCTTGTATTCAGTGTTGATTCAGTAGTTGCAAAGGCCCCTCCAGAGAATTCTTTACGCTCGAGGGGCATCCTGATGGCAATCGCCATATCTTCCTCCCAAAGACTGTCCTTGCGCCTCAAATGCGACCATGCCCACGCTGTCTTTACGCTGGTATCTTTACAAATCTTACAACCCAAGTCCTCCCGCATCTCTCCACTGCTGGCCTTTTCAACGCCGAGGGCGACGCTCGTCGTTGCTCTTCTCCTCCCTCTTTTGCCTCTTTCGGGACTCTGCCGCAATCATCTCACTGAGATCATCTTGATCAATGGCAGACCACTGGCCCTGCATCTCCGCTTTTCTCTGCGCCTCATACTGCTTCCTCAGTGCCTCCTTATCCAGCTTGTCGCTGTCTGCCAGGGCATCCACATCCACCGAGATATCGACATCGCCAGCTTTGCGCTTGCGCTGGCTGTGGTCGCCAAAGTTATCGCGTCTGGCAGCATCAAGATCATAAGCATGTTCACCTCCGAAGAATCCAGTAGACTGAATGTTCTTCTCCGGAAGCACCTGGAAGGCGCTACGCGGTGCGCCAGGCTCTTCCGTCTCGATGCCCTTGCGCTGCTTGCGCAATGTGAATTCACCGCCAATGGTCTCCGTTCCGCCAATTTCTGAGGGGAGTGCAGAGGCAGTAGTCATCGAAGTTTGGATACCCGAGGCATCCTCTGTGCCCTCTTCTTCCTCCTCATCCTCATCGTCCTCCTCCTCATCGCTCTCTTCTTCATCGCTCTCGCCTTCGGCGCGCAAGACACCCCAGATGCTGCGCTCGACAGGTTCGCCGTGCTGAGTGGGAGCGGCTTGTTCCTGCAAGATACCCTGTCCAAGAGGATCTCCACCCCATTGGGGCCGATGTGTAGCGTCGTCGATCGGTGGTCGGCCCCATTGCCCCGCGGTGAAGCCCCAGGAAGCCCCGGGGGGTATGGGCGCGTTCACACCTGGAACTTTCAGGCTGGGATATGAAGGAGGAGGGCCGAAACGTTGCTGGTTGATTAGCCATGGCGGAGGCTGACCAGGACCCATGCCCAGTGCATCCTTCAGCTCCTCGCTCAGCACGCCAGGTTTCAAGTGAACCAGACTGGTCTCAAACTCTTTGCCCTCGTAGTACACCTCTCCGTAGCGCGTCATCTCTGGCTTGGTCTGCCTCCGGAAGAAGGCGTCGTAGAGCTTTCCGTAGTCCATGTCGAACTTCCCGAGTTTTCCTTGCACACGTTCGCGCTGCTTCTGTTTCAGGGTCATTTCCGCTTGCTTCTCGAGAACTGCTTCGCGCATCTCCGAGATGCCGGTCTCCTGGATGAACTTGGGCAATGCGAACGGTGGCTTCTCGATACCACGCTTCGACGAAAGGTACTCACGCTTGAGAGACCAGTGATTCGGTACCGGGACGACATTCTTGTAGCCCTTGATAGCAATCAGTAGACGGGGGTCTGAGGAAGTCGGATCGGTCCACTCCACGAGCTCCGGTTTGTCGACCGACGCCTTAAGTTGTGCCACGGTCATCTTGTTCATTTGTTTCCGCTGTTTCTTCGAGATCTTCTTCGCGGAGTCGTCCTCCTCGTCGGGAATGTCATCATCGTCGTAGTATATCTCAGCCTTGTCCTCGTCCTTTGCGACCTCTTCCGCAGTGGGTTCGCGAAACTTCTCAAACACGTTCTTGTACTGTTCGAATAACGGGTTATCAAGATCATAGGCATTCGCGAAGTCGTCAACGTTCAGAAGGTCCGCGGTTCGGACCGCCTGTTCTTCGTTATTGGTCTTGTCGTCGGGAGCAGGAGTTTCGCTCTCACGCGCAGAGTCGCCGGCCTCCGATGGGGTCTCCTGTTGTATGATCAGTACTTTTCTGCGCCAGGGTAGTGTCGCGGAACTCACAGCGCGCTGTGCCTTCTTCTTAGCCCTGCGATATGCATTCTTCGACGCCTTCTTTGAGGCGGGAGTCCCGTTCGGGGCCATGGCGGTGGCGGTCGCCATATGGAGTGATAGCAGCCCGCTACGCGGCGAAGGTTAGGTTTGATCTTCAGGCGGCCTAGAGGAAGGCGCAAAGGCGGTATACAAACCAGGCCGTGGGCTATCTTGCGAGGACGCGGCGCAAATGCGCGTTGACAGGATCGAATCGTGGCGGTCGGGGTCTTGAAAGTCGTAGGAAGCGGAGCTGGCGAGGTGAATTTGGCGTCGGCAGCGCCTGCCCAAATCGTGGCTTGGCATCACATGACCTCGTCAGCCTGACCAGAACTTCGAGTCTTCCAAAGTTTCTAGTGCAATATGCCTGCCCTGTTACCACGCTCGAACGATTATCACTTCTTTGTCATCGTTAATTCCATATGCTACACAGTACACGTCATACCGCTCGTACGGCGTATCTCCAAGGCTCGAAACCAATGCCTTCATTTCCATGCACCTCATTGAGTTTCACCCATCGAGTGACAAAAGCTTACAGCTTCGCATCTATAGTCGACTTTCATCCCCGAATTTCTTCGCCCAAAAACCTCGGAAGTGCTTCTTCTGGCCAGCCTCGTTGATCTGCTTGATCTCGGCAGGCGTCAGCTTAAAAGTCGCTGCCCTCAGATAGTCGCTCAGTCGCTGCTCTTTGCTTGAAGTCGTGATAGGTACAACATCCTGATCGATGCACCATCTAAGGCTGATCTCGCCCGCGCTGACGGCGTACTTCTTCTCGAGGCCAGAGAAGACGTCGTCAACTGGACCTGGCGCTGCCTTGGTGACTGCTGTAAGAGGTCTATAAATCGAAAGGTCAATGTTTGTCTGGGTGATGTTTAGCTGTCGTACTAACCCGTAAGCCGTGGTCGCGATGCCGTGCTTCTTGTGGAATTCCAGAGTCTCCACACGTTGGAGGTAAGGGTGAAACTCGATTTGGTTCACAGCAGGAGTCACTTTAGCAGTCTTTAGGACAGCTTCAAGATCCTGGGGACGGTAGTTGGAGACACCGATGGTCTTGACGAGACCGGCCTTCTGTACCGCTTCCATCTCAGCCCAGGTGTTCTGCAGGTCTTGCTCCGACTTCGCCCAGAAGGGGGAGTGGATGAGGTAGCTTCGGAAGTCAGCTGGGTACATGAGGCACAATCTGAAGATACTTACAGATCGACATAGTCTAGCTGAAGTTTTTTCAAACTCTGCTTGAGCGCCCGTTCAATATCGCCAGCCTCGCCTGTGGGTTCCCACACCTTGGTGGTGACAAAAAGCTTACTGCGGTCGACACCACTCTCCTTGATGCCTTGACCAAGCTCTGTCTCGTTCTTGTATGCTGCAAGTCGATCAGCATATAATCAATTGGCGCAATGGCTGGGTATCAGTTTCTCTTGATTTGAGCTGTATCCAACTTATAACAAGAGCGTGCAACTGTGAAGAATTGTGCAAAACTCACATTCCGCACCATCAAGATGGTAGTAACCAAGCTTAATTGCAGTTTTCACACCGTCGACAATGGCTTGGTCGAGCTTGCCCTCTTCCTTCTTTCCCCAAGCCGTTCCCACGCCATAGGCAAGCATAGGAATCGAGGCGCCATCATTAAGCTTGAGAGCTGGGATTGTAACGTTGAGGTTGGCCATGCCCGATATTGTTTTCACGCCTAGTCGTCCTCGGAAAAGGTCACCGCGTTTGTTGGAAGTAGCTAGTAGGAGGTTATGACAACGGTGCGGGAGGGAAGATGAGTAACGCAGAGTAACTGAGGCAAACACTTCAGCATGCAGGATGTAGGCTTTATAGATCAGATGTTGGAGAGATGTCGGAGGTTGCCTTAAGGGTTGATTTGGTGCAGTGACTCGAAGAAACAAAGACGTGGTTACCAATCCGTACGTGAGGGCGGGCCGAAGGTGGGGTGGTAAACGCAACCAATGACGCCATGTCGCCATGGGTGCCGAGCAGCAGTCAAGGCTTCATAGAGAGGCATCTAGGAATTTGATGTCTACTTCTGCTTGCTGATGAAGCGTATGCGCATTACAGTACGGCGGTAATCTATGCTCTGTAATTGCAAGTTTTAAACGTGACGACCTGGTCCAGCTGTGGGAAGTACCGGTATATGTTGCCGGCCCGAGACCCGAACCGAGTAACACGATGCGCGCAACGGCGGTTCCAGTGAGCCAACACGTCATCATGGCGGCACAAGCTGATAGAGTAATAATTGAAAATCGATCTATGGTATCCTACATCGCACAAACAACATCATGCAGCAAAGCCGACGATGACTCAAACCCCTCGTACGCGCAATGGGCTGCCCCGGTCTGGGTACCGGCGCACAGCAGGTATATAACGTTAAAGGAAAAGACAGTACTCCAGGAAGCCGCACGCTTTTTACCTGGCCCCATTCACAGATTTCGTTGTTGTATTAGTAGACGTCCAAACATTTCCACTCCTTAACGCCGATAACATAAACTCTTTTGGGTATCAATGCAACTTCACGCACTCTTCTCGTGCTGGGTCGACACGCGTTGAAGGGAGACGACAAAGTCCTCCAATGAGCGCTGCTTCTGGTCTTTCTTGGGTGATTTGCCGTGCATGAGGTTGTCGAAGCCCTGACTACCCTGGAGAAGATAGTAGATGCCGCCCATGACGCAGAACACACCGAAGGAGAAGATCCAGATACGCACGACAGCGACGATACTGGTTTTGCCGCCGACGAACCAGCCGAAAATGCAGAAAAGGGTGGCAAGGATGTCGACAACTAGGATAGCTCCAGACAGCTGCCACGATGGGATTGACGACCAGAACGGGCCATTGGCACGGGTGATGAAGATGAGCCAGTTCTCGGTGAGCGAAATTTCAAGGAAGAGAACCTCGTCACGAACACCAAAGTTCTGGACGATCCCGCCGCCGACACCCTGGCCATTCGTGAGGGAATCATTGTGGTACGGGAACATTGTGGTGAGCGTGATCCAAGTACCAACAGCTAGAACAACGCCAAGGAGGACGGACATACCCCAGAGCTTGGGTAGGTTCCATTTGACGGGCGTCTTGCTAAATGGAGCGTTATCGTACGCGATGGCGAGGGTGGCGATGTCGGCGAAGATGGCAATGAAGACGACAAGTTCCAAGTTAAGGGACGTGTTCAGGATGGCGATCCAGAGACCGAGGAAGATTTCCAGATGCAGCGACAAGGCGATGCGGTAGACGACGTATGCGTACATGCGGTGGAAGATCTGGCGCGAAGTCTTAAGCGCATCGATGATGGCAGAGAGACCGGGGGCCAGGAACACGATATCGGCAGCGGAACGAGCAGCGTCAGAGGCGCCCTCGACCGCAATACCAGTATCAGCTTTTTTCAGCGAAGGTGCATCGTTCACACCGTCACCCGTCATGGCGACAAGATAGCCACGTTGTTGCAGAATCTCAACGACGTTGTACTTGTGTTGTGGGAAGACCTCGGCGAAGCCATCAGCCGCCTCCACAAAATCATACACCTCAGAACCGGGCATTTCACCGCCGCCACCAAGACCGAGACGCTCAGCATTGTAGACATTCGTTCCTAGACCGAGCTGACGAGATGTTTCCCTAGCAATACCGACAGCATCACCAGTCAACATTTTTATGGAGAGACCGAGAGTTTTGGCTTCGTTGATAGTGCGGCCAGTATCGTGGCGAGGCGGATCCGAGCATGGCATTATGCCAAGTATCTCCCAGCCCATGTTGCCGCGCTTGCGAGCCACGCCTAAAGAACGGAAACCACGGGTAGCAAATTCGGCGACCTTATTCTTGTATGCTTCGTCGATGGCCTCGGGGATAGGATGGTCCTCCTCGACCGTCTTGAGCACGAAAAGTGGAGCGCCTTTGACGCAGATGATACGCTCACCTTGAGGAGACTCAACGACAGCCTGGACCTTCTTGGAAACGGGGTCGAATGGATGGAAGTCAATAACCTTGTACTTGCTAAGTACGTTTTTAGCTAACAACATTAGCAGCTGCGTCGAAACACTATGCTAAAAAGGACTAACCACGCGGGTAGAACTTGAGACTCTTGAGAAAGGCTTTGTCGATTGCGTCGATACCCTTCTTCTTGCGCGATGCGGCCAAGCAGGCGGTAAGCATGAGATCCTCGGGGTCGACACCGGAGACGGTGAAGGGCTCGGCAAGAGACAACTTGTTCTTTGTCAGGGTACCCGTCTTATCAGAGCAGAGGATTTCCACACCGGCCAGAGACTCGATAGCGCTGAGTTTCTGGACGATAGCCTGCTTCTTTGCCAGGTAGGCGGCTCCGACAGCCATGGTGGTGGTTACCTGAGATGCGGGTACAAAGTCAGTGTGAGTTAAAACAGGATGGTACATGTCTTAACTAAACGCGAAAGACAAAACACGTCGAGTTCGTATCGGGTGGTTTACTTACGACAGCGGGAAGACCGACAGGAACACCGATGATGGTGATGGCCAAGGTAAATTCGAGGATGTGAACGATGCCGTTGGATCGGTAGAAGGAGCTAACCCAGACGACCAAGAGGGTTAGGATAACCAAGATGAGAAGAACCGTGCCGATGCCGTTAAGGACCTCAGTGAAGTGACCGGTCCCGCTGGAGGCGCTGGCAACGAGAGAGGCAGCGCGACCAACAAAGGTGGAGTCACCAGTGGCGGTGATGACGATGAAAGCCTCACCACGCTTGACCGCAGAAGACTGATAGCAGACATCGCCCCTGTGCTTATCGACAGCAAGGGACTCACCGGTGATCGCTGACTGGTCGACCTGAAGAAAGGCATCATCGGTAATGATGCGGCCATCAGCGGGGATGATGGTACCTTCCTCGACCTGCAGGATATCACCAGGGACAACCTCGGGTGCCTCTACTTCGACAAGCTGCCCGTCGCGGAGGACTGTGGCCTTGAGGGCGAGCGTCTTCTTCAACTCGGCGACAATAGAACCAGCCTGAAACTCTTGGATGAAACCGACGCAGGCGTTGAGCAGGAGCAAAGCACAGATGACACCGAAATCGACCCAATCCTGAAGACCGGCAGCCAAGACGGCAGCGGCCTCCATGACGAACTGGATGGGACCGACGAAGAACATGAGAAACTTGAGAACCAGGTTCTCCTTCTCCTCTGTATTAAATTAGCGTATGCAAAGCGTCTTGAGGATTTATGTGTACCCTTCATTTGGTTGAGCCCGAACTTCTTGCGGCGGGAGACGACTTCACTGGCAGTTAGACCAATGCGCACATCGGTCTGCAGAAGCTCTTCAGGAACGACACGAGCGGCACCGGCCTGTACCTCTTCCTCTTCATCGTAGTCGACGCCGGCATCCTGCGACTCGAGCTCCTCAATCAGAGCATCAATGTCTTCGTCCTCGTCTTCATCGTCTACTCGATTGAACTTGGAAGGCAAGGCCTTCTCGTCGTACTCTCTCCTGTCATTCTGCGTGCCGGTCAGGTCATGCCTCGAGGGGTAGCACGCGTGCTGCTGTGCGGATCACTTACGAACGACATTTTGGCAGGTGGTTAGTGCGCTGGCCAGTCACGGCTCTCGTAGCAGTGCAAGGTCGCCTGGAGCTGGTGGTAGCTGTAATGGTTGCACTGTATGCGTGTGTTGGCCGTGCGTGTGAGAGCTTTTGCGAGAATGGTGCGCGAGGCTCTTGTACTGGAAAAGTCAGGCATGTTTACCAGAGTTGTGTAAAAAGTGATTCTGTGTTGTTGGGGCGCACGGGCCGAGGAGGCTGTTGGAGCTTCAACCGTGGGTGACCGAAGCAAAACGTGCTCGTATGCGCGCTGCATTGTGTTGATGTGAGAATGGCCATGGGACGTACCTGAGGTTGCAGACCCAGCTGCAATTGGGTCTGTCTCGCCGTCAAGGGAGCAGAAAGGGAGATGATGAGGCAGACGGGCGAGGGAGGACCGCAGCAGCTCGACTGGAGACCCGTTGCTGAGGGCGTCGAGGAGTCTTTATGGAGTTGCAGACTTGGCTTCCAGCATCCAACGCACTAGCACTGTCGGTCGATAGTACGGGCCTGTCCTATCCCGGCCGCTCGCGCAAACGTGCGTGGGTGAAGGTGTAGGGGTCCGCGTCTGCAAATCCCGCGCTCTCGTTTGGATCGCCCAGCCAGAGAGGTATGTGCCCCAATCGCTCACGGCAGGAGCCTGCGCAGATCGTGGGCTTGGCTCGGCTTTTTCTGCCTCAGCGCCGCGCCGCTCAAACACAGTTGACGCTGCGAGCCGCTGAGCATTCACCCTCGCCTTGCCTTCTGCAGACCGCGTCGCACGCCCTCTGGCATGCCCCCGACGTTAGCGGCCGGGCAGCAGCAACAAGGGTGCGCCGTCTTGGCGTGCCCCAGACTTGCTGGCGCCTCCCTCCGCGACGCCAAAGAATGCTCCATTTCGGTTACGCCCGCGCGCGGCCTTGTTGCGGCTCCACGGACTCTCCACAACCACGGAACACGGCCGCTCTACTGCGTGGATTCCTCCACCTGACCCTCTACCGACAGTGTTCAGCCGTCTTGTCCAGCTGGGCGCGCGAGCTGCTGCACATGGCCGGGACGAGCAAATACATTGGCCTCCAGAGCGCCATTTTCGACAAGCTTGTCTTGGCTGTGACCCGGCAAAGTCAAGAGACCGCCAAAATTGTTTCGAATCCCCCAGCGACCGTGAAACTTGGAGAGCCTCACACTCCAGATCTGCGCAAACACTCGTGAGCTGCACCTGGATCCGCCCGTTCCTGCCAATGTTCGCAATCGTCACGGCACAAATGTTGCGCACAACCCTACTGCTCCACACTCCGCTCTCACGTTTCATCACGCGGCCGTTGCTTCAAGGCCAAGCTCTGCCAAATGCCTCGTTCATCGTGGCCTTGTATCCCCACGCCAAGCAGCTGTAGCACTACATCGCAATTGTGTGCAGCTCTAATACCGCAATCACATAATCCGTCAGCTGTGCGATGGACACCCAAGAAATTCCGTCTCAATATATGAAGATGTTCAATTCCGTCGCCGGAAACCAGCCCCGTCATCGTGTCGATGTTGCTTGGCCATCTTGAAAAGCTCCTCCATCTACTCGATGAGGAATTCATGCACGAAGGGCCCATCTGTTCACGAGCTAGCGCTAGGACGCCCCCTTGCACCTCAAACAGACAGAGTTGCCAGGGCTTGGCTGTGGGCTTGGTAGCCCAATTGCCGTATCACGGTTCCTCTGGTTCTTTGCTTCTGCGATACCCTTACGTGGACAGTTGTTGATGGTGAACTAGACATATCGCCGAGAATTGCGTAACTAGAGGCAGTTCAACTCGGGCGTTCTCGACGCTCACTCCATCGCTGTTTCTCCTAGCAGCATCAACGATGTTGAAGTCGGAGGCGTGCGAGCATCGATTAGGTAGGCTTAGCTTAATTGCCCTGCATGTCCGAGTCCAGCCACCAGTAACAACCGCGGCCGACAGAATCACCGGAGAATACCAGGTGATGCCTGTGTGGTCTCACCCATCACGAATGTGATATGCATCAGCATCCAGTAGAGTATCCAAGCGACTACTTTCAGGGTCTCCTGCCTCAGGTTTTTGGTATTTCCCCATTGGATCGTATTGGTCGACCCGGTTGCTCTGAGCTTGGCTGCAACACAGATAAGCGACTCGTGTACAGCTCCCAGACGGTCCGTCTCGCAGCACAGTATCGGCTGAAACACGAACGAGGCCGATCGAATTTGTCTCTTTCTGTATACGGTGCGACTTCGCTATCACACTTTCAGCATGTTACTCGCACTCGCATGCATCACGCCGAGACACTCTGCAAGAGAGCACAGAACCGTTGGCTATCGAGCATGTAGACGGCCCACCCGCTGTCAACTCTCACCGGATTCCGTGATCGAACGTGAGCGTCTAAGCCTTGGCGATCAAAGAAGCTTTCAAGTCGTAATTCCTTGCTGGGAGGTGGGCCAGAACAGGCGAGCATGCTCTCGCCGTCGAACGATATGAATGCAAAGCAAATCAATAATTCTCTTGTCATCTAGACGAGAAAGGCTCAGTCGTACCAAGCAATCCTCGCAATCATACTCGCCTCCAAATTCCAATGATCAATGGCTGCATCCCTCGCCGCAGAGTTTGTCCTCCACAATGGCTCGGCATACTTTGCGACACCGTTGGCATAGGATCACCTGCCCTTGACTAGTAGCATCACAGCAGCTTAAGACGTCACGTCAACCTGGCGTAACATGAACGGCTGGGGAATCTTGATGCCGCTCGATCACTTCAAGACAAGCCTGCCTCTGTGCTTCCAGCTTTAAGACTGTTGAGAGAACCGCCTAGCTACGGATATGCATCGTTCCCTTGGAATTTACCGTGATATGTCGATCGCGGAGTCTGATACTAATGACACTTCAGGCATCATATCAAAGCAGCAAGTCGCAGTATGCGCGTGCCTGTCACGAGTACAGCACAGTTTTGATACGCGCTCTGAGTGTTATTCATCCTGCAGGCTTTCTTCTACACGTGGCCCGCTCTGTACCTCGACATTCGGAGCGCCGATCCTACTGTTTCATTTCCACATCCGTTATCGGGTTTATCACTGTCGGTAGTCGCAGCCTTGTAGGAGCATTGTCGATCTGGAAGTCTTGCGGAAACTTCCATACATATGGTCAATTATTTGATGCAGTTAAGTGCCGTGAGCATGCAGTCTGATAGGGTGCTTCGCCAAGGACTATGAAGCATTCCGTGGCAGCTGCTGTTTTGACGAGCTTGGCACCACTAACCACGTACTCCCTACGACCATCAAACACCTGTGCGCGCGGAGTCTGAAAAGCTCTGACGTCCCCAGAATGCCGCCAAGTACGGGGATTCTCCGAATCACTTCTTTGTGCACAGTTGTCAATTATGATCGAGCGCCCTTGGCGAGTTTGACGTCTCCATCAAGAGTGCGTGGCAAGAGCTTCAGGATAGCTTGGCAGCTTAGAAGGTCAGTGGTCTGGACGTTGGGCTGATTGATTGTTAGCAAGAGTGTGGTGCGCGATTATTGTCGATTATACGACCCTCTCCCGGAGGATTGGTGAACAGATAGATTCGACCTGCGGCTTCATTCATCATAATCGCGTGCCCAGAACGTAACAAGCCGCGATATTATGACAGCTCTACTGAACACTTTACACGAGATGATACTCATCCTTGTCTCTTTTACCCCAAGCCCCGCAAATTGTGCTGGACTGACGGAATTGCATCTTACCGCCTTGAGACGTTCATCCGGAGTTTCCGTCGTGGCATACTCTTAAATCATCACGAGCACCTTAGACACCATGAAGCAATAGTCTAGGTAAAATTGGGTCCCAAGGTCCACTGCTTAAGATTCGGGAGGTGGTACATATTGGCAATGTGGTCAGTGTCCGCAAACACATGGCATGCGCTCCGTTGCCCGGAGTCTGCTACCGGAAGTCGTCGCGGCAGTATGGCGGCACAAAAAATGGCTGCTATGAAAGTCATGGCAGGAAATATGAAATATGCGCTCGGCTTTGAACTGCGAACCGTCATGCTGGATCGATGCACGTCGACACCCGCATAGAATCTTTCTAATTAGTCCACGCGCCGATTCCAATAGGTATGAAAAGGGACGAAGCTATACCTTAGCTTTTTACGAAGTGTTGTTATCAAATAATTGACAAAGGCAGTGAAGCTACTTTTTCACGTGGATTCAAGTATCTGCTCACGATTCTTGGCAAGAGCTGGTCACAGTAAAGAAGACGCAATGATTCAGAGCACGGTGGCGTACTGATTCTAGTCAGTCTCCCAGCGTTGCGACAAAGCGAGTCATATAGGTATACGCTGCTTTGATCTTCTTTGCGTGCGCGTCACCGTCACAGAGGTCTTCATTGAGTCTTTCAATGGATTTCCTTCTTGCTTTTGAGTATTTGCAACATCTCTGTCACTTCTGCGCGAGATCTACGTATCTCCAGCAGGACTTTGGAACATCGTATCCAGGGGCAATCACGCTCTTTTCTGACACCTATTTGCCCTCGTCTTGAGGCTGCAACACTCCATCAAGCACCTCTATGCGATTCCCTGCCACTACACTCAATCTTAGGTTCAGCCAGCGCGCACGTGAGGAGGTGCCCCTTAGATCTGTTCAAAGTTAAATTTGGTAACATAGAGTCTGACTAGCTGATCTAGGCGGATTTCGGTGAGGGCGATGTCCGTGGTAATGGTTGGTTTCGACCAGGAGGATTTCCTACTCTGGGTCAATCTCCCAACTGAGTCGTTACTAGCGCGGTCCTTCGTGTGACTACCCCGAAATTCCAATGCCACAACTTGCGCTTTCAAAAAAAATGCTCTTGTCTATATTTGTCTCCCCTGGCCTTACTGAACCCTTCATACACATTGCTTCATAGCTTCACGGCCCCCACTATCTCACACAACATATTTGATTATCGTGCTAAGGTCCTGCACGACGTCACGAGACACAGAATGACAAGACACTTTCCTCATATAGACGTCAACAATCATTCTTATGGGCATATATATGCCCATAACTAATGAAATACTACACGATAGCTGTACATTTACCCCTAGACCAGTTTGTAACAGGATCGCCGCAGGGCTGGCATCGCCGTCGTCCGATTCATTGACGCCCTCATATGTTTCTTTAGTTTTCCGCCCTGATTTAGCCACAATTAATTAGGTTTTTGTCGACTTCAAAGGCATGATAGGAAGAGCTGATTAGGGAAGTCTACATTGCACATAGCTAGATGGGATTCTACGCTACATGCAGTTAATCCGAGGGATTCCCCGATCCTGTAGAGGGCAAGGATTTCTTAGCTGCATTTTATAATATATTAATGCTTAATATACTGCTTCCTTAGCAAAGTGACTCAGCGCCCAGTTAAGCCAAATCAGGTACGGCTGGAAGATCACTGTGGCGTTGCTCCACTTACTAAGACAGTAAAAAGGTGATCTCTTCTTGTCAGATAGAACGAGTGCGTGAAGTCGGATCTGCTCACTCGAGCAGGAACCATGGCATTTGTCGCACAAGCCCAGGGGTCAAAACCAACCGAACAGAGTTGACAGATATGACGATAGAATCATCACCCACCAACATACCTTATCCCATACGAGCATTGTATCTGACACTTCTATTACAGCTACTATAACAGAAGACACTATAATTAAGAGGCCTTGCGACGAATGCCTAGTCTTGCCAGCCCACGTGATAACCTTGCCACCTTCTGGGTGGACATTGCTGTGTCCCGAGTTGATAGAGGAAGGAATGTAAGCTTGTTCTGTTGCTCTTCCAACTCGCACAATTCAGAATAGTGTTCACGACAAGCCCGCGTGGTTGGGTGGTTGTTCCCAAGGGTAGCGGAGTACCCAGCGCATGCCCTCTGGTACAATAACAATGACTCGCTGATACGATGCTGTGCGGCAAGGTGATGAGCAAGGTAGTATACGCCGGTGAGCGTGTCGGGATGCTCTCGGCCAAGCACCTTCTCATATCCTTCTAGCGCTCGTCGATGCATCGCCTCCGCCTCTTTGTACATTCCCTGCCTCTCCAGCACCGATCCAAGCTGGCTAACGCTGGCAAGCGTGTGGGGATGCTCTCGGCCAAGCACCTTCTCATAACCTTCCAGCGCTCGTTGATTCATTGCCTCTGCCTCTTTGTATCTTTGCTGCATCTCCAGCACTAACCCAAGCTGGCTAACGCTGGTGAGCGTGTCGGGATGCTCTCGCCCCAGCACCTTCTCTCTTCCTTCTAGCACTCGTCGGCGTATCGCCTCCGCCTC